ATGTACGTGTACATCCTCTCAATGAGTGACTTGGCCGTTTGTGCCCTCCCCTTTTTGCCTATAGCTTCGTTGTCGGGCGAGCTGCCAGCAACTAGCCGCTGCACTGCCTTCCCCCTCTCCTCCCTCGTCTATTGATCTTGACTACTCGACTTGGAAGTAAGACTTTGACGTGGACACCCGCCTCCCATTTTCAAAAACTCGCGAAACCCAACCCCCCGTGGATCAGCGCCTCACTCAGTTATCCCCCCCTCTCAGTGTGAGCTGCAGCGGCAACAGCAGGTCCCCTCCCCCACACGACGCCATTATGCACACCATCATTTGCGGGATAGTCCGTCGGCCAAGATAGGTCACAACACGAAGCTGACCCCCCGGCGATGCTGGGAATAGACCAGATTGCAAGGTATTTGTATCATTTTGTCCGATCACAAAAAATTAGAGCCAACTACAATTTCACAATTTTTCTGCATGTTCTCGTTTTAGTATGTATGTTTCTCTGTCTACGGTGGTTCAAGTGGACTTCCGTTCCCACGGTCCGATTTAGCAAGTTCCTCTTGTCCACACTTGTACTTTTTTGTTGCAAAATGAGAAGAGAAATCGTTTTTTGAGAGTTTTAGCATGTTTCTTAGATAAAATGCACAGTAAGCTCTGGAATATGCAAAACTCGATTTTGGTTTCGGTTCTGATCCAAAATCGAGGATTGTTTTCCTGTTCCTGTTGAAAAACGCTTTCGTGTTCAGATTGAATTAGGCCGTAGGTGGTCTATTTCTTCTATTTTTCAATCCGTACGTAATCGAATCAACACAATATCCCATTGAATATCTTTTTACGTAGAAAAAAATATAAAAAGTCCGAAAAGCTCCCGGTGTCGTGACCAAAAAGTACTGTACTCATAGAATCTAAAAAAACTATTAGAATGAAGTACTCAATGAAGTCAACAATAGTCTTTTTCAGACTAGCTGCAGAAGAAGCCCGTAGAGAACAAAAGGCAGATTCCGGCACATTTCCCAGGAAGACAACACTCTCTTCAAATGCACCTGTCAAAGAAAAGGTATGTTTCAGAGGTCCAATGGTCTTTTTCCGCTTCCCCTTTTTCACCGACTCTCTCGTTGATCGCTTCCTGTTCCTCACCTCCGCATCTCAAGAAAAACGTTTTGGCCCAACTCTAGAAGACGATGTGTTTGAAACTGCTTTGAAAGTGTACCAAGATGAATCCTTACCAAAAAAAACAATTTCCTGCCGTCGATTGTGGTGCAGTCCACCAAAACGAAGCGCTTAGTTCTTCTTGCATTTCAATTTTTGCCGTGTGTGTATGTGTGTGTGTGGAGACGTAATCAACAGGCGAGCTGCGTCTAATTAAATTTTCTTTCATATTACCCGAGAGCGCGCAAAAAGGCTCGTGTTGCTTGTTGCTTGTGCTTGTGCCAAGCAAAACGTACATGCCCCACACTAAACGAAAAAGGTCCCCGGAGCACAAAAAGGCGACGAGCCGATGAGAAATTGCAACAACGAAATGCGCGTTTCCGTTAAGCAAGTCTTCTTTCCGATGGCAAGCTCACAGTGCCTTATCCCATGGGTTACAGTATTGGAAGAGCATAAAGACCACCTAGAGATCCAGGTTTTCTCGTTGGTTTGCAGTAGAGTCGGCGGTACCGGTAAACACTCTGCCTACTTTCCTCACCCCATCATTAATCCAGAGCTGTTCCATTCGCTAATGACATAGCGTTCCCATTATTTTGCTCCGGCGGTTCCATATAATTGGAAGAATTGGATTTGTCGGCGAGAAGACTATCACCGCCGAACGCGCTCCGGCGGCAAACACGTCAATGAAGACGTTAAGACAAAAGTGCACTCTGTGCCTAATCCTGATCCTTTTGTGTGGGGTTTTAGTTGCATTTCTCACATCACCCATATAAGATTCACTTGGTGAGAGTCACTTCAACACGACATTGACGAATCTTCCTGGTTGCAAGTTTTTATGCCCACCTTACACGTCTCATCAGAAACCAGATAGCTGCCCAGAAATATTAATGAATAATGAAACAGATATGTGGAAGGTGGGTGTATGAGTATGTTTGTGTGTGAGTGTGTGTCACCAGGGAAAACGTTCAGTACCACACATCAGGGTGAAGTGGGGAATGAAAGTCCCCATTGACGGCATGGAGCTGACCTGAAGGTGCAACTTTCCGGTCCAAGTGTTTCGCTGCTTTTCCAACGCCCCCAGCGTTTCATTTGCTATACATATTTGAAATCCACGTTTGCCCTCACTTTTCTGCTTTGAAAAATTGATGAGGCTCTCTCTTTCTTTCGCGCTGTCGGCTCGTTTGTCGCCGACAATGGCAGCTATTCAAGTGCAGAAAGCTGACGAGTGTAGATGATCCATTCAACGGCTCTCGTCGTCGTCCATAACGTCGTCGACAATGCCGTCGTTATTTTGTTATTCAAAAAATGTGTACGTTTCCAACAGTGCGGCGGCATAACAGAGAAGGAACCCGGGCTGTTGACAACTCACTTATGCATTTGAAATGCGCCAGTCGTGGAGAAACCCTTTGCGCCATCACCGGCTCGTCTCCGTTTCCGTGGACGGAGCCCAAAAGAAGCTGCACCACACGGGCCCCCATTCATCCAATTGTCTTTTCCAGAATGACCTTTTATTTTCTTCGTCAGCAAAGAGAATAACTATAAAAGGGATGGAGAGGCCCATTTTCAAAAAGGTCACTTTTTCTTTCTCTTCCCCCCACTTTGCCCTCACTTCATTGCCGCGCGACGATTCCAAACGCCGAGCAATAACGGACGGGAGAAAAAAGGGGGGGGGCTCGGCGTGCACGGACATGAAATTCTAGAAGTTACTGGAAATTGAAAGGATGGGGGAAGGGTGAAAAATAATACGAGACGTGTATTATTAGGTAGCTGCCCTAGGACCTTGGCTTCCAAACACCGGGAAAAGAGGGCAGAGACAAACACGACTGGAAGAGGGGCCAACTGCATAATAGAGGGAACAAGCAGTTCCGGTGTTGAAGTGAATTTCAATGAGGAACGGAAGGAAGTCCCGGGACAGCTGTTCCGCGGTCTCGGATGATGAGGCCAGCCATCTGAAATTCTGTGTCGTTCGAATTTTATAGATCATGGACCAAGCATCATAATGTTTCTTCAGCTCTTTCGGAAAGCGCGCTTTTTGACTTTATTGCATATCCCACGGGAGACGTCGCCCAAGCGCATCCTCGCAATCGTGTTTATCAGAAAACCGTAGATAGGAGTGAAGAAAGCGAAAGAGATCTTGTAGGATCTCACATCAGATTCGTATTTTTTTGTCTGAAAAAAGTTGAAGCATCTGAAGCACTTAAGGGACTTTGGGTTTAGTGTTAGACTACTACATTATTGTTTTGCCATTGTTCTATCTGGGTGCACTGACAACAAATTTCTGTCAAATTCTGTCTTGTTGCAAATCGTGTCGTCTCGCCAACTCGACCGCGCAGTGTCTCCGCCAACAATTCAATCAGTGCAACTACTACGCAATTTTCTCTCCATTCGACTAGCGCATCGCCAGAAACAGCAGCGGCCGCTGAAGCGTTTTGACGTAAATCCGAAAGAGAGAAAGAGAAAAGAGAGAAGAGAGCCACACATGCGTGTTGATATGCCCTGCCAAATGAACTGAAAAATTGGGGGGAAAAGAGACATATGCCTTGTTTTACTAAACGAGGCAAACGAAGTGAAAAGGGAGTGACTACGAAACTACAGTACTTCTGCTCCTTCATGTACGTATTCCGCAGACACCTTCGCACTTGACACCTTATGACTCACTTTGGTCGAAGGAAGAAAGAAAAAGAGAAAAAGGGAGAGAATGAGAGAGAAAAAAAGAGAGAGAGAGAGAGAGAAAGCTCTTCATCCCGATATATCTTCTTTCACAGAAAGATGCGCATGCCTCGAAAAGCAACATCATCAGAAAAAGGGGGGCTTCTCTCTTTTCACCCAATTATGGGATTCATAATTATTCTTCAGTTTCATCATTTTCTTTCCATCTCCGCTTGCCATCAATCCTCCAGTGGCTGGTTCCTAAACGGACAACGGAGAAAGGGAGCCAAGTGTATGAAGTGTTGAATATAAAAGAAATGAATTTAAAACCTCTGGGGTTACTGGATGTTTTTACTCCTTGCATAATTGTCTCAACAGGGGGCCAAAGTAGACTGAACAAGCCATTCCGCACAAAAAATCTCCATATTCGCACTCGATTTCCTATGGAAATGGTCTTCGAACTCAGGTTCCCAGACTTCAAACACGCTAAAGGGACATCAATTCTCGCCGTGGGGGCCATTTGCACTTTTTCGGATTTTTGGGAGCTTGCGTGACAAGCTACAATCATCAAGGGAATTGCTGAAACGAGGGGAAGCGCCAACCAAATTATTGCAAAGTTCCATATGTATATATCTTGATTGCATTGTCTGGGTACGGATAAACAAAACGTTTTTGTGTGGCGGCTCGGAGGGAATGAGGAAGCGGAAAAGAGTGGGCTGGCACAAATTGACAAGAGCCGGACATGCCAGTTGGGATATGTGTGACTTCTTATGTTAGTTGAGTATCGGGCGTGTGTGCTTACACTTCTCAAAACTGTTCCTAGGGACTTTGAAGCAAGATTTTAGGAAAAAACTTCACAATTTTCAGGGTCCGTCGTCCTTATTCATATTTGCGGAGGATAACATCATACGGAGAAACGCGAAGGCCATCATAGAATGGGGACCGTTCGAATACTTCATCTTGTTGACAATCATCGGAAACTGTGTTGTATTATCAATGGAGCAACATCTACCAAAAAACGACAAAAAGGCGCTATCAGAATGGCTGGTAATAATAATAGTGATACACAGAAATACTTGAAGAAAAACATATTTCAGGAACGAACGGAGCCATATTTTATGGGCATATTTTGTTTAGAATGTGTTTTAAAAGTTATAGCTTTCGGTTTTGTACTTCATAGAGGATCATATCTCCGATCAGCATGGAACTTTATGGATTTTATTGTTGTAGTTTCCGGGTGAGACATTTTCAGGACTTCTTGAGATAATCTACTTGCATTTTCAGAGTTGTTACGATGTTACCGTTTTCTCCCGCCACCACATCCGCCAACCAGCCGGTCGACACAGTAGATCTGCGAACACTTCGAGCTGTTCGAGTGTTACGACCTCTCAAACTGGTTTCTGGAATTCCAAGTCAGTTAACAGGCTCTGAATCCCCTCTCAAACAGATATCATTCAGGTTTACAAGTCGTCTTGAAATCCATCCTGTGTGCAATGGCTCCATTGCTCCAAATCGGACTGCTTGTTCTGTTTGCCATTGTCATCTTTGCTATCATCGGACTAGAATTCTACTCGGGTGCATTTCACGCTGCGTGTTACAACGAACGCGGTGAAATTGAGAATGTGTCTGAGAAGCCAATGCCCTGTACGAACAAGACCTCGCCGATGGGTGTGTACAACTGTGATGTCAAAGGAACCACTTGCTTGAACAAATGGATAGGACCCAATTATGGTGAGTTGTTCTTGGTTGAAAATATGAAGGAAAACTAATTTGGTTGCAGGAATCACATCGTTCGATAATATCGGATTTGCCATGATCACTGTGTTTCAATGCATTACTATGGAAGGATGGACAACTGTCATGTACTATGTGAGTTTTATTTTTGTTTTCATGAGCTCCTATAATGATGTGAGACATTTCAGACGAACGATTCACTAGGAAGCACTTACAACTGGGCGTATTTCATCCCGCTCATTGTTTTAGGATCATTTTTTATGTTGAACCTCGTTCTCGGAGTGTTGTCTGGGTGTGCTTACATGGCTTCATTGCAATTTTATACATTTTTCTTCAGAGAGTTTGCAAAAGAACGTGAGCGTGTAGAAAATCGACGGGAATTCTTGAAGCTCAGAAGGCAACAACAGATCGAAAGAGAGCTCAATGGGTAGAGTGCTGATATGATTTTGACTGACTTCAAAGCGTGTTCCATTCAGATACCTTGAGTGGATTCTAACAGCAGAAGAGGTAATCCTGAAAGAAGACCGAACGACTGACGAAGAAAAGGCAGCGATCATGGAAGCCCGTCGACGAGCGGCCAACAAGAAGCTGAAGCAGGCGTCGAAACAGCAGTCGACAGAAACGGAAGAAGATTTTGAGGAAGATGAGGACGAGATGGAAGAGGAATACGTGGACGAAGGTGGAGCCGTGGAGGACGAATTCGGCAAGATCATTTTATTTCATTCGCATGCCTGACAAGCAAAACACTGACCGTTTTTTGAGATGTTTACTTGCATGAGCGCATTTTGCGCTGCTGCTAACAAGTTTTTGCCCAGTTTTTCTCATCGGCACGTTGCTCTTCACACTTGGAACAAGTTTGTTTCCATTTTCCATTTTTCACTTCTACACTCTATCTGTCCGAATTTTGATTTTTGGTAAGCATTGGGGACACAGCAGTGGTCTTTCTGGCATGGTTTGTTGAGAAAAAACGTTTGCGGTGATTGAGTGCATTTTCTAGCTTTTCGAGACTATTTTGATTGGATCACACGGTGTGATTGACTTTTCAGTGACTTTTTTCACAGTTCTTTGCAAGGCATGACGTTTGAGGTGAAGTGTTTCAAGCTGGTTTTGACTCTCTTTCATTCACTTGTGTTCTTTTGAGAATCTCACAATTCTCAAATGAACATGCTTGATTTTCTCATTTTGCACCGACTCTTCATTACTGTTAGTGACCCATTTCTTTTCAGCTGAACGAAAAAAGAGAGGATGCTGTCATTCATTGGGAAAATTCATCAAGCAATTGAGAATTCAAATCCGTATCATGGTGAAAACACAGATTTTCTATTGGTCTGTGATCACTTTGGTATTCTTGAATACTTGTTGCGTCGCCAGTGAGCATTATGGACAGCCCCAGTGGTTCACCGATTTCTTGAGTAAGTCCGACCTTGTTTCCATTACCCAACTCTGTTTTTCAGAGTATGCCGAATTCGTCTTCCTTGGAATATTCGTGGTTGAAATGCTTCTCAAACTGTTTGCAATGGGCTCAAGAACGTACTTTGCGTCGAAATTCAATCGTTTCGATTGCGTGGTCATTGTCGGTTCAGCAGCTGAGGTCATTTGGGCAGAAGTTTACGGAGGATCATTTGGTATTTCGGTGATGAGAGCTCTCCGTCTTCTCCGTATCTTCAAACTTACTTCCTATTGGGTCTCTCTCCGTAACTTGGTCCGATCTCTGATGAACTCAATGCGAAGTATCATCTCCCTTCTTTTCCTCCTCTTCTTGTTCATTCTCATCTTTGCTCTGCTTGGAATGCAGTTGTTCGGAGGAAAGTTCAACTTCCCCACAATGCACCCATACACCCACTTTGACACTTTTCCCGTCGCTCTCATTACTGTGTTTCAAGTGAGTCAAGTTTCTATAATCTAAGTTTCACAAGCGTATTTCTCTTTCAGATTCTTACTGGTGAAGATTGGAACGAAGTGATGTACCTGGCAATTGAGTCACAAGGCGGTATCTACAGTGGAGGCTGGCCGTACTGCATCTATTTCATTGTCTTGGTGCTCTTCGGTAACTGTAAGTTGTGATTTTTAAATCTCCAGTTCCAAGTGTTCTCTTACAGATACCTTGTTGAATGTGTTCCTGGCTATTGCCGTCGATAACTTGGCGAATGCTCAAGAACTAACTGCAGCAGAAGAAGCGGACGAAAAAGCGAACGAGATTGAGGAAGAATCGGAAGAAGCAGAGGAAGAGTATCAGGAAGGAGACCATTGCACAATTGATATGGAAGGAAAGACCGCCGGAGACATGTGTGCAGTTGCAAGAGCTATGGATGAAATGGATGAGGAATGTGAAGAGGAAGAATCACCGTTTGGAGGTCCGAAGCCGATGGTACCCTACAGTTCCATGTTCGTGCTCTCGCCAACCAACCCTCTGCGCGTGCTCATTCACAGTATTGTGTGTACAAAGTACTTCGAAATGATGGTCATGACTGTCATCTGTCTGTCTTCCATCTCGCTGGCAGCTGAAGACCCTGTTGATGAGGAAAACGCGAGAAACAAAGTGCTGCAATACATGGATTACTGTTTCACCGGAGTGTTTGCATGCGAAATGCTTCTGAAGGTAATTGAGTGAGAATTGTCACAAATAAAGTTTATTTTGTATGTTCAGTTGATCGATCAGGGAATCCTTCTTCATCCTGGCTCGTACTGTCGAGATTTCTGGAACATTCTTGACGGAATCGTTGTCACTTGCGCGTTGTTTGCTTTTGGTTTCGCGTGAGTATTCTTAATTTCTGAAAAAACCGCAAATAATTCAATGCTCTTTACTAATCATGTTCAATTTTTAGAAGTACAGAGACGTAAGTTTCGGATAACATCCGCCCATCTAGTTGCTTTTTTGTTTCTCTCCGCCTTTTTCACATATTCCCTTTCCAAAAATAATTCATTCCTAGAAAAATTAACAAGTAATATCACAAATCTTCTCCCTCATGATTCTTTCGTATCAATCTTAACCGTTCACGTTCATCTCATCTCAAGTAACACATTGAAAAAGTCTCATCTGATTTGAGCTCACACTTTCATTCCCAATTCTTGCACAACAACTTTTGAGTGTCTCCTGCTGAATGATAGCCTTTTCGAGTTATCATTTGTCAGGGAAGTTTCGAACAATCGTATTCTTTTTTCAGGGGCACGGAAGGAAGTGCTGGAAAGAACTTGAACACTATCAAATCGTTGAGAGTGCTCAGAGTGTTGCGTCCTCTTAAGACCATCAAGAGGATTCCGAAACTGAAGGTTAGTTAGCATCTAAAGCTCGTTTCTTTCCATATACACTTTCTACTTTTCCAGGCCGTTTTCGATTGCGTTGTGAACTCTCTGAAGAATGTATTCAACATTCTGATTGTTTACTTCTTGTTCCAATTCATCTTTGCTGTAATCGCAGTACAGCTATTCAACGGAAAGTTCTTTTTTTGTACGGACAAGAACCGAAAGTTTGCGAGCACATGTCATGGACAGTTCTTCATTTACGACAACCAGAATGATCCGCCACGTGTAGAACAGAGAGAATGGCGGTTGAGACCGTTCAATTACGACAATACACTCAATGCGATGCTCACACTTTTCGTGGTGACAACAGGAGAAGGATGGCCTGGAATCAGACAGAACAGCATGGACACGACATTTGAAGATCAGGGGCCAAGTCCGTTTTTCCGAGTGGAAGTCGCTCTTTTCTACGTCATGTTCTTCATTGTGTTCCCGTTCTTTTTCGTCAACATCTTCGTCGCGTTAATCATCATTACGTTCCAAGAACAAGGAGAAGCAGAGTTGAGCGAAGGAGATCTCGACAAAAATCAGAAGCAGTGTATCGATTTCGCATTGAATGCGAGACCAAGATCTCTTTTCATGCCGGAAGACAAGAACTCGATCAAGTACAGGATATGGCGGCTTGTAACCTCACCGCCGTTCGAATATTTTATTATGGCGATGATTTGTATCAATACATTCATTCTAATGATGAAATATTACAACAATCCACTGTTCTATGAAGAGATCTTGAGACTGTTCAACACTGCTCTCACGGCAGTTTTCACAGTTGAAAGTATTCTGAAAATATTGGCGTTTGGTGTCAGAGTAAGCGAACTTTTGAGGGAAGATGAATATATACACGCATATTTCAGAATTATTTTCGTGACGGCTGGAATCGTTTCGATTTTGTCACCGTCGTGGGTTCGATCACTGACGCTCTCGTCACCGAGTTCGGTGGTCACTTCGTCTCTCTGGGATTCTTGCGTCTCTTCCGTGCCGCCCGTCTCATCCGTCTTCTGCAGCAAGGATACACCATCCGAATCCTTCTGTGGACATTCGTACAGAGTTTCAAAGCTCTTCCATATGTTTGCTTGCTGATTGGAATGCTCTTCTTCATCTACGCCATCGTTGGAATGCAAGTGTTCGGAAACATCTGGTTGAATGCGGCCACCGAGATCAACCGACACAACAACTTCCAGTCGTTCTTCAACGCAGTCATTCTGCTTTTTCGTTGTGCGACTGGAGAAGGATGGCAGGACATTATGATGGCTGCAGTCCAAGGAAAAGATTGTGCAAAGGCTGGTTCAAATGAAATCAATTTCGAGAAAGGACCGACTTGTGGAAGCAACGTGTCATACGCTTACTTTACCAGTTTCGTTTTCCTTTCGTCGTTTTTGATGCTCAATTTATTCGTTGCCGTCATCATGGACAATTTTGACTATCTGACAAGAGACACTTCGATTCTCGGACCTCATCATCTCGACGAATTCATTCGTGTATGGGCTGATCACGATCCAGCTGCAACGTATGTTAAAATGTTCTGAAAAAAAGCTAAAATTTGCATTTGCAGAGGACGCATTCACTATACGGAAATGTATGAAATGCTCCGGTTTATTGATCCACCCGTCGGATTCGGAAAGAAATGCCCATATCGATTAGCATATAAGCATCTGATTCGCATGAATATGCCTGTGGCGGAAGATGGAACGGTTCACTTCACGACGACGTTATTCGCTTTGATTCGTGAAAGTTTGAGCATTAAAATGAGACCAGTGGAAGAGATGGATGAAGCGGACGAAGAGCTGAGGCTAACACTGAAAAAGATTTGGCCATTGAAAGCGAAAAAGAACATGATTGATTTAGTGGTTCCTCCGAATCACGGTACAACTGGAATTCTCTGTTTTCTTGAAAGAACATCTAACTTCCAGAGCTCTGTTTCCAAAAACTGACTGTTGGAAAGATATACGCGGGACTGCTCATCTACGAGAACTATCGAGCGAAACAAAGCGGAACGGAGGTATGTGAGGTCATAGTTCATTTACTCAAGCTTTCAATTTTGGCTCACTTACAGATTTTTGTTTAAGTGTAAGATAAGGATACAAAGCCTATTAGAATATACTGCTTTTGTGTGAAATAGATGCTTTTGTTGAGTTGATAGATGGGGTTGATAAACTGTTGAGTGAAAGAGTAGGATGAGCTTTGAAATGAGGTGAAATTAGCTAGAGGCGATCAAACGACAGCGTGCCGCCGAACTTCTGCGCAAACGACGAAACGCGCTGTTCCAATGGTTTTCGAAAGATTCGAACAACGATCAGGTCCACCCTGATAGTGTGAAAACCCTTGTAGTGGACTTTTATTTTTCTTTTCACTTGGAAGTTTGTTATCCCGAACGAGATGAGCATGCTTTCAACCTATAAACTAGTCAACAGTTTCAAAAAAGGTCATAACTAGTTTTATTCAGGTTGGCGGTGGGGGCCTTTTTGGCGGCGGACTACGATCATTGGTGGCAGCAGCGAAGGCTGCCGGAGGAGGCTCTCAGCATCCTCCTGCTCACACACCGCAGCCACCAGAGGAGACGACTCCGATCATCCCGCACCAGCAGCAGAATTCGATTGCGCCGACAACGAATGTTCAGGGTTCTTCACAGGGACCGAGTGGAAATGGTGGTGGTGGACAAGTAATGCTTCATATGGAGCTTCAGAATGAGCCTGGAGTTATTCAGCGACCGTATTCGTTATTCAACACTATCGCCGACTCGATCAAAGCCAGAAAACCGGATGGAGAGGTCACACCAGTTCAGTATCAGAGTGTTGACCAGCAACAGTAAGTTCACTCTCAGAAAACATGTATAATCAACGGGTTTTCAGCGAAAGAACAAATTCCACCGGCAGAAGGCTTTCCGACATGTTCTCCAAGATCCGACGGGGCACTTCTGCTGATCACAACCCGCATCAAGTATGTGAAACTCTTTCAGATCGTTTCAGATGCTCCTCAAATTCATACAATCTTGTTTCAGTTCTGTCCTCTTTAGAAACCATGCACAGTGCACAGTCACCTTTTAGAGTTCCATTTATTCAATGTTCTAAATGTTCTTTCCGTGTGATTTTCTGAGTACCGTCCGTCCGGTTCCCTCAGTGAACGTCTTGAACGTCTTTGTAATAACTGACAAGTCACACAAAGGTAACACTGTGCTATTGTTCTCTTCTCGCCACCCTATCCATTCTATCCCAAAGCCTTTCTTAACCAACTGGAAATTCCAACACATATTTCCGAAAAGCCAAACCTCCTATCTAATCCACGTCAAACCTCTTTGTAGAACTATTCGCACCGCTTCGGTTACAGTCGCAATAGAGGTTCTCGATATGACGAGGTTTGTAGAAGAACGAACGCCAAGCTTGAATCCATTTTACCTTACCCTCTTGTCAAATTCCGCGTAACTTGTTCTTTTTCGATGAGTTCTCTTAACCTGTGTGCATTAATCCAACAAAAGAATGTAAAACAGAAAATCTTATTTTTGCTGGAAGTTTTTTGCACGAATCGGTTGAGGCACATGCTTTTAGAACAGATTTTCCTCTTTTCCTGCATGCTTTCCTGCTTGTTCTTTGTTGTTTTAAAATTTTCTTCTTCCAGGCATGCCAAAATTATGTAGTTAGATAATTGTTGAACCAGACATCCTTTTGGTTTTTCAGTTTTCTATCATTTCTAACATTTTGCATGTCTATTTCATGTTCCTAAACCCTACATACTTGTTTTGAAGAATTACTGTGTAGTTGTTCTTGGATACCTTACCCTTAAAATGCTTCCTAGACCTTAGTTCCTAAAAACTTAATTCCAGACGGAACACTTGCTGGCTCAAGACAATCGGTCTCCGTCGTCGCCAAGATATCGGAGCATGGCCCGTGCTTCTCCGCCGAGTCCCGCTGAAAGATACGGTCATCCGCACCGATACCGTACAGGTAAGACAGTGGCCGTTAAAGAGAGAAGGCCTCTAGATACCCATCTAGGCAATTGCGCCGCCAAAAAATGCCATTCCGATAGTTATCGGATTGACCCGCTTTTAATGTCCAACGCGTTGCGAAAGGGTTCTAATATGCCTGCGCGGAAAGACAATCGAACCTAATTACTGTGTTGTGGCAACCAAAGTTAAGAGGGATCAGTTTCAGAATCACCGCCATCTTCAAGGTCGGAATATCAGATGTCGATTCGTGACCCGATGATCAGAAGGAATCGTTATAACACTTTAGAACACTCGAGATCATCACACGAACCACAGTATCACCATCAGGACCACCAACAACAATCCGCGCACTCACAATTCTTGTCTCATCAGCCGCATCTCCAACATTCTCAACATCACAGAGTGTATCAGAACCACAATCAGTACTCGAGAAGTCCGATCTATTCCGATGACTCGAGCGTAGCGGAAAGCTACAGAAGAGAACGAGAATTCAGAAGATATCAAGGTACCATTCAGACAGGATTTTCGTTCTAAAAGTGCCTCTGAACAGACTCCACTCCTCAAGACGTCAGCGAAGACGACGATCCGATGCCGACGGCCGTACGAGCCCGGCGGCTGCCTCTGATTTCCACTATGCCCACACACTACGAGTCCGCATTCCAACCATCATATAACCAACACTTAAATGATTCTTATGGTATCATTGTGTTCCACTCGCTTGATTTAATCAAAGTTTTAGGATTAGGAACCGGGTATCAACGAGATTATCACACCAGTCACCCCCACTCGCACTCAACCTCACAGCACCAACATCAACATCAGCCCATGTACAGCACGTCACCACTAATATCACCTCGATCCAGTCACAGCTACTACACGCCCAGGAATTCACAATACTATGAAATCCCATCGCCCAGTCCAGATGTGAGAAGTTCAAAAACCTTTTTTGAGTAATCGATCGTTTCAGATATTTCCATCATACCGTGGACCTTCTTCTCCTCGTCGATATCCGGCGAGCACGATAGTTGTAGCTCCGGATCGGGAAGGTTCGAGTGCACGAGTCATTCAAGCGCAGCCCGGTTCTATTCCTTTGTCAGACTCTGAAGTCGAGGATGATCCCCGAGACCCCAGAGATCCACGAGATCGATGGGATATTGTCTAATTTGAAATCCCGAGTTTCCTTTCCCCTCACCATTCATGCCTTGCCACCACGCCGCCTTACTTTCCCTCCTATCTCAGCGATTTCTAGTTGCCTTAACGTCTAGCTCACATTTGATCTTGTACTTACTAAGTAAGCCACCAACCGAATGCCAAACTTGCTCTTTCACGCCATTGATTACTCACGAACTTATCACTTTTCGCTCAAGTCCTTTTCCCCTCAAATTTGCACTTAGGTTTTTCTATTGTTCTGCCAAACTCACAACTTTATTATCTAGCTTTCTTGTCAAGCGTTTTATTGCAAAAGCTTAAGCTTTTCTCTGAAAAATGGGTATCTACCACGTTTTGAACATTTCTGCATCTGCTAGTAACTGATTCTTTCGAAAATTCTTTCTGTCTCCTGCTTCCCCTTCCCCCAACCGTTGACTTTCATGATGGGTTCAATCTTTGTATTTAATTATTATTCCCTTATGATTGTTGCCGACTTTGCAGTCATGTGATTCTAGTCATCTTCCCATTTATTTATGTGCAATAAAAATTTCAAAAAACCAAACCAGTCTTTTCTCCGATTTTTTTTAGTTCTGGATGGTGCGCCAACACAAAACAACACTAGTCTCAATTCAATGACAACGATCGGGAGAAACGAAGAGAAACGCAAATAGTAAATTCCTTTTCTCAAACTTTCTCAGGCCGTACTGTTGTAGGTACTCTGAAGTCGCGTTGTTTACAACGGTAATTAGCACTTTCCAAAATTGGTTCATTGTTCCTCTCCCTCTCTTTCTCTCTTGTTACCTAATCTGTCAATTCGGGAACAAACGGCAAACATGTCCTCTTAAAGGGCGTCCTCGCGGATTGTTGCACTTCTATTATCACGCAAGTGAGATCTTCGCAGCCCTGCCCTTCTTCTCTGTTCCGGATGAGCTATTTTCATTGACACCATATTGAGAACATATCCATAGAACAAAAAACGGACAGACAATTTGGAGAACACGTTTTTAGCCATCAAAAATCAAGCAACCACCGGTACCATCGCGTTCTCCGCCGCTCACTTTTCCACCTTCTGAAAGTGTGCGTGCGTGTCTAGCTGGCCTGACTGGACAAGACCCCACTCGTGGGCAACGCACTTTCGGCCACAGAACAGTCGTCAATCTCATTTTCCCTTGGCGGATCACTCCCGGAATTCATTCCCTCCTCCGCATCCCTCCTCACCCATTGCCGATTTCGTACAAATGAAATCGACCGCCGAGATCACTATCAGGCGTAAGAATCAGACACATTCTGCGCGAAAAATAGGCCTTTTCGACGAGGACGACGAATTTCACGCAAATCTTGCCGAGTATCCTCATTGACGGTGACTTGACGAGCTGAGAATTGAAATCGCGAATAATGACCGTGAATTGGGCGAGTTGAGTATGATGGATTGGATTCTGCCCCTTTCTTCCAAGTGCATCGCATCACCTTTCACGATTGCCATCTCTGTCCAGAGACCTGTGATCAATTGCCATATCTGAGAGGAGTGGTCCTAAAAAGATTTCCCATCCCGATACTTTATTTTCATTTTTGTTTTATTTGCATTGCCCATCAACATTTACAATGCGATTATTCATCGTTATTGGCATTTTGGTGTTCTTCGAATCCACCGTTCCACCTCCCAATGGGATGGATGGATGCTACAACAACAATGAACGGTTGTGTTGCGTCATCATAATGCATACATTTACTTACCGTCCGGCGATTCCGCTTTCAACAATTATCACATTTTCCGGCTATTCATACCGCCACTCATTCTCTCCTCCCTCTCCTTCTTTCTCTCTCATTCTTAAAAGCTATAATTGTGACTAATTGTACACGCAGTCAGTCGTTCATACATTGGCATTTGCCGGCAAACTTCTCGGAACCGTCCTTCCTCCAATCTATTGGCCTTCCCATGCCATTTTCGGTCGTCCGACACCTCGAAACCAATCATTTTCGAATCTTTTTCCGCTGTGTTTTTATCTTGCCATTAAGACCTCTCAGTCAGCCATGAAAACAATGATGCGCCTCATAATTATTTTGGGTCATAATTGCCAGTGCGCAGCAGCATTTACCAACTGTCGAAATACGGGCTGGGAACGAATGAACGAACGGCAAGCTGATTCTCCATCCGTTTTGAACGAAAATATTATTTTTTTTAACATCTCCGAATCAGTCACGGGTTGCCCTCGGCGTGCGCAAGTGGAGGAGGCGGCGAACTACTTTTCTAATGAGTGGAAGTACTTTTTGTCTGAGGTCATATAAAAGAGGGCAACGGTGTCTTCCAAAGTAAACAAACTACCATTTCCCAATTAAAACCGGCCAACCTAACCGGTATCACTTTTTCTTGTTATATCGTTGCACTCTTGCGTGACCTTCTGCGACCAGCTCTCTCTTTCCCTTATCATCATAATTATAACCTGTCCGTGGTCCCCATCAACCATGTGCCTTCAGACCCGCTTGCCCTGTCTACCTCGTCCTCTTATCGCCACAGGGTCCCCCTGACAAACATTAGATAGTCCGTATATGGCGAGGAAAGGAGGGTACGTCTCTCTCTCTCTCACTCCTTCCCCCTATATCGTCCTTTTCCGTTCGCCCCGCCCACCTCGCGGTCCGTCTCATTGTGTGTTCTCTTTCTCCCAGGCGGCATTTGTCCCTCTCTCTCTCTCTTCCTCGCCATTTGCATGCGATCACATTTTTTGAACGAATCAAAGCATGAAGATTTGATTCCTTCCCATTTCCTACACCTTTTACTTTCCCCATCCTCTTTCTTCCTTCCTTTCCTGCAACATTCGAATCGTCTTTTTGCTACCTTCGCCTTTCAGACCATGGGATTACCAGTAGCTACTCTACTATTAGCACTGCTTGGAATAAGCTCTGGTAAGATCTTTCCCCTATTTTATTTTTCTGGAAAAGTGAAAATTTCAGCTCAATTAATGTCACAAATGGTAGCCCAGGTCAAAATCACGGATGCTCCGTATCCTGTGGCAAATGCCGAGCAGCTTAACCAAGTCATTTGGACCATGCACGGAACTCCGACCAAGGAGGCCATTTATTGTGTTTCCGAGGCACCTGTCTCCCAGCTTCGCTTCGTTTGCACTGACTGCGTCGAAAAGAACATTACGGACATGGTGAATGTTTTGAACGCGGCTCAAGACATCACTCGTCGTGTTGGATTTCCGGTGAGTAGGGGACACATCCATCCGCACTTGTTTAACGACCTTCTGTAAGAATTTCCGTCGGTTTTTCTCAATAGCCACTCCATAAAATAGTGTTCAAATGTTTCTCTTTCTATTTCATGGCCTTCAGTTTTTCTCTTTCTCTCCTACTTCTTCTACGCGCCAAAATCCGACATAATCTAATCTGGGCAGTTCTTGTTTTCTTCTCTCTCCCTCTTTTTCTCTCCCTCGACTTCGGCTTCTCAAATCAATCAAGTCACTAGAATGATTAATGGGGTAAATCTTCAAAAAATGAGGCACTGACTGACATCATCTCGTTTTACACTTTCTTCTACCGTACTCGCGACATTCATAAATCATACCGTTAAGCCGATAACGACGCGCTAGAAGTCTCTCATTTACGCGCTCCCCGTTCGAGGACCGTCAAAAAAGGGAAGCGGACGTTCTGATCCGGACAACTCGGCGGAGGATAAGCCTATCGGCGGGAGGGTCAAGGCTGGGGCGGCACAGTGCATGCAACACAAAGGTCTTACCCATCACGCCCTCGTGTCTGTTTGGTCATTTTATGCCGGGGATTAAGAATACAGAAAGGCATGGAGAACGGAACGGACGGGATTAATCCCGTAGAGCGGGGGTGCGAAGCCAAGAAAAACGGCGTTTTAGATGATACATTTTTTGATTGATCGTCTTCATAATTCATCACTTTTGGAGACAGAATCATCGATCAAATGAAAATGAAGAATCAACCGTCCTGCTTTGAATCTGATCGAATTCTTACTAGAAAGACCCATAGAAAGGCTCCTCTTTTACCTCGGAAAACACAGTTTCGATGTCAAACTCAAGTGTCTTTGACCGTCACCGTTTCATTATACGGCTAGTGTACAACACAGTCGAGTCGATTCTAAATAGTGCACATATTCGGTTAGTGGGATTCGGTTGTGTTTGCGTAACGGAGAAACGAGATGCGCGTGTATATTCATAACCGCTTTCTCTTCCTTCCTTCCTTCCCGTTCCTCAAGGTTGCTCAAACACTCTGAGGTCGCTGTCGTGATGAGTGCGAGTTGGGGTGTAATGCATTAGTACTCATATGATGTGTTAGGATTTCACGGATCATCAGGTTCCGTTCTGTCTTCCACTAATTTGATTATAACGATTAATTAGAACGGAAGCCTGCGCACTGAATACCCTTATAAAGTGGTATCGTACTCTATCAAAAATGACCCTTTTTCGCAAAGAAAGAATTGGTCAAAGGTCTTTCTCCCGTTCTCCAAACAAGTAGAAGCGGACAGCGCACTTTGATGTTGCCGACAACTTGCATTTCCGAAAATTGATACATTCGAAACGAATCAGAGACAAAGGGTTAGGAAAAGAGGGCTAACACCCTTCTATCGTTCCATTCATCTAGATGGTGCATCTTTTCTTTAAGACCGCAATCAAACGCGATAATCTGAGGAGAAAAAGAACGAATGGGTCACACAGAATATTGCGCAGCACATTGCGTTAACGCTATACTTTCTGCTGATAAGAGCATCTTTCCCATAACATAGAGTCAACCTTTCCGTTTTATCGATGAACTCGGGGCAAACAGAAACTTGACGACTCAAACTGAGGAAACTAGGAAAGAAACACGTGTTCCGTCTCATTAGTCAAAAACCGTAACGGATGTGTTCGGGCAGTTCAGTTCACCGACGCATCCGATGTCACTTTACGCGTCATTTCTTTGTGGCGCCCGCACCGACGTTTTTGTATTAATGTCCAATTTCGTCGGTGTAACCACATCACATTTCAATGTCACTCATTCACACAAAAGTTTTTGGGGCAGAAAATGATGGAAGATACGAAGAACGGCTGACTCATCATTAACATTTTGAATGCTCGAGGTTTTTGCAGGCTGTCACACTCAAGGATATTGCGGTGAACACTAATTGGACCGGTGCGACAATCATGTGTCAGGCGGCTCTGAATGGAGGTACGAGTAGAGGGTGCTCTCGAAAAGCACCTGGACCCATTACGCAATGAATGCAATATTGTAATGCTTTAGGGACCGTCGATTCTGCCCCAGCGACTGTCGACGTTCGCTATCTCCGTCAGCCACATGTTGTGGATTCAAACGGACAATCGCCGGTTTTGATTGGAAACCAGGGATACAGGTAGGACAGACGATCGGTCGGGGCACAGGCCAACACGTTTTGATGTTGCCGATAGAGGGTGGTTATTAAAAAAGAACTGTACACACGAACAGGAGAATTGCCAACACGCGGCGAGGGGTTAGGTTGTAAAATAATTAGTGCAATTTCGTCGGGTTACTACAAAAAGGAAAAAGAAAGTGGCATTCATTTTTCTATTCATAAAAGATCTAATTAGAGGGTCGTACAAGACGCTTTACAGATTCTTTGTTGAATGCGTACGTGGGGCTGATAACATGTGCCAGCAAAGTGGAAGACGGAAGACCCTCAAGTGCAACGTTCAATCCAATCCCCCGGCCACCCAATACCGCTGGTTGAAGAACGGAAGTCCAAGGTAAATTACCTTTTATTGCAACATTCAAACCATCCATCAATTACAGTGGAACTGGCGCCGAAATCACGATTGGAACGGAAATGATCGGGCAATCAATTCAATGTCAAGCCAATAACGGTCTTCACGACGAGTCTAACATGCCACTGTCGCAAGCCGTTCAAATTGATCCATATTGTACGCAGAAAAACGTTTTCATTGCTTTTAACCAATTTGCCTTAATTTCAGCGTCGGCGAAACTTTTGAAGGACAACTTCCAACAATTGCAATCCACGTCGCCGTTCCTCTCCAACAACCGAATTGAGATGAACCAGCAAGTCAACCTGGGATGTCAAGTTGAGGGAAATCCACGTCCGATTGTCTATTGGAGAATGAGAAAACCGAATGGGGACGTGGTCAATGCGGCGTGTCCGCAGGGATTGGAGGGACAGTATCAGGAAATGGAAGTTGCCCGATCCGCGAATATTGTCCGTCTCAATGCTCTTTGTTCTCTCCGCATCTCCAACTATTCCTACTCCGGACAGTACTGGTGTGCCGCGTGCTCCCAAGTCAGCCAGGGAGAACCAGAATGCTCGCCAAGCCTCGACACGCCCGGAACAACGAGCCTCAACGTGCAAGTCATCGGAGCCCCGAGCAACTCTGACGCTCCGCCGAGCATTGAACAACGCGGAAATGATGCTACTGTTCTTGTTCACTATTGCGCGGAACCGATGCCGCGACCTCCGAGAGAGATCGTGTTCAGTGTGGACCAGAATGACCTTCAGGTGACATATCCATAATTAGAGAGAGAAGAGAGTAGTCTGAGGCTAAGGAAGTGCACTTTCTAATAACTCGCGTATGCATCTTCTCTCTTCTCGCCGTTTAATGACTTCGGCCTCAATTTGATGCGTAGACGCATATGAATAAACAAATTCATTGTCGAGAGAGAGAGAAACCAGAATTTAGCCCGAAAAAACAACCAAATAATATTGCAGGTTGGACAATCATGGGAGAACTTCCACTTCGATTCGGCTGTTACCAATAACACGGTCCCCAACTGTTACATTGCCCGATTGACCATTTCTCCAGTCCGCGAGGAAGATCAGTACCGTCAAATCGCTCTCAAACTCCAGAACCAGTTCGGATCAAAACAGTGAGTAGCGAGTGAGACTTTGAGCAAACGGACCACACTATTCAAATAGGGTACCCTCTGCTATGCTATTTACCTATTCAAGAGCGTGGGGGGAAGGTCGCGGCACGCATTATTGTGTCCGAAAGGAGAGCCCACAGAGGGAGGGGTCAAATCCCACGTGAGGTCAACCCTTGCTTCTGCCTTTCTTTTCCGACCTGAGGGATATGCAAATAAAGACAATAAGATTGTAGTGAAAGGAAGGAGGTTACGGTTATGAAGACGTCAAGTATTTGTGTCACTTGTGGAAGTGTTTTATGGGAAAATGGTTGAATGACAGTGGACAATTGAGTGTATGAATGGATGGGAGAATGGCAAGCAAATGTTTTCTTTCCAGAATTCCTGTGTCCATGGATGCTTTGTTGGGAGGGGACAGTACGATGGTTGGAAGGATACCTTCGTGGTGGGTCATCGTGCTCATCGTCGTCGCAGCTTTACTATTCATCATTTGCATTGTCACAATTTGTGTGAGACGACGTAAGAATTCGAAAACTTTGAATGGAAACAAACTTCACACATTTTCAGGAGTAAAAGAACATCCAGACTACAGTGAACCGAAAGCTAAAGCCAAGTAAGTCTAAAACATCTCAAGCATGGTTGAATTGTGACATTTTCAGTTTGAATTCTCGGGAAAACTTTTTCGAGACAGGACCCGATGCTCCTCGACTGTTCGCACAACATCCTCCAGAGGTATGCGATCCAGCGTATGGCGTCTATTTGAGTCGCGAAGCTGTCGTCTGAGTTCAAACTCTCCCCCAGCAACTCCCTAATCATTTTCTATCCCTGCTCACATTTTCTTCCCCACTTATATGTCATAACGACCAAAAGTGCCTAGGTATTCGGTTCTCTTTTATTGTGATACTTCTTTCCTCCCTTTCTTTCCTTCCCTCTTCCATTTCACGATTTCTATCATCCATCCATTCTCTCCTTCTAAAAATCAAACCATTTTAGGTTAACGCGTACGACCTGGCTGTTCAAGATGCTTATTGCGATTCACGCATGTCTACCGTCTAACACACTAAAATGCCGTTTTGTGTGTTGCTTTAAGTGTGCCACTTCTCGCAATTCAAGCCTCTAACAATTGCTGGTGTGCATGTCATTTTCCGCTTCTTTTTTTTCTCGCCGATAATCTTTTGTTTTCTCATCATCAATTCAGAAGAAACGGGCCACGGTAGCTGCCTTTCACGAGGGTGTTAACTATGCGGAACTCGAGCTCAAAAGAAACATAGCACAGCTTCCCAGCACCGTATCCATCAGTTCCAATTCTAGTAGACAGGCTAGGGGCACCGCTTCGGTTCAGTCTAGCGTCTAGCTAAACCCACTGTGTACATCCTTTTGTGTTTTGGTTTTCTCTCATTTTGGCCCGTCCAGTAATGTCATGTTTGTTTTTGTCCCGCTTTCCCTTTTTTGAGTATGGTCCGTCTAACGGTCATCGTTGCCTCGACCTTGTTAGCCATCCTTTGAGTCCCGGGTATTTCATGCTATCTCTTTTCTTTCGTCCTGTCTTCTCTTACTTATTTTTTTTTGGCCTCAGGCAGTTTCTTTCGGACATTCTTCTTCTCCTGCTCCTCCCTCGATCTACTTCTATCTTTCATCATGTGTTTTTTTACTTCCCAACTTTATTGAATAAATAAAAAAAGTAGTTTATAAAAGTTTATAAAAGACGGATTAGATATACATACATTTAGAGAAACACCGAAAACGTTCAAAAATCAAAGGTCAAAGGTCGGGTTATCATGAATGTGACGGGCGCAGCGCTTCTCCTTCTTCTCAAGCTCTTCGATGTAACGACTGGCCTCGATGATCACTAAAAACAAACGGATCAGTTGTTATCAATTAATTATTTATAGATCCAAAACCGTACTATGATAGTCTTGCGAATCGGTGGGAACGCCCTGGAACACGGTTTTCTCCGCACGCAATCGGATGAACGCGTAGGAGAGGAATGAACTGAAAAAGCAAATAAAAATGTTTTTGATTCTGAAAAAGGTTATAAAACATACATGATGAAGATCATAGTCATACAGAAGGCGATGGTAACAATGGCTCTGTTGGCGACTTCAGCCGAGGTCATATTCACCGATGCCTCCATGTCCACTTCATCGTCGAATTCTCTGGAATCACTTGCTCATTTTCCATTACTTTTTAGAGGTTTTCAGAGGTACTGTCAAATTACCCGGCATCCACAATAATGAGAGTGTCTTCCGATTGGCGGATCTCTTCGGCCTCAACAACCTCGGGTTCCTAAACAATTCTGTTTTTTTTTGTAATTCTCAATTCCTGCCCACCTTGATATTAAGAAGTTTCACCTTATCATCGACCCAATTGTCCCACTTGATAACCCGTTCATTCCCTTCCTCCGAGGATTCGAAAAGTTCACTGAAAGACAGTTTCCGGATTGGAACCAGCTCGACCAAATGCTTCAAAGACGCCTCCACATCCTGAACATATAGCTGAGCTGAATATTTGATTGGGTCACTTGCATCACGAGAAAGAACGATTCCACTTTCGGATTCATCAGCATCTTCGTGTCTAATCACGATATTTTTCCCTTTTTGAGTCAAATAGATTCGGACAGATGCAGAGATCGATTGATCGACCGAATCATCTTCCTCCGGTTCCTGCGGTTCCTTCTGCGGCTCCTCCTGCACCTCCGTCACGTCCTCGTCGTCTTTTTCTTCTTCTTCTTCTTCAACATTCAGAGATGGTTCGGGAAGGGCCTCGTTACTGTATTCCTCTTCATCTCTTTCTTCTTCATCTGCATATTTGTCTACCAAGTTTTGCTCATCGCTATCTGAAATTTTCCCCAGAGTGATCTAAATTGTGGCCCGATGTTTTACCGTGAAGAATCACATCCTCCTCCTCCTCCTCAGAACTCGATTCCTCTTCATAGTCATCGTGCATCTCATCGGCCAATCTCGTCATGTCGACGAAATCCAGACGGGACATCATGCATTTGGTCTGATACGACGCCAAAACTCTGAGCATTCAGAGTTTCTTTCTCAACGCCTACCACATTTTTCTGTACTTACGTGTCTGAAATCTCAGAAAAGTTCGGCTCCTTTCCACACCATCCGCAAACGGTATTCTTGGTCTCCGAGCATTTCTCCCTAAAATGATGGTTTGTACATTTTCGAAAGAAGTACACAGAAGAAGACTCAAACTACCCGTTTGAATTTTCTTAGTTTGCGATAAGAATTTTGACGTTTATGCACTGAAATGATGAAATTTGATTCCGACAAGCGTCGTTTTGATTACATCAAATGCCCTCGATTTGCTCGAATCGAAATCATTAAAAGTTTCCCTATGGAATTTCGAATTTCTGTTTTAAAAAGCAATGCTTATTTGCTTATCACTTGCATAATAGCCGACTTTTCAAGGCACCATATGACACCGATTTGTGTGTGTGCAGGCACATGACATTCGTCCAGCATTGACCGTTATCAATGATTCTGACACTGACACTGACATCAACATTTAGGAAAGAAGACCCAGACGAATTATTGGACAAAAAGCACTAAGAGTAGCTCTCAAAACTGTTCAGACACTAGTTTGAATTTCGAAAATTGTAAATGAAACTCACTGCTCGTAGAGGAATTCCGCACATGAGGTGCAATTGAAGCAGAAACCGAGCTCTCGGTAGTTGTACTGTCCCTAAAAATATGAGAGCGACCCATTTTCAAATTTGGAAGACGTCACTAACCTCAGGGCATTTGATTTTGTATGTCCGATCCCCTCTGGTATGGTACAGAACGCTGTAAGCCTGGAAATAACGCAATTTATTGGCGTATTGTACGATTCAATAAATGAACAGACCATATGCACGGCGCTCAATAAGAGCAGTATCTTCATCGCAGCCCGCATGACTCGTCGCAGGCAAGCACAACTGGCTCCGTTATCTCCTCGAGGCTTTTTAAAGAATTTCAAACTGATAACAGATGTGTTTGTATGGCGTGTTGGAAGGAAAGCGAGCGAACTTTTCTAAATAACACAGAGGCTACAGTTCTAGAAAAAACGGATGATAAATTAGAATCAGAATCGACGACGGTGAGGAATCAGAATCGACGACGGCAAAGGTCGTTTCAGATAAAAATGAAACCGATGGAACGAAAAAGGAACGTGACAACTTTCCGTGTTTGGGAAACCAAGTTTCGCGTTTCCATGAGCATTCTCAACCATTTGCATACTCACAGAACAATCAAAACTGACAGGAAAACTTTGATAAAGCGCAAATATTGACTGATTCGGATTGGAAAGCAAGGTTAGGATTGTATCAATATCTAGTCGTTGCCAGTTAACTGACAAAAGTGTTTTGCTCGATTCTTTCCTTCAGTAATAGTCGATTGTTATGAAAAACAAAGGGAGCGAGGCAGACTGTCATTCCATTCAATTATCTCGTCTGCTCTCTTCTTCCCCGTTATGTACAGATTCTAATGTTACGAAATACTTCGAGTTTCCAACTCTCCAACTTCCCATCTTGTATTAGATATGTGCCTCTCGGTGTTATTGACACACCAATGTTATCAATCTGATAATTTTTTCTAATAGCGTCAATCGATTGGGTCAAGAATGATGTAATTGCATGGAATTTTTATGGGGACTGATTGTGTTATAATGTTTTGAAAATCGTTTGTTCATGCAACATATTTATTCGGAATCTTCGTTTTAACAAGCGAGACAGGGTTGGACATCTTTGGAACGGGACAAGAAATGAAGTTGAATGACTAGTCACGAGGATATTATATCGGTTATTAAAGCTATTTCGGGACCTCACCTGACTGTGGTAGTATCCTCTAGACTGGAAAAAGCTTTGGGAAACAAGATCGATTGACTGGAATTGAAATTGAAATTGCACTGACATGGTATCAGGGGTTGTGGAAGGAAAAAAGTACAAAGGAGAGTAATCTACATGACAGAGGAAGGGAAGGAGCATCCACCGGAAAGGAGGGAACCGGAGATTCACAACTGGGAGGATGACAATGTACAAAGCTCACAAAATGAGTATTCGGGTGGTCGTAGTACAATTGAACAGATTGCGACAGGAAAAGCGGGACAGAAATTGATGTATTCGTTTATATTGGCGGTGATTCGCAGGTTTAGACGGCAGGATTGGCTTGAGCAGAGGTTTGCTCCAATTCGGTGCAATCGTCCAGGTATCTGAAACCTTGCTTGAGAAAATTGATTTCTCGGAACACCATTTACCTCTCAAAGTCGACGATTGGGCGGACGTCTTCCGGACGACGTCCGGCGTCTCTCCAGGAGCGAAGGGAACGAGCGCAGAGAAGGCGTTGGTTGTCAATGCGACGCATGCGGGTCTTGCGGTTGCTAAACAGAAATGTTCATTTCCTCGCACTTCCACTAATTCACCTTTGACGAATGCTTGCCATAGCAGCGAGGAAGGAGAGAAGTCCTGAGATGCACACGAGGAAAACGCCGGCTCCAATGGCAACAATGTCGTCCTGACGCTCATCGGCAATGTCCGTTTGAGCAATGATGGCTATAGTGCAGCAGCACAAAGTAAGCATCACTGAAATACTGAGGCTCAATTTTTTCCGAAAAAAATAGGACCCACTGTTTGACATCTCTAGGATTGAGTTGTTGCGGAGCCACGAAAGAAATCCTGCTGGAGGCGGTAGAAGACTCATGGTTGCGCAGAGAGAAGAAGTGGCCGAGATCACGAAACAGAGAGCGATCAGGACGTAGAAGTAGTTGGCAGTCGATGGAGTGATGCAGTCGACCAGAACTTAACAGAAATCCCTTGTTCACTTTCTTTCATAAAGTATAACCCACCTCTCGAAGGAGTATGGAACGCAACATGAGTCTTGCCCGTCGCGTCGATGTATCCTCCAAACCGGACCGCATCCCAGAAATCGTGGCACCCTGCACAAATTGCATTACTTTCGTTTTCACATGCTTCCAAAGTGTTACCCATGGATCCGAGAGGTTATGGGGGCAAAAACTCAGCCGTCGACCCGTGACCGTCGAGAGTCCATGCCAATTTTCAAAAAAGGCCCAATAAAACAAAAATTCGCTTGGTGAAAAATTTTAACAGGGGGTCGTCAAGTTTTGCCCCATAACCACTCGGATCCATGGGTAACACTTTGGAAGCATTCCATGTCAGTTCCTTTTCACACAAACCGATAGAGTGGCACGGCTCCGAGTTCTTCATGTAGAACTGCGCCACCTGAATCGAATCGAAATCCAGTGTTCCGTTGCGGACGCTCATGTCCTCGATGAGAATCCAGTCGGTCGACACCATCGAAAAGATAGCCTTAAACAACACAAATTATGAGTTTGTTAGAATAGTCTATCGAACCAAAATAGCAGCAACAGAGTGGCATAGTGCAGCCGGGATATTCGCCTCGCGGAAGTCCAGCCTGGTGCACAAATTACCAAGTTTTGAGAGAATCATCTTCTGAAATGATTTTCAACGTTTGTAGAACGCGGGAAATGAATCGACAGTGATGCTGATCAAGTGAAATTCGCATTCGATGCGCCGCCTTGAATATTTATTCAGTGCCAGCTTGTAGGAAAAGAACAAGAAAATAAAAAAGAAGCAGCGAGCTCGTGGAGCCTAGGGGAAATTGAGAAGAGAAAGAGAGAATCAATAGCGGGCGGCGGGGCTAGAGGGCAGTGAATGCCTCATGGGGACACTCTCAGCGGCAAATCGCTGCGAGACCAGCCCTCCGGACTACGGTATCCGTTCAGCACTTCTTTTCTTTTCACCTTCGTTTGAGACTTGTTTTGGGTGGCTTGAGTGATAAAATGGATAGTCCCAAAAAAAAGTGACCATGTTGACCGGAATATTCCATCGGTACCATCAGAATTGAAGAAAACAGCACATTGAAAGGGAAACTGAATAGAAAAAATAAGGCTTCCAATGGAAGTACTCACAGCAGAATGGAAGGGACTACAATTGATGAGATGCCCATTCCCGCTGGAAACAAAACGTGAAGAACAATAGCACGACCTTGCCATGACCGAAATATCTTGTTTTGAAAGGAATCAATCGACTACAACTTTCCCCTAAACTTTTATCAGTCCGCAAAAACAACTTGTTTTTGGTCAGCTACAATTAATTGGAATTGTGTTTCACCGAAACAATTCGTCCTTGTTTCGTTTTTACATTCTTACATCGGCGGTTTCCCGTTGCACGCGGCCTCGCCAGAGGGTCTCGCGTTGTACGCCCGCACTCACAGCTGACGCATTTCTGGTGCATGACGCGCAAATTAGTTTTAAACCCAACATCAGTTGTTTATCGTTTTATGTCTTGAAGCAATCGTTCTTTGATTCTTCTAACACGAAAATATAGCAAAAAATTAAACAACTTTCAGGTAAATTTATCGCTTTGCCTTCGCGAAATGTTTCGCATTGCATCGGTAAGTTCATTTTCCTTATAATCAATCGAATTTGTGTTTCACAGAAACGATCGGTCAGTCAGACACTGAAGGGAGCTCGCCAGCAGTCCAACCAGGCTGCTGCTCCCCCAAAACCGCCAGTTCAGCCGCCAAAGTAGGAGAAAATGCAGAAAATAGCTAACAAACTCATTTTATAGGAAATCCGGAGGACGAAAGGGACTCGCCCTTGTTGGAGCTACTGTAGTCGGAGCTGGAGGTGTTGTCGGATACGCTTACGTAGACCCGAAGTTCCGTCATAAAGTGGAGACCACAGTCCCTCCTGTCAAGCAGGTCTTTGACGCTGTTCTGGGAGAGTCGAGCTTAGCGTGAGGAAAGAATTACTCGGATTGAAGTTAGACGATTTATTTACAGGAAGACCAAGCAGCAACTCGGAGACATCAAGGACAAGGTCGTGGGTGCCGTTCCGAAAAAGAAGGAGGTGCTTCCACCGCTGGAACTCACCCCACTGCCACCAGTTCTGCCAAAGGAGCCGGTTCACGTTGACCCGGTCGATGTCCGCAAGGATGTGACTCCACTCCCGGTCAAGCCATCTCCAGAACTGGTCGCTATCAAGAACAAACGTTAGTGATAGAATGTAAAACGTCTTTTAAGAATGCTTTCAGAACTCGAGGACAGATTGAAGAGTGCCATCTATTCTGCGGAAGGAAAAGTCCGTCTGGCGACTGACGCCAAGTTGAAGACCATCAATGCTATCAACGATCACGCGAGCATTCTGAAGCAGACAGTCGACGATGCCCAGCACGCCAACTGGGAGAACGTGACTGCTGCTCTGCAGAGAGCGGAAGCCGAGGCTCGAGTTGACAGCAGCTCCGAAGTGGACGGAAGAAACTACATCGACAATCTTCGCAAAGTGAGTGACGTTCAAAAAGAACTAATCACGGGTTGCTGGGAGTGTATTGACTCTAATTAGGAGCGATTGTTGAAAATAGGACTAATTGGCTCAAATCGACTGGTACTCGGTCACGTGTGCGGTGATTCTTGACATAAAAATTTCAGATTGTGAACGACGGAAAGAGGGACTCAGTCACTGCCACCAACCCGCTTCTGCTGAACGCGCAGCAGACCGCCAACAAGCTCTCTCATCAGCTCGATGAAATCAATGCTCTGGTGAACAAGGTAAAACAGAAAAAAAAGAAAAATGATTCGATCGAACCCTCAATAAAAAATTTAGTCCCGCCAAGAGTCGGCTGTTCTCAACCAGTACAAGGATCTGATCGAGAAGTCGCGTCAGCAGTTCGCTTTGGAGATGAAGAGCATCCTCCCGAATGTGGACATTCACGCGAAAGTGAGTGAAGGAAAAAGAAAGAAGAATGCAATTAAACAAAGAGTTTGGCGAGTCACATTTGAGCGAAACGGGAGAAAAAAGCAATGAAGAGAGGAATTGTGCTTTCCGAGCCCGGATGAATTTCTTTGTAGGCCGAATCAATTTTAGCCGGATTAAAGAGCAAGCCTTCAATTTTAATTTTCTTGGACGCCTACTGTAGTTTAATAGGTTTCGCTTCAATCTTCTTCAGTGCACGTCGCATAATGCGTGAGGGAGGCAAGAATAATGTGGTGTCAAACGGGGAAATTGGAAAAATGAAGAAAGTGCTCGTATAGCCATTAATCTCGAACTCCTTTTACTGGGTGTGGTGACGGGTTACTGTAACTGTTGAAAAATGTGAGGAGTGTCCATAAATCAAGAACCCAGTAAAAATTCAAAAACATTTTTTTTCAGGGAAAGAACTTGAACGAGGATGAGCTGAACGCGCTCATTGCACATGCTCATCTTAAAGTTGACCAGCTCCGTCGTCAGCTTTCTGATCAGCAAGTGCGCGAGGAGCTGCACATCTCGAAAGCTCTCGAAGAGCAGCGCCTGGCTGATGAGCGCATTGCTTCCGAGCAGTTAAGCATCGAGGTGAACCGCATCGGTCGCCAGAAGGACCTTGACATTGAGAAAGCGGTAATTGGCTCAATTTGAAACATATTGTGACTCATACGCATTGCAGCTCGTCGAAAGCCGCTCCTCATGGGAAGGAGAGTTGGAGAATCAGCTGAAGCGCACGGCATCTGCTCACTCTGAGCATTTGGAGCAAGTCATCCGCACGCAGAGACAGCTTTTTGAGATTGAACAAAACCAGAAGGTTGAGGAGGTTGGAACAGAAGATCAATCATATCCAACATACATTCGACTTTTTAGGCCGTTCTCCGTGAACGTGATCTACACAGCAAGCAGGTCGGAGCTGCTCTGAGCAGATTGGAGGGAATTGAAGAGGCTCTCGGCAGCCGCGTCGCTCTTGACAACGAGAATCGTCGCGCGAAGCAGTTTTGGATTGCCTGCCACAATTTGATCGATGCTCTGAAGCACGGAAACAAGGCAGGAAACAACATCGACGAGAGAAGACTTCCTCTTACGGATTCGTTGAACCTTCTCAAAGAAGTATGCGTGTTCTTCACAAGAATTCACTTTTTTTACACTTTTTTTGCAGGTCAATCCGGAGGACACATTTGTGAATGCCATCATCAGCTCGTTCCCGAAACAGGCTACCACAGTCGGAACATACACCGAGCAGGACCTGAAGAATCGTTTTGACCAGCTATACAAAATCGGACGCAAGACTGGCGCAATCGATGAGAACGGAGGAACCCTAGGCGCTTATTTCTGGTCTTACGTCAAGTCGCTTTTCCTGGTCGACCTGCCAAGACAGTACACCGAGCAGGACTCCATCGATGTAAACAACACTGACAACTACGAGGTGGGAACAGTATTTCAGAGCAATGAACACGATTTTATTCCAGATTCTGTCTCGCGCCAAGCACTACGTTCAGGTGGGAGATCTCGACAAGGCGATCCGTGTTGTACAGCTCCTGAAGGGCCAACCGGCTCACCTGGCCCACGACTGGGTCGTCGACACCCGAGCCTACCTTGAATCCCGTCTTCTCGCCCAGCTCCTCGTTGCCCATGCTGCCGTTTCGTCGATTCGCTCAACATACTAGAACAATTCCAGAACCAATTATGTAAACTACTGGTTTCCACACTTATTCTATTGAAACGATCCAAGTGCATTGCTTTGTTGGTAGTATTTTTCTAGAAGATTTTTCTCGGTAGTTGTAGTCGATGGATGTGCACGTATCCCTCCTGTTCTGGCTTATTCACCTCAAGTAGCTCTGCGAATCGTCCGAAAATGCGAAATAAAGCCAATAAAACGTTTTATGATTTCTTTTTTTTTCCAAAAAGTAGCGATTGTGTTTTAACTACCAATCAACATGTGTAAACCAGAAGACCAAAGAAGGAATGGCGGTGAAAAAAGACAAGAAGAAGGAAAGGACCGAACGAGAAAAGGAAGATCCGATGCACGGGAAAAAGAAATCCAGAGACAGGAAAGGTAAAGCAAAGAATACAAAGAAAAGCGCGTGCAAGTTGGACACATAACTATTAACTGATGTTGTTATACACTTAAATTCCCCTAGATAAATGCCAAATTAATTGTTCGGAAGGTGGCCAGGATGAAACGGCGGATGCGGAGTGTTGACCGGCGGTGGCACTGCACGTGGCGTTGGAGCAGACGGCCAGCGAGTTGTGATTGAACTGAACTGGACTACGGTTCTCCGATCATTCGTCGGCTGACGCAAGTCCATATCTCTCATCGGATTCTCTCTGATCCACGCCTGATACTCAGCGCAGTTGCGGATGCAGCCACGCGCCATCCGAACTGGTCTTCTTTCGTGGCATCTGAATTCCTTCGTCGGCTTGACGAACTTCTGAAAAGTAATTCATTCGAGTGCGAACACACTTCCTCGTTTTACCGTCACTTTCTCCAAAATGTACGGGTCAGTCCACCATTTCTCGGCATACGGTCCTATTTTTGTCAAGGTGAACTCGTTCTAAACACAGCGTTGAAAATGACTGGCCCGTCCTTTAGATTACCTCTCTAGCGACGTGGTGTCTCTCCATTTCTCTCCAGTTTTCGTAGTTCACTCTCTCTTCTGGACGACCGCGCCAGCAGTGGCCTCTGAAAAATAACACCCGGTGTAAATGTTCCTCGATTTTTGAACAAACTCGAAGAAGTCCATCAGTTCCTTGTCAGGGTATTCCTCGCGCATGTGCATTAGCTAAGGCGATGGGAATAATTAGAGCATTGCTTTGCAGAAGTGATTATACCTGGACAATGTTTTCAGCGATTGCCGGAGAGTCCTGATGACTCAAGCACACGTCGATGACCGAGGTTTCCTTGCGGAGTCTCGACCTCTTTGTCTGACGAGTCACGAATGCGTTGAACAGATCATTATTCTGGACTTTGTTGAAGATAGTCAGCTTTCCGAACGGAATTAAGTTGTGCTTCTCCAGTGCCAGAGTGCACACCAACACATTTCCGACTCCTTGTTCGTATTTGTGGAGTTGAGCGTTAACCCACGCTTCGCACTCGGTTCTCAGGTCCATTCTGGCAACGTATTGTCAGTTGGCGTCGGACATCGGCAAACTCACTCCTTGATAGCCACCACATTTTTGCGTTTCACCGTCATCAACTCCCTGAACTGATTGACAACTGTATCGTCCTCGGCTACAATCACGACTTTGTCTGTAAAAACGTTCTGATGTTTGGAAGTGGTCGAGTATTGTCCATGCCATTCTTTTCTTCGTCGATGTAATGCCTGCGGCGCCAGAACTTGCGAATTTGGCTATACGTAGAGAACAATCTGTCGTCGGAAACGAGATCATTGATCTGTAAAACGAAAAAGTTGCGGGCGGAGAATTAAATCCCAGCTTCTCACAGCTCGAACAAAGAATCTGCTTCCGACCGCTCGAGGTGGCCACGCGTCCACATGATATCCGATCATGTAGCGGACTCTGCGGTAATCATCGTCCTTTGCTCTGCTGATTCTCTCCTCCGCTTCGCGACGATCATGACGTTCCTGCGCCTGACGTTCCTGCTCCGCAATTATTTCGGCGAGTCTCCTTGCTTCGATTTCTTCCTCGGCCAGTTGAAGCATTCTCTCCGCGCTCATGCTGTGATCCTCTCTTCTGGGGGCCGGTTCGTCATCCTCCGAATCACTGGGGAACGGAGATCTGGAACGACTGCGACTGCGATTGGCTGCCTCGTGTTCTCTGCCACGTGGCGGTTGACTGCGGCGAGTTTCTCTCGGCCGTCCGTTCTGTGAGCTGACGATGCTCGTAGGCATCGGCTGTACGGGCATCACGGGCACTGAATCATCGTCGTCGACTTCCATCTGAAAATTGGCTTGATTAAAGAGAAGAACCGAGTGATTACGTATGAAACGTGGAGAACTGAAAGCGAGAAGAGCGGAAAACGAGGGGGAGAACGCAGAAAGGGCGGAAGGCCAGAGAATCGATAGAACGCTGTACACACACCGCTGCACTCACTGGCCGGAGAGCGCTCACCACACACATATAAAAAGGACGAAAGTCTCGCAAAAATCGAATGCGGAAATCTACATAAACGAACGTGTAATACATAAAAATTGGAAATCAAAAAGGGGAAAGAGAGAAAAAGAGAAAGAGAAGAACATTGGAAAGTGATCAGCAACAAGAAGGAAGAAGTTCTTGCGGGGGGGGACGCAATACAGCAATATAGCCGCCTGACATTGCGTGTTTCTTGGACCGGTTCCGAAAAAAACACACTGCGGAGAAGAGAATGATTTCGCGAATGGATTTTTCAGAGGCGTTTTCAAAAAAAAAACACCTATCGTTGACGAAGTAAAAGGTTTATGGCAGTTTCCAATTTCAAAAGACGGAAGAGAACGGGAAGAAGGGAGACGGAGGCATTGGCCCTATGTTGTAGTTAATGAATGGTCACGAAACCGCGTGATTCGCTGTTCTCGGGAACAGATGCACTCCTTGCGGACGCGTTATTTTTAGGAAGGATGGAACGAAAGTGATATTTTTTGTCAGCTGTACATATAGTTGCACAAGAAGGCGAGCTTTTAAATGTTGAGAATATTGTAGTGGGAACAATAATGTTTTGAAATGACGCATCTTATCGATCTCAAAAATATTGAAGCAGAAGTGGCCTAAAAATTTTGGCACTGTTGTAAAATCGTGGACCATTTGGAAAAATCGTGGACCTAAAAAAATCGTGGACCGAAGCGAGGGTTTCATGGACTTGAGAAAATCGTGGACCCGAAATCAGTTTTTATTCCAGTTTTCATTTACGCTCACTATTTTTCCATTTTTCTTCCGAAATATTACCTTGAAGTTCTAGCAACAGCACAGGATCAACTCGTGAAAGGAACATTCATCGTGATTCACCTCGAAGATCAGAATCATCATCACCAGCAGAAGTAACTGCTCCGGTGACATTTTGCAACCAATTCAGTACTCATGTTTCAAAATTTTAGTACAGTTAGACGGCCCGCAACAAGTCCGGTTGTGTCACTGTGCCCTTATTTTTCTCAAACCTCTCAATCGGCATTTTGCAGAATTTGATCTGAAAAAACCCTTTGTGCATTTTCGTTGTAATGTTATTCACTCAAAACACTCTTTTTGCAAACGGCGAACCGAAGAGTACTGTATTATTTGCCGAGTCGTTAGTTGGTAAAAGCCAAGGGAAACTATTAGATGAGTCAATGCTCCTCCTTCTTCGAGGTGACCTTCAATTAGAATAGTCTGATTGTAACATTTTCCATTCGCACCCGGGCCACATCCCTCATTCTTTGTGCATATGCCTTGTCGGAAGTGTTCGAAAATGCGAGAATTGATGGTCTTTTTGTTTTTTGTTGGCGTGTTTGCGACTCCGAAGTATCATCCGCCTCCAGATTTCATTGCAAATCTCAGTTTATCTTTCGAATCAATAAACTTAATCGCCAAAGCGCCAGTTCTTTTCATGGAGTGTAAGTTTAACATGATTATTTGTTGAGTAAATTCTTATGTTCCAGATATTCTTCATGACACACTCGAAATTTGCATTGATAACCAGATGAATTCCACGGTTCTTCTTAAAATCTACGATAAAGACCCACACACCAGAGTAGCAGTTTATAAAAACTTCGCAAACGGCCTCACAATCATTCCAAGACACTCAATTTACGACTGGAACAAAGTGGTTCGTGACGGTCTCAATGTCTCTGTGACAGCGATCAATAAAATAGCAGTTGGAGTTCTCCAACTGAAATGGTGCTGGAAGGAAGCCTACACAAAAATTGGTGAGAACATCTTCTATAGAATATTGACTCTTTTATTTTTTGCTTCAGATCACTCGATAACTTCTACTGTTCTCAAAAATTATCGGAATTGGGAACCAGCAATACACATTCCGTTTTATGTCCTTCAAGGTCAAAACGTCACTCGCTATGTAGATTTTTCTACAATTCTCCCGAGAAGTGAGTAAAACAAACAGTACGTTTTAGTGTTATATGCCTTTTTTGCAGCTACTATTCTGAAAAGTGATTGGCAAAGAAAAGCATTTTGTATGAATGCGACAATCAATGGAAACGTGAAGGTGCACATGAGCCGATGTGCAGGGGATAGACCGTTCACAATAGAACTGACCGCCACGAAGGATCGTCAAATCGTTAGGTACTGGGATGAGTTTATATCGTTGAGCAAGAAGTGTCCTCCGCATGAAGAAACCTTGACCGATCAGTGAGTTTTTCATGCAATTAATGTAAATGATCACAATTGTTTTCAGTGTGTGGGTGCAAATCGAGTCGATGTATCACAGTGACGTAGGAGAAATAATCGCCTACAACTGTCATCACACATGGGTTCTGAACGGCAATCGAGAAGAAATAATCAGAATCACGCCTACATTGAACTATGAAGAGGCGAACGTGTGGATGTTTGATTATGTAGTCCTTCCGTTTCGTCGCAATGTTCACTTTGCTTCAATCAAGCATTTGGTGGACACTGGTTAGTTTGATTAACCGTTAAAACAATAGTTTCCTAGTTTCAGCTCTTGTGAAAGGATTGAACATCAACTTTTCATTCTCTGGCGGTTCTCCACAAACTGTATCGTTCAGTTCGTGTTACGCAAGCGGAAGGCACACATTACACAAGGAAACTCAAAATCGGAAATACACTTTGACAAGGTCTGAAGTCAAACTTCTTTCAGCGTTTTCTAATGTGTTGGATTGTCCAGAAGAGAAAACTCATGGGTGAGCGTGTTGGAGAAATGTTTACCTTAAATCTGAAAATAGTTTTTTACAGAGTTTATATCAGTTTCGGAGCTAGTGACACCGAAGTTTCCGGGACTTTTATAATGGAATTGGAGAACGGACGTGGAGCGAACACTCCAATTGGACCTCTCCGACACGACGACTACACGACTATTGCGTTCAATCTCAAACGAGGGGACCAAATTTCCCGGAACGTTCACGTGTACCGATTATTCTCACCCGGTAGGAACTGTTTAAATGTTTTCTTCTTTAAATACCAACAAACATTAAGGTGTTACCAACGCTCACTTGAAAATTCACCAATTCATAAGTGCAACCGGTAAAGTGCAGGTATCGATTAGCAGATGCGAGTTTTCACCGAGACTGAAACTGTTCGGAAATTCAAATTTGGAAAATTTCACATTTGATAAAGATACTGTCAACTACGTAATGTCACTTTACCGACAATCGCATTGTTTGTCGGATTATCAGCCATTGAACAGATTTGAATATGATGCGGAAGAAAATCATGGGTACTTTTATTATTTGAGCAATTTTTACAGTAATTTTTTGCAGTGTCTATCTTCACGTCAAGGCAATCGAAGACTCGATTGGATATGTTGCAACTTATCAAACAGTCAATGCTCGAATTCTCTGGCATCAGCTGAACGAAGAGTATGAACTGCCACCTTGTCAGTTTTTATTTTTAAATGTTTGAAACTGTTCACAAATTGAATTCTCAGACAACTATCGAATCGGGAATAGTCTTCGCGTATTCTCCACCAAATCACGCAACATTTCCCTTGAAATCCAGAATCTTCTCGAACGAGTCCAAGTGAAGCCCGCCGTTTCTCTCCGCTTCTACATTGACTGCTCTGGTCCCTGCGAGTTTTCCGTATCTGAATGCGAGGACGTGGAACCGAAAGAATGGAAAGCGGTGAGACCCCTCCACAATCAATCGTTTTCTGCGTGGTACTCTTTCGACAAAGAAGAAATTGATGTGCTTCACGCATACTTCGAGTCTGAGAACTGCAGACATAAACCTCATAAAGCGTGAGTTCAGTCAATATGGATGTTCTCACAAATTATGTGTCCGTTTCAGAGTGTTTGTACACATTCGATCGCCGAAAAACATATCTGTGCGTGTCGAGTTCTCACTGGCTAACGGAACGGATCTGAATCAAGTTGATCCTTGCCTAAACTCTGAAACTGTGCAACTGAAAAAAGAGGAAGCCCATCTGAAAACAATCATTTTGGTGATAGAAGTCGCAACAGTCGTGATCGCTTTAATTGGTACTGATTCTGACAACAACAATTTTACCAAATGTAAAGTTTTTCAGGAGCTTTGGGTGGATTTTGGACGTACCGATGTTTGAGGAGAAGTAACTGCATATCAAAAGATCAATTTCAGCTGATGCAAATGGAAAACGTGGAATGATAGTGACCGTTTTGTCCTAGGGATGCATATAATTATTCTTTATATTCAGAAAAAATACCATTTACAATAGTAATAAAATGAAAAGGCTTTACAAGTTGTAACACAAAGTGCTAAAAAGCAAGAAGAAGCATTCCAGAGAAGATATTCACAAAACCTTACTTGCGAACCGCGCCAGCCTATATCTCATCTAACATGGTAGAAGCATGAAGATCAGCACCACATAATGGTGTACAATAGAGCAAATATGACAGAGATTATATAGAAGTCAGTTGGGAAACAGAAGAAAGAAGATAATAAATTATGAAGCGGTACATAAGAAGGACTTCACACGTCACTTGCCTCGTGACTGTCATTGCGTCGAGATCTGAATTCGCAGAATTGTTCGGATACGTGAAAACCGTGCAGAATCATTACACTTTTGAGCAGAAACTCATGCAAAAAGTGAAAAAGGCAGTTCGCTTGCAACCAACACTCGAAAGAGAAAAATCGCCAAAATCCATGCTTTTGAAAGAAAAAAAACTCGAAGACAAAAGTTTCACTCAAAGAAGAAAAGGTGTTGCAAAACGGTTAATTGAATGAGTAATTATCGGGTAAGTAGGGTTATACTCACAGAAGCGGTCGATAGCTGGAAGATTGGGTACGGTAGCGACTGTAAACGCGCGGGTCAAAAAACGAGGAAACCTGTTGGTGACCGGAACTCATTTCTCTATCGATAGACTGTCGAGGAGTGATTGTGAAAAGTGGCGAAGATGGAGTTTTTCTAGATTCAGAACATATTCGTACTACCCAAACCGATTATCAAGAAGATCATCCCACCCACATGCCCCATTCTAGAAAGTTTTTGTCTGAAATCACTTACACTGGCGGTCCATAGCGACTAGTGAAACTTTGCTGTCTCATAACGGTCTGAAGGGTGGCACAGCGACACGCAAGCATTTCACGAAACGGTATTCGGAACTCTTTGTTGTATTTGCAGTAGATCAGTGGGTTCAAAGTGCTAAAATAAATTATTGTATCAGATGTCTGTCTTACGTCCGTATGTATGTAGATTGAAATCACTTGCCCCCGTCCCCCTTCCCCCTTCAATTCAATATCATCTTCCATTCTCATTTTTTCAAAGGCCCTTTCACGTACGTCATAATAACGTTATTTGAGATTGTGGGCCATCGAAAAAGGGAAATTTTTCGCGCAGCAGTGCCGTCAAAATTGTGTTCTGTGGGACCGATCAAATTTCGCGCGCTCTCGGAATATGTCAAGCTGATGCATCATCATCATCAAAATTGCCATCAAAGTTTATGATGATGTGCTTGATGATTGAAATATGGGCCAGACACTCATTGTATCCAGATTGATGTGTGGCAGAAGGAGAACTCACCTGTTAGAGTAGCCGAGCCACAGAGCGAGAAGGTCCAGCCAGCCAGGAATTTGCATTCCGAACGATTTGAAAATGGCGAGAATGAAGAACGGGAGCCAGCAAATGATGAACACCGACATGATAACCCCCAAAGTTTTTCTGGCTTTGCATTCGCTTTTCTCCGTCGGACGGATCTGCAATTACAAGTACATGCACTTTTTTTGGCGCAAACTGGTCTTTAAGTGTTTATTATGAGAGTTGATCTATTCTCGTCTTTCCTGTAGTCTGTAGCTGGTCGCTTTATAACTTCATCCCACACAAAACCCTTTGCCCAAAGTTGTCCAAATTGGAGAGTTCTGTGACTTGTGACGTAGTGAATTACTTGAACTTTCAAAACTGCACCCAACAATGGATGCCCGATTCTAGCCGTTTTCAATCCCTCCGGAAAGACGTCCACATGAGAAAAAAGTACACAATGTGCGTTATTTTTCAACAATTTCTCCTTCCTCATCCCTAGTAATCATGAAGAGGTCAAAAATGAAATATGATCGTTTTGGTAAATACCAGCGCCCTTCCTTTTTGGTTGAGCATCATCGAAGATCCCGTCGACAGCGGAAAATCGCCCCCAGATTATTGTTTTGCTGGGAACCCTCGAGTCAGCTTATCCGCGTCACATGTCAATGAAGACAACACATTCCCATTGAATATGATTTTATTGGGGCGAAAATGGTGGACCCCGACGACACACAAAAGAAACGACATTTACCAGAGAAAAGAGATGGAAGAATTTTCACTGCTTCAGCTCTCCTATAAGTGCCACTTTGAACATTTTAAGCACCATTTAGTGCTTTTGTCTTGGCTATTTATACGCCTTGTCTATTGGTTTCAGAAACAACAATGGCGCCAAAAAAGAACAGAAATTGGTTTTTTGGGAAAATGTCGATAATTTGATGGATTCAGATAAATCTCCAAAAGAAGCATTTGCAGTTTTCTGAGCGATATGCCATATTTCAAAAGCGTTTTTCTAGGTTTGCTCAATGTTCGTTGGAACTTGTGATGTTCGAAAACCCCTCGCATCCCGTGGTTTTCACGAACACAATTATCGGTTTCTCAAGCAAAAAAAATGACCTCGCTGCTCGGCTCTTTCGTCCGCTTTTCTTTCCTTTCTCTCTCACACACAACTGACGTACCAATGGTCCTTTTGCAGCGGAGAAGAATGCGCTCGGTCGGTGCAGATATTTCCGTTCTAACTTGAAAAGTCTCGAGTTTGTTGAATTGGCCCTCTCCTTCTTCGGCACATCAATTGTCTCCTTTTCATTCAAAAGATCCTTGTTCTCGGCGGACCCATTACGTGGCCTTTCAGATGCATCCACCGAATTGCAATGCGACATGAGACGGTCCTGAGCGGCCAATCTCTTGGCGGCCCTCCAAATCTTGATGTTCAGGATCACCATGATGAATGTGGGCGCGTAGAACGAGATGATGGTGGCATAGCTTTGATAGATGAAATGAGGGATGACCTGAAACAAAAGGGAAACCGTTTTTTTGCTCTTCTATCATCGTCATGCCCTGGGGAACCATTTGTCTGATAAAGCCTTCTTGGGACCGTTTGTTTCGGTGCGTGTGGTGGTATAATAGAATTTTTTGTAAGTCCAAAAGAAGAGGCGGCTCTCCTTTTTCTCTTCCCTTCAGTTTTTCGCGTGTGGTCGTTTCCTAAAGCCCCCTGGTGGCGGTGCGCAGGAAGTTTTTATAGGTTGGGGAAATCACTTTGGGAAGAAGCGAACGAGCCCTAAAAAGAGAGGCCGCTCGCGCGCGGAGAGAGGAAACATTTCGCGAACTGAACATGTACGCTTTTTACACTTTTCTTTTTGGAAACGCTCGGGAAGAAAAAAAGAAAAAGGGTAGAGGGCAAGGGCGATTTCACTGTTATTAATGTCAAGGAAGGAGATGAATCAGAAGACGAGTCTCATTATTCCCCAGTCTCTCCTTTATTTATAAATAGAATCTGGACCATATGGTTGGTCAAAGAATCAAGCGAATTCTGAACATCCCTTCCGTTCTCCACTTTCTTCCCCGGTTCACCCAACACATGTCGAAACACTGCAAAAACAGCTGCGAAGCGTCATTTCGGAACGAAAAAGCTTTTTCCAACCCGTTTTTCGTGTTATCTGATCGTCGAACTCACAACATTAATGATTATTTATTGCTAGCATTTGTGCATTCTTCCGCGGCAGTACATGATCAGTTAATGACGCGAAAGCGCTTTTCTTTGACTGGCTCGGCGGCGGCCCCCGAAAGATTGAAAAGTGGGGGTTCCAAGATAAGGAGACGCTCATCTTCTTCTATTAATACGCGGCGTCCAAATTAAGAACAAAAATTCATTTGCATAAGTGATGCAACCTCCCCCCCCCCCGTTTCCCTCCTACGTTTTGAAGTTTGTTCTGTGGAAAAGACAAAATTCCAAAAAATCTCGAAACGTCTCCAGTTACGGAAAGCAATATTCTTGGAATGGTTTCATGTTTCAAGATATCTAGACCTTTGCGTGGTTATGAGACATTTTCAACGTCACGAAACATCTCCATTCTTCTGAATCAGGAAATTGTCGAAACGTTCAAAAGTGGTCGGGGGTTCACATTTCAGGAGATAAAAACTGAAACCGGAGGAGTTACCCTTTTTGCCCGTCTAGGTCGTTTCCACAAATCCCCGAGCGGTGGTAAAGTAAGGAACTTTCCGGGGGCTTAGAAAATGTTTTATGCGACCCGCAGCACTAATACGTCACAAAGATTTGCGAAACATTCACTCAAAAGCGGCCAATCGCTGGGTTACTTCGGGACGGAACAAGAAAGGGAAGCATTCGCCTGTCGTCAGGCATAACTTTTGCGACCCGTCTCCGCATTTTATGTCCGCTTTTCGAAATGAAATAGATCCGCTGTCTGAGTGAACGATAGTTCGAGGTGTGCGTATCTGTCAATCAACTACACTGCTAATTGTCGTTTTCGAGCGAATCAGAACGAGCGCAAAGATTTATGCGTCCAGAAAAAGAGGCACTTCTTTGCCTCCCGCAGAAACGAAGGCTTCGAAACGACCAGAATATCTGGTCGGTCCCTCGACGTTCGTCACGTTCTCACTCGGATTGATAGGGCTTCTTGCAATTTCCGGATCATACAAGGAAGATATATATGACCCCTCCACTACCGGATATTCAGTTTTCTCGGAATATTGGCTCCCTTTCGATAATCAATCGCGAAAAACGGAGCGTTTTATGTGAGGGCGAGTAAACACGGCCCCGATACATGATAATCGATTCGTATTTCCTTCCAACGAGTCTTTTGCTCTCCCCGAAATGATGTGCCCCGTTCTTCTTTTCTCCGCCAGGCGGTCGCTCTTGTTCTATCGCCGCGCCGACAAAAACCAATTCTTATAGTTATTTCCACAATATGTGCACTCTTTTACTCTCTCTCTCTCTCTCTATTTTTGCTGTTTAAAAACGACACCCGCGAAAACCTTTCTCTTCTTCTTCCTAGGTCCAACGAGAATTTCTGTCTTCCTTCGAAACTTATGAATAGGTGAAAGTGTTGAATTGACAACACATGCGTTTCGGCAGGGAGCGAGGAAGAGAGAGAGAGAAAAAAGGAAACCGGAAAGAGGGCAGAATGGAATAATGACTTCGATTTGAGGGGCCCAACTAACCTGACAAGTTCCCGTGTCATCGACATACGTGCCGTCGTCCAGGAGGTTCGCGATAATGTGCGAGGAGATGCTCACGATGGCAGCGATGATCCAGACGAAGGCGATGTAGACCATGATCCGTTTGGTGGTCCGTTTTGCAGAATACCGTAGGGGACTTGAGATGACAAGGTATCTATCGACGGATATTGCACATAGATTGACGATGGAAGCTGTACAAAGGGTCAAATCGGAGGTTGTGTAGACCGAGCACATTGAGCTGAAAACAAATGTCAATTTTCTTTCGAGCAAAAATATTTATCTTAATGTTTTGTGCTGTTATCTGAACTCTTTGTAGTTTCTAATGGATCGGTTGAGCGGTCAGACCACCGACGTCGTCTTCAAAGAAGAGTCTCTCACACGGGATGACATGCGTTTTTGTAATACTTGCTCATTTGTCTTTCTGTCCGAAATCGGATTGCTTTCTTTCATGCTATTTCGGACGGAATTATGAATGCTATGGAAGAAAGGTCATAATGACAAGGTTCAAAAGAATATCAAGAATGCATCAAAGTTTTCAGGGGAGCACCAAAATGCACAGATGTTTTTGCGCTACGGGTTTTTTTTAAATCAATGTTTCAGGGGGAGAAACGTGAGAATCTTTAATGGAATGGAATGACTCTGGTTGGAAAAAAATAGAATGGGAATGAGAAAACGAGGAAAGGCGAATTCGGGGGCCCGTCAGAAGATGGGGTCAACACGGAAATGAGACAATATAAAAAAGAACGCTTTCCTCTTTCCTCCAAAATAAACAAGTTTCGTCGATTCTTTGTTTGAACGCAAATGCCTACTTTCAAGCGGAAAAACTTCGTGCAAAAGGGAAACGTTCGAAAAGTGTCAGAGCTGAACACATAAATTACCTTCCAAGTGGCCATTTATCGAAGAGAAGGTCAATCAGAGCAAGCGGCATCACGACAAGACCGACGAAAAAGTCGGCGACAGCCAGGGACACGAGTAGAAAGTTTTGTGGATGCTTCAATTTGCGAACGAGTAGAACGGCTAGACAAACCAACGCATTTCCGACGGTCGTCATTATAATCATGGCGACGATGGCGATAGCAAGCATCGCTTTTCCGGTTGTGAGACCGGTAAACTCGACTCGGTCCGCTTGTGGACTGTCCGGGGGCCATGCCGAGGTGATCGGAACGACGGTATACGAAGCGAATGGAGATATGTTGACTGCACGGGCCATTTCACCCCTCATGCTGTGTCTGACTGCTGCCGCATAGACCACAAGTGGTTGGCTCTCGCCCGCCGCAACGTCTCAATCATCCCTCGCCCAGAAAGAGGCGGAGCCTCGGGGCCAACGCGATGTTCCCGTCTACGGTAGAAAAAGTGGCGGAGGAAAAGAATGGGGGAAGATAGAGTGTTCTAGAAACTCTAGTATTGTCTCACTCCAAGGGTCAGATTTCCGAGATTTTACAATTCATTTAAGCGGCCGGATGAAAACGAGAAACGCTAGTCGGAGGAGGAGGAGGAAACTTTAAACCGGGTTTCAACACAAACACATGGGACCGATACTTGTGACTGAAACTGATAAGAAGTGATAGCAGCTGATCATTAATAACAGCGTTGGTTTGAAGGCACAGATGAAATGCGGCGCGTTGCGGAATCACAGTAGCGCGTATAAGATTCTTATAACTACACTCCAAGGTCCAATTTTGATAGGCGTGGGTGACATTTTCGCCGCTCAGGACTCATTTCGGACCCACGTGGACGCAAAATGAGTGAAAAATAGAAAATTCCTACTGCATCCGCCCGCGATTTATCTTGGAAGCTAAGACTAGAGTTGAAGGTCTTATACGGTCTGGAATATCATGTCTGATTGATCTGAAGACTATGCGATGCTCACAAACATAAAAATTAATACAATTGAAGCCGGACTGCAAAATATATTTTCCAAATCATTTTTTGCTCTGGTTTTGTACTGTGATGTTGTGTTTCTGTTCGATCCGAAGGAATTCCTGATTGTTTTTGTTGTGATTGTGGTCTTCGTGAAAGCATGGTCTGAAATTGTTAAGAGAACATAAATAAACCGGGGGTGGATTGCTTCCGGAACATCAGAATGTTCGTCGACCAAATTGTCGGCGCTTCTCGAATTTCCTCATTTGTCTTTGATGCTGTTTTATTTTGAAGATTCTGTGCTTACGTCAATCATCAATATGTGAAAACTGAAGATTTTCAACAACTTTTCTTCTGTCCAAACTTTTTGTTTACCGGTTATCATTGCGAGAACAATGTGGGTGTTGAACACGGAAAACGCAGCAAACTTTTATTGTTCTTTTTTTGTTGGTTTAGAGACAATCGTTCGGGAACAGGCTCGTAAATGATCTTTCATGTTTTCCGGAACGGTGTAAGTATGGTAGAAGTGTGCAACTTTTTTATTGCAGAAAACGGGTAGAAGGTAGGAATTCATTCGATGAAGTGCTTATAAATCAGAGATAGCAAAAATGAGGGAAATGAGAAAAAAAGAAACAACTTTCAAGGTGAGAATTAATATTCATGGATCTGCGTTGGCCGACTTCCGATGCGATCCGTCGCTCGTGAGCCAGTTTTTGCATCCGCAAATGTCGTCATTTTTCAGCCACTCCTCTCCGAACTCTTACTTTCCTCTCGCTCTCGATCAGATCCTTGTTCCTCCGTTTTTTGTTTTCATATTCTTGAGTGTTTTCTCTAAATTGATGCAATTAAACATCCCAGAAAATGAAGCATCCGCATTTTTTTTTTGAGCGGCTCTGAATGGATCGTTTCGAGCTGAAAACATAACGAATAAAAACTAAATCTGATCAAAGATGATGATGAATCATTCAGGAAGAATTGAACGGTTCAACAGGGTTGTAAACTTTACGATCTACTCAGAATAGCTTATTTGGAACCGGAAATGTGATAGAGCAAACATCACTAAGAAATTGCAAAATATTGAGGTGAGGGACTGAAAGATGAATCGAATTTTCTAACGTTTTTAAAAGTGGCAGAAAAAGTCAAACCCGAAACTCATTCCACGACACAAATTTAAACGACGTTCACTCACTAGGCCGTTGCAAACGTTCGCTTCTTGTTTTTGCTCGTAAAAACCATTCATGCCTCGAAAACGGGCATTCATGGTCCCAAACATCTCGAGTCGCATTCAGACAAAAAAAAACGTTCCATTCGGTCGGAGAAGCTGTCTCGTGTTATTCAACATCCGAACAAACTGTTTATTTACGCTCTCCAGTCTTTGAAAAATGTGTGGATCTACTCCATCTTTGTACATCATCCTGAAAACACGCAAACAAACATACACTGAGTTCGCCGCTCATCATTATGCATTTGGAAGTTGTATTGACGTCCCCTGTGCTCATTGACACTTGTCCACTCACTACTTGTCCTATCCCTTGCCCGCGTCCCTAATACTTTTGATTTTCAGCAAACGCAGTCGCTTATCGATGCACTCCGGCTGGCCGACCAAGTGTCGTGCCCATACGAGCGCCGGTACAAGAAGAACAACAAAAGGTACCAGAGGAACCAGAAGAACTCCATCGCCAGATCAATGCCGACTTTGATCGAGGACAAGAGCTTCCCGTTCGCCAAATTCTCTCCATCTCCGCGCGCTTCGATTGGTACCACCGATTTTCATGTCACTGATGAAGAGGTGAGTGTTTACTTATGCTGTATCTAACAAGAATTCGCTTCTGTTACTAGTAAAGTTTCAGGAATTGTCTTTCTTATTCATATAGTTTTCACTTATGTAGAGGACCAGGGAACACTCCAAGTTTATGGGTTTATCTCACTGATCTTCTATCTCCACATTTATTCATTTCCCGAACCCCAATTCTGAGAATTGGCTATAAACGGAAAAGCGCACAGCCGAAGTCTTGACCGTAGCCTAGAAAAATCCTAATGTGAGGCATACAATTGCAAGCAGGGAAGAAACTTTACGGGAAAAGTTGATTTTTGGATGGTAATTTCTATCCACCTTAAAATGTTCAGCTGATAGTTCAAGTAATCAACATTCCTGTTCACACTACTTTAAAGGACCAGGGAACCCAAAATTTTTTTAATGATTTTGTGAAATGTTTTTGTGACTGTTTGAATTGTCTCTTATTGCCTCATACACTGGTGAAATGCTGCCTCTCAAAAATGCCAATGAACGAAACGGCATGCAGTTGAAGTTGTGGCCGTGGCCTAGCGCCAATGGCCGAAAAATATATAAAAATATATGCGCTTCTCGGCTATTTTATTTTTTCCGCTTTTTTACCAGTTTTTTTCCAAAAATTCACGGTTTCTCCCATTTTTCAGTTGATTGACATTTGTTCGGCACTTACTTATTTTTTCACTGCTAAAAAATTGTTTTCATTCAGTCGATATGAAGTGCCAAAATGGGAGAAACCGTGAATTTTTGGAAAAAAACCGGTAAAAAAGCGGAAAAAATAAAATGACCGAGAGCGCATATATTTTTATATATTTTTCGGCCATTGGCGCTAGGCCACGGCCACAACTTCAACTGCATGCCGTTTCGTTCATTGGCATTTTTGAGAGGCAGCATTTCACCAATGTTTGAGGCAATAAGAGACAATTCAAACAGTCACAAAAAAATTTCACAAATTAATCAAAAAATTTTTGGGTTCCCTGGTCCTTTAATGTTTGCTCATTCAGTAGTTTCTATCCGACCACTCTTCCTGGAACAACAACAATAGCTGATAACGATCATTGTCAGTAGTTATTGACCCAAACCCAGAAAACCAGAATTGTAAAGTGTTCAAATGGAATAAGACTCTCATGGGGCCACCAAGTTTTGACGTTTTATGTGTCGGGAGAGAACAAGCCAGAATGGTTTGTCTCCTTTTTAGAGCAAAATAAGATGGATGTTTTGAGATTTTAGTTCTTGCCCTCGACTACCCTTTCGTGTTTAGAAAACGGAATCAAACATCGTTCCGTTTGAACTCTCATTGTCCGTTTTTTTCTTCTCCAAACTATCCGGATATCTGGTGCTCATCGAGTCGAGCCACAACGTCTTGCGTCGTTCCAAATCGCCTTATCTAAAGATTATTCTCCAACATCCGCCCGTTTGCTCGATTCTATTCCGAGTTCTCAATCAAGACTCTCCAGACGCCGCCATTTTCATTCATCCACCCAGACATGTGCACTTGCCACAGATTCTTAATCAAGAACTTGACAGATATATATGTTTCTCTTTTTGTCATTGTGTCTCCAAACTAGATTATGAGCTCCCATTGGCACATAGAGCTGCCATCCTTGCCCCAACATTTTATTGTGTAGCAAAAGTTCAGTTTCTCTCGCTTTAGATCGTCTCCTTCTTTTATTCATTCGCCTAGGTCATATTGCTATTTGAAACATACTAAAAATGGTAGATTTCAGAAACCGTATATCATCGTGCTTCAAATTCAGCATCATTCGAAAACTGATCAATTCTCGGTAGGTTAAGTATCTAACGACTACAGCTTCTTCACAATGAGAATAACGAGGATAAAAGGGAATTCTTGTTCTGAAGTGTGTGTGTGTGTGTGTGTGTGTGCTGAAAAAGAAGAAGAAAAAAACGAGTGAGGAGGCGGAGGGGCGCGCATCGTGTCAAAACACTCCCGAATTGTGGTGCCAATCCGCAACTCGCTTCCGAAACTTCAATTAGGCCACAACAAAGGGCATCAGTTGCCCAGCCCCCAATTCGTGTTGGTTTCTTTGTGCGTCGAGCTTACTGAAACTGAAATTTCATTCCGATCTATTTGTATTGACTAGCGGTATTAATGGAACATCCGGCACATATGGTAAGTAGTCATACATTTGTCATCAATATACACGAATGACATTTGAAGTTCATTTCGAATGCAGTTCATGTACAAAGGACGTTGTCCTAAATTTCTAAGAAAGTTAGTAGAAATTGGAAAAAAGACATGAGCCTCATTTGTCACCCACTTCGATAATCTTTCAAAAGTTTTTGGTCTTTCTGGTTTGAAGGTCTTTGTAATTTTCGAAGAATTCTGCGTTTTTCCGAAGGACCGCAAACAACCCGGAAAAGGTCGAGTCAAACTCGCCTCTTTGTTCTAAAAATAATGTTTTTTCTCCCTGTTTATGTCGAGCTAATCCCATTTTCCTCATTTGACTCATTTCCTTTCATAAAAAGGAAAGAGAAAAGTTGAGAAATTGATAATAGAGTGCATGGTTTTGTTAAGGAGTCCTAATCCTCTGCGGTGGGATTGATTGACGCACACAAGGCTAAAACCCAGTATATTTGTGAAAAGAAGTCATATCCAAATACGGCATTCATATCGCTATTCACTACTGAACGCGTTCTACATTCTGAATTACGGCTCGTTAGCGTTTCACCCATACTTATAAAAGTTCACCGCGAAAAGGAATCAGAAATGCTAGAGCAGCCGTCGATACAAATCCATGTGCCGTCAGAACATTTGGAGGTGAGCCAGTGACCCAATCGAGTCGAAAACAAGACCAAATCAAATGACGAGTTTCTTTCCATCTCTCACTTCTTCTGAATGCGTTTTTTCTCGATTTTTCAACTTTCCGTCATTGGTTTGACATCACTTTCGACACCATTCGCCATCAGTCAAAATCTCGGAGGGTGTGTTGCGGCCTCCAATTTTTGTTCCGAGCCCTCATGGTGTGATTGGATGCCTCTCCAATTTCGTGAAGAAGAAGAAGAAGAAAAAGCGCCGTTGTGCGTGTTCCGCGCAGGCTTGCGGCCATCCGCATCAATCTCGAGTACCTCTGTAACGATGAAACTATGCAAGATGCTTCCTCATGTCCTTCCCGAAACCTCTTTTGTTTTCCATATCGTTTTCACATGTGTATGTGCACAAAACGAGCAAACCTGAGTGCTTCTGCTGCAGTCTATTCTCGGGCTTTCCCATGATTTCTGCTGAGCTTGAAGCCTAATCCGTCGAGGGCGATCCCTGAAAAATCGAGTAAATATTTCTTCTATTCAGTGGTATTTTCAAGATATACAGTATATAGTTTTTCAATATTAAATTAAATTCTGATATTCGAAAACTTTTGTTTTTTTGAATGAGGCCTAGTGAAAATAGCTCCAGACGAGTGGGTTTCAATTCGATATCTATGTTAATGAACACGACCAAATATTCGCCCCTCAATGCATCAATATTTGGTAGCAAATGCGAGCGAAGGCACAGGGTCCGTTGTCAGAACATTTTTTCATCAGGAACTTCCGATACTCGTTGCCAAACACAACAATCATCCCTCGTTGTGCCTGTTTTCGGAACTGACTTTGTCAGCTTCTCTCTCTCTCTCTCTCTCTCTCTCTCTTTCTCTTTCTTTCTCTTTTTTCCTAACCAGCTTGTTGTTTTGGTTAATAATCCGGTGGCCAGCAGTTAACAAAAACGCGAGGGCGGCGATGAATTGAAAATTTGACCGGCCAGGCTTTTGCTGCGGAGACGAAGGTTATGGGTCGAAAACAAACGGAAAATCTGGAAACAAACTATTTGCGCGCATATTTGTGTACACGTTCATGAGGAATGTTGGATCCGCCAAAGGATGCGTCTGGAAACCGACAACTACTCCGCCTCGCCATATTATTGCTCTTTTTTTGTGCCAAGTGTCGCATTCCACATAAGATCATTTGGAGCACGAATAGGCTGCATTTATTTTCATATCATGACTGGTTTTCTCTCTCTCTCTCTCTCTCTTTCTTGTTTATTGTCAAGAGTTGCTCTAGAATTCTTTGGACCTTCTTTCCGAACACAAAAGGTTAGGCACTTGTTCTACCAAGCCAGAAATTCAATCTGGAGGTGAAAGAACACAACAAAGTGGTGGACGGGGAGCCGCTCCGGCTGTTATTGTCGGCCGGAAAAGTTGTGTGTCAATTTTCTGAGCTACCCCTTCCCTTTCTCCAAACTGGTCCATATTCATCACTTCACTGCCAACCAACTAGTCCTAGCTTTTTCTTATCCGAATGTGTCGGTATGTCGAATGGAACTTTGTTATTTTGCGGATGCAAAAACAGGGACCCTCTCAATTCTTCCCGCTCTCACTGCGGTATTACCCTCCCTTTTCATCCATCCCCTCCCTAGCCACATCCCAGCGGGATGTTTTGAGTGTTTTCTAATTGTGCAGCCTTGCTCGCGGTTTTCCTGACGACATCGTTATCTGCAATCGCGAGACCTCTAACGTTTTCTTCCCCGTTTCTGCATTCGCATTCACACCCTTTGCGGCCACTCTATTCAATTGTTGCCTTTTTTAGATATTCGTAAAACGCAAAACCGCTATTAGAGTCTCTTTGTGCTCGGAAGTTTTTTTGCTCTGGAAACTCACGTTTTTGAAGAGATTCCACCTGGAACAGTTTTGCATAATTCAGCATTCACGGCTTCTGATCTTTTCTTAAATGACCATATAGTTTGTTTACTTCTCAGGCGGTCCATTCAATGAGAATGATCATAAAAGTAACCCTGATTTTCGCACTCTGAGAACTCGAAGAAATTGAATTGCACAAAGTAAATCTGTCATTCAGACGAACGAGAAAATCATTCACTATTCTATGATGCCTTCAAAAGTTTTGCCGCCGCTCGGCCCCGTAATCTTGTTTTCGACGCAACACCCACGCCACTCTTTGAAAGAAAGTACTTTCCTAATTTCGCTGTTTTCATCAACTTTCCCGGAAACCGAACAACTTTTTTAGAGTGTTTTTCAAACGCCTTCAAATGCAACAGCTCTTGTTGGTCTAGAACTAATTTGTAATTCAACACCAATAAACTTCCGCGGGGTCTCAGTTTTTTTGGCGGTCCTTTCAAAGCAGGTGCAACTTTTTGCTCATTTGAAATTTGAGTTTCACTTTTCAGTTGTCAGTATTCGGTATTCGGTTCCCTTTTCCCAGAACAAAGTTCTTCTAATGTTTCTCGGGCACTCATCGGGGGCTGATTGTTGGTCAGGCCAAGCGTCGCTTCCTTTTTCGCTTTGTGCTGTCATAATTAAATTGGAAACGCGGAAAATTCGCGACATACTGCACCAAGTCACATTTCCATCCCATCTCCCCGGGGTGGTTAATTTAGACGACAATTTCCAGTTAATAGCAGTACAAAAGTGTCGATGTTGCCGTTTTTCTCTTGTTCTTGACCAGGAAATCGAAATGTCTGCAGTCAAGGCGGTTATAGAATATTCCATCCCTCGAATTTCTCATCTTATGACTACATAGATGAAAGAAGAAGAAAATTCGTGGCCGTTTTGAAATGAAATGAGCAAGAGCTGCTTCAACCAACCTCTATGAATCATTGCACACAGTATTCACTATAATAAGAACATAAAAAATACATGTGGTTTTCTCGAAATGTGCAACATCCCTCCAGCGTGCCCACACACCCCCATTAACTAATTTCTTTCTTTAACGTCCTTTCTCTTCTCTTTTTCCCTATAGAAAGCACATTTGTCCTTTGTCCACACCACCATCCTCCATCTGTGATATGAGCCCGTCTCCCACCACATTTCGTTTCGTTTTTTGACCGTTTTTTCGTTTTCGAAAAGGACGTCCGTTTTTGTAGAGTACTGATAGTAATTGCATCGAATGCGGTGAGATCCAGAATGCCTCGATCATCGATAGATGAGAATATGCTTCACGTCGACTGGAATGAAGAGGTTACACTTTCATTTGCACTTTCCCCCAATCAGAAACATGAATGAAATAAGCAAGTTGAAAGTGTTTCTGATTTTGAGCCCCGGAAAAGTGTGTAAATGGCACCTTTTGTCATAGGAACATGATTCAATGAATGTAAATGGCTGCCGACGGCACTTTTCAAACGATCGTCAACCGAGCCAATGACTTTGGATTTTGTACTCCCTTAAAAAAGAACATCAACTATCCTTTGGGTACAACGTCTTCTTCTCCTTTCCAATCTTTTTATTTCGCAGTGTGAGAATAGTCTAGAAAATACTTCCACGATTTCTCGAATTTATATGTAATTTGCTTGTCTTGTGTGAAATATTGAAATATTCTGATAACTGTGTGAATTTCCTGGAAAATCCGCCTTCCTCCATTTTAGAATGAATTCCAGAGACGAAAAATTGCATTTCTGGTTTCCCTGTTCTTTCGTGATTATGATTTTTCTTTTTGTATATGACGTTTGAACGTTTCTGAGAAACATTTTGTGGGAAAGAGAACCGATAAACGTGATCTCGTGTGCTTTTAGTTCCTTGAAAAGCTCAGACAATGAAGGCGGCCTTCCGAGCCACTAGTATCATCCTGACGGCACAAAAGTTTGTATTGGAATCAATCGCCGCTTGGATGCACTTATTCTTCCCCCCATTCGGGGCCTGCCCCTCCCTCCCACGTATAACGGCGCGGTTTCAGGAGGTCCCACAGAGAAAGTTCACTTTTTTGCACGTTTTCTTTCAATCTTATACCAATCGGTCTCTTCTGTTTTTGTCATTTTAACTAGAAATCGAATCGGAAATAACTAGAAACCGGATAACAGAAAGTTTTTCTTATTGAGAAAAAAAGAAAACGGTGACATCCTTTATTGTGACGTATTGAGTAGAACTCACCGGAACTCGTGGAAATTACCGGGTTTCCGGTGAGTGATCTGAAAAATGATATAGTATGACGTTTTTCTCACTTTTGCAAGCCAAAATGTTTGTTTTCCAGGCAGCTCGTCTCAGAGCAATGGAAAACCGCACCGGTTCGGTTGGAGACTGTACCAAACTTGCGAGCTACCGGGCCAATAAACCTGCATTCTTTCGGAGAAGGTTAATTAAAACTTTCGAATTTAGAACAAATTGCGATGATATTCTGGATTCAGGTCCACCAGAAGGCGTATCTCCAATGCCCAACGCTTGGCGGACCTTGAAGATTTCATCAACACAAGGTGGGTTTTGATTTTGTTTTTATTTTCCGGTCTTCCTGATTTACATTCCGAACATTGAAGAGTGCTCATTGAGCCGAAAAGTGAAAAAGCATTGGTCGATTGTTACCATCAACTGTCTACTAAATTATTAATCCTTCTTGCCGCCCTCGCCCAAATATTTTCTATAATACTCAACTGCTAATTGGGCGGAATGTGAATCCAAGTTGGCAAATACGAATTCCCCCCGGGGCTCTATTCAATTTCAGGAGCTAGTATTTCATTCATGCAGCTTTTTCTCTCCTTCAAACAAATAATTCTTGTCAACCTTGATTTGATAGCTCCACACGTCGATCATTTGCTCTTCTCACGTTGCGTGTGGTCGCCCACATTCAATTTCTTTTTGCTGCCCATTGATGCTCGAAATTCGGTCATGATAGACGGGGAAAAAGTGCGGTTTTTCGGGGTGACTTTGTGCGAAAATGTGAATAGCAATTATTGGAGCGCGAAAAAAGGCGAAATTCGTAGCCGTTAGCGTCAGAATCAATGCTCACAGAGCACTTATTATTATTCCATAACTACTAGCTTCGAAGCGAACGATGTTTGCACATTTTGTGAAAATGGAGGCGTTTACCAAAATTATGACAGATGCGTCGAAAAAGTAAGTATTTTTTGTTGAATCACATTTGGTTTTGCAACTTTGTAGTTGAGACCAACAAAGCAGAACTAATCGATTGACTCAAATTGCTCTGCCAGGGGAAAAAGAATGAACGTTTGATTAATAAGTTTCACCAATGGACTCCTGCCCTTCCAACTTCTTCCTTCAACAGTTCTGCAAAAATTGTTTCAACCATCCCAAATTGAATTCATTTCCGTTTTTGTCACTAGTTCAATTCCAAAAAAGACGAATGTGCTTTCTGTGGTGTCGGGCAAAGAAGCGTCTTCTCCGAGTCCTGTCATAAAAGAGAGTGGCTTTTGTAACGAGGCCAACCGCATTTCATATTTTAATGGATTCACATAAAGCGGATTTTGAATAAATGGGCCGCGTCCCATCTCCTAGGATCACCGAAATTTGCTCATAAGGCTCTCGTCCTCCCTAAAACAACGAATGATGCACAGACCTCCGATGAGGCTGGAGGAATTCACTCAGTTCAGGTACGAAAACATTGCGATTGCCTATTATTAGTGTGGTCTCGTGGGCTTTCTGAGTAAAAACGGGCGGCAAGACGTCGCTGCGGTGCTCGACAGCCATAATTGAAAACTGGAAGAGCGTTAGGCGGTTGGGGTGGCTCACCGAGCGGCAAATGTTCAGTGTTACAAATATGTGCAACCCAAAAATATACGCATTTCTCCTCTTCTTCTTTTTCTTCTTCTTCCACCCTGACTTTAGCTTCTTCCTCGTCTCTCCTATTTTTCGGCGGGCCGACAAATGCATCACTATTAGGTCGTGGGTTGTATTCAATCTTTATTACTCATGACATTCTGAATCGCTCATGTGTGACTATCCGGGATTATTTTCAAAAAAAGCGTGAAAGATAATCCTTATGCTCCCATCGATTCTCTTCGTTTTCTGCCCCCACGGCGGAGTTTTGAAATCCGTCTAAGCCAAAAGAACTTTATGTCTGTCGGTGGGAAAAAAGAGCAATTCATTTTCCACTATTTTCTTCTCCTTCTTCTTCTTCTTCGTCGACATGGTGCACTTGGCATGCCTTAGAAATGCATAGGAAGCCGTAGGAATTAAATATAGGACATATATATGTTTAATAAGAAAGAAAGAGGAAGGAGGTTAACTTCTCTTGTCAATTTTTCATGAGCTCATTCCGAGAAGCAATATATGTTTCTGTTTTTGTTTCTACTTCTTCAACATCATCTAATAAGCTCATTCTCAATTCTGAAGACGTTGTGGAAAAAAGAAGAGAGCTTTCCTCTTTTTATTCATCTCCTCAGTGTCATTTCAACTGTACGAAACCCTCACATCCTTCTTGAAACATCCCATAAATTTATCCACAACCATTGATTTTCTTTCGTCGGATTGTGTCACGCAACGATCTGGCGTGGTCGCTGAAAATTACTGTGTTCTCACATGACATTTCCCATAACATTTCGCAAATACTGGAGAAAGCGAACAGAGCGTTCAGTCTGAAATTTTCGATAATTATCGGATTATCTGAGACTTTATAATTGTTCGTTCGATTCGGGTTAGTATGGAAAGTCTGTCCATACCAACCAGCCCTTTTGAGACCTAGTCTGAAACTATCCACGTATGCCCACACGAACCAAACCAAGAAACCGTACTCGGCTCAGATTCCACGTAAATGTGTATGAGCATTCGAAAAGGTCAGTTTCTGTTATGTAGAAGAAAAGAAAAAAAACAAAGAACCAGTGAGCAGCAGGAAAAAAAGGGAAAGAGTGCATCTGTAGCGTCTCGTTATTCGTGTTGCATGTGAATTCATCCGTAATTCAGCAAAAACACACATGTTTTGCATTCTGAATCCATGAGCGTCCCAAATCCAGAAAGCTAGGAGCGAAACACTGTTCGACGGTGGTCCCATTTCTCAATTCATCTCTTTTTTTCCATCTGAAACAAATGAGAAAACAGGAAGGGCGGGAAGAGCATCTATCTTTTCCGCCGATCGTCGTCACTCAATTTAAGAACATGCCGCACTGCCCATCAAAGCGTATTCATGCGGCGAGTTAAGGAAGCCTATTATGGAGAAAACAATACTTTTCTCGGCCCGCATTTTCCCCTCTCCTTTCGTTTTTTCACGCTGTGCATTCTCATTTCTCGTTCAGTCCATATCGCAATTTTTGAGTAATCCCATATTTCATTCCTTTTTCTTTCGATTTTTGAGAGGGCGCTCGCGGTCGCGTTTTACGACGTGGTTACATGCACCATTTGAAGCGTCGAAATGCATATTTCATAAAATCCCGTCAAAAATGTCACCGTTGCTTAGAACAGCTCTTTTGTTGGGACGGCCCTCCACGGAAACGGGACTACGCTAATGTTTCAAAAGCGACTTTTTGAAAAAGAAAGAGAATTGAACATTTAGAAGTCGTTCGTTAGACGAGCCCTATTTGCCTTTCTGTTTCTCACCGCTTGAACTTCTAGCAATTGATTTTGTGGGAAGCTGGTGGGAAAGAGTAGGCTTCGAATAAAGCCGAACGCAGTGGTTACTGGCCAAGCCTAAATCTCCCTTCCGTTTGCCATCTGTCTTAATCGAAAAGCCTGACTGAGCCGGGTTCACAATGTAATTACACTTCCGAACGTATTCGTTCAAAGCTGCTTAGAGAGAATATTGGATGCATGCAATTTGTTCAGACTTTTTTCAACTACTAATTGAACGGATCTTGTGTGACCCTTTTCGTTTCTTTCGAAACAAATTATTGCGAAATAGATTGCTGATTCATTATTTCATTCCATTTTTAGGACGAAATGACGCATAGAAGTGTATTCATCAAATTCATCAAAGCTCTTTGAACTAATTATGGAATACTTGCTCATTCCATTCATACATATTTGGGGACAGAAAAGTGAAAAAGATCGTGAGACGAGTGGTAGTCGGGAACTGGCAAAGGAGCATGCACGCAATAACAAATTAGAGCTGCGTTGTGGAGCAGCTATCTTGCCCCCCCCCTCTTCTTTTTACGCCGTTATGTACTGACCACGAAAGCGAAGAGTCAGGTCGGGAGAACAAGACGAGCCATTGGCGGGCATCTCGAATTGCAACGTTTAGAGTCCTCCTTATCGAGAAGGTTGTCCACAAGTTTCCGGGCGTTTTTCTTGCACCAAATCCCAGTGGAGAAACTTTTGAGACTTCGAAAACCGCCTTTTGTTTCTCCTTTCTCTCCCACCACCACTCTGACCCTTGTTTTTCACTGAGATTCCGTTCGGGATAGCCTTATTTTCTTTTCTTGCGGACACAATGCCAATGAGATCCGCCGCGTTTTTTTGTTGTTTTCTTCATTTAAAGCAGCTTAGGGTTGTTCAGAATTCAGAAACGTTTCGAAATGAAATCAAGCTATGGGCAGCAAAGCTTAAAACAAAAACACAAATAGAATTTGTCAGGCACGAGTTTCTTCTACTGTCGTCTTCTTTCTCAAACCCCCTCCTCCACACAGCATCCATGTCTTGTTTTCTTTTTTTCACGTCTCTTTTTGTCTTCTCTCCGACAGAAATAGTCAAAATTATGAAAGAAACGCCAGTCTCTTGTTTACTGGGGAACATAAAAAGTAATAGCATGAAGGGGAAATGTCACCGAGCTCCGTTTTAGTAAATCTTTTCCCTTTGTTTATCAGTCAACATACAAACCGTTCTTCTTCTTCTTCTCCTTCTTTTTTTGTCTATCCTTTGAAATTCGATCATAATACAGACAAAAGCCAATCCGGCGGACTCAAAATGTCCGTCGAAACTGTTGTCAGCCATAAATTTGCGGTCGGACAAAAGTTTGTGGCTGGCCACATGGAAAAGGTGCGACATGCTCAGGCTTGGGCTGGAAGACAGATGAATAGGGCGCAGCAGTTCATTCGCGAACTTTCCGTCAGTCAAACCGATCCGAGGGATTTATTCTTCCAGTAAGTTTTGACGAAAACACATGTGTCACTGAATTATACCTCTTTGAAAATTACTGTACGACCTCAAAATTGGAATTTGAAAGATAGTATCCCGATAGCCTTTATCATTTTGCATGAATATGAGAAATCAGTTTGAAGAAACAATAAATTTCTGAAAGAAACCAAAATTTTCAATTTTCATTGACGACATGTCATTAGCAACATTTTTTCAAAGTTCAAAGTAAACGATTTATGTTCCGAAGGGTCCAGATTCTGAAAAAAAATTCCCCGGAGTCAGCTGAATTCTTTAAAAAGCTAAGGAGATCACGAAAAGTGCAGGCTGGTGGAATTTCTCCCGGCAACCAAATATTAAAAAATGCAGGAATCTCAGATTTGTTATAAAAAGACAATATCAGTAATCATCATTGAATTTCTGAGATAATGATTAGAGTGCCGCACGAAAAAATCGATAATAGTGTACATTTCGCTGTCTCCTTAGCTTTTCTGATAAAATGATGTTAAATTCGATGTATTTCCCCCGGCATCTGAAGTTTTGGAAGCATAAATCTTCAATTTGGAAGCTATTTCCAAAAAATACTTTGCCTCCTTACGTTCAAAGAATTGCCCGCCTTTATCACCTGCCTTCGCGAAAAATAGTAGGTGTTTGGTGAAGCAACCACGCAGACAGGTGTATTTTGTAATGAGAATGGCTCAAAGTCTGCCATAGGTGTGCCCCTTGAGCTTCAAAAAACAATAATATTTACCAGACACCGTCGGCCTACAGTACCTCACCCCGGCTGATAGGAGAATTCAGAAAGCTCCTCCCGAGCAGAGCGGAAAACGTATCAAACGAACCCGCTCAGGTAGTTCAGACGCATAATTCACTCAATTTCGTCGCAAATGGGTGTGACGCTCTTACTTGCTCACAAGGGAAATTGCATTTTGGATAGGAAGAGAAGCGAGTAACGCTTTTTTTGCACTCATAAATTATTTAATCGCAACCTATACTTTCAAAATGTGTGCTCTCTCTCTCTCTCCGCAAGTTGCTGAAAAAGTTTAATATCCGGAGAGAACGAGAAAAAGCGCTCCAGTCAGGAAATTGCTTTATTATTACGTTTTCTGAATCCGAATACGGTTAGTGTGAGTGTGAGTGTGTGTGGGCGAGGCGAGCACACCAATTCCTATTTTTGATAGATCACATTCACACTTCTGAATGAAATTTGAGCGTGCTAACGAGAGAATGTAAACGAGCTCGACGTGTATAGCCGATGGCTTCGAAAATGTCACCCGTATTGAGTTTCGAAACAAAAACGAACGTCACTGACTTTGGTTGCTTTGTTTTCCCCTTTTTCTCACACCCGATTAACGGGTGTAGTGAATCCATTTGAAAGTGGATGCCCAAGTGGAAGGTCCACTTTGCAACTCGTGGCTCTGCAAAAAGAAAGAAGGGAAAGGAAGAGAGATTTGAGAAGATCTTCTTGGAGGGTCTGAAAAGACTGGAAAGTTAGTTAGACACTCGGAGAAGATGCCACTGACAATTTGTCAGGATAGCCGAAAACATATGAGTAGGCTCTCCAATTCTTCTTTCCTTTTTGATTTGTTTCTTCCAATCTCCCTTTCTCGTTTTTCTTTTCTGATAGTCATGACACCAAGTGTTTGTCGTGCCTAATTATACGCGTGCCCGCACATCTTGTCTCCGACGCGACCACTAATTAGACATGTTTTGATGCGTGAGGGAAGGAAGCAGCTGGAAGAGCTCTCTCTCTCTTTCTCTTTTTCTTTCTTCCAATCAGAATTGTTTTCGAGCAATCATACATACACTAAAAGTTTCTTTGCGCCTGAAAAATTGTTTGGGCAGTGCCTGCTCTGAAGTGGGCGGGCCCGAGGGCAAACACGCCTGCGGCACTCGACTCCACACTGAATATTGGCAGTTGTCAGCGCCGCGGATGCGTATCCATTTCTAGAGCTCATGATGAAGCCACGTCGGAGTAGAAGTGCAAGGATCCGCCGACGTCAACAGTAAGTATTGAACACTGACAATTTCTCCTGTGATTCTTAATTCCTACTGTGCATTCAGCAAAAATTTTCAAAACGAAAGTATGCCCTCTGTTCTCATCATCCTCTCTTTGACTTCTGATACTTTGAATCACGCTTGATTAGTCTGTGGTAGTCTGTGCTCAACTCGTCTCGTTTGACTTCACCCTACTAAAACCACGGCTATTATTCTCACATTTGGAAAAAAGAATAACAAAACGGAGATAGAGGCAATAAACGTTTTGGCAGCTCCTATGCGAAACCAGAGAGTCATCATTTTCAAGCGCATACATATTCTAGCGCACCAACAAGTTTGACGAAGAAAAACAACGAAACCCGTTGAAATCGAATAGACCCTGTGCTTCACCTTTTTTGCTTCCATCCGGTTTCGTTTCAGGGAGAGCTAATATGTTTCTGGTTAACGTCTGCGCAGACAACTCATGTTCCGTTTCAATGTATTTTAAAGTGGCCCCCTTCCCTTATTCCGATTTAAAAAGAATAAGTGTTTCTTGCTCTTTTCCCAAAACTGGCCCGTTGTTTGGCGTTGAAAGACTATCGGGGGTCATCTTTTGCCGGGGTCATCCTTCTCTTTCTCTCTCTTTCTCTCTCTCTCTCATTAAAAGAGGAAATGGATAGGGCGAGGGTGGATGCGCAAATAAAATAGAAGATATATTTAGGAGTGGAAAAGTATGACGACAAAAACTTCAAGCGAGATGGAAAGAAGGAGAAGGAGTAATGTACTCATCTCATCTTCCATTTAACTGGCAACACCAGCCAGAGCTGGCACAATTAATTTCGGAAAACTTTATCGGTCTCTTGTTTTCAGAGTGCAAGCATCAGATGGCAACTTCTTCGAGAAAGTGACTGCTCCAAGCGATGGAGACAACAGCAGGGATGACGAACTGTACACCATTAAGAATTTGAGCATCAACGGGGATCGCAAGCAAATCGAGGTTAGTGTCGGATCCCTTCTTCTTCTTCTTTTGTTCTTCTCTGTTTTTTCACTCCCTTCACTGACTCTTCTATTAGTCGAGTTCTTCGTTTTTTCAGGCTCTTTACGTGGAGGCGTTGTACACCATTACTCACAAGTTGGGCCAAGGGGACGCGGAAGAGAGTCAAGAGAGTCTTTATAAATACGTGCGTAATGCGTTCCAAGGCGATGGTGCTCTTCACAATGCGCTCATGGAGAAGGCGAAGCAAAACAAGGTTAGAAAGGGGAAACTGAGAATTAAAAATCACCTGTTGCATCATACGCTGATTAATAAATTTCAGCCACCCAGCGTCTTACTCAACATTCTGTTATTGGAGGCAAAAGATTTGATTGCGAAAGACGTCAACGGTAAGCACGGGATTCAGGAGAACAAGGCTTACGTCACTCTTTTTTCAGGCTTCAGTGATCCTTTCGCAATGATGGGGGTGGTGCCGGGGACACGGAAGGAGAATCAGCCGATGACCGACTCTGCACACCTGGAGAAGGACGAACAGGAGGCAAAGTCGCCGAGATCGCTTCACGGAAAGAAAGATGGACTCATGCATAGATTCGGAGGATCGTTCCGGAGGAAAGTCGGAAAGAAGGGAAAGCCACAGGACACCGGAACCATTCCTGCCAAACTCATCAAAGCCAGTTCGGTGCAAAAGAAGACGCTGAATCCAAAATGGAATGAGAAATTCCAATTCACCGTTGAGGATGTCCAAAGGGACCAGTTTCACATTGACATCTGGTGAGAGGAAGATATAGAAGAACTGAAAAGACACTGGAAAGTTTTAGGGATCACGATGACGAAGAGCAGTCAGTCCTGGACGCAGTGTCCTCTCTGAATCAGATCTCCGGAGGATTTAAAGGACTTGGAAGATATTTTAAGGAAGTCACTCAGAGTGCTCGTGCCAACTCGGACGATTGCACTGACGACTTCCTCGGGTGCATCAATCTGAAACTAGCAGAGATTCCTCCAGATGGTCTGGAACAGTGGTTTACTCTACAGCCGCGGTCGGAGAAAAGCAAAGTCAGCGGACAGGTGAAACTGAAGGTGTGGCTCTCGACAAAAGAAGAAGGACGCGCCGGAGATGAGGATGAGACTTTGGATGTCAAAGAGCACATTGAGCTACTACGCCAGTTTGCTCTGTACGAAATCCGTCAAACTGGTCAGCCAGTCCGATTCTGGGACGGTCTTTATCCGGAGCGAGCAATGATCATTCTACGTCAGCATGCTATTCAAGGAGATCTAACTGATGTTCATTTGGCTATGTGGTAGGATATCTAGGGAAATCATATCTAACCTACCATTTGCAGTCGATGGTTGGCGTTCCATTCGATGATTCACATTGACATTTCGTTTTCTCTTCTTTACAAAACACTCCAAAAAATAATCGACAAGTGGCAGCCGCTCACTTTGGACAAGGTTTGTGACTGTTCAGCGCTCTAATAGCACAACTTCTTGGTTCAGGAAGAAGAGGACATGCTTACTGACTCATTCTCGTCATTTGACTCTTACTGCAAGAGGATGATGATTGAGCATCGCGAGAAGTTCACTCCAAGCAAAAGAAACAGCGGAGAAGAGTTTTCGAGCCTGATCAAGTGCATGCGAGCTCTTCGCGAGTCCCCCTTCTACCAGAAGTACCTTCCGTACAAACGTCCTTTCCACGCTCATCTGGAGTCACTTGTCGTCAAGAGCGCCGAAGATTTCATCGACCGCACCATTGAATCTGTCCAAGATCCGGATCCATGCAAGGAACTCTTGAAGCTTCTCAACATCGTGAACACTCAGTGTTCGCGCTTCCTCCACTACGCCGCCGTGATTCGTGAAGTGGCCAGAATTGACTACTCTCAGCTCACATTGAACACGTTCGACCGCCTGCTCACTGAATACTTGACTTCCGAGCTGATGAGCGAGAAAAAGATGGATCTGAAGTCTCAGATGAGAATGTCGGCCGCCCAGGATCCTCCGAATGAGGAAGAATTGATAGATTTGATGAGAATTCATATGGCGTTTGTGGAGCTTCGCAACTACAGACTTGCTAACAGAGTGTTCGTGCGCAAATTGTGACATTCAGCAAAATAGATATTTCAGAAGAGTGAGGGACGAGTCAGAATGGTATGCGATCTTCAACAAAGGAATCAAAAAGTTCTTGGAAGTCGCTAAGGAGAAAGCACTTGCTCGTGTTCATCTCAGTTGCCAACTTGACATGCCGGTTCGTTCACAACGTTTCATCTAAAAATCAGCCGTTCAAATTCAGATTTCAACATCTGCTAACGACATGCGCCACTCTAGCAGCCACATTGACATTTGCCATATCATCGAGCAGGTATTTCGCAATAAATCCCCGTGAGAGAATCATTGCAAGTTTTGCAGTTCACCGTCTTCTGGGAGCGTGTGGACATCAACGACGCAGCACTCAAAATTGAGTACACCCGACTTTTAGTCGATGTGATCTGCGAGATTGTCACAGTCTACACGCAGAAAATCATTTCCGGGCTGGAAGCGGAAGGATTCACACAGGAATTGCAGACTTTCATCCCATCCCAACTGCTACATTTGGTTAGAACACGTCAGAGTGGGTTTAGTTTGGACACTGTTCTTGTTTAGCTCTGCGCGGCCATCAACAACTGCGAACAAGTGCGTCGCAGTTTGAACATTACGGAAAAACTTCACATGGATGACATGTCGCTTGCTTATGAAAGAGACGCTAGCCGTGTCAATGTAGGTTCTAGAAATGTAAACTTGTTTGAATAGGGATCTTTTAGGGAAACCACCTGTGGAAGTCTGAGATTGAGACTCGTTTGGAGACATGCGAGAACAGCATCTGCTCGGAAATCGACCGTATTGTGGGACTTCTGACTGGCCGTCTTCTTCCTCAAATGAAGAAACACGTCTTTCATTTAGCCTGGAGCCCATCTGCGCAATTGGTCGAGGACTCGTTGAAACCACTGACTGATATGGTAGAACCATGAACACCAAACAGAAGTACAATTTTTTCTGTTTTCAGTTGGACATTGAGCTTTCGGCAGTTCACAAGAATTTGCTCCATAGAAACTTTTTGAGAGTGATGAGCGCACAGGTCGCAATAGTTGTGAAACTGCTGCGTGACTGTGTGAAGGAGAATGTGGGAATGGAGCCAGCGTTCTACCACCGACTGTTCGAGGCGTGGCATGTACTTGTTGAGTTTTTCCATGCCGGAGGAAAAGGACTATCCATGGAGGCATTGGAAACTAATCCAGAGCATGTGGTACGAAGCGCCATGTCTATATCAATGACGAAAAAAGTTTCTTGTAGACATTGGTGAAAATTCTCTCATTGAACCAGACTCCAACAGAGCAACTCATCGAGAAGTACTACAAAGATCTTCTCAAACAACAGGTCACTTTTCTTCTCCAAAACTCTTTCAGCTATCTCTATCTTCGAACTTTCTATCGCTATCGAACTAACCAACACAATAGTTTCCGCACATCACAACCATTTTCATTTCTTTAATTTTCCGGCTTGATCTACTTTGCTTATCCCACTTTTCGCACCACAATAGCCGTTACACATACACACACACACACATGGTGTTTTTCAATTGCTTCCTCTTTTCTCTTTCCTGTCTTCTCACATTTTTCTAAAATGTTTCTTCTACAACATTCTTCATCTCAAAATTCAAGACTGACACCACATTTTAGGCGCTTGCTGATCACCAATACGGAGTAAGTTGCCTCAAATCCATAGTCTCGAACTATGATAGAATGGCTAGTATCACAGACCTTTGCTGTGCTTCTAATTCGGTTCATAGCGTTTTTGATAGCGATAGTTCGGCTCGGCCACAAAGTTTTTATCATTTTTTCGATTAGCAATCGAGACGACCCTGATATCTTCTTGCTAGTGTCGCGTATTTCTTCTGTAACTCATTTGGCTTCTGACCGCTTCCATCGCAACCCGTAACACTATAGATAGAAAGTGCTAGACCCGTTCCCGATATGTCAAAGCGTCGCTTTGCTTCTCCCACGTAGTGTGCCTAAATCTTTGCTCGACTTTCATGCATGGTCTTTTTGGCTAAATTCTGCTTCACCTCTTGCTTTCTATGAGTGTGTCTCTAATGTAGTGGATGAGATTTCTGAATTTTCAACGCCAGCTACTACCTTCTTTTTCAGAACGAGGTCAGTGAATGCAAATACGGAATTCTCAACGTTCGAGCCTATTATAACGGAAATGCGCAAACACTGGTTTTGGATGGTAAACGGAGCCTTTCAGCTGATCAAATTTGACTGGTTTTCAGTCATTGGCGCGAAGCAGATTATAGCTCTGGACTCGAACGGTCTGTCCGATCCGTTTGTGGTTATTGAAATAATTCCAAAGTTCCGTTATCCGGCAGTTCCGGTGGTCAAAACAAAAGTGGTGTCGAAGTCGTTAAACCCGATCTTTGACGAGACATTCGAATTGTAAAAACTAACGACAATGAAAAACAGAAGAAAAATGTATTTCAGCCACATTCCACCCAACCCGCCATCAACAGCAATGCTCCACTTTACCGTCATGGACCACGACTACCTTCGATCAAATGATTTTGCAGGAGAAGCATTCCTGGAGTTGAATGACGTATTAGACGCCATGTCCTGGCTCCAATAAAGTCAATGTTACAGGTGCCCGGATTTGGAGCAACCGGAGGAAACACACTTCGCCAGTTCAACCTCATCCTGATCCAACCAGTGTCAAACAGTCAGTTGCAGTCGCACTTTGCAAATTTCGATGTTAATTTCAAAATTTTTGCAGCAAAAGACGTGCTCGACGTGTTGAACAATCGCAAAGAGGACAAAGATGCCGTCGAGTTCTTGAGATCCATCAGCACCGTTTACTAATTGTCCTTTCTCTTCTCATTCTTTTTCAAACAAACAAAACCTGAACGAATAGACTTGTGATGTACTTATTTATGCTTTACTTTATTGGGAATAGTGATCTGTCTCTTTTCAAACTGCTTTTCACCCTTTCCGCTTGGGCCTACGTAGTAGCTTGACCAAAATAGTCGAATCCCCTGTGTTTCTGCCCCGGAGTAACCTGGCCGCTCCCAAAATTCAATTCAAAAATGTCCTGACGCATAGATGAGAAGTGGCATTGTGCTGGTTGTAACCCCCGTTTGATGATGACATTTGCTTTCTAGTTATGATCCCTCAAACCGCTTACATTCTTCATTTCTCTTATTGGATAAACATCTCGCATTGTTTATTTTTTGTGTTAAAAAAACAAATATAGTATTCGATGTCTGGACACTGGGTTCCCAAATGAATATGTGAGTGGCTCAAAACAAACGACATTACCCGGTTCGATTTGCACACCAATCGCGATGCTTTCCTGGTTTTTTTCCGCAATGAAAACTGGTGATGGGAGGCCAAATTAGTTGTCGAGCTCCACCTATCATCACGCATTTCCGCCGCCATCACAAACAGACACAGTTGGCATCAGAAGAGAGATACGCAAAAACCGTGTCAGCTGTTACTTGCCACAATCATTTTGTTATACACTTCATGCTCTCTCAACGAGATTTTCGTACTAACCGTTTGGACTTTTTTCACACTAGCTCCTCTCTTTTTGAAAAATGTGTTGAAGGAAGCGAGTTCTGTTCTAAAACATTCAAATTTATGCGTCCCGCGCCTCGAAGGAATGAAATGTGACCCTTTGGTTTATTGCACAATTTCCATATTCGAGACGAGGAACCTTGCGCTCTTTATAAGGACCGGACGCCGGTCGTTCCCTCTTACTTCCCCTCAGCCGTTTTTGAGAGATCGAGGTTACCAAGCCAATCGGAATCTCGTTTTCTTCTCTCCGATGCGATGCCATTCTGATTCCACGGCCATCACTCATCCCGCATTCAATTTCAATCTTCTCACTGTAACCTTGTCGAGTTTCGAAACGCAGGTTATCTTGGCATAGAACTGGCCGCCCGGGCAGCTATCCCGCAATCAGATTCATCATATTTCACTGGGTGAGTTGGTCGCGCGCGCTATTATACGTCAGCAGCCGCCATCGTCGTCGTCGTTCGTGCCGATTTGCGCAACTGTCGTCGTCCGGAGTGTTGTGTAACGAACACCGGTATCCATTAAATCTTTGTTTCCCTTTCAACTTTTGCGCACTCCATCTCTATCCGGCAGAAGTTTAAAATCACACACACACATTCCAATTGGCTCCCTTTCCGATGAGCCCTACCCCCAGAGAAGTCTCGGCGGTTTTCTAATGAATGCACTACAATTTGAGGGTCTGTCCCCCGTTTTTCGTAATCCTAGGCACATCTGAACATGGCCGCTTGTCTCGGAAATGACTTAGCGGAAGAAGAATTGCGGATGAGCGCCGCGTTTCCCTCCGATTGCCTTTCTTGTCGCATATGCCGTAATCTTAATTTTATTATGCCAACTCACGCGACCACCCCCCGAATTTTATAACACAGTCAAGTGATTCGCCTTTTCTAAGCCGTTCCTAGAGCTTGCACAGTGGTGACTAAAATCTGCTCTCTGAGGGTAGTTTCAACATTTTCTCCGAGTTTCTGTTGTTTCTCAACTTTTTCCTAAAAAGATCGTAATCTTTTATTTTTTCGAAAACGAACAAAACTCAAGAGTGCCTATTTCTTTTCCCTAAACTCTAAATATATTGTGCCACATGTGCAAGAAGGGTTTTGCGAAAACGTCTGCATAGATCTCATGAAAATTAGCTTTTCTCAAATCAATCGTAGGGTTGGTGAGCGCCCGCCTCAATTGATTACTTCTCATGCGAATCGGCAGCTCACCGAGTCGTTTTTCGCTTTGATCTTCTTTGCATCCCCTTCTCCTGCTGCTTCTCATCGTCTTTGCCTTGCTTTTTACACTAAGTCATCTCGTACGCGGCAGACAATCTCTTTCGAATTTGCCATTGACACTTAATTTCGCAGGGATTTCCACATTTTATAAATTTTCTCCTCTTTCTCAAATTACCGTACTACTATGAGTCATTTTTTGTATTGCAAATTGTGAAACGATCCAATGACTCATTATTCTAGAACTTTTCATCCGGACTGTCTTTTCGTTGCGAGACCTTTCGGTGATTCACTTCTAAAGCGGTGAAGGAATGCATCAAACATTCATGGAAAACGTGCTCACCGGCTTGCTAGTTTTCTTCTGTTTTCCGAGAACACTTTCAACCAAAATCTTTGCTTTCACGAGTCCTCTCAAATGTAAAAAAAGAGTCTCCGTCATATCCGTTTGAACTCTGGTATATATCTTTCTTCCCGCCCGCTTTCATCTTTCTAGTTTTTTATACATCTACGATGTTCCCTACTTTGTTTTTGTTTTTGTTTCTCAACTCAATAGTTTTGTCTCGTTATGTGAAGCTTTCATTGCAGATGAGTCTCTTACTGGTTCTTCTCGGGCTCGTCGTCGGATCAACTGCACGTGATCCGATCGGACAGAACCTCATAGTGATCTTGGCCGACGGATACGGATCCTCCCTTCTCAACAACACCAAACCTGATGCCACTTTCGGTACATGAATTACAAATTTTCAATACAAATTTCATATGAACAATGTCTTTCTCAGGAATCCGCCACCTCGCCACAAATGGAGTTCAAGTCGACTACGTCACGCCCTCGTTCCCAACCCATACTTGGCCCCAGTGGATGAGTCTCTCCACCGGTTTGTTCTTTCCCATTCTTCAAACATTTCTAGAAGATCATAGCTCCAGCGATCTTTTACTAATGACTCTGCCGCTTTTCCACATGTTTCCGTGTAACCCATTGCGTGGGAAGCAGCTTTTCAAAAAGCGACAAAAAACGTTGGGAACAGGCGGCCCGCGCCATGCGATAACGAGCAGTTTGAAGACGTTTTTTGTTACTTTTCAAACTCTCTGCGGCGATAAAATAATAGGTGGACGGAAGAGAAGGAGAAGACGAAAGACATTTCTCTCTCTCTCTCCACTCTTTCCCGCTATCATCTTTCTCTTTGCTCGATGGAAGATAAATGTGGAACATGGAAAGAAGACAAGCGAGTGATATATGAAAACAGCGGTTCGGGTGATATGCATATGCCACTGATGTGCAACATGTGTTGTGACAAGACGGCAGTTGCAAATTGCATCGAATTACAATCGAACACTGCGTTTAACACAGAAAAATATACATGTCTAGTGCGGAACTTGCAGGCCTCTACACCGAGAACCACGGATTCACCGCCGACTACATGTGGGACCGAAAAACGAACTTCACATTCGAACGCGGAACTGGTGATCAACTTGAGGTCAATTGTCATTGTAAAACAATAAAGTTCAGGACCCAACGACACTGAGGATGTGTGGTGGAACGACGCGAAAGCTCCGCTCTGGTACACCGCCGGAAAAGCAGGAGTCGATGTGCACTGCTTCTGGTTCGCCCACTGCCATGTATGCAACTGCCGGTTTTCTCCCAAAATTTAAATGTTGCCATTTCAGCGGGTCTTCTACGACATGGTAGTGCAAGTTCCCGAGAAGCGGTGGGCAAACCTCGACGACCCTCACCAAACCGACAATCTGAGGGACATCTTCCCGGAGATTGCAAACAGAATCAGTAAATATCAGGTTTACAAGCAGCAGATGTTTCTGATCCGGTACGCCAACATCGGAAACGCTCAAAAAGAGCACGGTCCGGAGTCCGATGAGGTCGAGCAGGAGGTCGCGCGTTTCGACTTGTACATCAATGAACTGCAGGTAAGAATAAAAAATTTCCCTTTCTTTTTTCTCATACCAACATTATTGCAGCAACTTCTGGAAGATCGTGGACTTTTCTCTTCCACCAATCTCGTCGTTCTGTCGGACCATGGATACACCCCACTTCAGAAGGAAGAGCAGTTCTTCATGGAACAGTGTCTCCCAGATTACTCCCTTGTAACTGCAAATAACATTATTATGCGCTAAAAATCGTTTTCAGATCAAAAAAGTGGTCAACTCCCACTCGATGATCATGGTTTTCACAAATCCGGAGGACGAGGGCACCGTGAGCTATTATTCTTGTTTATTTCTGAACATGTACATCGGTTATTCAGGTTCACTACGAGTTCAGCGTGTGCGAAGTTTGGTCCCCGATGGGCGACTATGACGAGAACGACACTCCATTTGTGAAGACGTACCGAGTAGGATTTCAGAAAATTCAGTTGCAAATTTATTGAATCTCAGATGTCGGAGCTGCCGGATGACCTCCACTGGAAGAGCTCGCGCTTCATGAGTGGCGTTGTTCTGATTACCAAGCCGGGAACCAGCGTCGTGACGGTAAAGGAACAAGTTCCACTTTGCTAAAACGTGATTGTTATTTCAGAAGGAGTTGCCAACGGTCCCTCACAGCGGAGACCCAAGCATCGACGCCAAGCAAGCATCCGGTTGGGAGCCACACCACGAGGACATGCGAGGAATCTTTGTAGCGCGCGGCCCGGCGTTCCGTGAGAACGAGCGCTTCGGGCCGATCGAGATGGTCGACGTCTACCAAATGCTGCTCAACATCCTCAGCATCGAACCGGCTCATCCACACAACGGAACGTGGGCCAACGTAGAGAACATGCTGAGCGAGGGATGGGAGAACCGTGGTCCAGTCGACAACTCGTCTTTTCGGCTGTCCTTCGCACTTCTCTTGTGTACATCTCTTGTTTTGCTCTTCTTCTTCTAGTCTCATTCTTATGCTTTTCACTCAAATATCTAAAAACAATTTGTAAGTGCGCACGACTCCATTTCTCCTAATTTTTCCAATCAAGTGTTCCTTCCTTTTTTCCTATTTCGTCTCCTAAACCACTGTTTCTTAAAGAATTCACACTGCCTTATGAGGTTATCTTGGTCATCAACCGTATGTATTCGCTTACAGCAGAACCCTGAATAGTGCAATCGGCAATTTACCTAGACTTCCCATTTCTCTTCTTCCTTTTTCTCCGTCATCATTCGTCTCAGAGTGAGATATTTATAATGTACCCGGTTTTTATCTTGTTTGAAAACTTCAGAAAAATGAATCATTTTGGGCAATCACGTGTTAAATTTGATGATCTTCTTCAGCGCAACCGCAAAGGTGAATCTCTGCTGAAACTTTTCGGAGAAACAATAAAACAAATTCATCAATATTGTTTTCTCGATGAATGTTCACAACAATGGTGAGTCACTTTCTTTTTTTCTTTCTTTCATGTACACTTCTGCTGCCATTTCGTCTACAGCTCACATAAAAACAGCAACAACGTGTTCTCAGACAAGTTGAACTTTAAAAGTGTTTATATGCTGTGCATATTAAACAAAAGTGACTCAAGTAAATGAAAATTGAGATTTGAAAGCTTAAAATTAGAGAACATTTTTGTTTCGTGTTCGTGCTCGTTGCTCGAAGCCTGAAGATATCAGTGCAATAGTTCTTTGCCTAGTTTCGGGACTCTTTTGATGTTGACTATTTTTCACCGCGAAGAGCTTCGGCAAACCCATACGCAGCAGCTGCAGAGTTTTCTTTAGTGCCAGGAACATTTGACATTTGCAGCAATGCACAACACGAACAGTTTTGTGGTTTGAGAAGCGACAGCCATTCCCTGTCAGTCGATCCCTGTCTCTCCGTCTTTTCCGTCTTTTGATGGTTTCTGATTGAAATGTACAATGCTTCAAACTTTTTTATATCTTCAACCATACTCGCTCGCCCACAGGCACACAAATTTTGGCATTCGTTTTTCCTTCTCGACCACACACACACACAAACTGTCTACGTGGCTACAGCTATCGATTGTCGTTCTCTTTCCCGTTTTATAGCTTACTCCCGATTCAACTCATTCAGTGATATCAAATGGCGGACGCGGAACCGGTCGACGACGAGTTGGCGTATTACTATCGATCCTCGGAGGACTGTACATCCGGAAGATGCGCCATCTGTACTGTTTCGTCAGAAGCTGCTCTTTCCATGACGAAGCAACTCTCTTCGGCACCCAATGAAACAGTTCAAGTAAGCGAACATAGAGAAAAAATGAGTGAATTAGGAAAAAATTATCTTTTTAGGAGCACCGATACTTCCCCCTGGACGACCGGGTTCTTCTCGATATCCCCGTGGATCATCCTGACTACTTCCCACTTGCGAAGAGGACCATTGAGACTTTTCAAGATTCCCTCATGTTTGTGAACCTTTCTGTAAGAGGAAACTTCTAAATTGAATTCTGAATTCTCCACTGTTTCTTTCAGATTCCGGAACCGGGAAAAACGGATTTGGACTCTGTTCTTCTCGTCACTAATGAAGGAATTCTCTTTGTGATCACTAAAATGATCGACGTTCACGCATCGCTCAAATTCTACGACAAATGGATTCAGACGATGCGCGCGAGATACCCTCCGACCTCGCACACATCTTATCCGAATAGAAACCCTAAGGAACCAGACGTGCTCTTTCTTTCGGAATTCCAACAAGACAAGACGTCATTGCGACGAACTCGTTTTATTGGCAACTCGGGGGAAAACGAGTACTTCTTAGAGCTAGACACTGGAATGGTTGGTTCATTTGCTCGGCACTTGAAATGTAATTAATTGAAGATTCGAAAAATGCATCACAGAGAGAGTGACAAAGACGCGCAACTGTTCCGTGTCTTCCAGCCAACTCCTCCCGGGTACATGCGATGCTACCTTCGAAACAGAGAGAAAATGGTTTGTGCAATTAACTGGGAAATCGCAAGAATACGCAGATTCATTTTAGACGGTTTCTGACATTCTGAACAAAGCAATCCGAATCGCCAAGGACAAAAAGATCAACATTCTCCAAACGGACTTTGACTGCAAAAATGAGCCACACACAATCGTAGACGAATTCATTGAAAATCCGCTTGAGGTTAGTAACGCGACACACTCACCTTTTCGATACACTCTTACTTTCGTCTCTAGGGAATGTGGTCCGACGAAAGTGATGACGAGTGAAAAAGAGAGAGGGCTGATTAGGCACACACACACGACAAAATCGGATCGAATCATACGTACACTCTGTTCTCCTTCTCATTTTTCACTCGAATTTTTCCTGCGAGCATTACTCGCTTTTGCTCTGCTTTTCTTTCCTTTCCTTCAGTGGTGTCAGGCGCTTAGAAGTGCTGCAAAGAGCAGCATGAGGGTCCTTTTGAGATGAGCACACATCGTTCAACCATCATAATTTTTGCTTCCGAGCAACCGTTCATCTGGATGGGGGGCTGCTAGGTACCCGACATTCAATTTCCTCTTTTCTTCGCTGTCAAGACGTCTTTTCAAGGTCTATTTCCTCCTGAATGTCTGGCAGCATCTCATTTGCCATGTCAATCTGGCAGTATTCCTCCCTTTTATTATAACTTCTCGCCCAATTGACTCGCTTCCTTCGCAGCGAATCGAATCCTTCTTCGTTTACACCATGTTTCGCTGACTGACTCTTGGGTGAAAAGAGCAGCCAAGTTCTTCCCCCTTCTCCTTATTTCATTTGGGTTCTCTCCATCTCTCTTGCCGGTTTTAAATTGAGCACCTCCTCTTCCAATTCGGTTCTGTCCGCTCTCCTCCTTTTTTGATGTCCCCACCATGGCCCTCCCCTAACTTGGTTCTTTTTGAGAGTGGTCACTTCTTCAAGTTATCATTTTCTGAAAGTTTCGATTTCTCAAATCTCTTCTCCACTATTACCCATCATAGACCAATTTAACTGCATCAAAAACAATTTTGGCTTGAATTCAGAGTTTACGACCCAGTAATGCTCTTTCCCTGCCCTAATTCTCCACAGGTTTATTACCCAAGGGAAATTGAGCCATTCATTCCTTTTTATTCGTTTCTTTGTTTTTCTCTTTTACCCAAACCTGGTATGCCCGTTGGATTGAATTCATAAAATACTTTTCTGGTAGCCCTTCCATATTTTTCTGAATATAGCACGGAAACGCATTAAAATTTGTTGTAGGGTCATCATGTCAGAGTATTTTCAAGTAATAGGGCTGGAATTCATCAGAAGTATTTCGGAAGTCATCATGATCAACATTAATAAGCTGCTACCGTACGGGTCTGAAGAGCAGGAAGAAGTCATTCTAACGGGAATCACAGAAAACAGCCAAGAACAATCAGTTGACGTGAATGGCCCTTCTTTCGATCACTGGGTAAGAACACTAAGCCGGTTTTCAGAAAATTAATAATCTTTCAAGCGAAATGACCGGAAACCAATTACTTCCATTTTCCTCAAAGACGTCTGTGCATCAACTTGTGTACCTCTCATCCGCTCTCCGTCCGCACCGGAGATTGCATTTATTCAGAAAAACAGGTATGGTACTTTTGTTGAGGAAAGTACCCGACTTGTCGCTTTCAGAATGAAAGATTCGCTTCATCCAGTACGTCTGAAGTTGCTGCGCGCAATGACATCCGCCGCTTTCAACATGTGCAGAGACGCAAAGGTAGGGCGAATCAAAACCACCTCCGATCTGTTCTGTAGTCGCTGATCTTTCAGAAGGTAACAGTTGGATTCCCGGTTTCCAACAGAATATTCATCACAAGCCAAAACATGATCATTGTGAATGAGTTCTGTGGGGATAATCAATCAGAAATCATCGCAGAAGCCATATTCAAGTTTCTCTGTGATTTCAACAAAATCGATTCGGGAGGTTTGCCAATGCTCTCCGGAAAAATCCCCAAGAAAGCAATCGCGATTCCGTGGTATCGTAAAAACAATAAAATGTCGTTCAAGATGGTCCGTTACTTGATGACTTACGAAATATTCGATTACTTTTTGGACTACGGTACCGGGAGGGTGAGGCTCTGAATGGTTTCTCAGCGGATTTATGCATTTCTTTTCTCTATTCAGATTTTCCGCCTACGCTTTGATCTCACTCGATTCTACTATCTTCCCGCAGATTTTGACCAGCGGTACTGTCCGCTGCGCGTCTTTTTGACTGGAAAAGAGAGGAACTTATCGAAAATCGCAGCATGCAAATCACTCCCAGTCACTGTCATTAACCCATCTCCGACAAACAGAAAGGTGATCGCAGATAAGATTTCAGTCAGTCAATCAAATTTGTGTTTTTTTCAGTTCATACTGGATCGTCTTCCAATTCTTGATGAACAATACAAGCAGACAAAAAGAAGACGGAGTTTGGGAGATTTGGACGAAGGGTCGAATCTAATTCTCCCTGAGTTCAAAGAAATGTAAAATAATTTCTTTATTGATAAATAAAAATGCTTCCTGTGGAAATCATTGCACGTTTTATATTTGACCGTCGTTAGATGAATGAGTCGATTTGAAAAATTAAAAATTAAACATTTTTTGGGGGAAAATGCAGGATCAATTTTCTTAGAACAAGTGAAGTCCCATGTTCAGACAGGCGATCTTGTTGAACTTGATAGTGTTGATGATGACGCGGGTGTTCAGTCTAGTGATTGCGACTTTCTCCTCGGCGCTCTGAAAATTGAGAAAATTACAATTATATGTGGCAATATTTGCGAGTTACCTCCGAGAGTTGATCCATAAGTGGTCCGGTCTGCTTACGGACGTACATGGTCACCTTTGGATTCATGTTGGCAGCAGCGGCAGAGAAAAGAGCTCTGAAACAAAAAGAGTGAGAATGGAATATCACTTCGAGTTACCTTTGAACGTGCTCCTCATCTCCGTAGCATTGGAGGATGTTGTCTTTGGTGTTGACGACGTATCCCACAACTTGCCCTTGAACCTTCGCAACTTTAGCGGATACCTGAAGGCAGTAAACTTTAAGATCCGTTGCGAATAATACTTTATTACCCCTCCGGTTTTAAGAAGAGAGGTCAGGAAGTCTTCCCTGTCGAAGATCGAAACTTCGGCGTCATAATCGAGAACGTCGGTCAGTTTTTCGACTCTCACATCCTCGACGTCAACGTTAGAGTTATCTGATTCCAGCGAGAGAAGTTCGAATCTAAACAAACAGAACAATGAGGGCGGGAGTTCGAATCACGAAAGAGGACACCTATTCACTGTGATCCGCTCGAAAAGATGTTTATCTCCGACGACGAAGCCGACGGTATCTCTCCAGGATGCAAAGTTCGAGAATCTTGAACAAGGCTACATAGATTACGCACACAGATATGTTCTAGCCTACTTCTCAAAGTCAACCGTAATGTTTTTGGAGACATCCATTCCGATGAGTCCAACACTGTTGTTGATCAGAACATCCAGAAGATGGAGGTGAACAGGCCTGAAACGGAATATGTTTTGATGGTATATTGTAGACAGAACTACTTCTCATCTCTGTCGGCAAAGGTTTGCTCGAAGTAGGTCTCGCCAGAGTAGTCAACCAGTGGCACCGATTTGGTAATCTAAATTATTATGAGCTACATATTTTAGGACGTTTTCAGCACTCACCTTGTAGGCAAAGTTAAGCTTGTTCTCGACAGCAGTTTGCTCAATCCAGACAGTTTTGTCTTCAAACTTCTTGTCGACCTCTCCGAGCATGACGTAGGCTTGTCTCTCATTGCACTTGACGATCGATCCGAAAGCAATCGGCTCCTCCTGGTCGCAAATGGTCACGGTGATGGCATTCGTGTGGCTCATAAACTCGGCATTGTTGTTGACCGGAAGAAGGGATCCTCCCAGAGCCTGATATGGCAACGTCTTGTTGACGATGTCGACGAGAGCAGCGGAGTGAAGCATGATTCTGAAAAACCCGGGAAGTGAGAGAGAGAGAGAGAATAGAGAACAGAGAACAGAGAATATAGAATGAAATGGATATTTTGTGATGTTGACTGAACAGTCCGTCTCGCAAGGATTAACGAAGTGCGAATGGCCGACCTGGCGGCGGATTTTCGGAGGGAAGAGGCGGTACTCAGAAGCCCAGATTACCATCAGCCGATGAAAGCGGATGTTCGTCTCGATAGCATCGAGTCCCAGTTTCGCGATTTGTAGCATCTTCTTCCACCCAAAACATGATGAGATGGGGTATTCAGGTCAGTAAGGTGCGATATCCATCTTCGTTAAATGTTCTCATGTTCCAAATTCAAACTGGAAATAAGTTTTATTGACAAAAAGTGTATCGGTTTCGCCGCAACGGTGCACGTACACAGAAACATTTCAAACGTGCTGGTATATCCCAATTATTTATGGCAAGTCAACAAATAGACAATTTATAGAAATCTGCTTGAACTATGTTTATACTCTAGAAGACCCGGATGATAATCGTATTACGTTTTCATGCGAACTGGTTGGAGGGGGAGAAGGTGAAGAAAAGAACTAGAAAATCACTAGGATGAATTCGAGAGACATTGACAACTGAAAATGCGTATGGAAAAGAAGGTTAATGACAAAATTAGCAACTACAGAGACATCACAATGAGTTATTGTTGACGAGGGGTTCAACTGGCACTCTCGAGATCTTCAAAGTAAACGAGGAACATGGTAATGGAGTATTTTGAAGCACAACTACAGGCCAACTATGATCAACTGGTCTATCAAGTCGTTGGTGCGATGGAAGATGTGATTGAAATCGAACACTCGCTTGATGAACGACGCTGTTTTCTGAAATACAGAGATCTATTCGATTTGATTTCCTTTTGATTTGTTCTACTCACGCTTAATGTTGCGGACATCATTAGAAGATTGGAGAAAATCTTCTGAGCATCTTCTTTCCGCTCATCCACAAGATAGGCATACATGTGAGTCAGCAGCCGCATCCTCTCGTTCTCAATAGTTTTCTTTCCCATTGAAGAAAGTCCGTCGGCATCTAAAAAGTACGTTGAACTTAACAAAGCCAATCAGTTTTTTTTTTGTGTTTTCTTTTCTTTCCCCCTTCAGTTTTAAAAAGAGCCAGCTTTTCTCTATTTCTATGTATGCGTCAAAATGCACTTGAAAAGAGGAATTTGAAAAAAAAACGGTTTCCCTTGGGAACAGAGACGCGGAAAACACGATGTGCGACGTCATCTCTCGAAACGCACAAACCTGGGTTATGGAAAAGCAGCATCTTGTAGAGCACAAAAGTTGATTCCTTGATATTCAGCTTTCTCATCATTTTATAGCATCCGTCAATTAGCATCGCGTGCATCTCCTCCCTGAAAGCTCCACTTGAGAAAGATATGCGAGAAGCACGGCATTGACTCACCATGAATTCGTCGGCTTGTCCCCTTTCTCGATGAATGAGCCGTCTGGGTAATTGAGCCTCTCCGGAATTGGCCTTGGCGTACAATCCGGCTCGATCTCTGGAAATATTTGTTAAAGTAATCCAATTAAGGGCTTCTTTTGATTACTCACTTATTACAATATCACATTCGAATTCGTTTCTAGTATAGAAGGCTAATTGAATCAGCGGAAATATTGGAGCAAAGGCCTTCATCAAAGCTAGCTGGAAATGATTTGTTCAGAATAATGTGTCATGAGCGAAAAAGACAAACCTTGTCATTGAGAAGCAAGTTTTCCATGATCGGTAGGCACTTGCCCCACTCGAGCATCAACGACAGATCCCGCACGAACCATTCCCTCAATTTCGCCAGCGAACACTCGAAGGGCTCGGCAGTTGTCTCTTGCGGAAGCGAGTTCTCAGCCATCCACGTGATGTCATCCAACAAACAGCTGTAAAAGAAAAAGCATGCATTCGGAATGCTTCCGGTGGCCGTGCACTCCAGGCTAAGTACTGGATTTGTTTTCCATACCCCCTCACTCGCCTCGCCGTTTTTTTCTCAGAACTCTAAACACATTCAAGGCTTTGGCGCTGGGAACGAACGAGCAAAACAGAAATGTGTTTGGCGAGGAACGTGAGATGAAGAAGAAAAAAAGAGAATTTGGTTTGGGTACAAAAGCACAACGTTCGATTGCTTGTTTTTTTTTCACTGAGAAACTCGTTCGTTCACTTGTAATGAATTCTGGATAGTGCGTTTTCTTTCTTTTTTCTAGCAGCTGACAGAAAGATCTTGGCAACCATAAAAGTCTTTTTGTTTTGTCGTAAACTACGAGACGTGAACAAACCTTGAGTACATGCTCGAAGTGGCAGACAGTTGTGATTCGAAGCGATAAGAGTTCCTAAGTGATTTCACTTTTGACTCTGTCCGTAATAAATCATCAATTATTGCTCTGACGTCTTGCTGCAAAAATGAAAACTATTAGAATGCTCGGTATCCAACACAAACCTGCATTTCTGGATCAATGACATTATGATCGTTATCAACAACGTTCACCATTGTACTAGAGGACGGTGTGGACGTATTGATGTACAAATCCGATGCAATGCTTTGAGGACTCCCAATGTCTTCCTTGATTATCATTTCCTTCCGCTTCTCTTCTTCTCGCTTTTTCTTAAGCGCTTTCGTATACCGTATTTTGTCCCGATCATGTTGGATGGCTGCAATGAACTGAGGTTAGAGATCAAATCTTCGAAGTTTGAAAAGATGAGAACATGTGGTGAATAATACTCGTCTTCAAAGTTTTTCGTTTCAATTGGGTAACTTTTGACGAAACTCATGAAAAAGAATGAAGATGGTTGTTTGGGTGTGTAACGTCATGTTATCATTCTCAAATATCTTTTCTACGGTTATCGTTTGCAACCCCTTTTCTTTTACTGCCACGCTATCAATCAAAAACTCAAGACGGCAAAATAGGAAAATTCAATTTAATTTTACGTCTCATTTCTCAGAATGTGTTTTGTAGTGCTTTGGTCGTGATAAATCAATCACAGTTGTCACTGGCGACCAAATTGAATTGTGTTATGATTTCCGATTCAAAATGTACCTACCCTTGGGATCCATTCCCATATCGAAGCATTTTTTGAGTCGACAGCTCCGGCACACACATCGCACAGCTGAAAAAGCGGAAGAATAAGCAAACTGGACGCCCTTGGCTAATCCCGTTGAACTCACATTTTCCGACGACACAGTCTCCGGAAAACTGGCAAGTGAATGTTTGTTTGTTCTGAAAAAAAGGACAATTTGTGGATGACTCGTCCCCTTTCTTCTCGGCGAGCCTTATTCGGCGGGCTTGTTCTCATGTTTCCGTCTTCCGTGTCCGTCGGACCCCTTCTGGCAAATTTGATACAATCGAAGCGGAACAATGTCTCCTCTTGCGCATCGCCGGCTATTCTCTTCGCTTCCCCTTCCCTTTTTTTTCTCTTAGCCCTCGAAACATTTCTCGAGCAAATAGAAACTGAGAGCACTAAAAACTGCGGCATAGTAGAGAACGAAGTTTGTGGCGCGTGACGAGGACAACCCAAAAGAGGAGAGGAAAAAGAGAGAGCCGGAACTTTTTCCGCGGACAACTCCAGAACTTTTGCAGGCTATATTACAGACTTGCCAGATTTCGGGCCGGCCATGCGGGCCGGCCCGGGCCGGGCGGGCCGGGCCGGGCCGGGCTGGTAAAGTGCTGGCCCGGGCCGGGCCGGGTCGGTGAAGTGCTGGCTCGGCCCGGCCCGGTCGGCCCGGTTCAAAAAGGCGGGAATTCAAATTTTTCGCGGAAATTTTTTTCGTCATTACAAAAAAATTTTTCGAACTAAAGTTTTAGTGTTTCTTCTTTGTTTTTCTTGCTATTATGAATTTTTTTATGAGAAATACATTTGTTTTTTTCAATGTTCGATGCTTGCAAAAAAACCCCCTAATTCTACAAAAAAATGGATTCATGCGATCAATAATTCAAATTTTGAATTCCCGCTTTTTGAACCGGGCCGACCGGGCCGGGCCGGGTCGGGCTGGCCGGGCCGGGCTGGGCCGACGGGCCGGGCCGGGCCGGAGTTTTGTAATTTTCGGCCCGGCCCGGCCCGGCCCGGCCCGGCCCGTGGCAACTATGCTATATTATGTACATTTCTGCCTCATCCTCCGCATTTCCGCAGTCTCATTTTCTTCGAATACATCTGATGACGGACGACGCCGTTGAGTGATTTATGCACAAACGATCTATTCGCGGAGGGCTCTTCTCATTTTGAAAGCGAGGAAAACGGGAAAAGCCATCTCGCAACGCTTGATTTTCAGGATGAATGGTTCAACGTCAGCTCGTTAGTTCTAGCCAGAGTGTCCCTCTGCTCAAACTACACTCTTTTTCAAAATAAGGACTCACCACAAGGGCCCGTCGAAAAAACGTTTTGCATCCATTGCAGCTCGCCACCGAGTAATGAATACCACTGGCCAAATCACTGCACACCACACACAAAGTGCCTTCCGGGATCTTTTCCCTTTCTGAAAAGAATTCAAATTATGTGCGAGAAGTGAAGGAATCTTCTTCCTTTCCCGCCCACAGACCTTAGAAACTTTAAAAATACAATATCTACTCAGCTTGTGACTTGTCTGAATATAATCTTGTTTTGTGCGAAAAAGGAACAACTATGTATGAGTATGCGTCAGACTTTCAGTCATTTATGAAAAATATTATTTCGTTTGTTTTCAATGTTTTCAACTGAATTTTGCTGGGAACGGCGCTAGGTTTTCAGACATCTTGTGACAAAAAACAGTCTGACCAGAAACGTGTGGACTAGCACCCAAAAGTAAACGAAAAGTATTCCTCCTAATACCAAAACCTAGACCCAAGTGGTAACGATTGAATCTCACTCACTCTTGTTTTTGAGAGACGGTAGTTCGTGATACATTACCATCGACACTGGCGGAACAATCATGTTTGGTACGGTATGGTTAGTCTAAAAGATGAAAAGGTCTCGAGATTTTGAGAGGAAAAGAGCAATCTTGACGCAAAAAAAAGTATATAAGAAGTGGAGCGTTTTGGGAACCGGAAACTTTAGGGTCAGGAAGAGAGAGAGCAAAGAGTTGGTAGCCGGGAAGCGGGAAGCAAAAGGGAGTTCGGGTAAGAGGTGAGAGAATGGCAGATGAAACTCGACACAACTAGAGAGAGAGAGAGAGAGAGACCGAGGTGCAAGCATTGGGCTCCGGGGCCTTGACGAACCAGCTACTTTGTGTGTATGTGTATGTGAGATGGAGAGAAAGAGTGTGTGTGTGTGTGTGTGTGTGTGTATGTGTCTTTTTGCGTTTCCTGCCCAGAAAAGGGGCGGAGTCGACGAGTCCGCTCGAGGACGAAAATTGGCCGCGCTCTAGCACGTAGGCCAGTCAAATTGCTGGCACGCGGCAAAAAAGTTCTGCAAAAATCTCGGAAAAGGGATAGAAAGAAGAAAAAGAAGATGGCGTGGAAATGGACTACTTCTCATTGGGTTAGGTGGGTGGAAACCGTGTGGGAACAGAATGAGAGTCCTTCAAGAATTAATGGGAGGTGATAATAGCGGAAAGTGGAAAAGATAGAACTGCTGGTGTTCAAAGATTCGCGGAAGGTATTTTTGAAAAACATCATGGCCGGAGTACTGTAGGGGGCCTCATGAGAAGAAATGTTAGCACACCGGAAGCAGGAAACATAAGGGCTAACAAAAACAAAAAATTTAAAATTCCGTGTAGGAAAGTTTCCATGGTTTTGCGCCAGTGCGCCCGCATAGGCCTCCATGAATTTTCAATTTTTATGAGCAAAGAATTGTGAGAAAAAGGAAAAGACTTTTGTAAACAGCCCGATTTTCCGAATTTGTTTGGTCAAGACCTTTGCACTACCGAACTTCGGTCTGACTAGCACAGAAAGAAGAAACGGAGCAAAAAAAAGAAGACGGAAAAAACTTGACTCCGTGGGGAAAATATAAAAGAAAGCATGAAAGTGATGGAAAGTTCTTGGAACTTGCAAACGAAGATGAAGCCGTCAAGAACATAGAAGAGTGAGGCATTTGAGCTGCATTTGCTAACTACAATAAAACGATTAAAAGCCCTTCATCAGACAGAATGAGTCACGGACTAAATATGGAACTTGAGTTTTAGTCCCACGCGCCACGAACCACGAGCCACGAGCAAAGGCCTCTCCGCATCCGGAACTTTGAGTCTCGCCAGAGTCTTGTTATTTTTTTCTTTTTCCCCTCTCCGGAGATCTGCTAGACACGAGATAATTTTATTTTCTAGTTACTGGGAGGGAATGACTGTGGTTGAGAGCTGGAAAGACTCACAGAAATCGATTTCGAGTAGATTTTTTTAGGAGCCAGAAGTGTATTAAAAAGAGTGAACTCTATAAGACGGAAATTCCGATTTTATCCGGTATGAACTGGAGGGAGACGGCAGATTATTGGCTCGAGGAACTGGATTAGACAGCCCGTCATGAAATCGAGCCGATGTGACGCAGAGCAGAGGTGGAAACCCACAAGAAGACGTGACTTTGCCCCAATATTTTTATCGCATTCATCACCTCAATTCATAATATTCCATGAGGAGAAGAGACTTTCAGACGACCTTTATCCCATCCCTCCTCACTGAATGCCGCTAATAGTCCATTGCGCACAATCGGCATAATCAAGTACTTGGAGTCTGGTGCAAATGTTTTATGCAAGAAAAAGAGGGATGAGGAAGAGAATTGTGGAATATAAACGACTGATATCACTCTGTTTTTGATCCATCTTTACCAAAGAATAAATAGATTGTCCAGAAATATCTTTGGTCTCATTGGAAGTGTTTCTGAAGGCGGCACAAATATATCGTTCAAGTTCAGGCAGGTGAAACCAACTGACGCGTGTCTCGGCCAATATATTTTGAAGCTTAAGTGAATCGAGGGAAAGAAGAGAAGAAGAAGAAGAAGAAGAAAAATGCGTGTCCGAAGGGTAACTTAGACTTATTTTAAAAACAGGTGGTCGCTGCCTCACGGCAATGCAATCCACACTGATATCTTTCGACAAACAGACAAAAAGAAGAGGGGGGGGGGGGGTTCAGCTGGATCTGTATGTTTTATGAGGAAATGGGTTTGGGTGCAAGTCCGAAAATCGAATTGTGCATACGGAGAATGAAAGAGAGAGAGAGAGAGACAGAAAGATAGAGAGACAGAGTAAATAAAAAAGTGAACTTTTTAGAGCTCAATTTGTCAAGCGAATGAATGTCTGACTGACAGCTTACAAGATTAGTTCATTCAAAAGTCGTTTCATTTCCAGACAAAATCGAATTTCGATGTACTGAAATAATTTGCTTAGAAACTACATTTGCACATTAAACAAACTTGATTAGAGCGGCTGAAACAAACGTTTTATGTGCTGAAAAGCGGGCGCATAGAATGCCAAATTTGCCAAAAAAGAGAAAGTCAGAGAGAAAGAAAGAGAAGGACCTTCGGTTTTATGTGCTTCCCGCCCTAAAAATGTTTTCGTTTATATCTCACAACCCCCTTCCTTTTCCTCTTCCCCATTCACTTCCTTTTCTAGGAATTTCTCACAAAAAAAAAGAGAAGCCAAATACTTACTGTTATTCGGCATTTCTCGCGATTCTCGTCATTCACAATTGTTGCATAATCCTCCGATGGCTCATTCGCGTTTTGCTAGATATTTATGTATACTGGTACAGAAAATGCAAGCGTTGTAAGCAGGAAATCTCTGCAAAAATCCTATTGTAACGATGCGAAAATGTAAATGAGAGGCTGCGTCGAGCAAGCAACAATTGCAACGCGAAATTTATGGTGTGGAAGATGGAAGACAAGGGATTGGGGGGAAACGCGCATAAAAATGATGATGTGTTTTCAGCCAAGCATTTCGTTTGGTTTTCTGAAAACGAAGAGAGCGGAAAGCTTGACTTGACCAAAAAATCATGAGATTCGGAACGAAATTATATTTCATACAAAATGGCACGAGAAAATTCTTTCCTCTTTGAGTTGACTGAACAGGACTAGAATAGAAAAAGATCAAAAGTGGGAAAGTTCACTTTCAGAAAAAGCAGAGGACTTCCAACTTCCAACTCAAGTCTGAATAACAATTGGTCCGTAAACAAAAGTTTATTTTTCATAGTGTTTGCATTGTTTTCAGTCGCCTAGAAAGTTCTGAGAATTGAAGAAACTATTTTCAAAACCGAGCACATTTTACACATACAAATGTTGCAACGGGTGCATTTTCAGCTTTTCAACTGCAGAACACTCAATGAGTGAGCTAATTCTATCCAATTCGAACAGAAAATTGAAATTCTCTCCCGTTCCGAGGAAGGAATGGAATTGGAAGCGGAATGAACACTCGAGTTTGCTCGAATGTTCTCTGACAACCTATCAATTTCTTCCATACAATTCATATATTCTAACAAAAAACGTATTAAAAATGTGTGATGAAAGCAACCCGGAACTTTTGCACATAAAACGATTCATGTCTAATAAGTTAGTGGTCTTGGAGCAAATGGAAAAAAGAAAGAGTGTGTGAAAGTGAAAATCTATCTGGTTTTGATTTAATAACGGAGATTGAAATTGGTCTCAGAATCCGAGACGGAAGGCCGAAATGTCAGTTACGAGGGCAATTCCGAGTGTTCCTTCAGAGCTTGATCGTTCATCCATTCATTCGTCAATCACAAACCGACATTGACAGATTTCCAATAGGTTAATTTAAACGGTTTTGTGGATTGGACGGGATGGGTGTACATAGTTTGAAAACGCACTCGATTGCACGTACGATTCCATTTTTTGGCATTTTAGCGAAACACACAAATTTGATAAGAAAACTCTACACAATTTGTGGCGTGTTCACAGGAAAAATGGGAAACAGCAAGAAGATTGGACTTTCTTTAGAGTTTGTTTGTTGCTAGCATACTTGCAAAAAAGCTGAGCAAGAAAACACTTCAAAAAATGAGTTTAGGATAGTTGGAAAAAGAAAAATTAAGTTTCAGTTCAAATTTAATCATTTTTCCGAAATTCCGGGCCAGCCGGGCTTGTGAAAATCTCCATTTCAGCCAGTCACGCCCGTTGCAAGTATGGTTGCGAGAATTCGGCCGATTCATACAAACAAAAGAACAACTTGAAAATCCTGTACGCAATGGTTTTTGGTGTGACAATGGACGTCACTGCAATACATTGTCTTGTTGAACCCTTTCTGGCTGATCCCCCCAAAGGAAAATAGTGCAACATATGTGTGTAGAGCGGGACGAGAGGGAAAGAGAAGAAAAGAGCAAGAAAGAGTGCGGGCGAGTGAATGGATGAACAAACGGTACATATAGTACGCAAATCCGAAATAGTTTAAAGATTACAAGTGGTTCCACAGGCGCGCCAGCAGAGGTCAAACAAATTACGTGTGCGCGCAAAAGTTGTGGCCGGTCCGCAAGCATCGACCGCCAGCATCGGCCGACACACCAGTCGGGTTTTCTTGTTCCGACTGAAGCGCTCTCCGTTTCGCATTCTCTCTGGACCCGGTGATCATTTCGATATCTCTGTGTTCTATTGCACTATTACCCGTTTCCGCAACTCATCGAGAGAATATCGATTGATAACAATGGTTTCGAGAAAAAGGAAGAGAAGGATGGAGACGTAGTTTGCGCTGCCCAATCGGATCCGCTTCGTCAGGTTTTCTTATCTCACTGTTCTGTACTTTTGTTCTGGCCAGGACAGGGAAAATCGAAAAAGAAAAAGGAAAAAAGGGAAACGTTAGCAAAGTTTGGTTTACCTTCCCCGTCCATTCGACAAAATTGTCAGGGTGACCAGAATATCAAGGTTGAAAGAGATAACAGTGAGAATTTGATTTCTGGTTGATTATTCGATACAAGAATTAATATGAAGTGGTGGATGAGACCCTCTTGATGACAAAAAAAACGGTAGCGATGCGGAGATAATGGATGAAAACGAAATGGATAACGACACGGTGTTTGATTCACTAATACTTTGCGCTAGGAAACAGAAAAAAGCCTAAGAAGGAGAAGGGAGAAACTAAGCTTTGTCTTTCTTTTCCTATTCTCCTCTTTCTCCTTCTCCGCCAACACACAGAATTCGGAAAAGGATATTAAAGCGCGTGTTTTACGCAACGATTCTCCTTCCATCCAGTCTTTCCGTACAGGCAATTCAGTTAACTGAACTTGGCCCGAAAAACACATAAACCCGAACCGCCATCATCATCATCAGTGACTTTTTATAGGCAGTCTCAACCTTTGTTCTTCACTTTGCATGTCGCCAAAATTTGTCTCATTTCCAGTATCTATGGAACTTCCATTCCTGTCAGGAACCGGTTTCCCTCTCGAGATTTTGTAATTATTTTTTCCCAACCTCGGCATTGGGAGATAGGTGTCAATCCTGCCGGACTGCGATACAGAAAGAATACGCTACGATCGTAATCTAATGTGAACTCACGGTTTTCTATAAATTGTTCAGGGAAACAGGTGTTGGCGCCAAGAAAAAGGAAGTTGCCGAATGGTTGCCATAAACAGGGACTTTGAAAAGTTGAAAAACAATTGAGGGATGGTTAAAGTTTAAGGCGAATCGTAAACGGACTGTGATCGATAACACGGTTGTAGTATGCGTGTGGCTGTTTTTCTATGTGACGAAAAACATCTATCCAGAAAGCATCACATGTTCTTTTTCAAACTCTAGCAGATTCAGTCAGATTCAGATTCAGAGGACACTTTCACATTCGATTTTTTTGTTGTATGGTGTGACGTGGGCATTGCCGGTATCAAACATGTATCAAAAGGACTGGAATGATAAACAGAACGCTGTCACAATCGCAAATACAAAAGCATCTTGTTTTGTGGGCGAGAAAGGAAAAAGGAGAACGGAAAACGAACTTGGTGCCAAAAGGCTATCGTTGAAACATGAAATAGAAAATGATTTCAGAAAGACGCCGAGAGGAACCGGTATCGAATCCATTCCATTTCAGGGTTCTCGAATGACTTTTCAGGCCAACTACAAAACACAAAACGTCACAGGCCCCATTCCATTCCATTCCCATTCTCCCATACCCTTTCCCCTTTTTCTTTTTCTGTAATTATAGGCTTAGGGGCAAGGTTTTATGGGATTCTGAAAACTACTCACGCAATTGCCTTTTGGCTCCAGCAGAATGGAAAAAAAATTTAAAATGAGATGGAGAACTGATGAGAAAATAACCGATCAACCGTGTAGACTGGGATAGGAAAAACGTGAAAAGAAAAGCGTTCGAAGTGATTGCACGGATAATACCATAGTAAGACCCTGTGTTTTTCTGCGATGTTAATCTAGATCTAATAACTTGCGAAGAAGATTTGCAATAAACACCAGAATATTATTACTAGCGTCTGAGACTCGATTATTTGATCTTCTTAGCCAGGGATTCATAAGATGATAATTTCAATACATCATAATGCTGGATTATCTGAAGTAAGGACTCGAGAGATCACTCCTGCTCAATATAGTGTAGTTTTGATGTTTTCCTGTCGAGGAAAGGATAAAAATAAGGAGAAAAAACAGTAACTATTAGTGCATTTGCTTTCGTCATAGAAAGACGCAGACGTGCAATTCGAACAGAAATGTGGCGAGCGTATGTGTGTACAAGAAAGAGTATTGAGTGCTCAATGCCACGACGGAGCAAGGAAATATTAGGCAAATGTTGGAGGATTAGGCACTCGACACTTAATTTGGAAGCGGAGGAACAACTTGGCCACACGAGATGGAACAGAAATGTCTTTTCGATGCAGATTTTGCAATAGTCCCGCCCGGCTCAATGAAAAATTCGCTTGCCCGGCACGGCCAAGTCAAAAAACTGTTAAATTGAAATTTTTTTGAAGCCGGAAAATGGTTCAATAAAACCAAAAAAGTACTGTCAAAGCAACATACGACAGATTGGAGGAAATAAAAATATTGGTCCTGAAAACTAGTTCTGCCAACTAACCCAACTGTTGAATAACACAACAAAGATCAATAGCATTTGAATTCACAAAACGGGCAGTCTATTTTGCGATTTAAATATCGGGTTGGAACTGTACTAATTCATGATTTGAGCTAATCATTCGAGTCCGAATGTGAAGAAAAAGGTAACAAAAAAAGGCATGTGTCATGACGTTGGTTTTGGCAACGCGACGAATTCTACCTCAAGATGTATTGACCTTGATGGAGATTCTATCCAATTACGGCCACCCGCACCTTCTATTGAAATATTCAAAGCGAACCGAGTAGTGTATTCAGAAAATATTGTGTATTCGTGGAGTGGACAGTTTTGAATTGAAATGAAGAAGAGAAGAAGTACACTTTGTCTGCAGCACGCCGCTTCCTTTCACTTACTGAATCGGATGGTGTCAAGCAAACCAAAGGATCAACGTCGATGAAGAGAAAGCAAGAGAGAAAGTGAATGGCCTAACAGTCCAATCTTGTTTTCTGTTCTTCCTGGATCTTTCAAAGTGATTTTCAATTTTCAATATTCAAAATTTAAAATCACGGCCTAAAAATGGAACAAAAGGAAACGTTTTTTGTGTTTTTTTGGAAACAACTGTGCAGCTCTACGGCACAAATACTCACTATTTACTCAACGCTCCGCGGCGTCCGAATCTAAACGATAAGAGCACTAGTTTCAAATTCGCTGGCAATCAGCCAAAGTTGCAATGAGAAAAGAAAGAGGAGAGCAGTGTTTATTTGAAATTCAGTGGAAAAAGAGAAGAGTCCGTTGAAAAAACGGAAAGACAACTACCACTTGAGCACGAATTGAAAGAGGACATGCAAATGGTAAGCAGACAGGCAAAAGGTCAAGACAGAGTGCGGCGATTTGTCCACACACCTCGATATGCATGAAAACATCCGTTCTTCCGTTTCAAATAAAACATCACTGAATTAATTATGAACCACAGAACAGAATACAAATCACAATCGTTCGCAATTTTGATGTTTGGCAGCAGTACACCTTTAATCTTTGTACGAGGGTTTGTGATTTGTTAATACCCTTCCCGATTGGTTTTTTGTAGAAAGGAAAAGTGCTATTCTACTCAAACTATGATTTCATTTGACTTCTTCCTCTATAATGATAATTGAACGGGGCATCTCACAGAAATGGCGCTCTGTTCGCAATCTGGCAGAATTTCTTGACCGCGAAGTAATTTTCCAATGAAAACGTGGCCTAACTTTTCCAACTCGGCCCCGAGGTCACTCAATTTGCACTGCAAAATAAGAGTTTCTCAACAGATTTCTGTGAGGTTCCCCTATAATATGATCAAACACATATCGGAATAAGCTAATCTTTGACACGTTGAACAGTTACAACTCTTGTAAACCGAACCCAATATTTGTGCACAGTACAGTTTTATTGCAGTTCCAAGCATAGTGGCTACAAATATGCTGGACCGCTCTCTCATTCATCGAATTTGTTGCTATGAATGTGCTCGTGTTCCTCGTTGTTGTCTTCAAAAGTTCTCTGACGTGCACTCCATCTCTCAGTAAGCGTTTTCATTTTCTCTGCTCACACCTAAACTGCTCCCAGGTTCTCCATTAATATCAACTCCGGCTGCTCAACCGATCACCCTGATCTCTAATCCACAGTTACCTCCAATTGCATTTCAAATGGATAATTCTCAGCCTAAAGTTCCGCAGGCTGCTGATTACGTTGATGAACCAGTGACTATACAGAAGTATTCAGTGCTCTTTTAATTTTCAAACGTCTTTTCACATTCAGAGACAGTATCTTGCCATTGCAAGGAGAAAGGCTCAAGAATCGTTTCTCGTTGTTCGACCTGTTCCGCCCACTAGCTCAACCTGCTACATCTCAACCTATTCTGATCAATGAAGTAATCGAAAGAATCAATGATACTTTTCGGAATTAGTGTCCGGTTTTTCAGAAGCCCGTTGACGTGGTCTCAATGAATATCACCTTTTCCCCGCCGGTTCATTGGACGTTTTGCTATCCGAGTTGTGGAGTTGGTGATCAAGCAGTGGATTCCGATGATGCGTACGAAAAAGCCCACGATGATGTTCTAGAAGCGGTTAGTAAGTCTATTTACCTGTCACCCAACTTATTTTTCTAGGTACAATCCTCCTGCAGCAACGTTGGGGTAAAATGTGATTTGGGTTCCGTGGATGTCCAGGTGAGCAAACCCACAAACTTTGATAAACGCACATTAATCTTAAAGTATTATCCCGAATCCGTGCTCACCGAAGATTTTGGAGCATATTTCGATTTGAGTGGAAACCGATACAAGATAAGCGGAAAAACGATTCCATATCGTTTGAACAGTGTGAATCCGGGTATCATTAACAGTTTTATTTTACCCGTAAGGAAACGGTTTTTGCAAAATATCTCTTAAGATATCCCCTATTCAGATGAAAATCGCATTCCGACCGTCAACACCAGTTACTGAGAGAAACGCACAAGGTTTGAGGCAAAAGGTTTGGCGTTAATTGTTTCAATGCTCAAATCATATCGTTTTCAGATCGTGGATTTTCTGGCAGCGCGGAAAAACGTTCATATTACCACCAATTTTGTTTGATGTATAAATTTTATTTGATATTTGTGGGAATAGGAAAATAGACGCTCTCAATTTGCAAGAAATTCGATATGATTTGGGTGTTTCAATAAATGTGTTTATGATTACGTTTATGATTAATCTGCACATGTGACTATTCCGGACACAGATTAGCATCACTTGACTCGAATCCTATATTATTTTGTTAATCATATTCTTCGTAGAACTCCCATTCAAAGCTAATCACTTTGTTCCACATCTTGTCACAACACTTGTGATCACTGACTCTTGGTGAGACTGTTCCTCTCGTGGATAGGTTGTACTGGACCAGCAAACAAACAAACCGTTTGCTCGTGTCCCTGCCCACTCACTCTCTCAACTCCACAGAAAGTTCTCCCCCGATTCTGTTTGGTTCCCACTCCCATTTCACTCAGTTTTCCCATCGTTACCGCGTGCAATGGCATCGCTGTGTGTATCCGTATATTGGAAGCAACGGGCCGCACAAAACGGTCAGATCGGCCGCGGTTGTGTGTGTGTGTGGGTGGCTGGCTGAGCGTATGCGTGTGTGTTGCGCAGTCCTTCAAGATGAAGAAAGGTGACGGCGGGTGACCCTCTCCGCCTCGACGTCTTCCCTCGGCACCATAACTCGTCTCTTTCTCTTGCTTTGCCTATCCCGCACAAATCAATAACCATGTGATCGGCGTGTGCTGCGGATATTCGAGCTCTTCACCTAACCATTTTGTGTTTTTTATGAAGAGCAATGAATAAGAAAAACAAATCGGATGCACTGAATGTTATTCTCGGCATTACTTTTTTCGTAATTGCACATCCCCAGCTGGAAAATTCTGTAATCAACCCTTGTTATTCGCGTGAGAAATGGATAAATACCACCCAGCGATTTCTTCTCTCACGACTAATACGTCTTCATAAACATTGATGTTTAGTATTGTTGAACCGCGATCAGGCCGGTTTTGCCAGACAGGCAAGGTAACACAGAGACGTTGTCAACTCGACACGTCTTCGTACAGAAGGTCAGTTTCGGAATCGGTCTTTTCTCGTTTACCTTTTCAATCGACCAAAACGAATCAATCACGGAAGACACATTCGAATCCTATGGGTGGTCGTTTTCAACCCACAGACATCCTTTTTGTTCCATATGCCTGCAACCCTCGGCCGGCGTCCGTCACGTGCCCTTCTCTGTGACATGGCCTCCCGGCGCACCCATTTATATTCTCGAAATGAGTTCTGAACCCGCCCGGTCGTTGTTTTATGTGGAGGAGAGGAGTTTCTGAGACCGAAAGCGTTGGCTGCTGCCGCCGTCCAACCGTTTTCAAAGTGTTTCGCGTTTCTTTGTCTCCGCGCTGTTTTGTTCGCGCCAGCCATCCGCATTCCAATTTCACTCGAACACTAAGTGTTGCATCCTCGCATCGCGAAGACTTATTGTGTCAAAAGCACGAACAGCTTCGTTTTAGATCAAAGTGATCCATTTAAACAGATGGACAACTGTCAATGTCTAGACTCTGTTTGTTATTGAGTGACGATTCGATTCGATTCGCATTCTCAATACTCAAGAAATTATGCACTAGGCAAGCGTCAGGGACACATTCAATTTGCATCGTCACAAAATTATTGAGAAATTGGTAGCTTCTGTCGTTCATTTGCCTCCACAAAGCGCGTGACACGTGATGCACCAACAAAAGTACTTGTCAGGCGAGCGAAGCGAAGCATTATTCATCTGCCGCTTACCCCATTCATACTCAATTTCTCCTTCATTGACTCATTTTACTCATCTCCTCCTAGTCTCAACTATTTTTCGGTCGAATCGTCCGCTGAGCCGAGTGTGTTTTCCTTGCCGACCTACTCACAAGAATCTGCCCGCAGCAGTGTCGATTTGTTTGCAATTTCACGGAATTCGGTCTTGTTTATTTTACTGACAGTTCGTTCGGGAGGCAGCTCTGCACTTTTCACACACCCCTGTGCCGCGTGAGCTCTACTCGGTTTCATATTCTTATTCGAGAAATTCTAGAAATGATTCTGAGAATTGTGGCTAATCAGACTAGATGAGAGCCTTTTTATGTACAATGGCTCCTAAAACTGAGCTAATTTCATTTGCGTTGTTTGTGTCGACTTGCCAAGCCGTTTCGAACTGACAAACTGACACACAAAACAATGTGCTTCAAAACAATTGTTCTGTGTGTGCTTCTACTGGTTATTGATTCTCAATGTCATATTGACCACCATGCCCTTCTTGACACTTCCCTTCTTATCAGAATCCATCACATTTTAGTGCAAATATTGTGAAGAACGACCAAGTGTTTCAAGACCAGTTATCTAACTTTTCGCAATTTTGCCGCAAACTTTCCATTCTCACCACTTTATTTTTCAATCATTTCAGAATGCAATGGAACTAAATTCGAGTCAAGACTCGACTGTTTCAACCTTTCCAGACCGCTGCAAATCAGTCATGAACGTCATTCGTCGTGCTTTCAGCTTCCGCGACAAACGTCCAACCAGTAAGTTCCAGTCTGCTCTCCAAATGGGCTTATCTTTTCTTTTTCAGAACAACCAACCGAAGAAGCGTCGGGATCGTCGATTGAGATGAAAGAAGTAGCAAAGCCGCGTGTCGACTCTCTTCCGAGTAGTGACAAAGATCATAAACCAAGCCGTCAACTTGTTTGTTCCAGGCAGCGACATGCCCTCCACATCTGCTTCTTCTCCCCCGGTCCGTGTTCCGACTGTGTACGAAGATCCGTTTGTTGCCATCAATGCGAACGGAACCATCTTCATCAAACACTACTACAACTTCCAGGAACGGGCCGAGTATCGCATGGAGAGTGCACGCCTCGGTCATGTGGTTAGACTAACCAATAAAAAAAGAACTTGAAAATAGAGTGCATTACATTTCAGAAGAGAAACAGTAGAATCATCAAAGCAAAGGACATTTCGAAGATTTACTACGCTACTGCAAACACTTGCACGGACCCGACTCTCTGCAAGAATTGGGGAATCTGCATGAACAACGTCTGGTGGGCGAGCCATCTCAGCAGGTGCCGGCTTTACTGAAGTGTTTCGGAGGAAAATATGGATAATATTTGCAGAATGGATCCTGGAAACGTTTTCACCAACGTGGTTCTGATCGACGACAGTCTCATGTACCCCGGACTCTCCGTCGTCAACATCGATGCGTTCGCCGAGAGTCTCCAATGCGTCGGCCTTCCGAGAGATGCTCCATTCCAGAACGGGCTCCCAAACCCGCCTCTTAGCATGCTCAGTATCCCGTACATTGACGAGGACGATGACGGTGAGTGACGTTTCAAAATATTCATCGAAAAAGTGAATGCACGATGTGATCCTCGATGTTTTGGCACGTCATGTGCAACTGTACATAAACGAAATAGTTGTTGCAGAGATTCCGAAGAAACGCAAGACTCGTCGCAATCCGTCGAAAGCCAAAAAACCCGAGTAAACTGCAACTGCAATCGCATCTCTGCAACTGACTGGAAACCGAACGCAAAAATATGTTATCTTCTCAATCGAACAGCTTGATGCTCACGATACCCTTTGTGTTTTGATACTCAGGCAATGATATAAACTACTTGTTAATCAACTGCACGTAAAATTGAATTATCTGCAATTGCAATCCTGATGCAATTCTCTCATTTTCTTATCGATTTTTCAAAATCTCTTAGAACCAAACTGGTATTGTCCGATGTTATTAATCCAGTTAGTTGTACTTTCGCATTGTTCAGTTCAGTTTGACTGTCGTAATGGTTTATTGAAATCGAATGAATCGCATTAAGGATAAATTAGACTCGGAATGATGACACTCTCTTCTCTGTCCAGATCGATAACGACATCGAATCTTCTCGATCTGTACATGGTATCGAACAACGGAATGATCAACTCCTTCCACTGATCTTTTTTCTGAAAAATTTTTAGTTTTAAAGAAGAGTTTTAGTGCTTTCTTACCGCGTTGCAAGCGTGAGAAACGAAGAGGTACGGCTCCAATCCAGACATTTCGAATTCCTCTCCGCGCAGACTCAGTTTCATTTCTGGAACTCGGGTGAATTCGTACGTGCCAAAGTCCATCGTATCGTCCTCGTCGAGCAAATCTGCAGAGAGCTCACTCGAAGAAAGTTTCAGTTCTCTAGACTCACTGTGGTTGTAATCTTCTTCCATGAGAAAGACCTTGGCGTGAGTTGCCCACGGCTTCTTGCAGCGGAGAGTCACGGTCGCTTGGACCAGGGTTGCTTCGAAACGCGCCGAGGCGCCGACGACGACAACAAAGCTGGCAATCAACAACAAAGTGTTCATGACGATGGGATCCAGAACACATCAGCGGGGCTCTTTTATACACTTCTCAAGCTCCGCCTTCTTCCCATGATGTTTATTCTTTCTTCGTGCAATTTTTATTCGGATTAACATGGAGAGGGGACAATGTTATGGTTCTACAATGTTGTTGGATTGACATCACAAAAAAAATGAATCCACACAATAAACTCGTAAGACGAGAGAATGCTGGGAGACAGGGGCAAAACGGTGTGTTACAGAAGGAAAAAACTCAATGACAACCGAATAGAAAAATCTAGATGTATGACATTTTTTTTAGAAATTAGCCGGTTTGTTGTTTTAAAAATGATGTGTCTAGTGGGAAATTGGAAGATGCAATTTTGTAATATCTATTAAAATGCAATCTACACAATTTGAAGATCAAAATCTAAAAGAATCAAGAAATACAATAATATTACTTTACGGGACCAAATAAAATGCTTTGCTTTCCAAATACTGTTCAGAGGGAGAAGAGGTGGGGGGTTTTACATGTCTGCAATCGGAATCCATCCGCTCTCCGGGATGTCTGCGATATCCCCATCGGCAAGAAAAGAGTCAAGATACGGCGTCAAGCGTCCGTGACACTCTCTCAGCTGCATACGGATCGTTTTTTGGATGTTGCCACCAATGCCCATGATTCTGCCGCGGACCAGAACCGAATTGTCACGACCCCTTCCGTCGGCATTCTCATCATTCGTGTAGATCTGTAATTTATGAGATTCTCACAATCAGTTCAAGCTTAGAGAACTTACATTGAACACAACTTTGCTCGTATAGGAGACCGCTCCAGTGCGTTTGTTCTCCTCTTTCTCGAACAGAAAACCAATTCCAGGTTTGTTCAAACTGCTGTGATGGATGCTCCACGCGCGAACATGTTTTCGGTTGGCCGAGCAGTAGCGCACGTAAAGCGCATACTTCGCGATCTGGCGACGGCCAAAAAGAGGAATGTAGTGGTTGCCGGCAATGACCGTTTTCTCGAAAAATGGATGGAACGAGGCTGAAACGGTTTTGTGTATTATCGAAAACAACCGAGTGCCGCGGCTTACTATTGGCAAACGGATCGACTTCGAACTGTGCGACCCCAATTCCATTGCTGACCTCACACACGTACCTTCCCGGTTTCAACGAGGCGCGACTCTGGAATTAATGAATGGCTAGTTTCAGAAGCGGTCACTTGTGAATCAGTGTGTACGTTCGAAAGATGAATCTCGAAAGAAAGCGGATTGCAAAAGGGAATAGAAGGAAATCTCTCGAACATCTTTTGACAGTCTTTCGATATTTATTTTTGGTAGATCTATCGAAAGATCTTTCAAACTGCGTCCGAAAGCGCACACTGTTGTGAACGTACTTTGACCTCCAACAGAGCATAACAGTCAGTCATGTTTTGGAAACGGGTGGAAGTGATTACGTTCTTCTTTTCTTTCTCAGTCAAACGGACGTCATCCTGAAAGAATCAAATTAGAGGAGTCAGAATATTTAAACTAGACATACGCGTGTCCATTGAATAGTGACTGGTCCAGGAAAAATATTATCCAACATAACTCCACAGTACACGTGATCCGGTGATCCTTCGGTGATAGTGAATGGTATGCCCACAGCCTTTGGATGGTAGCCATCTGAAACCAGTTGCTGGATAGTCTTCCCTCAAACTCGCACACCTTTTCCAACAACCACAAAGTTGGGGATAAGACATCCGTATTTGTTTCCGATGTACACATAGTACTGCCCATGCGTGATATCTTGAACAAGCTGAAATATTAGGAAAATAGAAATGAATTTAACTGTGCAACCAACGTCAATGAAGAGAAAAGCACAGTAGTTGGTCGGCGATCCAAGAACCATCTTTTGATCGAGATCTCTGTTCCCTTTCAGTATGATGTGCTACAATAAATCCAAAATGACGGGGTAAGGCGCAGATTCCTTACTTCTCCAAATGCCCAAACAATGGTCGGCTTGGCCGCAGAGATAAATTTGATTGTGAGGCAGCAACCTTTCTTGTGAGCACCGTCAATACGTGGAAGCAACCGCGTCTCCAGATCATAGAGCACTGGGTAGAGTCTTTTGTCTTCGCTGGAAACATCAATTCATAATTTCTCATAGAAAAATGTGAATCATACGCTTTCGATTTTGCCTGAAGCGCATGAGTTCCCGGAGCAAGGAAGACATCGCCGACTGATCGAAGATCCACATTCAGATTGTTTGTCATCGCGGCATGAAGGGTCTTGAACAGATCTTTCATTTGTTGCGAGTGATTGTTCCGCAGTCCCCGCTGTCCGATCGGCTTTCCAGCATGCCATCCTTCCTCGGGCGGGACGCGCAAGTAGAGGTCAGTTTCGATATTGTCGGGACTTTCGTTGGTGTAGTCCAAAGTGCCGGCAGCCGTAGCAGCCCCCACAGCCAGTTCCACGCGTTGGTTAATCAACCTCAACTCCGGGATGAACGATGTATAGATTTCTGTAGAAACATAAGAACATTTCTGAATTATGAAATCTTGAAATTCGTACCATCCGCGTATCCCTTGAAGATTTTACGGATTTTGAAGTTCTTGTTTCTGAATTTGCGCCACGAACGAAGCTTCGAATAGTTCATTTTGGTCAAGTACCTGTAAATAAAAAATCAACGTGACTGGTAAGACGAGAAATTCGGTTGATAATAAGAAAATGATAATATTCGGCGCATGTGATTCAAACACACAGACTCCGCCTCAAAACGCAAGTCGCGCACACTTTTATTCTGCAACCCTCGCACACATAGGGTCATCGATAGACACTCAGCAAGGCGGACACATAATACACGGGCGAGAGATTGGAGACGACCGACTGCATAATGTCGAGTCGGTCGGCGTCCGCGCCGAAGGGACGGAGATGAAACTGGCTATCGAGGGGAACAGATCGATAGCGGCGAGGCCGTTTGAGACGGAGTAAGAAAGAGAGAGAGAACGGGGAGAACGACAGATGCGTGGGCTGGTGAAGAGACGGAAATAAGATGGGCCTCGTGATACACGCGAAAGAAACCCAATTGACAAAGTGTTTACGTACTATTAAAAAGAACGACTTTCATTGGAAAAGACACTCTGCTATAGCAAGCCAGTCAACGCTGAAAGTGAGAGAGCGATAATGAAGTAACACCAAAAATTGATATTTTCACATGACTTCATTAAAAATTTACGGCAAAAAGGGAACAAATCATGGAATTCTCGGAACCTTTCCAAAAAAGAGTCAAACGTCAGCTGGAATAAAAAAGGAGAGCTTTGAAAACGGTTGGAGCTTGTGTAGCTGGCATTACTATACTGTCAAATAAACGGGGAATCATTTAAAAATCCGGATGATATTGAACAAAACTTGTCGTTGAATCGAATAAATTACTATGAAGATGTCGAGTGCGGTGTTGTAAACTTCTTAAAAACAAGAAAATTATTGGCGCCAGGAAAATTACCAGTTCTCTTACATTGGGTAAGGAGTTACATGTCCAAATGTCTGAGTGGTTGATCGGCTCCCTTCAGCTTCTTGTTCTTCTTCTTGTTCTTCTTCTTCTTGTTCTTCGAGACAGGCGGCTCCCACTGGAACATCACTTCGCCCACTTGGAAATCTTCCTCTGGATCTGGCTGCATCTCCGGCACCAACTCCGGCTCCACGCCCGGCGGCACCTTAACCGGCGTTGGTCCTTCCGACTCGGTGTCCGACAGTTCAGGCATGACATTGAAATAGTCGTGAACTTTCTGCTTGAGATTCATGCCAGTCGCAAAGTTGTATCTGGCCGGGATGAATCCGTTCTTAGGCAACGGCATTTGCCAAATGTTCTTTCCTTTGCAAAAAGCAAAAGGAGACGGTCTTTTTTCTCTTCCGAAAATCATGTTTGGATCTCTCTCCGGGATTACCAGTGGAGGGGTGATTTTAGTGCTTTTGCTCTTGATTTTCTCAAGCAGAGTCCGGTTGAAAGCTCCCTTCTTGAATTTATCGAATCCGTTCTTCTTTGGCTCCGCGGGCTTCGAGGGCTTCGAGGGACTTCTCGGTGCTTTCAGAGTGCGGTCGCTGCCTCCGCTGACCAGAGTGTTGACCGGGCTCCCACTACTCGATTGGTTCGTCTCCGTTCGCACCGGCGACGGGGATCTCTGCTGTCCAAGCAGGTCCATATCAATCTTCATCTGCTGGCTGAGCTTGGTTTTGATGGCTAATTTCTTGTTGTTTTCAAGCATTTTTTCGGAATATTTCAGTCCTTGTGACAATAGGTCCAACAACTTTTGTCCGTTTTGCAAAGCAGTTTGGCTGCAGACTGGATCCGACATTCTTTGAAAAGCGAGCTTCTTGATTTCAGAGGCCAACTGGAAATGATTCAGATAAGTTTATGATAGGACAATGTTTCTTACGTTGTGAATGTTCATCCAAGTCTCACTGGCTAGTTCGCAATTTCCTGACCTCTTGTACCATTCCGGTGAATTCGCGAAAGTTGGCACACACGGCTGAAGAGGGAAACCAAAATCCGGAGGCAACTTTGCGGGTTCTTTGCCGTCCTTCTTTCCGCTATTTGGCTCTGAAGGTCCTGCGCGGGCCTGTCCTGGTTTTGGAGGAAAGCCTGGCGGAGGTCCGATAGGAGGACCTGACGTGCTTTCTCCCCTCTCGCTCTCCTCCTCCAGTTTGTGATCCTTTCCCGAGCATGGGTTCACTCGTCTTGTCAGATTTCTAATCTCGTACTTCTGCAGCTCAACCTTTGCGGGAACTCGTGCACCGTGAAAAACACCATCCGGCAGCCGAAGATTTTCCAGTTCTGGTTTATCCAGCTCGAATCCGACTGCCCTGAAAACGATTAAAGTAAATGCCTTTTCTCAGAGTGTGGGTGAACGTACTTGATATCATAAACGCTCAGGAAATGCATAGGGTGGTCGCTGAGGTGCCAGTGCTTGAAACAGTACACCATGTTGTGTGCATTCCATTCCGGACCCAATTCTGGTTTCCAGTTGATGTCACTGAACATGCGAAGTGTCGTCAGTTGACGGGAAGATAAACGTTTCTGGCCGACGGTTTTGTCGTGTGAGAAGTGTCCGTAGCAAACAATGACGGCGGCAAATCCGCGGTTGACAGCCAACTGAAAATGACACGTGTTTGTCGTAAATGGATTCGCTCTGAAGTTGTACCTTTGCAAAAGCGACACACGGCTCGCCGACTCCGTACGGACATCCGTAGTATTTGACGTCTTTCTCTTTGGTTTCGATGAAGACGAAATCAGTGCATCGTGTTGAAATAAAGTTCTGAAATAGAATAAATCGAATCGACAATCGGTGAAAATGGAAACGAAACGCACCTCGGCCAGTGCCATTGTCTCGAACTGATGAGTTTCTGTGTGCTCATTTGCATATTTTGTGATATGGGAATCGATAGTGTCTCCGGGGACCATTCCTTCGGGAAGTCTCTGAAAACAAGAGGATTTTTTCTGAATTGTAGTATTGATTATTCACCTGCAACAGAGTGTCCTGATTGATCGGCTCCTCCAAAAGGTACGCTGGGGGTGTCCCGAAGACACGTCTGTAGTGATCGGAAACGACTTCCATCACCTGAAAATCGATAATCTAGTCTTGAAAATTAAAAATGACGGAAGAAAAGACGGGCGATGTAGATGACAAATGGCAAGCGGCAAAAGAAAAAGAATTCAATTAAGAGAGGTTCGATGGCCGAAAATTTGATGAAATGCGACGGGAGAAAATTGAAAAACCGCAAAAAGTGTGCATTCTTGCATAGAGGGGAGACACGCAACGAAGCCGCAACGCAGCCACATACCCCCTCTCTCTGCCCTCTCTTTTTATCGCACAATTTCTCTGCCAGGGTGTCCGCTCCGCGGCTCTCGGTCCGAACGACGTGGGCAACGACCATTAGTTTTTCGCTGGCCGAGAAAACTCCGAAGGAAACTAGTCCCTCACGGCCCCGACTTTTATATTACCGCTTTATTACCTCTAATTAATTAAAAACGTTTGAGTAATATATCTCACAGCTTCAGTTTACAAAAATCTGTATCTTTACAGGAAAAAATGCTATAAAATGCTGATCCCTGTCTGTAATGAGCGATTGCCGGTCCGGCTTGAGATTTGCGTGATCTCAGCAAAAGCCTTGCCGGTTATGAACAAAGTAAGTTGGAAAATGGAGTCGTTTTCTCGATACATGAATTTTAGAGCATAAACTCAACAGATGCGTTTGTGGAAGTACGTTTCTTGGAGACCATTGACAAAACCGACGTGATCACAAGTTTGAATCCTGTTTGGAACAGCGAACAGTTTGTTTTCGACACAGACGAGAAAGAATTGACGGAAGAATGGCTGCAGCTGAGGTAGCTTCTAGCTTCATCGCACGGAACTTCCGAAATGATGTTATTCAGAGTAATGGACCACGACACGTACTCAGCGAACGATGCAATCGGCCGTGTTAACGTAGATTGTAACATTTTTCTCGAACGGATGAGACTAGATGGCATGGAGGTCTTGGAGGAAACGTTCACGATGAAGGTCTACGACACGATCTATGGAAATCGTGGAGATGTGACTATCGGCATCAAAATGCACCTCCTGATGCAGTACAGTCCGAAAAACTACGTGCATATCATGACGGGTAACTTTAATGAACTTTGCCATCCAAACATGTGTATTTTAGCTACAATGGTTCCCCCGAATCTCCGTATCTCTGAAATTCTCGGCTTAGTGGACAACATTCGATGCGAGAAGGATCCCGATTATGAATGGCTCGACAAGTATTATTTCCATTTCGTATTTGTTTTAATGTTGTGTGTTTTCCAGAATCCGCACGCCGCGAGCAACCAATGAAGCCAGACAAAACGCGATCAGAGTGACAATGAGAGATGCGATGATGGGAATAGCTCACAAAGCTCATAAAATGGGAGGAAATGCTATTTTAGGGTAACTGGACATCCCAGATTCTCGAAAAATTAATCTTTTTGCAGAATTTTGGAGAATGTAGACATGGAAGGATCATCGTCAGATCTCTTGACGTGTAGAGTGATTGGAACATGCTTGAAAGTTGTTCATGAGAATTTCTTTCCGATTCCATATACAAAACCGTCAAAGCCTATTCTAACAATTGACAAAGTTCCGCATGAAAGGTAAATAAACGATGCTCCAGCCACAAGTAAAATTATAAGGAATTCAGGCAAATCGGACTTGGATCATTGCTAACATCACGCTCAATTCAACTTCTGAACGAGGACGAGGATCCCGAAACCGTTCGAAGAGGGTATTGGGTTGCTTTGCGGGCAGAAATATTCCAACAAGCACGTAGCATTGGTTGCAATCTTATTGTCGGATACAGCGAGACTGTTACTGTGAACGAAGGTAATCGTACATAACTTCAAACAAGAAAATCGATAAGTTGGTTGAACAGGTGTCGCGCTGCTCACATGCACCGGTACCGCTGTCGTTCTGTCCGATGGAACCGATCCAGTGGCAACAAGTCTCATTTTCAACGAACAGAGTGCGCGAAACAGTCCAGTGGTTGTCAGAGAACCAAATGAGAAAGAGGCAAAGGAGAAGAAAGCGTTGTTTAAGGTAATCGGCTCTTGAATCGTCATAAAACGTTACGACCACTATCGGAAATTATTTTCACTTCGCGTGTTCTCCAAATATGCAAAATGTATACCAGCTTTCCTCCTTTCAGTTCAACGGTTCGGAAGGCCGGGAGAAGCGAGCCGATTCTACACCGCGAGCCTTCCGCTGCAATCAGTTCCACTGTCCGACCCAAGAGACAAAATACTTCTCGCCAACTAAAGTGCTTCCTTGTGCGTATTGCAAGTGAGTTGTCCCCGCCACTTTCCATTAGCGAGATTCTGTTCAGAAACGGTCTCGTCTCGGAATTCATCCTCTCTACTCAAATGTGTCCTCCCCCACAATACTACGCAGGCCCTCGCAACTTCATCCAAGTCTCCGTTTGCAAAAAGATCACCAGTGATTCAAGCGAGGCGACCGAGTATGCTGCAGATATTGGCAATGTCGGTGGAGGTTGCGTGTGCAATTGCAACAAACACGACTCTGTTTGCAGGCTCTCCCGTACTCCGATCACGAGTTGATTGGCAACTTGCTGACCGAGGCGAAGAGTGTGTATCCTCTCGGCAATGCGATCTTCTCGATTGCGATCACAAATGCCGTCTGCGATGATTCTCTCGTTTCCATCATCACCGGAGTCCTCGTTCGTCTTTTAGTCGTGCAGGTGTGTCACTTTTTCTGTTGTTCTCTGGCATGGCAATCCCCATTCAACTCACGAGATCACACAATTAGAACAGGCCGAAAAAGGTTATTATCAGCTCCTTGTTTGTATCACGCCATACCGTAGGAAAATGCTTCATGAGAGACGAATGCCGACTGACCGGAGCCGCCAATGCAAAATTTCCAGCACATAGTCTAGTTATCAGTCAAGAAATAGGAAATTGGTACCCGCGGGGCGAAGTCCGAAACTACGGAATCATGTGAATGTCCAGTGATCGGCACATGGAACGTCCACGTAGCTATTGATGATACACATTTGATCGAAAATAGATGTTGATCCACGGGTTAGGCTACAGAATGAAAACGGTGATTCACATGAGAAGATAAATAAAGAAGATGGTGAACAGCAATGGATGTTCTTCCAACTTTATATATACACCCAGCCTAAATGTTTTTTTTACAGAAGACCGAGGCTGCTTCTCCATCCATAACAAATGTATTGTCCTTTTCTTCCCTCCAACGTCAACATGACGCCAGACGCTTTTCATGGGGGACCGTACGAGATGCGATCCGATTCAAGCCAGCAGTGCAGGCGAGTCTGACTCTGAAGATTCTGAACATAAAGTAAGCAATTTCTCATTGTTCTCTGTTTCTGTTTGTTCATTGTTTACATCACAGGCAGTCCATGGATGATAACTCCTCGACGTCTGCAAAAAGTCGGCTACGACTGAACACAATTGTCGATAAGGTACCGGGACACATGAAAACGCTACGTGATCTTTGATGTTGTGAATTCAGGTGCGCAGAAAGCAGCACAAAGATTACGTTTCACACGTGGTTTTCGAAAGACATATGAGCCTGTCAATTGGGATTCACGAGAACCAAAGTGCCGGAAATGCAACATCCGTACGTGACTGAAGGGAAATCCAACAACAAAATAGATGTTTCCAGATTGCCGGCGTGCATTTATCGTCTTCTCTCTACCCGCAATTCGTGAATCGCGACGTCGTGGAGGGCATGATACCAATTGCAAGATTTTCCGACGTTTTTGTCAGGTCAAGAGCCAATTCGGAAACGAACATTCCGTTCAACTATGGCGTTTTTTAGAGAAGACTTGACAACTGCCGTCCGAGATTCCACAACTGTCGATGGATTTGTGACAAACGCACTGGAGGAACGAATAACAACTATTAAAACTGTTCTATCGCTGGGAGGATCTAACGCCGTTGTCGCGAACATGAAAATATCTTGTCCTCAGTTCAATGTTTCCAAAGAGCACGCCCACATCATCCTACTTGTTAGCGTCGATTTCTATAACGTACCATGACTTTTCCATGAGCTGTCAACTTTTCAAAGCTGTTAACATCGATTCTCTAATGCCATTTTTCAACCAGTCTACGCAAAATAAATGGTTTTGACCTCCGATAAAATTTCCCCTCTATCCCGTCGCCTGGTTTTACCAGTTCCTTATCACCGTACCTGTTGCAACAAAAAAGTTGATCTCTCGAGGTTTTCTGCCTCTTCTCGTCACCCGAGCAGCCCGTCTATTTCGTCCAGCCGGACACTATAAAAGAACACTCCCTTTTGCGATAATCAGCCCACTTTCTGTGTTCGTAACAGTTTGTTTATTAGTCGAATTAGGTTTACACAGTAGATTCTTTCGGTTCGACAAGCGCGGCGAGCAGACTGTCATTGCTGATTTTCTGCTCGTTGTTGTACTTGGACAGTAGTATTGAGTAGACAAAGACGATGAGCATACAGAACAGAAATACCATTGCCACGCAGGCACACAGTTTCACGCTGCAAGTAGTCTGTGTTGTTGTTTCAAACCCAGTGAGCCTAACCAGAGAATGTTCTTGTGGCCGCTACACGGCAATTCGCTCTGCAGATCAGTATTTGCGCGCGTAGCCTCGAAAGTTGATGGAACAGTCAGGTATTGACCCTGAAACAACACATTCCGTCGGCAATTATCAGTGTTTGTATCTTGCTATCAGTTTTCATCATCATCTCGGCAGTTTATCACAACTGTGTCTATTCCTAACACAAACACCTTTTTGCTCCGAAATCATGACGTTTTTCGTAGTTTTTTCTATCTGACTCACTTCGCTTCCAGAAAATAGTCTAGCAGGTATAATAGTAGAATTTTGAACTGCCAACGGAGTTAAAACCGGCATTGCTGCCGTTTTAGGCCTAGACTCACTAGTGAGAAGAAACCTAGTTGCGACGTCTTTGTAATTTTAATTGGATGAATGTAGATCTAAAGAATTTCTTCGACGAGTAGGCGTATAAACCGGAAACCAAGCTTGCCGAGCATTCATTGAGTAGATTGTTTTTCCTACAAATGTATGAATGTTTTGAGACCGAAGTGAGGCAAAGAGACATGATTCATATGTACGAGGGAGGGACAGACGAGCCAGCATTTATATAAAACGTCTGTTCCTTTCAAGATCTTACACACTTTTCTCATTCGTCTTATTCCACACCGCCAGCAAACGTTATTTTTCAGCAATGACTCGAAAAGAGGTAATAATCGAACACGATGGGTTCGAAGAGGAAAAACAAGAGGAGCTGACGAGATACGAAAGAGTCGTCGGATGGGTCATGTACCACTTCCGATGGGTGTTTGTTTGCCCGTTCCTTCTGCCACTCTCATTCATCTTCGAACATGTCTATGCCGTCCGCAACTGGATTGTTCATACGGTAAACTCTGCGCCAGGGGCCCATCTTCGAAAAGTTCAAGTCATTTGCGATGAGGTTTGATCACACAAACATGCACTGCAAATCATCTGGAACGGTTTAGGTAAAAGAATGGAACGAAAATGGAAAAAAGTCGAAAATGGTGAATGCACGACCCGGATGGCAGTCAATGAGCTTCCGTTTCCCAACATATAAGGATAATGCAACGAAGATAAGCACCGACAAGCTATTTGATATTTTGGATGTAAGTCGAACTTTCCGTTTTTTTTTTCAAAGAAATTCAAAATTCAGCTTGACGAGGAGAAGATGACTGTGAAAGTTCAACCAGGAGTGACGATGGGTCAACTGTCCAACTACCTGATCCCACGCGGATACACTCTCCCAGTCTTGCCAGAACTCGACGATCTGACTATCGGAGGACTTATCAACGGATGTGGAGTCGAATCCGGATCGTTCAAATACGGCATGTTTCAGCACATTTGTGTATCGTACGAAATTGTCGATGCCGATGGAAATTTCCGTTCCCTCATCCCGGATTCTGTACGTTTCGTGTTGTCATTCTGCGTGAAACCTTAGAGAAGGGCTTCTGGGATTTGTCGGATTCAGTTTTAGAAATATAGTCTTAGAATTAACATGTTTTGTTTGATTAGAAGAGTGTGGGCAACACATTAAATGTTTTCAGATTAGACTAACTGCAATTGTCCGGCAAATCCCAGAAGACTTTCTTGAGTTGAGCGAAATTGCAGGCAGCCAAAACGAAGGAAGCTAAACAGGACACCTCTTGGTTCTATGCCATTCCCTGGAGTCACGGAACCATTTGCTTCTTGGTTTCGGCGACAATCAAGATCATTCCTTGCAAGCCTTACGTCAAGCTCACCTACATCAAGACCGCAAAGCTAGAGGAAATCTGTGAAAAGCTTACAGAATGCAGTGATCGATTCTCGGAGACTGTGGACTTTGTGGAAGCTCTCCTCTTCGATAAGAACAAGGGATGCGTCATGCTTGGAGAGTCAGTTTATCATTATTAGAGTTGGAATGAACTCTTTTCGTTCCAGGTTTTCTGACGGGCCCGATACGGATGACGAGATAATCAACTCTATCGGCCGGTTCTACAAAAAATGGTTCTACACGCACGTCGAAGATCTCATTGACCAGCGCGATGAGTCCGTGGAGTACATTCCACTCCGTCACTACTATCACCGCCATTCCCAGAGTATTTTCTGGGAACTCCGAGACATTGTACCCTTTGGCAACAATTGTGTTTTCCGTTACCTGTTCGGCTGGCTGTGCCCGCCCAAGATATCGTTCCTCAAGGCAACTACCCCAGATGTGCTCAGAAAGCTTTACGATCGAACACATGTGATTCAGGACATGCTCGTGCCGATAGAAACACTTGAGAAAACGGTTAATCTGTTCCATGAAACAGTTGAGGTCAGTTTAAAGTAGGAAGCTTTCAAAACTTGCTTGATTTCAGATTTATCCCTTGTGGCTCTGCCCGTTCTACATGAAAGCGCAACCCGGATTGATGAAACTCAGAAATGCTGCTCATAAAACGTACATTGATGTTGGCGCCTACGGAGTGACTGCTAAAGAAAACTACCATCCTTCGAAAACCACAAGACAGTTGGAAGAGTTTGTGAGATCAGTCAACGGGTTCGTAACTCTCAAAAAAATAATGAAAAAACACGCGCTACAATTTCAGATTCCAAATGACATATGCCGACATTTACATGACGAAAGCCGAGTACGGTCAGATGTTCGACAGAACGCTCTACGACTACATCCGTCAAACTTGGGAGTTGAAGAACGTTTTTCCCGATGTGTACGACAAAATTAGCAGAAAGAATCGCCGTTAATAGTGTTTTTCAAATGTCAAGTATTTTTTTTATTGTTGCCTTTATCCCGTCTTTGCTCAAACCGCGCTTAGTTTACAATTAACGTATACCTCATTTTTGTCCTCAGATAATTTTTTCGAGCATTTCTCTCCATATTTATTACGTACTTGCTCTATTCTTAAGTTTCCCATATTTAGTTGTTGTTTCAGATGAAATTGTAAATAAAGCTTCTCTTTTCTTTTCAACTTTTTTCATTCTGGATTTTGTAGATGACGTTCTCGCAACCAACAATTCCACGATTATTATGTCTTCAATCTTGAAGAACATATCATTAAATTGACTTTTGTGTGTTTTTTGTTCTTTTCCTTTTTTTCGTCCGTTCTTCGCTAGGTTCTATGGTAACCGACATTAGACAAATCACGAAACACGCATAGAAACCAATGAAACATCTTCTTCTCTCTCTATTTTCTATTTATTTCGTTCATCTTCTCATTTTGTGAAAAAAATGTCGAGAGCATTAGACAAAGGACCAATCAAAATGGTTATAACCCTTTCCAACCAATCGCTCACTGAAAATCAGGAACATGCTACCAAACTTCGGACTATAGGTATTATTCGAGTTTTATCAAAAACCATACTTAATGTACGTGTTCAGTGGAATTTGCATGTGACAAAATTGCGGATTTGTTTTTAACGTTTCGCGAAGATTACGAATTTCGTCGTTTTGAAGTCATCTCTCAGAATGTTTGCGCAAAAGCGTTCAGTCCGAAGAAACACGTGGCAAAGTTTATTTACGCTGATGCCTTTGTAAAATGTACATTTTTTTCAGATTTTTACAAAATCAACCTGAACTGATTCTCCTCTTTTTCACTGGAGATTATGCACATCTAACTTCGTGCAATCATGGCTTCCATACATATTTTCTCGTGCCGATGGAGTGGATGGAAACCCTTCCCAATTGTTTGAAAGGATCGGAAAATTGGGCCCCCGGAACAAAACTAAAGTTTGGCGAGCTATTATCTCACCTGGTGCATGAAATATTCCATTCGGTAACTGAAATAATGTATTCTTTCAAATAATGTTTATCCAAACATTCAGCTCGGAGCATTCCACGCATCCGAAGGAGTTATGTCGGGTTACGTGGATTTGCTGGAAAGAGTCAGCCACGTCGGCGAAGTGAAGCTTCTCCCTTTCACAGATCCGAAAACGGTCACGATTATTTGCGAGAGCCTATCCATAATATCGACATTGCCGCCCCAACGAGACTTGAAATATGTACATTTCTTTCTAAATAAAAGCTACACATTTTTTGCAGAGTCCCGAAATCGGTCGTCTAATATATGAGACGGACCAGAGTATCGCGGCTGCTTTTTTCGTATTGAAGTTGGTGAAACGAGCTGAACATATTCAAAACAAAATCCACAAAATTATAGCGGAAAATATGCGGATCCTTATGCTCAGTTCACTTGTTTGAATGCCTGCAAAGGATACACGGAGTTGGTGCCAAAAAAGTGGGATGGATTCGTGGTTGTTCACTTCTGCGGCCACATTTTCTACTACTCCAAAAAAGATGTGTTAACAACCAGAAGATGTACGAAAACTGTCGTTTTCTGATAATTTTGTTCTAACAGATGCATTTATTTAGTTCTCAAAATACTGTGAAACTTTGGAAGGAACATTTGAGATCAGATATTCTCAAATTAATAAAATATTATTAGGCGTAAGTTGCAGACAACGGGGCGTCGGGTTGTAAAAATCGAAGTCTAGTCTTCCTTGTTCGCGTCGACGACCATGAACAATTTTTGGGTGAGTATCGTAACGGAATCTGAAAGTTTTCTGTAAAAACTTATCTTGATCGATTGGTACCTGTGAGGGAATCGATGAACTTTGGTTTGTTTTTCCAGGCAATGAAGACGAGGTAAACTGGAACTCCAGACAGCATTATCAGAATTCCGATTGCCGTGTCCTTCGGGTTTCCGAGCACAGGCACCAGGACCAGGAGCACACATCCAATGAAGAAAATGATTGGGAAGATGGTGGGCGCCTGGAATATAAACTTCTATAAGTGTGCACTAACACTAACGATAACTCTACCTTGACGGCTCTCGGAGCATCCGGCATTGTCTTTCTGAAGTAGAAAAGCGCGAGGATGGCTCCTCCGATGGCAATCCAATAGCTGACTTGGATGTAGTTGATGAGCGAATAAATGTTGTTGGACAGCAGCAAGTAGAACAGAGACAGCAGACCCTGAAAAACATTTCATTCTCGAATCTTCTATTAGATCACTCACAGTCAGGATGACGGCTGGAATTGGAGTTTTCGTCTGCTTGTTGACCATCGTGAGAACATTTGGCATCTGTCCTTCACGAGCTCCGCAGTAGAAAAGTCTGCATTTTTGTCGAACTTGTGGATTAAATTTAAGAACTTCATCCTCACCTGGAACTGGTCAAAATGACTCCGTTGGCAGATCCGATGGTGGAGCAGGCGACGAAAATGGGCATGCAAAAGGCAAAGTATCCGTAGTTTTTTTCGGCGAACAACTGGAAATGGATAATACTTGCGCATCTGGTTCCGTGTTCTTGCTTACCACAGCCACAGCCGGGCTCGCAAGCATCTCATCGGGACTGATGGAGGTGTAAAGGGCGATGTTTGTGAGAGTGTAGATGATAGTGCACAATGAGCACGAAATGGCAATGGAAAGTGGAAGGTTTCTGAAAGAATGATATATATATATATATATAGTTATGCAGTTAAAATCGAAATGTATCAAAATCTAACCTTTTCGGATTCTGAAGCTCTTCAACAATGAAGTTGAGGTAATTCCATCCTTGATAGGCGAACAATCCCGAGTAGAAAGCAAGGGAAGCGGTTTGGAAATCTTTGGCGGTGTTCTCGAAAATGTTCTCAAACGAGTCCCAAGCTTGTGCTTTTCCTATAAACTTGACATTTTTCAAGTGTCACAATTAACCTATACCAACCAGAAACTAAATTCCACAGTCCGGTGAAAATGATCAAGATGAGAGCAGCAACTTTAGCAACAAAGAAGATGTCCTGAACTTTGTTAGCCCATTTGACAGAAATGCAGTTGACAGCGGTGAGAAGAACTGTAAACTCAGACTTCTTGCTGCAGATTTATTCGTTTTCAGTTCTTACTGAGCAAAAGAGCGGCAATGAGTTCGGTGGAGAACGGTGGCGCATCGCAGTCCGGGTAGAAAGGCTTGAGCATGTAAATGGCGAACGTGAGGGCGACGATGGTAGCGGTGCATGGTCTGAAATTAACATTTCCGTTGATTTATATTGCCCGAGATGTTATGTCTGTACCTCACAACAATGCTCTCAATCCACAATCTCAGAAAGGCAAGGAACGGTCCAAAGGCCTCCATGATGTAAGCATAGTCACCACCAGATTTTCTAATGAGAGTTCCTAGCTCTGCGTAGCAATAAGCTCCGATAGCAGCGAACAATCCAGAAAGGACCCAAACAATAAGGGACAGCCCGACGGAACCAGCTTCTGAACAATATACAGGTTATCAAGATAGTCATAAATATTATTTCCGTCTTATCTCTTAAGAAGTCTCAATATAACCCAAACACTATGAGATTTTATGAGAGTTGATATTATCAGAAAAAGATAAAACGCACGGGCTTGGATTCCGGTAGGACTGATGAAAATTCCCGATCCAATAATGCAACCAACGATGATGGAAACACCGTTGAAGAGTGTCATCGACTTTTCAAGTCCTTTATCACCTCCCTCCTGAATTAAATTTCAGCTTTTGGTCTCAAGTTTTTTTCACAATACCTCATGAGGATCGTCAGGTTGATTGAGAGGTTCGGATTGTTCTTGTTTCCCCATTGCTTTCTGAAAAACTGAAAAATTGAGAGTGAACGTGTCATGCCCCGACAGATAGAAATGGCAGTAAAAAGAGAAGAGAAAGAGCGAAAAGAATACGTGTTGGGGGTAGGAGTAAACAGCAAATAATCCTACGAGTTTGTAGCGGCACTTTTAACGCGTCAGCATAAAAAAATGTATAGACATTCGTGAAGCGGTCAGACCCTCGAGTTTCGAAAACCGAAACACGAAACTAGTTGTGTATACGTGCCAAGTGGGGACAACGTATTTGAAGACGAAAGAGCAAATGTTAATGGAAAAGTGGGTGGTTGAGGGGAGGTGGGTGAGGCGTGCCACAGAGTTCTAATGGCAGGAAACGTGAAGACAGAAGAGATAAACAGCAAAAGAGATGTGTGAGGAGAGGCACTGAACATGACGGGGGTCTCAGGTCAGTGCGGTCCATTAGCTGCTTACTCGCGGCACTCAACGCACCTACAAAAGGACGTCTTAGCGGTGACAGTTAGTCTTTTCCACTTGTTCAGCCACTACTTGCAACCATCTTGTTTGGCTATCCGCAAGCAGAAGTCAACGCGAATGAATGCGATGCGGATCATAATTACAGGGTGCACAAATAGAGTGGAAGTGGGGCTGTGATGCGGAAGCAGATAATATAAATTGATGAATTGAAAGAGGAAAAAAGATTTCTCCCCGGCCGGGAATTGAACCCGGGTCTCGCATGTGACAGACGCGGATACTCACCACTATACTACCGAGGACACGTTTGTAAGCACGGCGCGTCTTGAAGACATGTCGGCCGCCGGTTGTCGAGTGAAACACTTGTGTGTGCATGCTGGCAGGGGTTTCAAAGACAAATGATAGATGCTATAGGATATAATCGAAAGAGAAATTGATAAGTTTAGAAGAACGAGGCGAAACGTCAGGTGGCTAGGATTAGGGGGATCTCTGAAGTCAGAGCCGATCAAATTTCAATTCAAACAGAATTGAAAGTAGACGATTTTCAAATCAAAACAAAGCAATTGGAGACACGGAGAAGGTCATAAAAGGGCCCGAGTCATTCTCTGAATGTCATTTCAAATGAACCGACCGTATCGTTGTGTCTTTATGCGTGTCCATCCGCATTTGTGTGTGTGTGTGTGTGTGTCGGTCGTTTGAGGGACAGAGGGCAAATGACGGGTTCCGAATGGGCAGACGATGACAAAAAGAATCGCGCGGTGGTGGTTTTCCGTCTCCGCATAATGTGCACTATCTCGTGAGTTCACTTACTACATATATGAGTACAACGGTCATCGGATCGCTAATGTGGGAACCATCTTGCCCGGTTCGCTCGGATAATGCACATTTTGAAAGAAAAGAAGATTGCGAAGGCAATGTTTATACTCGTGGGTATGAGTAATGAATCAATAGAACGAAAAAGGGGTGGTCGGATAATGAGTGATGTGACAGGCAGGCACAATCATCATCTCGCAGCCTCAGCTGCGCATATTACAAAAAGCACCAGATGTGTCAGCTTTATTGTCTTGCACTTACCCGTTCAAACGTAAAAAAGGAGGTTTGGAGGCAGGAAAAGTAGCGTTTGGTGAAGCAGAAAAAAGTCGAGTCACCATGCCAACCAAGAGCAGATGTAATTATAGCTAATTCACATTCATGATGCATTTCAAGCAGAAACAAATCACAGATAAGGAAGGTCCTCTCCACAGGGAGAAAACATCAGGGATGTTGCAAAAAAGGAAAGAGATGAGGAAGAAGTTGTTGTTCTTCACATCCCGAACCAATTTCTTTGCTGCGGGCGGCTTTTGGATCGATGCGACACAACGGGGAGAAGAAGAAGAAGCAGAAGATGTCTCTGGGTGGTCATCATCATTCTCTATGATTACTTTTCCCTTTTTTTTCTCCTAGCACCACAGAATCAATTGTTAGGGGAGAAAGCGTGCGCGTGCTGTTTTACGAGCAGAATGACGGCGTGGAGGCAGGATAATGAAATCGACACTCAATGAAAGGAAGAGAAAGAGAAAGAGAGAAAGAGAGAGAGAAATAGATTCGTGGCAGCAATTTTTGGTGTTGATAAACAAACAAATATTTCATTTACTGAGACCAAATAACTCAGAGATGCATAATATTTGAAATTCGTGGCAATCTTTGAGCTCTTCCACACAAAAGAGTTGCGCTGTTGTTATTCCCAGGAAAATAAAGCATTTTGGACGTATTTGAATGCGAATACTTGGGATTTGTCATCCCCCCACCGCTTTTCCAAATGTTTCATCACTGACTGTTCTATGTATTCTTGCAAACTCCAAATTACAAAAAAACACAATTCTGAAAACATTTCGGCTCAAAAATCACTTTTTGAAATTTTAGTACTAAAACCCTTGCCGGGCTTGTGGTCAGACCTCCATTGACGCAGCCCGGCCCGCGAGAGGTCAGATTCAAACCTTCTCCCCGCTGACTCACACTCTCCCGCGCCACACTTTCTTTCTTCATGATCTTTTCCCTCTCCTAGCGCCTGTTTGCCATGCATGTCTACGGCCAAGACCGCCTATACACTCGTGTGCTTCCGTGGCGCAATAGGCAGCGCGTTCGGCTGTTAACCGAAAGGTTGGTGGTTCGAGCCCACCCGGGAGCGAAACCTTTTTACATTTCGAAATGAAAAACGAGAAGGGCTAAGAATGTCGAATATCGAAAGAAAGAGAGAAAGACGAGGGGAGAAGGTCCTGGCGGCGCTCCAACATCTGCCTGTTCGTCAGTGAGTACGCGCTTTCCGTTTTGTTACACTGTGTCATTCGTCAACGTGTCAGTACTTTGTGAACCCCTCCATCCCACACTTCATTCCGTTGCTGTAGAAAAAATGAAAAGAATGCCGGAGGTTCCAGGCAACTTCATAAAATAGAATGATGTTGATCCGGAACGCAACTGTGGGGGAAACGGGGCAACAAACGGAAAAAACATTACAAAACCAGTGGTCACAAACAATGGAAGAGCAGAGAGTATATTGTAAAGCTTCGACGCCGGACGCCACCACGTAACCCTTTGCTAAGCCTGCGCCTTCTTAACTTTTCAGTTTTAATACTCTCATACCCCGTTCTTCACTTCTTTTTCTTTTGGAACCATGCCGCTGTTTCTGTTTTTCTGTTGGAAACTGACGTCATATGCTCTTCTGACTTCGATCCTTTTGCCTAACTATTTCTGCTGCACCCACTTATTCGTATTTTAATATTTTCAGGATGGAGCTTCTAGACTACATCACTCTCTTCGCGTGCCTAATAACAATAAGCGCGTATGGATTTATAAAATCGAGAAAAACGGAGAATGAAGAGCAGAGTGCACACGCAACAATGGTTGGCTCTGGGTAAGAATGACGGAATTTGCGGGGGGAAAGACCAGGAAAAGAACATAAAATGCAGGGTCTCGATTTGGTCGGCAACATTGTCATTGTGCTCCGGATTCATTTCATCCATCTCATTGCTCGGATTCCCAGCAGAGGTACGGAAAGCGGCGAAATCAAAAGAGAAGCCGTCTTTGATTGAATTGGAATAGATAATGGCACTTCTCCTTGCGCATCTGTTGAATATTCTAGTCAACTAGGGTCCTTTTAATTGATGAATCACATGCCCTCCTATAAACAAAGGGACTGAGGAAGACAAATGGTAATTGCAGATTTATTACCAAGGTGGAATGATGCTCTGGTTCGCGCCAATGTACGTCATCTCATTTCCGCTTGTCGCCTACGTATTTCTTCCCGTCTTGTACAACTTGAAGTTGACTACGATCTATGAGGTTGGTATTGTGCAAAAAACTGTTTTCACTACTCTATTTCGCGTTTCAGTACTTTGAGCGTCGGTTCAATTACAAATGCAGATTTGTGACGACGTCTCTGTTTTGTGTACAGGTAACATACATACTGTAAACTGACCGCTCCATAAATAGCTCATCTTAAAACCCATACTAGGCAATTTCGTCATTTCTGCTTCTTAAATTTTCAGATGCTCCTCTACAACTCGGTTGCTCTTTATGCCCCATCCCTTGCGATAGCTGCCATCACGAAAATCCCAATTGCTATTTCCATCTTTATCACAGCAATTTTATCAGCCGTCTACATTAGCATTGTGAGTGGCAAACAAGCTTAGAGCTTGGGGGATTAAGTGACCTTAACAAAACGGATTAGATAGTACTTTTGCAGGGTGGAGCGAAAGCCGGAATATACACATCCGCCGTTCAAATGGCACTGATATTTTTGACGATGGCTTTCATCATTTCGATTGCACTGCAAGAGACAAGCATCGAGAATGTGTACACGAGCGTTTTGCGCGGCAGGCGGCTTATTCTGAACGAGTAGGTCCCTCTCATCATAATGCAGGGGTGAGCAGCCGTTGCGGGGGTTTCAAAGTAACTCTCGATCTCGCAAATGCAAATGCAAATCCTGGCATGCTAAGAATGTAATCGGCTAAAACGCGCGACCTATTGACGCAACTCTGTTTCTCTTCTCTTCTCTCCCCGAGCAATGATCTGCTTCTGAGAGTATTTGCAAAAAGCACGAATATGTCAGAAGCCATCCGTGAATGAATGGATTTGCAGTTTCCGTGTTGACCCAACTATTCGTCATTCGGCATGGTCGTTAGTGATTGGTGGAACGGGAAATATCCTGTCGTTGTTCGCTGCCAACCAGCTCAGCATTCAGAGATATATGGCCATGGATTCGTTAAAGTCGGCTCAAAAGTACGAAGATCAACCAATCGCAATAAAGAAAATGGAAGGAACATTTCAGAGTGGTATTGCTGAACATTGTGTGCAACTCTGTCATCCTTTTTGCATACGTCTCAATTGGCTTCTTAATTTACTCTCATTATCACGAATGCCACCCAAAAATCGGCAATGCGAACGAGTTGCTGCCGCAATTCGTGACTGACGTCATTTCACAATATCCCGGCTCAGTTGGGCTCTTTGCGGCGGCCGTTTATAGTGCTGGAATCAGGTAGGCAGATAAGAAGGGAATCACGGAGCTTATAGATGATTTTAGTACTCTCTCCGCATCCTTTACGGCTGTCTCTTCAATTGTGATAAACGACGTCTGGAAAGTGTACAGAGTGCATAGAAAAATGGCGCCACTGAAGAAAAAGCAAGTGGAAAATGCGATGAGGGTTCTTCGTAAGAGTCTAGAATCGGAGAATACTGCATCGTGAATTCTACTATTTTCAGCTATCATCCTGTCGTTTTTATCCATTTTTGTGGCCCTTTTATGCAGTATGCTTCAAAGTATCATTTTACAGGTTTATCTTTTGTTTTGCCACCAATCTCACGCCCACCTTCGTTCGTAATTTCCAGGTCTCATTTATAGTATTCGGTGCCGGGGGTGGACCAGTTCTCGGATCTTTCGTCGTCGGATTATTCGTTCCTTATGTCAAAGGAAAATCAGCTTTTATTGGATTAATTTCTTCCATAATCGCTTGTTTTGCTATTTCTATTGGAAGCGTTCTTGTGAAGGTGTGTAATTTTAACGTTGTCAGATAATAGCAAAAGTTTTGCAGGTGAAGCCGGTGCCTCTCCAGCTGGGGCAATGCTTCAATGAAACAGTGACATATTATGATGAATCGCTGATCGGACAGGTCACCTCGACACCATTGTAATCGGATTGATTGCAAATCTGATTACCCAAACTATTGTTTCCAGGGCTTATGGGTTAGACCGCATTTTTGCCGTTTCTTATCAATATTATAGCATCATCGCAGTTATCACAAACGTCGCGGTCTCACTTGTCTTGCAAAAACTGTTCGGTGAGTGATGGAGGTTGCAGCGCATCAGAAAGCAGTCAGAAAAGACTCATGACTCTCGTGCTATTATTGGTTACATTCGTTTCCTCGAGGTTATAAGTGTTACGTAGGAGGTCTATCAATTTGAGTGTTTTCCGAGTAAAAGTACACTCACAACACGTTCTGACCTCGTAAAATGCCCAAAAACAAGAAATGTCATCAATGCGAGTATGCACTTTTAAGCAAGATTCTTTGACAAAACAGATCATTTGTAACTACAAGTAAGCAAGCCTTTACTCAATCCTGTATCTGAGCAAATTGCACCTGCCAGAACGCGCTTGTTTGTGTACGTGAACAGCGCCCAAAACCACACCCAAAAGCAACGGGGGCGGGGCCGGCGGGAAGACGAATCCGTGACTTGATATGTTCATTTCCAGAAGTGTGCTCGTTGACAAGCAATCAGATGGAGGTCTCGCTCGAATTAGTCTCTCCGTTGCTTGCCCACTCTTACCCTTCCTCGCAAACCGACCCGGAACTGAAAGCGGCCTGCACGCAACAGGACTCACTCCCGTGAACAGCATATCATATTTGATTTGCTTCCGCTGCTTTCACGGGTCGGAGCCCAATTTCTCTCCTCGCATCAAACTTTATGTTTTCTGCTCCTCTACTCGATTTTCAGTTTCTTGTCCATTTTGCTCTTTATTTATTCATGCCGAAAACAATAAAACTCGGATATGTGACAATGATGTATTCTTTGACCTTTTTTCCCTTTCTCTGTCTGAAAAACAATGAAGAGAACTGAAATAAGATCAGAAACGAGTAAGCGGAAATCAAACTAATTAGGTGTGGGTTGAGCGACATCTGATTGAAAATGGCAGTTCCCCTGTGGTTTCTACCACTGTTTTCCGGCATTGCACGTGTTTCCTCGAATAGCTTCTCATTCATTCCATTACTTTTTTCTTTAAAATTATCATTATTCTTGTTTGCTCAATTTGGTGCGTTGGATTATATTTCATACCTATAGGAACAGGGGAATTCTGTGACATCCGTTTAGAACCGGACATCTTTGCATTTATATTATATCTGACAAATATGTTGGTTTCCAACAGTTCCACCTCCGCTATTCAAACATGCTAATGATGTGACAGACCATTATTTACCGCAAGTCATTGCATTCCAAATTCGGTGAGAGAAATTTAACATCAACATATTCCAGTGCATAACAAAATTTTGTTCAAATTTCCGTAACTCGTGATCGGTTTCCATTGGAATGTCAAACATAAGTACCCCCTTCAAACATTCTGAAATCATCGGTTTCCCGAGAATCAGTCTTCATCCCCATCACTCGTGTCGATTTCTGATTCGATTCTATTCTAATCCATCAGGATTCCGGATATAATCCGGAATGTCTGTGGAAGATATCAAATGATGTGGGCAGACAATACACATGGCACGAAGGTCCCCTGAAATTCAACCTTTTCGGCAAACATCATTTATTATTCGTCAAAAAAAACGACTACACGCTCTGATTCTATCCCCCGAAACTTGTCGAGCTTCCACCTTGGCCAACATGTGGTCCAATATGGAAAAAATCGAAAGAAAAACTTGGGGGGTTGACGTGCGTTTCTCGTCATTTTTTCGCGCGTCCAAGTGTATATGTCGCGAGCTGAGCTGGATTGCAAGACTGGTTCACCGGTGGTGATTAATGTTCGCCTAATGGTCATGAATAAGTTATTTTAGTTTCATTCTAATGTGGAAGCAAGATATTTTTCAGATGATCTGACATTTTATCCGATGTATGTTTTCTGTTTTCCTTTCATTCCCCACCCAGAAGCGTTGATCAGTCAAATTTCACATGCTTATGTTTTATTCGTTCTATATTTACATCAAAGATTCGGCACAATCAACGTTTTCATTATCAGCAAATCATGAGCGAAACGACGACTCGAAACGAGACCTATCACTGAAACATATGACTCGATTCTCCGCCACTCTTGCGTTTTTCTTTGATTTGCTCGTCGACCAACGTGTTGCGTAAAGTGGACTGACATTTCCTCGGCTCATTTTTTCCGCTATCATCTTTTTTCCCTCCTCCTACTCTCCGTGTCCTTCGCGCCCTAACTTGATTATCCACCCTCTAGAAAAGGAGGGGTTGTGTGGAACAGCCACAATTAGGGTACTCATATCTTTCAGCTCATTGTGTGCACATGGCTGAGCTGGATCAACACCGCCCGACTACGTCGACATTCCATCGGCCTACGATGGAGGAGTCGGTGGTGAAGCTGAAGAGGTTGCAACGCTTCACGAGACAATTCTCCATTTTTGTGCATTGTGAGGAAGAGGTTGGTTGGTTTGTGTTCATTTTCTCGCCACAATGGGGCCTCTTGAGCGCGATGCTCGTTTGGAATCGCAAATTAGAAGCCCGGATTTCGATTGTCTCTTTTTCGCGTGTCATTGTTTCTCATGCTCTCAATGTAGCAACTCCCAAATGCTGTCAAGACAACGTTCAGCCGTTTATGATCACTGGTCATCGGTTTCAATAGTATGAATGCAGTTATCTTAATTGAGAGTACTGAGCAGAACAAGCATGAAATTGGAGCTAAACGATTTTGAGTTTGTTCCATGTGACTGGTCTCCTACTTTTTGTTGACTCGTTTCGCAACTTCAACTCGACCCACAACCACCGAACTACCCACACACTTTTACTTTTCCACTCTCATTACTTTGCCCCTTATTTTTGCAGAAGCTTTCCAAAATTCCGTCCGAAAAACCGACCAAAGATGAGAACAAGGACGACGGTCTGTTCAAGTATCCCGGAAACTTGCGGGCCATCAAACGAAAGAGACACGTACCCAAACAGTGAGTCATTTGAAAGATGCCAAGGGTTTTTCCAATTTATCAAGTTCAGACCCGTCAAGAGTATCAGTGTCAAGCGGAAGATGATGGAGCATCAGAAATCAATCCGCGAAGAGCCGGAGGGACCACCAACTGAGTCAGAGATCAAAGAGGAAATGGATCAGAAAGTGAAAACAACTGATGTGGAGGAGGAGAAGGGGGAAGAGGAAAAGCTTGAGAGATCGGAATGAGATGTCCGCTTTGTGAATTTCTGTATATGTACCTGTCCCGATGATTCAGAAAAATGGGAAACTGACAAAAGTATAAAATCGTAGTGTACCCACATGATATTTATTGCAACGTAACCTGCATCTATGAATAAATTCATTATTTTGTATGACACATCGAAAGTTGACCACAAGGACCCATTGAACGTGTAATTTATCAGTTGGCTCGAGTGACTCAACTCGCTTTCCTGACGGGATCTCCTATTGCACTGCGGGAACATTGTAACTCAAACCACAATCATAAAAAGATGCACATTGTGATTCATCTGGTTTGCATCCATTTCATTCAGCATTGGCTAATAAAAGCAGTGTGTGAGAGTGGAGGAGAAAACTTTTCAGGTGCCTCTGGTGGGCGCCCACCACTTCCATCAATCATTTCCAACATTTTGTTGTGTACCAACTTACAAAGCTTTCTGAAACATGTGTTATTAGTCACTCTTTTTACTCATCTTTGTTTGATTTATTCTATCATTATCACTTTAATATCCATTAGGCGCCCCTGCTTGTTTCCTCTCCAAACAAACATTGTTTTTCACCCAAAACATAGTTATATCCGCAGCAATTATTGGGTTTATCCAGAATTCCTTCACATTTTTTCTAGAAACAGCATGTGTTGCCCGAGCAGAAATTGCTTCCTGGAACCTAACCTTGGGTCGTGGAATGTGATCGAATGCAATCTTTTATTTATGTGCTGCCTCGAGAATTAAGTAAGTGAGTAGGTGATTGGTGTGCTTAAGACTCTCTAATGAGTCTACGAATGAACTGCTCATCAACAAATTGTTGCAGAATGCGTTCATTGCCGTCAAGTTCAGGAAGCAACACACTCTTTATAATTATTTTACCAGATTCCAAAAAAAGTTTCGTTAACAGCAGGTGTAGTCAAGCTGTGCGCATATTTGTCCAAATGCTGATTTGTCGTTCGTTTTTGGACGGTCGAGTGAGCATATAATGAGACTTTCGATTTCTGCAGGCTTCATTACCCATTTGCAAACAGAAACAGAGTCTTAGAATCAGACGAAACTCTTTGCAAATCCTTCAGACCTATGATCTGAAACGTCAGCCCTTCTCACGCTCGAACCGACTGAGCTATGGCGGCTGTTAAACTTTTGCGCTCGTATTCCATTGATAATGTCGGTGACTGACTGGAATTCATGATTACTTCAAATTTTTAAAGTGTATCCTCGCGAGATGATTTGAATTGCGCGCAAATCCGAAGAGCTTCGGTTTGTGTCTAGACAGGGATATCGAGTTACACAACACCCCAATAAAACTTGCCTGTAACACCTGCTTACCAAATTTGATAAATGTCTTCTGACCGTCTGTCTGAGGACTGACAAATATCCGAGTTGATTTGTTATGTCTGTAGAGGGATGTCAAACCTAGTTGCAACCGGCCTTTCTTTTCCAAAACCGCTTCTTTGTGGCTAACTAGATTCGGAAAAGAGCGATTCGTGCTTCCTAAATAAGAAATGTTTCAGAAAGGTCCAATTCTGGATGAAAATCTTAACATTTGACTTTTGTGGGTTTTTTGAAACATTTTCCTATAATTTGTCATCGCCGGGGTAGACCGACTCGTTGGCCCGGATTTTGAGACGTGCGCATTCGTTCCGCTACATAGCGATAGAACCTTTTCCCTAGGGTATGTACTAAGAAAAGATTTATTTCGAGTTCGAACCTATTCTGGTTAGATTGAGAATGAGCAAACTTCTCCGAAAAGAGAAGAGCCTCTGACCCAATTCATTATTTCAGTTCTAGAATCCAAAAACAAGGAACTAATTGAAGTCTTCAGTGAGCACACACACACACAAACAGGTTGTCGGCGTTCTCTCGTTTTAAAGTCAAAACCATTAGTCTTTGCTCTATCAAATAATGTGTTTGCGCCTCCTTCTCTCGTTCGCGGCTTTTTTGCACGTTGAAAAGCGTCGAGAGTAACGGGAGGAGTGGGTCTCTTCCCGTCGCGCAACACAATCATTCTGTTTATCCTTGAGTACGAGCCAGTCGCAATCCGCCCTTCACCTCCTCATATAACATACACTCTATTGTATCGGTGCAGCTACTGCAGAGAGAGAAAGAAAGAGAGAGAGAGAGCGCGCGTCATTCCTCGGCCACCCTCGGCTCTCCTCCACCCTCCCCGTCCCTCAACTACGACGGCCACCCAAAACGATGTCCACTGGTCACTCGGTGCGCCAAGTATATCGATTTGCATGAAAACACGTCGTCATTTGTCTGAGTCTCAAGGTACTGTTCGGGTCTCTCTCTCTCTCTCTCTTCCGAATGTGTGTGTGTATTTATGCTAATTATACGAAAGGCCGGTGCGCGGCTTGTATCTCTTTTTTGTTTTCCGTCTATTCTCTTTTCAAAGTGACTGATTTCATTTGATAGCCTATCACTTTCTTGTTTTTTCAAGTCTAATTTCCCTTTGTGTCCAAACTTTCTCCCGTATTTTTGTCGGTTGCACTTGGCAGCCGGTCAGCTAGTCTCTCTCTCTCTCTCTCTCTCTCTCTCTCTTTCTCTCTCTCTTTCTCACCCAGCGGCATCGAGACACATGTTTTATTTTATTTAGATTTATTGTTCAAACTGCTTGATTTAACGTCGTTACTAAAAATTTGAGAACGTAAGCTTTTTGCATAATTTCATCAAAAGCTGAAAGCGTTCATTGGCTTTTGTTCACTCGTGCCTCTCATTTCAAGTCGTTGAACGCTTTTCCTTTCTTTCTCTTTTTTCTGTTCTCTGCCAGTTTTAGCTATCTAGACTTTTGCTTAGTGGAAAAAACAAAGACAAGGCGTGATTTCTTACTTTTCTCACTCCCACACTGAATTTTTCATGAGTTTTTTGTTCTGGGCGGGAGAGAGCGAATCAATCAAGAATCAAGTTCACAATTCGCATTTTTACTTGCTCATCTGTTCTTGATCTCTCATCATTATCAGCTCAAAATTCAGCGAGCAGATCTTTAATTCAGGTTCATTCAGAAATGCATCTCATGACGCTATTCATCCTTTCTCCACGCATTCATTAGTTATCTGCTCTCCCATTGGGGCAAGGTCACCTTTTCCGTCCATGTTAACATTCGTTCCGATCGTTGGCCCACAAGAAGTCATGGGTTAGCCCAATCTTATCATTAACGGAAAGGTAACCGCACACCATTTGACGTGTCAAACGGTAATTACTCTGCTCTTTATTCTCATCTGGTCGTTGATTCATTAGCTCCTTTTTCTCGTTTAGTCTTCTGATCTGATCGTGTTCACCACAGTCGGTTTGGGAATTCACTTCAATTCAATCAACGAAAACGGTTTCTGTTTTTGTTTGCCTCTGACTCACAGTTTTTCCCCCAATATCTCGTGGTTTTCTTCGATCTGACTCACTTTCACCGTTACTGATCACCGCTTCTCCACTATTTTCCTCTATTGTCGTTCAGTTTCCGTCGGGAGAAAGAGAGAAAGAAAGATCACTACCCACAATGCCCTCCAAATTGTTCGCATTTTTCAATTTTTGCGTGCGCTGATCTGTTGCCCGTTGTCTGCAGAGGCGTTTATCTGTCAACTCCTGCCACACAGCCACTTCTTTTCCGCCCATTTTATTTCTCAATTGACCACATACCGAATACCCGGCGAGCACCAAACCACGCCCCTGTTTGCACTCGTTCTCTCTATCGTTCACTTTGTTCCGATGATTTCTTGTGCAATAATATGTTTTTTCACTTTCAGTCGTAAAAACTGGCGGGCAGAAGTTGCTCACAGAGCAGCTCCCTGGCGACAGTCGTGGAGAATCTGCCGCTTTCCTACAACACAGACACGAAAAGTCTGGATAGGACGCCCTCGTTGGGATGTCAGGGAACTGAATCACCTTCAACCGCACAAGGTGAGTTCATTTTGATTACCATCGTATTTTTCCAAAGTACAAAAGATTCAAAAACAAAAGAAAAAAGTTTTGCCGCCAGCAGGGGTCGAACCTGCGACCTTGGGCTTATTAGACCCACGCTCTAACCGACTGAGCTATGGCGGCTGCTGAACTTTTCCGCTCGCATTGCATTGATGATGTCGGTGACTTTTTCTCTCTCTCTCTCGTATTCTAACAAAATAAAAAGGTCTAACACGCCACATCGCGCTCTTCAAAAAAAAAATCGCATTACCCTGATTCTTTTTCTCTTGCAGACACTAAATTCCGCCGAGGTCACATCCGTCGCAGCTCATATGAATCGGCCCAAATTCAGCTAAACTTTGCCCGCCGGATCACGACAGCCAACGGAACACCTGCTTTGGCGCCCTCGGCGGCCAAGTGAGTTCTTGTTTTTATCTCGTCTTTCGCTTCCTGTCCCACTCCTCTTCTCTCACTAATAATGTTTTGGCCTCCCGGTTTTCAGACGCTTTCACTTTGTCTTTCGTGTTTTCAGGCGGGGCTCTAGTGGGAACCCAAAATATAATAAGAGTTGGCCAAGTTATAAACAGTTGTACATCCAAGGGGCTAAGAGAAGTGAATGGAAGTCTTTGATGTTCGTGCCGTTCAGATATAATTCCGAGGGCAAATGTAAACAATGGGAGTTCCCGACTTTCCCCCCGACGTCTTGTGAGACTCAAGTACTATCACGTTTTTCGGTTCGGCACAACTCACTTCTTGTGATATGTTCAGAAATTCGAATACGAACAAGCCGATGATAATCTAGTACAAATCTGGTGTTTTCGGCGCGGGCTAGTGAAAAACACATTTGTACGAATGGATGTGCTTCGTTCTTCTCCCATTAACATGGGAAGATACGAGAACATGACTAGCATCTTTCTCTTCACATCCAAAACAAATTAATTCCCATTTATACAAGGACCTACGGAAATAAAAAACGAGAAACACTGTTTCCAAAAGATCATTTTACGGCTTGGCTACCTTCTTTATTGACACATTTTTTTCGGAAACAAACACACACTTGTCGAAAATCTTGGCTAACTTGCGCACTCGTTTCCTCTCCCCGCCTACATCAGTTCCTCTTTTTCAACTGTTGTTATTGTTATGAGTTCGAGTCGACGGAACTAAGTTATCAGCGCGACGTACGAGAGGAACGAAAGAATAGAAGCGGAGAAAAGGCAAGAAACCAGTTGTGTACGCCGATTTCGTTTCGATTGATTTGCCCTTCGAAAGAACGAATGAAATGCGCGCATAGTCTCCCCAATGCCGTAAATCGAACAAAAACTCTCTCTCTCTCTCTCTCTCTGTCTAATTTTTGCTTCCCTCATTTCATCGACTTTTAGTTACACGCTAAGAACAACTTTATTCCAGTTCCTTCCTTGTTTCCGTGGGCGTCAGTGTCACTGCAGACGATTGATATTTCCCAGAATGCGCGCCTCGCCGGACTCTGCTAACCAAATCTTTGCATTTCTTATTTTTCAGATGCCTCGATGAACCGCTGTGCTCTCTGAATCTCAGCGCGCGTGCAGATTGCTCATCGAGTTCCAGTGAACAAGATCAGTACGACTCAGGCATTGGACTGACGGGTGAGTCAGATTTATATTTTCACAACAACGAAATGTTGTCTGTCCCGTCGTTTCTTGTCGCTTGTTCTGGGACACCAGTGTCATTCTATTTCTGCCGCTTCTCCATGGAATCGTATTCAGAAAGCGACTCGAAAAGATCGTCTCTGGACCGCCGAAGCGAATTGTCCGACTTTGACGAGCCACCGCCGAAACCGGAAACTTCGTCCAAGTCGCGATTCTTCAATTTCCCCAAGTAAGTTTGAGCGTTATCAAAGTGCGCCATCTGTTGCGCATTGACCCACTATAGAAAGCGACATTTCAGGAATTTCTTTTCGCGGAACAAGGAAGAGAAGCACGGGTGGAAAATGTTTGGAGGTCGCAGCAAACCGTCCGGGGTTATGGCCACCACCGGCTTGATTCTCGAGGAAAGGCCCAGTGGGTTACCTTCAAAGTCCGCCGATGAGGCAGCACATCACAAGCAGATGTATTTGGACATTCTAGAACAGGTAGCAATGCTCTACCTCGAACTTTCATTAAATAATCTCAATCAGGCCAAGAAAAAAGAGCAGAAAGCGGAAAAGGAAAGAGTCCAGGCAAAAGCAGAGCAAAAACGTCTCGAAGAACAAGCAGCTGCTCATTGCCGTGTCTGGATCGAACAGATCTTGCCTAAGTGGGACGAAATGTGAGTGCAAAAACGCAAAAAAGTTCGGTGCCTCATGCTGGAATCGAACCAGCGACCTTCTGTTTACTAGACAGACGCTCTGCCACTGAGCCAATGAGGCGCATGAAAGCGGAGGGGCGCCGGCGGTAGACAAGGCCGCCGGCGGGGGAGAAAGAGATGCGAGCGCGCCGCGGAAAACGAAACGGCCAGAGTGTATTCATTTTTCTCATTGCAGGAAGGATTCGAAGAGATGCCGCGAATTGTGGTGGCAAGGAGTGCCAGCGAAAGTCCGCGGAGAGCTGTGGTCCCTGGTGATTGGCAATCAGATTGAGATAACAAAAGGTGAGATAAATTATGCAGGATTCAATTACGAAATGAAATTGTGTAAAGTTTATGAAAGCGAGCAAAAGTCGAGTAATTCATCATTATATGACAACCTTTGCAGAGCTCTATGATGGATTGATGGAACAGGCAGAGGAGAAAATTGCGAAACAGCTTGCGGAACAACACAAAGTGAGAATATTGTGAAATGCATAGACACATAAAGAAAGAGGGTTTGCAGAACTCGACGGAGCACAAGGAGACGTCGGTGACCCAAATTCATCTGGATGCGACAAGAACTTTCACGTCGTTGGGGATGTTCCAGAAAGATGGACCATATTATGATCACTTGTTGAGACTGCTTAGTGAGAGACCCAGTACTCATTCCACATGCATGGATGTTTTCTTTCAGGCGCTTATGCAATCCTCCGTCCGGATGTTGGGTACGTCCAGTCGATGACTTTCATTGCTGCCGTTCTGCTTATTCAAATGGAGCCCTACCCTGCGTTCATTTCGTTCGCCAACCTTCTCGAGAGACCACTTCAATCTGCGTTCTTCGGCCTAAAGCAACCGCAAATGACCGAGTACTTCATCGCGTACGACAGATACCTCGAGCAGGAGTTGCCGGCGCTTCATCATCATTTGGACAAGTTGGATGTCCGGCCAGATTTGTACCTTATCGAATGGTTAGATCCTCCCAAATATCTGAATCTAGTGTTTAACTGAGCTGTTTTCAGGATCTTCGCTATGTACGCCAAGTCGCTTCCGTTGGACGTCACGTGTCGTATCTGGGATGTCTATTTCCGAGATGGGGAGGAGTTTCTGTTCAAAGCGGCGCTTGGAATATTGAGAATGTACGAGCCAAAGCTGCTCACAATGGATTTCGACGACTCGGTGGAGTTTCTGACACGTCTTCCGGACACGCTCACGGGCTCCGAGCTCTTCCGCAACATTGAACAGTTCATGAGACCGTACAACGGAGAATCATCAAGGTCCAAGAAGCGCTTCTCGCAGATCTTCCTGGAAATCGACGAGCGCGTGAACCCCGGAGGAACAACCGCAAGGACTCAGATCACTCACAACGTGCAAGAGCTCAAAATGAGCAAGAGTTTGAGCGGATTCATCAAGGACCTGTTGTCCTCTCCTGCTCACTAGTAACTTTTGCAGTTCGACCTGAGCTCTATGAGCTCGCCATTATTCATTCAAAGCCCATTATTTCCTTGCCCCGAAAACTTTCGTAACGTATGGTATCTTTTTTTCATGTGCATTCCCTCCTACAATTCATTGTTTGCCTTTCTTTTGCATTAATTCACTTATAATAAGCATATTTTGCATATTGCCTTATAGATTTTGCATTTTGACAGTTTCGCAATAGTTTTCCAAGTCCCCCGCCACAAACCCACCAATTGCTCCAATTCTCTGTGCCTTACCGTTTTTCCCTTCAAATTCTCCTTTTCTTCGCCATCATTTTTGAATTGTATCGTTTTAAGAGATTCCACATGACAATCCATTGTCCTTAACTTTTATCATTCGGTGATCAATTGTATCAAACATCGAAAAAACTCAGTCTTCCGTTACATTCAATGAAGTTGTTTCACTAATTCGATTTTAAGGTTCAGCCGTTCCATGCACATGATGGATACGAGGCTCAAGCGTTCTCCGTCCGAATACTGTCGTCAAGACGTCTGTTTTGTCGGCGATTTGTCACCCATTCATGGTTTGCGTTACGCAACGAGCCTTCTGTTCCAGATTTCAATAGGCCGTTTCTCTTTCCGAGTGCGCCTCTCGCGTGCTCAGCGCTCTTGGAAGCCGCTGCCAACACCCATAAACATCATTTGTCATTTATTGAGCCCATCAATTGGTGCGCTTCTCTCTTCCGGATTTGTGGTCACTCATTCCGTATGGCGTTTCGAATTAAGGCGTTCGCACAAAAAAGTAATTAGACTCATCACATTTCTCAACAAACAATAGTGCTTTTTTGTGTTTCTGTTGGTCTTCAAACCCTTTTCTCGCGTTTGCACCTTGTTTGAATGCGCATATTTCTGTTCTTCCTCATCCGCTCGGACTTCTGGTGCACAACTCGCAAAGTGACGTAATGCGAGAGATTAATTCTGCTCACTGTATCGCATGTCGGGGGTGGTCCGTCGCGTGGTTGCGCAACAATCCCGACCAGCAGATCCATTTCTCATTGTTTATTAGCTCCTCAACACCATACATAAATTGTTCGCCCGATTTCTACCAACCTGTCAGCTTCCTTTCACCACAATTAATCGTCTTTTGTTCCGAGTATTCAGCGACCACCTAGTACCTGTGAATAATTGCCTTTGATATGTCACTGCACCATTTCGTTCCGGCTCTTTTCCAATTTGAATACATTTTGTTTAGTGCTTGCTTACGTAAGCGTTACTATTATTATTATTATACTTCCGAGTTTTGTTTCAACACTTACGCACACATTCGGAATGAGATCCGTTCTTATGCGTGAGCCATACTTGAAATTTGATCCTAATTGAGCTCCGTTTCTTCTCACATGTATTCTGTTACATTTTCAGATTTATTAAAGATTTGCTGTGCTCGGCACTTTGGCAGATTGAAAAATGACAGCTCATGCCGTCAAACACCGGATATAAAAGTGAATTTTTGTAATGTACAGCTTCTACCATCGATTAAAAGTGACATTTTCCACATTTTGCAACCAAAGCACGTAGGTCCATGCTTCCACCTATTGTTTTAAGTCGCTGAGGGGATTCGCTCGTTAAATACCGAAAGTGTTTCCATGTGCCACCCAACCAACAAATCGCACTTTTCTTTGCACCCATTCTTCCGTATTACGAAGAATTTGCAAAAAAAAACAGCTTCTGGCTTTGTGGTTCTACCAGTACGAGATGAGTATCTGTCAACAAGACCCTTCAATTTGACTAGTACTGAAATGAGCAGCCCGTTGGCTTCCTGTCGCTTCACCTAAAAATTAGATTGAAATTCTTCTCGCTCGTTTTCGCTGAAGGTAATAATCTTCTTGTAGATGAGAAATTTCCATTACAGCCAGACTCCGATGCGTTTCAAAACTACTAAACTTCATCTTCTCCTCTTCTTTCGTTTCCTTCTTTCTTTATATATCTCTCCCGGGGATGGCCATTGTCGAAACAAAACTCAATCGCCGCCCTTGCCTTCGCCCCCCTCCCCCTTCTTCTAAGTCGTCGTCGTTCTCCTTGCCCCTTCCAACTTCTACTATTTTATTCAAATTCAGGATGCGGCCCACTTGTTGGCATACGCATTGCATATGAAGAAATTGCGACAATTGAGCCCTCGTAATTGGCCGTGCTTTCTCAGTTTTCAATGTCTGTTCCGCCCTCGCTCGGCTCGGAAACCATCGTACTTTTGTTTCTACACGCGTGACGAATTGTTGTAAAACTTTTGCTCCTCTGGATTTATCTTTGCACATTGGTTGAATTACTGCTTGTTTATCAAGCCGCGATTGTCCATTCACACATCGAACATTTGGCAGAAGGAGGGGCGCGTTGCGTAATCACCGCCTTCTTCTTGGGACCACGTTCTCCAAGCCGGCCAATTGTCCAATGATTTCCGATTATGTCCATTGTTTGCCTCGACGTTTGTGATTTGCAGCGGAATCAGTTGGGTTTAGTCCCTTCTGCGCTGTTCTTCTTTAGCCTTTTTTCAATTACTACTCTCAGTTGAAATGTTTCTCGTTAATCTACCATTGACCATCAACATTGGTTTTAGTTTTTTTAAATGTAATTAACCACTAATCTAAAAATCTATGGTGCCCCGGAAGAGTTCTGTCAGTTCCTGGGACTTTCATTGAATATTCAAAAGAAAGGTCTTTCAAAAACAGGACATCTCTTGTGTCCTCTCATTACTATTATAGTTGTTTACTACCAGTAGTAAACATAACCTTACCTTTTTTCCTTCTTCTCCCCTTCTCCCTCTGGTTTTTTTTTCAAAAATTTCAAAGCTCTGGTTCAAAATGTGAATGTGCTCATCGCATCGTTTCTTTCGAAACGAAAACCACCAGGGACGCATACATATGTCATTTATCCTAAAACGCCTACGTCGCGCACACAGCTTTTATCAAACTCCGCATGGCAGTTTGTGGAACATTTCGCGATTTCTTTCCCACGGTGGTCCGGACGGCTTAACCCACCAACCACAACAATATCGTAAACTCGAATCAGCCGAGAGGCGCGAACAGAGTGTAGAGTACGCGGGGGATGACAGGCCCGATGAAGAAGTGGCAGTGTTCCGTGGTGCAGGCAGCTTGCTCATAATTACAACAGGCTCTCCGTGCTCGTCTTTGTCGAGTGGGGGACTCTCGGAGCCCGATCAGCAATGGTTCGCGAGTCAGTTGGCGTGCGAGCCTCCGCATTCTACCTTCTCCGCTGTGACCTCACGACCTCGATGCATTCCAACTCGTATTCCGTCCGTTTTTATTGTCTTTTCCATGTTTCTCACTCACCCCTCGGAACATGATCTTTCTCGTTTCTTGTAGAAGTTCTTTAAATCGTCAGACAAATAGAATTTCGTGGAAAGAAATCGGATAATGTGTCGGTTGTTTTCGAGTCAAAAACACGGAATGAGACAAGAAGTTGCCATGTCAAAGACGAAAAAGAGCATCCGACGAAAAACACGCATGGTCTCGGATTCAGAATCATATTAGTAGAACTGCGACGGGCGCGGATTTGTTATGTTTTGTCGGCTCAAAAATTCATCACATTTCATTCTGTACCCTCTCTAGCCCGCGTGACCCTCAACTCATCCAACTCCTTAGGGCCATATTTCGATAAATTAGTTGTGCGGAACCTCCCTCGATGGTCATTACGTGAAGATATGCCAAACTGAATTATCGGTATAATCGAGCTCATTAATGGACTCGAAAGAGCGACAGATTTTCGCCTTTAGAAACTTTCTCGGCTTCTTCTTCTTCTTCCTCTCTTTCTCTTATTCTGTTTTGCTCGCCCGCCCATAATTTTATCATTTTCGTTTTCTTTGTGGGTGACCAAACCCAGCTGGCAAAACTTGCCTTTTTCGGCCGGTCACTCAAAAAACTTCGCACGGAGTTTGAGTTTCGGAAAACTAGATTTCGATGTGTACGTGAGGGGGGGGGGGGCTGTGATTAAGATCTTTTAGTTTTTAATTTTTTTAAATTTGTTTTCAAACCTTGTTCTGTTTTGATTGTCGGTGAGCAATAGTACATAGTAGTACTAGGAAAACGCATTCCCCCTCCCTGTCTCTCCAAATCCTCAGTCTAATCCCGTATAAATTCTTTACGTTTTCACGGATCACAATTATCATTTGTTGTGCCATCAGATTCGTCGCTCCCCTCTCATTTATCCAATTTGTTATCGCTGCTCCACATTTTTGTCTCCCTGTGATTTATTCCACACTCCTCAAGCGTGATCTGCCTCCTCACACTCTTCAATGTTTCCAAAGCTAATCAGTTTACGCCCCCAGCGGATCTAATTGGTGTCATGGGCTCAATCGCGTCTTTTGAGCAGTCATCCGTAACTTTGGACCTCCTCACTTCTTCTTCTTCTTCTTTATTATGTCGTGCAACTGTAGACTGTCAACTTTTATTGTGTGCTAATGGCATCTCACCGTACATTTATCGCATCACTTCCACTTTTTAGCTACATTATCCTGAATCTAAATCTGGTTTACCGGCCATGTCGGCGCCGCTTTTTCCGCCTTTTTCTATACGCCGGCTGTTCTAACATCTGTTGCCACCGGGAGCAATCTCATATTTCACGCTGTGCTAATCACCTTGTAGAAAAAGCAAGTGAAGAGATAGAAAACCTAGGTATGTGTGACGAAGCTCCCGGAGGAGTCATCCTTCCCACTTTCCGGAAATGTTCTCATTAGCATATGCCAGCAGTCAATGCAAGTAGTGACGAATGACAACTATTCACACTTTTCACGGAGACTTGTTCGTCTAGTCTAGCTTAGGATGTCCACTAACTTTCATAAAATGAGCATGGTTCTTGATTGATGAGAGATGACAATATATAGTTTCTCTAGTCTTTTTTGTGTATGTTCGTGTCATTCGAAAAGGACACGCATCCCTATCCCTATCTCTTTTTCCGAGGGTACATGAAAAACAAACGTGTGTAGTCGTCCTGTCTGTCTGTTGCAACTTGTCTTCTTGTCAAGCTCAAAAGTTGTCGCGCCGCCTACAAATGAGCGCTTCTTCCTTCTCACTTCTTTCCTTCGTATCTTCCACAAAATGTCTCTGTTTTCTTTACTTTTTCGTTTATTTTTATTTTAATTTTATTTGCATCTCCATCTCCATCCGGTTCGCCTTATTTTCAGTCGTCTCGCATATTGCGCGTAGCGTACCCAAAACATCATTAGTGATTCTCGTAATACATGTTTATTGAGGTTACCCTATTAATAATCAGATTTCGCCCCCTTCACAAGAAGCCTTCGCTCTTCCTTGTGCCCTCTTGAATGACCCGCGCAATTCGTCGGTTTTCCATGAGTACATGAGCCACTCCTGCTTTTAATCCTGACCAGACGACCTTCGTTTTGTACCCCCATAAGCCTCCCATGTCAACCACCGTCGCCCCCCTCCATTAAACAGGGAGCCTTGCGTTTTTGGTGCCCCCATGTCTTGGTTGACATATTGTCCACTTCCTTTTGAACACATTCCATTTTCCGCTCGAAATGTGTCTCTGTGGAATTGAAATATATATCTAGAAACAAAATGAATTCCTTTGGTAGTCTCTGTTTGCCATTTCCAACCAGCTATTTTTGTGTATAGTACATACATGAATAATTGAAAACACTACCCGACAATCTTTTTGACTTCCGATATTTAATAAGAGGCTGCTGCACTGGTCGGGACGGGACCCTCCGCGAAAGTCGGCCCGGACCCTCGCCTAACTTTTTGCAATGTGAGAAACGTGTGCCTCTGTTTGCGTCTCGCGCTGTGCATCATTCAACCACATCATCATTTCTTATCCCCAATTTCTTCTCAACTTCTCAACTTTCTCTCTACAATGAATGAGCATCTATCGGCGAAATCTTTTCGGACAGCCGGACAACTAATATAACTTTTTCTTCTCTAGTCTTCGGGAACAATCGCCACCTTTCGTGCTTAGTATTCATCTCATACTTTTGTTCCTCCTACACTAGTATTTTTCTTCCAAATAGCAATATTTTCACTTCAGGCGGTATGGTACGGTGGCTCTTGTGGCCACTGTTAGTGTTTCAACTAGTCAGTTGCCAATCGCTTCCGCAACGAATAGTTGAAGCTCCTAAGGATACGCATGCAGCAGTCGGAGAAACGGCGATTTTGACGTGTCGAGTCGAACATCAGGTACGTGTCAGACATTGTTGCCGAAATGATCGATGATTCTCTGTCTCTCAATTCCGGGTTGTCCTTTTCTTTTTTAAAATGAGTTTTCGGGAGGGCATTTTGAATGAAGTGCCAACTTTTTTCCTGATTGTGTTACTTTTCTGCAAGAAAAGGAACTGCTTTTGATTTTGATTTACATGTTGAGCGAGAAACCAAATATGACTTATTTACTTTCAGCAAGGTCCGGTTCAATGGATGAAAGACGATTTCGGTTTGGGAACGGACAGGGACAAACCACTGCCAGGAAACAAAAGATACCGAATGATTGGCAGTGCGGCGATGGGAGAATATAATTTGGAGGTGAAAATTTGAAATCTGTATTCTGAATGCAACCGCAAATATTACAGATCTCAAACGTGACCTTGTTCGATGACGACGACTTTGCCTGCCAGATTTCAGAGTCAGATCATGCGAAAGCAGTTGTTTCGAGTAAAGCAAAGCTCACGGTCTTAGGTGAGACCATCCGAAAATCCAAAAGTGCAAAAAGTACACGCTCACCCATATCATTACACTTTTGAGTTAGGCATCACTTTATCTCAGTTTCACTTTATTTCATTTCACTTTTTCGTGTGATGGCGAGCTCGCAAAGGGAATTCAAATGACGGATAGGCAGTTCGCGCGATCGCTGCCAATTAATGTCATCATAAACGTGCTGCCAGTGCCAATTTATCTTTGGAGTGGCTGTTGAGGGTTCGGCTCCGCGCGCGCGCCTCCTGTCTGCTTTGCCGCGTTCGCTGATATGGCAGCTGCTCGGCGGCACACAAAAACATTGCCGCTTCACAGAGGGAGCTCGTGTGGGCACGCGATTTCGGTGTAAATCTCATTGTGAAGAACCGCCGGGTCATCATCCTAACAAAATGTGGTTAAATATTTCCGCTGGATTTTGCGGCAATTGAAATGGGAAAAGAGTCACGGAAATTATTGAGTTATTGGTCTTTCAGTGAGGCCGACACCACCAAAGATCTTGAAGAGTCATCATTCTCTGAAGGCTGTTGCTGGGGATCCAATCACGCAGTCATGTCTGTCCCGGAAAGGCAAACCACCACCAACGATCGGGTGGGCGATCGCTTCTGATGAACATGGAAAACATATCATTTCGTGGTTGGGCGAATCGAGATCAAAGTTCGGCGGAATCCTCAGTAAGACCTAAGGATTTTGTCTTCTCCGAACAAAAAAAATTGCAGCAAAGCCGGAAATCTCCCAAGAAACAGTGATTGCGCATGTGAATGAGACGACTCAGGTTGAAAATGGAGACCAAAATTCTAGAGCCGAGTCGAGCATTTATAGCATTTTGAGTAATTTAACGTAAGTCTCTTTTTGAGTATCTTCCGTGCACTTACAAATTTTTTAGGTTCATTCCAAGGCCCGAAGATGACCATAAATACTTGATATGTATCAGTCAACATATGACATTCCCGGACAAGGTACGTGCTTTCAGTTTTGCATTCATTTTTCCACTGCATTTGTAGATCGAAATGGATTCGGTGAAACTTTCGTTGCGTTATGCACCTCAAGTCAATCTGACCGTCGCTTCCAAACTGCCTTTGAGGGAGAACGGATCTGCTCTTCTTGCGTGTAACATCAATGCGAAACCCTTGGATCATTTGAAAATTAACTGGTACAAAGGCAATCAAAAGCTGAAGGAAACTGGAGATGTGAGCGACTTCCTTGAATGAAAAACTTTATAAGGTTTTTTCAATTTTTCAGACATTGACATTTGAAACCATAAAAATGGAGGACCATAATCGTGATATTTACTGTGAGGCAACGAATGAAATCGGAACAACTCGTGGATCCCTGAGATTGAATGTCGCCTGTAAGTTCATTTCCGTTCTTTCATCTGTAAGTTTAGTCAATCATGAAACACGCGTTCTTGCGTCACATTTTTTAATTGTACAAATTTCCAGCTCAGTTAGCTTGAGCAAGTTTGATCTGATCAGATGACGAGAAAAACGCTCCTAATGTATGATTTTGTAGCCTCTCGTTCGAAAACCAAAATACAAGAGAAGAAGAGTAATTCAAAAATGAATGTTTTCAGTTGAAGCACGGATTATGTCAACTTCACAAGATAAGGAAGTGAATGAAGGGGATAATGCGTTTTTTCACTGTGCAACACTCGCTAATCCCGCCCCAAATATCTTCTGGACTCGCGGTGATAGTGAAGAAATCATTGGGCACGGAGAAAAGTATGAAAACACTGGCTTAGGCTCGTTTTGTACAGGTCATGATTTGCAGTTTCACTCTGGAGAACGTGAGAACGTGGCAACAAGGCAACTACAATTGCACTGCCACGGTCGAGGGTTTCCGTAAACAAGTACTATCACATTATCTTCATATCAGAGGTCTTCATATCACACCACTGAAATCAATGTTTTATCATCCGATTACAGGTCCGCCAACCGTTTCAATGCAAGATGAAGTGTCCGCTTCTCTCGATGAGGCAGTTGAAGTGGTTTGCGAGATAAGCGGCCGGCCGAAGACTAACAATGTGAAATGGACACTGAACGGCAAAGAAATCAACTTCAATAATGGACGGATTACGGTAAGAACTTCAGAAGGAAAGACAGATTGGGAATTGAATCGGTTCAGGTTCATCAGTATCCAAAACCCTACGGAAAGGAGAGCATTTTAAAGATAAAAGACATGAAAGAAGAAGATTTTGGGGTGTACAATTGCTCCGCCAACAATGGATTAGGATTTGACAACCGAGGCACACTAGTCAAGAAACGAAATTTCCTCGATTGGATTGGTGAGACCGAAACATATACATAATCTCAATCTTATTTTCAGTCATTACAGCCAAGTTTGATCGGATGATCGCACTGGCCATAATCAGTGCTGGCGTACTTTTGGTTTCCCTGCTCTGCTGCATTTGCATGTGCAAAAATAATTGTCACTCCCGAAAATCAAAGTTCATCGGTAAGAAAGAAGCACATTATATATGTGCACATATTGGGTGAATTTGAAGTTTCAGATGATCAATCTGATGTCACGGTAAAGTGCGAGGCATTAGACGGACAGTATTACCCCGAAATGTACAGTAGTAGCCCGGTTGACAATGTTCATCTTTCAACAAAGGTACTAAAAGTTCCCAGTTTCTTGCAACAAAACTTAATTTAGGACTACATCTCGATTCCACAGAACAATCCGGATTTGGATTTCTTAGGAGCGCCAGGATCCTTCGGGCCACCGGGCGGATTATATCCAAAGTGCTTCAACAACTCGGCAAACGAATACATCTACAATCGGTATGAGCATTCATACGGCTCGTTTGGAAGTGGGCTCTCAACCCCTGGAGGTACTAACCAACACAATAACTCCGTGTGCATAACCCGTTTCTTTTCTCATTTCAGGAGTTTCAGATATGTACGGCATGCCGATGGGGGACAAGTTGCCGGTCATGGAGACCCTCCAGGAAGTGGAGACCCCCAAGACATCCAACTACAACTTTTTGGCGTCCCCGGAGATGATCCGGCCTATCAGCCGGACTTCAACACACGTGTAGCCGAACCCTGTTGAATTCCTCTACCGTATTATATTTGTATTGAACATTTTCAATTGATTGTAATTCGTGTCATGAAACGTCGTTCCCCTCGAACGTTTTTGACTTCCTATTCCACATTTTTTGTTTCTATCTTCTTTGCAACGGGTGCCGCTTGCCATTCTCAATCTTTTTCCAAAAGGTTCTGTTTCGCCCAGTAGATTATCACTGGACGGATTTCTGAGATAAGGCACTGATTCAAGATCCCAGTCCTTTTCATTTTTCCGTTATCCTTTTAAATTATTGTTCACTTGTGTACCTATATCTGAGACTAAAGATTATTCCGTGCCGGAATCCCCCTTCTACTTCTCTGAATGTTTTTCTAGTCATTTCGAATAAAATATAATAAATTTCATGTTTCATCTTTCTGATTGACATTTTTGGAGCGACAGGTGATTAGAGTGAGTACACTTGTGTTTAACGTGCAAAATCTCAAGAGCGGACCTTCAGTTGCCCAATTTTTCGTTTTGTCTGCTCGAGTGCACAATTTGCGAGTGATTCATTTCTACTGAACTATCAACTTTGTTTCCTTCTCGAAAACACATCTCATTATTTTTTGATTTTTGAAAGTTTAAAACAGCAAAGTTTACATCAGAAAACTTCCTGGTACGGACGGGTGCAGTGTGAACCCGGTAATTCTGAAAGGAAGTCATATCATTCGAGTTGTCACGTGTTCAGTTCGCTGATTCTTGGCTGTTTTTGTTTCATTTTTAAACAAGTGACGAGAAGATGAGTGGACGCTTGATCGTTTCAGACATGTCAGTCGTTCTTCCACAAATCTATTTTGAGCACAGACAATTTAGCTGTGCACGGGTACGGCGATTAGTCAAAAGCCAAAACGCCAGAATTAGTACCTCGTGGTATCAAAAGAGCATTGTGTGCTGATTGAAATTCTAGAAACCTATTTCGGCATCCGATCAAGGAGATATTATGAGCATTAGTCAGAGGTAATCCCCTGACTCCTGGCCGATATCCGATTCTCCGCCTATTCTCGGCTTCATTTTGAACGACTTTTCATCTCAAACATTATCGCTTCTGTTTGCCGAGAGCACGTTGGGTTGGTTGAGTTGGGCTGAGCTCTGGCGGTCATAATTGGTGGTTTCGCTCTCGGCGCCTCCATCTCGACTTGCTCCCGTTTTCATCTGCGATTTCCGTAGCCTAGTGTTGTCGGATCTTGAACGCATCGAATTTGAAAGTCCTCTTGTTCCGCTAACGAATCATAGTTCATCACGCCATGTGCCCTGGGCAGTAGACAAGCGTACTTTTGTGTCAGATTGCTCCCCTCTCCCTCGACTATCACTTTTTAATCGATTCCAATGATTGCTACGGCAACCGCCCTTATCACAAGTCTGCCTTCACACTAATCACAGTCTTGCAACCCGTCATTTTGTACAAATCCAATGACGTGAGTGGCTCGCACTGGCACGAGGTGTACCCCTTCTCCTCTAATCCGGATGCATTATACTGAAATTCCAGATATGTATACGTTAGCATGTGATACGACATCAGCTCTGCAAGATGTTCGTACATTCAGATAACCAAACAACAAATTAGGATGAGCTCAAAAGAAAAGAGAGTGTTAAACCTAGTCATCCTCTTCAATTAATCACAAAGTGCTTTTGATTGAGAGCGATTTTAGAGTTTTTGCTTTTTAGTTTTTCTTGTAGGAGCCGTGCCGTGCCGTTTACTTCTATTTTCATCCTCAAAGTTACATTCTAAACACTTTTCTTAACTGTTTTCCCTTCTTTCTACCAATTACTAAAATATAGTTTCCTTTTTTGACCCCAACCAAACAAAGATCGAACCACCAACTTGTGGGCGTGTCACATGCTCGAGAATTTTTCGACTGACTGCATTCCGTTCTGACCTGTCACCCCGTCAAATCTCTTTTTTGTGTATCTGTTGTATTTTCTGATTGCTTGTCGCATTCTGATTCTTTTCTTGCTCCAAACGCAAATGTATTCTTGAATCCGAGGACAAAACCGGATGACTGCGTGTCGAAAGAGACACAAAGTGCAAGTCGTTATTGCAAAACGAAAGCAGTGGGAAAACGTTTGTGCCATCCTGTCTCATTGCCTTTCAGCGTTTTCTCCAAAATCTTTAGTTTGCACCCGGTCATTGAAACAAAAAACGTTCTGTTTGAGACCATGTGATAGAGCTTCCCCCAAGTATCAGGCAATGTGTCGACATACAGACATCTGGCGCGGGCGCGAGTGTCCCTTTAAAAGTGCACTTTCTTGAAGTAGGCCGCTGTCTTGCCGGCGAGAGAACAGCTCTAGCGTCGCGGAAATTGCCGTGTCGCAGCTCTTTTCAATCAAAAAAGCCCCCGCTTATCAACGCCTCGAATGTGCACTTTCAGGTCTTATGCTTTGCTGTCTCTCATTCTTCGCACATCTGTCGTGCCAGCGCCAATTCCACTGAAATATATATCTCGGGAGCCAATAATCAAGTCAACGGCGCCCCGGTATCACATTGCATTTGGTGAATATCATAAAATTCATGGGATTTTGGGGGGGGCATGGAGTAAAGGGCTGAAGATTATGTGCCGTTTCGTTCTGACCGCTCGGGTGTGATTCTTGGGCTCCGAGCGTCACACAAATCGGGATTAGTTCCGGTTTTATAAATCTAATCCCTCACAAAAAGTGTCTGATCGAGATATTTTTAGATGAAACCCCATTCTTTTCGTTCCAATGTCAAAGCTTTGCACTGAAACGCCACTCCGAAGCATTTCTAAGCAGAATAGTTTCTTGCCCAATGTTCTTGTTGAGTCAGCTTCAAGGGAACCGTGTTATCGGCATTTCTTTTTTTTTATCGAGAATGCAAACACGCACCTGCTAACGGCCAATTGTGTCGTTGAAATCAACGGTTTCCGACCTCTGAGTGAATTTCAGTGATAAGCGTTACCGAATGAAACTTGCCAATTTTGCTGACACGTGCCCTTGAAAAGTACAAGAGCATTGAAAGCTGAAACTCAATTGCATACATCTATTTCTGGAATTAAAGTGTGCGCCCAAAGACTGGTGCCAGGTGCACGTAGGACGGCGCTGATCTAATTACCCTCTCGACGGAAATGCGACTAATTATTTGAAGGGACTCAGTCTCATTCTTGTAGGGGATTCATAGTCAGATGAGCGGAAATGTATGGGAAAACTCTGACGGTGTCCTAAAGAGAACTGACTAGAAACTACAGTAGCTTCTTAAGTTTATGTGTGTCAGACCTCGTAAAAATCAAAAACCCGAGGACTGTTTATTAAGGCAATCAAATATTTAACCGGCTATCACACAATTTAATAACTACCTAGAAATTGTATGATCAGCAGAATGCAGTCAGCGTAAGACCTATCATGTCGCGTCCGTCTTGAATACGGTAATGATAAGAATGCCGCTCGGTCTCGCCCTCCGCTTTTCCCGTCGTTTGCACGTAACTCGCCCACATTCAAAACGAATGTCTCAGAAAACGCGGAATCCTTTTGCAACCCTCTTGCATCCTTCCTGACAATTGTAAATTTCTCCGTCCATTCGTCACATTCTCCCGTTCTATTTCTGTCGATTCTCGTGATTTGGCCGAATGTGTTCAATCTGATTCGTAGTCTTAAAACTCTTTCTTTCGGCTCAAGTCTTTTATCTTTTGTCTTCGTCACGCGAGCTCCGCCCTTTCAGTCGCCGCGCCATAGCACCGAAAGGGGCGGGGCTTGAGGTAAAAGAAAGAAAGCCGGACGGAGAGAGCTCTTGGTCACGTCTATCATCGTCTCATTCTTTTCTCGTTTTCCATTAGGATGACCGTAGTAGTTTTTTCAGAAGCAACTGCAACCCATCGCCTGGTCTTCGGCATACTTCGACTGCTTCCAAGGTAAGTGAGCATACCACACTATCCATATCTTCTTGTTCTCTTCTAATCAATTTTAAATAGTAAAGGTTTCAAACATTACCGAATTGAAAGCAGGATACCGTAGTAATGTCAGGTGCTAATCAAATGTCAACTATATCCAACTCTGAGATCATCGGTATTAGTTAATCCTAATCCTAATAGGATTGAATTAGAGAAGAAGAAATGCTTCTCCATTTTGAAGCTAGCATGAATAAGCTCTGATGAACTTAGCTACCCGGAAGTGGTAATTTCAGGCAATAAGGGGGCGCAGTATTTTTTCACCTGATTTCTCTCAGAGAAAAATGCGCCGTCGCCGTTCCGGAACGGCTCCGGCGTCTTTTTTTCTCGGAGCTAATCTTGCTCACATTTCACTACAGTCGCACGCCATGGATTGCATGCATAATCCGGCTCTTTACAACTCGAACAATTCTGACTAATGGAATACTTTATTGCGCAGCCATCAAAAGCATGGGGCACCTCAAAAGCACAACGAACTCCGGTCTTGGTGCAATCACACTTTCCACTACCGTTTCCGTAGGAGTCTAGCTCGCTCAAGCACACCCTATTTTTCCAGATGAGGTTGGATTGCATGTTCCTCTCGACACTTGATCTGGGGAAACTGGCTTCTTGTGAGGAGCCGGTCCCTTTTGAACGTCACCTCTTGCACAAGGACTTTAGTGATTCTGAAGAGTTTCTCACGTCACTTGTAGATATCAAGATGGCGTGCCTTTTTGGTGTGGTCAACAAGTCTGGCGCCGAGGAGCTGCTGACGACCGGACGTTTCGGAACCGTCCACATCGGAATTTGCCAGAGCTCGATGAACGAGGTCAGTTGGAAAAGAAAAGAATGTGCAACGATTGTATTACTTTATTAGAAAAGATCACTGTCATGTCATTTCTAGCGGGAGAAAGTTATGTACAAAGCGTGCTATTGTAGGTTGCGGTGAAAGAGTACCATCCAAATTTCGAGAAGCTGGTCATGTCGGCTAACAAGGAAGGTTCTCTAATGAACCGCATTCTCTTCATCCAACACCCTGCCATCGTGCAAACTTTCTCGGTATACAGTGCCGAGTTTTGAGAAAGTACCGGATAATTTCAGGTTGCCCAGTTCCGTGACATTTGCTACAGCGTCATGGAGAAAGCGCAGACTACTCTCCAAGGTAAGAGGGGATTAGCGTGTCTGTTCGCTTCTGACTTGCGAACCGAATTAATCATAGTGCATCGTGGTTGTAGTATGTATGTGATTATGAAATTGTACGCTTCTGATTTTGTCTAGTGCACTTTCTGATTAGTCTACGAGCAATACAATTCAGATGATGTCTTTGAAAACGGCAAGTACGGCAATGAAAAAGCAAAGGGAGTGACTGTGCAAATCATGGGAGCTCTGGAATTTCTGCATGGCCAGGGACTCGTTCATGGAAATCTCCATGTATGAACATTCAACGTTTTCAACAGATTTATGTTTCAATTCAGACGAGAAACATTCTAATTTTCGAGGGAGACGTCGTGAAGCTCTCCGATCTCGCATCTCAAGAAATGCTCAGATACATGCCGTACAATGACGTCCCGATCGAGATTCTCATGTATCTCGCTCCGGAACTCCAGTACGGTCCTGCCAATATCACCACTGCAACCGACATGTGGGTACGTACATCTGAACTTCCTGCAACAACAATCAGAGAAAACATTGGGTGAATTTTCAGAGTCTGGGGATCTGCATGTTTTTGATGGTGACTGGAAGAACTCCGTTCTGGTGTGACACTCGAGATGAATTTGAGAGTATCATCAATAGGATGAGAATGTTCTGCTGTCCTCATTATCTGCATCCGTACATGCGCAACCTGCTCCATCAGCTGACAAACTGGAACTACTTCACCAGAATGACTCTGGAGAAAATGAAGTCGCATCCGTGGATCACTGGTATTGAACCTCAACCGGCTCCAGAAAAAGATGAGAAACCGGTGGCTGAGCTGAACTTGGCGCTGGTTCCAACCCTGTACAAGGGCATGGCTTCTTCTAACCTCATTATTCGTAAAATAACCGACAAGAAAGTGGAACTGGAGCAAGCAATCGATCAAGCTCTGGCTGAGAGCGATGGAGGCAATGAGCCCGACAAGGACAATGAGGACAACAAGGACCAAAACAACATCGGAGGAGATAATAACGAGAAAAAGGGTGATGGAAACGTCGAACAAGACGATGACGATGCGAATAAGGGACCAGAGGTGATCCCAGAAAAGATTTACAAGACGTTCGGAGTGGTAAGAATGACCCAGAACCTGGAATTGAGATTGAAATTGACCATTTCAGTACGTTTTTGAGAATGTTCGCGAGGAATGGGACTCGGATAATCTTCGCATTGAGAGGTGCCAATTGGTAATATTTTGCAAGGGACATCCAGTAACCTTGTAATATTCAATTTTCAGATTTGCGGTGACCGTATGGGATTCTGCATCCGTCTGGTCGTTCCTTCGCAAATCGATAATCCGAAAAAGCCGTCTCTTCGCAGCTGCCTCGCAAAACGGTTCTTCAAAAAAAAGTTTGACGGACCAATTCTCGATTACGAGTTTGGAGATTATGCACCGATGGTAAACATGAATTCGAAAACTATAAAAGACCCTTTTCATTATTCAGCAATTCCATCGTTACAAAACTGGTTTGATCCTTCCGTGCAACATGCCGCCCTTCTCAACCGCTAGAGAAGCTCAAGACTACATTTGTCACAAGGAGGCCAAGCGTCTCTGGAGAATGCTGAAAGTGAGTGGAGAAGAAGTTTTAGCATGTCTAGGGTCTTAATTTCAGGTCTCGGTGTGCTGGGAGTGCCGCAAAGCCGGATCCGATGCGCTCCGTCATGACGACGAGATGTGCCTCTACAATCTTCTCACCTTGGCCACCGATTGCCCGGAGCGCGTTTATTGTAGGATCCTAATATTTCGATTTCAATTGTAGCATTTGAATTTTCAGACACGCACGAGGAGCGTCATAACTTCCGTTTCTTCTCGCTTAAGTTCCGTCTGAGCGGAACTCGTGCGCCAGTGATCACTCGTTTCGGAAGAGCCACGAAGAGAATGGTGTTGGCTGGGTGCGAGAAGATCGCCAAGGCTGTGCGCTCGGCTATCAAGCATTGATTTCGTCAAGCCCTAGACGATGATTTCCTACATTTTTCTTCACCGACCCTGAAAAACTCTGCGAATTCCTAAATACAATTTATTCGTACACATTCCTAATATCTTATTCAACTTGTGATTGATTACCTGAATTGCAGATAACCTTCAGCCAATTTAGCCCTCCCCTCTTTCTCGAATTCCCGTTTTTGTTTGCAATCACATACCCTCCAAGATTGCTGCTTCATTGTCATAAACTTTGTCTAACGTCCAGAACCGATTGGAATAATTTCTATCTGGTTGTCCAAAAAAAGGCCCAGAGACCCCACTTTTCCCACTATTTTTCCAATTATCGGCTTCATTCTTGTTCCAGCCCAACCATCCTCTGTTCACAAAAAATCCCATACTAAGACAGTCTGTACCCATGTACCCCCGCCACCCACCCAATACTCTCAGTGGCTTGTGAACTTAAAGGAATATTAACAACAATAAAATATAGATTAGAAAAAGACTTCATGATGAATATCGGACGCGCAATACCCGGCAGTCGAGAATTCAAAATAAGACATATTTGTGAAGAGAATTGATAAGACAGAGGAAATGGTTAATGGTAAGCTTCTGTGTGTACGAAGCGGAGCACCTATGAACAATTTTGGTTTTTGACGAGCAGATTTGGGAAAAAGTTAAAGCAGTTTCAGTAGAAAAGACTATTCTGTGAGTGAGGTCAGACGAATGCCGGTTCCGGAGCACTTGCACAGCACGACGTGTACTTTCCCTTGTCGCTTTTGATGACTCCGTCAACGTGGAAGGCGGATGAGAACTCCTAAAAGGAAGAAGATCAATTGGATGTGGATTTGGATGCAAGGCAACCAAAATTAGCATATAAATTGGCAGGAAATCGTCTAACTAACCTCGTTGTCATCCGATTCGTCCGAATTCATACTGCCAGCCGTTATTCTCTCCCTCATAGCAGCTGTCAGCGTATGAAAAGCTTCCTCGCAGTTGATTCCTGAAAAAATTATCGTTTTTAGGATAACAAGCGGAAAAGGATACCAGTTTTTGCAGACACTTCATAAAGCGATACGCCGAGGCGTGAAGCAAGTTTTTCAGCACGATCGAAATCCACCTGAAAAGCAGTCAATTAGCTGTTTTCGATTTTCTATCTGCATCTCTCTATTCAAGGGAAGAATCCGATAATTACGACATATAATAGTTGCTATTAAGTCAGTTTCCACCCCCTGCCTCTTCTTTTGACGCTCCTTCAACCGATTCACCCTTCCCAGTGTTCGAATGCATCTCAATCAAATTGTTTGTACACACAATTCGTCAGTCAATGTATAAATTCAGTGTAACATTGGCTTTGCTTTGCACATTCCCGCCTGTCGTAACAACTTATGAACATTTTTGCATTGTAATGTCGCATTGCATTCAAGAGTGCTTATGAATCATTAGTCCTTTGGATGTTTCCCTACATCGCAGTAAAACGGAGGATACAAAGTGCATCGAGCTTTCGGGTCTACGAAAAACAAAGGAAACCCTATTGTGGTTGGCGGGCAGCGAAGGAAAGAGATGGATGGTGGCCCTGCCAGAAATGAACAAGCCTTCTAATTGGTTTCCCCAAAACAAAAAAAGTCCGACGGATTCGTCGCTACTGCTTCCCGGCCAAAAGTCGGACTGATTTCTGATTCAAAAATACAGATTACTTCCTTGCCCTGAGGCTATTTTCTATTGACGAGCACATCCTGTTGGAAAACATGACCCTGGGACCTCTTCTTCGCTTAGCACATAGCTACTACCAGAAACAAAATTAGTCGCCCTGCTCTTCCACAAAATTGTATTTGGTTCGTTCGCATACGCATTCAAAAAAATAATGTTGTTGACAAGAGAGCTTGGCATCGGCACCCGCGAGTTTTTGAGAAGCATAAGAAGATACACAGAGGTATTCAGTTTCCTTCCTTCTTTTTCTCCCGCTTCCTCCTCCGAGTTTTGCTGCAACTTCAACACAAAAGCCGTCCTTTTGAAGAGTTGTGAGCAGACCCCGTCAAGAGGAGCGGTTCTTACTGTACGACCGGGGTGACTACAGCATGTTTACTCTGAGTGGTGCTGCTATGCGTACGTAAATGTACATACATTCATAAAATCGGTTTGTTAGAAGTGACGGGAAGAGAGGCCCCCCTAAGAGGTCGACCTCTGAGTAATTCGGGCTAATAGGATAGCAAGGAAGCGGCTGGTACTTGTTTCACCCACCTGCGCGTCTTCATCTCTTATGCCAATGTCCATGGCCTCTCCAAAAATGGCAACACGTGCCATACGCACTCAACAAGGCGTTTAGTAGCGGACAGATGGTCAGCCAGCGTTAAATTTATGGGCGACGACAGTAAGAACGAATCGGCAGCGAATCGGAAACGGACTAACCTTCCGTTCCTGATCCAGGTCCGCTTTGTTGCCCACCAGCATGAGAACTGCGTTCGCCGGCGCGTGCTGCTTGATCTCTTTCAGCCAGTACTTTTCCAGATTCTCAAACGATTTCTCGTTTGTCATATCGTAGACGCACATGACTCCGTGGGCTGAGTGATAGTACGAGTTGTATATTGTCCGGTATCTTTCCATTCCAGCGGTATCCCATAGTTCTAATCGGATCTGCAATCACGGCGAAAATTGGTGACCAGAAAGATGACAATCAGCAAGGCTCCTATTGGTGAATCACTACCCTGTTTGCGTGGGCGGTCTCATAAAAAAAATGGTTTCACGATAAGATAATACTATTTGTGTGCGATGCGCTCCTATTTCTAAAAGAAATGACGATACACGCGACAAAAGAGTAATACAGGAGCGGAAATCCTTGGTAAACAGAGTGGAGGGAAAGTAAATAGTGAGAAGATTGGCAAAGGTTCAGTAGAAAAACTTCTTCGAAGAACTTACCTTATCCCTTCCCAACTTGATTGTTTTCAATTTGAAATCCACGCCCAGAGTGCTGATGTGATCCATTCGGAAATTGTTTTCAGCAAATCGCAGAAGGATGCATGACTTTCCGCAATTGTGATCTCCCACCACAACGATCTGCAATTGATTGCTACTTTGTAGAGGTGGCATCCGATTAGCTGTCGCGAGGGCATTGTACGTACGCGTTCGCTCGTCTCAAATCTAATTATAATATATGCGCATTTGGCGTGTGTTTGTAGTACCGTTTGGTCATGAAACCACGTTTGAATGGCACAAACGAGGTCTCGTTTTAGAACAAGGTGCCAAGACCTAAACCAGTTGGGACCAGTATGTTTTCTCCGGCATAATATGTCCATAATTCTACTCCACCGCGTCCATAAATTACCCGCATTGTTAACGTGCTAAATCAGTTATGCGTGGAAGAACCTACGGCAATACTTTGTACAAAACAGACGACGAAGCGTGAAATCGTAAAATTCGGAAAGTGAGTGACTAATACCGTAGATGTGGAAAGCAAAAAGGAAGACTCACCTTGAAGAGATGGTTATAGCTCATCGGGTCCTTTGCAGACGGTTATGAATATTAACAGGCACGCAGCGGGGAGGCGACACAACGTCCGGCACTCGCGCTTGAGAAAGATAAATGAAGATGTCAAAAAAAGCTGACACGTCTCGAAAAAGGTTATGAACGGCAGGGCAGTTGGTGCGCCTCCTCCTCCCTTTCTTCTTCTTCTCTCTTCGCTTCTCTCCCGTTGCGCGCGCTATGTATGTGCCAAATAGTCGGCGGGGAGGAGGCGGGGTCAGTTTGCCAATTGTCTGCGCTCTCCGCCGTTTTGTATGATATACGAGGCACTCGTCACTCGCATGAACCGTCTCTTTGTCGTTCTACCACTCCCGGGTCGATCTCTCCGCTTTCCCGCTCCCCTCTTTCTCTTTCTCTGTCACTCGACTACCCGCTGGGACACAATTTATCAATCATACACTTGATATCCCAAGTTCGAGTAAGTAATTGACCGTTGTCGTCAAGTGCTGATGCCACGGCGAAGAAAATAAGAGAGAGGGCAGGAGAGACGGTTTTTTGCGTGTGATGAGGCCACGCGAACCAAATGAAGATGTCTGTCTGATGATCGGTCCGATTGCGACCAATCTTAACCAGCCAGATTGCCACTAAAACGGACTGAGGGCAAACGTTTCTATCGCTTTATGACACTGAATACCGTACAGAAACAGCTAAAAGTTGATCTTTTGCGTGGGAAATCCAGAAAACCATGTTACACAACTTCCTGAGTGCGTAAGGCAACACACAAATCAAATTTTCACTTGTGAACAATAGGACAACGCCCTTTTTTTTGCAGATCCTTTCTCAAGAAACTCGCTCACGCAAAAGGAAGAATCCGTTCGTATACATATATCTATACAAATAGATTTCATTTTATTACTACACAAGACATACAATATGTCACTCACATTTTCTGGAAATACATTAGAGGAGAGAGAGAGAGAGAGGAAGAGAGAGGATCACTTGAAATAGACACAGATTACAAGCCGATTAAATGCTCGGAGAGGAAAGAGATAGAGAGAGAGAAACGAATTTCACAATAGAGTGGTTTGAAAAGATATGCGAGTGCCGGATATTGCACATGCGATATTCGAAAAATGACACATGTTCTCTAGATCATTCACGCTCGTTGGATCTCAAAGAGTTTCACATCTGTGTCGTACCAAATTGGAGGCATTGTGTTTCTGAATAGAAACGGATTGGGAATACAGGGGCGGGTGGGGACACGAACCTGAGGTAGATGACGCCCCACATGTAGATGCGGAACCAGTGGTTCGTTCCCACGTTTGTCTGATATCGCCTTATCACAATCGGATGCGGAACCGGCAGAAGACCGACCAGAGTTCCGTGTTGCAAGAACTTCAAGATTTCACTCTCATCGGTCAAACCTCTGAAATACTATATATATTTGAGATCTCTGACCCATTTCAATCTCACTTGTCAATGCAAATCTTCTCAACCTGCGGTACAAGCACTTGGAGAAGTCGCATAATAGTTTGAAGAGGCAGTTTTGACTTCCAAGCCTCAGCCCACTCTTGTGTTGCGATCCACTCATCTGGAAATGAAGCATGTCATTTTCATCATGTCATTCTCAAACTCACTGTTATCCGTCGTTGGTTTGTCTTCCCAACTTCCGACGTTTCCAGTCATGGTAGCGAGTGCGGGAGTCGCCGCAAGACCAGTTGTTGTGCTGGCTATAAATAAATGAAATAGACATTGCGAAATCCTTCGGATGACATTAGAAATTGGCGCCAAAACAAACCTCCTCCTCCCGTTGTGGCTGCTCCAGACGCCGGAAATTCTGGGGGATTTGCCACTGTGGGACTCTTCAGCTGATCCACCATTTCATCACGGTTCGTTGCTGAAAGTGACACGTCGTTAGGGTTTTTAGAGTAATCGAATTGCTTGCTTTTATTCTTCCGTCCGGATAACGTTTTTGCAATGGACTGGGCATCTGTTGGAAGGTTCGAAAGTTGATAGAAAACGTGTCTCTTCCGAATGATTGTGTAGATCAAATTGGAGTTTCCTGAACAGATTGTTTTCTTTACTTTTAAATGTATAATTAATTGGATAATACCATCGAATTGGTATTGGATAACGTTGTTGAACACTTCAAGAAGCGAGAAAACCAGTTGAGGATTTGTCGGCGACGAGAAAAGGAACCACGGAGTCGAGAAGGCTTCGACAAGATGGACAAGCTTGTTTGCAGCCACCATCGATAGCGATTTCATGTACGGAGACACTGAAAATCTCAAGAGTCATTGAGAGACGGGTCTAAAGTGCTCACCATTGACCATAATCGTCAAAAAGCAATCAAACAGCGATTGAAGGCGGTAGTTTCCCGTTGTTATCAACTTATGGAACACCTGAAACTTCTCCGATGAAACTGTGAAAGTTCGAGGATTCTGTGAACCAAAATAAGAAGATCTGCATGGGTTCCTGTGAACGATTGAACGTTAATGTTCGCTTTCGCCGTGTAGGGTTTGTTTAATCTGACTCCGAAATTGCGTTCCCCACTCAGAAGAAGAATGATGAATACTCCCATGTGGATGAGTCCTACTCGCGCTGAAAAACAATTCGTTTAAAAACAAGCGTCCCGACAAACAAGCAACTGACCGGAATCATTGCGCGCGTCAGAGATGTGGTAGAGAATTGGCACAAGGATGTCGAGAACATCGGACGTTTTGAGCACATAGAACATGAATTTCTGTAAAGGAAGGTTTCAAAACCATTTCTTGATTGTCCTTGCTTCCTATTTGCTTACCTGGTTGAATTCACAGCATTTCCACAGAAGAACAAGTAATTCCTGATGGAAATTGACTTTTTTCGTTGAGTTTGGCAAATAGGAGGACGAAGAATGAATGGGGTTGCTGAGCAGACGGGTGATGCCCTTCAGCATAAAGTCAAAATCCTCTTCCCTGTGAATTCTGCTGAGGTAGTTGATGAAATAGTTGTCCTGGTATCCAGATTCGTCAGCTTTCGAAGGCTGGCTCTCCTTGTCCAGGCACACAATAAGAACTTGAAGTGCGATTTCAACCAAAGGCTCTCTGGAGTCATTAAACAAGAGATAATTGTAGGGCAACCCGTATCCAACGGGATCATAGGCACAAACAACATTCAGAAGAGAGGTGAATATTGGGAGCACGTGGTGGTTGGTAACGGCAGTGAAATGGGAGATCCAACGTAGACGATTTTCATCTTTAAAAAAATCGCACAGTTTTTTAATTTCATATTTTTGCTTCCATTTCGCAAACCTGTGACTGGAGAGTAAACAACTTCTGAAAAGCAGGTCAGCAAAAGCTTCAGTATCTCGGATCGGTTTTGGTAGTGAAGGGCGACCATGGGAGGCTTGTTTCCCGATCCAACTCCAGCTTCCCAGATGTATTCGCATGAGTCGATTGTTGACAAATCATTCACTTTCTGCTGAAAACTACGGTTTCAATCGTTTTTTATTTTTAGTTTCATACCGATCCATTCGAATGTGTGATAGTGAACTCTGGGCAGAAAAGTAGGTCGGAAAGAGCCTCAAGAAGGGCTGCCGCCAAGGGCTTTGTATTGTCGCCATGGGGAATCGGAGACCAGAAATAGCCTCGCCACTCGGCGTCTTCCAACATGTACGGGATCATTCTTGTGAGCAAACGAATCGCGTTGATAGTCTGAAAAAGGGTACAATTCAAAAAGTACAAAAAATTGCAGTAGGTTACCTTTTTCTGATCCACATTGGCCGGGCTATTCCGAGAATGCTGAATCTTCTCAACTGCTTTGTACACGAGAGTCGCAAGGTTCTTTGGCGATTCGTCTCTCAGTTTCCGGATATCCTCACCCGGAATCATTGCGAAGATATCATTCACGGAATCCGGCCACCAAGTCTGATCCCAGAAACGTTCGTCGTCCTGAACGCAAAAAGCGTTTAGGTCAGTTTTGTGCACCTTTTGAAAAAGAACTCACCTGTCCAGGTTTCGATGTCAAATCCATAACGGCTTGTCGAAAGTCGACTCTGCTTCCTTGCGCACCCATTATTTACGGATATTAGATAATTACCTTCTATCTGAAAGATTCATTTGTCAGAATTTCAACTAGAAGCAAGCGGCAAAACGAGCAGATGACGTGGGTGAAAAATGAATTGGATGGAATGCAAAGCCTGCGTCGACGTCGTCCATTTGGAAGGAAGACGTAGAGCCAAGTGCGGATAGAGAGTAATAGCGCACAGAGAGAGGAGGGCCTCCGAATCAATAAGGTCCCCTTCCTCGGCCACATGAATATTCTAATATAGAACGACGGCTCGTAACGAGGACACAGCCTCCTGTGAGCTCTTTTCTTAATTGAAGCTCATATTTATTGCCGCCGAGCCGAGCCTAATGAGATTTTAGCTGGTTACTGCAATGCCCTCGGGAAATAGCATATCAAAAAAGACACATCTTAGAAAATCGATAAATGCACAATCGGGAACGGTTTGCGCATTATTATGCCGACAGTCGCAAAACTCTTCCACGCGAAACGTCGGCCTCGAAAACTCGGCCACCTCTTTATTACCAATTTCGTTGTGAATGAGTCAACCGGAAACAATTTTTGCTAATAGGAAATGACGAATAATTGTGTAGTTTTGTGCGTGGGTGTCGGTCTAGCGAAATGTGAAACCAAGGGAGTAAATGCGTTCCGGCTGAGATGCTAATCTTCTTTTTGGTGGTATCTCGTGAAATATCTTCTCTATGAATGCAGAATATTAGTTTTGACGAGAAAACGTTTCATTGAAAGACTGAGGTAATCAAAAAGGTAAAAACACGTTCGAAAAAGGAATATTATCGTTATTATTATGGAGAACTCGTGCAAACGGTTACAAGTGGTGTTCATTGAGGAGGTAAAAATCGCATTCGCGCAATTTCAGACTTCTGCTCTTCGGTGTACACTTCGACATCTGAAAATCAAAAGAAAACAATATTTCCATGCGGATTTGCCCTTTGTCAACCCGAACCTGGTCTGTAGAAACGCTCGTCGTACGGCCATCCGTTTCTGATTTGATAAGATAGCAGTTTTTGGGCAAACGCATGACGATTCTGTGAGGATCGGATAAAAAAAACAGGAAAAGTTCTCGGTTACCGGGTTGTTCTCATGATTTCTTTGCAGGTCTAGGCTGGCTGGTTTGAACTCTGTACTGCCGGCGAAGTTTGGAACTCCATTGATTCGGCTTCTTCGAGCCAGACCCTAAAATTCTTAGTTTTAATTGACAGAAAACAATTATACTAACCGCTGGAACTGGTCTAACTGTGGTTGTTGTCATTGTTGTGGTTGTTGTTGGTGCTGCGGTGGTTGATGCTGAAGTTGGGAAAGTGAAGGCAGACTTCGGAATCCACGTTCTGGTCACAGCAGCACTTCCGCCGACCTCGGAAGACTTCTGATGGTGCGCAAATGACGGTCCTTTTCTTTAAACAAACGATGCAATCATCCTAGCAAACATTAAAAACTGACCTTCTCACACCGACGCTGTTGATTGCGATCTCTGGGAACTCCTGGTCGACAATTGGAGGCGCTTCCGTAGTCTTAGTGGTCGTCGTTGTGGTTGTCGTCGGTTTCAAATACTGCCCCTCATGAAGCTTTCCAGGCAATGGTTTTCTCAACGACATGTTGATGCTTTTCAGTGCTCCCTTTGGCTTTTGAGTGGTCGCATCGTCCAGAATGTCAGAAGCGTACAAGTACTTTTGACAACAGATTGATCGTTTGTACTCTCCGAAACAGAATGTGTCAGCCTAAAGTTGGAAAGTTATTAAAAGTACAATGTGAAGTTTTGGAATAATCTCTTACTCCTGGGCAAGGAATTCTGGAGTTACACAAAGTTCTAGTTCCGTCATGATTGAGCAATCCGATCGACTGCGCAGGACACTCCAGCTCTTCCTCTGGAGGCGGTGTTGTCGTCTTGAAACGATATTTGGGATGAGCCGCTGCTGTTGTTGGAGTTTCTTTGTGTTTCCTTTGGAAAGATGGATCCTCGCAGCAAATATAACCAAGCCCGACATCAGCACAATGCATGTTCTCCTATAATTTCAGTATGTTTCAAGTTTGAAGTGTTAAATTATTACTCCTGGACAGCTTCTCGCAATTTGACTACATTTCATTGGAAGTCCATGTGGATCTAAAACTGTTAACTTCGGATAAGGACAGCTTGGCTGGTTGTCGATGGAAGGTTCGTTTGATGGGCAGCACATGTAGTTGAGCCCAGTGAAAAAACAATTGTGGTTAGCTCCACAGATAAGATGTTGTGATGTTCCTGTTGTTCAGACGTTTCCAAAAATGCTTTGAAAGCTCTCAATTCTACCTGGCAAACATTGTATGGGTCTCAGAGAAGAGTCCAATTTTGGTTGTTGACCATTCGGACATGTTGGTGCTTGTGCTAAAGGAAAATGGCATGAGTTAGCCGACCAGAGAACAAGATGCTAACCTGATGTAAAGTAAACTAATACAATTAGAAAGTAACAGGAAACGAAAGTCGCAGAAATCATCGAAGTTTGTGGCTAGAGTGATAAATACGGGTCGTGTGCGGGAGAAGGGAGGGTACACTGACGGGAAAATGAGAAACAAGAAGGATGCGTTGGGGACGGGTAGTCGATTAACCTCTTTTACGGATGCGTCTCCTTTTCTCGGGAAGAATACAAGAGAAAGACGAATAAGAAGAAGGAGATAAGTCGGAATTATCACAAGTCTGCATCTCTCCTGTATCATTGTCGTATCATAATCGAAAGTTTTTTGCGTTGTTTCCCGCGAGGAATGTTCAGTTTGTCCGTCGTCCAGAGAATGCAACATTGATCTCGTTTCAGCTGAGATGACTGGTTTCCGTCGGATAGAGGCTCTTCTTTGTCTCGGCAGACTTCTCGCGTTTCCTGTTGAGTCACCTGAGGAGGTCGCATGCATAGGTACACATTGCGACCACAGAAACGCATATCGATCTATTCCTGTTTGCTCAAGCGCTGGTCAACTATACTCATGGTTTCTCAATGCTTTTCTTAACTTTTTATGTGTTCCTTGCCGTATTTGTGCATGCAAACCCTCAGAAAGAAGAAGAGGGACGGTCCTTGAATTATTTCTTCCAAAGAACCAGGTAGTGTTACTTGAAAAGCTGTACAGATGTACTTTTCTATGCTTGTTTCAGAAGCTTGAATGGTGGCCACGCAACTGATGGAGATCCCAAAATTAACGATGAAGTCTATCGAATTTTCATGCTTACAATCCTAGACGGCTTCAACATTTTTAAAATAAAAATGTACAATGACCGTTCGTTCATTTATCTGACACGCCGAAACTACTGGCTTGGCGACCGTTATTATTATATGGTTTGTGAGAACGACCTTCGAAAGATCATGATATAAGAATTACAGGATAATTATTATTACCTTGCCACCCGGGATACGTGCGCATATCGGATGAATGAGACGGAACGTCAACATCTTTTCTACGAAGAAGATAATATGCCAATATTTGATATTATTTATCAGTACGTGTTTCTTTTCACTTCAACTTCTCTGACTTTTTTTTCAGGTGTCAACGATATCAAGAGTACTGTTGTGGCCTGAATTGCTGTAAAATCGACCAGATCGGTAGACACGACGAGCCACGCCGGCCACCGAAATATCCATGGCAGGATCCATGGCACATGTCCGCGACATCAGCCAATCACACGTTTATCATTTTCATTATCATGCTTATCAATATCTATCGAACATGCCTTACCGTATGAAAAAGTAAAGAAGCGCATATTTTCGAGAACTTCTTGGAAGCAGCGCAGCGCTCATTCTCTCAAGAGGCAATATTCAAAACAATCGGCGGAAGGCTTGATGGACACTTTCGGTCCTTTTCCTCCAATTTCTCCACGTTGTCTGCCATTGTAACGTTACTTTTCAGCTCATGTTTTCAGCTATATCCAACTTTTTTATACATAATTCACGCTTCACGCACGTGACTCATTGCGGAACTTCCAGAAGTCGTCAACTTTCCCAGATTACGCCTCCTTGCGTTGTCTTCTGCACTGGTCTTAGAACACAAATCAAATTTCGAGTCAAAATGCTCACGTAATCCAGAAACAAAACATGAATAATTACTCTTGCTTTGTAGCGCGCCTTCTTCTTTCTCTCCACACTTCTGAATCCTCGACAGCTCGAACAAAACAATTAGGGCACAAGTGTATTATTTGAGCATTGTTTTCTCTCATCTTGTTTTTTCTGCTTCCATTGAAGAACACATTATTTTCCTCATAACAAAAAGTTCGGAATATGAAAAATACTGACATCTTTTGGTCTTCCATTAATAATTCGATACTCGTTTATTCTGAATGTATGTAAAGAAACTAGTCCTAATCCAGTAAGTCTGCCTAAAACAAGATGGACCAAAATGCGACACCCCAAAGAATCCAATCTAATTTTGCTCGCAACGGTGCACAGATTTCGTCATGCTTCTCGGCTTTTCTCCTCGCGAAATCTGTCACTGACGCGCCTAATTTGAAATTTGATGAAAACAGCAAAGTTTCGGCTTTCTTTAGCGTCAAGTCAGATTTCCCTACCCTACTAAACTTTTAACTCATTAGACGTTTGTGAGTGATTTTAAAGAGCCTAGCTCAAACCACTTTTCGTTTCTCTTTCTTTTCTCCTCAACAATGTATAAATGAACCTGCACCCCAATAATTGATCTCATTTCTCAAAATCGGAATGGACCTCATAAAATGGTTTTCTTCACAAGATGAGAAGCGGCGCTCCTCTTCTTCGCACACTTTTCCTCCTCCTCTTGTTCCTGCTCACTCAATTTTTCTGGCGCTGCAGATTGAAAGACACTAACTAACTAAATTGGCCGCCGACTGATGAACGTGTAGTGATCAAAAATGTGTGCATCGAGCTTCTGGCGGAGAGTACGGCCCAATCCGCTCGTGTTCATTTTTTGCGTCAGTTCGTGTTGTTTCACTTTTGGGTTGTCCATTGCTATCTATGATATCAACAATTACGGAAGCGGTTTGTACTTGGTGGGTCATTTTTTCCAAACTTTTGAACTCGAACTGATCCGTGAACATTTTTTCAGGCATTGGTTTCAATCGTTACAGTGGTCATCGTCGTTGCATTCTGTCTGGTCGGAACAGAGGATCAGGTAACTTTTCAATGTTGTCAAACTATATTTGATTTCAGTATTAGCTTCTGATTTTGCAAAATTCAGCTGATAGCCAATGCGTTTTTAGTTTGCCTATTTTCAGATTTATTTTGTCATTCATTTTCATTTAGCCTCGTCGTGTTGCTTGCGCTGCGTCGTTTGAAAAAAACACTTGATTTCGTCGCATTTTGTTGTGAACTTTTTTTGATTTTGTGTGCGTTAAAAACAAAATATTGCGCGAAATTTTGAGACTGAGCCCACAGTGGCCAAGAAAGTGTGGTCAACGACGCGCCAAACAATGCGACGATTTAAAAAGGAACCATCATCGAGGATGCCGGCGGGGATCGAAATCCGAATAGTGAACATCGATTTGGAAGCGGAAGGAGCACGAAGTTGCTCCTCTTCGGAAGATCACAATGCCAACAATTCGCCACTTTGAATCATGAATTAGTCAGTTTAAAGGATCCGTTTTAAAAGTTTTGTAATCTATTGTTTATTTCAGAACATCTTCTTCGTCCACAAGACCCATTTTGCTCAAGGTTGTCTGATTGATTTGTACATACACAGACATACGCACTCAAAATGTAATTTTTCTTTTCTGTCCTTTTTCCATTCATTTTTGCGACATCTTTCTGTTGCTTGCCCGGCTTTATGATACGCGGTGGTGTATAACACATACAATAAAGATTATGATCCAAAAATGAAACATTGAAGTATTTCTGGTTCTAGTCTGCATCAACAATAATGCAGAGGATTGTAGAGCCATGTTATCCTATCCTAAACAAGTTTTTCCACCCGCCAAATGAGCAGCGCTGGTAATCGCTTTCGGGGCGACAGTGAACCGGTACAGGTTTGGCAGAGGATTTCGGCTTGTTGTTATCCGATTCAGCAAATAAAAATGATGATGAAAGCAGGCGAAAACTTGCGAAATTGTGCAATTAAGTGAAAATTATGAAGCTCAGGAAGAGAGTTTCAGTGGACTAGGACAACTCGCCAAAAACATGTTTCCATATTTTTAAACTTTCTTTCAGAATCGGTCTGAAGATGCTGAAAAACAGCGTCTTCGATTTACTTCAGAGTATTTAGAATCTGTTCGTCAAACTCATCGTTTCGGTTGACTCACATTCAAACTAAACTCAATGAGTCATGAGAAGTAAGTATCATAAACTTTCTAATCCCACAGCTGCCTATACCAGTTTTTGCTTGCCGCTCACTTGCTAATTTTCGCTTTCTTTCCCCGGTGAACATGAACTTTTTACCACACGGGGGCGGAAGGGAGAGAGAGAAAGAGATAAAAAATGTAGAGCAGCTAAAGCCGACGGGCAGACACGGGACGGGAGAGACTCGATGTGGTAACATGAAATAGAGAGGATTACTGTGCTTGCGCCTCCCCCCTCTTGTGGCAATACTAGCTGCCCGCCCGAACCTCATATTTCATTTATTCGTGTTGTCGATACGTTGTGATTAACTACGCTACTATGGTGCTACTGTTGAGGCTTGCGTTCGCGTGGTCTCTCATACATGTTTGTACGTTTTTCTAAAGTTTACTTAAACGAAACTATTCATCATCTTCCAGCGCGAGCTTGTCTTCCCAACCCTTTCTTTGGTTATAGTCCCGGGTATGGTGGCTATTATGCTCCTCAAGTTGGTTACAACATGGGACAATTCCCTCGTGTTGGACCTTTCCGTGCTGAACCACAAAGGGGTCCGTCTGCAGCTGCCGGGGGAGCTGCGGCCGTTGCTCAGAACCCGGTACAACCGCGTTTTGCTATGCAACAGGATGAGGTGCTTTTCAATGATTCAGTTTTTTTTGTTGAAACATCAGTTAGTATTAGATCCGTTCCGTGTCTTCGCTGAATTGTGCTACCTTTGCTGACAAATGTCGCTGGTCGAACACTCAAGAGGAAGAATTGGACTGGACGACTCTGGCCGAATCTCCACAAGCAGCCGCTTTCTTACCTGTTCTGGATGTTCAAAACCTTCCGGGTACACTGAAAAACGCTATATGTTTTTTGATAACTTTTGAAAATATCAGGTCAATCCGCCGGTTCTCTAACGTCGCCAGCTCGAAATGGTTGGGAGAGTGGTCAACTCGTATCTGATGCGCTGCCTTGCCTCACAAGCGGATTGAAAATCACGGCAACTGCTTGGCGCAGCAAAGTTGGACCGACCAGTGAGCAGCCAAAGTTACAGGTTTGATAATGTTCATTACGCCGATAGCACTTTTTTTTTCAGATCTGCGCAAGGAATGCAAATGAAGAAAAGTTCCCGCTCATCAATTGTAACGAGTTTGAAATCAGAAATGGAGTTCCCATGTCTGCTGATATTCCAACTCCGAACGACCCTAACAGCCCTGCGCAGGTATTTATTCTATGAGTGCAGTACTTGTAAACTTGTTCAGATTGTCTTTTCTGGAAACAATTTTATCGCAAAAGAAGGAGGAGCGCTTTTCATTCAAGATATTGTAATCGAAGGATCTTTAAAGTGTAATGGAGAAAGTTTGGATAGTCATCCGGTCTTAATCTCGAATCCTCCATCAAGAGCAAATGATGATGATAAGAGGAGTTTCTCTGAGGCCATGGGATTGAAGGTAGTTGGACCAAAATGTTCTTTGATAATCTCAAAGTGATCTGATTTAGGGTCTCGAAGGAATTCCAGGTTTAGAAGCAATTGACGCCAGAATGCCTGCCAGTTTGGATGAACAACAAATAGCAATTGCCAATTTGCAAAAAAGCTTGCAAAGCAACCGTGTAGTCGAGACGCAGCCAAAGTCCTCGCATGAGACTCAATCGGTGGTCGCTGTGATCCCTCAGCCACTGCCCCAACTGCAATCCGCTCCTCAGGCCCCACAGACGCCACCGGACTCGTTATCACCTATCCCTTCTCTTTTCGAAAGTTGCCTCGCTTTGTCTTGTAATCCCTCTGACTTGAGCTGCAAGTTTTGGCGATCATCCGGTAATAACCGATGGGAGATCGGGACATCGGGAAGAGTGGCAAATCCTCTTACCGGAATCAACCTGCCACCGGGAACAGGTATTCATCAGCGTTATGTAAGTTCAAAATATAGTTGTTTTCAGCTCAAAAGTTCTTGGTCGCCCCGTTCTTCGACTCTCACATCAGCAGCTACACCTTGGTATCGGAATCTCTTAACGTTCCACTGTTGGAAGAAGTTTACTTCTGTTTCTATGAGTACTACGCAACCGAAGGTCTTTCTATTGCTATCTGCACAGACAAAATGGACTGCTTCTACAAGAAGAGCACTCTGACAATGGGAGAAGGACTTCGGGTTAGTTCCTTTAAATAACTCCCGTCCACTTATTTGAATTCAGGACAATAAGAAGTGGAACATCCGATGCGCAAAGCTTCCTCCAGGATCTTATGAGGTTGGTCCATGCTTCCAAATCTTCGCAGTATTTCACATTTATTTTCAGCTCCGTGTCATTGCCGAAAATGCTGGTGAAAATAAAGGAGAGGTCGGATTCCTTCCGATCCGTTTGTCTAGAGATGGCAAAGGACAACAACTCATCTGCTAGGAGGACTTCCGGCTCAAGAAACTATTAATAAATTATTATCTGTGATTGTACACACCTGGACATAATTATAAAGCCACTCTTTTTTTGCGTTTTTCTCCAGAACCAAATGTAATATCGATATGAGTCTTTCAGACAGTAATCCATGCTAGAAACCCCAAAAAATGATAGAAAAAACAGGACAGTGCAGTGGCAGTGGTGAAGTATGTCTTCAACTTTGCAGTTAATCTTTTTTTTTTTAATATTTCCTCTGCTTAAAAAGTTAAAATCATTGTCCACGGGCGAATTTTTGCATGCGGCCCTTATTTTTGGCGCTGAATCAAATGGTGATAGTCACGTCTCTTGGTCATGTCAAAAGGCTGCACATCGGCTAAAACTTTTTATACTTTTGTGAATATCTTCTTTCATTATTTGTTTCAACAGAACTTATTCATTGTACTCTTAAAGCCCATTCCATCAGTTACAATTTAGTTTTTTTTCCCGACTGTTTTACGCAAAATTTGACGGATTTTTTTGATTTTTTGTAAAAAAAAAAGTATCGTTTTTGCACCTTTTTGACGATTTCTCGGCTAAAACGAGAAATGAAGATGAGCCCTGTGGTACTGTTTCTACCCTTCACGGGAGCTTTTAATCTGCCCTAGTCCCGAGGGAAACCCCGAATAAACAAACAGCAGGACCTTTCTAAACTTATATTCACAGAAAATATACAAAGTATTCAAAGGCATCAACATGATCGCCCTCTGCTAGCTTCAATTCTTCGGCGGTGCCGTCACCGCTTTAATATTCGTCGTCATACATAATCTTCAGTTTTTTTTTCATCTTGACAGGATGTGATCCGGCAGAGTCTCAATCGTGATCACCTTTTTCTGACTTCCCCATCGATGCGCCTCGAACACCGGGTACGGCAACGTCAGCGCCTTAATTTCCAGCGATTTGAGCGTGGCGTCGTTTGGCAGGGCTTCCTTGCTGTAGTGTATTAGTACATCGTTCAGGCCACACTTCCACTTAATTATGAACAATCTCCGTACTTCTTGGAACTGTTCGCCAATTTTTAATTCAAGCTGTTGCCGCGCATTGACCATTACCCAGCACTTCAATTGGCACAGATATGGCCATAGAGTAGTCATTCTGCTTCTCGCAAAATCAGTCATGTTTCGGCTAAGGACTTAGCTAGCGCACCTTCTGGATGAACTTTGGATGCTACGAGACAGTCGAAGACAGTCTTCCCGACAGTCTTCTCTCCATCTTGAAAGTATTACACAAAAGTGATAACTTACCTCTAATAGTAAACTCTGAAAAGCAGGATTACCGGCTCCCGGGGTTTCTTGGAGAGTCACAAGAAAAGTAGAATCTCACCCTTCGTATTATACTGAGCAGTAAAAATACCAGTAAAAAACACTAAACTTTAACATGAAATCACGCTTTTACGGTGAAACTAGGGCAACAACACGCGTAATAAATCGTTTTCTGACTTACCGGAAAGGCACAATCACCTCTGTATGAACGGCTTGAACAAGTAGATCCTATTAATTGCTTGGCGATAGTAATCTTCATGGCTTTTCTTGCCGATAGTGATATTCATAGCGTTAACCAGCAGTCCTCTTCTCTGCATCTTCAAAGTATTACACAAAAGTGATAACTTAACTCTAAAATGCCATCACGCTTAACGGTGAAACTAGGGCAACAACACGCGTAATAAATCGTTTTCTGACTTACCGGAAAGGCACACTCACCTCTGTGTGAACGGCTTGAACAAGTAGATCCTATTAATTGCTTGGCGATAGTAATCTTCATGGCTTTTTCTTGCCGATAGTGATATTCATAGCGTTAACCAGCAGTCCTCTTCTCTGCATCTTCAAAGTATTACACAAAAGTGATAACTTAACTCTAAAATGCCATCACGCTTTTACGGTGAAACTAGGGCAACAACACGCGTAATAAATCGTTTTCTGACTTACCGGAAAGGCACAATCACCTCTGTGTGAACGGCTTGAACAAGTAGATCCTATTAATTGCTTGGCGATAGTAATCTTCATGGCTTTTCTTGCCGATAGTGATATTCATAGCGTTAACCAGCAGTCCTCTTCTCCCCATCTTGAAAGTATTACGCAAAAGTGATAACTTAACTCTAAAATGCCATCACGCTTTTACGGTGAAACTAAGGCAACAACACGCGTAATAAATCGTTTTCTGACTTACCGGAAAGGCACACTCACCTCTGTGTGAACGGCTTGAACAAGTAGATCCTATTAATTGCTTGGCGATAGTAATCTTCATGGCTTTTCTTGCCGATAGTGATATTCATAGCGTTAACCAGCAGTCCTCTTCTCTGCATCTTCAAAGTATTACACAAAAGTGATAACTTAACTTTAAAATGCCATCACGCTTTTACGGTGAAACTAGGGCAACAACACGCGTAATAAATCGTTTTCTGACTTACCGGAAAGGCACACTCACCTCTGTGTGAACGGCTTGAACAAGTAGATCCTATTAATTGCTTGGCGATAGTAATCTTCATGGCTTTTTCTTGCCGATAGTGATATTCATAGCGTTAACCAGCAGTCCTCTTCTCTGCATCTTCAAAGTATTACACAAAAGTGATAACTTAACTTTAAAAATGCCATCACGCTTTTTACGGTGAAACTAGGGCAACAACACGCGTAATAAATCGTTTTCTGACTTACCGGAAAGGCACACTCACCTCTGTGTGAACGGCTTGAACAAGTAGATCCTATTAATTGCTTGGCGATAGTAATCTTCATGGCTTTTCTTGCCGATAGTGATATTCATAGCGTTAACCAGCAGTCCTCTTCTCTGCATCTTCAAAGTATTACACAAAAGTGATAACTTAACTTTAAAATGCCATCACGCTTTTACGGTGAAACTAGGGCAACAACACGCGTAATAAATCGTTTTCTGACTTACCGGAAAGGCACACTCACCTCTGTGTGAACGGCTTGAACAAGTAGATCCTATTAATTGCTTGGCGATAGTAATCTTCATGGCTTTTCTTGCCGATAGTGATATTCATAGCGTTAACCAGCAGTCCTCTTCTCTGCATCTTCAAAGTATTACACAAAAGTGATAACTTAACTTTAAAATGCCATCACGCTTTTACGGTGAAACTAGGGCAACAACACGCGTAATAAATCGTTTTCTGACTTACCGGAAAGGCACACTCACCTCTGTGTGAACGGCTTGAACAAGTAGATCCTATTAATTGCTTGGCGATAGTAATCTTCATGGCTTTTTCTTGCCGATAGTGATATTCATAGCGTTAACCAGCAGTCCTCTTCTCTGCATCTTCAAAGTATTACACAAAAAGTGATAACTTAACTTTAAAAATGCCATCACGCTTTTACGGTGAAACTAGGGCAACAACACGCGTAATAAATCGTTTTCTGACTTACCGGAAAGGCACACTCACCTCTGTGTGAACGGCTTGAACAAGTAGATCCTATTAATTGCTTGGCGATAGTAATCTTCATGGCTTTTCTTGCCGATAGTGATATTCATAGCGTTAACCAGCAGTCCTCTTCTCTGCATCTTCAAAGTATTACACAAAAGTGATAACTTAACTTTAAAATGCCATCACGCTTTTACGGTGAAACTAGGGCAACAACACGCGTAATAAATCGTTTTCTGACTTACCGGAAAGGCACACTCACCTCTGTGTGAACGGCTTGAACAAGTAGATCCTATTAATTGCTTGGCGATAGTAATCTTCATGGCTTTTCTTGCCGATAGTGATATTCATAGCGTTAACCAGCAGTCCTCTTCTCTGCATCTTCAAAGTATTACACAAAAGTGATAACTTAACTTTAAAATGCCATCACGCTTTTACGGTGAAACTAGGGCAACAACACGCGTAATAAATCGTTTTCTGACTTACCGGAAAGGCACACTCACCTCTGTGTGAACGGCTTGAACAAGTAGATCCTATTAATTGCTTGGCGATAGTAATCTTCATGGCTTTTCTTGCCGATAGTGATATTCATAGCGTTAACCAGCAGTCCTCTTCTCTGCATCTTCAAAGTATTACACAAAAAGTGATAACTTAACTTTAAAAATGCCATCACGCTTTTACGGTGAAACTAGGGCAACAACACGCGTAATAAATCGTTTTTCTGACTTACCGGAAAGGCACACTCACCTCTGTGTGAACGGCTTGAACAAGTAGATCCTATTAATTGCTTGGCGATAGTAATCTTCATGGCTTTTCTTGCCGATAGTGATATTCATAGCGTTAACCAGCAGTCCTCTTCTCTGCATCTTCAAAGTATTACACAAAAGTGATAACTTAACTTTAAAATGCCATCACGCTTTTACGGTGAAACTAGGGCAACAACACGCGTAATAAATCGTTTTCTGACTTACCGGAAAGGCACACTCACCTCTGTGTGAACGGCTTGAACAAGTAGATCCTATTAATTGCTTGGCGATAGTAATCTTCATGGCTTTTCTTGCCGATAGTGATATTCATAGCGTTAACCAGCAGTCCTCTTCTCTGCATCTTCAAAGTATTACACAAAAGTGATAACTTAACTTTAAAATGCCATCACGCTTTTACGGTGAAACTAGGGCAACAACACGCGTAATAAATCGTTTTCTGACTTACCGGAAAGGCACACTCACCTCTGTGTGAACGGCTTGAACAAGTAGATCCTATTAATTGCTTGGCGATAGTAATCTTCATGGCTTTTCTTGCCGATAGTGATATTCATAGCGTTAACCAGCAGTCCTCTTCTCTGCATCTTCAAAGTATTACACAAAAGTGATAACTTAACTTTAAAATGCCATCACGCTTTTACGGTGAAACTAAGGCAACAACACGCGTAATAAATCGTTTTCTGACTTACCGGAAAGGCACACTCACCTCTGTGTGAACGGCTTGAACAAGTAGATCCTATTAATTGCTTGGCGATAGTAATCTTCATGGCTTTTCTTGCCGATAGTGATATTCATAGCGTTAACCAGCAGTCCTCTTCTCTGCATCTTCAAAGTATTACACAAAAGTGATAACTTAACTTTAAAATGCCATCACGCTTTTACGGTGAAACTAAGGCAACAACACGCGTAATAAATCGTTTTCTGACTTACCGGAAAGGCACACTCACCTCTGTGTGAACGGCTTGAACAAGTAGATCCTATTAATTGCTTGGCGATAGTAATCTTCATGGCTTTTCTTGCCGATAGTGATATTCATAGCGTTAACCAGCAGTCCTCTTCTCTGCATCTTCAAAGTATTACACAAAAAGTGATACCTTAACTTTAAAAATGCCATCACGCTTTTACGGTGAAACTAAGGCAACAACACGCGTAATAAATCGTTTTCTGACTTACCGGAAAGGCACACTCACCTCTGTGTGAACGGCTTGAACAAGTAGATCCTATTAATTGCTTGGCGATAGTAATCTTCATGGCTTTTTCTTGCCGATAGTGATATTCATAGCGTTAACCAGCAGTCCTCTTCTCTGCATCTTCAAAGTATTACACAAAAAGTGATAACTTAACTTTAAAAATGCCATCACGCTTTTTACGGTGAAACTAGGGCAACAACACGCGTAATAAATCGTTTTCTGACTTACCGGAAAGGCACACTCACCTCTGTGTGAACGGCTTGAACAAGTAGATCCTATTAATTGCTTGGCGATAGTAATCTTCATGGCTTTTTCTTGCCGATAGTGATATTCATAGCGTTAACCAGCAGTCCTCTTCTCTGCATCTTCAAAGTATTACACAAAAAGTGATAACTTAACTTTAAAATGCCATCACGCTTTTACGGTGAAACTAGGGCAACAACACGCGTAATAAATCGTTTTCTGACTTACCGGAAAGGCACACTCACCTCTGTGTGAACGGCTTGAACAAGTAGATCCTATTAATTGCTTGGCGATAGTAATCTTCATGGCTTTTCTTGCCGATAGTGATATTCATAGCGTTAACCAGCAGTCCTCTTCTCTGCATCTTCAAAGTATTACACAAAAGTGATAACTTAACTTTAAAATGCCATCACGCTTTTACGGTGAAACTAGGGCAACAACACGCGTAATAAATCGTTTTCTGACTTACCGGAAAGGCACAATCACCTCTGTGTGAACGGCTTGAACAAGTAGATCCTATTAATTGCTTGGCGATAGTAATCTTCATGGCTTTTCTTGCCGATAGTGATATTCATAGCGTTAACCAGCAGTCCTCTTCTCCCCATCTTGAAAGTATTACGCAAAAGTGATAACTTACCTCTAATAGTAAACTCTGAAAAGCAGGATTACCGGCTCCCGGGGTTTCTTGGAGAGTCACAAGAAAAGTAGAATCAAAACGTGTACCTGGTAGCCTCATCAATAAGATCATAATAACCGACATCTGCTATCATCGACCGATAAGTGTCCTCCGAATCGAAACAATATATAGTTTTTGTCGGAATATGCATACGGGAGTAGAATCTCTCTGTAATAAAGGGTGTTTCCGTCCAAAAACGTTTCTAGTAATTATTGAAATAAAAATACACATTGATTGTGGAAGCTCGGTACTCGAAATCACTCAATTTGGTGAACAAAGAAGTTCGAGCGAGAACTAGATGAATTTCGCACCTGACTTCGTTGTATCAGAGTCTCCGATATTCTCTTCGTTGCGTCGACCATCCATTCTAATCGATAATCAGCGAAGTATCCGTGATCGAAACCTGGGAATGAGTCACTGTGCGTCTTGAAATTCTTCCTCAGCTCACCTTATCCTTTCTTGATCCTTTCGGTTCCTTCGCCAGTTCAGCCCCTAGCCGTTGTTCCGTTGGAATATGCGTCGGACCGGCAACGGGGCGTTATGAAGTGAATCGATCGAGCTCGGCGAGAGGGACCCCCGGCCGAGAGACGCAGACAAAAAGAGAGCGCGCCGTTTGGCGGGCGGTAGATCGAAACGGACTCGCTCGAGCCAGCTGACGTGCCAAAACATGAAATACACGAAAGAAGGTAATGTTATCAATATGATGGTCTCCGTCCGTGGAGTTGAATATTGGGAGCTGCTCGATGACGGCGTCACTGTTTCGGCCGATGTCTACACTGGTCAGCTGAGAAAACTCAGACTCCACGTGGATCTCCATTAGGGGAAAAATGCGAAATTTTACTTTCAGCATGATAACGCTCGTCCGTATGTCGACAGAAAGACCAAACTTAACTCGCTGGATACGTCTGGACAATCTTGTCTCACCCACAGTACAGCCCAGACCTGGCCCCCTCTGAATATCATCTCTTCAGTCACCTCCAACGCCATCTCAGTGGAAAAAAGTTCAACTCAAGACAAGAGATCAAAATCGAGTTGGCTTCATTTTTCGACTCCCAGTCGCAGGAGTTCTGGAAGGAAGGTATCCACAAGTTGGTGACACGTTGGCAGACAGTCATCAAAAAACATGGGCAATATGTCTAATTAATCGGCTCTCTCTTCGACTTGCTTCACAACAAATTTTTCTGAACCCAAAAATGACTGGAACTTTCCGAACAACCTTGTCACTTAATGTCTTTCTTCTTTTCATTTTCAGTTGTTTAAACTTTACATTCGCAAAAATAAACACACTGACACTGAGTATAAACAAAGAGCGTGTCAGCCATATGGCGCGTAGTTCTGAACAGACCATATGGAATGGAATGGCCAAGAAGAAGATCGATTGCGTCCTTGACACATTTGTTTTTTCCAAATCTTCAGATATCTTATTTTAAATTTACACTCTTTAAGAGACGTTATTTTCTGAAGGATGAAGTTGCAATTCCTTCTTCTATTTTTTTGGATGTGTTTGTGTTTTGCGGATGAAGAGGTTCTCCCAGTCGTGATCACCACTTGGGGAAGTGACGGATTTGCAAAAGCCACAAAGAAAGGTTCGTTCACTGTCACGTACATTTAGAGATAAAATAAAACCATTTCTAGCGTTGGATGCTACTCTGGCAGGTGGTCGAATGTACGGACTGGTAGAAGGATTGTCAACCTGTGAGGCTCTCCAATGCGATACGACGGTTGGATTCGGCGGATCACCAGATGAAAATGGCGAAACCTGTTTGGATTCGATGGTTTTTGACGCGTAAACTCTATGCTTACAATTTCTAGTTTTATCCTCATTTCAATTCAGCGAAGGGATGCGTGTGGGCGCGGTGGCCAACTTGCACAGAATTCGTGACGCCGCAAAAGTTGCCTGGGGGGTCATGAACTTCACGAAGCATACATTAGTGGTCGGGGAATCGGCGACACTGTTTGCCAAGTCGATCGGCTTCAAAGAGCAAGAGCTGGCAACTAACGAGACGAAACTGTGGATTGATCAGTGGAAACTTGCAAAGTGTCAGCCTAACTTTTGGAAGGTTTTTTCAAACATGATAACTTGAAATCAAACAAAATCAAAAAGTTCAGAATGTCGTTCCGGACCCGTCCACTTCCTGCGGACCTTACGAGCCAAAGCTTGCAATGCGACCTAATAACTACTTCTCGAATCAAGTCGGGTACCAAATAGAAAAGTCAGTTTTTGCGACTAAAATCATGCTTGTATTCAATGTTTAGAGATAATCATGACACAATCGGTATGGTTGTTTTCGATTTGGAAAAAAAGTTCAGTGCTGGAACATCTTCGAATGGAGCTCGATTCAAGGTTGGTCCAAACTTGCAAATCGGAAATACAAAACTTTTTTTTCAGATTCCCGGTCGAGTAGGAGACAGTCCGATTCCTGGTGCTGGAGCCTATGCGAACTCTTTCGGTGGTGCTGCCGCAACTGGTGATGGTGACGTCATGATGAGGTTTCTGCCAAGTTTCTTCACTGTCTTGCAAATGGAAACTGGAACAAAGCCAGCGAAAGCCACCCATAAGGCTATTCAAAGAATTTTGGATGTTTTCCCAAAGTTCTCAGGTGCGTACCCTCATTTTGATCCGCTCGACCTCTAAATTCTTTCTCAGGAGCTATTGTCGCAATGGATTCCCATGGCCATACCGGAGTAGCATGTGCGAATATCAAGAATTTCGGATATAATGTGGCCTATCGGAATGGAACTGTGGTCACCCACAAGACTCCGTGCCTCGCAAAGAGTTCAAAGCTGGAGAAGCCGATTAAATTTGCATGATAATACCATAAAGTTATTATATCCACTTGAAGAAGTATGTTGAGTATGGACTGGCCGTCCTAAAAGAAAGAAAGAATGGAAAAGGCGTGGTCAGCGGATATTATGCATAATAAGGAAGGAGTCAAAGGGAAAAGTAAGTGCCACCGCGCAGTCTAATTAGCTGTCTCCCTTCGAGATCAACCTATTCGTGTGTCTTCGAGAAGAAGTTCAATAAATCCACTTGCTGAATAAAAGTGAATCGGAAGAGAGCGACAGACGGTCTATTTTCACTTCGGTGTCATTTACAAACCGGATAGAAAAGTGAAAAAGAAAAAGAACGAGAAGCTGTACGTCTCTTATTCTCAGCTCTACATTCAACTTTTATTTCTTTCTTTTGAACTTTTCGTTGATCTAAACTAGAATGTATGCAAGTTTTGATAAGTTATAAATGAAACTTATCATATTTCTGCTCTTGTATTCAATGCGCATCAACGTTGAACAAGGTAACATTTGACAGTTTCCGTCCTCTTTCTCTCATTTCCCTTTGAAGCGTGTCTCTCAAATCAAGGCTCATGTTCTGTCGCCACGTACCGTTATAATTCCGAATGTAGAGCGCAGTTTGACAGTGGACAGAGTTCGTCTTATCAAGGATCTTACAGTGGTAGATAGTTTTACACCCTTTCCAATTTTTTATATTCTACGTTTTCAAAGGTTTCCTTGGAAGTCACGTCCGTGCCAGAGCCTATTCGGAACGTGGCAGCTCATCCGATTACGCCAAAAAAGATTTCGAACTGCATTGTCTTTCTGCTCTCAATTGTTCCTGGCAGAACACAATTGAGGATGACCTAGATTGGGTTCTTGGAGAGGGACACGTGGATCCAACCAAACTTGCCCTCATAACAGGATCCCAGTCCCTTCCCGGTACTTTTGGTAAGATCATCATTTGGTGCATCAAAAACAACACATACTTTGTCAGATCAAAGCTTCTTAATACTGGCTTCCGATCCGCGTCCATCCCATCAAAATGGGCAATTAGTGTCATTGGCGATTGGATGTCAACAATCAACCGGCATTCTGAGTTTCCGATACTGGAGAAGGTTTGTGTAATGAAATGCTCAGAGAAAAGGTGGTCCAAACTCAATCGGTTCAGTCGGGCGAGAACAATTGGAAGCGAACCGAGAATCGATATATGCACAAGGAAAGTGTTGGAGGTGACCCTGGAGAACTGCATGACCGTCATTCCCACCGACAACCACACAATTATTGCAAGCATTCCGCCAATAATGGATCCTTTTGTGGTGAACAACAAGTAGTTATTTGAATTCCGCATGAGAAATAAGTTTTCAGATTGTTTTGAAGGGGTACAATTTTGAAAACGAACCGGAAGGCGGTTTGATTCTCATTGATGAAATCGAATACTTTGCTGAACTAGATCAACCGGAAACTTGTGTTGCGAAAAACGTTGATGGGATGGATATTGTACCATTCAGAAAAGAAGAAAGTGTCGAAGAGAAGCACGTGGTTGATGGAGACACTCTCGGTTCGGAATACACACCGCAAATTTCAAGAATTTTCATTTTCAGAACATGAGTTAGAACCTCATCTGGTTTCCCGAGAAGTGTCTCAACTAGCTGCTCCAACAATAGTGAATTCTTCAAGTTCTATCAATGAACTCATACTGTTGAATGTAAACGCGGACAATGACTGCCAGTAAGACATTTCAGACAAATACTTACGCAAAGTTAATATTTTAAGATCCCTGCAATGTCTGATGGACCAGCGCAATGCCCCGTGTGACTATAAACGGTCAGGGAGCGGATCCCATGGAGAAGGGTACTTGGTCGGCTGGAGAATCACCGACGTCAAGAAGAACGTTGCGAATAAGTTGACTGGAATCCATGTATCACCAGGTTCTACCAAAGGTAATTGAATCTTTTCCAAATAACCGTCATAAACCTTTTGCGGTTTCAGAGACCAACTTCCTGGTCGCTAATTTCGTTGGTTTTGGGCGAAGCAAAACGGAAGACCGATTTGTTCTTGAAGCGCCCGAATTCACAATTAGCGACGCTTCGGGGGCCTACCTTAGCTTCCGAAAATTTCTTTCGACAAAAGGATTGTACCTGTCCGTTTGCGAGGACGGCTTTGCAACTAGGTGAGTCGATTAACAGAAATAACAATAGTCTTCACTTTTTGTAGATGTTTTTGGAACGTTTATGAAAACAGTGCGGAGCCGTTTGCAAGGAAATGGACGAAAGAAGTTGTTCTCTTGCCGGGAGATCTGACAACAGTGACATTTTACACACACACATTTTACCTTGAAGTCTAATTGATACATTTCAGTTTTACATTGTGGCATGGCAAAATACCTCAACAGTGATGAACTTCGGACAAGTGGGTCTCACCGAAATCGGGCTCTTCACCGACTCGCAAGCTATAATTCCACTGTGCTGACAGAGGTCTCATTTGGATGAAAAATCGTTAATTTTTGGTGCCGATAATAATAGAATTCACCTTATTTTATGAATGCTCTCTCTTTCCCTCAATCATTATTTATTCATATTAGATTCGGAAGTGTACTGAACTCTCTTTCATGCCGATTCAGGTCGTTGAATTCCGACTTTCTTCCATTTCCTTTCCCAAGATAATCGTAATAATGTTTCTCTAATAATAAATACTTTGTTTCGTTTTCCCTCATTGTGTTTTTCTGGTGACACCCTTCTTTTTTAATAATGAGACATTGCCAAGAAAACATGATATCTTTACTAATTGGACATGTTATGCCATTTTCCATTTTCCTCACTTGGACATTTTTTGCAGCGTCTTCATTTCGTGCGGAGCATTAGGAGAACCAGAAATAATTGAATACCTTGGAGAATATTTATGGGTTTTATCATTCTTGTTGTTCGCTTCTAGCCACTTATTTTCCTGTACAGTGAAGCTGCAGTTCCTTTTTTCACAGAAAAATACCACACATTTTTGCTCCCAGTGAATTCAACTTTTCACGAGAATTGAAAATGACCAGACACTAAAAAGAGTGTATTAATGCATTTACTGCTGTTTTCCAGACAATTCCTATTTTCGTGCGGATGATAGCCGAACAAGAGCTCGTTTTCCTCGACGTCTCCGGAATGGTAAGTACTTCTCCAAGTTTCACATCCAATTATCCTCAAGTGTCTGCCTCCTTGAGCATTTCTTAACAGGAGTGCGCAAGATTTTTTCATGTTTTCAAAAAATTCTCACATGTGTTATGTTATGATCTCGAGTTTCTTGTGATGTTTTCTATAATTCTTTACATTTTGTTTCAGCATGTCATAGACCTTCCGATGATCAAACTAATGTAGAAGATCATAGTTCTCCACTAACTTGCTCATCCCATCCCCTCTTTCCACTTTTTTTTGCGTCTGATTCTCGACGCTAATTGCTTTTCCCATCACACGACTCAGTGAGCTCCTCTTTTCTCAGAATGCGTGAATCACAAAGTAGAGCTAATCTCAAATGTCCGCCCTGCGGCACAATCGGCGCCGATTTTTTGTTGAAAAAGCCAGAGCACATCACTTTATTCAGATGGATACAATTAAGATTCGTGTCAATCCGAATCAACTCGAACCGCGTGTCTTTTCGATCGAAACAGACGGAAAGAATGCATGGAGCAGAGAAAATTGATTGGAAATGTGTGGCGTTTTCCTGGGTTTTGGGGTTTCGGTTTTGCAGTTGTGAACGGCTGAATTTGTAATCGCGAGGCTAGAACGTGCTACCAAAACATGTCAATTTAGAGGAAGAGAGAGCGGAAGAACGAGATGCATAGGAGCAGACCTACTGCATAACCACACGCAATATTTTCCATTCATTTCACTCGCTTATTTTCTTAATTCATCAATGCTTCATCCTCATGCAGACGGGAAAAACATTTCTAGTTTTCAGTAATTTCACTTAAACTCGAAAATTATCGAAGCGCATAAAATACCTTTCCCTCGTTACTAAAAATTCAAACAATAACGACAAGCTGTCACAATTTCTATTATTTGCAGTAATGTAAATGAAGTGCAAGAGGAAGTGTCTCTGCACATTTACATACCTTTTTATGCAAATTCAAATGCTACCCAAGAGGATTGTCAGCCACAAAGGTACTTATCAGTCGGAACATGGAATAATTACCCGTGGGACACGCAGTTTTCGATGATACTTTTAAAAATGTTTTAACTTTCTCCAAAACTTAAAAAAAGAAATATAAGCAACGATACACCGAAATTTCACAATACACTTCTTTGAACACAATTTTATTTCAAAAAATAATGTTCGATAAGGCACACTGGTGACACAGAGTGCTTTTTTAGGTAATTGGGGTGGCGGAAATGTTTTTCCGCCGCACTGCATTTTTATTCTTCATGTAACAAGACGACCACTATCCGGTGGGTGTCTCATAAGAAAAATAACAAGTTGACAATGGGAAATGGCAATATGTAGCTCCGGCACTGCTCGTTCCCTTATTCGACTGGCTGCGCCACAATATTTTCTGAACTTTTGGATAATAGGTGCTTATCGTATTTCTCCCCGGCCGCCGCCGAAATTGGACACCTCCTAATTAGCACGAATCGGCTTTGGGTGCTCCGGGCGTTTGTTTGAAGGCATCTTGAAAATTGTAACATGGTCTCTCTTGTATGTTTTCTGGTTGCGATCTCTACACCTGACCACCTGACCTCTCGGGCCTCTCATATCCACATCATCTTCAAACACTTTCAAATCGAACATATATCGATGCACATCTCGAGAGCCGACACTGTCACAGAGCTCATGTTGACTTTGTCGATCCAAGATATTCCCAAGCACTCACTCACCAGCCGCCCGCAAGAACTAAAGAGAGAAAGAGGAAGAGGGAGAGAGAACGAGTACTATCTTACCCAAACACTTCAAATCGCTCGAGCAGGCTACCGGCAAGATCTAACCCCGCTTTACCAATCCCTCCCCGGCCCTCCGTCGTTTTCCCGCGTCCATCAATTGAGAAAGCTTTCGAGTAAGTGGGTATGTGTTTGTGCCTAATGTTTATATGGACTAATCCCAAGTTTAGTGTCTGAATGGGAGACAGATGCTCACGCAGATGATGTGAAACAGAATGGTTGGAAATAGGGCAAAAGGCTTTGTGGTGAAAACCGACTGAGTCAACATTAAGTTACCAGTTATCGAAAACGTTTCTGACGCAATACAGGTCTCTCAAGATCTCCGACTTTTGACACGCTCGCAAGAGGGCGGGGGTTACTGTAGTCTTTGGCTCTTTTCGCCTCCCCGAAATCTTTAGTTTTGTCTGCTTTTTGGAGCAAACGGCAACCTTTGCTCGAGGGTTGGATGAGTGAGAAAACACAAAGAGGAGAAACAAGCGATGTTTGCAACAAAGTCATAAAAATAGGTGATGCTCTTTTCGGAAATCCCCCCGTCTTTCCTCTTCGCATCACTTTTTCCATTTTCCATTGTTGCCTTTCCCACAACAAAAATATTAGTTTCCAGCCTTTCTCGCTCAGTGAAACGAGGATTATTCCCGGCACCGCGCATAATTGTCCGCGTGGTTTCACACGAAATTATGTATTCTATGCTAATTGACTGGTCGAAAAATATACATTTTCGGGAAATATGTGCCTACTCACTCTTTCTGTCTGGTTTCATCAGTTCTGTAAAGTAAATCCTTCTGATCCAGTTCTGGCAAATTACAAAATTGTTTATGTCCGGTTTGGCCGAAAGAAAAAGAGCCCTTTTGTACTCCCTAAAAGATTGAAATAAAGACATTGGCGTAAAACAAAATTAGATATGGATGCGGAAACCCATTCACTTACATATTCCGTCAGAAACTCAAAACCAATTTATAACCGACTGCACCCATTCTAGAAATAAAAATTCGAAAAAACAAGACCTTCTACATTTCGGAGGAAAGGAATTCCCATTTTGGTTGAGAGTACGCATGAATTGATACGGAATATGTGAGCAAAGACCGTGAATTCATTTCAATTCACGTGGACCTCTTGGATTAACCAGTGTGCCAACCAACACCCGCAAGCCCCTATTCGATTACACTTCTCTTCCCTCCCGTCTTATTTATTTCGAATCAAAGCACTACTCTCGGGACCCACTCGTCTTCAAGTTTATTTAGTCACATTTATAATTCATTTTATTTTCTTGTCCTCTCGGTTTTGTGTCTCCATTCGTATCGGATTTCGGTAGTGCGCGGGCCCCGTCTTCCCATGAAGCTCGAGAATTCGCCAAAGTTTTACAAAAACTCGTTAAGTTGTTTTGTTTTGGAGCAAAGATTCTTTGCCGAGGGGGAGATATTGCGTTTCTCGCGGTCGTCTTGAAATCTGAATACCCCGTGCCGCACTTGATTCCCTGACTGCCAAAACTCAGGAAATCAAACAAGAATCGCGTTTCTTTTGCTCTTCTCCACATCCTTTTGCTGAAGGATCCGCGCAGGAAATCAAATTTGACCGGCGATTAACAAAAATGCTGTAGAAAAGAAGGGGGAAGAAGACGTCACTCTAATCCGGTGATCGATTCAGAGAATGAAAAAACTTTGCTATCCTCCGGCTCCCACTTATTATTCACCAAAAGTCTGGGAACGCTAATGAAGTGCTCAGTGTTACTTGCAAAACAAGACATTATTCAAGTTCTCGCGCCTATTCTTACTTTCAAAACCATTTACTTAATTTTCTTTCATTGGTTTCCGTATAGTCATCCCCCAGCAAGAAAAAATGCCATTCTTTATTGTGCTTCACCATATTTTGTGTCAAACCTGAGGCACTTCTTTTCTACACCCAGAATAGATAACGTGATTAGTAGGTAGTGCTTTTAGTGACATCTTGAAAATGGGGTGTGTCGCCCTCACTGGGAAAGAGCGGGTACGGAGGGGATGCCGAGACGGCTCCGCCTATTTCCTCTCAATTAATAAGACGTGCCTCTGAGCACACTTTTGCGTCTCCGCAGTGCTCTTAACGCCCAGAAGTCAGTCTTCAGCTGACCCTGCTAACACAACTCATTGAGAAGAAGACGAGACGACCCGACGACAACTCGGGCACAGCCACAAGAGGAAGCGGTCGCACAAGTAGAAACCCGCGTGTCCCGCCGTCCGTCCGGCCAGCCAGCCAGTCGCCTCGCTTCTTATTTGTGCGAATTGTCAGAAAGAAGAAGGAAAAGACGTCTGAGCATAGCTGTGTTGCGTGATTTGCCACTTCTTCGGATGAGGCCAATTGTGGTGTGACATACAGACACTGCCGCATAAATACTGCCCCTCCAACCATTCCGTTTCCGAAGACGACTCACACGCCAACTATCCCTTACTTTCCCCCACATTCTATTATTTTCTAGTTGACAAGCGGATTACTGTAGCTGCTTGCTAGAATGGCTGAATTATTCGAAGAGGTGAGCACTGCAACTCACGCTTCTCACAATGCATGTGACCCGATTGTAGTGAACTCCGAGGTATGTTCTTTTTCCAACTAATTTCAACTTTTTGACAAAGTATGGCAAACGCGTGTGCTTTGCTTCTGATTTTCTTTTACCCAATTCCCTTTGTATTCAATTACCAAGTTTGTGGTTCCGATGCACTTTGGAGCGAATTAGTGGCGCGTAAACCCAAATGGGGCATTCCATTCCGCTTACATCAGGGTGCTCCCCTCTTTGTGCCCCCTCCGCTACTGATGTCTTTTGCTCTCGTTAAACCTAAAAGCCTCAAGATTTGAGTTTCAATTTCGGCACGGCAATGCGCGATCGAAATGAAAATGCTGCAAGACGTTACGTTTGTTTGTTTGAGCGTTACCAAAATTCCGGATCATGGGAAGAAGCATGACTTTCAATTTCGGCCGCCGTGTGAAATCACTTTCCTTCGCTTAATGTTTTCGCAGATGTCCCATCCCTAAAGAAAGGCAAAGGGGGGGGGGGGCTTACCCCTTTCTACTCAACGATAATTAAATGAGTGCAGAGCTGTGAGATGGGCATTTCCTCTTGCTCGTGTCGCTGGAAACGTTGACACGCACCGATCATGATGGGAGGGCGGCGAAGTTGAAGAAGGCGGAAAGCCGTGCCTAGAATGAATGAGAGACATAGTGACCCCTCCTCCGGACGACTACATCCGCTCGAATATCACGCAATTTACTCGACAATTATACTGGATAGTTGAGGGGAAACGAGAGGCAAAAACGCAGAAACATAAAAGGGACATTGCGGCAGCCAACGTCAGGCCTCCACCATTGTTTTCATTTTTTACAGTTCCTCTATTCCCGTCGTAGAAAACAGCGCTTGCGGATGATTCATTTTTGAATACAAAAAATTATTTCGCAAACTAATCCAAAAGGTCAGACCAAGTCCCAGCACCATCGCGAGCTGTGAAATGTTTCGATCATTTTGTAATCTTTCCACTTTGATTTCTGTTCCGATTTTTGTTGTCAGGTCAGAACCCATTTTGTAGTTATTAATACTCTGACCGCTGCCAATGCGGAGTGAAATATTACTATTCGGATCAGACAATAGAACAAGAGAAAATGTAACGAATGTGTCAAGAAAAAACAAGCTCTGGACTCTTTATGGCGGCATCTTTCCAGTTAAAGCTTTAGTAACTTAAGTATTCCTCCTTCTAGAAGCTTTTTTCCCATTGTTCCCAGTTTTTCCGAAGTATCGAGTGGTATTAACAGGCTCAAGAGTTCATTTTGGTCAGTTTGACCTCTGCAGTCGCTCTTCCCCGGTGTCCAACATCTGTTCATTCTGGCGTGGCTATCTTGTCTTTCTTTTTGCATTCCCTTGTTCGGCTCACTGTCAGCTGTCGTTTGTCCTTTTCCCTCTTGTTCAGATTCCCCTGGTCATTGCAATCAGTTCAATTCGAAAGCATCTGTGCTTGCGCGATACGTACCACATGTTCTCATCCATCTTATTTACCCACCATTTTTTGATAGTTTCCTCCTCTCTTCCTCTCATTTTCCCATTTTTCCGTGTTTCAATCTGGTTTCATTTCGTTCACTTGTTCACTCTCAAAAATTTCATCTACCACCACCACCCGCTGCGTTTTTTCAAATGTAGATGCGTCCAAAACATCATGGGAATGGGGATTCGCAACAAAATAGCTTTTCGCATCCTGTGTCACTCTGTTTTATAACAACTGTTCACACTGACGGCTTTAGTGTCACCTGAGCTAGTGCTTTTTAAACTTTGTCAGTATGTCTGAGTCTACTTTCATCGATCAACTGTAGTTTATCCTTTCTCGGCCTACGGCTATTTTTCCTCTACATCCGTAGCGCTATTTGTCTGTCGTCCCTTGAAGAGTGCTAATATTAATAAATAGGAGGGAAGGGACGGTGGGTGCAGCACAGAAAAAACAAAAAGCCAGGTAGCGCTAGCCCCTCCTGCGGTGACGCACTCGCCTGCTTGTAAAGGTCAGTTTGTTCGACCGAGACTGCGGTAGTTAACTGCGCAAGTATGGTCGAGACGCAAACTCATTGCTTTTATCGGCTACAAATGTCCCCGCAAGTTAAGGTGAGTAGTGCTTGACAGAAGAATCTGAGTATCCGTTTTGCGTTAGCCACTGACAAGACATGCCTGACAGGTGAACTCGCGGCAGTGGTCTGAGTTATGAATGAGATACTAATTGAGACGGATTGTGAGGTGACTGCTGATCGGAGAGAAGAGAGTGAAAAAGAAAAAGAAATGAAGCAGGAGAAAGCACATAACTGCTGCTCCAAGCGCTCCAGATACGCGTTCCTTCTGCTCCGCGCACTCGGTCGGTGCCGGACATAACGAACCTATCAAATTCAATCATCTCCTACACATCTTCGTGTTGCCTGAATTGCGCCACAGCCCAGGCAGCTGCTCCCCCGAATCGCCCCGTCCCGCTTTGCCTCGTCTTTTCCAACCGAATTAGAATGCTGGCAAAGAAGACAATCAGTATATGCTATCCTAATAATATTTCTAACCCTTCTCCACCAATCTATTTCAATCAACGGCGTCTACAGTTGAGGGTAAATTTCATTCTTTTGGAAAGTATCATGAGGGAAAAGAAAAAAGAAGAAGAGGGAGATCGCAAGGTCAGACTATTTTTGTGTACTGTTGTTCGAGGAAAAAAACTGCGGGGGAAATAAATTGTTCCTCAAGGTGATGTACTCTTTCCTTATATAGTAAATGAGATCGTGCAGTCTTCAAAACTTCCTATATAAGTCGTTATATGTTGGTAAGCGGTAGCATATGGTGAATTGGCTAATGGATTTGTTGATGTTATGGCAGATTATAATTGCTCAAGAATTGCAATATCCCCGGTCGGAACCCGTTCTTCCAATTCACTTTAAAACTGACATTCATTCCCTCTCTAACATTCCGCTCTCCATTCCTGTACTCTGCCCCAATATCTCTTAATTACGTTTGTTTTTGTTCCAGGCTCTGCCCATGCAAGCCCTCTACCAGCTGACCGCCACCGGCGCCGGACAACAAAACCAACAGCTTCCGATCGGATTGGGCAACTCGCTGCTCTATCAGCAATTGGCAGCACAACAGCAAATTGCCGCCCAACAACATCAGCAGCAACTCGCCGTCTCCGCAGGTACGTAATCCAAAGTTCATTAACCTAAATTAGTCAGACTTTTTGCGTTTTCTGACTAATTCTGTCTTCAAAAAAGTGCCGAAAATGGAAAGGCAAAGTGTACTTCTATCACTCGGGATTTTGTAAAAACAGAATTCTCGATTTTGTCACTACTGGTTACCCAGGTTCTCTGTGTGCGTATTGGTAAGACGGGCGGCTTGAATCTCGGGAAATTCGAACGGAAATTTGTGCGACTGATATTTCCTGTCTTGCAAAATCGGTGATATAATCATATTCAATAGTAGCCCGGTCGTACAACCTTCTGCTCGTCACGTTCGTCCGACCAGTTTTCAAATTCAGCGGTGTGTGTGCCAATTAGTGCTTACTAGTGTGACAGAATGGATAGAAGCGAAAGTGGGCAGCCCACTGTCCACCACCTACCGCTAATTCACCTTCCTCCAAAACTATTGCATGTCATCGAGGACCTGACCTGCATAATCCAAAACTATTCTCGTGCGCCGCCTTTCTCGCTCGTTCGCACTCTTCGGTACTTCACAGTAATTGTTTTATACTCTACTGCGGTTCGGTTCGGTTCAAATTGATTGTCCGAGGTCAGGTTTTTGTGTGCGGGCGTGTATGCCATCCACTTACTTGTTCTCAACTCCCCGTTAATTTTTCCCGTTCCCCTCCGAGCTGCGAGGGTGGGTTCTGTGTTTGTTTCTCTTCTCTTCCCTAACTTTTTTTTTGCGTTTTCTCTCACTCGGCACTTGTCCTGTTTACTCTAGGGCCGTTCCGTCACAAAAAACACACTTGCTTGTACTATCACAGTTTTTTGGCACTCCAAAAAGGGATTTTTCATACGGAAGCTTGCACATGTGTACAAACAAGGTTGAACTTTGTAGACATAAAGACAGAAAACATGGCGGGAACATTTGAGATGTTGCCAGTGTGCAAGACAAGAAACAAATGATTACTTGATGTAACGACGTGATAGGGACCACGTTTAATGAGCAAGAAGATGGGGGGAGCGGGGCCCTTTCACGTTTCGATTCGCCTTGCCTCGTTGACCGACCAATGTCGCACACACATAATAGTAACCGGGTGCTTATCAGCCACGATCTAGGCGGGCGAAACACTTGTTTTAGATGTAACGATTTGATTCTTCCCAGATATTTGGGCGTAAGAAAGACAAATTTGCCGTTCACAACCAACCTGCTAATCATCACTTTCTCAGCTTTTCGAACGAAACAGTCTCGCCCCAGAATCAATTTGCCATTTTCAGCTCACCAAAATCAAAACAACATCATGCTCGCCACGTCGGCACCATCTCTCATCAACCACATGGAAAACGGAGTGGACTCGAAAGTGAAGGTTTGTTTCAGTCATCCCAACCAACTTCTGTCATGCTCTCACCCCTCACTCGTTCACATTTCGTGTGTGTTATATGAATGGATATGTAGTCGGGGGATGGTGACCGGAGATGAAAACTTGTCGCTTCATGGGGGAAACATGTCGCTTTTGGAAGAAAGTTATGATGGCCAGCAAGACTGATGACGATGATGAAATGTGCATATCACCGGGGCGGCAAACCGACGGTTTCCCTATCTTTCCATCAGTTTTCTCTAACCAGCTGTCTCTTTTTCTTCTTCTTTCTCTCCTTTTTCAGAGTCACAATCAAATTTCTGTTTTTGTTATTTACGGCACAATTTTCATTCACCCGAGCTCTTGCACACATTCAGAACAAGCACAATCTAATATTTTTGACAGTGTAGCTGTAAGACAGAGATTAGATTAGTCCAAGAACAAATGTTTCATTCTTTCATTCACAAAATATTTGTATACTAATCGCATCATTTTTGAACTTTTTCTAAAACTTTGGATATTGATGGTTTTTTGAACAAGCATTGATTTTCTCGTTTTGCATCAAAGATTGTATTTTGAAGTGAGGTGAGGTGCAAATCTCTGTTTTTCTGCGAATATTAGAACTTCGAATTTAACAAGTCCGCTAGAAGTGCCATGTTTTTCTGACTCGACAATAGTAAGCTATGTCTAGATTACAAGTCCATTCAAATATATATTTATATTTTCTCTCTCTCTCTCTCTTTCTTCCCCTAATCGCTTCATGGGATTTATTGTGCTTTCACTCCCATTTTCGTGCAGAATTTCCTTAACTCTTTATCTAGAACGGTGAGAGGTGTGTGTTGCATCTCCGAGACACGAGATGTGCACGGTTGTGAACTTGGCATGCTCCGGAATTGAGAGAGCGGCGGCGATTCCAGAACTTGTTTTAAGACGCATGACCTGTGAATGAGCGCTTTTTGTTTTACAGGACGATCCGAACAGCGACTACGATCTGCAGCTCTCGATTCAACAGCAGTTGGCGGCGGCGGCTGCTGCACAAGCCGCCCAAGCCGCCCAAATGGGCTCCTCGATGGGCCAGCCCCAGATCGGCCCGCAAATCCAGGGCCAATCGGTGGCCGTCACGGCTGCCGCTCCTACAAATGGCACTGTGGCCGTCACTCAGCCCGATCCCAGCACTAGCTGTAAGCCTTGCCCTCTTTTTCTCTTCCCATCCAAAGCAACTTTCTTGAGTTTTATATTCGTGCTGTTCTCTTTTACATCTTTTACATTGAGCGTCTTGAATTGCATGGAAAAAACAGTTTCCGAAACCGGTCTTGTGACAAACAAACGTGATTAACCAGCAAAAAACATAGTCTTTGGTCTTCTCTTTCTTTTTTCATGGAGTTAATTTCACGTAACAAAGTAGCCATGCAAAAAGTGTAGATATTATGCTTGCCACTGAATGATTCATTTTATAAGAACTATGGGGGGTATTCACTTCACAAAATCACCAATCATTTACATTACTAATAAACTCTCCTTTCAGCTGGACCAGAAGGACCAAAAAGACTTCATGTCTCGAACATTCCGTTCAGATTCAGAGACCCGGATCTTAAGACTATGTTCGAAAAGTTTGGACCGGTATCTGACGTAGAGATAATTTTCAATGAGCGAGGCTCAAAGGTAACAAGAAAAAAATAAAAATTTCTTACAATATTATTTTTTTTCTTCAGGGATTTGGATTTGTGACAATGGAGCGACCGAGTGATGCAGAAAGAGCCCGCCAGGAATTACATGGATCTATGATCGAGGGCCGCAAAATTGAAGTGAACTGTGCCACAGCAAGAGTTCATTCCAAGAAAGTCAAACCAGCTGGAGGTGAGTCAACAGAAAACGGGTCTCAGGAATTTAAAGTTATGTTACAGGAATCTTGGATCAAATGAATCCGCTGATGGCTCAGTCAGCTCTGGCTGCTCAAGCTCAGATGAACAGAGCCCTGCTGCTCCGAAGTCCGCTGGTGGCTCAATCGCTTCTCGGACGTGGCACAGCGCTCATCCCGGGAATCCAGCAACCGAACGCTTTCCAACTTCAAGCCGCACTCGCTGCCAATCCACTGGCTCAACTACAAGGACAACCTCTCCTCTTCAACGCAGCCGCTCTCCAATCAAGCGCTCTGCAGCAATCCGCGTTCGGAGTGGATCAGGCAACCGTTCAAGCGGCCCTCCTCGCCAATGAGCAGGCCCGGCTTCAAATCGCTGCCGCCGCCGCCGCTCAAGGTAACGAGTACCTCATGTACCATCAAGCCAAACTACAAGAATTGTCAGGACGGATTCCTTCATCCGGAAATGCCGCATCATTTGGAGAACAGTATCTGGGAAACGCTTTGTCAGCGACCTCATTGCCTCAATATCAAATTAATCCAGCGCTGAGAACGTTAAATCACAGATTCACTCCATATTGAGGAACGGATTCGATGATATGACTACTCACATTGACCTCAGACCTCAAGAATCTGTCTCAGAGAATGAACCCTCGCTGCTTCTCACTTTTCTAAATGTGTGTCGAAAACCAATTACTCATTTCACCGTTCCGATACATATGCTCGATTGTATCACATGTCACTATATTTCATTGACTCCATCTGATGTTCACTAGTCTCCGGAGTGCTATCCAGATTACGGTTTAATTTCAATTTCTGAAAACAAAACTTAGTACACATGCACCTTTTTCTCACAATTTCTCTTTTTGAGTTGGAGCAATCTCGGTTTTCTGACTATAATAAGCTTTATTGCCCATTAATTGTAATAATTTCGTTTTCCGTTTCTGAGCGCCTAATTTGGTGTCTGCATCCAAACCGTTTCTGCAATATTACCCCTTTGATGATAGTTTCATGTTGCACAATCTTTCATCTCTGATCCAAACCACCCCCTTCCCCATTTTTCTTTTATTTTTCCTTCTACCCCTGATCGTTTCTTGGTGTACATGAATTCTTTTCTGAAATGTGTTTGTGCTAGAGGGTGCTTAGTTCTGGAAGATGTTCACAACACACGTGTATGGATTGTTTTGTCGTGCAGAAGACAGCGATGGTGGTGAATGAGCGAGAATGATACTAATACTATCGGTGGCTGCTTTTTAGCCAAGTTTTTGAGCATGTTTTATCTGGTCCATTTACAAACACGCGTTCATTTCTGTATAACGGGTTTCTCATGCTTCATGTTCTCAAGATCTCCTTTCGGGAGTTGGTCGTTGCTCAGAAAGTCCCGAAAATAGAAAGAATGGCGCGAGGCTTCTGATATATCATTCTTTTCTGTTTTTGTCCCCGCCCACTTTAGGGGCCGCACATTCCCACAAAAGCGACATATAGTGCCACTCCTAACATATTCATGAAGCCGCCATTTCACTTTTAGCCAAAGCATCCATGCCGCACTGCCGACGTGCCCTTGTTTTGCTCCTTCTCCTTACTGTTATCATCAATTTCGGAACTCATGCCCTCAAATGTCGGCTGTACCATCGGATCTGGGAAGACGGTCATTTGCTGAGGATCAATCCGGACATCTGTCACACTTCCTCCAAGTACTGTGTCCGAGCGACTTACGCGGATCCGGATGACAGGAAGAAGAACGGATACTCAATGGGATGCGACAAAGTCGACTGTCAAGGAATCGACAATCCGAACTACACTGGATGGCAGCAGAAGGAGAACGGCGAGTACTGCAGGAAGAGCCGCGATTACGGTAAGAAGGGCGAGATTTGCTGCTGTGCTCATGACATGTGCAACTCTTCCGATCGTCTGTCCCTGCCTAATCTCATCGTCTTATTTGGTTTATCTGCCATGTATTTGATGTGGAACTAAACTTTCAACAGCTCCTGTTTCTTATTCTCCTGTATTCCGCCTAACTTTCCGATTGGTGCTTTCTCTTCCGAGTTTTTACTTTAAATACAGCCCTAACCCTTGGTAGCATTCCAATATATACCTTTTGTTCTTCTAAACGGGTGTACACCTTCGATTAGAACTTCAATAAATTGTTCAACAAGATCTTGACACAAAATAGTTCTTTTGATATCGGTAGATCAAACCTGACATCTATACTTCAATATACAATTATCAACATGGATAGCTCAAATTCCAGGAAAACTGACACGTCAGAAAACTGATGCGGTAAGGTAAGGTAAGCTGTTAAAAAAGAAGAGAAAAGTAATTCTGTGTGGTGAACTTGTTTTATTAGACATGCAAAGAAATGCTTTGTACTCAAATGACTCATATGATTTTTAGTACCAACGCATTCATTTCCGACAAATTCCGAGTGGTTCAGAACCAACAGCATTGAGCAGTCCCCCAAAGAATATCGTTTTCTCGTTGGTATTATGATGTTCCTAGAGGTTCAAGTAGCTATTAGTCGCATAATAGTCACACCGATTATACAGTATGTCGGACTTGTAATTACGAGTCCAGTTTTGCGTTCGTTCGTATAATTGCTCCGGAAAAAGGATGAGCTTGGACAGATGAAATGACAAATTGCGAGTTATTTGATGATTTCCAGTGGATGATTCTCCCAAAAAGGAACCGTGCGTGACAAGAAAACTTGAAATTCATGTTGGAATTCGCGAATTCTTCTTGGAAATGTATGCCTCCCCATTTGGGCCCATTTTTCTTTTCCCTCCTGCGAAAGTCATGGGATGAGCCCGATCTTTTGTCAAGTGACAAATAGTCCATTGCCAGACTGAAATGGGTGACAACCGATTCCGTCATGAATTCTTGAGCACTCAAAATTCGTCACATTGACCGACCGGGTCACCGTCTGTAGAATTCGATGAAAACGACGTCATTTCGATTGGCGAACGTCATCTTAGAACATGAATAGGGCCATGAAACTAACGATGAATGGAATCGGATGTAGAAACGATGCGATAATGAGGCACTGACGCGCGGCGAGAAAATGACCCGAAACTAACTTTTTGCCGGGGAAAAACTTTCCGGCTTTCCGAAGTCGTTTTTTGATGGGAAATCAAAGAAACGGACTGAGGAGGAACACTAGATGTAATAAATAGATTGCAGTACGGAGAAGAAGAAGAAGAGGAAGAATCTTTGACGAGCGGGCCCGAGTGGAGTGGCGAATGCAAATATTATTATTAATGCCATCTGTTAATCCAGGTCATCAGAATGAAGGCAATCACGCATTAAGGCCCGGTCCAATTATTGGCCTTCTGCCATCGAATTCCCTTATTTTCGTTTGCGTCCTTGAGAAACGAGCAATTTTATTTTTTTCAAGCTCTAGAAATGTCTTTGTGAAATACTCAGTTGCATTTGCATTTCTGAGACTAGCAATTTGCGAATGTTTTCATGTTGTGAAAAGTTTGCAAGAGAATTCTAGAACGTCAAGTTGATTTTGTTTTTCTGAAAAGTTGAAATGTCTGAAATTGTTTGCGATTTTGAGTCTAATGTCTTCGCAAATAAAAATTGCCTTTATTGACCGACTTTCGAAAGAGGCGCACATTTCTCGGTGTGACGTGTCGAGTTGATAGAGCACGTAGTCTCGCAGTGGAAAAAACATAGATAACGTCAGTTACACTAGTGCTCCTTTATCACCGAGCATCAGTTTACAGCTGATGGTCATGCGATAGGACGGACCACTCGATGTCAATTTCAGTTATTGACGCCATGTTATTTTGAAAGTTTTGTTTTTTGCTCTAAGTTTGCACTGCAGTCACTGAACAAATAGAATTTCCAACTTTTTTCCATATGAAGAAACATTTTAGTGTGAGAGAAGCGACCGAAAAGTGAAAATGCTGGCTTACCGCAACCAGGGTCCAAGATTAATTTCTCAAAACGGGTTTCTTGGTCGAAATCTTGTTGGCCACCCACTCTTCCACTTTCGGCCAACAATCCTCTTTCCGATGTATTCCCTCGTGACCGCGTGAAAATCAATAGGCTACCCGACGAGAATAAATGTTTGAGCGAACTATTGTTGTTCCGACAGGCATAATTACTCGACCAGCGGTCTTTATTTCCAAGCATTTCCACGTTCTCGAATAAGGAGCGGATGCTGCTTTTCACAACCGCGCAAAAATCGATTCTTCTCTCTCTCTTGCTTCTCTTGCCTTGAGATGTATTACTGCGGACGAGAGAGAGAGAACAGCACACCCCCGGCGGGCCTTTACATTTGTCCCACATACCCAGAAGAATACAGCATTGCAGAATCCTCAGGAATCACACTCCGATCCGATCCGTCTCACTATGAATTTGAAACAACCGTCAGTATAATTGTGGACTGCTTATTATAAAGACCAGGTTGGGTTTCTTTCTCATACTAGCAATTAGCCAACTCGAGCGAAAGATTTTTGGAGGTGGCTCATTTGATCATGTTACAGACACAATCCTGGAAGGCTACAACAGACATTTTGCCAAAGCGACAAGGCACAACAAATCAGTCGTACCGAGGATTTGTGAGTTGTTTCGCAATTTTCAAATAAAAATGAGCTGCGAGAGGTGTGCGCAAATGAGCATCATCAAAACACGGTGGATTAGCGTATTTCCCCCGGGAAAAACCAGAAACAAAAACTCGAAAAGTTTCAAAATCCGACCAAATGTTTTAGGAGATATGTTATACTAGACCGACTACTGAAATGTGTTTTGAGAGCATTTTTACCCAGTTTTTAGCATTCTCGAACAGAAACAGGCAATCTCATGAAAAACAAAAAAGTTAGCTTGCTATTCTTTTACCTAAGTATTTAGATTTTGAGAAACTTTCCCACTGGGAGAAGTAATTCAATTTGATATGCTTCAACACTTGACGTACGCTTTCATAATTGCTACATGCTTCATAGAACTCAAAAGCCGATTTTCTTTCGTGCTCTCTAAACCCTTTTCAATTAATTCAGCTATTCATCCCTCTCAAGTATATTCCCTCCCTGGAGATTTATATCGCGTCATTGAGAAGTAGTCCTGACCCCCGTCTACTTGCCAAATCCAATGATTTCCGAATGCGTCCTTGGTTTTTTTCAAGAGCTGAACATCAAATTTCCGCCCCATCAACTTTTCCACAGTTCCCATACCTACATGACCTTGTCGTTTTGGAATTTCAAAGACAAACAGAAGGCTGTTTTTGGGTATTTTTATGGTTGTGGTCTTTGCCAATTTTTTGGCGTTACCTTTAGCTTCTCCATAAAAAACGGTTCTCTTTTCGTTAGAACGGTCTTCGCAGACTGCGGTTGTAACATCAAGGTTTATGAGAAATTTGCGCGTGTGATTGATGACCACCTATAAAAACCGTACCATTCGAGAAACAGAGATTGGAAACGTTGGGCCGCGAGACGGAGGCAAACAACGGGGGTCTCTACCGTATTTGGATTGCATGTAGCTAAGCACATACGGTGATACACTTGATGAAGGAAGAAGGCCGGTTCGTTTGACCAGCTGAAGTGTCACGTTCGAAAACTCGAGATTAGCAAAGTGAATGTCTCTTAAGACTGAAAAAAAATTTGGTTCAGGTTTTTTGAAACTTTTTGAGGCCTGGATTTGTGATCCACTTGAAATAATCCAATTGGACCTGAGATATACTGGTTTGAGGCCGAAAAGGCCGGGTTTAATTGTGGCCTTTTCGACTTTTGATCCACATATCTCCGGACCAGATGATCCGATCGGTTTGAAACTTGGACCCGATATACTTCAATCTGAATCCAAGAAGGGTGCAGAGTTTGGGACCGATCGGATTATTGCAGGTGGTTCAAAAGTTCAGGCTTGGGCTGGCCTTCAAAAAGCATGTGCCGGCCTTTTGCCCAGCCCTGACCCCTCCGGAAATCGTTTCCGGAGGCTTGGAATTTGTTTGAATCCGTTAATTGTCAGTTGTGCCGTTGTAAACGGAGGACCATTAACCGCAGACACAAAGATCTATTACACTGCTGAACTACTGCCTATCCGTTTACATTCACGGGCCGTTCTCACATAAACAATGTGCTTCCACTTTGAACTAAACCATATTAATTCTTGGATGGAGTGGGGGCAAAACATCAAAGCACAAACAGAAGAAGTACTTTTGTCTGTACATCTCGTAAATTTTTAGAAAAAAAAAGAAGTCCACACCTGCTAAGTTAGTAACAGGCCTAGGTATCTTCCATGAACTATTCAAACCACTTGTATAATCTGAGTATCCGTATGCTTTCATTCTTCCGAAACCCATTTTACGGACTCTAATGGTAGGCCAACAATGCACATTCATTTCCTTAGTCACCTCTTTGTCTCTTCTCCGAATGCATTACTTTTCCATCGCTCACTTTCCATTCCACGACAATATTGCGGGGGATAGCCACTATTTCCGAACTTGTTCTATTGAACTCTCTGATTTTTTTTTGCAATAAGAGGGAATGGAGAGAGAGAGAGAGAGAGAGAGAGAAAGAGGGAACAGACCGATAGAATCCTAGTGTTCCGATATTCTCCGCCCACCGTGGCCGTCTTCCGCCCGCAGCCGATGCTCCCTTCATTCAGTACCTCGTCTTCCGCCCTGAGCGGTCAGTAACTACCTTACTGATATTCCAAAATTATTCTTTTAGCGACCGGTTTTCCCCGTGGTCTGCAGAGCTATGTACGGCTTCTGAGATCATCGTGAAAGCCAGTTGCTAACAAGAATTGGATTAAATATTGAAATAAGTAGGTTAAAACAAAAAGTTGTTTTCCAGGCCTCAACTCGATGAATGATCAGCGACATGAGCAACAGAGACTCCGAACAGACACAATGTATTCGCATATTGAGGCATTTCACAACAACTTACAATCCTTTGCGGATTTGTGGGGCACTAATTTGGATAATTTGGAAGACTCCTTAACAACAATGCGAGACGAACTATTTGTAAACACTCCGGGCACAGAAGTTACAATAACGGGTCAAATAATATTAGAAAATGCAGCAACACGGACTGCAAAATTGTTAAAAGAATCTGTAAGCGCTCATAAATCTGTACATACACACATCACGAGATGCGGAAAAGTTATCGACAAGTTGTATGAGAAAAACTGCCGCACAATATTCAAAGTGGAGATGGCGATTGCAAAACACTCAACGCTGAGAGACCGCTGCAATACGCTGATTCACGAGTTCCTTGCTGCCGACGGCGCCAGCGACGCGAACGAAATTTTGGGCGAGGTAAGCATCCCTCGGGTAGGAACAGCTCTGTGCTGTGTGATAGGGAATCAGTCGTGTCGCAAACTCTTTGTTCTTCAAAGAATACGAAAATCGTCTTTGTATGACTGACACAATACGCTAGCCGATTGCTTTGAACAAACAGATCACCAAAATTCAATTTCGGCCACTCACAGAAACCAATATGTCCCGCGGGTTCTAAAACTAATTAGTTGTGTCCTTTGTACCAGTCGGAACTCTTCTATGTCTATGACACATTTCTATTAACATTGTCCGAGTGTGCTCACCGGTACTCGACAGTAATTGGAGAATACCCGTCGGCTTATGCTCGGTCATGTCATGCCCGCACAAACAAGCGTGATGTTCCGAGCGACACACTTCTTTGGGAAAGTGTCATAGACAAAAACAAAGTTCCCGATTGAATAGTGACTAAGAATAATGTTTCAGTGTTTTATCTCTTCCACTGATTTGCTAGCAAACTAGACTATCAGAGAATGAATGGATGGCCAGTGTTTGACCATGCGAGTCAACAAAAGAATACTCTCCGGTTTCAATCTTTCTCCCACTTCGAAACTCACAGAGTTCAAAAATCGCTTCGGGAGGATCGTGTGATTGGAAATGAGAGTCTGAAAAACCAGTTCTAGATAATTGTTGCGCCTCATTTCACTCATTTTGTATGGTAAAGACAACAACAGACAAAAACGTTTCCTTTTCGAAATGTGTGAACCTTAATGACCAGAGAGAGAGAGGGAGAAAGAAATAAATAAATATAAGAACAAAACTGTATCCGGTTATTCTGAAATTATTTTTTTAGACCCTTGAACGAAATAAAATCCGAAAGTGTCCTTATGAATGCCCGGGATTGTTAAAACAAATAATCGATGATATACGAGCTGGAGAAATTGAATCAACTTTGGACTACGTGGAAATCACGCACCCTCTAGATGAAACCGAGCTCAGAATCAATGCGAGAATTCAGATGGTCACCGATAATATCGAACTAGGTGAGTAACTATTCCAAAACACTCACCATTTCGTAGTTGAATTTGACATTATTGAATTTCGGCGGAGAAAAGTAATAAGACTGCGTGTCAGAACACATGTGGTCTCTCTTGGCCGATTGTAGTTTTCTGTCCAACAGACTAGGCAAATTTAAATTTTAGATTACCAATTCCTTTTCTGTCTGACAAGTACTTTTTGTTAGCCAAAATGCAAGTCCAGTCGGATCAATTCTAAATTTAGCTCAAAATTGTTTTGTATTGTTTTTTGTACTAACACAGGTATTTAATAACGTCAAATGTCGTATTTTCCTTCTGCTCTTGTTCCGAAACAAGACAAAGGGAGAAGGTGCGCTGGCCGATCTGTTCGCTATACAATCGTACAGTGTTATTTTTCTTGTTTCACTTTTTTTCTGAATCGATCGATAGGCAGCGCCCCTTTGTCCTCTCGCTCCGCAAAACGTAACAATAACAAAAATGCTTTGAAAGTTTAGGAAGAAGTGGGCAGGTGACAAATATATTGTTTTCAGAGAAAAGGCAGGTGAAATTCTAAATTATTTTAGAGCAGTATGGGACCGCGGTGCGTCAGTTGAGAAAATTCAAATCGCCCTGTGTCGATGAGCCGGAAAAGACAAAATTGCTGATCGGCGCCCTTCTTGTCGGTAGGCTCTCTATGTACGATCATCGATACAAGGATCTATTCGACTACACCACAAAGGAGAATATAGCAACCACGGTACAAACTCTATTCATCCCTCCGTCGCCTCTCAAACCATTGTTAGTTTACTGGACAGGCCGATTTCACACTGAGCTTAAATTTTTGCAGAATGAGGGTCGGCCTCCAAGGTTTGTATAATTTCGCTCGATCAGAAGCATTTCTCAAATCTTCATGCTATACGGAGAGGGAGTTGCCTCTTGAAGTGTCATACGATTCGAGTCACTCTTCATTCACATGTCCCATTCTGAAAGAGCAGTGCAGCCTCGAAAACCCTCCGATGCGACTCGTCTGTGGTCATGTCATTTGTAAAGAAGCCATCACCCGACTAACAACCAGCTTACGACAAATGCGGAGTAGCAGTCGGTACGTGATTCAGTATTTTATGTGAAAAAAACTCGCGAGCTGACAATTAGCTTTCACGATGATCTCAGAAGACATTCAGAAAGCTCTCAGATCAGGGTGAAAACCGATTGCAAGTCCACGTAGTGAGGGGGAAGAATAGAATAGCAGCCGAGGTGAAAGAATGGGGGGAAGGGAGGGTGCTGCTGGGAGACGAGGAGCGACGACTGACTGCTTTCCACCGGCCTCGCAAGGTCTCTCCGTTTTCGCCCGAGGGGGCGGAGCCGGCGTCCGTGCCCCTCCCCTTTCGTCCCTCTCTCCCTTCTCGTCGATTGCGTATTCGTACGATCGATCAATCAGATTTGAAGCACACATACACACAACACACCCTCACCGGAAGACACACAGAGAGAAAGAACGGCGCTCACACTCAACACCCCCCACTCTGACTCACTGAACCAAGGGCTTTCTAGGAACTGAACGAAAATACGGTTGAACAGGGAATCTTTGAACGGGGCGAACTTTGTTCGGAACACATTGTGACCTTTTTTCAGGCATGCAAGATTCAAGTGCCCTTATTGCCCAAGAGAACAATACATGGATTCGGCCAAGAAAGTGGACTTTACAACGTGGCACGAGGATGACGATGATGATTATGAGATGGATACTGTAAATTAATTTCTCATTCATTGCTTCAGTAACTCTGTTAACACTTGTAGTTTGTAGTGAACTCACTCTGTGACCTACCTCAAAAAACCCCTTTTGTGATTAGTCTTTGCATGCCTTTGTCTTCATGTATATCATTTTAATGCCTTTCACAGATAATCTATATGTAAATACCTCTTTGCAGCTACTAATCTCATTTGGCTCACTTTGATAGTCGACTATATTTTTGCGTGATACAACTACCATTGGCTTTGTCTCTCTCTCTTTCTCAACTTTGTACCTTTACCTGGTCATACAGACTTCAATAAACTTGTACAATTTGTATTTGAATAGGGTGCATTAAAACACATTGTACAGTGACACGCGACGGATAAATTTGCATTACGACATTCGGTGAAGTGGTTCTCAAGGCGGGTGACTCGAACCAAAATCCTTCGTTTCCTTTGGCAAATAAGGATGATTGTGGACTGTTCCGGCGGCATCCTCCCATATAATTAAAGTGACCTCCTCTGGGATTATGAACGGGAAATGGCTCAACCGGAATGTGTACCTATCGACTATTAGTATTCGAGTGCTTTCGTGCCCTCACCTTGCTTATTAATTAATGTTGAAGAGGCTTGTACTAAGAACACTTTATCTTGACCCCAGTTCTTCAGAGTCAAAACAAGGTCCCAAATGCTTCTCATCATCTGCGGTGCCATATTTTTAATAAATGCGCATATTTTAACGCTCTTCTCTGAAAAATGTTTGACCGCAGGCAGCAGTGCACATGTTTAAACGACTCAACGAGAAGAATGTGTTTGTGTTCACAAGAATTCGACGGAATCCAGTCTGCGTCAGTGTCAACAATACTGTTTTCACGTCTACCCATCCCATTCTACACCATGATTTCAGCCAATTTCTTCGGACACAGCCACAAGTCGGATGCCTGCTCTAAAATGAAATATACCAAAATCTTGTGTGTTCTGATCCGGACCAATCCTAGAAGCAATCACATTGTCAAACTGCTTTTTGTGTGTTTGCAAAACGGGACCGCCGTTCGATTTTCGATTTTGCCGATGCTTGTGTGCTTAACTAGCATGCGTCCACACTGTAAATAACGGGAAATGGCAGGGAGAGCCACCTAAATGCCGACCTATTAGTCATTGCCGATTCAATTCGTAAGGCTTTCGTCCGATGAAATGTTCAGCAACGGCAAAAGTTCTCTTTCACACTTACAGGGGAAAACTTGACAAAAACGGTGTTGCACTGTTCTGTGTTCGCTTTCTTTTTTTGCTTTCTCTTCCTCTCTCCAAATGTGAAATGCTATCGGATTGTACATTTTAGCATCCAGCAATGAAAGCCAATCGGAAGGGAAAAAGAACACTTCTTTACAACCACATGCAATATTGCTTTTTGCGCCTGCAGCGCCCGCGACTCGGATACCGATTTGACGGCTACCAAAGGGAAGGGATGGGGAAAGGGAATTCGAGCTAGTTGGACACTTATTAGCTCAATGATCATTTGCGAGGCAAATGTTATTCCCCTCATCGGGCCGTTAAGCAAGTCGTGTTAGGGAGTGTCAGCACCGGATATTGTACATCAGGCTATAGTGAGTTCCGGTCCGAATTAACGCGATGAGCAGGAAATTTGTCTCCACTTGGTCAGTCTCAATTTTATCACACATCTCACTCCAGTCGCCATCATGTACGGCTTGATAATCGACCATATTGTCACGTATATTAAAGAAAAATATGGTGATTCTGCCTGGGCCGAGGTCAAGGTATGTTGTTTGCGTGGAGTGTTCGTGCCGTTATAATCAGTGAAAGTGGCCGTGAAAAAAACGCAATTTTCTCTCGAAAAAAGTAAAGGTTGTGCAATCACTTTCAAGGGCAACTCGCTCGTTTGTCGGTTCGTAGGTCACTCAGATCGCGTATTTCCTGTTAGATCACGATCTCAGAGACGGTGGCGTAATGAGCCTCTACTGGTCCGATATGGACGGTTGCCTCACTCACTCCGATTATTGCGGGTAACGATACAAATGATTCGGAGTTGACATGTGTCATGATCAATCTTTTTGAATGAGGTCCTACATTACGGAAACTATCTTTTACCGATGATTCATGCACCGATAGGCAACGTGTTACTATGATCGTCTTTGCATGGAAACAGAGTAATATTGCAGTTCGTGTCAGGGGTCACCGAAGATTCGTTCCAAATGGACCAGAAGTATTCGGAAGGCCTATCCCACAAACTGATCTGGGCTTGTCATGATGTGACTGGAGACCCTGTCGATGAGCTTATGACCAACATCGGCACCAGTTTCTACAAATTTCTCACCAAGTACGAATTCAACAAGGTAATCGTTCGGAACCGGCTGCCCCATCCATCAAATCGTCCGTTTTCAAGGTTTTGCGAGTCCTCGGCCGCACTTTCCCACAATTTCTGAACGGTTTGGACAATTTGCATGAATATCTCCGTTTTACGTTTCCCAAACTCAAACCGCCGTCATTCTACTGCGAACATGAAAGCCGTACCGGTTTGACACTTCACTATAGGTTAGTGCTTTGACAGCGGAAGACGGATGGCTCGTCATGCGAAACTGGTTTTTCGGGGCGTCAGGGAAGGAGGGAAGGAAGATTCAAAACATTGAGGGGACATGCAAACGCATGTACTTCTTCGCAAAATGTCGAGGGATGAACGGAAAATAGTTCAAAGACCAAGTGTAGTTTGCTGCTTGTTGCGTAGTGTTTGTCACCGGATTTTCGCTACCGGTCGGTTTCCTTTGTGTCAGAATGTTGCAACTTGAAGATGCGAATGGAGTGTGAAAGACAGCCTCCGGCACTCTCGCCGATTGTCCTGTTTGCAAATGTTTGAGGGTTCTGACAGACCGAAATGTTCCTCGCGCGTGAAACTTTTTTGAGTGGGAATAAGGGGGGAACTTTTTTTTTGTGTCGCGTGTCAGGTCAACAAGACGCACTCTCATATGACCTGGCCTAGAATTGTGAGCGGAGGGTTCAGAAAAACCCTCTTGATGAAACATTGTTGAAATGCGAATCCATTTCACCGCGGGGGATCTGTCAGGAATGCCATTACAACAGGCTTTTCCCATTTTCCGACTACAACGATTGAAAGCTGAGGGACCTAATGGCTGAAGGCTTCTTAACTATAAGACAAATAGGATTTGATCTCTTGATGACGTTTTAGATAAATCGCATTTTAGAAGTAAGAGACGAGGATTTCTACATTACGTGAAGGGACAAATCCAAAACATTGCCAAAGAGCTGTTCCAAACGGAAGTTGTTATCGAGTTGTTGGACGTTGAGCATGATCTCAATTTGGAGCACGTCATCATGAGACTCCATTTCAATAATCTCGATTTTAGTAGAAAGGTATCAAAAAGTGTGTTTCAATAAATTGCACTCCTTTGCAGGATACATACCGTAATCTGAACGACTCGATTCTGGAGAAGGTCAAAATTACATCCGACATTTTTTTCGACATTTTCCCATTCATCATTGTGTTCAATCGAGGAATGCGAATAAGGTGCATGATGAGCACAGTTTACACAACAACGCCTACGCTCGCTCCGAATTGTTTTCCTTCTCACCAAAAAATGTTTGGCATACCGCTCGTGAGCGGTGCATTTCATTCCGTCTGAATGTGGACAAGAAAGGAAACAAATTGGATTGATCGGAAGGGAACGGAGCCTGTTTGTTTGAGCAATGACAGACTTCTCTTTTCTTGTTTCACATTTTATAACAAATTCCGACTGTTGCAGAAACATCGGGATCGGGTTGTTGCGTGTGATGGCCGGGGTTGTCGGGAAAAAGATCAATCAGGCTTTCCTACTGATGAGACCTTTTATCAGGTTCCGCTGGGAAGAGGTGTTGTTCAAAAAGAAGACCCTGTACACGATGTGTTGATTCAGATAATGCTCTATTCGAACAACATATTTGAGTTGATATCCACCGAACCCATTCAAGATGACGAAGACGGACTGCTCGTGTACAAACATTCGGATATTGACCAGAGTAAGATTCCCCGATGAATAACATTTCTGAGAAACCGCCACGCAATTTGGCCATGAAACAGTTTGATGCGGAACTATGATTCACGTTAGACCTCCTTTATATGACCTAGAGATTCAGTGACCGAAGAAAGACACCGAATGGCTGATTTGGAACGCGAAAAGTTTTTGACACTGAAAGGACAAATGTTCTACATGGAAGAATGGGAAAGCATCTGTTTTGTCGGTATCCCGGTGTTAGTCAAGGATAACAATCGAAAAGCACTGGTTTTAAACATTTCAGAATGAGTCATCTCCCTCAAATGCACAAGTCTGGACTTTTCATTAATGATTTTGCACTCCATGACTCGAGCAGAGACTTGGTGCTAGCGAGCACTCAGCAATCTGCAGAACTCAAACTTCTTTTGCATCAGGTTTTCAAAAAAGATGACATTAGCCGTCAGTAAAGTGTCCGTTTCGTTTAGGAAGCGCAAAAGAGTCGTAACATGCGAGAGAACATGAATCGCCTTAAAAAAGAGCGACGGCGCACTGACAGGTTGCTTTATCAAATGTTGCCGAAGAGTGTGGCTAATCAGTTGAGAAATGGAGAGAGTGCGGTTGCGTGTTGCGAGGTATCATTTCAAAAGTGTCTGGAAGGGACTCAACAACTCAACATTTCAGCGATTCGATTCCGTCACGATTTTGTTCACTGACATTGTGGAATTCACAAAAATGTGCAGTTCATTGACACCTCTTGAAGTGATCGAGTTCCTTAAGATCGCTTATTCCAGTTTTGACAGAGTCATTGACGAGCACGGTGTTTACAAGGTACCAGAAAAGAAGTTCATGTAGAAGAGATAAAGTTTAGGTTGAAACTATCGGAGACGCATACATGGTTGTCAGTGGCGCACCAAACAAAACGGACCATGACGCCGAGTTCATTTTAGACTGTGCATCTCAGTTTCTGGTCGAGACAGCGAAACTGGTGAACACAAGTGAAAAGATACCAAAAATTGACATCCGTGCTGGAGTTCATTCTGGCGCAGTCGTGGCCGGAGTCGTTGGTCTCACTATGCCCAGATATTGTCTTTTCGGGGAAACTGTATACGTGGCCAACATGATGGAACAAAATTCCACGGTAGAAATAAGAAATGTTGACATGAGTTTCAAGATAACTGTTTTAGCCCATGAAAATATTGGTGAGCGAAACGACGCACAACAAAATCGAAGAATCCGACCCTGGTCTGTATCAATTTGAACGAAAAGATGAGATTGAAATACGAGTAAGTTGAAGGAATTGTCGAAAATTGTGAACTGTGAACCCTTTAGGAGGATCAGTCGATTCAAACATTCTTTGTCGTGTCACGTCATGGCCCACCAAGAGTCCCGTCACCCAGAAACTGTGAAAGCCAGCTAGATGACTCTCAGGCTGAAGATGAAGAAGACGATGACATGTTGTACCCACCTGTAAGCCCTTTTCAAGTTTCGTCTTCTATTTTTTCATTCAGAAACCTGGTCGGCAATCTCCAACTACTGAAGCAGCGGAAGAACTCAAAAAAGGAGTTCAACTATCTTTCACACCAGTTTCGGACGCCGGCATTGAAACTTACTCTCGGGCTTCCAATCGAACACCCCGGAAGAGCAATGATACCACCCCACGCAAATCAGTAAACTAAATTCGAAACTTCAGTATCCCCAAACGTTCAATTGCATATGTAGTGCACTTGATGTATGTGCTGTTCTATTCTTTCTATTGTCTCCCAATATAAAAAACATCGTATGACTGAGGGCTGCCATGTGGACCTAAACGGCAAATAATGAAATGGCTTTTATATGAGCATCAGTGCTTCTCGAAATATAGAGATTATGCATACTAAAGAGGTATCTAGAGTTACCTGCCCCCACCGACGAAATCCGATCCTTCCTTTGCATTTACCTCCAGCATTCACATCAAAATATTCCTATTCACATAGATGTCTCTCAAACGTTGTACTCCATGTTCCGCTGACACACCTTACTCTCTGATGTTCAGTTTCTCGAAACAATTCCGTTTTCTTGTATTTTATGCAATCATACTCTTACTGTTTATGATGATTCCACCTGCAACAGTAAACGGAGAAGTCATACGTATGAACTACACTCTTTTTGTTTTATTACTTGTTGATTTCAGTGATAACCATGGACAAGAACGATAGTTTTGCTAAAACTGCTCTTCGACACTTGAATGTCAGCAAAATGTATTATGTTGACAAGAATCGAGTTGATACCGTGAGCTTGAGCAAGTTCGAGTTGAACGAGTCGACTGACGCGACAAGCTGTTAGCTTAGCGTAAAAATACCAAAATAACTAACGTTTTTATAGTATGCGAGCAAATGGTGAATGTCAGTTTTGTAATAAGCGTTTGTCGGTCCGCTCATTCGATCGGTCTTGTGGCTGAACTCGCCCGCATCTCACAAGTGCCTACAATTCAAGTGGATCTGAATTATTGGCCGTTGCCTCTCAATTTCAACGGTCAGAAGAGATCTTGAAAGAAAATACTTTCAGTTTGAGTTACAGATACGAGTGTCCGAACGATAACGTCACCATCCTACACCACAATTGTCTTGTCAACGATTGTGTTCCAAAATGTGATTACTGACATTTTCGCTGACTTGAATATAACCCCGAACTGCACAGTCTTGTATGACAATATATTTCGTAAGGCTTGCAACATAATTATATTAGGAAACAAGAAATTTCAGCGCCTGACTTTACTGCTTGGAGAGGCGCTTTTTCAGCTCTGCCGGGCGTCAGATTTGTTGCCATGGAAACAACAGTTTTGAAAATGAGAGCTCAAATCATTCAGCTCAAAGTACAACCAATCAACTCTCTGATACTAGTGGCAAAAACTGAAAATGTTGAAAGATTTACTCTTGAAGTAGGTTTGCCCGCGAACAATGTGCTCAAAAACCAGAATAATCATTCATTTCAGGCAGCAGATTACATTGAACAACGTGTTTTCAACATCTATGTGCTGACAAAAGTAGTTTTTCTCATACTTCTTGCTTTGAAAAGAAGTTTCAGGATATCACATCTTTCAAATGTGACAGTTGTGAATCTGCGTACATGTTCTGGATGCGACCATTTTCTGTTGGGAAGCTGATGGAAATTCGAGATTTGGATGACTATTTGTTCAGAAATGAAATTGGATTAGAGTTGGATTACTCGATTAACGGATGGGATTCAGTGAGAACATGAACAAACTATACACAAACGGCATTTTTTTCCAGTTGAATGTTGCGTTTTATATGAATGTGATGGGATATGCGTTTGAAACAATTCGAGATATGAACTCAACTTTTGATGTGTTACCCACATTCACTTGTACTACTGGACCATCCGAGGCCAACATTACGACAACGGTCAGAGAAGTTATTTTAAGTGATCCGGCTCATGAATATGGAAACTATACTGAATATGGATACAACCTTTTCTTTCAGGTTGTTCAATAAAAAGCTTTTAACTTTTAATTTATTAATTTCAGGATGTTGAAGTGAGAATTTTCAAAATTGATCGAGACAAGGATCATGAAGACGCCCTTTTCAACAAACAAGTACACTTCGCCTGTTTTTTTCAAATATAATCCACAAATATGACAGGTCGGAGTGTGGACACCAACTACAAAACTGTCGGTGATGTATGGAACACTTGAAGTGGATGTTCGAAATTTGAACATCTTTCGGGTTGTGACACTGATTGTGAGAATACTTGGAGTACAATTTGATAGAATTTTGAGTTCAGCAACCTCCATTTGTTCAACGAACCGGGGATCCAAACACACCTTACGAAGGGTATTGTATTGATCTCATTAATATGATACAAGTCGAAGTGAACTTCACGTACACAATATATGAAGTGGAAGATGGAAGCTTTGGCACCATGGATGACAATGGTAACTGGAACGGACTCATTGGAGCACTGGTTTCTGGCTCTGCTGATATCGCACTGGCCCCGCTCAGTGTTATGGCTGAGCGAGAAAATGACGTCGACTTCACTGTTCCATACTATGATCTCGTTGGAACCACAATTCTCATGAAAAAGGCAGACGTGGAGTATTCACTGTTCAAGTTCATGAAAGTGCTCGAATGGCCTGTTTGGCTGTGCATAGTGGGTGCATATTTATTCACCAGCATTTTGCTATGGATATTTGATCGGTTCAGCCCTTACTCTTTCACAAACAACAAAGATAGGTTTGCAACAAACTTGAGTTCCACCTTTTTATGATTTGTGTTTCTATTGCAGGTATCAGAATGACATTGAAAAAAGACAATTCAGTTTGAAGGAGTGTCTCTGGTTTTGCATGACATCGCTGACTCCTCAAGGTAAGAGAAAGCACGTTCACAGATCGGTTGTGGAATTTCAAGGAAAGCATTAGCTGACGAAGCGATAGTTTAGTCTGTTTACTTGAAGAAGAACATGATAAACATTAGTGATAAGAAATGGAATATAAAAATGGGGAGATGAATCAAACTCTAAGACTAAAACTATGCTGCTTATTTATTTGGTTTCCTGTCAGAAAAAATGTACACACCTGAATTTAGTACAACTAGCATTTGCGTGTTTGCAGGTGGCGGAGAAGCTCCGAAAAACATTTCTGGACGTCTGGTCGCTGCTACCTGGTGGCTATTCGGATTCATCATAATCGCTTCATACACTGCCAATCTCGCTGCATTTTTGACTGTCTCACGTTTGGAGCAACCTATCAGGTATTGGGTATCCTGCTGTAAACATGAATTTTAGTTTCTTGTTCTAGTTCCCTGGACGATTTGGCCAAACAGTACAAAATCGAGTATGCCCCCATCAAAGGAAGTGCTTCAGAGACTTATTTTCGGCGTATGGCTGAAATTGAAGAGACTTTCTACAAGTAAGACCATCCATTCAGTGACTATCTACAAAATTGTGTTTCTTAGCATGTGGAAAGAAATGTCACTCAATGAGAGCATGTCTCCGCGAGACAGAGCGAAGTTGGCTGTTTGGGACTATCCAGTATCCGATAAGTTCACAAACATGTGGAGGTACATGCAAGAATCAAAACTGCCGCCTGATATGGATGCTGCTGTCGATCGTGTACTGAATTCAGTTGACGGATTCGCTTTCATCGGTAATTTCAAAAGTTCAACTCAAAAGAATAAGGATTGTGTTCAGGCGATGCCACTGAAATCAAATACGCCGCTCTGACAAACTGCAAACTCCAGCAAGTCGGGACCGAGTTTTCCAGAAAGCCGTATGCTATTGCTGTACAAAGTGGACATGTTTTAAAAGACAAAATATCTAGCGCGTATGTCTAATTTTCCAATCAAAAGTCAAAGCTCAAAGTTTAGTATTCTGATGCTGCTCAACCAACGTCGTCTGGAAACTCTGAAAGAAAAGTGGTGGACTGACAATCCGAACAAGGTCACTTGTCCCGACTCTTCCGACGAAAGCGATGGAATTTCCATTCAAAACATTGGCGGCGTTTTCATTGTCATTTTGGCAGGAATCGGTCTGTCCATTGTGACTTTGGCTTTCGAGTATTACTACTACAAGTGAGAAAGTTTAGAATTCTAATCGTAATGCATTTTTCCAGGAGGAAAGCAAGGTTAGCAGCCGAGAAAGAGAATGGAGAGATGGAAATGAAAGTGCAACAAGTGATTCCGAATGGAGTTCATCAGAACGGAGTCAAACAAGACGCACCTCAACCCACAAACGGCAATAGAACTGCAGTTCAACGTCTGAAGCGGTCCAATTCAGTGGCCACATACGAGAACACAGCATTTCAGTACTAACTCCCAACTCCCAGTGTTAATTTTACGAGGCTCTTCTTTTAAAACCTTATCGTTGATCGAACACATTTCGGTGCCATCTCCAAACGGGTGTCTTTTGTCTATATTCGCAATAAAGTCAGATTATACTACCCCTCGGAGCAACCACTTGATATAGGTAATCCCTTGTGAAGGCGGCAATGAAAAAGAGACACATATGGGCGACGGGCAACTCAATTAGTGTTATGAGCACTAAAATGGCGCATCACCGCCCAGCTCTTCTATTTTATTCCGGATGGTCCGCAAATCTGTTATTCTTCTCTCGGTCAGTCCCCCATGTTTTCCGTTTCTCTGTTCCTATGTTCCATTTTCTCTTTTTTTTTGCAGGAAAATATGCTGACTGAAGACGGCGGTCTGGATACTACTTCTGAGGAATACCGTCGACTATCGAAGGCGGAGAGAAGGAAAAGACGACGTGCCACTCCAAAGTACCGTAATTTGCATGCTACACGTGAAAGGTATCACAATTCGTCTTCAAAATAGTTCAATTTGAATCAATTTTGCAGAATCCGCGTCGAATCGTTCAATATGGCGTTCGCTCAACTGCGTGCTCTGCTGCCAACGCTTCCTGTCGAGAAAAAACTTTCGAAAATTGAGATTCTCCGTTTCTCGATTGCTTATATTAGTTTCCTTGATAACCTTCTAAGCTGACAGTTATATTTAAAAAATTCAATAAATAATTTATAAAAATTACAAAGTTGGAAAAATTATGAAAAGGAATATGCAATTTCTCGTTAACAACCATTCCTAATATGACGCCGTTAGTTATCAACTTCAAGATCAGACTAGAATTAGAAAAATAGCACCGCCACCTTGTTTTGATTTGGTTATTCTGTTTTGTGAAGTGAATGTCATCTGATCAACAGTTCATCCTTGGCTGCAGTTGACAAACACAGCTCAGCAATGGTCTTCAAGTTCGTTGTTGTTGGACCAGGCACAATCTGAATAAATTAATATAGTTTTATGTGAATTCAAGTGAAGTTCTCCTACCGGTTTGATTTGCGAAACAGTTTCAACGGCTTCCACAGACCTTCCAGTGTACAGTTGAGTCAACGATTTTGTATTGATAAACTGCGCACTTTGACTGTCCGCCACAGGAATGCGTTGAATGTAGTCTTGTGCATGATTGTTGGAACCAAGAAAAATACTACGTATCGCTCTGAAATATTATTGACTTGTCTGGAACTTGCACAAAAGCACGCAAAACTACTTGTGAAGTGTCATTTCGCTGTCGCCAGAAGATAACTTGCTCGCTTTTTCAGCATAAAGATTCATCGCTTTCTCATCTCCCGCTTGCATTGCCATGCGCATTAGGGCCCTCGACAGAGTCGTCTTTTCGTCCTGGTCTTCCGTTTCATTGCAAATGTTCTCCATCAGTAGCATTGAAAGTTTGTACTCCTGAATAACCCAGTTATCACTCTTGAAACCACCGTTTTTATTACCCCAAGGTCGTGTAGCACTCTGACGTACAAATATTTCACACAGTTGAGTCGTTTCTCCCATTCTTCGATATGACTGAAGGGAGCTGCTTTTGCACGGAAGATGGTGACAATCTGCAAGCACGGAGTACTTTTTCGTGTCGCCAGTGCACTTTCCCACTTGCTCAACATGATTCTGCAAAGCTTCAATCCTTATCAGAGAGCTCCAGGGAAACGGGGAGAAACGGAGCGCTTCTGCATGGATGAGTCGCAGTGCAAACGGAACTAAACTGCCTGTAAACGTACATATTTCGTAAATCAGTGTATAATCAGATCAATTACGAAGATGATAAGAAGGTTTACCTGTCTTATCGCTCGTCTTGTACTGATAGAAAAGATCAGGAGCATCTAATTCCTCGAAGGCGGCCAACTCAGCCAATAACTGAGCGTGCATACGTAGATTCAACAAAAGTTGGAAACGGAGAGTCCAAATCTAAACAACATCAGTTTTACTGAGAAAGCCGTATCCAATTACCTCCATAGTTATTTGCGATATTTCCGAAGGTCGTCCCGCTTTGTCTTTTCCTTGCCCTAGCCACGTCAGCATGTCAGACGTGCCGTTAAGTGCAGCCTCAAGTAGCCCTTTCTTCTGAATGCAGTGTCCATCAGTTACTGATAACTGCCTACGTAGTCAACTCACAATAAACCAGACCAAACCTCTTTGATTGAGGTCAAGGTCATAGCGCGGGAAGAATTTGTTGAATGTGTCCTGGAAAAATTGATTCATTGACACGAAAAGGAGTCAAAACGCAAAGTTGCGTGCCTGAAAACGATGGTCGATCGGGTTTCGAATGAACTCTTCTTTGATTCCCGGCATTGTATAGTGCATCTTTCCTCTGGTTTCAACCTTTGTGCTCTGAAAGTATCATCTGTAATTCTAATTTTGAAATAGAAGTTTGCTATTGTTTATTTGCTATTCACGCTTGCTTCTCTGTCTTTCTTATTTTCGATTAGCGAAAAATCGCGCGGACTGCGCAAATTGATAGCCGCGACGCAGCCACGAGCGTTTGCGTTCCTCCACGAATTTACCAAAAGAGTCAGAGAGTTCTTGCAAAAAAAGTTTATTTTTAGGGAGAAATTTTTGCTTTTTTAAAGATATCAGAAAGAAACCATCCATACTTTTTTGTTTATGGGCATCGATTTACTCCAAAGCGAAGCGACTTACTTTCAAGCGAACCGATTCTGGCCAGTACAGAAGATGTTTCTTGTCCTCATAGTCATAATTGAGCATCCGGACACTGAATTTTGACGAGGGCATTGAAATAATAGTGAATCAGTAGAATTGAGTGCGGGGAGAAGTACTAATAAGCCGATTGTACTAGGCGATTTTGTCAAATCAACTAATCAATCTCGTTTCGAAGCAAGCATCTTTATTGTTCTTAATTTTCGCGGTGGAAGAACAGATGATAAGAAAAAGTTGATAAAGCAAAGTAAAGCTGCAAAAGCACAACCGAGGGGGAGGACCGAGTCTCGGAGAAAAGAAGCGTTGCATCGGAAGCAAATATGTGACAAGAATGAAGGGATCGATGAATGACATCATCACAACCGCACTATAAAGCGAAAGGAGAAAGATGAAGAAGTGAAAATGCATGTTATGCCGCAGCGAGATTTTAATTAAAATAAATTAAGCGTATGTGTGCAAAGTGGAAACTGCAGAGTCTAGCTCTTCAGCAGCTCGCGGATCTCCGTCTCCTCGGTGCAATCGATGAGAGCAGTGCCATCCGGAGCGTGGACAGTGCGGTCGGCTCCCTGAACAACCAAACTATAGTTTCTGTTCAAATTCTGTTTTTCAAAACTCACGTGCTCAAGCAGCAGTTTGACGGTGTCCACGTGGCCCTCCCAGACCGCCGAGAGAAGCGGCGTAATTCCGTACTTGTCCTTCTCCTGAATCAATAATTGTTGAAATGGACAGACACAATTCATGCCTGAATGTTGGCCCCAATGCTGATCAAATAGTCGATCACAGCAGTTTGTCCGTAGTCGGCGGCGATTTGCACGGCGGTGCGTCCATTGTAAATCTCATGAACGTTTTTCGCATCGACCGCCTGCTTGACAGCGTCAATTTCTCCGTTCTGAACGTTCCAGGCAACAGACATGGTTTCCTGAAAACTATGGGTCAAAGAAAAACAAAATTGATCGTCATAAAGTATAGAAAACTGGTTGAAAACCAAAAAGTAAGAAATCGATCATGCGAAGTTCTTTTTTTCCAAATATTTATTATTCTCACTCAGCACGGGACAATTTTTTCACAAAATGGAATGTCACAAAATGTATCAACCGGAGAAACGAATGTTTCAAGTGTGATATCAAATAAAATATTAGCGGGATGATGGCATAATCGAAAAATGAAAAATGAAAAAGAAGATTGATACCAAACATATAATACCGTCGAACTAACTAACAAACAACACACAAGGTGTATGTTTTCACGCTCATGAAACTGGAATGAATAGTTCGAAAGGAATATATACGCATGAGAGAAGAATATCGAATAGACATAAATTATTATAAAGAAGAGGGCGGATAGAAAAGAGAGGGAACATATAGAGGCCGAAGTCTCTGATTCTCACTCAGTTTGGATGTTATCGTGGTTGCGTGCAGGCGTTCAGGCAACGACGTTTTCGTCGGCGCTTTCATAAATGCTTTCACTTCCGCTGCCAGCTTCTTCAACTTCTTCATCATCATTCTCAGCCTCGTCCTCATTTTCGTTGCCGTTATCACTGCCATTATTCTCATCCTCATTTGCAACCTCATTCTCATCATCATCCTCATTATCGAAGTCATCATCTTCATCGTTATCACTTGAATCACTCGAATCATCAAAGTCGTCAGTGTCGTCACCATTTTGATTACTGTATGCCATCAAGCGAGCATAGAGCTGTCGGATGATCTCATGTCGCCGGTGATCAGCGTGCTCTTCTTCTTCCTGTTCCTCATCATAATCGTCTTCCGATTCGTCAGAGGCAACTGTGTATTCCGAGTACTGATCATCATTGTCTTCTTCCCCTGATGCGACTTCATCTTCAGAATCTTCAACGTTGCTATCCGAATCTCCTTCACCGTCCTGTTCTGCTCGTTCGACATTTTCTTCTGCCTCTTCGGCATCGGCATCGACGTCCACGTTTTGGCCTGATTTTTCGGCGTTCTCTACCGATCCTTCAACATTGTTGTCGTGTGATTCTTCTCCATTCTCCTCTTCTTCTCCATCTTCATTTTCATCTTCACTGTCCGTTGGAGTGTCCGCAATTATCTCAAACTCTCTGAAGAGACGGCGATGAGTCATCTGGATACGGCGGCCCGGTCTTGTTTGGATTTTGGTCAGTGGAATCATACGTTTTGTAGTGAAGCTGTCGGTGAAAAGTTCCTCTGAAAATTGACATGTTGGTTCAGGATGAGGATGCTTGGAATTGGGATATACCTTCAAAGTATTCTCGGGGGTTCCAGTAGCACGGCATGATGTTGAATGCAGCGTCGTTGAGGCCTCCAAACAGGAAAACCAGAACTTGCCTGCAAAAGAAAATTGCTAAAAAAAACATTCGAAAGGTAAAACTGACCCAGTGCAGGTGACAATATTTGCGAGACGGCGGAACTTTATAATTTGTGTCACGTTATTCGAGTGTTTCCATGTGTACTTCATGTTAGCAGAAGTCATCACATGGAAGTCAAGTGCATTTAAAAACCTGAAAAATCATTCTTTGCAAACGGCTAAGTGAACTGGAACTCACTTTGTTCGCCATGCTCTATCAGTTTCGTACAACATAATCTTTGTATCGATGTTCGTGCGGTAGAGTTGGTACAAACTGTAAACCACGCTCTGATATTCGTTGAAATCGATTACGCACTGAAAAGAAGCAATGACTGAGTTGAACTGAACATAATCACATTACGTAATTCTGATCCTCTGGCGGCAACATCTCGAACAAACGGACAAGAAGTTTCCGGAACAGTTCGTCGCTTCCGTGTTGTCTGCATTCATTTTTGGGGTAACTCTGGGACGCCAGGATCTGAAGAAAAACATTAATTTTTGTTACTGACTAATATTATCAAACCGCATAATAAATACGTAATTCGTCTGCACTCATGTTCTCCATGTGGCGCTCAATTTTCAATGCTTTCTTGAGAATAACATGTTTCATTTTAGTGAAATCCGGCTGTTTGATAGTGAGAGTGCTCTGACGGGCAAGCACTTCGAGCGTTTGCTCGTTGTATCTCTGTACAAATTAGTTCAAAATTAGTTTGAGGTAGTTGAATTTACCCGAATATAAGTCTGATCCAAATGTCGCATGTAATATTTCTCGACCTTCTTCATAATACGTGGTCTCACAAAACGTCGCAGTCTACAGAACAAGAGGAACACGTTCGCGTTTTGAGGATCGACATGCTTCAGAACCTGAAAAGGCCCTAACATGTAATTTTCAAGAAAACGCTAATGTGCTCACCGTGAAGCAGAACTCTTTTTCGATGGTCTCTGCGAGCCTGCGATCAACGATGCCAATGTCGATGTTTGCGCGGCAGGTCTTTGATTTCCGCTCAATAAATTTCATGACCTGTTCAAGTGTGATGAGCCCTTCTGGTATTCGATGAGTGAGCGCGGCCATCATGTTATGATAGCAGTAGTGAGAAGAAATCATCACATCCTTCCAGAACTCTTCAAATCTTTCCCCATGGATATTTTTTGCGATCTGAAAAAAAATACCGATAAGAACGAGCTAATTAGTTGGAATAAACTAACAATAGAATACATGTCATTGCTTTTTATCAACTCTTCTTTTGCGTGAGTTGGACGGACAAACTGCTCCAAATAGCTGAGAAATCTGAGCGACGCATCTTCATTCAGATTCTGGTCGAGCCGATAGTTGTTGTAAGCTGGAAAACTTTTTTTTTTGGTGAGTCGCACATGTTTGTCTACTTACCAAACGGAAATTTTAGCAAGAACTTTCCGTACTTGTTCTTAGCTTGTTGGTAGAAGTAGTCATTCTCTTCCAACACAATCTCGGTTACGTGCCGAGAAATAGATTCCATCAAAACTGGGAAGCTCTGACAAAACGTGGGAACACGAGCCAGAACGTTAATGCGCTGCTGAAAAAGTAAAAAAAGGGATGGACTACGTCGCGTCTAATGTGTAACTAACCTCTCTGTAAAGGTCTTGAGGCATCAAACGGACAATGTGTTGCAGCAGATGAAAGCGGTTGAGGTACTTGTGAGCGTGCCTGCAAAATTTCGAGATCATTTGTAGGATATTTTTTAGTTAACACTCACATAAACACTTGATATACTGCGTGATGAATGGCTGCAGCAGATCCACTTTCAGTCACATTTCGGAAACTGGTCAAAACTGCCACTCCGTCCGGGTTTTCCGCGCTCAAAGCATCACGCAAGCTTATCAAACTTGGATAATCCATTATGCCGGGGTCCGAAAAGAATTGACGCGTCGGGCCTGAGAGGAGAAGTGAATGTGTTGTTAGAAACAAAGAAAAAGAGAAAGATAAAGGTGGGGGTTGTTATGGGAACGAGAGTACGCGTCGCACACAATCGATGGTCGGCTGCAGCGAGCGAGCTCTCCAGTCTAATCTGAGGCGAGTTGGGAAAATAGAGTGGAAAGGAAAAGTCTTCACGAATTGCAAGAGAACTGAGAATTCTAAATTATCGAGGCTTTTCGGAATAGATGTCCCCGATTTCGAAACCGAATAAAGATAGAAAACAGCTCAAATTATTTCTGAAAGTTTAGTCCTCAGAGATCACAAATGGAAGATTTTCTCGATGGGGCGCTTTTTTCGTATGCCCAGACACAATGAAAGGAACAAACTTAATGTCGGATTACATCACAAAGATAATAATCGAGTCGTTTTCTAATTATGGCTATTCAGTGAGCGAAGAGTGCAATAGCTATTGCTTTTTTCACAGTGGCGATAGTGACTGACGGTTGTGTTTAAATTCAAATTTGGCTGCTCTTCTGGTCATAAAAACGTACTGATAAGGCAAGTACCGATGAACTGGGCAGAGGAACAAAGTTGAAGGATTGCTGTACTTTTAAGTCAATTGAAAATTAGCCATCAGAAAGACCAAAGTTGGGAGATCCTGGCAAGGAGAAAATGACGGCGAATGCAGCGGTTTTGTTTGTAACAAAAGTCAAAATCGATTGAAAACGCAAGAACATTCGACCCGTTAGAACTGTTTACGTGCGAAAACAAACATGGAAAAAAAGCAAACTTACGTGGGTGCAGTGGCTCAAAGTGAAAAAAGGACTGGACGAACGCGACCAAAAGAACGAGAAGGTTATTTATCCCGCCGGCGAGGCGTCTCCAAAAATCGATAGGGCGGCGTTGCTCTTCCATTTCCGAAGCAGTGTATGTCCTACTGCAGCACACGGAACGAGTGTACGAAAAATACAGCAGTGGTCGTGTCTCTCGTCACTCAGATGCCCATAATTTAGCAGTCATTTTCTTTCCATGAGCCTGCCGCTTTCAGGCGCTGGTCGATCGGGCGGACAAAAGTGAGAATGAGGAGGCGCGAGCGAGGGAGCGGGGCGGCGAGACAAGCGAGCGATAACGGACAAAACAGTGAGACTGACCTGACAGAGCAGTTATGCAGGCAAAGTGGAGGGCAAGACATGTGATTACATACCACTAAAGACAGAACGCCGATGGCCATAGAGAAAAGGAGGAGGCCAGGGCAACGGATTGAGGTGCGCAAGGGGTAACAGACGACAGCTGTTTGCTGAGGTTTTGGGCAATCGATGGAGCGGTGAAGAGTCGGATATCAAACAATTGATGCGAAAGATCGGCTTTTGCCCATTCAGCCCGTTTCAATGTGTTCGGTGTCCACTCCTTTTTCTGCCCCTCGATTTCTTCTCCGTCTTACCCCAACATCTCAGTACACTCCGTGCGTGCATACACTCTATCTGCCCATCTTTTTGCAGCGGTCCCCCACGGCGCATCGCTCATCACGATACACTTTAGCGTGGTCAGTGTAATGTCTGCACTCTCCGTCGTCTCAAACACTCTTTTCTTATGACACTGTTGGTCTGCGCACTAGCCGTCCGTAAAAAAGCGTCGTATTCATACAACGAGTGAACCGCCATTCAGAGACAGGGACTTGTAGTACGATGGGAAGACGTGCATAACAACCGAACAGAAACATGTGTAGCGGTGAGTAGCTTCTGGCCACATCTCTATTGGACTTATTTTCAGAAAGGATGAATCGGCTTTGTGATTTGATCGACAGAAAGATTGATGACGGAACTTTTGTGCCGATGGTCAATGCGGCGCATTCCTCAATGCGTCAAATAGGGAAAGTAAGTATTTGATTCGAAAGTTCATTGGCCGGAAACGCAGGAAATCGAAATCTAACTAGATCAGGACCGATGACAAACAATAGATGAAGAAGAAGGAAAAATGAGCCTAGTTCTGCTCGAAATGAGAAAAGGCGTCTAATGGAAAATGTTGATGCGGGCGGGAGAAACACGAGCGAATACTTGGCATCAAACGGGCTAATCTTAAAAATAGATACGTGCACGAGTAGAATATCGATTAAATGTTTGTCGGTGATTTACGAATTGGCAAGAAAAAATACTAAACGAGCAGGTGGAATATCCATCGGTTCGTGTATTGTGTACACCTAGAAAGTAAGCGCTTTCCAGATCGAATGTGGCAAATGGAAAACAGCACAGCTTAAGGCAGCTTTTGTTAGAGAAATCTAAAGCTTTCCGAAGGATTTTTAAGGCCTGAACATTCGACACAGGTGCAAAACTCAAAACACCACACCAAACTTCTCAATGTCGGATTTGAGTATCTTGGGTCCACGTTTTAGATCAGATGATTGACTCTGGAGATGTAAGAATAGGAGAATTCCAAGCTTCTGCAAAAAACGCGGCTTTTTTGGCATCGAATCACAGACTAGTTAATCCGATCGGTCTGAAAATGTGGCTCAAGATACTTCAATCCAAACCTAGAAAGGATGTAATGTTTGGGTCTTATCGGAAAATTGGACATAAAAAATTAAACGAATGGATGCACATCGCAAGAAATAAGAAATTATATGACCAATCATGCATGTTTCAGTTTCTCGTTCTATTTGTCTACTTCATTTCAACATTCCTCGCCTTCACATCGTTCTTCATCATCATTCCATACGAGCAATTGTGAGCCGAAGACTTCCACATTTCCAAGTGTATATCTTCTTTTTCAGATACAAACCATTATGGTTCCTCATTTCGCTAGGCATTCTTGGCGCGTATTTCCTTTTTAACATCCAATATCACTACTACAAAGCGAGAACAATACAACCTGTTCTCAATCCAGGAGTGAGTTTACTCCGTATGTATCTTTTCTTCATATTTCTTCGTTTTAGGAGGAAGGCGATGCCTTTTGTGAGAAATGCAACTACTGGAAAAGTGAACGAGCTCATCACTGTTCAGTTTGTGAAAAGTGACTGTTTTTTTACTTTTAATTTAGCTATTGGGGATAATTAAAGAAAAGCCCTCCATGTTATAAACAACCTTAGCAAAGCCCCCACCAGTACAAAAAAGGTGGGGCTTTTTCCTGACGACGGGGGGTCTTTCTTGAACGCTTCTCTTTAACAACCGCCCCCCGCCAGTGCAAAGTGGGGAGTTTTTTGAATTATGGGGGGACTATTTTTTTGAATTTTCCTGGCTATTATGATTTTGTTTCAGATGCGTGCTTGGGATGGATCATCATTGCATTTGGATAAATCAGTGCGTTGGCTCACACAATCATCGGCATTTCTTCCTTTTCATTGCTAACTTGACACTAGCGGCTGCAACTATTATCATTGCAGGATTCCCGTCTTTCTGCGATCACATTTACATTGTACGTTTTCCCATTTAGTCGACTATTGCTCAAACATTTGCTACAGGAAACATCGAAAACGACGTTCTGTACGACTATTCTGGACAACGCACCACTTCAGGACACTATTTGCGAGTATGACGGTGAGTTTGCCTGTCTGAATAGGAGAACAAACATTTCGGCTCTATCTGAGTAATCAGGGTCCATAATAATGATCAGGAGCCAAGGTCGACTTACAGGATCCAAAATAATAAACGGGTTCCACGAATACACATGTTTAAAATATCAAGAATAGGCAGGTTCCAAAGAATATGCATTTTCAAAATATTGATGTAAAATAAATTTTTTCAAAAATCGTTTCAATTGGATACATTTCAGGCTTTGCGAGAACGTCAGTTGTCTTTTGCTACCTGCTCAGTGGAATTCTTCTCATGATGGTCGGTGGTTTAACGCTCTGGAACGTCTATCTCATTTCCATCGGATGCACTTACATCGATTACTTAGTACAAAGAAAAAAGAACACGCAACTCATAAAACGTTCTGAATTTTCAGAGACTAACGGGATCGAGAAAACGGATAAATGCACGAAACAGATTGAACAAGGGTTTGAAAAGCAACTGGAAGAACTTTTTGGGACTCCGAAGGAACCGGACGTTCTTCCGATGCGTCATCATGCCCACGACGCTCCCACCAGTCACATACGAGAGCGCACACGGCCGACCGGATGTTTTTCAAGTCGTTTAAGCGCATGCAACTCTCGAGAACTCCATACTTGTCATCAAAACTTTGCCACACGCTCCCTATTTCCGCTACTTCCAAATTGTGATTAGATCTTCTGACCCTTTGCATTTACGGATATACCATTTGCAGTTAAATGATCAAAATGATATTGTTTATGTCAATAATGAAGAAAGACAGTTATAAGCGGCAGTTACGTTGATGTTGCTAACAAAGTTTCAAACGGGAATACGATAATATTGGAATGAATTGAATAGCATAAAAACCCGCGTGATTTTCAGCGACCAAAAGCTTTCCGATAGTAAAGGACTTCAAGTCTTGAACTTTGCTTCAGGATTTTTTGTTACTCCAGAACTCGTCCAAAGAAATGGCTGAAACATTGTCAAGAACATGCATGACTGGTCGCTCAAACAGTTGATTGTTCCGTCTTGTTCGCATTGTGCTTCCATCTCTGAAAAGTTTTACTTGTGCGGAATCCTAGGCAATCCTGGTACCTGGTGTTGATACTCTGGAAAGTTCCTTCTCTTGTCGGCATTGGAGGCAACGTTCTCGGTTGTGGTTTCGGAGCGGCACTGACCGATTCGTCGCCTTGATGAGCAAGTCCACCTGCCGCCATAATGCTCGTTTCCATAATGTGTTCAGTCTCCGAGTTGTGCTCCGCAACCGGCAATCTGTTTGGCACTGGAGCCATAGGGAATCTTTTTGGTTGCCTGTTGTTTTCAGCTGGAATGGGCACAGGGGAGTTTCGCGCATCTCGGACAACTCTTGCTTCGGTTGAGTTAGTGGGCATAGTTACATCAGCTGAAGTGATAAAATTGGAAAAAAAGGATTCGGAAATAAACATACTTGGCGATCCACCAGTTGTTGATGTTCTTGCCTGCTCCACATGTTGAGATGCGTCAGTCACAAAAGCGTATTGTTGAGTCGATGATTCCGTATGAATTCTTGCATCGATTTTCTGTTTCCAACACACTGAAAACAATAAAATGAGACGAGATCAAGTCAATTATGAACTCACTGTAACACAAGCACAGAATTATTGCTAAAAACAATAATCCTATGAGGAAAAGCAGCAAATATGTGAAGCTATAGTCTTGGGAATACGATCCATCTCTTATAGATTCAATTGGTGGATCATAGAGGACGGACGTGCCATCTTTCTTCATTTCACAGATATAACCATGGTAAGACGCGCAGCTATCCAGTCTATATGGACTGTTGTCCCCAAACTGAAAAGTCATGCAATCGTTGTCATCATTGTTGTCTTTCAACGTGGAAGGATTACGGCTGAAAAGAGAAATGCTGAAATTGATGAACACAGTTCATTTCTCACTTGGGGAGGACTGTTGCTTCTTTATTAGCAACTGATGTCAGGACCCCTTCCGATGCAGAATCCGTATATCCTATCCAAAGTTTGCTTGGGACACTTTCAATAAGACCTGCAAGTTATGATGATGTCATTGCATGCGCTACATTTCAAAACCATCGAGTTCGGCTGTCTTTGCGCTAGAATCAATCAGTACCAAATTGCTCTGTTGTTCCAAACATCGAGTCTAAAAAAAACCACAAAGAGTCAGAAAGACCACTTATAAAGTTCACCTGTGCCCGAATCCAATCTACTTTCTGATCGGACTCGAACCTCACACAATTTTCATCAGATATCTCGGTCCATCCAGGCGGACAAGTTGTTAAATCTGATGATTAGAACTATAAGATACATAGACTTTGCAATGGGTAACTTACCATGGAAGCGGTAACTGATTCGAGCACCTCGGTACTCGACAAGTTCATCCGATTGGAAACTTATGACGAGGTTGTTCCATGATGAAATGATCTGAATGTTTGAGTTTGAGTCACTTCAAGTTTAAGTCTTGGTCCCTTATTATACCTGTTGATTCTTCAAATTTTCGCACAAAATGGTCACCTTGGTTGAGTTTCTCTCTGACTCTTTATCTGAAAAATTTTTTTTCTGATGAGAAGTACATTCACAACAAAATGTGGTTTTGGTCAGTGCGAATGATCCTATTCTTTAGCGAACAAAAGGATGATGTTCACGTCCGCGTCTTCAGCTTTCTCACGGCGAACCAAGCATAACATGTTATTTCAAATGGCCAGGGCTTCTTAAGCTATACACACTTCTACTACATCCACAATTTACAAACAAGAGCAAGCCCTTACCATCCGTAATCTTGATGAAATCAGCACATTCATCAAATATTCGAGGTTCCATTTCCATATCAATAATCTCAATTACAAGTCTAGTTTTATCCGGAGCTTTTATCACAAATTTGCAGTCTAAAAAAGGCGGATACTTGTGACTACTCTCATAGTTTGGCGTTGTCAAATATTGAACTTCTCGCGTTGCGTTCAATAATGTGGTTCCTACAAGAAACACATATTTAAAGAAATAAACTGATAAAGGAACATACCTGCACAACTGCTGTTTTGAGCAGTAGCGAACGTATAGAAAAGTGACAAGAACAGCCAAAACAGCCAACTGGAACACATTTCCGGCCTCCAAAGGGCCGAATATCAAGGGGGCACGTAGGGGTCAAGCTTTATATTGTGCCCGAGTTGGTGTCCACTCCCTGCTAGCGTCACTAATAGACGGCTCGCGTCGCTAAGTAACCAGGTGAATGCTGCGCAAAGGTGGCCTTCTAATGGAACAGAAGGGGGACACCACTCCCAGTGTCCACTCGGCGAATTTCAATTGCGAAACCTATAAAATTGAGCGCTTTTTCACTAGAATGACCCGACAGAGCTAGCCGACAGAGTGAGTAGTTTTTTTTTGAAAAGAAAGCTGAATAGAATTTTAATGAAAAGGGAAAAGAGGAAGCTGATTGGTTGTTCCTGCACGGAAGAGACATCTGGCCAACAAAAGGGCATGCTTATTTCATCCAGGTGCACTAATGAGATCTAATTAGAAGCCAAGCCGCGGCGAAACGGAGTTGGCATCCAATTCCGGCTAATCAGAATGCTCAGTGTAGACGACGAGAATAGAGGCAGACGTAACGCACGTTCATTTAGCTATTTTCGAAGGGAACAGTGTCACGAGGGAGTATAATAATAACATTTTCCGTGTTATTGATGATGAAGAATCTTTGAAATGCTCGACGAGAAGCGGTGAAAGTGTGACTACTAGCTATTCTTTGGCAGAGAAAAAAAAACGAGCAGAATAGTTCAGGAGGGAAAGTGGCAGTTGAGTCCCCACGCACCTTCTCAGCCCCAAGAAACATATTGCTAGTTTTCGAGGCGACAGGAAATGGTTGTTGGGGCCAGAAGGACGGCGGGTGGTTCTCCTGCCTTCTCTTTCTCTTTCTCACACACGGTCAATTTATGTGCCGCTTACTGCTTCCTATTCGTGTGACATTCAGCCACCCAAACTTGATGAATTCCGCTCAAAAATTCCACGAAAACCGATAGGATATCATTTTTGGTAATAGGGTAACGGCATGTATACACGCGGTGAGTATGTGTGTGTGTTGCGAAATGTCAAGACTCGTGCGCTCTGATATTATCGTGGGAGGGATAAAATCTCACAAACCAACTGTGTGATTAGGTGATTGGAAATGAAGAAATGGAGAAATCAAAACCACCCATACGAAAAAGAATTGAGAAAAAGAACCGCAACGAATCCACTCACGCGAGTCATTCAACAAACAGGTGGAATTACGTTTGAATGATCGTTAAGGAGCCACTCATCGAGGCCCTAAGATAGCAGAGGAAGCCGAGAGAGATGCTTGCCGGAAGTTTCTAATCGCGTTATACGAACGCGATTTCATACGTATATTTCTATTTATTTACAGATTTTATTTAGGCTCAAAACGAAAACATATCATTATTAAAAACGTAGTTATACACGTATTTGATGAACCACACACTTGTCAAGACAATTACAGATAATAAAGAACCAGTGGGATCAGTAAAAGACTTTTGAGTGCAAAATGGGTAGAGAATGAAGTGGTGATGATGTTCTGGGAAATGGCGTCTGAAGATTCGTTCGGAATGACTTCCGTCCCACCGCAAACGAGCTCCGTGTCATTGTTAAATTTCCGAGCGCCAACGTCGAAAGAGTCCAGGATCTGTTCCAGTTTCTCATCTTCCTCTGCAAACCGATCTATGAAACTTAAAAAAACATTTTTCCAGTACCCAATATCGTTATCCTAAATATCGTGCACCTCGTCATGTAAAGCTCCCTGGTATAATCCACTTCAATCTGTAAAAAACAAGTAAATCCTTGAAAGTTTGTTCCCTTAGTGTTCACTTTGTAAATTGGAACTCCTGTTCTCTTTGAAATTCTCTGTTGTACAGTAGACAAAGAAGTATTGGTGTAAACCACCCAACGGAATGTTGCCTGAAAAAATCACCGTTACTTCCTCAATTCTTCATTTGCTTTCAACGTCTATTGTGTCTGTCTGTACCTCAGAAACTTTTTTCACTTTGTAACATCCAATCTGATTTCGGTTTTTAATTGATCGTAGTCGGAGTGTCTTTCCGATGACTGCAATTAAACGGGTGAAGACGTAAACATTCGATGAATATTTCACGTGCTTCGAATTCCTAAGACACAAACCTGAATATGGGCCGGAAAGCGGAAAGCTCTGAGCAGTTAGATGCCAGCGCGCATGCATTAGCAGCGGTTTCGAGCGGTTTGCAGCGCTTCCGATCGGGCAAAATTCGTATCTCTCGCTAGTACATTCAGATTCCTGGAATGGGTGAATATGATGAACATGATGGGATGAGAATAGGAAACTCACGTTAACTTGTAATGGATTGAACAGCACTGCTGTGCTGCAGGTCAAATTTTGATCACTCACTATTTCCCACAACACTGATTCCTGGAAAATGCCGAGTTTCGAGAAATTTGTTAAAATTTTGGGAAAGTTTTACTGGATTAACTTCTGGATCACTTTGATTTTTGTATTTCAACGAATAATATACTTCTGTGGGAAACCCTGATTCCCAGTTCGAGCTGGCGTATTGTGTCTGAAAACGTACGTTTTCACAATAAAGTATATTAAAAGAGGCAAACCATTTTTATGTAGCCATCAAATGGATGACCGAATTCGGCAAATGCAACAGTTCTCTCACTCGGTGGTTCAAAATGACCACAGAACACATCCTTTCCTTCTTTGAGAAGAATAGAGGTGCCGAGCATGCTTGCGGCTCCAGATACAAGGTTCTCATCAAATATCACACTCGAGTCATTTTCAGCGCTTATGAGGTTTTTCTTCAAATCATCAATCCACGTCACTTTTGTGACACCGCCCAGGTTTTGTTCCCCGCACGGTGGCCCTGTTGTGATACTACGATCTAACGGACGGAAATGAGCTTGAACATCGGAAAACTTCTGCTTCTTATTGATCAGTATCTGGAATGAAAACTCAAGAAATGCATTATGATTCATTTGTAATCAACCTCGGTGTAATTGTTTGCCGGATATTCCAAAGCAACAACGGAAGCAACAGTGGACGAAGAGAAAGGAGCCAATCGTTTGACCATTGCATGCATCGTCAGTGCTCCAGAGGGTAGAATAGTCAAGTTGGCGCATACTTTAATCCATTCGAGATCAATTATAGCGGATCGCATTTCGGAGATATTGAACCAGTTGAAGACGCCTGTCATCGTAACAGCAGCTTCATTTTTCCCCACGACGACGGCCGCATCCTCGACGATATGACAACTTTCACAAGTAGTATGGATACACGATGTAGATTCTGCTGTTTTGTTGGAAATCTGTAAGCATAAATTGACAAAAAAAATGACGTAGGAACCTACCATGACGGTTGCTCGAGTTGCCATTTCATCAAAAATGTTGCGGACCTCACCAGTCAGGAGAATCTTGTCATCAGTATCTACCAGTGCTATTCTATACGAAAAAGTGTTCAAAAAAACATTTGCTTGGGCGATTACCTTCCAATAATTGGGTGAATAAAGTTGGCTATTGCGGCAGGTCGAGCAAATTGAGGTCGGAGAGCACTACAGGAACCACGCAGAACCAAACTCTGAACTTTTATCATTTCTCTTCATGAACGAATGATGATGATAGTTCCACCTTCAGCATGATAGATTCTGATCCGAAAATGTTAACTGAAGGGTAATAAGAAAGATAACTTTTGTGTACAATTTCAGTGGAAATATCCAAACAATCATCTCGGATGTGAAGTTCTTTTGGAGGGGACTTCAATCCAATTACAGGTTCAAAGTAATGATTCTGTCGTAAGGTAACATCGAGAGATTTGAGAGTTCTTGGTTCGACATTAACAATGTCAGCACAAGCGAACAATTTTTCTTCTCGCAATAAGGCAAGTGCTGCCAATGTACAGTTATCGGGCAGTGCTGCAATTCTAGTATTCAATATCGTGTGAGTGCTGAGAAATGCTCACTGTAAACAAACGTTGCTCTGGAATCCACTCCAACTTCACTGTAATCAGAGTGCTTCACCGAATCTTTTGCATTTTCACAGGAATCCACGAACGCCCATGTCATTATTTTCTTCTCCGGTTCCACGTAATCAAACTTAGCCATGTACTTAAGATCAGGAACCAATCGAACCTGAAATAATTGGTTTTCATGAAATGTTCGCTTTAAAACCCTATCATTACCGCATTGTTCTTGATCGGAATGATGTGAACGTGTCCTTCGATCGGTTCCTCGTGGAATGAGGCATGCATCAACTCTTTGCCGGGAATGATAACCGTCGCGCACGCGAGAACCTGCAACGTCCGTCTCTTGCAAAGGCACGTCTACAAATCTGTGACCCCCACCTCGCTGTTATCACCGGAAATAACCAATGTGTTTCCTGCCAATCCATCACCGTTGATGGTTGAATCAGTGACTGGCATGTTCTTCACGATTGGCGGACTCTTCTTTACTCTTCGACAATTATCAGTCATTACAGCCATGTCGTAAGGAGCGGATGAGGTGTGTACTGCCCATACAAGAGTGTCGTTTGGCCTTTCTTTTATGTCGAAACTAACAATGTAGGTATCGCCATTCTCGTCAGCCGGCGAAATCTGGAATGTGAAGAAAAGAGGATGAAGGAAAAGGAAATTCCAATCAAATCGCCAAATGTTTGATCCTTTCGTATCCAAATCACGTGTGTTTTTATCTTTTTGGTCTTCTTCTCAATGAATCAGCAAAGTGTTTGACTGATGAGATTGTTAGAAGTTTCACGGCTATCAGCCAAAAAGGAAGTACTGATCTTTCCGATTTAGGTCAAATGTTTAAAAAGAACTTCGTAATTATCAAAATATCAAAAGTCGACAATTTTGATGAGGGAGAAACAACCTTGAGAGAAAATGAAAGAAACACTGTAAGAAAAGGGATGATTTACACCTTGATCGTGTTTTCTCTCTGTTTCGACCCCACAGAATCGAATCTACTCGCTCTATCACCCCTCGCGAGATAACTTCCTCAAGAAACCGACCCCGCAAACAAGTTACTCACCGTCAGAAATCCTTTCAGCTTTTCTCCGTACAAAAGTGTACGATAAGATGACGAGAATGATGAGCATTGAACGAATAAAAGTGGCGATAGGATTGTGAGAATAAATAAGAGAGAATGGGGGATAAACGACAGGGTTACACTGTACATATTATCAGCCGCGATCCGGCTGCTGATACACTCGGCGCCTCGTCGAATTGTGTGGTTAGACGGTGGCGGCGACGGCGGGAGAAATCGTCGGACAGGCAGAAATGAGAGAAGCAAAATACTAGGGCGGGAAAGAAAGAACAATCATTACTCATCCATTCACTTTAATGTTTTGGCCCGTTGCTTTCAGGAAAGTCTAATCATTTTTCATCGTGTTTCCTTTCTGAATACCATTAATCTCAAATTGTTTAATTATTGGTTATCAAAGTGATTGTCATAATTGCCACACAATTTGGCGATTCTAGGTTCTTCAGAACGTTTGAACAAGATTTTGCTGTCCATTTTTTCAAACAGGGACAGTTAGGAGATAGAGTGGGGTGGGGGGAGGAATCGAGATTCCCGTCATTTTTGGTTTTGGAAATGGCTGGAAACAAAGACCGAGAATCAGACAAAACAGGAAAGAATGAGAAAAAAGAAAAAAGAGAAAAAAGAAGAAGATAAGAAACTGTGGGAAGTTTGATTTTCGAAATATCGAGAGAAGTTGGGGAGAAAAAGGCAGAGAAGACCACAGATATTAAAATTATGTAAAATTATATCGATTTAGTCCTCAATCTCAATCTTCACAGCGATGCCATTGATTGTGTTGCCGTTGGCCGGAGCGTTGATACCGTTGTTCGGGTTGTTGTCAATCATTTGACCATGCGGAATGACGTGATCATCCTGTGGCGCGACTTGAATAGGCTGCGGTTCGTTTTGAGCACCGAGTGGACCGTTATGATTAGCTTGTGGCTCGAAGTAATCAGGCTGCGGACGGTACTGATTAACAAAGGCTCTTAAGGCATTAGCCACCGCACGGAGCTGATTAGCCTGTGGCAGTACGTGAACGGCTTCACCCCAAAACGGACGACCGTTCAGAGCACGGATGTAACGGTCATAGAACTCAGAGGGATTCACGAGACGATCGTTAGCAAGCACACAAGCAACGTACTGCTGACCGCTCAGGCCAAAACGACCGTTTCCATCTCTGTTCACCGGAACAAAATGCTGCAGCAGTGTCTCTTTCGCCGCCTTCAGTTTGTTCCTGACCTCGTCGTAGTCAACATAGAACTTGGTCGGTATCTCAGTGTCATTCAGTTCCTCGCAAATCTCAAAATTGATAATCATTCGCTAAAACATTTTTTGTTGAATTACCTTAGTAAGATTGACAAAAGCAAAGAGCTCGCCAAGGTTATTAACGTTGAATTGAGTGTACGTTTCATTAATCGCGTCGAAAAGGTCCTCGAGAGTGTTAGGATTTTCAACAAGTTCCAGAGCGGCATAAGATGCATCCGCAAGACAGTCAGCGGCGCGATGGTAAGCTGGAAAAATATATTTCAAATTTCTTTTAAGAAATTTTAATTCCATACCTGCGTTTTCTCCCGCGAACTCCTTGTTTAGACTTGCAAGCTCCGCCAGCATGATAACGGCATACATGTAATCCAAGTGGTGAAAGTTGATGCGGGCGTAATCGCGCTTTTGAATCATTACGTCCTAAACAAAAAGATGATTTCACAATATTCTCTTACTGATACCTCCACTTCCTTAGCCAAATAAGAGATAATGTAGCACAAAGATTCCGAATTGGCTTTGTCACCTTGATGGAACAGAGGAGCCTCGGTCGCCTCGAAGGCCTCTCTGGCCGATTTGCGAGCGGCGCGAAGAAATTCCAGTTCAATGGGTTCGTTGTCCAGTTGGATGTAGGTGAGAAGTAGGTCCAACAACTCGTTATTTTTTCTTCTCTGAAAAAATTGAAATGAATATGGATCTCACAAAAAAATCTTTACCATCGTCATTCTCAATTTTCTTTGAGACGCATCTCTCCACTCGCTGTCAAGATTGACCTGGAATGAAAGCACCTTGTAGAGCAGGTCTTTATGGAAATCATCGAGTCCGGGTCTACGAAGAGAAATGGGTTTGATATCCTTCTGAATAGCGGCTTTTGGGAAGGATTTAAGTTTGAAAACTTACGTGGATTTTCATCACTCTCTTAGTACTTTGCTGATCGAATTCGGTGATGTACTTTAGAACTAGGTGAACTCCCAGCGAGTAATCAAAGATACCTCTCTGGGTCAGAATTGGCTCCGCTTTAGTACAAACTACTTGGCGCATAGCGTCCTTATCTGAAAATAAACACTGAACATCAAACACTAGTTTGCCTATATGCTTTTGATTCGTCAGTCAATGGAGATGTTAAGAGTAGAAGATGTGCTTTAAAAAAATGCCTTGTACCCGTGACCGTCAACGGTTTATGCCAATTTTCAAAAAATGCCTTGTACCCGTGACCGTCAAGGGTTTATGCCAATTTTAAAAAAATGCCTTGTACCCGTGACCGTCAAGGGTTTATGCCAATTTTTAAAAAATGCCTTGTACCCGTGATCGTCAAGGGTTTATGCCATTTTTTAAAAAATGCCTTGTACCCGTGACCGTTAAGGGTTTATGCCAATTTTTAAAAAATGCCTTGTACCCGTGACCGTCAAGGGTTTATGCCAATTTTTAAAAAATGCCTTGTACCCGTGACCGTCAAGGGTTTATGCCAATTTTTAAAAAATGCCTTGTACCCGAGACCGTCAAGGGTTTATGCCAATTTTTTAAAAATGCCTTGTACCCGTGACCGTTAAGGGTTTTTGCCAATTTTTAGAAAATGCCTTGTACCCGTGACCGTCAAGGGTTTATGCCAATTTTAAAAAAATGCACACAGGCCGCTTAATAACTATTGGCGTCCACGTCCGAGAGGTTGTTAGAGTCAAGGATTTGGCAAAACAGTGTAGGGGAAAACGAGGGAGAAAACGGGACACACCTTCTACTGTCAAGGATAATCAACGAATTACCTCCGTTTCCGAAGTAGTACGAGTGGAGCGCTTTGTGCACATCAATCACTTGACGGAAAAATCCAGCATAGTACATCGATCCCGGCTGAAGGTGGACTTGCGCTGTCTGAAATGGAAATAGAAAGGGTTTGTTTGACTGTTTTCGCTACAATTAATCTTGCTTTTTGTAAAACTCACCTCAATTCTAGTCAGTGCACGAAGAACATGAGCCAACAGAGCGGAAAGACGGTCCCCTGCGTCATCCGCGTCTTCATCTCCGTTGTTTATGATTCGCAAGAATCCAGTCATTTGTTTCCGGCTTTCGTCGTAGAATTTGATGAGATAGTGCCCAAAGTAGTTGTACTCTTGATCGGAGAGCGTGTGAGATGCAAGAAGACGAAGGATTTGGTCCGTAGAGCCAGTCAGATTATTCACCTAAAAGATATTGTAAGCAAATTGAACTTTTAGAGATGAAAGTACCAAGGCGTTTGCTGCGGCATTAAGAATGGGAGCGATGTTCGGAGGATCCATTCTCGGAACCAAGTTTGTCTGAAACATATTTTCGGTAAAAAGATAAGTCAAAAGAGTTCAGACACAACACTAACGATAAGAAGAGAAGAGCAAGAAAGAGGGGGGTGTGGAGATAACGAGTAGAGTAATTGGATTTCTGAGCATTGTCGTTTCAAGTTCTTTTTCGATGCTTTCTTTAAAACAAGACGAGACAGTCAAGCCGTTGGCATCATGCCAAGGAACATTTCGAACGCGTTGCGTGCAGGCGAAGCGGTTGGCGTCGCAACAAGGAGAACTGCGAACGCGTCACAAGGGCACCAGGACTTGCGAACCGTTTGGCGTACACGTAACTGATCAAAACAAGCACTCGCTGGTACCGCTGCGGGCTCTCTCTCTCTCTGCGGCGTTCAAACTGTGACGGTCTCAATCTCCTCGCGGCAAGCACTCTCTCGTCTTTTCGTCCGATGCGATAGACGTTTTTGGCAGAAATACGCACGCAAGTGCATGTCGACCGACCAGAACGTGTGTGTCTGTGTGTGTGCGTGTATTGTCGACAAGGACAAAACGAGAGTTTTCTGGCTAGAGAGTGTAAGGGAAAGTGAGGGGAAAGAGTGCGAGAGAAAAATGGAGGCAATATACACATGGAGGTGCGAGAATTCAAAAATTATGATCTAATTATCACTATTTGACAAAGGGTATTCCAGGGTGCAATGAGCTCAGAAGATTCAAGAACGCTTTCTGGTGTCTTTTTCATGAAATGATTCACGGTTTCTCGGTAGCAGGCACAGGTGTCAGGCCGCGGAAAGCACGAATAAAACAGAAATATTGCAACGCTGATATTACGCGAAATGGTGTGGATCGACTGACTGAGGACCAAATGGTTGCATTGTGTTGCGGACCGATCGAAGAGTGCAGAGACAAGCAGGGAGAAAGCGTGCCAGACAGATAGTGGAAGAGAAACGGAACAGCGTACCCTGTGACAGGAGGGCTTGCCGTCGTCTCGCAGCGAAGCAAGAAAAGAGAGGAGCCACCGAGAGGACAGCATAGGCAAGAGGTGATGCAAATGCGTCTGCACTAATTGGTGATTTCCTCTCTTTCTTTCTTTTTGGGGGAAAGCACAAGGGACGGAACGATATGACTGGATATTTTTAGAAGCGAAGAATGAAGAATAACGTGTGGTGGTTGCATAACGAGAATAGACGATCTATCAGGGAGGGCCCGCTTTGAGTGAATAAGTTGGCGCGCGTGCCCGCGAAGCGTTCGAAAGCTGGAACGGAGCGTCGCGTGGACGCAATGCGTTCAATTATCATCGGGCCACCGTGCTCGTTTCTCCCCACAATAAAGAAGTCACTCTGATGCAGAACCGTGTACGCCAATTGTCAATTCTCCGACTCAAAGACATCTGCGCCAAAAGCCAAAAAATGAAACATTTTAATGGCTTCCATCCTGTAATGTTTTGAATATACATACCTGCAACAGACCAGATATAGCCAAATCGTAAAATTCTCAGGTACACCCGGCAAGCACCAACTTTGTTCAGAAATTTCCTTAAGAATTTTGGAAAGCATTTCAAAAATTTGTTCGCATGTCGTTCACTTTTAGCCACATTATCGCCTTCTTTTCAAACTTTGCCGCATGCGTTTTTATTTCTTCGCAAAAATAGGTTCAAGGTGAACCTTCCGAGCCAGCAGAATCGTTGTCCCGGCCTAGGATCTTGCATATTGGAATTAATAAAATTGTGATTCTTGCGAGCTGAACATGAAGAAAGTATAGATGGAAGTAGCTTTCCAATGCAGGAAGCAAGAAATTTAATAAAAAGTATTGCGTTGAAAATTATATACTGTCGCACAACAATATCGCATGTATGTGATGTGACACCCACTTCTATAACAATAGTGTTTTAAGCGAGCAAATCAGAGTAAGAAGTGTGTCGTACAATCGAACGAAATCAGGAATTAATTTCTTCAAGACAGCCCCCTTTTTTCCGGATTCGTTTTGTTATCATCCAATCATTTCGTTTGTAAGTCGATCGAGAATTCACCATTCTTAAATGTTGTGCTCGCTGCAGCAGGGCACATGATAAGGCTCAAATGCAGCGGCAAAAACTATCAGACCAGCACTCGAGACAAGCGGTAATTCATTCATTGGTACTTGTTTTTCGGTGTAAAGCGCATTGACGTGTACCTCTGATAAGGGAAGGAGGAGAGGGGCACAGAGAAAGGATATCGTAGTCGTCGAATAGAGATTCGGTCTCTGACGCTTGAAATATCAAAACACCACGCCAATATTTGCAATTATACATATATAAATGTGAAAACTGCTTTATTTTTTGAAAATTATCAAAGCGCTTCCTCCTTTTAAGTTGCTTCGCACCCCTTTTTGAGTTTCGAACTTCATTTCCGCTCTTCCGTCTGAAACACTGTTAGTTTCCACCGAAACTTACCTGTTGGTTAAAGTTACTGTTTTTCAAACAGAGGCAGTCTAATTCTTGAAGCCGGTTGGTAGCTTTAATAACATTCAACTGTATTGAAGCGTGCAACCGACTGCAAGACGTCAACGCCTGAGATATCGAAGCGAATAGTTGTTGAGTGAGGAGCGTCGAACGAATCGAATCGACTGCCGCGGGCAGGAGGCTGTCCCATTTGAAGACAAGGCCAACTGACATTGATAAGATACGCTGCCGGAGTATCGACTTTATCAGTCAGGAGTGTGGCGGGAAGCGCGGCCCGAAGGCCGAGTTTGGCGGCGGACGGAGAGGCTTGCGAATGATTTTGTTTCCACATCGGCGCCATTTTATACTCGAAAAGGGCGTGACCACTGTACACGCGTATCGAAATCGCACTGCGCCCAGATAAAACTCATTTTAATCAATTGGGTCGCGCAAGTCACTGACAGAGTGCACCGCGATAATAAAACTCTGGCCAATACGAAATTATGAGACGAAAATGAGTTTTTGAATGTTTATTGGTCACAATGAGAGTGCACCTGGGAAAGCGGCAGTCAACGTTTCAAAACTTTTTGGAAGCCGTCATTGGTTTACGAATTGATTTTCAAATATCACTGGCGGTTTTCAAATGGAAAATATAAACAAAGCACGAGATGTTCACCAGAACTGCCCATTTTTAGACGAATGACTTGCCTGCCTTCAAAATATTTTGAACAAAAAATCGGATATGTTTTCTGTTCAAGTCAGAAGAATTCACGCTTTTTGGAAACATTGTGATAAATGAAAATTGAAATCTAAACTATGCTTGTACAAAGTATATAGTCATGGTAATCTTCATATGCAATTTGGCAATCAGATTAGGATACGTATTACCATTAGTTTATCAGTCTTTAAAAGTAGACATAATTCTAAAAGTGCATTCTAGCAAACGCAACGTTGTTTTATCATCATCGCCGTTATCACAAGAGCTCGAAAAACAATAATCTCTAATCTCCATTTTGGTTTTGAGAGAGCTTTATGTCGTTTCGTATAGACGACTCTTCATGACTCCCATTCTCTTTGCAAATCCCATTGCACATTCCCATTACCAAGATCTGCAGCTTGGCTTCACCAAGGTGTGTTATATGCCGAGCTTTCTCTCCGCCCCTATTCGCGGCACTCTCGGCACCCGCCAGTCATTCATATTCTCTCGAGTGATGCAATACCTTCTTATTCCTCCCTTCCTCTCAACTTTTGCTCGCAGCGCGACTGAAGCAGAAGAGATTACTTTGCTATCAAGAAAACTGCTAAGTGAACTCTTGCGCTTCAATCGTTATGTTGGTAGCAACATTTGACTAGATAGAAACATTTACTAGATAGAAATAAGCACTAAATAGGAGAGAAACATTGATGTAGAAACACGCTTCCTAGAATCTTGACGACGAGAACAACACGCAAATGCTCTGAAATAGGATAGTTCCCTTTTCCTGTTCACGTCTCACTTTCATCGAGTCAGAAAAAAACATGTTTGTCTCGGTGTAGAGTGTGAATAGCAGTTTCCAACCACCACATTCGGAATTTCAAACAAACACTTTTGAGTTGGATATTTCGCTCACTGATAAGAAGCGTTGGCTCTAAAACGCTTCAAACACGCGCGCTCTGGTCTTATAATTCAACAACGTAACACTGATAAACAGCTTGCAAAGGTTTGTACTCGGATCACATCCAGATTTATGAATCTCTCGGAACAGCCGTCAGAAATAATTCGTTTATCATGCGCATTTGTACGGAAACCTGATCTTTCAGAATGTTATGATTAATCATTAGCAGGAAAACAAAAAGTTTACGTTTCACCTGCTGCAAATGTGTATACTACGATTTGAGTCACTGAGAAAATTGGAGAATGCGAGAGCAAGGGGATTGGGAAACTAATATGCTTCGATTTCTCCTTCGAAGCGTAATGACGAAAATGAGGTTGATGACGGAAAAAAAACAGAATGATCCTTTTGAGAATGTTTTCAAGTCAGCCGCAGTTGCAAGTTCACCCCTACAAAGGAAACCCATCCATTTTTTCGGTACATTTCATTTCTGCCCGACCATTTTACGAGTCGCGCCTAAATTCTTCCATCGATCATTTTACTGCCGACAACTGGACAAAAATGATTTTGAAGTACGAAAGAAATGTGTCTCATTTTTCACATCTCCTTTTCCCTTGCAATGTCAGCGCAAACTGCCGGCCGGCAGGCCGATTCGTCTTGCTTCTCTTCTTCTTCTTCTTCGGCGAGCGACGGTCAACTTCTTAGGTCTTCGCACTTATCCAAAGGTGATAAATGACCAAATGGCAGTTGTCGCTAGATTCGGTTGGTGTGAAATTGAAGTAGCGACGATCCCTGTGATGAAGTGAAAAGAGGACAGAACCCAACAGCAGGTGTTCTTTCCTACATGTCTAATCCCTTTTCTCACCCTCCCGCAGAGCTGAATAATATCCATGTTGGCGAAAAAGTGTTTGCATTGGTACAAGTACAGTCAACATCTCAAACGGCATCTGCCTTGTTCCCAGCCACAATTCTTGAGTCATAGAAGTTTCTTTGTTCGCATTGTACAGTTTCTTCAATTCTTTTACACCCGAACGATGAGAGGAAATACCTTTGACAAAAGCCCGTTTTGGAGAATGAATGGGGAACATATATCACGCTGATATTGCAAAAAGAACTGACTGCTGCATTCGACAGCTTTATCGCCCCCGCAAATTCTTTTTGTGTGGAGAACGTCCTTAAGTAATACAATCAAACCGTTAAAGGCGGTGCTGTGTTGACTCATAAGAGCCATTCCGACGGCGGCGTTCTGTTTTGGAACGAAAAATGATGATTGATGATTATGACTTTTCTTGTCTTTATTGTACCGACAGATATTGTCTTTTTCTTCCCACAGACGCTTTGCACGTAAGTTTGACGGGAATGTACAGATTTGCAACAGGTGTGACAGACATCTGGATTGAGTGTGAGATTTGGGATGGATTGTGTCGGCAGACGACGGACGCTTGGGAAACTACCTCCGGTCTACATTTCCCTAATTCTCCATACCTGGCTCGATAGTCAAAGTCACAAAGTGTATTCCACCACTCCCTCTGTAATAAGAAGGAAGTGTTGATTGCATTACCTCAACATCAACGTCACGCTAGAATTTCCTTTCTGCACTCATATTTCAAATTGAACCACAAGAACAATCTGATTGCCAAAGTCTTGCCAGCTTACGGGTTGGAATCGCTGGAAAGAACTAGGCAATCCAATTGCGCGAGGGTCCGCACACATGGTGAACTTATTTGCAGAGGAATAAGATCCGTTTTTTGTTCTGCTAACAAATGAGTAAAAATGACAGAGGCGCGGGTAGGCACGATGTGACTGCCACTTCTTGCCAGCAGAATGAGATAGCTGGAAAGAGGTGGAAGCCCGATCGCGCGGTTTGCCACGCACTAGGTCATAAAACTTACCTTCTACGGTGACAGAATAACGGTTCGCTACGCATGTAGACTGCCTTGTCTTGCCAGCCCGATTGCAGGCTGGGAAAGAGAGGGAAGCCCAAATGCGCAGCGAACTTCTCAGTAGTAGCAAATATTCAGTAGCTGGTGGATGGTGCGGGAAAGTTGGTCGACAGTGCGCGATTGAACTGCCAACATCTTGCCAGCGAATACTTTCGATTGCTGGGCTCGACATGGAAGTTCGATCGCGCACCGGACCGCTCACCAGAATAATGAATGGAATGAGAGAGGCGATGGGCAACTGTCGACTGTCTCTATGTTGACAGGGGGCGGAGCCAATGCTAGATGGTGTGGGTCGCCTCTCTCTCTCTCTCTTTCTCTCTCTCTCCCTCTTCTTCGCGCTCGCTCACTGAAACGGCCCCTGTGGGAGAGAGGGCTGGCAGCAAGTTCAGACGGTTCTTCACAGTTTACGTCCCATCAGTCTATCTGCGAAGAAGACTGTGAATACACAATGCAATGATAAGATGTATAAGTAGGGAGGGGGGTCTGGGCAAAAAGGAGATAGAGGCGGGCCCGCCGTCGTCGCCGTAACTGAAGGATGACGTGGGCAAACAAAAACGTCTGTCAACCTGCGTCTGCATTCTTCTCCGATGACTTGCACTAATTCAAACGATAGGTGCTGCAATAGAAACGGCCAAGTGGACCTCCCGTTAGAACCGGTAGACAAAGGGCGGAGGAGGAGGTGAAAGAAAGCAGGAAAGTACATGGCGCCCGAAGAGAGGGTTACCTTGAACAATCGCAACATTCAGAACCGAAGAGGCAGCGCCGCAAGTGTGTCTTTCGTCTTGGCGCAGACAGCGACAGATTTTTATCGAAAAACGTTACGTGTCAAAGATACTCGGCAATGTCTGCTAGTCAAGAAAGGAGGGGAAGGAGGAAACAAGTTGCCGACTACGCAAGAAGATATGAATCGTCTATTCTTCACCTTCACTTTTTCTATCTGTATTGCAAGGTTATTCTAGCCTGTTTGATAACGATGCATGGTCTGATTTTTTGAGAAGGTCTTTTACGTTTTCAATGAATGACAAAAAGAGTATTACCGTTGAGTGCTGTTGAAGAAATGGGGTACAGAGACGTCACGGCATTGTCATTAATCTCTGCTTGCTAGAGGCACAGGTCACTATTGTATGCGCTCTGTGACCCGGCTCTAGTCTCTATATTTGATCTTACCTTCCTTCTCAGATTAGCTAGGTAATTACTGCAGACCTGCTGGCGGACTCTTATTAGGTAATTACTTTCTGGTCCCCTATAGGATATTATGAGGAAAAAAGGGTGGTACCGCTTACAAAACGTATATTATGTGATAACTTTTCTAGAAGTTTCCAGAAACTTTCTATAGTATCATCCAATTTTTTCATAATAATCTCAATGGGACCAGAAATTGATTTCTTAGTCAGGTGAAATGAACTACTAAACCTCCGAGTCAATCATGACACATTCCATATTATTCCGATATAATATGGGACGATGTCTGGATTGTCTCAGCGGCGTTCGTGTGAGCGGGTTAGGGACAATCTGAATCGGCATGCGGATGTTCGTCTTTTGTAGGTTTTCTGGATACGGATGGGCGGGATCTGCAAAGTCTATCTGTCGGAATCAGTTTGAACAGTTCGAAAGGAAATCAATTACATGTTAATTGAGGGTCATAAATATGGAAACGAGATGGCGTTTGGGGAATGTACATTGTTCAAGAGAACAAAGGTAGTTTTCAAATGAATGAGAAAAATGATTTTTTGACGGTGACAGGAGGGGCACCGCTAGCAATGCACCAGATGCGCTTAGAAACGTATTGGAGGGGGCTGATAAGGCGTATTTTCGCGTTTTGAAACTATTTTAACAGCCGGCCAATATCATTAAACAAAAGATGACCAGCACGATCTTTGAAAACAAACTAGTTATGTTTTCGATGTGCCGTCGCCAGACAATCTCTAACAGGGAACTTTGAAGGAATGGAAAAAAACAATCTGCATCCACATCCAAGGAAATGCTCTCACACTTCGGATGTTTATCCTGATTGCATCTGAATCAGGACGTAACCTTACATCAATATGTAAACAAGCGACTAATTGTTTTTTCCCCTGGTTACACTTTTCAGTCTATAAACATTGTGAAATCTTTCGTCCGTTCGAAAATGAGCTGCTCGTACATCTGAACGGCAAGAACTCAGGGAGCCAATGCAATGCTTGCTACCTGCGGAACTTGCCGCGCAGTTGATGAGCTGCCGGAATAGTAATATGAAGGAAGAATGAAGATGGGTATGGCAGTAAGCAACTGACACAAACGCGCCCGGCGAGAGGTTAGAGGCGAGCTTCCGCGGCCGCGTCGCGGTGCGTCTCGAATGTTTCTCTGGCACCCTCTTTGGCGCTCCATACTTTTTGTCGACCTCTGCTGCTCTCGTCGTATGGACGCGAGCGCCTAGCCGGCAGAAAAATGTATAGTGGAGAAGCTGTTGCAGAGGTCTAACAGCGTTATTTGTCAGGAAAAGAGAATAGAATGCGAGGCGAATGAAGAGGAGCATGAGAACCACTGAGCGCCTGTTCGTTAAGTGGGATGGCGCTGCTCCTCATGACTATTACACTTGCAATGAGATTCGGTCTCGATATTTTCCACCCATGTTGTTTATGTCAGCAAGTATATCAGAGCTACGGGTTCAATGTATCTTGATGGTGACGAAAGCACAGGAACAGTTCAGTTTTGGGCGTATCCGGTCCCTCACAAATTTACACCTTCTGGAATGTTCTTCTTCCTTTGAATCTTCCGGAATGCCGCACGCAAAGTGCATATCCACGACGGCGCTAAGCGTCACCGACCAGCACAATGAAAGTGGGCCAAGCACGATAAGGATGATGGCGTTTCGACGCTGGGTCGCGTAGATAAATTAAAAAGCGAAAATTGATAGTAGGGAAGGAAAAACTATGTGGGTATCGTTGCAAAGACTGGCTAAAAAGTTATGCAAGACTGCGATTGAATGTAAATAGAAAAGTTGAAAACAACCAATACAAAAGTACATCCTTACGTCTCATTTTGAGTGCCTCTGCTGGTGACTAACATTCCAGTGAACTCGCTTGTATCTCGGAGCAATTCGTCAAGCATTTTTCGATCAGTTTCATGTGTACATTTTGTACATTGGTCCGACAGTTATCTGATAAACTTTTGACTGTTTAAAAAAAAAACTACTGATACAGATGCGACACCAAGCTGGCGCCACCTTTTCCAGATTATTATAAAATGCTCCGCTTATCATAATTCACAAAACAAAAGAAATCGTGGAGTTTCTTGTTATTCTTTCATTTTACCTATCCGTCAGAGACGAACACGGATTACTGATTATCGACACGCCAAAGGATCTTGAGACTATTATATTTCAATTCGTCTGGTTTCTTCTTCTCAACTAGTGAGTTTGCTTTGAGTTGAGTATTTGGTCAGAAATTTAACATTTTCCAGCGGCATGTACTATATTCAACATAATCTTCAATTCGATCTTGCTAACGAAGATGAAAATGGAAATGTGGACCCGCTGATAGATGAGAACAACAACAATATCTGATACTCTCAATTTACCGCACTTGTCCCCTAGCTGTTTGCGTACTCAATATTAATTTCAGAAATGTTGTCCTGAGTCTGTAAATTATTTATTATTTAGTTTTCCCCCTATTTCTTCTCCACTCGTCCTTCCCCTCCTCTTCTGTCTTGTACATGTCGGAAACCTAATTTTGTAAATAAATAAGTTCAAATTCAAATTCAAACACCTAAGGCAATAGCGATGAATTGAATGCATGTCGGTTTTCTCGATTTTCGGAGTCAATTGCTGGCGAAAGACTTCATAATAAAGTGTGTGGGTTTCCTTAATACACAACATTTCCGATCAATTCTCTTTTATCAATGCTCCATCTAAATCATCATCAAGTGTCTTCTCAGTTTCGAATCGATCGGCGGCAGGTTTGGCCGGTCGAGCGCTGTCTTGCCTGCTTGCCTGACCATACGCAGTCTGTCTAGGAGTGCGCAGAGAATCAGATAAAGACTGTCTTTCGACCACCCTGCACTTATACTTCCCTGTGCGGACACACACCTTTCCTCCCTTAGCCATTAGGATAGGTGAACGCAGAACGCATTCGTTTGGGAGAGCCATTTATTAGGAAAATGCGGACAAGTATAATATATAAATAGAAAAGTTTTCAAACGCTTGCAGAAGAACATATTAAAATTAAAATTTTACGAGCAATAATCAGAAAAAAATACTGGTTTGGGGACAGAACAACTAAAATAGCGGCCAGGACGAAACTACAACGTCAACTTTTAGGAGGGAAACTAGAAAAGATTGGCATGCATACATAGAAGTTCAACGTAGGACAATCATGGACAAGCAAAATTAGACAAGAGAAACTGGCACACAGGGAAATAATCTAACCAGCAGAGACTGCACGGGGATTGTGGGGTTTTTCAACCGGTTGCTAGACGGACTAGACGTTGTTGCTCACCAGAAATTCGGAATAGAACAAGAATAAGCATAGAGGCTAATAGTTTGTGAAAAGTGGGATATCTATAGCAAGAAACAAAGGAGAATCATGCTCGAATAATAAAGTATCAAAGGCTCTGGCAACTAATTTCAATTGTGACTGAAAAATTTAGAGAAGGTTCAGGTCAGTGATGATACGAGGAGCAAGCTGAGGAAGCTCCACGAGCCCGTTCATTCCCATCATCATCGGGGATCTTTGATGAGTCGGTGGGACGGTTTGGCGGTTAAGAAAAGTTGACATCTTTGGTGGGATGATTGGAAGAGCTGCCATTCCCATTCCAGAGATAGACGAAGAGCACTGCATAAGAGCTTGGTTGTTCAAGAAAGTGATCAAGTCGAGTGCGTTTCCATTTTGGAGTAGTGGCGGGATAAAAGTACTGTCGCCAGTCTCCTTGAAGAGCTCAGCACGCGGCGGCACCATTCTGAAAGCCGACGGACCAGATTCCTCACGGAGTCCTTTCATTTTTGGCAAAATTAATTTTTCAGTTGCCTCCTTTTTCTCTTCACATTCCATTGGTTCAACTGCCATGGTCTTAGGGGCATTTGCAAGAACGCGAATTGGAGTGTGTGGCCCAATTTCGATGATTGGTAAGTCACCAATCTGAAAACGAAATGTTTAATGATAGTTCAGTTGACTGGGGTTCACCACTTGGAAGCCTTGCATTCCCTGAAGTCCCTGCAGGGCTCGCAGTCCATGGCGAACATCGCCGTCACGACGAATAGTCCATGGAACTCTGACCTTCTTTCTGTTCTTCTGAGCCTCGCGACCGTGAACATTGATGGTGTGCTTGCGGAGAGACGAAGGATCCGTGTAGGATTTCAGGCATCCATACAAGTTACAGAGATAAAGACGACGCTGTGAAAGGATATCTCATGACAGTTGGTTTTCATTTCAGCAAACTTACCAATTTGATAACGGAGCCGTCGGCAAGAATGTTCAGAGTGACGTGGCAGCGGTTCTCGTGCTTTCCTCTATCCGAAGCATTTGAGAATCTCTTGTTGCAATCTTTGAATTGACACTTGAAAGGCTTCTCGCCAGTGTGACTGCGTACGTGGGTGGTCAAGTTCTCTTTGGTCTTGTAAGCCTTGCTGCAGTTTGGATACTAAAACGTGTTCATTAACGGTTACAGATCGAGTTTCAGATTCGCTCACGGTGCACTTCATCGGACGCTCTCCAGTGTGAGTGCGGAGATGAGCAACGAGCATGTAGAAAGACTTGAATTGCTGACGACGGCATTCCTCCCACTGACAAACGGTCTCTTTCACATTATGGGATAGAGTTTGCAAGTGAGTGTCCTGGACGTGCGCAGCAATAGCCTGAAAAGTCTAGTTCTCATTGGAGCTAATGGAATTTTATATTACCGCGATAGATGGAAACACCATGTTGCAGAAGTCCCATTTGCAGACTGTCTTCTGAAGTTTCTTCGACTCCTTTGTACGAACATCATCTCGATGTCTGAAAAAGAGATCCTTGTTCATTTCTATGCATTTTTCCACCAACCTTTGCACCTTGAATGTTCCGGGTGGACGGCCGATGCGTTTTCCCTGAAACCATTCATCATTCGAGTAGTCACAACTAAAGAAGGATTACATTGATGGAGAGACGTGGTCCGCCAACAGACATTGCCACTGTTTTTCCATCTGAATCGAGTTGCGGAGACAACTGAGGGGAAGAAGCAGCAGATTCAGATGAGTCAATGGCTGGGGTTCCAGGAATCACCTCTTCTGAAAAATGAATTCAACCCCTTGTTTTGTTTTTTTATTATTCAGGCTCAAATCAACGGATTTACTGTACTTATTGTCGCCATAAATGTTTATGACACCTGAACTTTAACCTAAACGTGAGAAGCCGCGCTTGATTCAACCTGGTACTGTCAGGCAATAAAATTGAATTAGCGCCGAGTTTTATTTGCAGGCGAGAGCTTGATAAGAGTTATAATAGGAGACAAACCTGGCAGAGCAGGGGAATTGGCGGACGAGTTAACCGAGGACAGCGACACATCGGAGACGGGTGTCTGTGGGAGAGACGGTTCTTCCTGGATGGTGTCAGTAACAGGAACCATTCGTCTGAAAACAATCAAAGCATGTGTATTTTGTTTTTTATCATGATAAGTATACAGAGAGCGTACATATAATACTTCCCAACGGATTGAAAGAGGAGAAAAAAGTGAATGTGATAAAGCATTCTTCTCGCCTTTGTCAATCATCAAAAGAGGTCCAGACGCATAACGTTTTGTGCGTGAAAAAGAAGCGATGCACTGCACTAATCATAATTTATCTCTCCCTTTTCTTTTCCTGGACCAAGAGAGATCTCTTCTCGAGTCGAGCGAGAGCCCGTGTTACATCAGGTAGAAGGGAGGTTGGGTGGTCGTAAATCACACACTTATTCGGTTTCTCTTCGTTCCGTCTCTATCCAGTTCCATACACATACACATCCCGTTACAATATTGAGCGAATGGCAGAGGTTATGAAAGTGAGATATATAAAAACAGTTGCGGGGTGAAAGTTGATCGTGAAAAAGGAAAACCGAAACGTTTGTTTTCTTCTCTCGTCGCGAGTGGTCTACGTGTCGACCGGCGGCCAACGGCAGGAGAGATAAAATATTGTGGGTTAGGAGGTGAGAGAAAAGTGTGGAAAGTCAGAGCGAAAAATTGGCTATTTGCACCAAACTCTTCATTAAACTCGTACAAAAGTGAAAGGTTGGAGAAGAATGGGTAGTGAGCGAACTTTGAAGTGGAAGCAATGAAAATAAGAAAGAGTGTAAAACACAATTCCCCAAACGGATGTGATTGAATCTCCAGACATGTAAAAAAAACGGCGCTTACTCGTTTCACTGAGCAATGAGTTCAACACGCGGAAAATTGAGTTCTGTTGGGAGATCGAATGTGCGGTTTGACACGTTCTCCGTCCTGATCGCTGGTTTTGTACCGGCGTGATTGTGGCAGAAGACGCGTTTCGAAGAGCTCTCGGGGAAGAGTTGAAAGAGATCAAGTAGCGGACCCAGGGAGTGGCACGGAAAGATTAATTACACTGGTATTAAATGAAACAAATGTAAAGAGAGAAATGAGAAACGGAGGAATGAATTGTGTGTGTGTGTGTGCCCCTTTTTTTCGTCTTCTCTCGAGGGTTCTCATTTCGGGATGCTCTACATGGACTGGCGTCATTTTGCGCTCAATGGAAAGCAAAATTGAATTTTGTAAAAGAACAAGAACAAGAAGCTGAACATTGGCCTGAAAAGGAGCATTTTCGCAAAGAAACACTTTTTTGACGTAGCAGGCCGCTATTGTAAACAGAACACGAGTACACTTTTTGAATAAACATTTGATTTCGGTGGCACTGGTAAAAATCTAAACCGTTCAAAAAATGCCCGCGGGCGGCAGAGAAAATAATAAAGAAAAGAGAAAGTTGGTTATCTTTCGAACTGAGAGCACTTGTCACACATACTAGCCTTTCGAAAGACGAGCATTTTTCAGTCCGCTAAAAACAGAAGCAGTGGTCGATGGGAAAAGGGGATGATGTGAGCAGGCGTGAGAGGGGCAAAGTTCACCGGAAGCATCTCTTTTTTCGGTTCTTTTCAGAGTCGAATCTTTAGAATTCATTGGCTCAAAGAAATAGGGTCTTTTCAAACATTTATTGAATTTCGACTAACAAGCAATAGTATCCCGGGTGTTACTCTCTGTGTGAACCCAGGATTGGAGGGATTCATAGGCCATGTGAAAAGAAGAAACGCCGTAAAGAACGCTTCGAGATATCGTCACTTTTTCATTTTTTCTGATTAGAAAACAATGTTACGGTTACACTTGGAATGCATTCCTCCTAGGAGAACATTCAACAAGAATCAGTAGGGTTTGTGAAAGAACGAAAAGGGCTTCACGGGAAAGAACTTTTTTTGGTCATGAAACATTAAAAAGGTGCTATGGAGAACATTCTTGTTGAAAAGAGCCTTTGCATAACAAATGCGAATGAGAACATGAGGCTTTTAACTGAGCTTTGAGTTTTGTTTCAGCTGCAAATAGAAAATTCAATTGTTAAGAGGGGATTATAAGCGGACTGGACACATCTGGCAAGAGGACCGGAGCACAAACAGATGAACGCTGGAAAAGTGATTGCAGAAAAAGAAAACAGAGTGAATTAGACGTTGATGTTGTTGGTGTCAGTTGAAGTTGAACGTCTGTGATTCGTATTTGACCTGTTTTTTCAGATCCTTCAGTGAGTTTCCAATCATTATAACTATTTGAAAGCCGGTTTGGTCGATTCTCGGGAGACAAAAACTTTTACAGCGGAAATAATTTATTGACGGAAATGAATCGGTAGATAATGAAGTTCAGCGAAAAAATGAAACAGGATTCGTGGACATGCACAACGTACGAGATCAATCACAGTGATATATGAGAGAATGTTAATTGAAGACAAGGTAAAAGCTCCAGTAGGCAATGTTGAATAGGAAGAAGACCATTGGGAACACGATTCGGCATCGCTCGTCAATCCGTTGAGCCACTCGGCGACCACGCAGATTTCGGAGGGCCCGAGTCCAGTTGAACGCGCGGCGAGAGACGTCAATAGTCTGCAAAAGCTGAGTGAAGGTGGATCTGCTCTCTGAGTGTACTGTGCTCTCATTCAAAAAGAAAGAAATTCAAACGCCAGCCTCGTAGCAAATGAAAATAGATGAAAGCGGTCCTTGAGAGGCAATAAGCGAAACTCACTGCGTGACGCATGCTTGCTACCTGCTGACGGAGTCGCGACAACGACGCCTTCGACCGTTTGCGTTTCATCCGTTCCGCGCCGACAAAATACCTTGAGATGTGAAAAATTGGCATATTTTGTGGTGGCACTGAAAAGAGTCACCTGGTCCCGTTCGCCGTAATGTCATTGTTTTGATTCAACGAGCGAAGCCGCGGCTCTTCGGGATTTAGCATATTCAAAGCAATGTGCTGCTCTCCATCTCCACGAACTCCCTCTTCTTCGTTCTGAAAATGCTCAAATTCTCGAAGGTTCAACGAAATGGAAAACAGAATAGATTTAGTCAGGCTGTGGGAGGGTTCATTCCGAGAGATTAGAAGCATAACGAAGAGATTGTCGTGCAAGTGGAAAAAAAGAATAAACAGCTGGCATGAGAGACTAATGAAGCATCAAACAAACCCAATCGGTGTCTTCAACCTGAAATTGTGAGTGGATGGAAAAGGAACTCAAAAAGTTGTAAGTGAAAATGAAAAAGTGAGTGAGTGTGAGTGAGGTTAGAGTGGAAGGCGCGTAAACTCATTCAGTTATCTTTCCCCAAGACGAAAAACATTATCATTGGTTAGAAGATATGCTTTTTCTTCGTTTTTTTTTGTCTGTTTTCTAAAGTGGGTCTGAAATTGAGCTTAGCTGGTGAAAAGCAGTGCAAGCAACATACAAGCGTGGCCACTTTTCGCACCAAATCGTCAATATCCCGCGCGGCTCCGAATAGTGTCGAGAGAGCAGTGTCGACGATGAGAGACGGTTGACCTTCTCCACGGAGCAACTCAAGATTCTTGGCGTAGTGACAAATTGTGAACTCGATCATTACTCCAAACACGAATGCCTGAATAATTCATTGATTGAGACAATGCCAGAAAATAATTGCTTTGGTACCATGCAAGATCCCATCCAAACGTCAATTGCTTTCATGTAGCTTACTGAAACACACTCGTTTCGAAATTATATAGAAAATTGAAATAATTATACCTTCTGGAAGAGCTAGTTTTACGGCATTTGCTTGAGTGGAGATGGTGAGAAGAGTGGTGATACTGAGAGAGACCCTTGCTGGAGCCGAGTCAATTTCAAGCCAGAAGTTGAACCATGATATGACTACAATCAACGCAGTCGGCACGTATGTCTGCATGACGTGGTGCATCATCTCCCTCTCCACATAGAATATTGCCGTCATGCAACTCCATTCTCCAGTTGCATAGGTACCGTTGCAGTAGCCTGTGCGGATGTGCTTCAGTGACATATCCGGCATTGTGATATCCGGATTACGGTCTATCGCCGGAACATCTTCCTTTTCCGACCAAAGCAGACGGAGCACCGTCATTGGATATGCGTAGGAAAGAATGCGAAGTGCACATTCTTGGGAGTCCAATGGGTACTTCCAAAGGTCCATGTTGCACGAGCTGACCTGAACTCGGAACACAATTACTTCAGTCATCTGGTTTTCGACCCCACAATTGAGATTCTCGCGTCATACCAAACACGTCCATTTGGATAGACCCATACAAGAAAGTTGTCATCGGTGATGTCCTGAAATAGAATTTGCATGTTATTAGGGTTCCGTCGTCAGAAGGGCTTTGAGTGCGAAGTTGTAAAAAAAGTGCGAAGTTGTAAAAAAAGTTAGCTTTTTGACGTAAGAGGTCAAAACACAAAATGGATGGAGAGTGAACTGACCTGGAAAGCGGCTGATCGTGCATTTGCAAAATATACATCCGGGTGCCACATCATTTTGAAGACTTCCAAGTCACGGACCAGAATGGGTGCAGTGGCGTTATGAGCCAGACGGTGGTCATACCACTCTTCTTGGAAATACACGTCGAGGTGATAGTCCATAGTTTGAGCACCTAACAAAATGATAATTTTTTATAGCAAAGTGTGGTGGGGTCTTACTGAAAGAGCTCATTCCCTCAATGAACATTGACAGTGTGACATTCGTCGGAACACCTGAAATAAAACTTAAAAATGGGCAAGCAAGCATATTCTACGTAATTCCTAGGGACAAATGACACAAATTAGTGCGAAAAGCCTTGACGTGAGACGGTGAGCAAAACGTTGAACAGTGTTTAGTGTGTATAGCGGTGTCAAAAAATCGTTTGAGAAAAAGCAACAGTTATGTAAGAAGAAAAGCTGCAACACTCTTCCATACCTGGACCATGAACGCGTATGTATTCTAAAATAGAGTATTTATCTCAAAAATTTGCATGTTTTTTCACGAGCCCATTAATGTGCATTGGTTACAAAGACATAACCCATCCCGACGATTCGGACAGCCCAGAAACTCACCGTCATATTGCGTCGGAGTCGCAAATTTGTTGTACAACGTTTCGTTTTTGAGTTTGTCGAGGAACTTTTTGGTGAGTGGGATGAATGCCAAGTCGGCGGACTCAAATACACTGACGATACAGCAAACGGAAAGCAGTATTCGAAGCATTTCGGAGAATCTGGGAAGGTGTTAACTCATAATTCCGACCTGAAAAGTTGGACGGAGTATGTGTGTGTGTGTATGTGTGAGAGTGGAAAAAAGTGAAAAGAAAGGCGGAGCTTCAAGGAATATTCAAAAAGAAGTGTAAAAAAAAGGCCGTCAGTCAGGTAGGTTAGGTTAGGGTCAAACTAGAAAAAGAGAGAAGAGGAATCAAGACTTGAGACTAGGGACGGAACAAGTGCAAAAAATCAGATTGAAAGGAAATACGTAGGAAGTATGGCGGTTCCCATGTCTGCACTATGCGAATTTTGCCATATTTCGTCAGTTTGTCTTCTCAAGGTATTCATATTTCAAAAGCCGGAAAAGACTGAAGGTCGTTTAAACACGATGCGGATTCAATGAGAAGACCTTGAAAGTAGTTGAACGTTTTTTCGGGATTTAGTGTGCTCGCCGAGTAAAAAAGCAGTTGAAAAGGCTGATTACAGAAAGAGAGATCAGAGGAGAAGAAAATACCCACATTTCGAATTTGTGTTGTTTTGGGAATTATTGCGTCACCTATAGAGAAGTTAAATTTGCCAGGTAACACGGGACAAATTGGACCATTTTGAATTTTTTGTGCCATATCCTAGTAGTGACTATGTTGACTTTCTGGGATAGCGCCTCTTAAATTTCATTCCGCTTCACGGGCGATCCACTTTCTTCCACCGCTACAAATTCACCTTGCCCGCCCGATACTCTGGCTCGGCTCGGTTGTCGAATAAACTAAAAGGAGAGCAGTGACCCATTGGATTTCCGGTTTGTTCACTTCCTGGAAACGCGCGCACTTAGACTAGACTTTTTTGAGTAATTAATCGGGAAAAGAATGTTGTATCACTTATTCTTGTTCCATCCTCAAACAAATTTAGCAATGCATTGAAAATGTCTTCAAAGTGAAGCCACTCTCCGAATGATTGAAATTTCGTCTACATTTCTTTCCGTTTCCGCATCAAATGTGCTTTGGATGGAATATAGCAAGTGATAACGGCAAAAAATAGAGAATTCGGGAGGGAAGGCAGAGAAACGTAAAATTCGAGAAAAACACTTCCGCGGCGAGAAATCAGAAACATATGGTTCTCTCGAGTGCTCAGAGTGAAAACACATTTTCTCTAAACTGTCATGAGTTACCAATTGAACACGGCTAAAGAACATCCCGACAATCCGGGAAATTAGTTTGCAAAGCAAATGGTCGAGCACAAAAATCGGCAATTCTTGTGACGTAACGAAATGGACAAGTGCGAAATGACCGCTTTCCCCCCGGTTTTTGCAGATGTCAAGGCGCCTGTTCCCGACTTTTCGCATTTTCATAAACATTTGCTCAACCAGAGTGTTGTATTTTGATGTTTGGCAATAGAAGTAGCCATAGAAAAAGCAAAAGCAAAAGCAGGAAGGGGAAAGATTAATGAGAAGCAAAAGAAAATCGTGATTTCATAAATCCCAAGGCCCCATTCGTTCGCTCCTACTGTAGGTTTATATGCCACGTCACGAGTGTCGTGTGCAGCAAAGCCCTGCTTGTTTTAATGCGATTTTGAACCTGCAATTTATCTTCACAAGCCCGTGAATGGTGCACGTAAGCACACAGGGCCTCCGAGCAGAAAGTACATGCAAAAAGAGAAAAGAGAAAAGAGCCGTCGTCGATGAGATTGGTTGTATCTGTGGGCGCTTAATTGATTTAATACAAAATACTGAAAAGAATGAGCCTTTAGGGCTCCGGGTTCCACATTCAACAATGCGAATGGGAGGAATGGACCGGACGGTTCCGTTATGAGAATGGCATAATGAAATGATATCCGTCTAATTGGTTTCGTGAGAGGAAAAAGCATGTGAAGGACAGGACACGAGCACTCGTGACAATACGTGTGTTTGACTCATAAAACCTAATTTGTTTGGTGGAAATTATTCATAAAGTGTCAATTTTGACAATGATGGCAATGATGGCATGTGCCATCGAATGAGGAAGCTGGCGCCTACCGTAGTCCAGAGAGCAAATCCAACCAAGAGCAAAAGCCTTCCTGCTTCTTCTTCTTCTTGTCGAGGCGCCGTTGAAAGCCGGATGAGCTGGCGCCCCAATGGAGGCGGGACCACGGGGAACGTCACCGGACCAGAGGCGCCTCCTTTCTTCCCTCTCGCGATTCGAGAATCAATCGAAATGCCAATCCAATCCAATCTTGTTTGTAGGAATGGAAGAAAAAAGAAAACGTGAAAAAAGTCCACGAGCGGAGGCCAAGTTTATGCGTATGATAATGAAGTGGAAATCCGGAAATGTCGGCATCCAAGAAGTTTGCTGAGCTTTTTCTCTCTCCTTCTTTTCAATCAGTATGCAAAAGAAGCATCACGTGGAATGCGTTTTTTGAGAGGATGAATCTATTTTGGAAATAAAACCGTCAATGATCAAGAATCTCCCGATGCACTCTGGAATTGCAGAAAAAGTAGCTCGACAAGCAGAGCCAGTAGGCCGATCATTGGCTACACGCACCTTTTTATGAATTTTTGACAAATTTACGAAGAGACCGGAAAGAGATTGAATTAGAAAGTGTCTCGGAAAGGTGTTGGGAACGGCAAAACAACTTTTTTGTGTAGCGGAGAAATATTAAGTTATACATGAGGAAATATTGTTCAGCTGGTATAGAAAAGAATAAAAAAGAATAAGAAATGTTCGGGAAAGCATGCTCACTGAATGAGTAAGTCAGTAATCATCAGTTTATTGTCGTCTGCCGATCACAATGTTGGCCAGGGGAGAGGCTGTCATTTCGAACCGATATAAAAGTTCCATCGTGCACTGAAGACATGGAAAAGCAAGCATTCGGAGTGGGAGGCAGGAGGAGAAACTGAAGCGGGAGAAGAAGAAAAGCTAGAAGAAGAAGGAGAAGAAGAAGCTGGTGATGGATGAGAAAAAAATGGTTAATATCAAACAAGTACTTGTGTAGTAGTTCAATCTCAGTTTAATGTTCCTCTCGAAGACTTGACAAAATTTGTCATCTGACTGATGGAAGATGAGATATCCTTTTCCTTCAACTCATTCTTTGCTAGATTTAAAATGCAAGACACTTTGGAAAAAGATTGAGGTTTTCTGAACTGTTGATTGAACTGAAAATCCTCTCAACTTAAGTGAGAAGTGGGAAAAGTGATGAATGTGCTCAATAATCTTCGGAAAAAGTGGGCACTTGTAAGGGTCCACGTACTGGTCAGAAATAGTTTGGGACTTCATCGAAGCCATGTGAGGTCAAAGGCCACCATGCTAAAAAATGCACAATGAAGATGTCGTCACGATCAAAACACAAAGAAGTCACAAAAATTTCAAATTGCAAAATTGCACTTTGTATTCCATTCAGAATCTCAAATAATTGGGCGGCCGACGGCGGCGCAGAGTGGGCGCTTCCAAAATTGCTTTCCTTGCTCCCAAAGTCTCTTTTTAGAACAAATCTCAATCGGTTTGTGATGCAGTGTGTGTCTGAATTGAAGAGTGCGAAGTGGAAAAGTGGCGAAAAAGAAAAGTGTGACCAACAAGGTCAACTCTTCAAGAAGGTCGACGAGCCGAGAAATGCGGTTAGGAAACACGGCTCGTTTTGTAGACAACTCACAAAGAAACAGTGGCGGATTGCACGGAATTCAGACACATTGAAGGTGAATCACATTTTTGAAAACACACTAAAAAAAAGCGAGCGCCGACGACGACGTTTCCTTCGTGCGTTTCAAAGATAACAGGGTTTTGAATGCTGTGACAGAATTTGAATGAAAAATGGGAATCTTGAATCGGAATGTGCGAAGAGACAGAGAACAAGCGTATTCTTGGCTGCTAGTGTCGGGCATTTTGTTAAAGGAGCGAGCGCACGGAGGGACGAACTAGTGTACTTTACTTTTTACCATCAAAATGCATAAAATAATACTTTTTAAGCAGGAAATTGTGTGGTTCTATGAAATAAATTCGTCTAATCCTAATCACGACTTAACGTGAGAAAAATGCAAATGAGGAAGTCTTCCAACTTTTTGTTGACTTTTCATTTTATAAGCTACTATTAAGGGTCAGATTACCGAGGTCAATAGAACAGAACCAATGACGGAGAAGCAAAAAAGAGCACGTACATGATAAATTCGCTCTCAAAGGTCCACTAAAACGAGTCCGAATTCATGTTACCGCTTCTACTCACCGAAAATTCTTCAGGTTCAATTTGACAAATGGCTGGTGGTGCAAGTGCTCAAAATGAGCAACAAGAGTCTAGCAAGAAGAAGAAGAAGAAGAACTGAGAGTTATGCAACTAAGGTTCGGATGTTTTCGGAATTGCAGGTTGGTTTACTAGTGACGGAAGAAAAAAGTAGCGCGTGGGGTAGAAGACAATGGTGTGAATGGACAAGTTTGTGCGGAAAAAACGAGTAGACCAGCAGAAAGGGAGCAAAACACTAAAAAGAATTGTTGATAGTTTAGGAACAACAAACAAATGAGCTGGAAAAGAGTTCTTAGGAACTCGGCTGAAATTGCTTTGTTTGTGATAGGAGCGAAGAATGTGTGTATATTGGTTTCTTCCATGAATGCATTAAAAGTGAGTGGTATCTCCGCCGCCAGACAATGTCAAAAGTGTACAAGACCCTATATATCTGGCGATTTGGTCTTCCAAGTAGCCGAAACTTATTGGTATGTCACAATAACTCATGAATAATGGAGCACTGTTCTTGTTTCCACTTCCCGTTTTCTGTTGTCACTTTTTCACACGAAAATCTCGAAAATAATGAACACAGCTCAAGAACGAAGAACGAAACAAGCGAGTCCAGAAGTTTGCGGAAAAATCTTTCTAGGAACTCTAATATGTTCTACAACAAGCTGATGGTGTCCTTTTCTGGAGGCATGATCAAATTGCAGGATGTGCTCCTTTGCAAATTCTGAATGCTTTATTTATGGAAATTTCCTCGAGCGCATCAAAGTTCTTCCCACCGTATCATTATTTTTCCAATTCTTATTATTGTTGACAAAATCATCACGAGATCTCGACGGTCGTTCTCAAGAAATCGTAGTGCGCGCGGCATGCCTCGTACAAATGCGCACAAAAAATAATGAGGTGCCGACCAACCTACCGTAGTTGTACACATTCCGCGATCACGGCATTATAGTTTTGAATGCCAGTCTGATATTCATTTGCTCTTTTTTCGAAACGGATCAAAACGAAAAAGTTTGGATATCGCAAAAGTTCAAAGCAAACAAAAATTCAAAACTTTGTGAGAAATCTGCAACTTGAGAACGTTTTGAATCCAGAAAAATGACGTTGCGTCTAAGGGTATCGTTGAAAAAAAAAGAAAAAAAAGTGAGAGCTCAGGTGATTTGGAAAAAAAACATGAGATTCACCGAGAGCCTGATCTCTTTGAATAAATTATAGGAAGTTCAAGTGGTGTCACCTACTTTCGTACTTCTTTTCAACTCGCATAAAAATGAGTAGACAATGACCTTCTCAAGGTGAGGGAGAAAGTTGAAAGGTCGCCGTCATCATGACCTATGTACTCTTTTCGAAGTTTTTGAAGCATGGATAAAACTATCTGTTATGCACATCCTTGATTTGCAGCTGAGAGGAAGGAACGAATTGCTTATAAGGAGGGGTCTAGAAGTTACGCTTTTGACCGGGTGGACATTTCATTTCAAGCAAAACGAATCGAAAATTAGAGATTGATATAGGAACCATTGAGAGCGGACACTTCTATCACGCAATTTAGGGTGTAATGTGAGACCGATCACGTTTTGCTCCTCGTTTTGATGACTTTCGTGTACGCCACCATTTTGGGGCAACACCACCAAATATGAATTTTTATTGATGCCGGTGACCAGGAAATGAGTAGCAGGATCTCAGGTTGCCCCCTACTATGATGACCTCGGTGTAAATTTTGAAGCGGAAAAGTTGGGTTTCGGATGACACACCAGAAGGTCGTGGAGCTTCGGAGAAACGGGCGCCGGAACAATGAAATATTAATTGAGTCGATGATTCGGATGCAACTTGGTGGATTCGGGGTAGTAATAAAAGAAGAGGGGAAGACGAAATGCACGTGTTTACTCAGAAGAAATAACAAAAAACTTGCTGTCTATAGGAACCCCCCGGAAGGTGTAGATCATTCCGGTGGTAGAGAGCCCGCGCCCTCCTCAAAATGAGGGTTAGACCCACAGACAGACACTCCAAAATGTTTATGAAAACTGATTGCGGGTTAATCCATCTCGTAATGACAACTGTTTCAAAAAGTGAAGAAACACTGGGCGCCACTTGCGAAACAATAGATATCTCGGTGATAACGGGCGTGTAATCACAGAATAAACAGTTGGTGGGAAGGGGGGAAATCGAGAATCGGCTGGCGAACTCATAAATTTGCCCCGAAACGATTGGGTGAGAGACAAAACAAAACGATGAAATTAACTGTGCTTAGGATTGGAGAGGGAGCCCCTCGGCTGTTTTATCATGTCGCTGTTGCTTTTGATTGCTCTTTCCAATAACACTTTTAAGTACTCTTTCTCTCCCTCTTCCTCTCTTTACCGTAGCCTTGAATTTGACGGAAAACAAGTCATTGAATGGGGGTGTCAAAAGAACGGCGGAAAAGCAAAAAGTGTGTGATTTGCTCCCCAAACATTCAATTCAATCATCTCCTTTGTTTTCATTTTGACCAACTCTCGATGAAGAACACGTTCTGAGAGTTACTCTTCTCCACTTTCAAATCAAATAAACGTTTTGCACGAACAATCCTCATTATTTCCGTTTTCTGGTCGGATGAATCCAACATCCAACATTAAATGTAGTTGTAAAGCAATTCGAATCTCATTCCAAACCCCATACAAAAAAGCTGCTTCTCAAGAGAGAGTGAAAGCAAGAACAGATGTGTAGAACAGAGAAAAAGAAAGAGAAAGTAATGATGATTTTATTATGGACAAGCTCCGGTTTAAATTCATGTGTTTCGGGATAAAATGTATGTGTTGGTTGGAAAAGTTACATCAAAGTATCATAAATCTTAAGCGGTGAAGGATTCTTCGGGTAGTTGTTGTTGATAACTGTGGGGATTTGATACGCCGGGCGAACGAAGGCGGATGGCCGGACGATTGGGACATTTCTGGAACTGAGACAAATACCTATGCACCCTGGTTCATCTTTAGGCAAACCTGTCCATTCTCTGTTGCTGGCTCTTCTTGACCAACTCGTTTTCTCTTTTCAGCTGATCAATCATTTGGGTTTTCTCGGCGAGCTCCTGAAAACAGAAACAGATAGGATAAAACAACGTAATTTATCATTTCAATGTGTCGGGCGGATCTACATCAGCGACAAGGACTGATAAATTGTTTTTGCACTCATCTCGCTCGTTGACCCTCACTGTTTATTTTTAAATTTCTCCGAGTGATGGGGAGGGATGATGATAGGGCAATGGGAGAAGGTTTGTGACGTCACACCGCCTTTGTGCCTCACCTGGTTCAATCTCTGGTTCTGACGATGCAGCCAAACCAACTGATCGTCATTGGGTCCGTTTGAAGAACCGCCGTTGGATGTCTGAAAAGTTCACGTCATTTGGGAAGATCAGATTCACTAAGAAGGGAATAAATCTGTAAAAGGTGGGAGCATAACGAAAAGTGACAAGGATGATGTTACTCTCAATTACCTATCGGGATCTGGCTCGGCGCAGAGCGTACATAATCGCGAAATGTTTCTCGGAATATTTTACTTTGCAAAGAATCTTCAGGTCCCTTTCTCAACTCTCTCAATTCCAAATCTTATTCCATTCGTTTTCAATAGCGCGGTCATGAGCAATATTATTCAAAAAAATGTAGTTGTACATCGTATAGAAGCGCATGATCGAATACATTCGCATCCCATCCAAATGTAGTTCTCGTGCGTCAAGAGAATACTGTGGATGGGCTCCAAATGAATTGCTCATTGGTTTGCCCACATACCGTTTTGTTATGATGCGCCGGGAATCCTTTGTCACTCGTTTCCATCACGGCCAAAATCCTGCGATTTAACTCGGTGATGTGAGCTCTCAAGAAGTTGAGTTTCTGCTCGTGAACTGCTGGATCCTGAAGGAATGTTGATGTACGACTGGTAGACAGACAGAACTAAGAACATTTTGTATGTAGATGTACTTTTGAGACCTTTCGAGACCCTCCTCATTTTTAGGATGTTTTTTAATGTTCGTCCAAAACACAGGCGACTACATGAAGCTTCACAGCATCGGTCCCTCTTGCGTTGTTCTGCATATCACAATTTTTTGTCCCAATTGCTTTTCCTCAGCTTATTCACTTCCAAGAAAGTAGATAAAATTGGTTCCTATGGCTACGCAACCCATGAATATAATGGGATAGGTTTCTCAGGACTACTGTGGTTAATGTGCAACACGAAACGATTGCTGATTGTATGTTGCGCCCACGGAACTAGCTATACGAATGATGAAACGTAGATGACATCATGTCCATCATTCAATATATTTTCTCAGGATGGAACACTCGTGACAGACTTCATAGTATTCATCTATTCTCTGGAGATTGGCAGGGCGTCGTACTCAATGTACTCAACGCGCCCTCATCACATTTGGAAAGAGAAGAGAACAAACGAAATGTCGTCCCTGGACTATCCGAAGAAAACAACACATCTGAAAAATGTGCTTACCAGCGAAACGCTGCCTTGTTGCAAAAGTCGCGCCTTCTTCTGGACGGATAGAAGTCGCTCCTTGTACCATTCCAGAAGCTTCGATGCTTGATCTTGTCCGCGCTTCAGCATATCACTTTCTTCCCCTTGGAAGTATTCCAGTCGCGCCTGAAAATGTATCGATTAATTGAGTCGTGCAATGAGCAAAACATGTTGTCCACATCCGTACCGGTCTGTTCAAAACCTAATTTATACGACAGTCCCAGGAGGAGAATTTTAGTGACGGGATACGACGGCTGGCACTATTACTATTGTCTGTCTGGCATGTTCTGCCGCTTGGCAATAACAGGCGCCGACTTCAATAATACCGGCAAATGAATGAAGTCTAGATATTCACCTTGTAGTAAAGCTGAGGCATTTTGAAATATGGAAAAGGCAACGTTTCCGATCAGTTACAAAGTACAGATATGACTGATGTTTCAAACATTTCCACTTTTCCACTTTCCCTCTCGTTTCTTGCTCTAGTGCACAAAATTGTATTCACAGTCATGGCCATTTTCCTCCATTCATTCAGACTTAACGTCACTTGTAATACAGAATCGACCACGCCTTTGCTATTTCTCATAAAACCACGCGCGTCCACCCCCTGTTATCGTTATCAATAATCCCAGTGGGAGCCCGTTTTCTGTCCAGCATAAGAACCCCGCCCAGAATGCATTTGGGAGTCGTATAAATACGGATAGGCATCCACTGTAGACCTCATTATTTTCAGCTCCTCAGTAAGCCGAAACCTCCTTCATCTCTCTCTTTTCTTCCTTGCTCCAGTCGGGAAGAAATGCGGGCCACCGCTCTCGCTCTTCTGGTCATTTTGTGTGGCATCTACTGCCAGGCCATTCCTCTTCAGGTCTACAACGCCGAAGATGCTCCGGTAAGCATCAGAATGAGAACCATTATGAAGTACGCATTCAGGCGGCCGGTGTGGTGCTTCTGGAGGAGCCCTCGTCCCAGGAAGTCTTTGACTCCTCCGATGGAGATGAGGACGACGACTGGAAACAGGAACAAGAGTACACGGAGGGAGCCATGGGAAAGCGTAGCATCGCTCTTGGACGTAGCGGATTCCGTCCCGGAAAACGCAGTATGGACAACTTCCATACTCTGGACGTCAGGTAATAATACTTAAAAAGTTGCGTTCCAATCTAACTGTTGTTTTTTAGCGATCTCATCATGAAGCGTTCGATGGCGATCGGAAGACTCGGACTACGCCCAGGAAAGCGTTCGATGGCGTACGGCAGACAAGGATTTCGCCCGGGAAAGCGTTCAATGGCCTACGGTCGCCAGGGATTCCGACCAGGAAAGCGCTCGATGGCCTACGGTCGTCAGGGATTCCGTCCGGGAAAGAGAAGCGTCGAAGTCGTGGAGGCCTTTCCGCCAAATGCTCCGGAGATCTATATCATCTAGGATTTGGTGTCCGGCTATCATCAATCTAACTATCATTAATCTTTGTACTTTTCTCTCATCTTACATTTTAATATTACCGTATATGTACAAGAAAACCGCCACAATTCCAAGATAAATGATTTCCTGTTAACTTGAGTCTTCGTGATGGAAGTGAAGGCACTAACGCGAGAGAATACAGGACTTTTGAGATTTTTTAAAAGTCGGTCTATATACAAAAAAATCCTGGAAGAAAAGTTACTGTTAGATGCGTTGAATTACTTATCAGTAAAGGTGCCAAGTTGCAACTGTAGTTTGGAGTGAATCAAGAAGAGTTCGCAGTCCGAAGTCGAAGTCACAAGACCAATCCGTGTCAATCTCTGTTCCACGTTCTTCGTGCTGTTTCCTCTAAGGAGAACTATATGATTTCAGCAATAGTAATACGACTAATTGTCTGTCTGGCTCCGTGTGAATTTACATTCACACCCCCGCTCTTTTCTCTTGAGATTACAGTCAAAACGAGTCTTCAGTTTTGTCAGCGACCGACACCGGAACCCAAATGATAATGAGTCATCAACGGAAAATTGTCTTGTACCTGAATTGCTCTTTCATTGGGTGGACCGTGTGCATATCCCGCCCTCCTTTCTTGTTATCCGTTATCTCTTCATTGTAGTGCTCTTTTGTGGCGTGTTATCCCGCCCATTATCTGATATAGAATAAAAGGAGCTGTCCTGCTACTTCCTATCACTTTCGCTTCTTCATCTTCTTCTCTCTTTCACGATGGATTTCAACGTTTTCACTCGTGACGGAATGATCCGAGGATTCACCCTCCTTGCCGTGGTGGCCTGCATTGCCATGGGCATCGGGTACGTCATCACGAACGGCCCGATGAGCGATGTAAGTTTCCAGCATACAGTATTTATTGAACTAAAACCATTGTCTAGGCTGGCAAGCACCACATCAACCATCATTTTCATAAGGTCACGATTATTCGTGCGCCACTCGAGCATAATTCGCCGCAACTCAAAGGAGATGGAAAGGATCCAGTAACTACAACGGAGGAACCATCTCCGTATTTTGGTGACGTTATTGGAGACCCCTTCGGAACGCGCGATGAAGAAAATCTTTTTATCCAGAAGCAAAGGACTAATAAACGGTCAATGGCAATTGGCCGTACAGGTTGGCGTCCGGGCAAACGCTCCGACAAGAGAACTCCTACTGGAAAGCGATCGACTGCCCTCAGACGCATGCTTTGGCTCCCCAGCAATCACGGGGAAATTATTGCAAAGAGTTCGCGGATCCTTCCAGACAAGGGTCAGCCGGAACAAGTCTACGAGGATATGCCGCATCCTGGCAAGAATTCCAACAAAATGGGGCATCCTCTGTTTCGTCCTCGCAGACGTGCTCTTCCGATTTCCTTTGAGTTCGAGATGGGGAGCGTTTTTTTGAAGGACGACAGCAAGGACTACTCGGACTCATCCTCACAATCTGAGGAGTTGATCGTGGAGGTGGACTAGAATAATAAATGAAAGAAGATGCTCTGCTAATAACCTATCCTCATGTATTATTTGACCCGCATTGTCATGAACAATTAAATTATGTTAATAATACAGTAGTCTACTTTCGGGGAGGAGTACTATCTTTGATTGGATGAGCTAGAAGACTCCGCCTATTAAATTTCATCCTCTTCAATTTCAGGTGTATTTTCCCGGACATTGAAGCCACGCCCTGAAAACGCTCCTATAAAATGTGAAATCGGTCGGAGGAGAGTCTCACATCATATTTCTTAGTTCGGTACAAAGGGACCTAGGCTCTCTTCCAACTACAAACGATGCGTTTCGGATGTGTTTTGCTGTTTGTGACGCTGCTCGGCATCACAGCCCATGCCGTTGACTTGGAGTTGAAATTTGTTCCGGTAAGCAGATCTTTCTACTTATCTATGCTTAACTACTGTTCAGGAGGACCAACTGACAGAGCTAGATGACTCCAACAACTTCCCCACCGCTCTGAACCAACAAAACAGCGCTGAACTAGAGGTCGACAATAGAAATGATAATGTAGAGGTTGGTAAACGTCTCTACATCCTGCGCGACGGATACAACAACGCAGTCAAGCGTTCGCTGCTTGAAGACATGCTTTCAATGGGACAAACCGAGTCGCTGGAGGATGGTCACGGAATGGAGAAACGGATGTACATCACCCACACCGGATTCCGTCCGGACAAACGATCGATGGCGATTGGCCGAGCTGGAATGCGTCCGGGAAAGCGCGCGTTCGCCATGACTACCACTCGGCGAGAGAAGAAAGGACAACTGCTGCCAGAGAGTTACTTGCCGATCGACCGGTTCATCTTCCTCGAATAATTCTTCCTTTATTCCAAAACTCATTATTTTTCTCCAAATTCATTTCTAATTCCTCACGAAATTTGGGGCTTTATAAATATTGTTGATAAAATCCTTTCCGAGATTTTTGATTCTACTTGACATCAGGAACAAAGCAGGTGTAAAAGCTGCATCGGTTCTCGGAAAATCACATAGAATTGAGGTTTAAATCACTATTTTTTGAGGTTTGCATGTTCAGGCAAGCCATACACGCAACTTTAATTGGAAACTTTGGAAAACTTATGACCCGGTTCCACCTTTGTGACCGTTTGGCTCCGCCTAGTTTCGCAAAAATTCTAAATACTCGACTTCCGGCTCGGATTTGGGAAAGGTGTATAAAAGAGTCTGTCGATAGTAAGGCCCTCATTCAAATTTCACTTCCACTTGGATTTGTCGAAAAAGAATGCGATTCTCATCACTTTTATTCCTGCTAGGCCTCGTATCAAGCCACGTCGCGCGTGGATACAAGTACTCCGGAGAGGGTAAGACGGAGAAGGTCAGTTACTTTTACTCAGCACTTGCTCTTGTGCAATTTGACCAATATTTGTGAACCAATCAAAAACGTCGACTTGCAGACGGAGGCCTACTTCTTCCCGTCGTTTGGCGCCATCACCTACATCGACTTTGACCAGTTCCTCCGGATGGAAATGGCTCGTGAGAGCATCAAAGCTCGCCGTCGCCAGCAACTCGCAAAACTGCCCCCTGCAATGAAACGATCCATCGCCATCGGACGCTTACAGTTTAGACCAGGAAAACGGTCCCTCGGACTGAAGAGCATACCCCAGGGCCCCGATCTCCGCTCCGTTACTCTGAAGCTCTGAAAGTTCTCGAAAGACCCACCACGTATCGTTCATTTTCTCATAACTATCTGTCACACTCAAATGAACGATCTTTGTTAAACATGAGTCTTCTCATCTGTTCTTTGAAAAAGAAAGGCTTTCGAAATATGCTGTGTGGGCGCCTGTTCTTAATTGAATGGTTCTCATAAAATAGTACAGTTGGAGCCCACATCATGAGTTCAGGAAGCCAGACTCCTCATTAAAACGCCTCCAAATGTGGCTTGGGAAATTGAAGAAATGCAGTGGGGTTTGTCTGCTTTTTCAGTGTGAAAGGCCGCTTTTCAGTCTCCCGCAATCATCGTTTCTTTCACACAACCGTTCAGTTTCCTCTTTTGTCCGGCGGGTTCACAATGAGATCATATTTTTCATGTCTTATAGTGATTTCATTTGCTGACTTGCGTTCATTCCAATCGGCTACACCGGATCACAACGTTTTCCGTTTTTTTACGTCTACAACAAAAACCATATTACAAGGTTTCAGGAAATGCGGAGCCCATGGCTCCGCGCTCTTCTCCTCTTATTCCTATTTAATTCTACCTATTCGATGGTCCTTTTGGTTAGTTTCCGAACACCTAGTCAATGAGTATTTGCAACTATTGTAGACTCGCGCTGAGTACAACAACACATCTTACATCGTAAGGGTTCCAAATGCTGGTTTCGGCGAGAACAGAAGCATGGAATCGGTTCTTAGGTAGTTTAGCACTGCTAGTTAGAATAAACTCAATTTCTAATTCAGTGACATTGCAAGGGTTGTAAACTACGCGCAAAAATCAGCACTGCGTTATGGGAAGCGGTCCTCAGCGTATGTCTCTCAAATGAACCTCCTGGGGTAAGGATCTCTGAATGATATGGTACTTGTACCAATGACCGGTGACCGCAGACGTGGTACCAGGGACAGTGGAAACAAAGGCATAGTTTCCACGATTGACGAAATCGCCAAAGCTGCTTTGTATCCGAAGAAGTGGGCAATTCCGGTCGACTACGATAAGGAGAAACGACATCTTTCCACTATCATGCCAGGTTTTCATCCTAGCCCTGCTCTCATCAGAATTATGGGCGTTTTGATTGACATGTCAGTTTTAGTCTCTTACAGACTGATGAACTTTATAGGTTTTCTAGAGAACGGAAAAGATACGAAGAAAGCTTGATCAATCCGTTCAAAATGGTTCAAGATCAAAAACCAAAATCCGAAGTGGAGCAGTTGGCCCAAATTCTTTTTAAGATTGAACAAACTCGTAAAAACCCTACATTGTAATTCCGAATTTACACAGAAGAATTCGTGAAGTTGGTTTTAGGAACAACGTCCAAGGCTACTACCAGAAGAAGTTCAAGATGCCCGCTCGTCCCGGAAAGAGAAGCATGCCCGTGCCGATGCGCCGTGTTTCGTTCCCATTTTCTGCCGGGTATTTTTTGTCAACGACACACAAATTTTATTTGATGTTTCTACAGAACCAAATCCCTTGGCACTTCCCACGAGGCACTCCTTTTCTCTCTCTCGAGACTCACATCATCGGAGGCCAAAAAAGTGCGGCGTCCAATTGAATAAAAGTTCCGATCAGGAAGACATTCATCTTCTCCCAGACGCTATTATCCGCCGCACAAGGGCAATCAGTCTCTACTTAACTTTTTCTCGCATTCTTCCTGTATTATGTCAGCCGCGCGTATCGTTAATTGTCTTTGCCGCCCTGAATGAATTTCGCTTCGTCAATCTCGTTGAATGTGTGCTCCAAGAGATTTATGTTTCTTTTATTTGAATTTTTCCGACATATCTCTTTTTCTCCTGCCCGAGAAAGAGAAATGTCGGCTCTCGGCGCACGTCGTACATCATCAGTTTGATGTGCATTCGCTCGTCCTTTTTGTGAGGACGGCGATGTGCGACGAGAGGAAAAAACTTGACTCGAGAACGTTGGATGTCGGCCAAACATCACGCCGACAAGATTTATTCTCAAACGCGCAATTACAGCTTCTCCTGACATGAGGAGGGCTGGAGGGCCCGACAGATGCTCCGCCCAAAAAGCACTTGCTTCCTCCCATCGCACATCCTACGGACCTCCATTCGCTTTCTTTTGACCCGCATGAAGTTCGCGATCCTCTTCTTCCTTCTTGCTGCGGCAGCCATCTCGGCGTTCGCCCAGGATACTGCGCAAAAGTCGAAACGTCTCAGCAACTGGTATGGAGATGATGGCGAGGAGATCGACAAGGAAGACTACCTGCGCCGCTACTTGATCACCAAGGCTCCGCCATTGCTGTACAGAGTCAAGAACTCTGTCAACGACGCGCAATTCGGAATGGACAAACGCCGCAACCTTCTCGTCGGCCGTTACGGATTCCGCATCGGCAAAAGATCGCTCGCTGGAATTGATTACAAGTAAGCTATTCAGAGAAAGTACTCAGAAATGAAACCAATCATTTACAGTGATCCGGAGTTTTTCAACCCTTCGAAGTAAGACGCAAGAGACGGCTCAAAGCACACCAGCACCCGACGACCCCCTGTTAACCCTTTTGCATAACTTTTTTTAAAAGCGAGAGATTTGAGACCTTATTTGCAATAGTATTACGTTTGGTCACCCGTTAAACAAAAAATAAAGAGACGTTCCGTTGCCCTTCGGTTACTCACCACTCTCGGCGTGTCCTCGTCATCGTAAAGAGTATGTCTCCGATTATCCGGCGTGACAGACGACATCACCGAGTTCCGCCATTGGATGTTCTCCATTCCTGATGAAGCTGAAAAGGGAATCGTTTGCAAGGATAGATGAAAGAAACGACTGACCGAGGCTGTTGTAGGAAGCTGTGGATTGAGGGCGACTGCGGATTGCCTGAATGAAAATTGTTTTCTCAAGTGCCAATCGGCCGCATACTTACCTGAACTCTCTGAATATTGCTTGGCGGTTGTTGCGAGCGTAGCCTTGATTCTTCTTTTGCTGATCTGACCGTACTGGGCTGGAAAGAATAAGAAAATTGTCAAGAAATTGAAAAAAAAAGAAACCTTTTTGGATCGGAGGACGACGACAGGCGGGTCGAACAAGAGTGCGTAGTCAGGAGGCGACTGGCTTCCGCCGTTTTGTACGATCTGAAATGCAATTTGTTCTGTTCTGTACGAAGTGACACATTCTCTAAACATTAAGTGATTCATCTCTCCGCAAACTAAAGGTGTACTAATTTCCGTTTATAGCCGGAAAAGCGGATGGCGGAGACGAAAAGTATTGTCTGTTAGAAAAAAAACTAAAAATTAACTTACGCTTGGCTGAGATCCGAAATGGGCATGATTCGATCTGTAATCGACGAGGGAGGGCGACGAGAAGTTATGACTCCGTCGGCCGAATCCGTTGATTCCCATTGAAGGAGGTTGCATGTCTCTGAAAGCTTCCGAATAGTTTTTCGAAAACAGATGAGTGGATGGAATATGGAAAACAACAAACAACTTGAGAAGTAACCGATGGACAAGATTTGGCTAAAGCATTTTCCTACTAGTGCGAGAATTGTTTGCTTGTACCTAAAGCACGTACCTCATCCCTCCCGCCAAGTCGTAAACAGTTCTCGCTTGTTGGGTAGTAATGGTTTCCAATCTGCAAATCATTAGATGTTCTTGTTGTTGAATGTGAGTCGATAAAGAAAAAACGGGGAATGTAACAGGATTAAATGTGGTGCGGATAAGGAAGAAAAACACAATACGATCGAAACAATGGACAGGAGTGAAGTTGGAAATTTGATAAGCGCTAGCCAAGAATTATACCGTGTTAGTGGGGTATACTATCGCTTTTTGACCACTATCAAATGCTAATTTTAAATTCAAACGGGAATTCATAAAAAGAGAAGAGGGGAAGTTTATTTTTCTATTGTTGCAAACAAATCAAAGGAAGCTCGAGTGAAATTGAATACCCATTCATCTTTTCATCTCGCAAAGGGCCTTTGGAACCTCAACTTCAAACAAAAAATACATTGGACACTGAAAAATCGCTGTCTGGTTTTGTTCCATTTTCCCGCATTCAAAGATCGCCTGGGGGAGGAGAAACCGCGAAAACGATTCGATTCGAAATTATAATAGAAGCTGTGTTTTGGGCGAACGAGTAATAACGGTATTCCGAGTCGGACGCGAAGGTCATTGAACTCAGGCGCCCCCTGTTATTGGCCGTCAACTTGTTTCGGCGCCAGGAAACGAAACAAAAACGCGATTATGGGTCAATTACATTGAACCCATAAATTTAAATCTTTTTGGACAGTTCAGTTTTCTTAGAAATTGATATACAACAACTTGTGAGATTTACAGGTTAGAACCAATGTACGATAAACTAATGAGCGTAAAAAGAGCATAAAAGCGAGAACGGAGGGAGAGAGAGAGAGAGTGTACAATGACTAAACCTGTGTACAAATACAATAATAACGGTGCAGCTTGCTCGCCCAGACCGTCCGTTCGTTCATTGTGTGCATGTGTGTCCCGATGCCGCGCGGACACTCAAAAAACACGAAAACAGTACTCGTCTTTCCGGTTCGCCCGTTGCCTTCCTTGTTTTCGGCTTTCGGTTTTCTAATTAATTTTGAGTGCGATGCATGAAGCGGTTCTTTTCCACTTTCGTTTTTCGAATTGGTAGGAGATCGCGAAAAAAGGAAAAGTTATATGAGTACGGTTTTTACCGCGTAGGTACGAATAAGGAAGATTGAAAATAGAGTGCGGGTGTGAAAAAGAAAGCAAACACGGTGGTTTCAATGATGATTTGGGGAGGGAGGCTTCGCACGCTATCATGAACTGATAACGAGATGCTTTTCGATCAGAGGAGGATAATTTTCCGGATAAATGACCCAGTTTTTCGAACAAAACGAATTAAGAGAACTCACTCTAGACTCAACCTGTCATGATTAGAACGGCGGACAAGCGATGATTGTCTGTGTGAGTGTGTGTTATCATATTTTGAAACTATATATCCGTAAAGAAGATTGGAATCAGTAAGCGATTTGAATCGGGTTAATGATCTCGCGTGCCGTACGGAGAAGAACGGCGAATGGAATTGTGAATGAAATGAATCTCGTAAATGTTCTTCTCTCTTCACGTACTAATTCAGAGTGTTTATTTAGAAAATTGGAGACGTTGAACAATGAGAAATGGGAAAGTCGAAAGTGTTGCGGATCTTCACGTTTCACGCCAAAGTGACAGTAAATTGCGGCTTCTACTCCATTCATTCAGGTTTTTTTGAAACTGAACGAAACAATAACGGATCGGATCAAGCTGACGGGATTATAAGAAAGAAGGCAAAGCGGGAGAACGAGTGAGTGGACGGGAATTGTTTGGAATCGTGTGAAATCTGGTGAGAAGCTGGACATAAACATAAACTAAACTAAACGACAACGGTGTATTATAATGTTGAGATGAGATGCGCCATATAAGGAGGGAGAATAAATAGAAAGAGTTAAGCGCTAACCGTTTCTATTAATCTCTACTCCAAGCCACACTCTTCCTTCCTCTCATCGCCGCTGTTTGCATTTTCTCTCTTTAATACAGTAGTACGGTTGGTAGCCGTAAAAAAGCGCGCAAATTGTCTCCAGGACAGCAATTTGATTTGCAAGAGATACAGTAAAAGTGTGAAGAACAGAATACAAGTGGGACGGCCAAGTTACATATCAAACATGTTGATCTCAGCCCCCTTCTCTCATATGTGTCACTCATATCTATATCTTATTCTTATTGTGTTCATTCGTACAAATCAAATTAAACATGCCACTTCTATCCATCTCTCACTGTGAGGTTTAGGGCGATCTATGGATGCGGCCAAAAAACGAGTGATAAATTGCAGCGAAAGCGTTATTTCGGAAATGAGATGCTAGTGAACTGGATGCCCAACTAGATATGTCTGGTGTGAGAATTGAGGGAAATTGAGGCATGCGTTCTGATGAAGATGAATGCGATTGGTTATCCGCACGACGGTGAGAAGAAGGAAGAGGAGAGGAAAGAACGGTTTCTGGAGAAAAGGTCAATTAGAGTTCGATATCTTGTACATCATCAGGTGGCGAACGGACTTTTCAGAAAACATGGACAGTGAACACGGGTCGGAAGCCGGTTTCAATTGGAACCACTCCAAAGGGAATCCGAAATTGTTGTATTTCTTCATGAGACTCTCCAACAAAAAAGTGAAGCATCCGTGAAACGAAACGGCATACACAACAGAGTGTCGTGCACAAGTGTTATTGTTTTGAAATGCGCGAAACATGGTCAACCGTCTCTCCTCTCAGCGGCTCCCGCGCACCGGACGCACCATTTATTTGAAAGTAGCATTCACGCGTGAACACCCCCTTCTTCCGAAAGTAGACAAATAAGTGTATGCACAAGTTGAGTGTGCCGTTTCCGAGAGGGGGTTCACACTGTTTGGAAGAGAATTTACTTTGATTTTTACACGGCATCCCGAAGCACTTTGCGAAACGACCAATTGACCTGGTAATGAAACAATGAACAAGGAAATAGGTTGGAGGCAACGGTCTACTCGCACAGATCAGTCACTGTCCTGGAAGAAATGCGGTGAATGGGGTAGGGGAGAGGGGTTTTGGAACGGCTCTCGCAAGCAGTAATTAAGCTTCGATAACGGCAGGTGCTGGTGCAATATTCATTGACAACAGATGGACACCGTCGGATTATTCATTCATCCCGCATTGAACAGTGCAAAAATATTTAATCCAGAATAATCGAGCATCATCCGAGCATTGAAATTGAAAACAAGACGCATTTTAAGTCAAAGTACAAGTAAATATGAAAAATATTCAGAGTCCGTTCACAAAAAACATTACCGCCAAACAGCTGCGAGTGTTTGAGTTGTGCACCTGGCATACAGCCGTCCCTTATGAAAGGCTCTTGGAAATTACCGGTTCCGAGCGGGTGGACAGGAGAAATAAGAAATAAATCGAGTCATTGGAAAAGGGTACTACCGTCCCGAACATTGGAAAGAGTTACTATACCAACACAAGTTCAAACATTCAGAATTAGAGATAATCTTCGTTCACTTTTTACAATACAGACACGACGACGACACAAAGAAGCGGTCAAATGTAACCAACTGATGCGTGGAAGGCATCGATACTCGAAACACACATTGTTCGGCTGATTGATCTACTTACTATCCTCAACGCTTTCCGTGTGTAGTTCGGTATTTCAGTTCAATTTCTCGCTTTTTCAGGTAACACCTGCACCGTGGAAAACATCTGACTCATTCCTTTTTTCGACCTTCGCTCCGTTTTCGTTTCTATTCTAGTTTTTTCGTTTATTTTAAAAGAAAACTAATATATTTCCACTTTGATTGATTCAATAGCACTAAAAACATGGAGCTGATAGATCATTCATATATTTTCCCAGAAAAAGGCATGTTTTTGGTACAAATTTTCAGAGCAAGCTTTCAATATTTTTCTTTTGCAATGAGTTGCATGTTTTTTGACCCATTAAAGAAAACGTCAGAAATCAAATACATCACAATATTCGTTAACTATAGGTATTCGCGTGCTTTTATGTTTTCGTAGACATTCTATTTTGAGCTCACCGGATGCCCAGCATTTTTCCGATGAAATCATTTTGTCGAAACTCTCTTGTGACCGTCATCCCAATCAACCAAAAATTTTTACAATAAATCGTATTGGCCTCCCACACATCTCGAAAAAATTGGGGGGATTGAAACTGTTTTTCGTTTGTGTAGGCGTCACGTCTCGTGTTTTCGGATGCATCAGTATAAAAGGACAGTCAGCCCCATTGATAGACGCCCGTCGGCAGGAAGAAAATATCTGTGAGATTCTCTCGAACCCACATGACATTCCTCTCGGTTTTCAGTCTAGTCTGGCTCTCGTTCATCCCTCTCTCATCCTTGATTCTTGTTATAAATAACCAAGATATTAAAAATGCCAGTAACATTTCTTGTCGTTCGGCTTCTTTGTGTACTTTCTAGTGCTCCAACCTTAGGTCTTTGTCTAGTTTCGGTTCTGACTCTCTCTCTCTCTCTCTCTCGCTCTCCCCAGATGATGAGTTTTTGAAGCGACAATCAGCTGTCGGCGTGAATCATTCATAGAGAATTCATCATTTTGTAATGAAATATCTCGTGATTGACCAAAGACGTCTGTTTGCGTTATTCCAGATGTTAGGAGCTTCATGGTACGGAGATCAGCTTGGTTTTCATTTCACTATTTCCTGATAAACATTTCCGCTGGTTTTCTGCAAAGTGTTCTGATGGTCGAGTTAATTGAAAAATTTGTTCACTATTATTTTCGACGGTCTGCTGCAGCCACCGTACAATTCTTTGACCTCTTACATCAGAATTCTTCACTCTTACAACTGAGAAAACATTTTAAAGTGCTCAAAGTTCGCTGGTTCTATCAGAAACTAAATCTCACGAGAAGCTTGATAAATTATTACTTATTAATCAAAAACTTAAAGCTTTCATGAGCAAAAGTACCATTGTGATGAGGATGATGGCACAAACAAGTATAGATTAACTTTGTGTGTATACTTGCTACTACCACTGATTTCCTTTCGTTTAGACAACAGAAAGAACAATGTACATATTTTTCTGTAGACTGCAATCAACAAGACGCCTTTTTGTGGAACTTGCATGTATTTCAAAGATCAATCAGTCTAATGAACACTTTTTTGAAAGTTACAAGTTCCCGCCTCAACACGGCGATTGTTAAAAATCAAACAGTAGTATCTTGTTCTGTTCTGGATAGACACCCATTTCAGTGCACTTTCACCTAGTCGGAATGTTTGCATTCTTGCAATATTTCGAGTCCCTTCTCCCCACCTTTCCCCCTCCTCTCACCATCATCATGATATAAACGAGCTTTTCCAGAGAAAACAATTTTGATTCGTGCCATCATAATTTCCATCTCTCTTCCTCTCGCCGCGAAGTTTTCTATATTTCCGCTCGAAAAAAGAGTTGAAACTTTATTGGTTCTTCTTTGTGTTTTTTCGTGATCATTGATATGCAAAAAAGTCAAAGAGGGAGGGAGCGAGAGAGAGAAAAGTCGCAAAAAGAACAACTATTTGTTATTTTTCCTCTGAATCGGGTAGTCCCATTCTTCTCCTCAGTTTTATATCTGCTATATTGTAAATCTTCCAGTTCCAAAGCTGTTTTCTCGTTCGGCTTCCATCCCACTCGCACTTCACTTCTCTGATCTCACTCATACTTATTTTCAGAACAATGCTGAAGTTCTTCCAAAAGAACCGCCGTCGTAACAGCGAACCGGCCGCCCACGTTCCTCAGAGATTTCTGGTAAGTTGTTGAAAATATCTTTATTTTCATGAGAATATCTTACAAATACACCTGGCCGTTCCGTATAATCCCTTCATCCGGAATTTGTTTTCATCAGTTTTACTTTTATTTTTCCTCTCCGTGCTTTTAGAAATCTTAAATTCCTAGAAACTCTGGGATTAGAATAGACTAGAGTAGATCATACATTTATTTGTCAGGATAGTTGCATTTCCCAAAATGTGGATAATCCAACCTAACAGTACGCGCAACTAGGATTTCTATGATCGTCTGATTTTTTGCTTCTATTCAGCATATTGGACTCCTGCTGCACTCTGTCTGACTCACGGAAACAGATGCACGAAAAAGAAAGAAATTTGAATAAGTAACCATGTTTAACAGGAAAGTGCGTGGAAACTTTTGGCATTAACTGCAAAGAAACAATGTTGTTTGTCGGTGCTAACCTCGCGGTGCCAGTGCCACTTGCCACATGCCTCGTTAACAAACTAGTGTAACAAATTGCGGGGCGGCGACCATAAGAGCAACGTGATGGATACTCGCACGGCCGAAAACATTGGGAGAAAGACCACGTGTCGGAAGGAAAACACGGCAACTGAAACGAACGCAACAGCCATACAAATAGTTGTTTGTGTCGTCGGTCGGCAGTGCCCCGTTGGGTTCTTACTCTTCCGTCCAATCTCTGTTATTGTATCGCTTGACTGGGCTTTCTGTCTGGTTCGACATCACGTCAGAATGTAGAACAGAATGTGGGTTCCGAAATACTAAGAAAGTGGACGGAGTCATCTGAAACTTAAAAAGTGCAAGAGAGTCTACTTCCGTGCTTCCATTGTCGTGAAAAATTCACAAGCGGGTCCCTAAAACACGTTTTGCCCCTGCAAACATCGCACGTGTTTTGATCTACCCGTCGTCGCTCCCGCCCAGGTTGATCTTTGCCACTTCCACCCCTCCTCTCCCGTCGCCTCTCCCCAACTCCTCCCATCTTTGTTATCACTTTCAGTTTTCCATCAGGATTTCCCCCACTCAACGTGTTTCAATTGCAATCAGACTCTGATAGCGGACACGTACAATAACAAAAAAATTATGATTGGTTATCATTCGGTTGACATTATTTGTGCCCAATCTGTCAAGCAGCACCTTATAATCCTTCGTTTTTCTGCCTGACTTTGTTTATAATTAAAAGAGCGATGAAACCAAATATCGTCCTGTTTTTGTGTTCTCTGTCTTCTAAATAGACTGGAATCAGAGTACATTTTGAGATTTCAGAGTGACAATTTTATTTTGAAAATTGAAGATGACAATTAGAACGAAACAATGTGGCGTCATGAAAAATAGCTGACGAACTTTGCCCGTTTGAATCTCTCAGAGCAGATTTGTATAGGATTAAAAGTATAAACTATTTAGTTTGTCTGGGTCAGATAACAAATTGTATAAACAGCTAGTCGAGTGCAAAATTTTATTATTTATTCCATCTGCTAGAAATAGTCGATCATCATCAACATCACTTCCATTAAATATTATGAATGCTTGATCGTGAAATATTTGGATCTTTGATGCTGTTCAATTGAGTTACTTATCGGTTCTTGTACTTTGAACCCTTCGCTGCCGACCACCCAATGTTTTTCGCATTTTTCGCACTTCCAAAATGCCAGTAGCTCCGGAGGCTGTCTTAGAGAATCGCAAATTTCGAGTCACGCGCCGAACCCTTCCTCTATTTCTCTCTCTCTCTTCTTTTTTCTCAGTCTCAGCGTTCACAGATAATGGTGAGCCTGGCATACTGTCTCTGGATAGCTCTAAACTCTTCTCGCATTTTTTTTTCCTTCCTATTTCTGTCATAAAAACTCAAATTTCCTGCTGTCCTCCGTTTAAGAAGTGGAGAAAACGCGCACGGGACCGCATATCTGCTCTCTCGTTCTTCTATTTTTAGAACTCATGAAGCCTAGCTTGTAAACAACATGCTTCGTCTATTTTTTGTTGTTGTGACCACGTGAAAGTACATTATTCTCCAGTGGATGAGAAATTCTGTGAATCAAAGACAACCAATTTTGGGGAAGCGATTATTCATAACAAAATAAACTCTTCTTTATAATAACACGTTGAAATGTCTCCTTTCCTCTTCCAATTCTTTTACTTTTTCAGCTTGAATCGCAAACAAGGCAACAAGGAATGCTCGAGACGACCCCAGTCAACGTGTACGGTAACTCGATGGATCATGGGTGAGTTCACGACCACAAAAACGGTGTTAATCTGAATTTAAACAATCAACATGTGAGAACGGGATGATTGAAAATTGCCCTCCGGCGGATTTCCGTTTGGGGACACGACCGGATTAGTGCAGCACTTCTGAATATGTGTTTTCAATAGTTTGTCTTCCAAAAAACTCTTCTGATTGGTGGTCTCTTTCATGCTGGTCCCTTTCATTCTTCTGTCTTCTCACTCAAATAAGTGTGTTTTGTTTGTACCCAAACAAAGTAGTGTATTCTAGATACGAATCCGGGCCGAGCATCGACCACTCGCGTCGTAGTTCATTTGGCATCCGTGAGATTCCACTGCCGTCGCGTCGTCGCTACACAATGCAATCACGGCTTCAACGTCCGAATGGAGATGTTGGCGGACGCAAGACTTCCTATCAATATGGCCTGAATCCTACTTCTGGCAACATGGAGGTCGATGACGACGGCATCAAGCCGGTGCCAATGACGCGAAGACGGATGAGCGTTCCGGAAAATGTATTCAGGAGAGCGGTTAGTTACTGGTCATCGTGTATTGTCATCAAAAGATTATCAAACCTTCAGGATTTCGCTATCATGCGCCCAGTTCGTGTTTTCAGCAACGAGGGAGCTTATGAAGTTCTTTCCGCTTTTGGTAATTTAGATGTCCCTTGAAAATTTTGAGACTAGTTTCTTTCCAGACCGTCATGCCGATCCGTACCACACTTTTATGAAATCAATGCCGTGCTACGACTTGCAGCCAACTCACAGCTCTTTGGTCGTTTTCGACGGAAAAACAAAGGTATTCACTTACAGAACTTGCAAACATGACCTTCTCTTTCTTCAGGTCAAAGCTGCCGTTCAGGCTCTGTCCCAACACGGACACGTTGCCGCTGTGGTCACCAACACAGACAAGTACCAGGCGGAATGCGTGTTCAACATGGCCGATTGCCTCACCGCCATTTTGATGGTTGCCTCAGGAGTCCGAGAGGTTGGAGACACTTGCATTCAATTTCGGAGCAATTGGTTTCAGATTGCCAGCAAATCTTTGGTCGATTTCTTGAAGGAAACCAATTCAGGAGCTATTATCTGCAGCGGTGTCCAGAATAGGTGTGTTTTCCGATTTGTATTACGCCTGCCATCAGTTCTTTTTTCCACAACAATAAAACCCCAGACTGCACTTCAAATATGGGTACACGATTTATCGTTTGGGTGTTTACGGGTGAAATGATGCAAGGGAGGAAGCGATAAAAACAATGGTGTTGAGGATGGCAGTAAACAAGTATCATATGAGAATACGGTTTTTTGTTCGTTGACAAAGTTATGATGAAACAAATGGGAAGAAATCAGAGATCAGATAAACAAACAACTGAGACCCGCATGCTATTTTCTCATGAGAGAGAAGAAATTGGAGAGAATGAACAAAGGGACCAATTTCTTTTTTTGCAGTGTCTGGGAAGCTGCCAATATCATCTCGCACAACAAAGTCAGCTTCATTCCAATCTTTGATACGGTACTTTACAATGAGGACGATATCATAGCATGTTTCATGAATTTCAGATCATTCCAAAGCCGGGTACTCCACTCTTCTTCTTGACTACTCGTATGATCTTGCAGGAAATCGTTATGAAATTGGTACTTGCGAGAAAAATATTTCTTCTAAAACGAAAATTACGTTACAGAGTGATTTCGGAGATGCAATTCTTCTGCACGTCCGTCAGGCGACCCTTGAACAGAAGAGAATCGGCACGTGGAACAGCGACGTCGTGACGGTGAGTTTCATGTGTCAAACGGTGACTCTGAACGACCGAAAACCACTCTTTTCTGGTTCAAACAATATCAAAAATTTGACCGTCGATCTTTTTCCTCAATAACAAGTCTCTGCCGGTGTGCGCCGGCGCGTCTCTCGCATGACAATTGTCTCTTCGCAGGCGAGTTTTGCAAAGGTCACATGCCTCTCGTTTCCTTCTGTCTCGAGTCGTTGCCCTTTTGTTATTGTGCGGAATTCCATTGGAAATTTATCACATGCTGTCGCCTCTTCTCCGTCTTTTGTGTCTTGGCTGTCGAACGTCGCATACCTCTGCTTAGCCAGTTGTGTGTGTTTCTGTGCTCACAAAATTTCACGGCGCTATGAGTTCTTTTTGTTGAATCAGAAAGAGTGGCAGAAGAAAAACCAAAAACGAGAAAAACATTGGAACACTGGGACATTTTGAAACTTTTTAGGTCGGATTGAATACCACCGTGGAGGACACTATCAAGTTGATGGCTGAGAAGAAAATGTCGACGATCCCAGTGGTCAACGATTTTGACCAGATTGTGGGCATGCTCGCAAGAAAGGACATTATTTTCGAGATTCTGTGCCATCAAGGGGGCAACTTCCATGAGATGCTCCGTGAGCCGGTCAAGTCACTCCGTCACATGCAGGCGAGACTTGTCTACGGACGATCCAACTACACCATCTTTGAAACTGTGGCCAAACTTATGACAACGGACAAGAATTGCCTGGTAAACATATGTCCTTGGGCAAAATTACAGAAAAATTAGATTTTCAGCCGATTGTTGATGACGGAAAACGCATTCTCGCCGTGGTTTCCTACAGCGACATTCTGACCTACATCCAAACTGCGGAGAGGACTCCGACTGAGGATCGCTCTTTTTCGGACAACTCGAGCACTTCGAGCGTGCCCAGAACGGCCAAATAGACTGACATGTCATGCATAACAAACGCTCTAAAGGTTTATTGAAACTTTCCATTTCTCCCATTCCTCTTCAATTTATCCCTTCACCGTTGATGATTATATTGCTTTAAATGAAGCGATCTTTTCCCACAATTGACCCGACCCATTGACTCCTTCGTCAAAATTTTCTTTAATTTCCCAAAAAAAAACCGCCGGCCAACAAAATAGTTGTGCTTTTCGTTTCGTGACTTTTTCTTCTGGTTCTGTAGTTCCTTAACTGTAGTATTGTCCCCGATGCTTCGAAACTTGTATGTAAAATTTATTAATAATTAACTGAAATCGTATAAAAAATGTCATCAATACGGTAGCGCATATTCAATGTTGTGAAACAAATGGAACGAATACTTTGGAGACGTAACAATGGTTTGAAGTAAGAAAGAAAATGAGCAATGAAACCAGCATAACGGAAAGAAAACGTAGTAAAAGGTTTTTTGGAATTGACACGTTTTTGGTTGGTAAAAAGAAAAGTCAAAAATATATGTAGTTTACAGTGCCACTTCCCTATGTTTTGCAGGATGGTTATTTTGGTTGGATATCAGCAGTGAAATATATGAAGTGAGCAAGTCGTCCATTTTGTAACCCTGAAAACAGAAGGTATGCGGGAACTGTTTCTGCCTGATATACCATAGTAGTATCCAAAAGAAGTTTCTTTCCTTCATTTCCCTTCAACATGTTACCGACAGTCACGTTGAAGTAGGTATTTCCACTCGTCCAGTTGCAGATAACATTGAATGGATACTGAAAAAACACACTTGTTTTTTTGAAAAATATCATGTTTCTCTGTACCTGAACCAGCAAAGTCTTGCTTTCAGTATGATAAATGTTCACTCCGGACTGATTGATCGCGATCAGAAGTCGATCGGGAAGGCTCAGGTCAGAGTACTGTGAAACTGGGAAGAAAGCGGATCCGAACGTCGGCCACCGACAGATATAGTTCAAGAACTCAATCTTTGCCTGGTCAGACTTCAGATGTTCCACCCTCGGATACGCGTTGCTGATGGTCTTTCGCCACTCACTCGCCGAGTACATTTTCAGTGAGTCCTTGGGCACAAGCTCCTCAATCAGCTGTGGAATCTGCGTCAACGGCGCGTTTTTATTGTCCTTTGTGCTGGCACGTAGGATGAGAGCAGCCAGTTCAATGACGTCGGCCTTCGTTGTCTTGTGGTATCCGAGTAGATACTTTGGACACTCCTGGAACGAACGCATTGAAGAAAACGAGATTGTGAGGAATTTACCTGATAGTAATGGAAGATTAGGTCGGCCTGAGGATCATTTCCAGGCACTACATTGTACCAAAGTTTTCTCATAAAGTACACCTGATAATTGATAGGTATCATGGTCGAGTCCTTCTGCATTGCATGATTCGTGTGTACCCAATCCGATAGCTGGCGGACAAAATCAAAGAAAAACTCTGTCTCTGGCACAGCAAGCAGTTTGTCCTTGATTTTGACAAACAAGCTGAACCCTTCCGATGATTTCAAGCCAAGTCGATAGCCGATCTTGTGACAAAAGTCGCGGGCTCGAGTAGCAGAGTCCACTTCTATCGCCTCATCCGTGTGATCAGGGAAGAACACCTCAAAACAACTTGCTTGTAGGGACATTTCTCCGCTTAGGACTCACTTTGTGGAAAATCTGTGTTGTCTTATGCTGAATCGCTTCGACTTCAACAAGATGTGGAGGATACTTTCTGCTCCCACCTCTGAAACAACACATTTGTACATTTAACTATTGCATGGTTACTTACTTTGCCAACTTCTGCATACGATTCTGACAATCCAATGCTATTGGATGGGGTCGAGATTTAAGAAAATGACTAATTTCTTTGGCAAGGGTAGCACTGGGAGCAAACAGTCCGGTGGTCATCCAAAGAAGTTCCCAACCACGTTCTTCAGAGATGATGGACGGGTTGAGTGTCAATTGTTTCACCAGCTGGCAGTACAGTTCATCCCGCAACACTTCCATAGCAATCGGAAGTTTGAAGATGTGGTCAGTCAGGTGGGTTCCCAAACGGCTCCTCTTTGATGGTTCGTCTCCCATGTACTTCATTATGGCAGCAAAGATTTCAACGGCGCCGCGGGATGCATCGTCTCTGTAGTAAAACTATTTTTTCTCTACCTTCTCCCAGAAATGTTAAACCTTCCGTTAAGTTTCTTCAAAAGTGGTTGATCAATATGATCTCTAGAGAATCTCCAACTTTCAATTTGAGATTCCTTCTTTCTCAAGGTCATTAGAGAAATTTGAGATCCAACTCGCTTAACTTGCGTACTGAAAAACAATAAGTGTTTTATGCTCCACCAGTCATTCCTACTTGAAGTTTTCCTCGGCAAAACTCTCGAGAGTGTACGGCTCGGCATTGTAGTCGATCACTGTCACTTGCTTGTTATTGTTGAATAGATCAAGGGTCAAATCCATATCTTTCGGGAATATTTGCTGAAAAACACGGCTAGTGTTTGATGTTTGACTATTTTTTTCATTACCAATGTGTTTTTGCTGGGTTTCACAAGAGTCGGCAGGACGTAGACGTTCTCAACACGAATCAATCCAAACAGACACGTTCTCGCGTTCTCTCCTTTCACAACGCTTTCGGTGAGAAGGGTGTTTCCAGTGAAATCGTTGACCAGAATTAGAAGATCTCCTTTTTCGAACTCGAGGAAATTGTTCTTTTCTGAACATTTAAAATTGGAAATGCGAAAGAAAGAAAGCAGGGGGGTTACCATCGCCTTTCTGTGCTTTGATGGCAACAAGGTATCTGCTTCTTTTCTTGAGTCCTTCAAGGAACAAAATGATCAAGTTGGTAATGTCATCTGCATTTGGCGACTGGAATGTGTACTCGTCACCGACCACTGTTCGGATTGTGCACGTGTCGGTTGTGCTGCGCTTTCCTCTGAATAACAATATAATTAAGGATTAAAAAAAGGAACATTTCCATTCTTACTTTCCATAGTACGAATTTGCGATTTCAGGGAAGCTGAACTCCAACATTACATGCTCCCTGTCATCAACCACGTAGACGCCCGTCCAGTTCACCGCAATGATCACTTCATTCTTTGGCAATGGTGGTCCTGCGAACTTGAGGGCTTCGTAGAATCTGGAGAACAGGAGCGGCCATTTTGACTTGGCGGTGGATACAACATCCTCTTTAACTTCAATTTGTGAGGGAAGACGACCAGTGAACTTCTGAAAAATAGTTGATTCACTTATCATTCATATTCACGTACCTTTCTGTACTGATGCATTATTGTTTGCGTCCATTTCTCAAGAGCCATATCCTTCCCAGACAGCTCGAAATCTGGTAAATAGGCAGACAAGTTGTTTTCCAGCTTGTTCACATCCATAGCCCCTTCATCAATGTAATACTGTTGTGCGCAGATGGCGGCCAGTTCTTCGTCCTTATCACATCGGTACTCTCCGTATTTGATACCACGGACGACTTGCTGATAGATCAAGTTAGTGCTCACTGGATCGTCTCTGAAAATATTATAGATTTTTCGGCAGTTTGAGTTTGTGACCCACTTTGGATCGTGCCATGGACTGAAGATTTCTTTCCTGAAGAACAGTCTCCACGGAGCGTTTCTTTCTGGTCGCCCTTGCTCTTTGGCGTACTGTTCACATTGAGAAATTGCGTCCATAACGTGGTCAGTTCCACTTCCAAGTGAAGAAACCTAAATTCAGATTCCTGAAGCATAAGACACAATACAAGACGAACCTTATCAAACAGAGCAATATAAAGACTGAAGCCAAATGAGTTGGTGAGACCAACTTTTTCAGACAACTGTTTGCACAATTCGGAAGCAGTGGTGGCTGAATCGGCACAAAGAGTTTTGACACTTCCATCCATGAAAGTGACAGCAAGCACAACAGGCTTCTGTGACTTGTTGGCCTGCAACTCCACATAACTCGGTGGTTGGTGTCTGGTCCCGTTCGCTTGCGTCCTTCTCAGTCTGTCCTCAATGTACGTGGAGTATCCTGTTCCTGCCGGTCCTCTTTCTCGAATGAAACAGAAAAGATACTTGATGAATCTCTCGGTGGGCGCAAAGCATCCCACGCACAGCGACAGTAAGATCCATCCTCTGGCTGCGGACAATTTGGAAGGATTGTTGCTGAGTTGCTTGCACAGTTGACAGTAGATCTCATCCCTCAAGTCCTCTCGGAGAATACCGAGGCCAATGATGTAATGCAGTTTGTCCAAGCTTGTCATTGGTTTGTTATCGAGCATTGCATTGAACCCGGAGTATGTGCTCTCCGAGGAAATTGAAGATGTATCAGATCCTGAACACGGCAAAATACACTGTTTTGAATTTCATGGAACTTACCGTTGATTTTTCCTTTTCTCTTCAAGGTCATACTGATCAATTTCTTCCCCATACCCTTTTTCAGAGTCTTCGTGCCTCCATATTCACTAGAGAGCATCGCCTCTTCCACATCTCGAGCACTAAACTTTCGTCCCAGGGTTGCATATAATCTGGTCATCACTGGCGTTTTGTCCTGAATGTTTTTGGATTGAATAAAATGAAAGGGTAAAAGAAAGCTCACATAGACTTCAACTCCGTTTGTGGAGCCAGCCTTGACATCCGGAAGATCACCCATGAATCGGAGAATCGTGGTCCAGGCTGCCAGAGCGGCAAGTTGTGTACTTGGCTCGGTATGGGTGAGAAGAGCTGTTTTTAGAGCTTTCTTGATGTGAACGGCAGTAGCTTGTCCTTGGAAGAACGTGGCAGCATACTTGCCGAACTGGTACTTGCTCAGATCCTCATCGACAAATGAGTCAACTTTAGGAATGCTTGATGGTGGCATGATAGGAGATGGCTGAAACAATGGATATGGTAGCTTCGATTGGGAAAATGAACTCACATGAAGTCTGGAGTAGGATCCACGTCGGCTGCTGTCCGCACTGTCGTTCTCATTTCCAGAGTCTTTTCCGTCGGATGGCAAGAAATCGAACAAATGACCGACCTGAAGACGGAAATTTGAATAAAGAATGAGTAGCCCAATAGCCCATGAAAAAGAGAGAAAGAGTAGAATTTCAAAGACTTCACACCACTAACACAACATTCTCAACGTTACCTTTGAGTTCCGTCCGTCCAATAACTCGCACTAAATTTTCATTTATCAAGTGAAAACTATTGAAAACTATTTTTGCATTTCAAACTCACAAGTTCCTCCTCGTGGGTGTCGGAGATGATGGAAGCAGTTGAGGAAACTTCAGTTAGCGGGGCCTTTTCTCCACGCCTACGCATCTCACCAACTTGTCTTCGGAGAAGAGTACCACGGCAAACGGCCTCAAAATAATAAGGTTGAACAAAAATCGATAAATCGAATTCTCCTCACTTGGAACTGTATAATGGTCTTCCGTAGCCCTTGATAGTGTGAAACCAACTGTCTTGACCGCAATAGAGCCTGAAGACGTGCGAATCCAGAAATGATCTGTCGATATCGTTTTCTCTGATCGAATCCTCTCCAAGCAGTTTGAATAGTGACTGCTGCCTGTCTTTGCCGCTCAAAGTCCTTCCGTACAAGCCATCTTCTCACATTCTTTTGGATGACGACCGCCTTCTCTTTAAGAGTGCGATAGTATTCTTGCTCGAGCACCAGATCATGTTTGTCTTTTAGAAAAACTTTAGTTTTTCCGAGTTGATAATCAGCATTTGTTCCGAGAACTCGATGACAAATCTTCTTCGCGGTGTCATGAAGATCAATCCTGTTGACTGGACCACGGATGGTCGGCACTAGAACGCGGTAGCGGAAGACAAATGGATAGTAGTCGTGACGAATTGGATAACCGCCTCTACGAATCTTGATAGTTTCCATCATCCCAGAATATCTCAACTGGCGCAGCACAAGATCCCTATCCATGACGAGGGCACGTTTGAGCTCATTCGGTTTGATGCATCTGATGAAGAAAGGATGCGTTTGTGTGAGTTGAGCCATCAGCAATTCTAAGGACTTTCTGAACTGATTTCCGACAGTCACTTTCTTCCGGGAACTTGTGTCGTATTCAAGATCATCGAAGAGTCTCGCGAGGAAGGGCATTTTTGAGGAAGAGACTAGTGCTGACAAATCACCCGAAAATGAATCTCTGTTCTTTTCAAGGAATCCTCGAGTCTTATAGAACACATTCCCAGCAAAGTGGGTCACTCCGAATGCCCTTTGCAATTCCGACTTTGGCTGCAAGTACAGTTCATTTCTTCCGTGTGTCGAATGAAGTTTCAGAAGCATAGTTTTGTCTGTTCCTTTTGGGAAAATACTCTCCTCGTCAATCAGAGATAAAATATTAAGTGGGCGTTGAGCAATCAAGTCAACTGTAGCTTGATTGTCAACAAACTTGATGTGTTTCCAATTGATATTTTCCTAAACATAATTTGTTTTTGGTTTTTAACTTCAGTCTGGTACCTCATCATACTCCTTCTGCTCCATTTTGAACACGTGTTGCACGAAAAACTGCTGCAGTGTTTCGTTCGCGAAATTGATGCAAAGCTGCTCAAAACTGTTGCTCTCAAAGTTCTCGAACCCGAATATATCAAGAATTCCGATGGACGTTCTTTTCGCTTGAGAAGGCCTAAATAAATAAAGTCATTCCACGGTTTTCTGCTCAGGTAGATTTCATCTCTCACTTGTAAATGGCATCGTTGACCCTTCTGACAATGTGAATGAACAGCCTTCCATAAATTGCCTTCGCAAGGGCATCTCTCGCGTCGATCGCCTGCTGCCCGTTCAATCTAGAAATGACGCGTTCCTCACGTGTAACTAGGCTTTTAGTTGTGATTGCGTCGAGGAGATCTTGTTCGCGCAATTGAAGGAGTTTGGAGATGCGGACAAGTATTGCTGGATCGGAAACATCCACAGATTCCATGTTGTCAGTTGTGTTCTGACGGAATCGGATGTTTCCGATGTGTAAAAGCGCTGCCAAGAGCTTGAAAATACTTCCAATTTCCTGCTCATTGATCATCAGAACTCGCATTGCAGATCTTATTTCAGCCAGGTCAGCTGCATCATCACGACCCTCTGCAGTCAAAGTCTTGCCCTGAAACACTCAAATCATCTTCATGCTCTATTTGTTTTCCGTACCTGAATGAGATAGTAGTAATCGGCAGGTGTACCCAATTCCAGTTCGAACTTTTCCTCTTTTGAGAGACCAGCCAAAAGGCAATAGAAAATGTGATAGTTTCTCTCATTTTCAGACTGGGTCACAATTCTCGACTTCTCTAACAAATACTGTTCAATTTTCGCGCCTGAAACAAAATGTACATAATTTTTTTGTGTAAATATGGATGAAACCTTCAATAGAACCGCTCTCGTTGAAGTGTACATCAATGTACTTTCCGAATCGGGATGAGTTATCATTGCGGATTGTTTTCGCATTTCCGAATGCCTCAAGAACAGGATTTGCCTCGAGAACTTGTTGTTCTATCCAGCTGTGTTGACCACTGATTGTTGCCAAAAACTGGAGAACAAGCTTTGTGGATTCTGTCTTTCCGGCACCGGATTCACCACTGAAAACATTGGTTATGAGAAATATTTGAAAGATTGGTACCTGATGATAACAGACTGATTCCGACGCTCTCTCCTCATGTTGGTGTATGCATTGTCAGCAATCGCGAAAATGTGCGGTGGCAACTCTCCAATCCTCTTCCGTTTGTACATTCGAATTTCATCGGCAGTATAGATGGCAATGTCCATGTACGGATTCACAGCGATCAGTATGGAACCGGTGTAAGCCTGAACCCACCAGTTCGTGTACTTTTGGCACCTTTCCACCGTTTACTCACATAAATCAACTTTTCCCTGTATCTAATGAACAAGTTTCTCAGAATCGCGCTTTCATGAAAGTCCCCCAGCTGACACATATCCTCCACTCCCTGGACCGATGTCGGATGCATCAATCTCACTCTCCGGTCCGCCGAAAGCCATTGTTCCTGAAGATTGTGAATGCACTCTTCGCGCAAAAGTTGCAACAGGATATCGGAACTTATCAGACGCGTGATAACATGTTAACGAGACGGTTGCCGCAGTCAAGCGAAAGTTAGAAAGAATTGAGGTCAAGACCGCGATATCAGGAAAAGGAAAATGTTCCGAACATACGTTTCCAAGATCGTCGATAACTTTGAGACGACCATGGTCCTGATCGATAACACGGGCTCCAATTGGGATGGAGCCTTCTGCTTTTCCGGGTTCAATCCAGATAAAGTCACCCTGAGAAAACAAATTACGTCGCGAGGGACAGATGAACAAACAGTGGCTCACTTTGCTTACTAATACCATTGTTGAAACGTATTCAGAAATGCACAATCATTGAGGTTTTGAATTGGGTGGCAATCTGAAAGCTTTGAATGGTGAAGTGAAATTTTTAAAATCACAAAGTAAGATTGACGAAGAAGATAAAAAAGGAGTCACATAAAGCAACAGGTGTGAGAAAAGGAAATGAATGGTCATGAGTGTTCAGGGGCTACCGTCTATTCTCCGAAGTGTACAATATCGTAATTTGAATAAAGTTGTTAGTACACGCACTTCAGCCGAAAGCGCTTGTCAAAAGTCATGAGCTGTAGTCGGAACACAGAATATGCACAGGTTCCATAAGCCGAAAGTACACATAAACAGACCGCGAACGTTGCCGAATAAAGACTTTGTCTCACGGTCTCCTCATTTGTTGACCAATGTAAAGAAGGGCCCCCGGGGGTCTCGAAGTGATGAGTCGGAGAGAAACGCTGTGATATTTGGCCACGGTTAATCCGAAATGCGCGGACTATCTCTCCGCCATCTTCGTACTGTTTCTACGCGCTCCTCCGGGCCGCAATTGTCTTCGGTCACATTAACTAGCCACTACTATTTTCTCCCTCTCTCTCTCTCTTCTTCTCCCTATAAATGAGGTCATCTTCACAGCGAATTGAATAAAATTCAAATTAGTCAGATGTTTAGGTATTGGAATTAATCAGTAGGCGGGAACAAAGTGTTACATTCATCCGAGGCGAGGGATTGACGGAAGTGAAAATGCTAGCAGAATGAATGAAATGCATAAACAACTACAGTCAGCCAGTGAGCACACACGTTTTTAGAAGGCAGATAAACTTCTTTGCTTTTTGAGAATCCGAACGCTCACTGAAAGAAAAAAGGAGAACAAAAGCGGGGGGAGTGAAATAAACAACAAATATTTGCATTTCTTATGTACATGACCAAAATTGAGGTCAATCAAGAAACGAGATAAGCTTGGACAATACAACTAGTATGTGATCTGAGTGTTGGATGCAAAGTGAGAGGAAGAAGGAGAAGAAGTAGGAGTAGTAGACAAATGCGGAATGACTGACTACTTGTTTCGATGCAAATTGATTCCTCGCGACTTTTCTCATCCTTGGCATCTAGATATCAGGAAAGATGATGATGGAATTGGTTTTTGATGGGCGATGATTGGGTGAAAGTGATCGGAGAGTGAAGGAAGCGAAATTATGAATGTGATTGCAATGAAGTCTTTGAAATACCACTTGAACAATCATTTCGTTTCGCAACTTGCTTATTTAATGGGATTCAGAATGTTAATAATGATATTATGGCTGTAATTTCTTCGGACTTTCCTTAGCACACAATTGGGAGACTCGAGTTTGAACCCGGATTGTTCAGTCTAGCCCGAGAAGAGTCTGTGACGCAACAATCCTCAGAAAAACGTGTTATCTCCACTTGTGTTCTTGAAAAAGTGAAAACATTGATGAAGAAAGAAGTGAAAACTGTTTGGCAAGCAGCGAAAACAGTTGTTCAGCGCCATAAGTGGACACTACGGAGGCCAAAAGACAAGCGGGGGAAGAGCTGACCGATCTATTGTTTCGACAACGGTGCGCGGCTTTGTGCACACGATGGCGATGGATTTTGACAAAAAGGCAACAGCAAGATGATAGATGATGGAGTGGGTGTGGGGGTGGAAACGGCTCTAGTCGGAAGAGTAATTGGATAGGTAATCGGATATCGCTTTATTATTAGTGTTTGCCGATTAAGAAGGCGGCTAGTGCAAAATGGGCTTTCTGGAAGATGAGAACCCGCAGGAAGGTATAGGAATAGAAGTCACACTCGATTCGGACGATTTGTCGCATGGGGTTACAACTACAACAGTTTTCAGAGAAGCTTAGGAGTTGAAATAGTATAAACGAAAATAAATGGAATCTGTTGAACATACTGAATATAGACAAAAAAAATTAAATTGATTATAACAATCAATCAATTTTCTGCATATAGCGGGTGTTTTGAAGTTGGAACAAGACGAAAACGGAAGCCGGTCAGTGGAATACAGCAAAGCAGGGGGATACTCTGCGTGTCCGCGCCTCCACCGCTCGCTTACCCACGGCTTTCCGGACAGCTCGGAGCGGGAGAAAAACCGAGACGGCGAGGAGCGCAAGGAAAGAGCAACCGGGCAAAATGACGAAAATAGCTCGATATCGGGACGACCTCCACCAAGAAAACGTATTTGCTCGGGATTTTTGTCATCTTGGTCCAGTCAAAATACGATAAGGCATGATCAAACAAGGCGAGACGAAACGGCAAAATTTTGAAACGACAAATAGAGCAAAACTGATAAAAAACTAATGTAACTAACGGACTAAAAGGATAGCTCTGATTGAAAAAGTCAAATGAAACTGAGAAAAAACGCAGCTCAAGGTTAAAAATCCAGTCACTTGGACATAAAAAAGTTCTTATAGTTCCATTTTGTTCGAAATTCTGACAGTTCAGCGATGAGAGAACCAGTTAAAGTAATCCAAAACGAAACCAACTCCCTTTTCACACATGTTCTACTTCATAAAACGTCTGTCAAAAACGAGAATGTCGGGTGTGATTGAATTCAGTATGTACACACCCGAGACGTAAAAACGGTCTGATGCGGCTGCTTTTCCTTATCTTCTCTTTCTCCCCTTTTTTAGACAAATTTCAACGAGCAAACATGACGTTTCATACGGGTAGAAATGCGTTTATTTGGAATAAATAGCGATGGCAAGATGATAAATGTATAAATTCTCAGGAAAAGTGTGAAGAGTTTGTCTATGCGGAGAGACCTCCTGGAATATGTAACGAGAAGAGAAGTTCCAAATTTGTGAGAACGGAATGAGAATGAATGCGAGAAGGTGAACTACTGTTGAATTTGAGTGGAATTAGTGTATGGACGGATTCGAGAATAGTACTCGATAAGGAAGGGCTGAGTATCATCCTCGTTCAAGAATCCTTTGGCATTACAATTCGGACACAGGAACTTGGCCGGGAACTGATACTTGGGGAACTTTGGATCTTCAGTCTCTCTTCCATGAAGTCTCGCGTTCACCTTGTTGTGGGCCTTCCAAAGGTAGAGGTACACATCTTCTGGGCGGCGAACCTAGAAAAACCGAACACTCATTCTCAATACAACCCGATAATTGCTGACATTGGCCTCAATTTTGAACGTATCTGTGGTCATTTTGAGGAAATGGTCTCTGCAGTGATTACATCCAAAGAACGATCCAACCCAGTCACGAATTGATTGCAGTGGTGGTAGCGGGAGTGTGATATCTGAAGTGCCAGTGAATATAGACATTATGGGCAACGGTTTACCGGTAGTCTTCGCTTGCCAGTTTTTGAAAGCAGAAACAGTCAACGCATGGAAAGTAGTCCACAGTCCACAGGTGTATCCTCTGAACTGAGTGGAAGAACCGGCACAATGATCCCAGTTAGTGTTCAGTGGGAAGGGATGACCCGCTTCCGCTTCGGCAGCTAGGAACTCTTTCTGCCAGTCATCAACGGAAACCGGCGAGTCTAATCCTTTTTCGGCAATAAAATCACGGAGTCGCGAAAAAACTCTGACGGCACGGCTTGATCTGTCCAAGTGAAGAACCGTCTGCAAGCGAACACTCTACACGAATACGTCAAAGGCATTTGTACCGAGTTGTCAGTTGCTCCTTCGAGTGTCACAACAGGGAAGTTATCGGCGAGGAGAGAGGTGAATTCGTAGAGAGCAGAAAGATTCGCCGCTTGAAGGGGAGCGCCGGTTCTGGCGGATTCGCGGAAAAGAGCGTATCGCATCGCCTTGAGCATATCCACTTCGGAGACATAATAGTTTGGTTTGCACCTGAAAACAGAGGTGAATCTATTCTGAAACCCAATCGATACAGTTCGGGATCCTTGTTGCAATCGATAGTCTTGTTCTTTCTGCTGCTGAATTGAATGGTCTGGAGTGAGTGGTCAGATGGTTTTCCCAAAAACTGTTCAAGCTCGCGGAGCAACAAGCGACGAAGTCTGAAAATGTCGGGTCAGATAAACAAACGCGTGGATAACCTACTCAGCAATCAAAACCGGCTTCCGTTCTCCTCTTTTGAAAATGGCCAACGATGGGAAGTCAGTAATTTTGAGCGCCTCGGCCAATGGATGGCTCTTAAGGCATCTGCGAGCCACCAGACGGTCTCGGTTACCACTGAGATCAAGGAGGAGCTGGAAAAAAGAAAAACCCTTTTTTTATCTGAATAAAATAGGTCGACATACCTGGGCACCCGTGAGACTGGCTTGATTAGTTTCGAAAATAATAGCAATGTGACTGGCAGAAGAAGATGATTCATTCCACAATTCGCCATATGTGACCACGCTGAAACATTTAGAATAAAGAATAACTCATTGGAATGGCATAGCATACTCTTTCAAGAAATCAAAAGTTGGCCATTCCTGGTAGCGATTGAGCGCATAATCATCCATCACAGCCTTGGTGAGCTGTCCCCTCATTTCCGAAACAGTTGCATACGGTTTAATTTGAGATCCTTCAGTCGAGTTGGTGGAGTCACGTGGGAAATACTAAAGGATGTTGTGCCGAGAAACAAATATCGGATTACCTTGATCAATGGGAAGAATCGGACACCGTTCGATCGGCACACATGCTCGTTCACCGGATCGGCGCAGTTAATGGCGGCGATCTTGACAACATCCTGCCATCCATCCACATCTTTGGCCAGGTTTTTGTAGGTTGGGGCAAAAGCTCGGCAATGACCACACCAGTCAGAGTAAAACTGAAATGGAAGGAAGGATGATCAAACGGGTTACTTTATTTATTCGATACCTCAACCAGATATCCTGCATCTCCAGTTTCTGGGCCAAAAATGGTGTCATTGAAAGTGGCTTCGTCAAGTTGTAAAACACTAAAATTACACTTCCTATTCTAATATCCATGTGGTCTCAGGTACCTGTCCTCTAATGAGTACAATGTCGGATTGGCGCCTTTTGGATGATAGCCGTACGTGGCTATATCTGCCAACGCGGATGTTGTTAAAAAGAAGAGCAAAAACATCTGAAATCCCATTGTTAGGAAAAAAAGAGATTTGAGATAAGATGACACGGGTTGGGGGAATTGGGGGCAGAGGTTACGAGGAAAACAGCTCTGGAATCCCAAGTGCACACGAACACAACAACTTGTTTTCTTTATTGCTTTTCTGCAAGCGATCGAAGATTCGACGTCTGCCGACGAGCTTGTTGGATTTCTACGTCACTTTTATACGCAAAGACGGAAGGCTGCAGCGCGCGGAAAACGACTGATTTGAATATATTTGAATTTAGCGGCCACCACAAACATGGTTGGACAACTGGAACAGTGCAAACAAAAACACAAGTGGGAAGGATGTAGGAACTATGAAATGGAGGTATATGACTGGGGAGGAGGGAATTGTATTAGAAACTAGTCAGGGCGAAGAGATTTGGGGAAGTTTCACTGATAAAGGTGGTCACAGATGAACCATCGGAACCAATTCTCAATCTCCTTTGATCGCTTTGCAATGCGATTTGATACAAGAGATTATTAAAACCCGGAGAAAAGCAACAAAAAAGGTGTCAAAACTAAATCAAGGGCGTTTGTCTGATGTTTTTCATAAATGCCTACAGCGACGAAGACACAAAAGGTATACCTTGATATAAAATACTGATACATCGTTGAACTTTACAGTGCAGGTTCATCGCTATCATCTGACAGAGAAAGGCGTGCTTTTGAAAAAGAAGAAGAAGAAGATGGCCATAGAACGATCAGGCGAGAAAGAAGCGATTAACAGAAGATCAAACCGTAACATGTTTTATGTCTCGACATCTCGACAATGAAAAAAACGGAAATCATTGAATCGCTTCTGCTGTTCTTCAAACCCATCGACAGACCGGATTGACATGAGGAGAAAGACCGAAAGGAGTGAAAAAGGGCAATGACGGACTAAAAACTCTCGAGACGTGCATAGAATATCCCATAACAATTGTATGCATTCGATATTAGCGGGCAGGAAGAGGGGCAGTCGCGATGTCAAATCGGTCAAGAACCGGAATTGATTATTTTGCCGGAATAGAACCGAATGCCGCCGTTTTTTTCGGGATGGACTTCTTTGCGAAAAGCACTTTCAATTGGCAAACATCTCGATTGGAATCAAAGGGTTTAGATTAAACACATTAGGGGGAACGATAGAATAAGTTGTGTTGCCTTGCCAGTCTTCTCATTTTTCTGCCGAGAGAAAATATCAACAATTCCTGAAGACTAATATAAACATTCTGCTCGTGGGGGTGAGGTAGTTGACCTTCGAGTTCAGAGCACGAACTTTTAGAAGCACGCCCGGACACGCTCTGACACGAGAACTCAAAGAGCATGTGGGCTAGCCTCTTTTATCCCCATCAAACATGCAAAACACGTTGTGAGTACTAACATGGACAACAACAAAACGTTTGAGGAAAAAAAAACGGAGACATTTATGTTTCGAAGTTCTCTTCCACAATATTCTTTTGTCAGGGGCATTTCCAGGAGGAGACAGACGCGCCCCAGTTGAGCAGGTTAAAAGGAAAACGATGAAACACAAAATTGGGAACGAGTGCAAATAGGGGTCTGCCGAACGGTTAACGATGTCTCTTGACTTGCGCACGCTTCATTCTTTTCGTTTCGATTTGATACCACTGCCCCCAAAACACAAACAGAACAATATTTCCTCGGGGAGCTTGCAAAAGCAGCCGAGCACTTTCGTTCAGGCTTGTTTGGTGTGACGAATTTCACAAAACGCCATTCCCGAAATAACGAGGTGAAGGGGGGCTTCGCACACAAACTCGAACAGACAGTAAATACACAACACATAGTAGCACAAAAGGTGACCGGAAGTACGAGAAGGCTCTTCTTGTCTCCGGACAAAAGAAGTTCAGAAAGGTCGAATCAACAAGGACTGAGTCATTGAACGCAAAACAAGACAGAGAATAATCAGCTTTGCTGCAGATTAACGCAAACTTGGTCAAGGTTGAAAGAGAGAATGACGAATTGAGTGTCTTCTACCGAATTGGGGGAATTACCGTTTTATGGGCTTTGATTGAACGCCGTTCAAACGTTTTCTTCTGGTTTTTGAGATTTTTCCGATTATTTGCTAACAAATTGCAGTTGTTATCAACATTTATTAACATGAAAGCAGACAATACTTGAAGTAAAACTTTGGTAGAAATGTTTTGATTTTTCTCAAATCGCTGCTGATCTTCACAATCCCGTCGCTGTTTTTGTGAGATTCCTCGCCGAAATGCAACAAATTTCCCATTACCCCAGGACGGTGTCTGGGGCGGATGTGATGTACGTAGGAACATTTACGAGTGCAGATTGGATCTTGATGTTCATCATGTTTCCTTCTACAGCAACCGCCTCCTTCATTCTCTTTCGTTTTCCGTCCATCAAGTATGCAAATTTACTGGCCACGAAAGATAGGGCCAGACTGTCGGAGAGACACACAGAAGTGACGGCATGTTTATATTGTACACTGTGTTTATCTGGCGCATTCTTCCTCTTACTCTTCTTCATTTTCTTCTTCTTCTTCTTCATCTTGGCCCCGTCTCAAAGATTAGAAAAACATTAGCGTTCCGTCCGTCCGGTCCTCTGACCAACAGTGATTTTTGGAATTTTGATATCAAATGAAATGTTTTCAGCCGGATTTTTCTGCCAGAAATTTCACCACCAACCAACGTATCTAATGTAAACAGTGGTTATGAGTCACACTAACGGAATTTCTGATTAGTATTGCATATTGACCATGAGTTTCATTTTCTTTTTGAAGCAGCCGCCAGTGCTCTACAACCAACTAGTTTGAGTAACCCTATGCTTTGTGCAAATATCATCATAGCTGAGCCCACCAGAACACAGTTACACAGGTCAGACCAGTTCTCGACACAAACGAAACCAAAGTTTTGTCATTTTGCGGGCAATTGGCGTTGTGTTCCACACATACGCCCAATTAGTTTCTGATGATTGTTTTTGCACACCATGTAAATTAAACAATGCATTCCATCGAATCTGCGCATTCCAACGCATTTCCTTCCGTCCGTCCGTCCGTCCGTCGTCCATCGAATAGCAGTTATCGCAAGATTATGGTAGTCATTATAAGAGAGGGTGCGCGACATGCGAGGACTCAGACATTCTGTACTACTCATCTCGATTCCTGCGTCTCGTGCCCTCTCGCCGGCCCACCTACAGCGTTGTCGCTCTTGTTCGGTTCTCGTCACGTCTTAGAACGCCGAGTTGGTTGGTCGGCATCGGCACACACGCACATACGCACAGTGAAATACGCCCGTTGTTTAGTAACACATGTTGCTGTTGCGACCCTCCGGAATCACTTCGCTATTTCCTACGTCACTCGGCTTTTTGTCCATCAACTGGCGGACGGCTGAGCTCCGTCTTGCCGCGGGCCCGCTTCCTGAAACCCGGCCGAGATACTTCAGTTTGTTACATTTGCTCCTTGTCACAACTTATTTTAATATTTGTCGATTAGTCACACTCTTTTGGCAGTTTGTCGCTCGTTTTTATCAAAATTGCGACAATATTTGAATAGTTAAGTCTCGACCTAACACCCGCATCACTTCAATTGAATGTTTCTGAAAATGTGACTAGATATAAATGACGAACGAGTCTTTTTTTCTATGTTTCACCAAGATTATCGCTTAGATAATTTCCGATCTCAACATTAATATTCCGCTTTCTCGCATTAATTTATGTGAATTTTCTGATCTGTTTTTACTGAATATCTTCAGAATGCTGTTCACAAGGAGAAAAACGTCTACAACAACAACAGTAGAAGGCACACCGGGAAAATATGTAAAACGCGAAAGCCCTCCGACCGTTCCGTCACTTGCAGGTATGTCAGAAACCCCCCTTGAAAATATTGAACCTTTAACGTTCCAGCAACCGCCGTCAGCCGAACCCGTCGCAGTCCACTTGCTGCATCTTCCCTGCTCCTCGAATCGGTACCTCCACCACCTTCAACCACTCCACCGCCTGAAATCGAAATGTTCCATGCGGAGAATCCGAGTGTTGAGGAAGTGGAAATCGAGGAGTATGAGCACACGGAAGACTCTTTCGACATACACGATCTGAAAGAATTGGATTTCGATAGGCTCCACTCTAGATCTACGGCGAGGTATGCATTCTTTCGTTTCACTTTTTCCAAAAATCAGTAGCTTACCACGCGAATTCATATTGACCAAGACGTCAGCCTCCATTCGTGCAAAAATGTAACATTTCGAACAAAAACGAAGTTAAGAAAATATCATCGTTCGTTTTTGAGTTGAGGTTCCCAGAGCAGAAAAAAGCTACCGGGACAGATGTGATTCAATCAAAGTCCAATGACGTTTTTGTTTGTAAACGTAGACGGTGAATCAGAAGCTGAGTCAAAATTCAATTCGAAATCCAATACCATATATAAGGGAAAGATCTGAAACAACAAAATGCACAATTCTTATTGCTTTCTGTCAGCTTTTAGGGTGCTGAAAGTTTATCTCTACTGATAGTAAAAAATACGATGATAATTTCGGGTGTTAATGCGAGTTATCTATCTAATTTTTTGGAGATTTTGCTATCCGACGCTACCGTAGTGATAACGAGCAAGCAAGCGGTCTTCGGAGATTTCACTGCTTAATTACAGCGAGAACGATGTATATACGGAAACGGCAGAAGAGCCCTCGCCCTCGACTTCCTTCGGTGCCCGAAACAACAACGTTCTCTCCTCCCGCAGCTTCAACAGGTGAGTAGAGTAGCGGTTTGAAATTCAACACAGGAATTGAACTGGAAAGAGATGTTTTAAAAAGTGCAAATTTATGCCGCTTCGTGTACATGAGAGTTTACTTTCCGTATTTGTACCGTTGATGAAAGATGAACCGATGTTACTTTGAAGAAAATACGACGGAGGACGACTATCTCGACTATACTTTAGATTGCCGTATTGTGCCGTTTAATCGGTTTTCGATGAAAAGACGGTGACAGCTAATGGTATTTATTATAATGCGACCGTTTTTCAGAGGAGGCTTGCGATACACGCCGCGAAAGTCGCTTACTGCTTCCCATTCAATCGGAAACGTGGAACAGGGAATGAGAGAATTGAGTGTCGGGTGAGTACATCTTCAGCAGCTGAATGCTTTGCTGACAATTGACAATTGATGTTTTCAGAGAAAGAGGATTGGTGTCACCTCAACCGCCACGCTTCCAATCTCTGCAAACTCTGCCAAGCGAACGCTTGATGACGATTCAACAATACCGATCTTCATGCGGTAAGTTATCGCGCCGACGTCACTTGCGATAAATCTCTACCATTTAGCGAATTCAGATGATTCAAACGAACTTCCGCTTCCGGAAAACTGGGCGATCGAATTCACCACTGAGAATCAGCGGTACTATGTGGATCACTCAAACCGGAGGACTCATTGGGTTCACCCATTGGTGCACGAAAGTCTCAAACCAGGATGGAAAAAGATATTTGACCCGCAGAAGGGAGTGTTCTATTACAAGTGAGTAAAAGTTGTTTTGTGATCATCAAGAAATGGTTTGTGTTGTAGCGAAGAGATGAAGAGGACCCAGTATGATCATCCGGGAATCTCGAACCCCATCTTCCGTACCGAATCGGTCAACGTTGCAAGCCGTTCAACCGTGGATTTGAATGCGAATTTGCACATAATCGAGGAAAAAGAGCTTCCACCTTGGCTCTTGATGTACGCTCAGTCGAATTCCTCGCTGGACCACTTGCTCGAGGTATTTTGAGTGAACAGCTAAACGAAAAATCACATTCGTTCTATTTTCAGTGGGATCTCTTCAATTACGAACAGCTGACGGAGTACGAACACTTGATGATGAAGCTTTATAAACAAGAAGTGTTCGATATTGTGAAGAAGTGAGTGTAACGGCCCTCGTGACCCGATCAATTGTTTTTTTTGCAGATATGAGAAGAAACGCAACATCTTGAACAGGGAAATCCATCGAAGAGACATTTCAAGACCGCCACCGCCCCGGATTCGCGAACAGGAATAACTTGTTTTCTGGGAAAAATATTAATTTTGCTGGGTACATTGCTTTGCGAGCTCAACCACCTATTTTACTTGTTCTTGCCAAGTCGCTTGGGAAGTGTGCAATAGACTTTGCTCATAACTTTTCTTTATTTACTGAGATAATATATATTTCCTGAATGAAGTTCTGAAAAAATAAACGATCGCTGTGGTCTTCAGGTGGCATTTATCAAAATTGACCTTTTAACTAAGGTTCTTTTTGTTTGGCCTGTTTCTTCACCTCGTGACCTTTTCCAACGGAATTGGCTCGTTTTCATTAGCCGGCAGCACCACGATCATTGACCCTCGAACCCTGGCACTTTTCCTCTTTCTTCTTTGGAATATCATTGTTTTCCGGTTGAATGACGTGCAATACGCAAACATTCAAACATTTGAGCATCGCGGAAGCATAGCAAATCCATCCCGCGAAAGTGTGTGCCATCGTATTATCAAACTCTTCCTTTGCGCCTGATCAAGCTAATTGCAAAGGATCTAAGCACAAGCAAGACAACGAAAGACTCGCCCTCGTGTCGTCGTCCGCCCGCTCAATTCATTTTTTTCCAGAATCTATCATTCTGAGAAAAGCGTGATGAGCACAATTTTTTTTTCAAAATATTGTATTGTGTCAAATTTGAACAAAATCAGGTTTAGTTTGTGATGTGAGGAGTATAAGTAGGAGCTAGATAACTTGCAACTTTAAATATCCCGATTAAAAATCTTTGTCACGTAGTCTAGCTCAATGACCATCTCAAAAAAGATTTTACATCTGAACATCGCGAACTATGCATTATTCAGAGCGGTTTGAACTTGGTGATCAAATGTCGAAACCTAGTTCTTATAGCATTCTGACCTCTTCTTAGAGTTCGCAACATTTCACACTCAGAGATTACGGTACATATGACTTCTGTCTTGATCTTAATTCCTCTGCCACCACCCTCAAGCGCTTTAATTTTTCCTTGAAATTGTTGAGAGAGTGTCAGTAATGAACCTATCCAATAAAAAAGCTTCTATTTTCATCGGAAACCAATTATTTCCAACTTAATCCTTCACGCTTTTCTCATTTCCCAGAGTCGTTGTGACCTCAAGTGAGCCCGAGCACACCGCCAATTCCTTCTCATTCAACGTTTCTGCAAAAAGAAATGAGTTTCTTCGTTCCTAACACGACATTTCTCGGTCCTTTGTTATTCTCCATTGTTTCAGTCATTCCCGATATCTGCCGAGTTCAGGAATGCACGCATTTACGTAAAGAGCAGGTGCAATTGACTGTGATTTCTAGACGCCTATGCTGGTGTCATGTCTAGCAATTATTCTTTGACGTTGTCCATGAAAGCCTTTCATTTGATCGTTCGGACAACGTCACAGTTCTGAAAACGATTCCAAGTGGTTGTAGTCTTGTGTCGTAGCCACTTAATTTCTGTGTCTGTGTCTGAAAATCTTTTTTTGTTCTTTCGAAGATATCACTTATCAGCTATGATACAGAATCCACGGGCTATAATTTGAAGGCGTTGGCGAGAACACGAGTTCTCGAATGTGTCCAATTTTCAAAACATTTCCTCATTCGAACTAAGAAGTTCTTGACGTCGATCTCTTGAGCTCCCATGCCATTTTAAAAAGTTTTGACAAAAAAATGAACGTCCGTGAGAGATATCGAACACTTCAAACTTACCAGATATCTCGAAAGTCACGTTCCTTCCCTCTTGGTCTTCAATCTTCAATCCTTCAGTACTCATTGTCAAATTTTGAATATTTCATAGAAACACGTTCAAGTGATTTCCGAAACAAGCAAACAAGCTTCTTTTGTTTGTTTCCCGTCACGTTTCGCGCTTTAAAAATGCTTCCCACGTTTAGTAGTGGTGTCACTTGGTGCCAGGGCATTTGTGGTCATCAAAAGATTTCTGGAGCATCAATTCGCCCAACGACACGCCATTTCTCAAAAAAATTCTGATAAAACGGAAGAGCAATTCAGGGCGCATAGGTCAACGATGATGAGGGATGCATTCATTAGAATTTCAGTCCTCATTTATCCAACGTCTTCATTGTTCCGCACAAATTTTGTTTGTTTGCCCTGTCTCTTCTTTCTTTTTGAGAGCGAAAACGCAAAAACATTTCGAGTTAAGATTCTAGTTGAGCCAAACGTTTCCAACATTTGTGTTGTCACACCCGCTCCAGTCGATTCCGGTCCTTCAATGCACACGCAGATTCCATTGCTTTTAGGTACAAGGAAATAAAATATTGCGGGGCAGAAAAGAGTTGGGCCAAAACACCCGAATCCGCCTTACACATGTTAAGTTTGTCCCGACGCATATGTTTCACGAGAAACTTTCCCAACTCATTGTCCGTCCGCCCACCCTCGCTGACCGAACAATTCAATTTCAGTCTTCCATTAAACAAGTCTCGCTCTTCCGTCCTCCATCCAACCATCCTTGTTCAGGATACCAATCATGTTAGGTCAACATTTTGAATAATGCGTGAATGCATTCACACAACCTTTCATCCTTCCTCGTGCTAACGTATCTTTTTACACCGACCGACGCACCTGAAACACACATTTTGGCTCTTGGTCAAAATGAGATTTGGTCGTCGTACCCGGTTCTTAGACCTCTTTTTCGTCTCTATTGAATCAGAACGTTCGAATGGGCGTGGGAACTTGTAAATCCTAACGCTGCTCACAAGAAAAGGATTGAGAAGCGAAGAGCAAGATGTTTGAGTGGCTCAAACAAGTTTGAATTGCTTTTATTTTAGTTATCGCTTCTTGTCAATCATTTCCGAACGTTTTCACTCTTGTTATTCGAAAGCTTCCCACTATTGTTTTCCAGCGTCGATGTTTTGTTCAAGTCGCTCTCAATGACCATCTAATTCTGGAATGTCCGTGAAAGTGTTGAATGCGTCGGAAATGAATGGGATTTAGAAGTTTCGCACCTATTTGATATCCGTTTCTTTTGAGAGCGTCAAATTGAATTCTCTAAATAACCCTGCTCCACTAATGTTTCCAGATCTTTGTTCTGGGTCCCACCCCCAAAGCCCGGAACTTACGCCTGTGGACGCTCCATATTCCTGTCAAACCAATTAGTTGCGGACTACTCCAATTGCATAGAACTCCTTCTTTCGCTTCCTCTCCCTGCTGTTTGCAGCCTGAGATACTTTGGTTTTCTGAAGTCATCCCACGTGAAGTTGCTAAGCGGGGATGAATGTGTAAAGAGTTGGACTTGAGTGGGTTGCGACTTTCTGCCTCCACTCTCCTTCCCGTTTGTTTTTTCTCCGATGACGAACACCTATACCCCAAGGGAAAACGTTTCAAATTTGGTTTTTGCAAATGCAAACATTACCATATTATAAGACCAACGGCTAGCCGTTTGATGTCATCGAACCCTTATGGAAAGAGGAAGAAACGTTTCCTTTTTTGTAGTTCATTATGAGTTACTTGTCTGTTTGTTCTTCATTTCTCCTTTCCAGCCTAGTTTCGTGTCTCACTCTAATCTATACTGTAGTTTTGTGATTTAATGGGTGGAAATGTGCGAGAAGATTGACTGATTGGTATGCGCATTTCCTCTGCCCCGCCCTTCTAATGAATATTCGCCCGCAAATCTGCATACTATCTAGTCCGTCACCATCCAAAATAATGCTCTGGGTTCAAAAACACTTTTACGAAGATTCGTCTGCGTTTCTAGATGATCATCGTCACTTTAATGGCCACCCAACCTTTCTCTTCCAGAATTTCAATTTTCAATTTTTGTTTTTTCATTGAAACGTCATTTCTTTTTATTTTTGGTTCGAAGAAAATTAGCTGGAAAAAGAGCTCGTCTTTTCTTTTATGTTCTCGCGTGAATGTCCTGAAGTAGCTACAATTATTATAGCCAAGGTGGGGGACATCCTCATTTTCTAGTTGTAGATATGACACATACTAGTGCTCGCACCTTTTTGCATAATTTATTCTGTATTCACCTATCTCCGACAAGGAGAAATGTACCAAGAAGCTAGAAGTTTATGATTCATTCAATTTCGTTATTAATGGGAATACTCTAATGGAAGTAGACACGCAAAGTGTCGCCATTTCCTTTATTTAATTGATTGCCTATCATTTCTATAAGTGAGAATGTCATGCTGGCGTCTGGAATTGGGAAAGAGAGAGAGAGAGAGAGAGAGATAGAGAGAGAGAGAGAGTGAAAGATCTGCGTTCTTGTTTTCCCGGTATTTTTAGCCAGTTGGTCACTGCTGCCTCCTCCACAAAACACTTCACTTTTCTGGCCAAGCTCGAAATTGCGCACAAAGGTTTGGTCAATCTGAGACGCTTATGAGTCGGTGACGGCACGAGACCAGATGAGCCGAAGTTTAAATTTGAATCAGGGCGACTTTTTGTTTTGGTTTGTCTAGTCACGGTTGGAGGTGACGCCTAAAATATCTATTATCCTTGACTCACATCCGAACGGAACTTGCCGTCTGGAATTCAAAATTATCACTTGAAACGTATTTCTTAGGTTTGTGCCGTTTCCTAATCCTTCTGGTCTCCAATGTAGAAATTTGTCCTTATCGCAAGCATGATTTCAATTTTTTGTACTTTTCGTACTCCTTCCCCAATATTCATAAGAATTTGATTTCAGGAACATGGCTTTCCTTCAATCCACCTACATATTCATGGTTTTCTCGGTTCCTATCGCTGGAATGTGTCTCAATGGCTACGTCTTGCAGAAACTGTGGCGGTTAGCAAGGTTGGTTCCATTATTTGTCACTTTTGCTCCCCATATTATTAATCTGTTTGTTCGGGATCATTGATGTTTATAATTTGTTTTCAGGAAAAGTGTTGTGCGCTTCGAGACCACCTCAGGATTACCACTGGCGGCCATGTCGGTGAGTGAGAGAGCAAAGCACAAAGGAAGGGGGGGAACCGACCGCGTGGATTCTAGATGCATAATTGGGGCACGAGGAATTAGGCTGAAGCTCAGAAGAGATGAGCATGTCTATGGGGAACGTGAGAATTTTCGGGTGATGAAAAACCGCTAGATTTTTGAGATTTTTAGAACGAACGAAGCGCACAATTGTTTGGGGAGTCCAATGGAATTGCCTAATTTCAGATTGGCGATTCTGTCACGTTGTTCGCTCTCCTGATGCAAGCTACATTCCACGTAGCACCAAAAGGAGAAGTCCCGAATAACGTGCTGAGTACCATATGCAAAGTGAGCAAAATCGGTTCTGGCTCATTTTTCATAGCACAATTTCAGATCGGTATCTACCTGATCCACTCGACATCCGCATTCTCCGTCTGGTGTTGGTTCTTTCTTTCCGTGCTGCGTTATGTCGCCGTGTTCCATCCATTCAAGTACCGTACTATCTGGAGACAGCCGAGAAATGCGTTGAAGTACAGGAAACTATATACCGATATTTTGTTTAGACACCGGAATTTCAGGTTCTTGGCAACTGGCGTCAGTTTGTTCCAAGTGTACGCTCTCTTCATTGTCACATACCGTGACAAGGAAAAAATGTGCGGCGAGTACGACATATTTCACGAAAGCCCGTGGAAGGTAATAATCTTACTGAATGAATATTATAAAAATCGTGGTTTTCAGTACATTCATCTTGTCGACATTTTCCTTTTCTACGCCATTCCTTCGCTTTTGAGAATCACTCTAGACTTCCTGGTGCTCATTCACTGTTACTCTCCATTTTCGGTAGATGGTCTCGAAAGGATCACCGTTGACAGACGGTATGCAATCAGTGGTCCCACTACAAAACGGTACGAGTACAGATTTCAACTTTGATTTTGATTTTCGGTTTTTAGGTTCTCTCAATCCGGTGAAACTGAATCACTGGATAACAAAACTCACGTCGCGCTGGCTATTTCAATTACTGCAAACACGCCGGTTCGTGCAAACGGCTCAATCGGATATTCTTAATCTTGATGTCTTGCAGAGCGTGAAACGCATTCAGCAGGGGCATCCAAAAAAGAAAACGGCTATGGTGATGCGATCTATCCTGATTTCCGTGCTCAATCTGATGCTCAATCTTCCTTCACACATTCTTCGCGCCTGGAGTTCCTACGACGAGCATAGTCTGGAGCATGAAATCGTGCAAACGTTAGAACGTGAGTCTAGTGCCAGCCACATATTTCCGGTTTTCCCTTTCTTCAATCACCACAAGGAAATGTCTTCTTTTCGGGAAGAAAACTCAATTTTTAAAACTTCTGCCGACGAACCCATTTTTCTTTATAATCCATTTGTCGTCTGCCGCTCACTCTCTCTCTCTCTCTCTCTCTCTCTCTTTTGTGGGTTGAGGTTTTTACCCCCAGAATGATGGGACCTCCGCAAAAGTGACTTGCCTAATCCGTTTTAACCCTTTCTTCTTACAGCCATCGCACAAATGATGTACTTCTCGCAATTCGCCTGCAACGCCTTCTACCTGGCCACTTCGATCTACGAAACGAACGGATCTCCGAGGAATACGGTCATTTCCAGCAGCAATCGTCATGTTTCGAGATGCATTTCGGAGGAAGAGGCTTAGCATAATAATTCTTTGTTTTCCTAGACCATGCACTAGGTACAGATTGTACGGATTTCTTTCTTCCCTGTTTTCCCGCTTCTACTTGTATCTGTCGGCTTTCTCTTGTTTTTGTTTTCATAATTCCATATTCCGATTTTTCATTCCAACTGCACTAACCACAGATTCCGCATCTCAAACGGGCACTGCTCACGAATCAGTCGAATCTCATGTTTCAATGAACACAAATAAATTATTCCTTTCCTTATTTCATATACGGTATCCTTCTAGACATGACATGCGCAAAAGATGTCTGGACAGCAAAAGTGTGCATAATTAGATGTTCTTTATGGATATTCATGATAATGTTGAATAAGCTATTGGACGGCGTGCAAATCCGGATATCATCCGATCATCTCGGTGATCATAAAGAACAAGGAAGTGCTCATAACTCGAGTAAGAAGTTTATGATGACAAGGGATCTCCGAAAACCATTATACTTTGTCATGGAGTGCGCGAGATCCATCGCAGACGTCACTCAAAACCTCATGGAGCCACTCTATTCGGTTTCTTCTCAAGTGACCCTTCGTCTATTCTTGTACATCTTCTCCGTTTTCCCGTAAAAGGGCAAATTGGTAGCCATAAAATAGTAGTATTGGTGGAGCCGGTGTTTACAAAAGCCAATAGATTGTTCATTTGCTTCTCGCCCGAATTGCTTCCTTTGCCAAACGCCGACCCACCGGAAATTATTTTCGTTATTCTCTGTGCAAATTCCCACAAGTAAGTAAATGATTGGCTGGAAAATCTCTCCATTCATGTTTGTATTGTTTTTCTTTTCTCTTTCGTCAGTGTTTTTTCATTACAATGCAAATTTCCGTTTCCTATTGAATTTCCCTGAATTTCCTCCCTGTTTCGTGTGTTTTGTAGGGTGCTTGACTAGAAAAGGAAGGCTCTGAAATGACATGGAGAACCTTTACCTCCAAGACGGATCAAGTTACCACTTGAGAAGCAAAGTCACAAAAATGGGATGCGGTGTCTAATCACAAAGTGACTCCACACCACAATTTCTCTATATTTCGTGCCCGCAAGCCTCAAAAAGACAAGTGGAAATTCAAAGTTCAAGAAAAAGACTTGCAATATTTTTGAAAGCTTTCCGCCAGAGTCCCGAAGGAATACTAGGCAACCCCTCGTCTCAAATGAAACATGCCGATGACGCGTTGTGTTACCAAGTGCGGATTTCGATTCAAAGCAGAAAAATGAACCCGATGAATGTTGATTTATATAATATTCATCGAAGTTTGCAGGCAATAAAAACGGGAAGAAATTGCGTTTTTTGTGAGTACACAGTCATGAAATATTAAAACGCACCCAGACGTTTGAGCAAATAAAAGTGGATCCCTTCGTTTGGCTTTTCAAAATTTAGGACCATGTTTCAATGGATCAAAGATCTGGAAACACTTCCGGAATACATTTATGAGAGAAGTCTTAGTTCAATTCACAAATTTAGTTGTCACTTCTATCTTAATTATGCAGTTATTCATGACTTCTTTACTGATTCTTACTGCATATTCATGACTGCCCAGCGTCACTCGCAACTTGGACCCTTCATGCGAAAAGTACGGAGTTGGAAGACGGCGGGAAAAAGAAAAGACCCGGCAGTCGGCGGAAAACCAAATTACTCGACCTGAAGTTGCCTCAAAGAACAAAAAGATATGAGCATTAGTGTGTTTGCGTGTGTTGCAGTGAATTCAGTTAGTGTGTGGCCCTTGGGGAAATGTGTTCAAGTCCAGTGTTCACTACTATAAGCCCCGTTTTCCTATTGCCCAATGTCTCCAACGGACAGCCGTCGCGCCAAAGTGGGCGGAGCGCAATGGCGCGCGCTTCGGACACGGCGGTCGGTCGCGCACACAGAGAAACTCGTTGGTGAATCAGTCGACGGCGTTTTGGCAGCATATTATTGTGAGCACAATGTCCTAACTCAGAATATGATGCTCCGTGTATTCGTGCTGTGCCTCTTGGCGGCCCAGGCCCGTGGGGGTCAGATTCCAGTGCCTCCTATCTTCTCGCCTTGCAACTTCCCGTCGCCGATCACTGAACCGACTTTTGTAAGTTCAATAGCTATATGTATGCATTTATTATTCCTGCAAAAGTTATGTTTTGATGTCTTCAAAAGGGACCACTGCAGTTATTTTTCCTGGTGACCCGCATAAACTGAGCAAATAGTGAGAGGTGGTTACAAAGGAGTTCAAAAAATGTGGTCGAGTGTCAAATTATATATTCTTTTTGTTTTGTCCATAGCTCAAAGGCTCCGTCTCACAAATCACTCAAGCGTTCTCGAACCCGCAATTACAGACCCGTTTCTCTGCACGTCACCGTTTTTAGACGTTAATTCTCCGCCGGCTATACACTATGCTTTAAACCTGAAAAAAGAACGACGTCGAGAAATGAAAGCCGCGTGGAAAAAGTCGGGAGGCCCTGCTTTCTATTTGCATATTTAGCGTTTGCTCATCCTTATGAAACCAATCAAGTGAAAGACAATCGTCGTCTTTTTGTTTTGCTCCGTCAAGATTTGCCGCTTTGATATCCATAGGGTCTGTGCGAATGAACGAATGAATGAGGAAGCGGGGCTACGCTTTCGTGATGAGTTTTCGGGATTAAAATTTTTAGAGCGGCGGGAAGTGCACTCTGAGAAACCCTAAATTCTGACGTTACTTTGTGGCTTTTGTGGGGTGAAAAGCAAGGAGTGGGCCGAAATCATTAGTCATTTCTCTTATTTTCTCGGGTTTCCTCGGGAGACCACAAGGTGAACAACATCTCCGCGGCAAACGCAATTTGTGCTCCCCGAAGCTCCTTTCTTTTGTATCGCAAACGGAAAATTATTCGGCGACAACAAAAAAGACTACTCTTCTTTCTCTCTTTTCCTCTTTTCCGCGTGCTTCGCCCATTCACCAGGTTTCTTGAGGACCCTTGTCAACTTTTCAAAAGGACTTCTAATCTGAATGGGCAAAGGAGAGCAAAGAATTTTGACGAATGTTTGGTTTTTGACAAAAAAAGCTTCTGCTTTCGACAAAGATCCGAATAAACAAAAGCCAAGATCATCCATTTCCCAGCCGCAGCTTTTCATCTCATCATTTTTTGCCAAAGCCTAGGGATCCTAAAAAAAAACTTCGGGCGGTGCATAAAGGAGTGAAGAAAATGAAGAAAAAGAAGCAGAAGCAGAACAAGAAGAAAATTGAAAAATTTTGGGCAGAGTTGTGCATCTTATATTCACCAGTCCATCAATTTTCCTCTTTCTTTTTCATGTACATGAACATAGCAAGGCATGTAAACAAAAACAGTGAATGAATGCATTTCAATGAGTCAAGCCATGGGTAACGTCTCTCAAAAGGAATTCCTGTGCCCGGATGACTGATTAGCACAGAAAAAGATATATACACATGACGGGCTCCATTTCTGGCCTTCGTTGTTCGTTGCCACTTTGTGTCGAGGAAACCCCTCTGGAACACGACACATTTGTCTGTTTTCTGAGTAAAAAATAAATGCATAGTCTACCGTTGAGTACTAACTGGCTAAACTGACAGAAAAAAGGCAGAAAAGACATTTCTCATGCATATGAAACGGAAGGACAATCGCAGACCTCCTTTTCTCAGAAGTCGCGGGGTCAAAACAAAGTATTTGCCCTTTTTCAGCACCGATCTGTCTGCTATACAGTACCCCGTCTTCCATTTGTTTGCGATCTCCATCACCAGCTCGCTTACACCAATGTTCATGGAATTGAGAAAGCGTACACAAGGTACAGAGCTTGACAAACAAATTAAGTCACAAATCTTATCAATTTCCAGGTATAAATCACTTTTCACTAACGGAAATGTCTCAACGCTGGCCATAATAATCGGTGAGCGCCACGTGTGTCTTCCCTGCTAACCCATTCTCGGATTCCAGCAAAGCAGCTAGAACAGCCCGCATCCGCTAATGATGTCATGAAGAAATCCGAGTACGCATGTCTCTTTGATAATGAATGCGACCAGATCGACGGAGACATGATCACTGGGATCGTCGGAAATGTGAAGAAATTCCTCAAGGTTGGTTGGAGATAAACGTTGCCGACTTCCGAGTTTAGTCCAAACTTTTTCTCTCTAAAGTGGAACAGGAAGAGGAACTCAATCATTATAAAACAATTTCGTTCACGCTTTTGCACTCCGCGTGAAGTGGTTTGCGAGCATTTGCATAAAAAGTGGATCATGTAGGTTCCCTTCCTCGTTTTTGGGGAAAACACCGTAAAAAGTGCCGAAAGCAAACAATCTCAGCTTTAATAATCACACAGAGTTGTACTAGCGAATCCTCTGGTTGCACACCAAAACACAAGATTTGCAGATGTACTCGTGGAAAGTGTATGAAAGGTGGTTCGGAAGCCAAGAGGCGTGCTCTAAGACAAACTTGCTAGCGGTAAACTACCAATACTCTGTACTTTTTTGCATAATGCCATGTTCCAGTTAGTCATAATTGACGGAGTTGTCAACGACGCCCGCAAAATTCCATACGTGCGACTTCACACAGGTACAAAGCCAACAAAGCCAGAAGACAAAGATCGTGGTCACCTCGAAAATTCCAGGTTCGCCGAGACTTCGTGTTTCCCTACCGAATATTCAGAGTGAAGTCAACAATGCGTTGGTGCAAGGTACGTGCTGTGACACTCCTTTCGGGACCAACCAATGTTTTAGGTTGGCCACTTGTAAAAGTCATCGAGGATCTTGTTGACGACGTAGGATACGCATTGAAAGAGTATTATGAGCTTAATGGGGAACAAAGAGATCACTCAGTTCCGTTGTAAGCAACCCCAATATTGTTGGTCTCTTTGTAGCAAAGTATTTCAGATGGGCTCGCAACCTCTTCTTAATCTGTCTGGCTCTTGTGGTCACAGCTCTTCTGGTCGAGTGGTATGTAGTACGAAGAAAGATTGGAGTGCAGAAGAGTGGATCCATCAAAATCGCCTCTGGAAAGAGCAAGACTCATCTCATGTTCTAGATTTTACTCCCTCTACTTCCCGTTTCCCTGAATAGTTTTCAATTTAACTGTCCATATCTAGGACTTTACATTTCTCATCTACAACTGTTTCATATGTAATTGTTACCAAAATTTCCGATCTGACTGTCGGGTGCCTATTATGTGCATGTAAATGCTTTTCCTTCCCTTTCCTTCAGCTCAATTTTTGAGGGAAATGATTGTAGACTTGTACAATAAACAATGGAAGTATGACCTTTACGTTCTGTGAAAAAAGTTTTCTTCTCACAAAAAATGTTCAACAAAAGCATTTTCGCTTTTCCGATTCAAATACAAAAATTGCGCGTAAATGTTTGGGTAGCGTGTCGCGAAAAAGCTATCGATTTCAATTCGATTTGTTTATTGGGAAGGCCATCTGTCGTGTTTCCGTATGGTCCGAATTTCATTTCATCACTTTGCATTTCAATTTTGTGTAGGGCAGAAAGAGCGGAAACCTCCTGACTGTCGTCCACAAAGCCCCTCCTCCTTTCTTATCAATTCTTTCGAGCTCCAACGAAGCACACAGCGTTTTGATAAAAAGCGCGCTTTATTTTCTCCCTCTTCATGTTCATCATGCTACGTTATTACGCCCTACGTCTACCTGCCCATATTCCTCGTCGTGCAGTATTCGCAGGTGCTCATTACGATTAGCGCTATCCAGCAGTTGTATTCAATAACGAATGTTGAGTACACGTGCACGGATAGTGTTCACCGTTCTCGAGGCGCTTTTTCATACCAGGTCTTGTTTGTCTCAGTTTTCTTGACAGAATTTGAGAAACAGCCTTCTCCTCTGTGAAGACTGTGCGCCCCAAATTAGCTGTGCAACATAGACGTGACAGCTGTCGTCGGCTCGAAATTGACACCATTTTTGTTGTACAAGGGTCGATGGTAGATCACATCTGGACCCGCGGACAAACAGGTCATGTGGCATTTCTCGCGCACCCTTCCCCTCAGTCCCATTCTCGCTCGTCCACCCTCCGCGCGGCCCTTGTCCATCGAATTTATCGGTCACTGTCCCTGCACCGTTGTCTTGTCACTCCATTTTGGTGGGTGACAACTCGTCCGGCGCCACACTGGCACACATTCGATCGTGTTGACACTCTTTCGCGGCGGCTCCGTTATCATCTAATGTTACGTCGGTGTGCGTCGACTTTTTGTACAGTACAACGCAATTTCTGTCTGATGCGGGAATGTGCACTTTTCCGCGTGATTGCCCTCTTTCTGATGAAAATTACATCACAAAATTTCCGGAAAAGAGTGTTATCAATCACTTGTGCCGGGCAGAACATCGCCAATTCGATTAGTGACAATCAATATCATGCCAGAGGGGTCCGTTGCTCACACATCGTGTCGGCCGCGGTCGTCTTTGTTTGACCGCTTCTCCTTGTACGTATTGCGCATAGTAATAGTCGTATAGAGCGCCGACGTCTTGCCATATTTTACCATTCGAAGCCCCATTTCTGTTCATTCATCGCGTGTGCCGCCGACAGCCGAGAGGACATTTCCCTTTTGCTCATCAATCCAGACGCCTTCTCCCATTCGTCCCGTTCTCCCGTTCCACCCGTTTTCCCTTTGTGCGGGTTTCCTTTTACAACGTGAGTCAGCACATCGAACCGAGCCGCGCGTCCGTCCTTCCAACGCAAACCCATCGTTCATTCACATATGCTCTTTTCTTCCTTTTCCATTCGCTCAAAATGTACGCATCTGTTGTTCTGACGTGTGTTCACTTTAAGGACTAGCGTTGCACTTTGTAAATCCTTCTTAAAATATTTGTCTTTCAGAGTATGTCGTCTCCCACGCAAGCTGCTTCTCCAACTGCCGCATCGCCTGATCAACTCGCCGACGCTCCACCCAAAGTTGAAGCTGCCGAGAAACTGCCAAAGGAGTCAGTTTTCCCAATTCCGATGTCGTCGGAGAATGCTGAGCTGCCTATCGATCCACCTGTGAAAACCGAACAAACCGATTTCGTAGTGAAGACAGAGGAACAGGCTGAGCAGAAATCCTCTGTGTTAGATTCTGCCGAGGTAGAGTCTGCTGAGAAGATTTCTGAGAAAGTTGTCGGAGAAACCGTGAAAGACGAGTCGGCTGATGTGGGATTGGAAAAAGAGACGGTGAGCGAGGATGCTGTGGTGGCGACGGATCCAGTCAAGATCGAAGAGTCTCAACAGGATGAACAATCCGCTCAGCCGACTAGAGAACCATCTATTGGAACGGAACCGAAGGAGGCTGCTGTCACGGAAGAGCCGATGGATGTTGACAAATCGGCTAGCGATGAGCCTGAGGCGGCGCCGAAGCTGGAGCCGGAAGTTGAAGTTGTTGACCACGCGCTGGAATTGCTGAAGAAGGAAGTGAGCGTAAGTGCAACTTTTGTTTTTGTTTTCAAACTAATCAAGTAAGTTTTACAGGCAGCCATCAATGTCTTCCAAAAGTACTACGAGGACTTGGATCTCGCCAACAAAGTCTCTCAGGCGCATCTTTCCAGCTACACGAGATCGGTGATTCTCTCCAAGATGAACGCGAACACTGTTCATATCGACGGCTATCACGCCCGCATTGAAATGGCCAAAACGAAAGAAGACTTTGAGGTAAATATCGTTGAACTGAGTGAGAGCCCACGAAAACCTTTTGTTTTCAGAAACTTCTGGCGGAGATACAACTGAAGAATCATCGCGCGCGCCAGTCCCGTGAGATCAACAAATTGCTCGGAGAACCGCTTCCATAAAAACCAGAAATAAGTATAAACTTGGTATTCCAAACCATTTGATGCCTATCGTACGAGTATTAAACGATATCTTGGCACAGTATAAACCCGATTTTCATTGTCAAATCCCATCCGTTTTATAAATAAACTTGCTGTCTGAACTCGAATATTTTTACTTGCTTACTTTGAACTGCTGAATACGTATTCTTTTGACCGTCCACACTCTTCGCGAAAGAGCAGGAATGACAGAAATTGGATAAAAACAGAAATGTGAACGTTTTCGTCGGATCTCTTGGAGAATGGCTTTGAAAAATGTGCAGATTCCTGTGAAAAAGTGTTTCTCGATCTTTATTGAAACCGTTTCCCATCCAAAACTGTCTTGACTAGACATACTACTCGAAAGTGTCTTCTTGCCAACGACATCAACAAGTGCGCAAGGTAGATACTATTGACGCAAAAACTGTAGGAAATATTGACTGACCTTCTTGACGCATATCCGGTGCACCACCAGTTTTGCGTTTTTGTTCGTGGTCTGTCATTTTCTCTGCAGTTTTCTCACTAATTTTGGATGATCTTTTTTGTATTTGCTTTTCTACAATCTCAAAAAGTTTTTCAACAGTTCTAACCGTAATATTGTTGCCGCATAAGTTTGAGAATTACGTTTTATCGCCCTCCACGTAAGAATTCACTTTTTTTTTTCAAGAAATGCCCCAACCAAAAGTAATTGCAATGTACTATTTTGTCGCAACACAATGCGATAAGCTTTCTCTTCACAAAGGAGCGTACGTCTATTTGATCTATGAAGGAGTGGATACTTGGTGGAGATGCCAATACCCCAATAACGGGACGATTGGCTGGATACCGTCCAACTCCGTGATGGGACTTCCGCCGAGTGGAATGCTTGGAGACGAGAACCAACCCGACAAGGAGCGTCCGCAGATCACCAGGAAGGTTGATCAAGTTTGCGATGAGACATTTCTCCAATTCCATCTCCAACTCTTCTGCTTGCTCCGTTCCTCCTCTTCTCTTTCTTTTAATTTAACATAATTGTGAATGTATAATGGATACAATGCAATGAATAGTCTATCTCTATCTCTGCGAGTATGGATTTTTGTGATAAACCGGCAAATCTAGTGATACTTCTCCGTTATTGCTTTTATCGATGTTTAGTGTTCTATGCCGTTCTCTCCGTTCTTCTCTCTCTTTCTCTATCCCTCTTTCTCTTCTCTCTTAGTATCGAACTGCTCGTATTTACATATTTACTTGCGAACGCGCTGTTTGTTTCTCGTTCGTTCGAACCACTTTTAGTACTCAACTGAGCCGTGCATGTCCTCGTTTTCCTTTTCTGCGTTTGGGGGTTCTGCTATTTGCACAGACTGCGTTCAGCCCATCTCTGTCTCCCTCGCGCGCTTTTCTGCGTGCGCCTCTCAGTGTCGATTTACGGGATGATTTTTTTTACTGAAAACGCTGTTTTCCCAAGTTATGCACAGTTTTCCTTCAAAAAATTTGTCTCACGTTTGTTCGTATGATCAATAGCTACAAAATGATCGCAGAGTGCTCGTGTAAAAGTTAAAATTCGAAAAATTGTTTCGCTTTCAAAATTTGGCTTGAAAAAAAAGAACTTTCGGAATTGTTGAGAAAACGGTTGTCATAATCAAAAAACAGTTGCTTCTTCTGAGCTGAACGCTGGTTTAAGGTCACATATGTTTATAAACGGATTGAGCTTCGGTAGTCGTACCGGTGTCATTTCGCTCTATCGTTTAGTGTATTCAAGATTTCCAGATAATATTATCTTTATTTCGTGCCTTCATTCGTCATTGGAGAGTCCTGCCACTCTCCGTCGTGAGGGGAACACAGAATGAATGTATCTTGGGTTCCTGCGCGGAGATAGTGCCGGGTCAGGACAGGGTCAATCATATCTTGCCCGCCTACGGATAATATCAGGAGGAAATCGGAAGATGACAGGCCAAAGTGCAGGCCTGTGACATGTTATTAATTATTCTGATAATCTCTGTTTCACCTCATTTTCTTTATTTTCGGAAAAAAAATCCAGAAATTTCAGACCTGCTTTTGTTTCCAACGACACTCCGTCTTAACGCGGCGCTAAATTTAGCATTAGCTATATACACAAGGACGTCGGGGTCAATTGATGTCCGTCCGCGGTCTCTCCCCATCTCAGTCTCCTCAGTCTCTTGCGTGTTTTCTCGCTCTTTCTCTCAACACCCTTGCTGTGCGGATGACCAATCCATTCAATCTGTTTTTTCTTCTCACTGCATTCTTCTATTTCCTGCGAGTTGTCAAACGCACAGTTAATTTTTCAGATTTCGGATATCTTACGGGACTTTGCAAGATGTCAGTGGAGTCGAAATGTCCATTCGATTATCTCCTGGTAAGCTTTTTGCGGTTTTTTGTGAAATTTCACATCTGAGCTTTCAGATTTTGGACTTTGAAACGACTTCAGATGGAACTATGAACGACTATCCGTTCGAAGTCATTCAGTTCAGTGTGGTCGCATTTGATGTCAAAAAGAACAAGACCGTAAGTGAAGCAATGTTATATGAGCAAAATGTTCATGATTCCAGCGCGATGATCTCAACTTCAACGAGTACGTTAAACCGGTCATCAATCCCGTACTCAGTGATCATTGTGCCGCATTCACCGGTTAGTTTCCACTAGTTTCATCAATAAAAAACGTGATTCGTACAGGAATAGATCAGAAAACACTGGACAGTGCGGACAATTTCAAAGACGTTTATTATCGCTTTGTGAAATGGCTTTCGGACAACGGAATCGAGGAGAGACGCTTCGCGATCGTTTGCGACAGGTGAGACAGCTAAAGATTATTGCAGCTTATACAAAGGACTTTGTAATTTCAGCCGTCAGGATATGTGGCGCATCGCTCAGTACCAACTCCGTCTCGATGACATCATCATGCCGTCGTTTTTCCGTCAGTACATCAGCCTGTGGCGCGTCTTCGAAGCGGAGCAAGAGCGCAGAGGACGCAAGGAGCTGTTCGAGAAAGTGAGGCAACTTTCTCGTGCCCTATCATAATCTTCCAACTATTCCAGTCTTACATCTCGAAAATGATCGAGTACTACGAGCTTGACAAGATCGGAAAAGCTCACAACTCGAACGACGACTGCAAGACGATGTGCCTGATCGTCCAGAAGATGCTCGAGACGGGGGCCACGCTCACCATCAATGAGATGCTCATTTGCAGCGCTGTGGTTAGTTTAAAAGCAGATTTGCAACAGGCCTTGCCAAACATGCACCAAAATTTTCGAGTGGCTGATCAGATAGATCGCAACTTTGACACCAATTTTCAGCAACAAATTTTTCCCAGCGGTTTTTGTGATTTTTTGATTTCCTCAAAAAAATTTGCTCAAAGAGAAACACTCGGGCCGACCGGCGCTAGGCCGACCCGAAGTTTTACAAATCTGTTTCGAAGCAATACTTTTTTTCAGTGGCGCAAAAAACCGCTGGAGGTTCCTGAAGGCTGGAGAACGAATTTCCAAGACGCCACGAAAGTGTTTGAGCGCATCATGCCGCTGGTGGTGAAAGTGGTCCGTCCGGGAGAGTACAGACCGGAGGAGTACGGAATCTGCAAGTACTGCAAGTCGAAAGCGAGCGTGTGCGGAAAGACTCACAGACAGTACCCGGCGTACATCTACTACAGAGAGAGTCAGCCTGTGCAGTATGCGATTCACGCCAGGTGGATCAAGAATTAAGAAGCAATGTCCGACAAAATCAACATTCGGTCATTATAATTATTGTTTTTCGTGTATTATTTTTTTTGGTTCTGTAAGTGATAAATATTTGTTCACTAAAAATGCGCTTTGAGAACGAGACCTCCGGAAATAGAAGTGTGAAATGTGGACACAAGGCGTCAGCTTCCTACTGCATATTGTCTTTCATCACCACCCGAGATCTTTTTTCATTTCTGGTGTCTGCTGGTCCCTTCTATATTCATCCCATTCTTCAGTCGCGCATCGTATCCTTCCAATTGACTCAACTCAAAAGTTGCTAATCGTAATCCGATTTCCAACTTTTTTTTGTGGAACGATGATAAGAAAAACGGGGCATTATTAAACTTTTGTGATGCACTCATGCTGACCCGAAGACTGTTTGAACAAGTCATTTAGCGAGCCGCCGGCACGGATATCTCTGCTTTTGTTGGCTCATTCACCCCCTCCGCAATTTTACTGTTGATTTTTGAAGACTCTCTTCTGTCTGCACTTGCAAAAAGCTGCCAGGATTGTATTTTTCTTTTATTTATTTCATTCATTCCCTAGTTTGCATTCCCTATCAGGACTGGGCTTTGAACAGTGAGTTTCGAGTTACACGTTTGTTTCTGCACTGATGCTTGTCACAAACTTCTTCCACCGTGAGCAGAGATTTTTCATTATTTTTCTTTTCCTCGGCGGCGGCTCCTTTGTCTAACCGAACTGCCCCTCCGTATTCTAATTAATGTTTATCATTGGCGTCGCATTTTTGAATAAGTGGATGTCTTTTTTTTTGTTCCAGGAAGGAGAACGTGATAGTTATTACATTTCTGGAGTCGTTGATCTTGAATTCTGCCGTCCAGAGTGTGTCTCTCTCCTTCCCTTTACCAATTAAGCATAAATTGCGCAAGTTCTTTAGTCCTTGAGTCATCTCTTCCGGAAAAGAAAAAAGAGCAGTATAAGGCAACAATTTCCCACAAGTTTCAACTTTCCACGTCTGCCAGCTCAGTCACGAAGAAGTTTTTGACCACTTTAACGGCCCGCTACCTCCATGCGTCTTGATTTCTCGAATTTCATTTGAGGGAGGTGTCCTCACGAGGAAAATATCACCCTGTGAATCATTCATAGCGGCGTCCTCCTGCTCCTCTGTTTAATTTTCTAAATGTCCTTCTTTCACTCGTCTTCTTCTTCTTCTTCTTCTTCGTTTTCTTTTTCTTCTTCTTACTCTTCTCGGTGGACAGGTCTATTCTTCTTAGGTGAAACCAGACTAAGATGTACATATCCATTGATGAATAATGAATATGTGTGTAGAGTGCAATCCGAGCATCAGACGTCCAATGTCGTTTTCTCACCCCGAAATTGGGTTTCCTGATCTCTTATTCTTTAGAGATCTAATATATCTCACGTAACAAACATGAAATGGAATAGGTAAGATAGGATAGGACCCAATATATCCTGGTTGCAATGTGAAAGTGTAAAATCTTCGATCTCAGATATCCTCCTCATTTGCTAATTTGCTCTAGTCTTCGGACATATGTCTATCCCTTCTTCTCAGGAAACGAAGATCCGCTTGAGAAAAGTTTTTTTTAACCTTTGAAAAACTTGGCGGGCCCAGGCTCAGACCTGAGTGTTTGGAAGATCTCAAGAATTTGTCGACTTGTTACTTTTTTCTTGTTTCTTTTTCTCGAAGGACTTTCTCCTGCTGAGCCGAAGTTGAGCTCTCCAGTCCTGAATTATTCCACAATAGAAGGAAGAGGTGTCTAATCTGCTGCCAACTGTGTCCTTCACTCTCACACGCGCACTTCATTGTGTCACTACTCAAAACTTCCGACTTTTCCTTCTGAATACCAAATAAAGTTTTCGGTTTCCTTTCTCCATCCGCTCATCGTCAAATTTTCCAATTCACTTGCAAAAGAACGACAAAAAAGAAGAAAAAAAACGATACTCTGTCGAAGTCACTCATCTTTTCGGTGTTATTGAGGCAGAAAGACGAAGATCGCATGCTCGTTAACAGATTTCAGTCGTCGTCAATAACCGACGTCTCAATTTTCATTATTTTCCGTCTATTCCGGGAATTCCAGTTGTGACTGAACGCGTATTGTAAACAAACTGCCGAGAGTTTGTTTATAAACTAAACTTGGAGTGAGAAATACAAACTAATTGATCAAGTAGATTGCCGGATGTTGGAAAGACCGCCACACTTCCTCTGTTCTTTCACCCAGAATTTCTTATTTCTTCCTAATTAAAAGATGTTTCTTGAAGACACCCAGCTGATATTATGGGCACGGAAATCTAAATCCGAACTTCCGTGTTTCCCTACGACGAAAAGATCAGACTGACCAAAAACATTCCTTTTTCACACAATCTTACGTCAGTGGGACCTCGTCTTGTCCATTCCGTCCATGAGAATTACTCATAGTTCAAACTAGCATGTTTCAAGATGCTCATTTTTGTCCGCATCAATTTGCATTTGGAATAAGCAGCCTGCAAATAGCACCCAGAAATATGACGGATGAACACAATTTTGCTGGTGTGAATTCACAACTGTGTTTGTCAAAAGATATATTCCCTTTTCATTTACTCACTGTCACTACCTCTCGATCTTCTAAACTTTTCCTATCATGCTACTCGACTTGTTATCAGTTTTCCGAATGAAATTTCTCCGAATGCCCACCGCCAACTTCACGTCCGTCTTCATTTCTCCCGCTTTCTGCACTTCCTCAATTTCCGGCAGTTTATTTTATCTTTTGACCAAGTTAGTCCAAAGACGTGAATAAACTAATTTCAAACATTTGTCACATCTCTCTTTCTCCTCCTCCTCTTCCAAAAAAAGTTGGCTGCAGTTTGTGAGAAACTTCGTTAAGGCTGCTCACATCTTCAAAAACTCTGCCCATTTTCGTCGTGTGCATCATCGTCATCTAGTTCGACTTTCTTTTTTTTTTCATCTGAATGACCTCTTCATTTCTTTTCAACTCTTTGGTTCTTTGCAGCTATTTCTGATTGCCGTTTTGGTCCCCGCGACTTTGTCTTTTCATTTGTGCTGCCACGCTGAGAAAAGGACCGCCAAAGAAGAAGAAGAAGAAGAAGAAGAAGGCGCCGCCCGAAATAGTTGGACAGAATGTTGCAAGAAAACAGCGGAGTGAGGTAAGCCCAATGAGTCTTCTCTGTTTTATGCAAATTCAATTCCCAATTCGTCTGATTTTCTGGTTAAAAATGATAGTTTATCAGCGGAAAGTTCCAATTCAGAGGTTCTGTCGTTTGTGATCATTATTCTATGGTTCTGGGTCCTCCACCAACAAGCTTTCCATCTTTTTTCTGAAACAAGTAGCTTACTTATCAAAATCATTTATGTGTGATGGAATGATCATCTGCTTGATTACCCACAACGATGCCATGACATGCATTGTCTGAAAAAAATCGGAACAGAAAAGCCCTTTTCAAACATTTTGAACAAAGTTAGAAAAATCCGAATTTCGGATGTAATAATCCAGTTTCCCCCGCAGTAACTAAGGCAATTGAAGAAACATCTGACATTGCACTGACCTTTGTTTTTCACTATTTTGTCGTTGCATGTCTTTTTGATTAGCTGGATTCTGCCCACGATCCTCATGATCATAACTAACGTCATCTCAGTTTCTTTTCTGACAAAAAATTAAACGGTTGCGCAAGAGAGGGGCATCATTGTCGTCGTTCAGAAATCAAACGAGTTTTCTTCATTCCATACTCAGAAGCAGTTTATATTATGCTCTTCCGACTACAGTATCGTTCTCGTCCAAGCTCAAGAATCACTCCCTTTGTCGCAATGTGCTGATTGTCCAAAAGTACACTAGCTCAAGACTACTTCACAGGGAACTGAGTAATTCGTTTTGGTATCTTCTTACAAACGTTTTCTCTGCTTTACTGCTTTACTTTTTGTAAGACGTTGATTCTTGAAGACCGTTTCAAAGTGGCCGCGATTTAGTTGACGCGATTGAATTTGTTCGAAACTGTTTGTGTACATTCCATAAATGTCCGAGTGAGGAAATCATTCCGACTACGTTTTGAACTCATTTACAACTTTGTATTAATATTTGAAATGTGAGTTCTCCTCAAAATTTCTTTTCAATAAAATGTTCCGTGGGCAATTGAATGACGCAATAATCAACGTCATGTCAGGCGGCCAGGACTCCGGGATTGATTATTCTTCATGAGGACAATTTCGAGGTTTCCCGGCTCTGCCAGAGCTTCTGATTGTTTGTCTAGATGATGCGGCAATGCTGCACAAAACTTTCGTCTATTATGTCATTTTGTTGCACACGGCCTATTTCGGCTCTCCGAGATTTTCAATTTCTGAAGGCATCCCATTGTTTTGTAAACAAAGAGCTAAAATGAGAATCTTCCTACGGAAAGCTTTGTGCTACCACCCTGCCCTTTCATTTGACGAACACCTTTAACACTTATTCATCTACTTCTAATCCCCCTCAACTAGTCTAGCTCGCTGATCTATAATTCTTGAACAAAGACTTTAAGTCATTCGGAAAGTGATGTGCATTGGCTGTCAAACATCAAAAGGTACATACAATTAACAGTCCCTGGTGACCTCAAAAATGTGTTCTGATTCGAGCATCCGTCATTTCTCGCTTCCTTCTTCCGCCTTTGCGCGTGTTTCTGGGCTGTTTCTTAAGTGTTTGCTCTTCATCACATCATGCTCACTCTGTTCTCAGAAAGAAGGCCACGATGGACCCCAGATTAAAAAAGTTTAATTTCCGATCCTATAGAGGTTCGGATTTGCCTCAATTTTAATCAAATAGTGGCTTCAGCCATCCTCCAAGCCACAAAAATTTGCTCCGCCCTAATATCGCATGCGAAATTCTTTCCGTTTCTTTTCTTTTCTCTTCCGCTTCCCTTCGCCCCCATCGTTCTGACATCGTCGACTCAGAGTGTGCTTTTCAGAAACACATATTCTCTTCTTAACTGAAAATGTTGTTGACTGTTCTCCGGACAGTGTTCAGCTGCAACTATAAGTACAAGATGTCTGTTAAGATCTCTATTCTCTTTTTGACGGTCTTGTATAACGCGGGATTGACGCAGTTATTGTGAGTATTCTATTCTCGGCACTTCAAGCGAGGTTCCAAACAAAAACGGAAAATAGAAAATCGCTTCGTACCTCAAAACTTGACTTCCTATATTTAACAATTCAATGCCAAGTAAACCTGACAGATTTTCAAAAGTTCCAGAACAAAATACCTAAACTGTTTCCGATGGCCTTTGTGAACTTGTAGCTTGACTTGTTGCTCGGGCAACTCTACGTAACTGCCACAAACAACTGAAGAAATTCAGTGGAATAGAGGATTAGAAGTATAAAATCAGACTGCTCCAAATTTACTCTATCAGAAAACCATGTTTCCATTTATATTTTCAGTTTCCGTACCACTTCTGTCGATGATACTCCCGAAATGAATCATGTCGATTACGTCGCCCACGTCATCGTCATGCCCATCGTCTTGTCGATCGGTCAGTTTCGCGCACTTACACTCACCCCTCAATCCTTTTGTTCTAGGAATGATAAACCAATGTCTGAATGTGTGCACCCTCCTTCATATTCGGACCAGTATATTTCTCTATTTGAAAGCATCGGCAATTGCTGACATACTGAGCATTGTAGCCTTTATCCCGTTCCTTCTACGCCATGCTCAAATGATCGATCCGACCTGGGAGACCGGAATGTTCTATCATGCTCATTTTGAGCTCCCTCTAATCAACGCTCTCATTTCTGCCAGGTAATACAACATTCAGTTCGTCTTTCTAAGTAAGATCTCATTTTAAGTGCTCTGAACATTGTCGCAATGACGGTCGATCGATATGTTTCTGTGTGCCATCCAATCAAATTCTTTCAAAATAATGAAACGAAGCCTTCGCGACGTCGTACGATGCTCATAATCGTCATGATTTACTTCATTGCATTGCTCATCTACTTCCCGTCTGTATTCCAAAAGAAAGTCGGAGTTATGATCGATGCTACGCTGAATGAGTGAGCAAACGTGGCAAGATCCACAATGACCCATATTTTCAGAACCGTTTACACAATAGTCAGAAACGAAGAGGTCGAAGCTCTGCAGATCTTTAAATTCTACTTGATTTTGAGAGAGGTTCTTAATAAAAAGATGGAAAACCAGAGTAATCGGGCAATTTCAGTGTATTTGTCGTTGGGGTCCGGTGCTTCTGCTGGTTATCCTCAATATGTGCGTGGTGCGCGGACTGCGGAAGCTCGATAAGCGCAATTGTGTTTGGAGACAACCCTCGCAGAACAGTCGCAACGAAACCACAGCTCAACGGCAACTTCGAACTCCTCGAGACGACCGTAGCCGTATTTCCGTTCTTCTTTTTGTGACGTCGGCCACGTTTATCATCTGCAACATTCCTGCTTCAGTTATTTCCTTCTTTGTTGGGTAAGGCCGTCAAATACAGTCCGTTTCATAAGTATAGGGCCAACCCTATACTTGAATACATCCTCTTTCCCGAGCAAAATACGAAGACAGGACATTGAAAATCGAAATCAGCATCACAAATAACCCCCGGGAAACAACTTTTAGAGAAATGTATAGGATAGTTGGGGAATGGTGCTGAAATATCTGAAAATGTTGCATCTGCAAGCGTTTCAGTATAGGGCCACTCCTGAAAACACCCTGGAATCCTTTTAAACTGATAAACATGTGCAACAGTTTCGTTTTCAGTCGAGTAAGCGGTTCGTTGTTCTGGCAAATCTTCCGCGCCGTTGCTAATCTCCTGCAAGTCACCAGGTAAGAGATCATTTTTTTGTGAACGGAAAGGAACAGTTACTTATGCAGTTACTTGTACAACTTCTATCTCTACGCTCTGTGCTCGTCCGAGTACCGCCACGCATTCCTTCGTCTGTTCGGATGCCGATCCAGTCCGTCGCCAACTTCTACCGGGGACTCGCCGACCGTACGTGTTTCGGTTCATGGAAAACGGTGCCAGTGAGTGGAATCTTTATTCGGGCTCCCTAAAAAGCATTCATTGCAGAGCGGTCATCCTTCTCGAGAATGACAACAACAACTATCCAGTGGACGAAGTGTGATCTCGCACAGTTGCAATTATCTTTCCTCCACTTTTTCTTTTCAGTCCTTCATCCCCAGATCTCCTATCCGGCACGGTTCCCCTTCCACTTGTGATCCTCACTGTTCTTGTCGGCATAGTTTCGTCCCGTTTGACCGTAGACCTTCTCCCTTAGGTGTTCCAGTTGATGCCGGTCTGTCCCTTCACGTTCCGTCCTGCTTCGACGTATCATTCAGATTCTCCGTGCGATCTTCTTTTCCATTTCCAATTCTGTTCGCATATCTCTGCAATTGCGACCGTTGGCCAATCACTGATTCTTGTGTTTTCCTCTTCAAACCCCCACATCCATCGTCCCCGTGTTCCCTGCCCCCTAATGCTCCCACTAGATTTTCTTTTTGAGTTTTAATGAATATTTAATTTTTCGAGCAGTTCGAATGGCATCGTTCCTTAAAAAAAGGTAGAAGGTCGAAAGATTACCTGAACTATCCCAAAGACTCATTTCACAAAAATTTGTGTCCTTCTATTTTTTTGCAGAATTTTTCAGCCAAATTCAAGGGGATTCATCCGACATTCCAGTTTTTTCCCCTAATTTTATCCAATTTTTGTCGTCGTGTAGAGGTGCCAATACGAGACTTCTATCTTGCGCAGCCGCAAGAGCACCCCAAAACCGGAGGGCGCAGACGGCGTGAGGGAAGTTGGCGGCATGCCAGCAGCGAGTTAGATGTGCAGGCAGTGTACCGATTATGTGTCAGTGTTACCGTACCCATGCATTTCACGTTTATTTTGAAGAAAAACGTTGATCTCTCCTTTTTACCCTTGGATTTTAGGAATTTTGGTAGTGAATCAGTGTAAAAAATTTCAGAAACTGAATGTTTTGAGATTAGGATGTAACTACTTTAATTTCGGGAACTTTTTGTTGCGTCAGTAGTGTTAGAATGCTCGAAAACTTTAGTTTTAGGCTGATACTGTTTTATGTTTATTTTTTGACCACCCAGTTGGTTACGCTCATTCGAACAAAAGCATTATCTCTCTGAAGTTTAGGAGAAAATTTTAAGAATGGATTCCCTTCTCTTTTTATATTATTTCCGCTTTTTATGGAACTTTACGAAGTTACCTAAAATATTATTTGCAGACATGGGTGACATCGAGAAGCAGACGGAGATCCGCGAGAAGAAGGCCCGCAATGTGATGCGTGAGCTTAAGATTCAGAAACTCTGCCTCAACATCTGCGTTGGAGAGTCTGGAGATAGACTGACCCGTGCCGCTAAGGTTAGCCCATCCGCACCCTTCCAGATCCAACAATTGCTTGTTCCAGGTGCTGGAGCAGCTCACCGGACAGACCCCAGTGTTCTCGAAGGCTCGCTACACCGTCCGTACCTTCGGAATCCGCAGAAACGAGAAGATCGCCGTTCACTGCACTGTCCGTGGACCGAAGGCCGAGGAGATCCTCGAGAAGGGACTCAAGGTCAAGGAATACGAGCTCTACAAGGAGAACTTCTCCGACACCGGAAACTTCGGATTCGGAGTCCAGGTAACAATTTCAGCACTGTACAGACCGTCTGTAGCGAAAAGTTGTTCAGGAGCATATCGATCTCGGAATCAAGTACGATCCATCGATCGGAATCTACGGAATGGACTTCTACGTCGTTCTCGACCGTGCTGGACGCCGTATCGCCAAGAGAAGACGCGCTCCAGGACACGTCGGAATCTCGCACAGAGTCGGACGCGAGGAGTCGATCAAGTGGTTCCAGCAGAAGTACGACGGAATCATCCTTCCACCAAAGCCGAAGGTCAAGCGCACTGTCCACCGTCGTCGTTAAGAAAATTGTTATTTTTTTGACATAAACTGTTGTATGTTGCTTGCAGCTGGGGGGTGGTTCTATTGTTCAGATCAGCAGTAGTCCGGGGGAAAAGTGGATAGAGGATATCTGAGAGGTGGTCAAGAGCGAAGTGAGGACGCTACATGTGAGCGAAACAGATTGAGAACTACTCGGATCCGTGCTTCTGTCGGAAGATCGAAAAGATGGAAACACAGGAAAAACGCGACTATTCATAGCAGGCGGGAGCCAAAACGAGTGTCGTTTCAGAGTTTCAGAGCAGTTACAGGTTTTTCGAAGTGCACGATTCTAAAGCATCATCGTTGCTGAGGAAGCTACACAAATCGGACGGATTTCGACGTCTAGGTGTTCAGACTACGTCGTTCCGCAGTATTGTCAAACGTTACCGAACACGCCCGCGCAAGTCCAATTCGCTTATATCCACTCCAATACAAAACAATGTGATGGGTACGAAAGTGCATGCGCTCGATTGTCAAAGATCTTGTCCAGCCAGGCGGGAATGGACAGTTCTTCCAATTTTCGTACAAAGTCGACCCAAAAATTTATATTGGATCAGTGTGTACTTTCGAGAAATCTCTCAGAAATAGCCTTACTTTGAAAGAAAAGGCGGAAAGGCTAAAGAATGGGGCCCGCGTAATTCCGGAGTCTTTTTCAATTTCATTCGTGTACCAACCGCTGCCGGTGCACGGATCTCAGAGGAATGATTCCGTTCCGATTTGCAGCTAACAAGTCATTCAAGATGTTCCTTCTGTGTAAACCGGATGACTTCCGCTTGTCTTTCCGCAATCTGGACCTTTTGACACACATGTCCCAACTCACAACTAACGGAAGACTCTATCACGTCTGCCGATGAACCGCAGTAGGAGGCCGTTCAAGACGACGTCATGGAGGAATAATTAATAGTATAAAATGATCACTTTTAATTGTTTCTGTTTTATCGAATTTTCCAGTTTTGTCCCGTTCTATCCCGTCTTCCCGTTTTAAACGTACTGTTCAATCTTTGTTTTTGTTATGCAGTATTCACTTATAAAGATTACGTAACCACGGACTTTTGATCAATCGGATAATTTCGTCTCATGTTATGCGGATGGGAGACCGAAAAGATTGAAATTTTTGCAAAAACTGGGCTCTTTCGGTCTCAAATCAGTATAACTCGGACCAGATGATAATCCGATTTGTCTGAAATTTGAACCCAAAATTATTCAATCCAAGACTTAGAAAGCTGCAGAATTTGAATCCGAGCGGATTACTGCAAGCGGCCTTTTGGAAACTTGGCCCGGTTCAGCCCGATTCATATCGATTACAGATTCTCATACAAATTTTATTGTTCGAAAATGAATGTGGAGTCGTACGTAAGTGAGAAAAAACAGGAATCATCACTAAAAAAAACTGTGTGAATATCGCAGAAGGGGGTCTAAGGTGCACAGGCAGAAGGAGCTAGACAGAAAGAATCACTAGAATATTGGGGAGACAGATAAAGTTGGAATGTGTACTAGTGGTGAACAGTACAGTGATCAGGTGGGAAGGCGGTTTCATATTTAGTACACTGTAATTTTTATACAAAAATTAGCCAACGGAAGTCAAAGCGGAATGTTAGGTTTGATTGCAGTGCAGAGTGAGTCGTTTACTTGACAGCCACAGATTCTCCCTGGGCGTCAGTGTCGAGCTGCTTCCCGAGGTATTCCCAGTTGTGAACCATCAGTTTCTGGACAGCAAGCAGGGCGTGGTAGCGGACGTTCGGATCTTCGGCAGTCAGCAGACGCATCACAGCTTGCTTTCCTTGGTATTGCTCCACCACACTGAAAATAACAAATGTCGATTCCGGTACTTGCTGTTCGATGTAACTCACGTCTTTCCTCTCGGGTAATGACGGACGTACTCTCCAATATCATGAGCGGCAACGCAAAGAATCAGTGGGTCCTGGCTGGATTCGAGCAACTTGATCAGTATCTTGACCACCTCGAACTGTTTGTCGTTGAATCTCGGCGCATTCTCGCGCCAGAACTTCTCCGACTTGTGCACTGGCGACCATTGGAGACGTCCAGAGCGAACCTGAAGTGTTCCGATGTGAGTATGTTCATCACACACTCGGAGCTCAGCTTACCTCGCTGTAATACTCGTCATACGAACTCAGGTCGTGGACGGACAGGGTAAGTTCATCGCTGAGGAACTTGACGTCATCCTCAAGATCTGGATCGTCGTACTTCTTAGCATCCATGAGCTCCAAAGTTTTGAGGGTCTTGCACTGAACCATCTGGAGAGCAGCCTCTCTCTTTATCTCACGCTCCTCGACCTTGTTCAGAATGTTGACGAACGAAGCGAGAATGATTCTGATCACTTTTTCTTTGGTCGACTCGGAAAGGATATCTCCGAGAGCCTGGATGATGCCCAGCGATGGGGCCTTTCTGGCGATCTCGGCATTGAAAGTGAGGCACCAGACGGCGAAGATGAGCTGGTACTGCAGTTGGAAGTTGGTTTTTCCGTTGAGAGCAGTGACAAGACTCTGAACTCCGTCAGCGTCGACGAATTCATGTCTGTACTCGTCGTGGCGGAGCATCATCTGGAGGCAACGGGCGGTGGTGTTCATGTACTCGTTGGTCTGAAACGTATCCGGTTGTGGACCGGATCTGGCATCTCGGAGTGTTCTTACAGAAGAGTTCTTGAGTTGCTCCTTGAGGAAAGAGAAGTAGTACTGGAGGTCCTGCCCGTCCATTCGGGTGGTTCCGAAGCAGGCGAGCTTGGCGATGATGGAGCTCATCTGGTTAACGATGAAGTTGTCTTGGCGCTGCAGGATTCCGAGATACTGCGACCAGACAGTGCGCTTTTGGCGAGCAGCAGCGCTGTGGAAGAGCTCGACGCGAGACTTCTCCTCCTGAAAATACACAACTGAACGAAAAAAAGACGAGTTAACACACCTGGAGCATGTCGTCAAAGAGGGTGAGAACGTAGCGGACGTTCTGATCCTTGGCCACCTGGGTGATCAGGTTGGCCATGGTCTTGGCGGCCTGTCCGTTGGCGTCATTGGCAGCGAGGACCTGGTCGCGCTCTTCCTTCGACTTGGCGTTCTCGTAGCTGGTGATGAACGTGTAGTCGTCTTGCTGGATCATTTGAGAGCGGAAATACGAGCCCCAGTTCGGCTTGTTGCTGCGAATCTGAAAATGCGCATTGTTTGGGTGCAAATAGAGAAAATCCGTACCTCAATTGCTTCTATCTGAAGGCGAGACGTGGCATTAATCATGTCGACCGCCGGAATGTTGTGATGAGGAACCTCCGCCATGGCTGAAATTTGTTACAATTTTTTAAAGATAAATTCGAGAAAAAGGCAAAAAACAGCATTAAACGTGCAGTGAAGGGATGTTTTGAGCAGGAAATATGGCGCAATCGCGTTTTTTACATCAGCATAGCAAAAAGCAGCTTTCCAGAAGTCCAAAAACAGAAAAAAAGGTTACAGAATGAATGCAAGAGATCATGGTTAGAGAACAACAATCAATGGATGGTCGACAAATCGTGGCGAGACCCGCGCCCGAGGGGGAAGACTGCACGCTCTCTGCCCGTTTCTGCCGCCGTCTGCGTCTCCCACGAGAAAATCTATGCGCGGCAAGCACGCCGGGGGGACAGAAGTGAAGGGGAATATTGAGGCAGAAATGAACCGAAAAAGGAGAAGAATCATTTTGAGGAAAAACTGCTTCGCACAACTCAAAATGAAATAAAAACCTTGTTTTCTCGCTCGATACAAGTGTGTGGAACGTGGATGTTAGCAGGAAACATTTCGTGTCGAAGAAAATTCAGTTCCGCTTTGGATGAGACGTCATAATCAGGAACTTCCTAAGAATACCAGTGAAGATACTTATTACAATTAAATAACTTTTTTTGTCAAGAAAGACTTGAGTGGACTTCCGCTTCTACTCTTTCACAACAGCTGATCTTGAGCAGTTTTCTGGTCTCTCTCAGAATCTCTCAGATTTCACGGATTCGCTTGAGATTATTTTAAAACTTTAAAATGCTTCTTAACTTTAGAAATACAAAAAAAAACGCATTCCAAACTCTGACTGAGAAATCGCAAATTCCCCAGTTTTCAAAAAAAAAAACAAAATTTTCAACGGCCCCGCCCGGAAAGCCCACAGTTTTAGTCTCAAATTGTAGTAGTTCAAGTTTCCAGCATGTTTTGATATAATTTTTATAACGAACGAATAACGTAAAAGTCTGTAAAAAAATAAAAGTATGATGATTGGGCAGAAGCCGGGCCGTAAAAATATTTAGAACTATGGGTTTATAATAATACTTGCTGATTTAGTTCCAAATTAGGAACCGTTTTTACCCGTTGAGGTTCAGAAGAATGCTCATCTTCCGAACTTGCTCTTCCTTACGGTTTCGTTTTCTCATTCTAGTCAGCTAGCTTCTCTGTATTTTGGTGCTTTCTTGTGTCAATTTTTCGAAACGATAGGTCTCATGACTTATTTTCTCTTCGACTGACTGACTGACGGGAGCAGCCACTTATTGTTCATGTTTTACTCCATAAGTAATAATTGAGACTTTTGCATTTCCAAAAATGTTGAAGGAAACGATTCTGGAAATAATAATTAAAATTCCGATAACTATTGTTCAGTTCCTATTATGATTCTGATTCGTACATAATTCAACGAAGAACTCATAAAAAATGGCATGGTATTTGACGGAAATCCAAGGTTGTTTAAGAGTGGTTCAAGCCAAAACCGAGTGAAAGTGAATAGCCTGTCAATTATACCACCTGTTGTTCAAAACAATTATTCATAGGTGTATGTCGGATTCCGATTTTATCTTTTTCACTCATCCTTATGTCACCTCGAATGAAAGTGAGCAAGAAGGTCAAGTGTACGTTTGCGTTCACGAAAGCATTCGGAAACTTACAAAAAACTTCAAACGCACCGCTTTTAAAGACATGTTTGTTTGAAGTTGAAGTTGAAGTTGCGACTCGAACTTCTCTCTCTCTCTCTCTTTTCATCTAACCGACCACGGAGCTTGACTATACTTGAGATCCCTCTAATTGTGAACGGAAACGGTATAATTAGACCCCAGACACGCGTTAACTTTATGCAGTCGCGCCCATTACACCCAAAAGGATGCGCCGCGCCAAGTTCACTTCAAGTGCCGCCACCCGATTAAAGGCTTGTCTTGACAAGATCTCTTCTTTCATTTCACACCAAATTGGCGTCTTTTTTGGGTGTCTCTTGATACTAATCGTCATTTTTCCTTCATAAAAAACAGAAAGAAGGCAGAAGTTGTCCTGCTTCTTTCTCGTTTTTTTCTCACAATTACTGTCCGAATCATTATTGTGATATCCGCATTGCGTTGTGTTTTTGTAACCTGTTATCTCATCAACAACACATATTGCGCCACACCTCCTCAAAACAATAATGAGAGCCATGACGAGCAGTGACATGAAAATTATCGCCCCAGGTTGCATCAGTAACGTGCCCGGACACCTCGTGTGACCTAATTAACCTGCTATCGTAAGTCACCCCCTGCTGTGGGAACTCAATACGGAGTTAGGTAACAGTAACAGCGTTCGCACTTTCAACCAAACACATTAGCACCAAAGTTTCGTTATCTGGTGGAACAGCTGGAGCCATATGGTCTTGCAACTAAAAAATTATTTTTCTAGGTGTCCGAAGCAATCAAGCGTAAATGTTTGGAACTTTTTTTCAACCAACTATACAACGAATGCGCTTTTTTGTTCAAGTCCATGATTCTCACAGCTTATCTTGTCTCAAAGTAGTTATGATAAGGCGTCCAGAGGTTTTGTAGAATCTCGTTGTTTGAGATAAGACATGATATAATTCCATATCGGGATCCACTTTTTGTTGTTTCGATAAACTTTAGTTCCTCAAGATTCTTACTATTGTAATACGAAAATATATTGTTGTGCCCAAGCCCATCTGGAAGTGTACACATGCATGAAACCGTTTCTGTAACCTCTGCTACGGTATAACACGCTCTCTGTCGTGGCAGATAATTAATCACAGTGCCTCGTCTTGGCTGTCCGCATACGCACCTCCCCCTCCGTTGAGTACTGTGGAGAGACGTGGGCGGGGCTTGCTGCCATCGTAGTCTTCTCGGACCAAGATTCTCATTCTCTTTCATTCAATCTGTCACTCAGTGTTGCAGTTCTCAATAATCATGAGCTGGGAGCAATACCAAATGTACGTGCCACAGTGCCATCCGTCGTTCATGTACCAATCCGTCGGATCTATTCAGTCTACTATGACTACTCCACTTCAAAGCCCCAACTTCTCTCTGGATAGCCCTAATTATGCCGAAAGTCTTTCGTAAGTCAAAAGCAATAGTTGATTTCACTTGCGTCTGTTTCAGGAACGGTGGAGGTAAGGATGACAAGAAAAAGTGTCGCCGGTACAAAACTCCGTCCCCACAATTGCTCAGAATGAGAAGAAGCGCCGCCAACGAGAGGGAACGCAGGAGAATGAACACGCTCAATGTTGCTTATGATGAGGTTAGTAGTCCAGTGCACACATTATGTGATTCTCGAATAGAAACCCGAACACGAGCATTTGCCATTCATCCCCATCACAAATTCAAAATCATAACCAATGGTAGGGGGTTACTGTAGAAGTCAGTAAGCCTGCCTTGAAGGACGTGTCTGGTAACAGATGTTATCCCCCTTCCACCACCAGAATCGTTTACCTCACTACTACCAATTTTGCCACTCAATTTATGACTGTCCATTTGAAATTTATATGTCCCTCATTTCAGCTCCGCATGGTTCTGCCGGAAATCGATTCGGGAAAGAAGCTGTCCAAGTTCGAAACTCTTCAGATGGCACAGAAGTATATCGAATGTCTCTCGCAGATTTTGAAACAAGGCTCCAAGTCCGAGGAGAAGGCCATTAAATCCGGTTGAATTGTAGCATTACTTTCTATTATGGGTATTTTCCTTCATATTCTATACTTCAGTCTGTCATATCTGCTTTTATAATATTCGATTTTTTTCAAATAAACCGAACAATTCTTCACTCTCAAATTGCCTCAATGCAAAGCAGGAACATGTTTGATTCCGTCCAGGAATAAAGGGTCGTTAGCTGTTTTTTCTCCATCCGTGAAAGTCCATAAAACTTTCTGAGATATCGGAGTGCTTTGGAAATGGGTCTACGGTAGCAAGTGGAAACGACACGTGCCGTGCATCAAGATAACCATCGGAAGGACAGTTTGCCGCGCACGACGGTGGTTCTCTCCTCGTCAAGAGCTTCGTTTCGCGCAGTTCCGTACAACTTTCCATTCTTTGAATATTTTGCAGAATGAGAAAGATTTACAGATTTGCAGATGGATCTATTTTTCATAGTTGTCAATTGAGAGATGAAGATTGCGTCATTCATAATACTCTTGTCCAGTTACGCTTTGATATCTTACTATAACATCTTGATCACTTGGGCATGAGAAAAGTGTTCCATCACCATTACCCGATGACCATCAATGACCGAAACAGTTCTCAGGATTGTGTTGTGAGACTGTCTCACCGATAAGTTTCGCTGGATCTCAATGAGAACCCGGCAACTTGGCTTCCAAGGAATCTGAAAATCAGACTTGCAACGGGCCTGACCGGGCCAAAAAGTGAAATTCCCCACTTTTAGCAACCATTTGCGCCAAAAATTTTCAGTTTTCCGCAAAAAAACTCGTCCCACGTATTTTTGTTCCCTACAGCCCCTTCCACCCGCTAAAAATTACACAATGGCGTGGTGTCTCTTGCCACCGCTCGCCCATCACTTTACAAACTTTTCGCCGCTCTGCTCATGTGTCCTCGGTAGTATAGTGGTGAGTATCCGCGTCTGTCACATGCGAGACCCGGGTTCAATTCCCGGCCGGGGAGAAATCTTTTTGTTTTTGATAACTAAAATTTTTTGCATTGTTCGGAAGAGAACAAAGACGTAATCATCGCCGGTTGGACGATGTAACATTTCGGCGTGGCGGGTTCTTCCTGAAGTCAACCGCAAATAGATCAAATGGATCCAGTGATCCATCGGATCGTAAAAATTTGATTGTCGAGCGCCCAGATGTTGCGGTCGCATCACCTGCCCCAGCGGCGGTCCTGTTAGCCGCCGAGCCGATTATGTAACTCGTTCCTTTGTGTCCGTGCGCAACATAATAATTATCTCGCGAACCGTATTCCGAGATTCGTTTCCAATTAATGACCTTTTGGCGTCTACCTAATAAACGTGTGGGTGGGAATACCTGAGCGCCATCCTTTCATTTTACGCAACACAATCCGTTAATTGGCAACAATTCTTGCACATCGCTTCGATGCACCACAGGATGGTTCGTACCTTCTTCAAAAAGACCGCGAACATCTGTCCGGAACACGGTGATCGGTAATCCGCTTCGGCACCACCAACAAACGCGTTGTGCAACCGGTCGTGACCCGTGTTCTTATCTACTGTTCACATCAACACAAATTTATTATGTATTATGTTAATATTAATCAAAAATACGTTATTTTGGCAACAAGTGTTGGCATTTATTCATTTAAAGCTCAGACTTGGATGCGAGGGGTTCTTCAAACTCGAATGGGCAGTAGTCGGGGCTGTTGTTCGGCTGAATACGGTATCCTCTAGAGACCAGGCGGCAGCGGAGTTCGTGCAATCTTGGCCAAGCATCTTCTGCCTTTTGCGTCTTTTCCGCTGGCGACCAAAGTCTTTCGGCGGCCGCAGAAGCTCTCGGCCTGCAAAAAGTTGTCAATTTCCACTGGTCTAGAGAAAAACTGTTACAAACCAAAGTCTGGCTTCAATGTTCGTGTTATCAACAAGTTCTCCCCAGATCGCGGCGATTCCTCCGAGCACAAGGTTTTTCTGCACATCAGTTCCGTTGAAGTTGGTGGGATCGCAGTAGTAATATCTGATTGCAACATACAAATATGGAATGTTTGGTGTTTGATACCTGGAGTTGGAAGGAGCGGTTCCACTGATCTCATCTTTCCAATCAGCGCCATACTTGATATAGTTCAAGTACCAGCACGCGGACACGATCACCGGAAAGTTTCGAGATGTTATGTTCTTGACCTGCTCATAGATCTGCTCGTGAGTGTTTCCCTTCCAAATATGGATGATCGAATTGGGATCCGGGATGTTGTTGTCGAACACTTCTTGCCAGAATATTGGAGTTCTTTTGAGACGGAATCCTTCGACAATCTTGTAAAGTCTGAACAGAAAGGGGAAAAATTAAAGGTTTTTGTTGTGGGATTTGACTCACTTTTCGAAGAAATAGTTCTCAAGGAGCACAGTGTCATTTCCGAATCCCTTCTCTTCCATGAACTTTCGAATCTTCTTGTTTCGGACCCAGCATTCCACAATGTAATCAGACACTTCATCCCCTCCCAAGTGTAAGAACTGATCTGGGAATGTTTCTGTGACTTCTTGCAAAAACTCCTGAACCAATGATCAATTGACAAACCGTCCCATTAGACCCAACTCACGGAAATGAAATCGAAATTAGCATCATTAATTGGATCAATCAAATTCGGCAAGTTGGTCTCTTCACCTTTCTCGTCGAAACATTCCGTCAAGAATCCTTTCTTGCCTTTCCACGCGGAGGTGTGTCCAGGTAGGTCGAATTCCGGAATGACCCGGATGCCACGGAGTCTTGCAAAAGCAATTACGTCAGCAATATCTTCTCGGGAATATACATGACGAGGAGAATAAGCACCCTGAAAAAATAATTGACAATTTGCGACAGTTTAGTAGTTTACCACTCCATGAAGCTCGGGGAACTTTGCGGAAGTATACGGGAACGACTCGCTATCCACAAGATGCCAATGGAGAACATTCATTTTGTTCATGGACATGATCTCCAATTGTCTCTTGATTACGTTAACAGACAAAAAGTGACGGCTGGAGTCGATCATGATTCCACGCACTGGGAAACGGGGTTTGTCGAAGATTTCTGCTGTTCGGATCTGGTACTGAAAAATTAGAAAATACTATTATCAACTTTCACTTTCAATCAAACTTCTTTGGATTTCTGATCGTAGAAGACAAGCTGACTCAAAGTTTCCATAGCTCGGAGAGCTCCCCAAACAGTCTGAGCATTGATGACTGCTTCGCCGAGGCTGACACGCAGAAGATATTCTTCGCTGGCGCCATGCACGGGCGGACCGGCCGGACACTCATCTTTGACCGTCACAGTGATAATGAAATCATCGGTCCCTCCTGTTTTCATCTCGACCGGGAACGGGAACAACCACTTGTTCACTATAAAATTTACAGATTTTACGGCGACACTCCGTTTTTAACGAACTGTAGTTGTCGGCCATAGAAAAAAGAATGTCGCATTCTTTCTTATCGCCGAGATCAATTCCGATTTTGTCATATGTCAAAGTTCGGTTCTTCGATCCATATATTATTTTTTGGGGAAGTGGCCAGACCTGCAATTCAATAGAGACGAGTGATTGTTTAGACTTTGGCTGATACCCCGCCGACACTCCAGCGATCTGGCTCGTCACGGCCGTAGAACCACGCGACGGTGGAGGCAAACAAAAGTGAGAAGATGAACAGAAGTCGCATTACCTGCAATTCGAGAAAATTGAATAGAGAAGTGCGAAAAAATGAGCATGAGGATCAAGTTCGAGTGAATGACCGGCACGATTTGAGTGTTTGCCGTTTCATCTCTGCTCAATTCGTGAAAACGTTTTATTTGACTTTCAAAGGTTTTTATGGTCAAAGCGCACTGGTCAGCTTTTCAGAAAATATTGGACCAAGTAGTTTGCACTAAAACACAGACACCTCGAAGGTCATTAGACATGCTGAAGTCAGCAACAATGTGCATTTTGCCGCGGGCAAGCTTTCGAGAACCAAAGAACCGAGCTTAGCAGACGGATTCTCAAGAGATGGTAATAAACGGAATGCATAATGTTGACTGAAAGTGAAGAACGTCACGTAAACATTTTAGAAGAGTGTCACAAAGAAATAAACATTTGATGTTTGTTTTCTCCATTAACGACGAATTCTAATGGATTTCGGATAGGAGAAGAGTAACACACACATCAGATTTTAAAGTCTTAGTTCACCGAAAATTTTTCCATCAAATGACCTTCGACTCTGCTTTTTGGAACAGCACAAAAAACACGAGTGGAGAGGATCGGCGGCGGCTGAGCTCTCTGGGGATTTGACATGACCCTTCTCAGAAATGTGCAAACATCGGCCGTTTTTAACACAATGAGAGATTTGCTTTTTTATTTTCGAAAATATTTGTGGGGTATTCAAAGGCCGTTCTGTACAGACGCCAAGAAACCGGATGCCCTGATAACACACTGTACAAAAACAACCAATGACATTGTTCCGAAACGAACGTGTGATAAGAAGTTTTGTGTGTCCGGCCAAGACGTTTTATGTGTGTCCTAGATGTTCCTTCATGTGTTGCGAGCCGTTTGGCCGAACCTGGCACGCGAAAATTCAATTTTGCGCCCGACCCTCTCGATAATCTTCTTTGTGCCCACAATAAAACATTCGATCAACGTTGTGAAATCGAGAAGAGTCTTTCGAACTTTTGCAACTTTTCTGTGAAGGGTCAAGATAACAGCTGACAGCTGACAACAGATAGACCAGCTGTCTATAAAAGTTTCATTAAATCGCTGATAATGACGCGTTTTTTTTCCAGACAAAATAGAATGCGAATGCGAATATTGAAGTGCCACTTGAAAACTTTCAATTAAATTCTCTGGAAGACCAAATGAAAAAATCTTCGGCAAAATAAATGTTTTCTTGGTTTGTGCTAGAAGTTTCATAGGCTGAGGCGTGCAGGGAGAGAAATCCGATAGTGTATATAGAGAAATATGAAGATTTTTCAGAAGTGTGACTAAAAGGGAGCGCTGGGGGTTATATAGGCCCGTGCCCAATCGAATAAAATTGAGAAAGGGCATGGGAATGGAAATGCTATGATTCCTCTCCGAGAGCATCATAAATTTGTTCCAGTGTTCCTGTCTTGTCGTTTCTTCCCCCAAATTCTCTATCTGTAACCCAAATCTCATTCCGATCTCGGTAGTTTATGTTTTCAGAAAATCCCCAACCCCAGATGGAAATGAAACGAAATGTCGTTGTTCAGAACGGCGGCAGTAACCCGCGCACGAATTCAGTTTTTTGTGTTTGTGTCCGTCGCACACTACTTCACTTTCCATGCCCCATATTTCGGCCGAGTGAAAGTGTACGGTGGCGACAGTCAGTGTCTTGCGCCAGATCAACTCTAATAGCGTTTGCGACGAAATGGCACGGCCAATCGGCTGAAATGCGCTTCTGGCTATCGCATTCGGTGTAAACTAGGTCAAATCTCGGCATCATCATGCTTTTTCATCGGTTTCCAATCTGTTTTTCCCCTGGATTTTTGTGCGGCAATGTCTTTTCATGTTTCGTTTGCAGAATCTTTTATTCGATCAGTTGTTTGATATAATTTGACAGATAATTGGGGGAAGAGGGAGAGAGAGAGAGAGAATTCAGAAAACCATACAAATGTTGTAAGATCATATATGAACCATTATGTGATTGCACAGTGCAAAATAACAATCTTAAACTGTGATTCAGGTATTTTTATATGCGAGATTGGAGACAAGCAAAAAGTACGACATAGATAATCACCACAACCCGCAATAAGTGAAAGAATAGTTCCGCGGATAGTATTCCCAAAAGCTGTGTAGGTAATGACTATTAATTAAGATATCATAAGAAGAGAGCACCTACCTAAAACGGTCGGAGTATCTACCGGTTCTGAGAGTAAATTATCATTTTTAACACTTCGTGATAGTAAGGGAGAAAAGGGGTGTGGAGGACACATGAGAGATGATGAACAAAGAGAAAGTGAACGTGACGTTTTGGTGGCTGAGGTGGAGAGGGATCAAGTATCACAATTTTCAAATGCTGGCCGAGTATTTTTTGAAGTCGAGTTGATCAGTGTGCCCGTTGGTAAGACTAACAATCATTAAAGTTAACACCAATAAGTTAATAAGTTATCCAAGAAAAAAAGAAGACTTGACTAGTTAGGGGTTCAGGGGAAAGAAAGGGGAATATGACATCGGAATACGGGTAACCAGACCCCGGAAAGGCAATTTGGTACATCGGGACTCGTCCTGCGAGGTGATATTCGCATTTAACATGCTGCCGTTCGCCGGCAAACTCCTTCGTCACAGCAGCAGATCCGGATCACACGGCAGCCGCAGCCAGAGGTTAAACATTGCGATACTTTGATTTCCTGAAAACATGATCATGATGATATGAGCACGTGTGGTTCAAAAGTTACCTCTGTTGTCTGGGTGCTCGAGTCCCTCATCATTGGAATCGGTCTGAGGAGGCTGGCTGCTTGGATCACCGGACTTGTTTGGATGCTTGGAAGTGGAGGCAGAGGCTTCAGATCCTTGAGGTTCAGGATCTGTGGTGGGGGTGGAATGGCTATAGATGCTTCCTTGGGCATGTGCAAGCTGACTTGGCTGCTAACGGATAGGTTGGAAGGGAGCGAAGCAGTTGAGGGAGCGGTGGCGCCTGCTGGAGGAGTCGGACCCTGTCCCGGCTGGTGCTTCGAAAATGCAGCAATGGTTGAAAGTACATCAAGTCCACCGACAGGGTTGAGCATTGCGTTGGCCCAAAACATGGCGACAGGGTCTTCGAGTCCCATCCACGGATTGTTCATTCCATTCATGACTGCTGGCTGGAGAAGGTTGCTCTGCTCTTGGGATTGGGACACTGGGGGAGGGTTGGACTGAGGGATCCGGATCGTTGGAGTTTGATTGAACGGAGACTCCACTTTGACCATAGAGAGTCCGTTGTTGAAGAGGGGTAAAAAGCAAGACATGTCGTTCTCCATCTTGATTTTTGGAATCTTGTATTCATTTTCATCTTCATCCTAAAAAAGAAAAATTAAAGTTTTGGTTCAGGAATTCAATTTGCCTTACATCTACTTCAAACTTCATTCTCTTCAGAGGATTCGAGGTCTTGTTTCTCGGCTTTCTTGGCTTGCCCTCTCTGTTTCGGGCAAGCACAAGGCTCTTCCTGATGCTCTCTTTGTTGTCGAAAACGACTCCTTCACTCAAGTACATGCTAGCCTGATTGACCAGATCCCCAGCGTCGTGGTCGGGGTTTTCGAGGGCGGCGACGAAGAGTTGAGACTGAAAAATGCAGAACTTGTAACCAGAATCCCCATTTCAAATCATTTTGCGGAAAGCCATAATTTCTCTTCATTTTGAATGCCCTTTTCATTGGGTGTGGTAATAAATTGCGTCAGAATTGACCCTCCGCTGACCTAATTCTACCGAATTCACAAAAAGTTCGTACCGCCAATTTGAATGGCAGCGACGCAATAGATCGAGAAAATTGGCGCATCTAGGTTAACGAGTCGGGTGGTAAGGCGCGGCCTGGCCCCGCGCGCACTGCCGCGTGCCTGCCATCCGAAGATTGACCTTGGCAACGCGCGGATCTGTTTGCGAATTACTTGCGGATGGACGGAAGGGATTGCGACACGCAACAGGAGGCCGATGTTTCGAACCGTGCCACCCGCAAATTGTTTGGTTTGACCTGACCAAATTTCCAACTGACCTAGGCACCGGGCGCCGCCACCCAGCGCCGCCGCCGCCGCCGTAGCGCATCCTATTGCACTTTCAACTTGTACACACACACACAAACTGTTTTATTCGCTCTCGGAAAGGACTAATGATCTTCTCCGACACGGCGCGACTGGTGCCATGAAGTGACATTCAAAGGTTGCGAAACACTGACTTTAGTGATATTTCAATGCCGATCCCCACGTACGCGTGTTAGCACACACGGCACAATGGGTTCCACATGACGTTGTGAAATTTGAACTTCTAGCCAAGAAACTAATTGGAACAAAAAGAGTCAGCTGGCATTTCAACCTTATGATATCGCCGCTCTGATCTGGCACCGCGCCAATTGTAAAGGGCACTGCTCTTTCCGCAGTCAGCTGTGCGTGCGCTGTGTCATCCCTTCGTACCTTGATAAATTCGATCTCAGCGACATGGTGCTTTGGCGGGTGATTGTGCAAGCCCTTTGTGCACGCGTTTTTGTCATCCATCGTTGTCTCAGCGCGGCACTTACACCATTGGCCCGCATCAGACATCTTCTTGGCGCAAACACACCGCCAAGACTTGAAGTTCCGATCTGGAACAACCTAAAAACAACTTGTGATGCGCGTTAACTCTTCCTCGTGATCACTGATATACCTGATAGATGTTGTATCGGTAACCTTGGTACATAAGCTTTTGGTATCCCTTGAACGAGGTGACAATTTGAGGAATGTCTGGGTTGTACGGGACGAACGAAATCTGAAATCTCGGGTGTTTCTCGGTGTCAGGTCGTTTTGAAATAGTGTGGGAAGGGAGCCCAACGAATTCCTCCTGTACAAATACGGTCAACTAAACAAGCAAACGTTCGCCCCTCGAAAACTCTATTTGCCCTTCGGACAGTCCAAACAGTTAACCCTCCTGGTACCTTTTTCTTTTCCTTGTCCGGTGATAGTGGCATGCTGCTCACACTGATCGGTGAGATGGCTGAGGTGTCCGTAGACGAAGACGAAATGTCGGAAGATCCTGGCTTCTCAAGACCCAACATTGTCTGTAATAAGTGAAACGGTTAAGAAGGAAGAAATGAAGGAAACGGTAAAGGAACTGGATGAACTCTGAAGATTGAAAGATTGAACTCGGGATAATGATGAGAAGAAAAAAGATAGACAAGTGGAGAAGAGGTTACAAAAAACGAGCGGACGCAGGTCCCGATGTATAGTGAGCGAGGATCAGACACCTAGAATCAGACGGCAATCGCTCTATTTCTCATCCTCTCTCCCTCCTGCCCGGCACTATCAGTTGCTTGGGGTGGAAAAATCAGCTGATCGAGAGGCGCGTGCCATCCCTTGAACTGATAACCTATCGTGGCAGGCACCAACCGGCTGCCAACTAAGACGGCGAATACTGTTGTTTGGATGAGGTGCGCGAGAACGAGAGCGGTGAAGAGATAGAGGATGAGTGACCGACAGGAGGCACAACTGACTGTACGGAAACTGCGAGGAAACATGCGTCGAAACGAGATTGACACATTCACATCATGTTCGAATTTGGTAAACGTAATGGGGGTGAAACAATTGAAAAAAGAAGATGTAGTTCACATTTCGATTATTGGAAGACAAGGGGGACATCAGCTCCCCGCGTTTCTCCTGAGAATCAGCGAAAGTGTCGCAGGGGAGGCGAACAGTTGATAGAGGCCAAAAGGGTCGGTGGGGGTACAGTAACCAGTTTAGATGGCACACATTCCGCAACATGCGGCGGCTTTCATCGAGAAATGGTGGTGCCGGCCGCGGCGGGATTGACTTCGTTGACCCACAATCCATTCCATCTTCCGCCAGCCTGATCATATTATTTTCGAGCGCTTTTCACTTCACTGAAGAAGCCGCGAGAGGAAATGGTGGCGCGGCGCCTGTGGAGTAAAGGCAAACGTGGGAGGTAAAACGAGTACCGTTCCAAGTTTCACTTTTGTTTTTGCAGACGCACCGAGAAAGAGAGGGAAAGGGTCATTGATGGAGTGAAAGTAAAAGTAAAAATGACCAGAAATGGACCAAGTTTTGTAAATAAGCGCGAGAGACGCAAAAAGCTATTATATTCGGGCCGCTGAGAGGAGGGGGATGCCAGGGCGATTACCGAAAAAAAAGGCCGCAGAGGCGCGCCGCCCGCATGACCTGGTGCGGAAGACACGGATTGACACCGGATTGATGGATTCGGGAAAAAAACCGCAAAATTAGGTATATGACGGCAAAAGATTTGGATCACGATGGCGGAAGCCAGGCTTGACCACCGCGGGTGGCACCGTATCGGGCAACCTTGGAGAGGACGGCGACTGTTGCAAAATCGGCGCCGGCTAAGTGCAAGGTTCTTTTCGGCAGCGGTAACGACGTCTTCTTCCGTCACCACCAATCTTCGTCGGGAGGTCAGAGACAATCAAAAGTGTTTGGTAATCAGTAACCAGCGACACTTACATTTCTTATCTATGTTTATGTGCTCGATTCAGCGAAAAATTGCATAATACCGATCCTGGAACGGTCGGGCACCGATTGACAACAAAAATATTTACTTGGCACGCACTGATAATGCCTATTCCGCTTTAAGCATTCCACTGTGACTGGAGGAACTGTATAACATGGCTGAAGGTCGGGAAGAGAGAGTGGACAGTAACTGATAGAACATGTACAAGGTGGCGCGAGGAAGATTTCAAAAACCATCGCACCTACTGCGATCCTTACTCTGTTGTCCGCCGAAAGTCGCCGTTGGCGTCTGGCGGGGGCGGTTTAGTGGGGAACGGGGTCAGGCTGCCTGCCACGACGGACCGCGAGGAAGAAGGCCTCCCACTCCTTCTCCTCTTCAATCGGCCGCCCCTAAATGAACAGCCAACCGCCAAAACATCCGCGATCCGATGGTGTGAGGCACGCACGCGCACATCGTGCCCTGAACCATTAGTAGCGCCGGCGATGATGATGATGATGAGGAGCGAAAACGAAAGAAGCGTCTAACGAAGACGAGAATGAAGGGGGGCAAACGACGACGGTGAAAGGCGTGCGCATATAAAAACAACTCTCAAAATCCGCCTTGTTCGGCGTCCGAGTATGGTAACCGCGTCTCGGCAGGCCAGCAGCAATTTGGCGCCAGTCGCCGATTCACTCTCACTTTGACGTTTCGCCCCCAATATGGCCGTTTTTGCATCTAATTATTTGACCGGATGTCTATCAAGGCGGGTTGGAAGGCAAAAGCCGAGAATGAAAGTATTCGTTCGGGTTGGGCAGTCACTGGATTAGAAAAATTTTGAAGCGATTACAACAAAGAGAAAAATATGACATTGTAAGAGCAACGAGTGTCAGCTTTTTTTCAATTAGTCAAAATCCGCGCGCCACCGCCATCTGGGGGTTGTCAGGGAAGGTGATGGATGTACATCCCTATGGCAATCGGGGGATGGGCGGCGCACGAAGCGGTGCCAGTCTCGGATGAGAGATCTTCTCACTTCTCTTCCCCTGGATTTCGCAAGCGCTAATGATCAGCCGACATCCAGGATAGTAGATGATATCATGTGTTTACCACGGATGGCTTTCCTGCCTTCCGCGGTTGATGCAGGTCAGAAGCTTGCCGAGAAGTCGCCGTCGCTTCTCTCCTCTTTGTGACGACAAAGAAGCCGTGAAGGCTCGTAGTCAGTCACTTCCAAAATGAGTGAAAGCTGATTTTACTTTCTTTAGCTGAACCTTGATCGGGAGAAAGTGGAAAAGAAGGGGCATCAGGAGGCAAAGAAGAAGAAGAAGGCTGCGGGCATTTACGCCAAGAAAAAAAACTGAACACGCAAGACTGGTCACTTCATGAAACAACATCTCGCTTCCAAAACTGAAGTGGTCTAGAAATTGATGAACTGACTGAGTAAAGCGCGTCGCCCCACCCATTGCCCCTTTCTCTCACGGCGACTGACCCCCGAATTTGGAGACGAATAGCACGAAGTAAGAGATGATTGGGAGATTAGGTCGGAACACTAGTACATGCCCTGGTACAGAGGACATGATCGTTAGAGATTGTTAATTAGGATACGAAAACAGGGAAGAACTAAGAAGGATGGCCTGGCTGGATGCAAACTGGCAGATCGAGTGCAGCTGTGGGCGAGCGGAGCCAAGATGGAAGTGGGCGGTCCGCGACGGTTTCGACGGAGGAGGAAGTGAAGCCATCCAAGTTGTGACAACCACGGTGGCGGGTGCCCGGCCGGAAGGAAGCACACACTGAGTACAGTACGAAAGGTCTTTCCGCAAAGGGGGGGGGGGCAAACGGCAAACAATGACCCCTTGGGGCGTGTATATATTGTGCTTCGCAATGGTTCGGTCTCGTCCCGCGCAGTACGGAGAGTGGCACGTAACGCCACTGACCAGCCAAGTGCAAACTTGTAGGCAGGCATCGCAGCGCCGAGGCACTCCTCGAATCTAGTACTGTATTCTTGCAATTGTTGGTTCTCTGCCTTCATCAACCGAATCTCTTTCACTGTTCTCTCGAAACGCGTGGCGCACTTTATTGAAAGGTCTGCGTGGTAGTTTCGGCCTTTCCTAGCCTCCTAAACCGGAGAAACCTCGAAGAAGGGGAGCGGAAAGAACAGGAGCCTCGGAGAGACCATAAAATTGTTCCGCGGAAGACCGCTCCAAAAGCTCCCTCTAAGTATCACTAAAATGTAAACGATTGGCAAACGGGCAATAAAGATACAGTTACGCAACACAACTTTCGCGCATTGGTCATGCCCGGCGCCCCCTGACACAGGCAAAGCTCACAAAGGTCGCCGAGGATCCTGACTCACGCGGCAACCCATTGAAGCAGTGCGGAGGCAAAGTGGGACTGCGCACTGATATGTTGATTTTTTTAATAAAAGGTGAATGGCACTGGTACCGGCTAGCACCGCCCATGTCTGCCGCCAGAATGGTTCCGTCTTTTATTAAAAATGAGCCACACAAAGGGGATGTAGACGACGCTCTCAGTGACGCAAGGATAACGTTGATTGAGAAGGAAGAACAAAAATAGTCACTTCGAAGTCTAAAGCTCAAATTCAAGCCCGTGCGCATACTAGAGTGGAAGAGGATGAGGTTGAAGACACATAGAAAGTCATCAATTTCTCGCCCTGCTTCATTTTCGATGACTTCAGGAAGCACCGATAATGATTTATGTGCGTGGGTGCTTTTTTGCGCATTTTGATGGGCAAATTTGGTAGGCAGAACGAATGACACGTCCCAAATAAATGCGGGACAACCAGAAATCCGCAAATGAATAAACGAGCAAGCAAGTGGGGGGAAAGGGTTTTGATTAAAGAGCTCGTTTTCACAAATGCCTTGGCCCCAGGTCACAAACCGTGAGGGAAAACAGTTGTGCAAATCAAACATGTCTAGAGGGGTTGCTGAAAAGCCATGACCGTACACGTCCGTCGCTGAACAAACTTCAGGTACTGGTCACTCACCTGTTCAAGTCGCCAACAGTTTGCAGGATTCTTTTCGATTGATGTCATCGTTTGTGTAATTCGTTTCGGTCTCGCTGGGCGATCGTTTCTGAAAAAATGCGAGATGTCCGACAAAGTATATTTCAGTGACGTTAGAAAAGTGCACCGACCGGCTGGCGACGGTGCCGTTCAGTGGGAGCTGTACTTGATGATCTTGTCCTTTAGGGAACACATGTCATGAAACACATTTGGGAATACACTAAAGGATATAAAAATGGAGAGCTGGTGCGTACTTATGATGTGATTGGCTTGAAAATATGTGTGGGTGTCTGGGGGAGGCGACCCAATTGAAACGGGATGTGAGGGAATCGAAGAGGAACTCGGAGGAAAACGGTGAGTAGGATGAAGAGCGGCGACGTCTTCGCCGGACGCGGATTGTTGTTGTTTGTGGCAGTTCCGCGCGGATTGTAAGAACAGTACGCAAGCGTGTAGATGCGCAGGCAGATACAAAACGCGGCGTGCGGCCACTAAACTTCGTGACCTGTGATAGGTCGCGGCAAATTCGGAGAGGAGGGAGAGGCGGAAAACCAAAACGACCGCGAGCGAGAAGGCTCAAATAAATGACGAGGCGGGCGGAATACGTGATCAAACTTTTTTCGTTATACAGTCTCAGTTTTTTGCGCGCGCCGCTCGTGAGACACTTCTGTACTACTTTTGGATCCGGCAAACGTTGGATACATGCCGAGCGGAAAAAAAATGAACAACCAGAGTGGGAAAATCATCTGATCAAATTCCGGAGCCGAAGCGAGTAGAGCGAAACGAGTGGTTGAATGCCAAAGACTGAGTAACCTGTGGGTTTTATCAGACACGCTTATAACGGATTGCATTGACGGACTTCTGCTCCTTTGGGACCAATCTAGAACTGCTCGTGAAGCATATTTTTACGTCAATCAGATGGTGGATTTTGCCACTGAGAACGATAATATTATCACCATCAAATGTGAAAAAACTGAAACTTCGCGCGATTTCATATCTTATCTTGATTAACAGTAGGCCTTTCCGTGTTTGTTGACGCAGTGATCGTCAGTACCATTCACGCTGCCGATTTGGTGCCGTCCGCTGTTTCGCGTCAAATTGACCAGCCAAAGGTCGTCCGCCCAATCTCAGGAAATTTTCGGCAAGGATAGGGCACGGATAGGGCTGGGAAGAGGCACGTTGCCGCCGAAAACGGCAAGCTTGCCGTGGGGCATGGGTGCGGCAAGTGTGGCGCACGAATAGGGCATGGATTCAGCATGCCTCCGGCGTGCGACAGAAATCAGCAGCCAGAAAGGGGAACGGACGAACGAGAGCAGCAAGCGGGGCGGGGATGGGGCAACGCGACATGGGTGGGGCATGGGTGGGGCATGGGTGGGGCCGGGATTGGGGTATCCAGAAAGAAGCAAGCGTTCTCTGCTGGCACCTGATGATGTGCTGGCGCACTAATTGTGCATTTGAATTTTCAAACGTTTATTCTCAAAAATTCCCTATTTTCGAGTGTAAATACGAAAAAATGGAAGGACGTAAGAGAAGAAGACGTGGGGACAGTAAGTGTTTAAACGTTTTTCTTCTGTAGAACCTTTGTTTTCAGACTTTTCAACATTTTTTCGTCTGTCGGGAGAAAAAACTGAGTCCGACGATTCTTCTGAATCGGAAGGTGGCCATGAGGAAATTATAGGCATTGATGTGAACTGCCGATCGGATTCTTCGATTTTATCAAGCTCGGACGGCGAAAACACCGATGAGTTTCCAGGTTTGAATATGAACTCGCATGAATATATCCATTGTTTTCCTTGCAGAAACCGTTGAGCGCACTATTTGGGACCAAATGGATATTTCGTCGAATGAAGGCGAGCAAGATGATCGATCAGTCTCCGTTGACTATCGTTTGATTGCTTACGTCAATTTCTACCTCGACGAAGGAATTTCGGCTGGCACAATGAAAAGAATGGACTCGTTAATGTGCATAATATATGGACATGAGTCGTCTGTAACGGTGAGTATCTCAAATCGATTACCGCCGGAACTTGCGACGTTTTTCAGCATAAACACGTTCTCAAGTGGATTAAAGAAAGAGAGAAAAGATTTGTGAAGGCGATCCGGTATTACTGCAACATGTGTGGTGTTGAAAAAGCAGGAAAGCGTGATCGTTGCGTTCAATGTCGCAGGTAATCAGTTGACATTTGAGTAATGTTCCTTCTCCTATTTACGTAGCCAGTTATGGGAACAAAATTATTACTAGGCACCAGTCCGTTCTGTTGGGGACGGCCACCTTTCTGCACACACGATTCGAAAATCAACTGGAACTTGTGTTGAAAAACAGAGGCGTGGACATTTTGAACGCTCATGACAGGATTAGAGCTGGCGCGGTATGTGAAATTAGTGCGATATGTTCATTTACACCACATAGTCTTAGAATGATTTCCAGCCGCACGACATTCGACGTTTTCGTGGTTACCAGCAGATGATTGAAACGCAGGAAGAGTCGCAGAGAGGGGTTGTCAATTTGATATGCACGCTCTCCTCTGATGCAGCACGTTTTCGTCGTCTTTCGAAGTAAGTTATGAGCCCACAAATCAGATTAGATTCGAAAACCGGTGCATGATTTCCAGACGAGAAGCTACACCCGTTCTCTTGCGTTTGGAAGGACTCAACCTAGACGACAAAGCTTCCGGAATGTCTATGTCTCTAGTAGGTCTTGTTTTCGCAGATGGAGGCGTAAAGAAGCATCTTGTTGATGAGTTTGTCGAACTGTGAGACTGACCACATCGTCCCCGCATCCTGATTCAATAGTTTCAGTGCGTGCAGTTCTGTTACCACTACAACTATCTCCGTCACTTTATCGGCTAGACGTTTCGAATTCAGAATAGTCATCATGGGCTATATGGCCGATATGAAAGTAGTTATGTATGCGACTCAACAGTTACTAAAACGTCTTGACTTACAGGAACAACACTCTCTTTGCATGCTACCGAATTGGCATCAGCTGCAAGGTTGCTCCAAATGTTTAACTACTGGGAAAAAGAAACAAAACGGTACTGTTTCCTACAACGACTTTTTCGATCACCAGCTGAGAGATGGCGATTCAATTTTGTATTCTGCTCGAAACGGAACGAATGGGTTTACGGAGCCGAAAGGTATATGTTTTTTTTAAATGAAAACTCTCACATATAATGTCTTTTCAGTACCCAAAATCTTCAACTTCGTGGAACCTACTAGGATTTGCATAGATCCTTTCCATGTTCGCTCATTGGGAATTTGCAAAGATGTCGTATCCGGTAACTGAAGAGTAATTGCAAAACGAAAAGTGCAGAACGCGTTTTAGAATTTCTGAAGCCGAATAGATGGAAATCATGCCTTCTTATCCCGGGTAAACGAGAGGCAGTCATTGATTCACTTGCAAGTGTAACTCCTTACACTTACGATCCCGTTCATCTTCAGTCAATCACGAAAACCAGCAAATTTACTGGGCGAGAAATGGACAAAATGAGCATTTTCCTATGCGCTGTTGTCGGTTGGTCAGATGTCTTCGTGAACAAGGAGTGGCAGGTGTTCTACTTGTCCATTTATCATTCGTTGATGTTCTTGGGGAACCTCTTGGCAGCTCCTGGAGCATTAAAACTGCTGATGGATGCTTTGTACGAGCTACATGTGCAATTGGAGCCCGAAACTCTCACTATTAAGTGGCATGTAAGAAAGAAACAACATTAACACGTCCGGCACGTGCTATTTTTCAGTCTTTTTACAAGCATGTTCTCGAGCATGAGCAAGAATTTGGCCCGCTGTATACTACTGAACCTTACGAACGAGAACATAAGACAATAATGACCAGCGTTCATCACCAATCTACGAACAGCGAGAAGTTATTGATAACAAGGGAAAGCTTTGTCGCCACCTCTGTCACTGCATTTCTTGTTTCAGGTACATGGCACGACGAGACTGTGCTCTTCTCATGGATAATCTGGAATGGGCGTTGTCTTCGGAGAAGAAAAAGGAATTTTGCAACTCAAGGAAAACCACTCGCGAAAGGTGAATTTAAACGTTAACATATTAATGCCGACGTGATTTTTGCAGTTGCCCCGAAGTGCGTCACAGTTCCAATGTCATTCAAAGGGAACAGTTGACGGCGCATCACCGAGCGCTGCTACGACAACTTCTTCTTCCAGATAATTGCACATTAAGGTAATGCTCGTAAATTGCTGCTCGCGAATTAACAGTGCATTACAGGAAGAGGGGGTCGTATGTGAGCAGATCCGGTCGATTTATTGTGGCGGCACCCGCCTACTGGAGCAGCGGAAGTACTGATCAATCAACCATTTGTTGGACCGACCCGACAGACAACAGCATCAGATTTGGCAACTGCGAAATTATCTTCACAAATTCTGTTAACGTTCCCTTTCTAATTGCTCGAGAATTTGAAACCGAAAGCTATCGCGAAACTCTATCCTCCCTGTACAATTCCGCTCTTTCCCCGGCTTCATCTAATCTTCTCACCCTTTGTACTAATTTCCCCACTACTTTTGCGAAAGTTGTTGGTTATTCACTATCAGTGGTTCCGTTCGACTCTCTGCTTTCCCCCGCATATTTGGTGAGGGTTGAGAATGATTTATATGTAAAAATGTATCGATAATAGCAACCTTTTCTTACTAGTTCACGGGTCAATCCCGCACATCTCTTTTCTAATTATGGCGCTGTCTTCTCACAGAACAATTCAGATGGAATCATCCTTCACTTCTCTCACTCCACTTCGTAATGTACATCTTCTGGATGGTACTAATTTCTGTTCAAATTAACATGAAATGAGTAGCAATTATTTCAGGGCCACGCGAAACGCCAAGATACTTCGACGGTGGTGGAAGAGGCTTCCAAATCGAGCATCGCGACGAAGCACCGAGACTAGGAACATCTTCCCAGCTCATCCGAGACTCTCCCAACTCGTTCCCTGCGATTACCGCCGAATACCCTGGAGAACAAATGCCACGTGGAGTGTACGGATACGGGCCTCACCCCCATTTCGATCGAAGAGACCAGTATTCATCGATTCTGTCCCATTCTGAGAAGACACCGATTTCTGGTGAGCCATAATCATTCCACTGTACACAATACACGGTTACTTTGCAGTAATGCTATCCTCCTGCTTGGAAAATGGCTTGTTTAACGTGGAGAAGGCAGGCCGAATAGTTCATGAAGCGTACCGAACGAGAACTCCAAAAGTTAAAGAGGAAATCGAGTCGTTTCTCGCGAAGAATGCCTACAAGTTCACTGGTCCAATGATTATCGGCGAGCCCGATTTGATGAACCCCGATTGGCATCAGATTATGACCTGTGGACAACAACTTCTGGTTACTAAACCATCTAAACCAAATAAAATAACAATTTCAGAACCATTTCATCTGTGCGCAACATCAGAAGGTGATCAACCTCTCAGCGAAGAACTGTGAAGAGTTCAGAGACGTAGGTGGCGCTGTCTACAATGTTACCGGGATCTTCCATTACCCACGAGAGCCACCATTCTCCGTGAGCTGGATCCGTATTTATACGAATGCAGAACATCGTTTTTTTAGGGCGAGCAAATCAGCCTCCTCGGAATAAACCCATCAAATCAGTCTGCTCACATTCGTCTCAAGTCGATGCTATTCCACGTACTTTCACGAGTATGTCACATTTTAAGTGTTATCAAATATCAAATTGAATCTATTTTTAGAGTTGCACTCAGCAGTGCGACATTCAGTCGGTAACGTGGATTCTGCCGAATGAGAAAAACTCGAAGGGGCCAAACCGACGCGACTTCCCGGATGACTTGTATGTCACGCTTAGGGGTTAGTTATCTTCCGATTCTCATAAGTTTATCGATTTCACCACGTTTCTTTTTAGACCTCTTCCTCCAATTTTTCGGACTCGACTACGGGGAGTTGGATGCTCCTTACCGAGACGAATTCAGCACATTGAAATGCCTGCAGTCATACGGAGACGACAACAGCAAGAAAAAATATTTCAAATTTCTTGCTCACACACGATACAGTTACCTAACAACCACTTTCAGAACTGCTCTCAAGCAGGCTTTGTGAGTCAATCTTTCTATTTCTTTTTGAAAATATGATTTCTTTTCAGAGTTGAACTACGCCACGGCACATTTCTGCCACCTGTCATTGGTCAAAAGTACGGTCGATTCGTATATCGCAAGGTAATATTACTGTTTTCTAACACTGTTATGTTTTCTCCTTTTGCAGCGCCACACGACGACTCCGTCGACATCTTTTTCGCATCAGTTGATGCCGTATCAATTGACGGCTCAAGAAACAGAGGACACTGAGAGACAAGAGTTTCACGACACCAATGTCGCCGTTCTCACTGAAGCTCCAACGAGTGTCGACGATTCGGACAAACTCGGCGAAACGATCATTTCAAAAGAAGCCTCTTTGCCGAAGAAAAATAAGGGAAAGACTACCGGACGCCGCCGTCACAACTCGCAAAAGGACAAGGAGGAGGAAGAGACCGACGGGCAAGCTGCTCCAGCGAAAAGAGCAAACATTCGCCGAACTCGTCGAAACATCTGAGTAGATCTTGCAAGTTTGTTTTTATCCTCCATTTTTTCCCCTTTTCTATTCAATTGTTCCCTTTGTTGTTTTCGTTGATTAATACATTGTTTTCTTTTGAGAAGCAAAGAAGCAGGGTAGAAGGAGCGACAAGAAGAAGGGTAGAAGCACGGGGGAAGGGGCATCTTGCCGTGCCCTTTGCGGCAAGTTGCCGTACCCATTGCGGCAAGTTGCCGTGCCCTTTGCGGCAAGTTGCCCCAAAAAACGGCAGGGGTGCCCCGGTCGCACAGCATCCATCCCGTTTACGACGGCAACTTGCCGATTTTGGCGGCAACTTGCCCGAAATTACCTGAGATTGAATGTTGAACTGTGGCACGGTATCGCGGCCTCCAGTGGCCTTGTTCGCATGATTGTCATCTCAAGTTGCCCAGAATTAACTTTTAACTGATTTATCACCATTTGAACATTCGAAAAAAAAGTATTTTTATTTTGTCTCACAAAGTCACGGGTGTTAAGATGGGCATTGATAACGTGTGATCACATTGAAAAAAAGTATTCATCAGACTCAAAGATCGCTCAAAATTGATAAGATAACATGGAAAATGGAATAGAAGTGTCAGTCAGATGCTTAGTTATTCAGATTCTCGTAGTTCCAGGTCATGCGTGCATTGTCTTCCGTCTTGTTGATCATCTTTGATTTTGTCCATCCTCACGCACTTCAAACGGAATCCAGAGGAGAACTTTCAAGTAGCAGTAAACACGGCGGATACGGTTTCGATTTCGCCTTCACATCCAATTGGTCACTCGCCCACCAACAAACGAAAGTAGCGGCGAGCCTATAAACAGACAAACATAAATTGAATAACTATACGGTTTCGCATCTGGTAGACAAATATGGTGTGCGGCGTTTCCTCTCCCGATTCGCCGGGTTTTGACTGGCGGAAAGTGCGACGCCGTTGTGTGGACCTTCGTGACAGCGCCGCCGGCCATCACTGGGGACTCCGCGGCCCGCCGTCGACCCTGTTTGCCTTCTCAATTATTCTCGCTTACCTATTTTGCTGCTCTCCGCGACGCGCGCACCACTATACGTACGTGGTGTTTGTCGAGCCGCACCAGGGCTGAATTGTGCCAAAACCGTGCGTCAACGAAACGTAGGGAAGACAGTGCGCACCAGGTTGAGCGCCGTCGTCTCGGCTCGGGCCCCCGCCGATTTTACTTCCTTGTTTCGCTTTTGGGAGGCTCTCTCTGAGCGGCTTGCGGCGACGCGCGCTCTGCTTCAATGCAAAGAGAAATGCGATAGGATGACAGTAACGTGAAACGGTTTTGCAGTTGATGCAATTGTTACTTGGGGGGTCGACTCGGACGGCACCATCCATCTCTTCAATTAACAACGCTCTTCCGACCGCAGACGTCCTTCATGGCGTTTCGCAGATTGTACTTCCACATACCTGCCACCGTGCTGAGTGCTGACATACTTTCGTTGGTCGCGTCGCCGAAAAATGATTTCTCTTACGCAATCCATAAACTGATTACCCTTGACGGAAATCTTTCTCTAATCACTTTTTGGAGAATCTGGGTCACCTGGGAGACTGTGACATTAAAAACGATAAAAACAAACACAGAGTTCTGGGACTGTTCCCTGAAGTGACGAATTTATAATATTCAGGATGTGTCCGACAAAACAAGAACTTGTGGCCGTGTGTTCGAGGCAAAAGCGCACTTGAAAATTGCCAAATGTGACTGAATAAATAGATCAGACATGTGTCGACAAGCACTTCCTACCTATCTTTTCCAAACAGAGCAAAGATGAGCAAGAACTGATCCACTTGGCGCGTTACACTTGCCAAAACGGGCAAGGAAGGCTGAGTATATCTAGTTTGGTGGAGTTTAGAGATCTTACAATTTTCTCACTTGGAACATTTTTTTGACATACATCCCAAGTCCGGATCAAAATTTGGAAAACGACCTACAAAACACAGTTTGAAATTCGCACTTTTTGTGGCGGTAGTGGCCGGCACCGACATGAACAAATTTGATCGGGGATGATTGCACAGCTGGACATCTACTCACACCTTTAGAAGTTTGACATGCGCATCTCATCAATGCGCCCCTGGTCATCAATCCCACGGAAAAACGAGACAGGGGAGAGGGGTTGGCAACTTCTGAATTCCCAAGAATCAAAGTTCCGAATCAACTGGGCAAACGAGATGGAGCCGCTTTTATTATAATACTCGTGGCTATAATCCCTTTTGCCCCTTCACTTTTTGCAAAATTTGCTTGCTTGCCGGAAGGAATTTCCCCCGAATCGAACGAAAAAGTTGCACAACATGCTGTGTCTGGCAGGCGGCCGCCACCATGAGTCAATGATATTGCCTGAGCTGATGCCGCGCGGCAAGCTGTGTGGTCGGCAACGTCAAACAACCTCTGAAGACGATATGTGTAAAAGTGGCTGTGAGCTGAGCACACGCAAAATGTTTGTGCATTTTTTGTGTTGTGAGATGAAGAATGAGCTGAGGAATGTTTGAGTATGACTGTTGGGTGGTCTCCTGCTGACCAATGGATATTTTTGAGAGTGTCTGGACAGGAGTATGCGGGAGGATGCGCACTAAACTGTACTACTAATCTTCGGAACATGGGGCTTATGACCAAGGAACTCCTGAATGGTCTATCAAAATTAAACTTCAACAGAGATTTCAAAAACCACAGATTCAATGTTAACTTTTCGAAAAGCCGAGGTGCTAAGTTGTTTTAAAACTTTTTATCTCAAAAATGGACTATACAGACATTGAAATATCAATTTGTTGAAAAATCTAAAAACTACATTCATAACCTCAATCTTAATTCTGATGAAATCTATCAAAAATCGTACAGAGCAATCACCAGCAGCCTTCTTTCCCTCTCTTCTCTCTTTTGTTCACGTGTGATTATCCCAATCATCCGGTCGAGCAGTGTGTCCGACAACCACGTCAGTATACCGTCTTCGCTCCCACTCTCCTCCTGCTCGCCTTCCGGTCATCGTTTACATTGTGTTGTTGCTGCTCTCCTCAACGCCTTGGGGCGGCGCGAAAATGCGGGAGGTGCAGAACCGGAATGATTGGCACTGTATTATAAAAGTGCGACAATGTTCGACCGACTTGGGACATTCTCGATTACACAACCGTTGAGCATTATGTGGCAGTGTGTCGTTCTTTTCAGCGCCGTTTTTCTCTCACGTAAGTTTGCGAACTTTTACTGTTGATTAAAATTAATTCCTATGATTAATATCTTCTCACTCTCTTCGAGGTTGACCTCATTTGTTCAGAATACGTTGATGCCGGTTTCCAAATATCGAGACTAAAGCCAATGTATAAAGAAGACAATATCACGATAAGTGAACTGTCCTCGGCTCTTGGAGCTGCGTTCCCACCTTGTTGTTCTGATATGATCTCGAGCATCGCCTGCAGAAGACTCCAGCAACACAATCCATCCAAATTTCTTGATAGGTCTAATCGAAAATTCAGAACTATACACAAACACATTTCATTTCTAGATGTGCCTATGATGCTGATTTCTCTCTGATTCAATGCTGCAACACTTGTGGACTCGAAAGCGCCGCAGATCGTTACGAACTCATCTTCCAAGCCGGACACAAGTCCAACCAATGTTTTGATCGACATGGATCCGAGTTTTGCAAGCGCTTCCTGAAAAAGGAGGATGTCTGGGGAAAAGTAAGAGCGTTTCAGTTTCTATTTTATACTATTGTGTTCAATTCTTTCAGTCTCAATGGTCTTGCGATGGCTCTACAGCACATTTAGCATTCCGAATCTGCAGAAAAACCTGCAACTTCTGTCGCGGAGATATTTACCGCACTCCGCTTGGTCGGTTTGAACCGGTAGCCTGTGGAAAGCCTCCAGTCCTCGTTCCGATCTGAACCGACTTTGGGATCAATCTATTTATTTAATTATCGTTTTATTTGTGACTCTTTCCGATGTATAATTATTTAACTTCATGACGAACTTGAACGCGATCTCGATCGAAATATTTTTGTGTTCTGAATCCTTGTGGTAACGTTTTCCTTTCTTCTCAAATAAACATTAAAACACTCCGAATTCTGTATGTCTGTCTAATCCGAATGCCAAAAAACGCAACCAGGACGGCCAAAAAGAGACTATCTCTCGATTATCGCGTCTCTCGATCTGTAGTCTCATATCGATCGTGTTTGCAACGATAACCAAGTAGTTACAGATAGTGCGAGCCATTCCGTCACGCACATTCTCTCACTCTCCGTTTATTTTTCTCTTCTTATCACTATGTATTCGCGTTTCTTCTATCAGAAACGAGCATTTTCCAAGTTTTTGCAAATTTCTCCGCGAGTTAAAGAAGCGCTCGCCAATGGAGAAGGTGTCGTTGCTCTGGAAAGCACTGTCATCACTCACGGGTTGCCATATCCACATAACCTCAGGTTTATTTTGTAATTTTCTCTCTAATATTTTTTGTTGTTATAGCACAGCACGCAGTTTGGAGGAAAAAGTGAGATCTTCCGGAAGTCAGCCAGCTACGATCGCTCTTTTCGACGGGAAAGTAGGTTTTTGCGTGATATCTCTAACCAAATCACAATTTTTCAGATTCATGTAGGCTTAGACGAGGAAAAACTGGAAAAGTTGGCATCTTGCAAAAATGCCGTCAAAGTGTCCACCCGAGATATCGCAAAAACTATTATCAAGGTTTTTATTATAGTTTTTCTACAAAAAACATGTTACAAAGTTCAGAAAGATGTGGGAGGAACGACAGTCGCTTCCACGATGAAAATAGCCCACGCGGCTGGAATAAGTGTTTTCGCCACTGGTGGAATTGGTGGAGTACATCGTGGTGCCGATCAGAGTACGTTAAGATGATTGTCTACAGTATTTTTTCACAATTTATTTTCAGCTTTCGACGTGTCCGCCGATTTGCAAGAACTCTCCAAGACACCAGTTTGTGTCGTTTGTTCTGGAGTGAAAAGTATTTTGGATATCCCCAAAACTGTGGAATATCTGGAAACTCATTCGGTGAACTGTGTTGTCTTTGGAAACGATAACGTTTTTCCAAGTTTTTTCACAAGACATTCAAGCAGTAGGGCTCAATTCAACACTGATAAACTGGAAGAAGTGGTTGAGCTCATGAGTGAGGAAAACATATGTTTTTATAATAGTCTTATCAATCTTACAGAGACATCGAAATCGCTTGGCCTGTCTTATGGAACTGTGCTGGCTTGTCCTATTCCGGAACAGTTCGCAGCTGATGGTGATATGATTCAACGAGCTATTGATACTGCAGTCAGAGAAGCATTGTGAGTGAGATTGGATATTGGTCCAGAATAAGAATTGTTTCAGAGAACAAAACATCGCGTCTCAAGAGGTCACTCCATTCATTCTTTTAAGAGTTAATCAGTTGACTAAAGGCGCTTCCATGGCGACAAGTACTGTGCCTTTTACTTCTAAACTATTCCCCTTATCCAGATATTGCACTTCTCGAAAACAACGCTTCCATTGCCGGAAGACTGGCTGCGAAATTGTCTGACAGGCGTCCAATTACCATTTCCAACCCGTCCACTTCTTCCTCGTCGCCTAAAAAACCAAATGTTGTGAGTAACGAGGGTAAAAATAGTCGTTTTTGTTCACACTGTTCTCTCCCTAAGCCTTTTGCGTCGGCGAAAATTGAAACAATGCGGACTCGAGTTGAGTATTCTCTTTGACAAACAATAACGTCTACTAGTTTCAATGACATGTATTTGCTAATCACATCACGACTGTTTTCAGGTCTCAATCGGAGCAACTATCGTGGATTTTGAGGCGATCACGAGCGAGAATGTCCAGGTGAGAAAAAAACAAGAAGGGACAAATGAAAGTTAGGAGGAAATGGTTCAGGACGATTTTACAAAGAAAATGGAAACACGTAGATGTTTGTGATGTTCAAACGGAATGAAGAGGAGAGGTCGAGAGAGACCGGGGAAAAATTTATTCTTGAGAGGCGGCGGCTTCAATTTGACGAGCATTGTGAGCAGCAATCGCGTTCTGAAGCTCTTCCCGAATCTCATCGCCTCGGATTGTGAACTCATTCTCCACTTCTTCGATCACTGAATGTTTCAAAAACGGAGAGTAGCCGGGGAAACTTCTAGTACGGCTGATTCGAGATGACTGTGTCGACGTGCTATCCGCCAGATTCACTGTGCTTTTGAAGCTCTCAATGTATCCGTCTCCATGGCGATCACTGAATCAGTTCTTGGAAGCTCTGTTAACTGACCGTAACTTACTAGTCAGTGATCATCTTAGAATAGTACTCCAGCTCGGCCATTTCTGTCTCAACCTTTTCGATGTCTTTGCGAAGCGCCGCGATCATGAATAGTTTCAAAGGCGTGATGACGCAGAAGGCGAGGCAGCCCACAATTTCTGTGTTTGAATGGAGCCATCTGTAAGGGCTAATAGTTATGAATCATAATGATGATGTTACTCACTTCTTGAGATGAACGTAGCAATCGTTTGAATGATCGGCAGGGCAAAAGAGTTTTGTCGCGTTTAGGAAATCTGAATACAAAGCGTTGTGTAACCATGTAATGTAACCATATTTTCATACCTGTACATGATTTCAGCACTTCTTTTGGTGGGCAACATGAGAGCGTGTGATATGCCACGTCCCAAACCGGGCACAAGTTCTTCTGAATAGATGTTCGTTGTGAGAAAGTGAAGGGAATAGTTACATCGGTCTCATGAAGAAGACGCATGTGAGAATATAGTGACGTGTGGGCGGTGGACATGATGCTGGCAAACACGAAGATCATGATAGCATCCACGATGAGGGTGCAGCAAGTGATCCAGTGACAGAATACGACGACGGTGATTTGTCGTTGTCTGATAGCCACGATAGTTGCAACGCAGAGAATCGCCTAAAAAAGTGTCGACTGTCCACGTGAGAATCGGAAATTCTTACCAAACAAACATTCACAATGCAATAACCAAGAACATATGGATCAAATTGTTCAATTGGAATCAGAGCGAACAACGGGTTTATGAGCATGAGGAAGGTGGCCAGAAGGAATAGAATGACGGCGATTAGAAGGACCACATTGCTCCCGTAGAGCCAGGCGGCTTTACCAAACCGCATTCTGTTAACAACCTTTCATGAAACAAGAATAAAATCAATGAAAGGGTCAGAAGAAGAAGGGAAAAGAGAGACGAAAACACATCTGTTTGTTCTTGCGCTACGTGGAATGATTGGAACAGAAACAGGGACGGTGGCTCACTCTGTTAGGGAAAATGTGGGAAGGGAAGAAAGAAGGAGGGAAAAATAATGGAAACTGTGGAAGCTTCCGGGCATGCCAATCGGAGCAGGCTCTTTGATGCGTTGCTATTTGTATAAAGTATCAAAGCGGCTGTGTCACACGTTGTGTGATCGCATCAGAGAATAAGAAATTTCAATTTTAGGACGACGGCGGTTCATACAACGGAGAAGTGGTTCAGCGGATGGGTGGAGTGGCAAGGAACCACGCGGACGCGCTTGCCAGGTCAGTTTCGAATGAAAGCCTCATAAATTAGAATGGCGCAGTCGAGTAGTGTTTGCTGGCGGAAAGTACACACTCCTTTCACTCTTTTTCTAATTATTCTCTTGATTGTATGGTCTTGGCTCTGAGAAACGCATATAGTCCAACTCAAATGTTTTCAAACATTTCTCTTTCCTGTCTTATAGACATGTCTTTTTCTGCAGTGTTTTCCTGGAAAGTTCCCAGGGTTTAGTCAAACAACAAAAAGAAGAAATTTTTAAATGTTTTCTTATGTAATCTTATGTAACTGTAATGTTCTTCTGATTGGATTGGAAACACTTTAAAACTGTACTGTCAATCTCAATCTAACCGTTTCAGACTCGGATGTGATTCCGTGTTCATTTCGGCAATCGGAGATGATCAAAATGGTAACTTCTTCCGCCAAAACAGTCACAGAATTGTGAGTACTTTAAAGTCAATGAGTTCGATTTCTTTTTTCTTGCAGAACACTAGCAGAGTCAAAATCGTCACCAGCAAACCGACATGCACTTATTTGGCAGTTAATGTGAAAGGAAACGTCAGATACGGTATAGTGACGTGTGAGCCGTTACTGAAGGCAATCACACCGTCTCTGGTGAGTTCAATTGTATGCTTTTTCGAATTCAATTCGGTTCAAAGATTGAAAACAATGAGGATGCTCTTCAAGCGGCTGATTTCATTCTTCTCGACTCGAATCTTTCTGTTCCGGTTATGGCGAAATCTCTTGAACTCGCTAAACAACACGATAAACAAAGTTGAACAAATTTATTTTGCTTCTTAGGACTTATCAATATTTTACAGTCTGGCTTGAACCGACAGACATCGACAAAGTCAAGAAAGTATTTGCAACTGGGCACATTGGGGCAGTGACGGCAACCTCTCCGAATGCAAACGAATTCCTGCGATGGGCCAAACTGTGCAACGTCTCCGTTCATCCGTCGGTCGTCGAGTCTGCTGACAGTGTTCTAGAACTGATTGAGAAAGAGAAATCAAAGCTTCTGATGAACACATCGATATTTGTGGTGACTCTTTCAAACAAAGGCTCAGCTGTTGTGTACAGGTCTTTCCAGCCGACATGTTTTCACCAAAAATGTACTCTTACAGAAATCAACACGGTCAACTCGAATACCAATCATTGCCGCCACCACTTCAGATAAATAAAATCGTGTCTGTTTCTGGAGCTGGAGACAGGTACCTTTATTTTTGTGATTTTTTGCGTCTTATGTTTGTCTTACAGCTTCAACAGTGGTGTAATCGCTGGGTTGGTCCACAACAAGTCGGTAGTCGAATCTCTACAAATCGGCCAGGAATGTGCTCGATTGACTCTCCAAACATCCCTTGCCACGTCTGAAGCGATCACACCAAACTTGCTAGCATGAACATAAAACAGCACAATCAGAGAATGTAATTTTATTACGGAAAGAAGATAAAGAAAACATATTTGATAGTAGCATTGAAGAAACATGCAAAGAGAATTCCCAACAAAATAAACAGAAAAAGCGGAGAGTTGAGATCTTTAAACTGAAAAATAGAACAGGTTCGTGTATGGCATAGCTTTGGCCTGGGCAAAGTGCGAAAAATAAGAGAAGGTGGGGGTGCAAGACGAGCAGTGGTTTCTGGTTAGAAAACGACGGTTTTGGTTTGAAGAGCTTTGGTCGGAAACGGGTTGAATCACAAGTTTTCAAGATCGATTTGATATGCGAACCGGCTACTACTGGGATTTTTGTCTATTATGTCATACACGGGGAGTGGGTGCGATCAGGGAGAGTAGAAATGTTTGAACTGTAATGAGGTACTCTAGGTTAAATTGTGTAACACAGAGGTTAGTTGTATTTATTAGTGAATTATGCCCTATTATGACATTCCAATTATACTTCATCACTCGTAGCTTCTTCCATTTTGGTTTTTCCCTGAAATTCGAAACATTTTAGGGCATCGTTAGTGTCTATTCACTTCGTTCTCTTTCTCGTATTCTTCGTGGGCCAGTTGGATTGCGTCAGTGACCGCGATGGTCGAGGATAGGGTCGCAATGAGTGCATCTTTGTGTAATTGGCGCCTTTCTTCCACAACATAGCCGGCTTTCAGCAGTTCCGGAGCAGTTTTTTCGTCCAGTTCGACGTTTTGTTGCAATTGATCTCTCCATTCGAGCATCACGTCACGGTACTTGAACAAAAGATTCTGGAATAAATCAATTGAGGAAAAGAGCTGGAGCATTATGTTGTACATGAATCTTGTCCAGATGTCTCTCAGCATCGAAGAAGTGCTCTCTTGGCTCATCGTCAATTTTGTGGACGGTACGATTGCGCTGTCTTTCGATTGCCGTTAGCCTGAAAGCGCGTTTTGTAAGAACCGCAATATAAACTGTTTTTTCTAACCAATCATTTGCTTCCACTCCTCCTGGAGCCTCGAATTGCGTCTGCATCGCTTCACAGGCAATTGTGATGATGTTCTTGTTGTCGACAGTAACCGATTTGACGTCCGTCAAATTGATTTTACCCTTTGGCTGGCACTGCACATCCTTCTGCCAAATGATCTGGGTCTCCGTCAACTGAACGTATCTCTTCTTGTAATGCAGAACTTTCTTCCAAGCGAGACGACTGCGATCAACTTGTTGAAGGTTTCCGAACTAAATTGAAAATGCTGTTAGAGTTCTTAAAAACTGAAAAAGTACTTACTTTAAAAACAGTGCAACGCTCTGGCTCACAATCTCCAACAAGCGAGATGTTGTCGAGGAAGTTGGCCATGATACATTTATGCTGCTCACTTGTGACGGTTTCAAAAACACCGTTTAACCAAATTTCCTAAAGACGTTACTTTCTTGCTTATTAAGTTGTTTATCAAGTTACCTTTGATGACAGAGGTCCTTCGCTGACACTACAGTTGGAAAGTCGTTGAAGGAGCTTTGAGAGCAACAGAAGAGTCCTCGAAACCCGGAGGTCCGGCTGGTCTTTTCTGATTTCGAAAGCCTTTGGGTTCAAGATAGCTGCCGCAAAGAAGCGCATGATGACAAAAGAAGAAACTGCGAGACGCTGAACTCCTGGCCGTGCTATAAATATTTGGTGTTACAGTATTCCGAAGGTCAATGTTCTCTTACAACTGTGATCCCCAACGACAGTTCGAAGATCGTACAGAAGCTGCTTGATGAGGTGAGGGCAGTTGGTGGAACTTGTGGTAACCCGTTCGAAAAGCATTTGGAAGTAGACGAGTAGATTGTTGCTATTCTTTTCAAGCGAAGTGCCGGCAACGACCCTAGCTGGATCGACCTCACAATTCCTTCGCTCTTTGTAAATCTAAAACTAGTTTGCTCGAACGAATCTGCTTCTATTCCACATACCTTGTCAACCACTGGTTTCAGTGTCGTAATCAAGTACATCTTTCCGAAAGTGGTCAGTATTTCGAACAGCATCTTTCCAGATAGAGATTGTCCCCGGAACAGTGTGTTCTCATCCCTGAATGAGAAAAATCATGAGGTTATTATTAAATTAATAGTGACTCACTGGCATTTCAAGATACTGTTTACGTAGAGAGAGTTTAGAACCGGACGAATGCGCTCCGATTGAGCCATAAGTTCAACCAAAGATCGGGAAACTGGCCCCAATTCGACCTTTGGAAGAGCCTCGATAACTGCGACCAAAGAAGCTGTGAGTGGCTGAACATCTCCCGCAGAGAAGAGAAGATCAAGTAGAGGTCTAGAGTACCATTAAAATCAATATTAGGGAATATCGATCGAACACTTACTTGTAGACTTGCATGCGAAGAATGTGATCAATCTGGTAGGTAGTCTTTACGGTCACTGCTCCGATATCTCCACCTTCGTCGGATACCTCCCCGTCCTCATTCGTCTTGGAACGCAAGTAGAACCACTTGGCTGGTCCGGATGTCCAGTTCTCGTCGACGTCGACTCGAACTTGACCGTGGAAGACCGCGTTTATACCTTTGAGAAGATCTTGCCACAGAGTCAACTTCAATGAGAGCATTCCTTCAACACATGGCATCTCTAACCATTCCTTGCTTCGCTTTTCCTCTGTGTCAATGGCTAGCTTGCCAACTTCCTGAAAAGAAAATTTGTGTGCGTCGTAGAATGGGCGGGGACGAAAAAATGTGAAGAGAAAAAAATGCACAAAAAAGAAGGACGTACACTGGCGGTGCCGATTGTGGAGACGAGCAGCAGAAGGGATTGATTCTCCTTGAGCTTCAGTCCTCCTCCGCAGTCAACGACTCTGCAAGAACTTGTTTGAGGAAAGAGCAAACCACTACAGAACAGAAAGTGCGAAAAGTACAAACTCTAAATGGCATCCCTCAAAGTATCATTTTACGTAGCCTTGTTCTCAGCCAAAGGAGGGATGTTTTGGCATTGTATTCAGGAAGATTTTGTATTCCTTTTGTTGTTATGTTCTTATTCGCACACTGCTTACTCAACGGCTTTGCAAAACGGATTGTTTACAAAATGACGATGGCGGAACGTTTCTTTTCACCAAGATTTGAGCCGGACTGACGCAAATGTTTTGGAATAGGCAAGAAGTCCATCAGAAACGGTTTTGAAAAGGTTTGGAGGGGTGTAGAAGGTCGCATAAACATTGAATATTCATGAACACATACGGGTTTATGGTAGGAAAAACACAAAACTTTTGTATAAGAAAGGAAGAGTAAGCATCTGGTGGGTCCGTAGATCATCCACATGAGCTGATCATATTTCGACGTGGGAGGGGGGAGAAGTGAGTCAAAAAACAAGATTGAATATTCAGCAGATGCAGAGCAGAAAGACATGTGCTTCTTCCGCAGAACGGATCTGTTTCATCTCGTATTCAGCAGTCGACGGACTCTTACAACGACAATCAAGTGGACTCGCCAAGTGCATTCAACTCATTTGAGAGGCCGGCTAATTCTGAAGGGGTGTGGGTGTCTATTGATATTCAGTTTTCTCGAACCTATACCACAATTTCAAGCACAAATATGGAAACAGACACGGGGGTGGAGAAAACGACGAAAGAATGAATGAAAATGAAACCATGAGAGGAGGAGGAGGCGTGCTGTTTTCCGCAGAACAAAGGGAGTAATAAAAGAAAGAGAAAGATAAATAGATGAGCGATGAGCGGACGCATAAATAAGTAATAGATGGATGACTAATTTTATTAGTGGTACGGACATTCAAGCTCGCATTTATGCGTCAAGGTCCGTCACCGCCGCCGATCATTTGAGCACTAATTCAAAAAATAAAAACGGGGGAACATAATATTTGATTAGATCGGAACACATGAAGATGAGAGAAATCCCATGCTATATCATTGGCTTATTCGAAAAAAAAACACTAAGGGAAAAGTACTCAAGAGCGTTTCGTCTACCAGCGGGGGCGGTTATTTGTACAGTTAGTAGTCGGGGGGACAATCCCAAACCGCTGCTGCTGCTGCTAGTGCGTGGAAGAAGATTTTGTGACAAAAACACAGGTAGGTAACATTTCCGCGGTGAGAAGTGAGTTTGCGCCAAAGCGAAGGCGTCCCTTTACCTTTGCTCTTTTCACCGCAAAATGTGTTTGCCATTAGATTAAATTGAGAAGCCGACCTATTTGTTAAATAATAAGGAGCCATAATGGAAGATCACACTCAACGGGATGTAGGCAGATCGGCCAGATGTAAGACGATTATTAAAATATTACGCTTTACAGGGTACATCAAAACGAACGGGGCGTTGAGTCAGTCAATATTATTCCGACACAAAAACTACTCAACGCCTCTTGAGATATTTTGAGCAATCATATGGTTTGACCCGACTTGAGAGGGTGATAAAGAGGAGCCAAGATCAGAGTGTTGAGAGAAAAGGCGAGCGAGAGAGAGAGAGAGAGAGAGAGAGAGAGCATCTTCCAGATGTGAACTGGGAGTTCCGAAACGGCTCAAATTAACGTCAAAGTTTCGGATTTCAAACTGGTCCCTACGATAAACATTTCTTTCTGCATGCGACTAGTGAATTTTAATGTGAAAGGAAAAAGAAAAGGGCTAAAAGTTAAAGTCAAATTGGAATTGAAGTGAATTGAGAACAAATGAATTATGGACGAAGCAAGTGGCTGAGCATGTTTCCTGAATTCTAATAAACTCGACGAGAGATATTGTTCTGGTCGACAAGTTTCGGCAGGAGAAGAGAGAATTGAAAAGAAAAGAAAAGAAATATTTGACTTCCGGCCCACGAGAACTCTTTTCTCTCTTCATTTTATTTCATTTTCACAAAACGCCGACAAAAAGACGCAATTGAGCCCCGGGAACTAGGTGTAATTCATATTTTATTGCGCTTTTCCTCGCCCATCCTCACGCCAATTTGTTCGTCGCAAATTGCCGCCTTCTTCTTTTCATCTTTTTCATTTCTTTGTGTCGCCCTTGCAAACTTCGACAAGAGAGCGTACGCCCACGCACACACAAAAGGTCATTCCAAATAAAAAGGGTGGGAATGGAACCATGCAGTTATGATAAGAAACGGAACTCCCACGCACCGAATCACAATCAAACATGAGTTGGACTCGTGCCAAACAGCTGCTTTCTCACTCGCTCGCTCGCAATCGCTGCTCTGCGGCCATTCATTAATATCACAATATCAGCAGAGGATGCAGCAACAAGACGTCCCACGACTTCCGGTTCTCTCCGATTTTTTTGTCTCTCAAAGATAGGAGGACGAGAGGAAAAGAGGAGGAGGACGGGGGAGAGGTAAGTTCACAGACGCTTGATTGATAGGCAAAGTGAGGGGTAACAAAGAGGTCGATTTGTTATCCGTGGTCTACTTGATAGGTCGGAAAGCTCACACTCGCACTCCCTCAGCTGAAGGGTTCGAAATATGCTCTGAGTTTGGTGTTCCTTCTTCTCATTTACGCCTATCTATCTGAAAAACAGGAACTCTTGCGCGGAGGAAATGAACTGGAACGAAGAGAAAAAAGGAAACAACAAGCATTTGGTGGAGAAGTTATATCCGACGAATATGCGTGGGCGGTTTCCCGCCTACAAGACAAAATAGGAATATATGACAGGTCCCGCGAAAATAGGCGAGAGAGAGAGAGAGTTTGAAGAAATTGGTAAGCGCAAGCAATAATCTTCCAGCCTCCGATCACTCTGAAATAAATGTTTTCGACTCATTCAGCCGCACGCCACACGCGGCGATTTGTGAGATTCGAACATTCTTTTTATTATCTCATATAACTTTTCTCTTTTGAAAACAGACGGATTTCGTGAAAAATGAGTGAAAAGTGGGCGGAAAGCGATTGAAAAGAAGGCGAAACGGGTGCATTTGTGGTGAGAGTGACCTTCAACCAGAAGGTTCGCAGGAAGAAGGGATTAGTGCGTAAAATGATGAAAAGTAAGTGAGCAACTGAGATTATCTCCCCGGTATTGTTTGGCATCACTTCTGATGGTCTTACCTTCTTTTCAGTTATCAAGAATCTGCTGATAACAGATAAACTCGTTGAGTGAGCGAAAGCTGAGCAAACGGAACGTTTTGACGTATCTTAAACGAAATACAACCAGTTCATTAAAACAGGATAATCCTTTTGTACGGGTAACCTAATTGGGAGGGTGTGGGATAATCGTATTTGCGGGGGTTCTTCGGAACTTGAACAGCTAGTTCACTTGTTCTAGATAATCCGTTTTTCAACTGGGCAATAACAATCCGATTTTCTGTTTATTGCATCAAAATACAAACCAACCAAAGGCGGCCCCGATTAGTGCTCTTCGATGATGAGCCACGGTTGATTAAACATTTATGAAAGGATCTCCGAAAAACAATGAGTACTCCGTAAGATGTTTGAACTTTAACTTTCTCCACCCTCATCTCAGTTGGATTGGAAGCAATAAAAAAAATTTTCGGGGGGGGGGGGCAGCAAATTCCATTTTATAAATAAGAACTGAGAAGGGTAGGCGAGTGATAAGCGATTGTGCAAACATGATAAAAACACATGGTGAACAGTAAAACGTCTGGTTTCCGGTCCCAGGCGTGTTTTTTTTCTTATTTCCTCTTTTGTTGTGGGAAAGTGAAAAAGGTCAAAGTGCAGGACTCACCGAATTGAGAAAGATCCTGACTGACGACGGAGGTCAATGCAGATTTGACCACAAAAATCGGGGTACTTGGAAACGGCGCACAGTTTCAACGTCTGCTCGAGTTCAGTTCCGACCTCGAGATCCTTCTTGGCAATCGACACCTTTCCCACAGGACGAGCCACTTTTGCTTTGGATCCTGTGATGTTTGCTGATCAGAATTGGTTATTGCACGGATTGCGTTTGGACAGAATTTGCGAATTTGAATTCGATTTTGAGGTTGAGGTACAAAAAGAGGTATTGGGCATAGTTGACAATTCATTACGTCACAAGTGCGTGACCGGAAGTAGTTTTGGACATGAACCGGCAACCTTCTACTCTGATCGCTCAATCGGAATTAGCATAACGAAATTGAGGAAAATGTCTTGAATGCTAATTTGTCTCGATTCGGTCAACATGGGTTTGTTCCGTATTGTAAGAAAAAAGCGAACGAAGCACCATAGTTCGGCCCTAACAAACAAACCTTCGAGGAAAACGAGGTGAAGGCTGGAGAATGAGTCGATCGTTTCGATGGAGAATTCGTGGACGAGATTGTCGCTGCAACAAATGTTCACGTCAAAAAGTGGCTCCAATCATCATCTTCTTCTTCTCCTTCTTCTTCTTCTTCTTCTCCTCTTGCCATCATTTTTCACCCCCATTTTCTTTATGCGAAATAGCAAAATGGCAAGCGGAAAACACAAGATTGGACAGAAAAATTGGGCCAACCGGGGGCCATGCCCGATGAATTTACTGCTTTTGTTGTGTCAGAAATGCGTGGGAACACACTAATGTTGCAATTCGACTTGAAATTAAATGAGGGAATACGGGGGGAAGTGAAAATGCCACAAATCTCATTAACACTTTTATCCTACTTCTAATCAATTAGGAAGTCAACTGCTGAGCTATCTGATATCACTTATCACTTTTTATTTTTGACTGTGCTCACCCTCGAAGCTTGGCGGAACGATGAACATCCTTGTTATCGAATTTAGCCATGATGTAGATAGATTTCTTCGGTTTACGAACGAGCTCCAAGTTGGAAATGCTGATGGAAACCACTTCGAATGTTCTGTTCGGGTTTGGAGTCAGTGCTGCATTCTCGATGGCTGCCTGCAGTAGAAATGATACAAAATGACATTGCGAATAGATATTTTTAACCACTGCGAGTGAATTTTGAGCTGTCATAACTAGAACTGATGTCTGTTCTTTCCGTGATCCCTCATAGATCTGAGGGCAGACTAGCCCCCCACAACAACGGCTATTTCCCATAGATTCAAGGAAAATGCGCCGTGGATGCTACAGAACCGGAAATTGCTTCTTTTTTTTTGTTTCTTCCCGGGGCATCGAACAACGGTTTTTATAAAAACTTTCCATTTCCGGCCTGTCTAAACTACAACAATTGCGTCGTTCGCGCCTACTGTACCGAAAGAATTTGAGAGGAAATGTGCTAGTTTTCAGAATAGAGAATACATTAGAATATTATAGCAAAGACAAGTGACTATTATTGTTTTGCCTTCGTCAAAACAGAAAAATTTTTCGTCTCTTCATCAATCTCTTCTAGAAGTCAACATCCACGTGGCCGCACTCACCCGGGGACTAACTAGTGAATTCCTTTCGTTACCATTTTGGAAAATTCTGAAAAAATCAGGGTTGTACTATAAAACATGGAGAAAATTTTCTGACCTCTGAAAACTTCCAGAAACGTCGTCAAATTGTTTTTTGTTGACAAAATTCACTTTTTTGTATGCCAAAAACCCTTCCAACTGTCTGAAAGTGAGACTATTCAAAATTACAGCAGACGGTTCTATTGGTAGTGTTATCAGCTTACAAAAGATTGAATTTTGTAAAATTAGCAAAATTTTGATTTTTTTTTTTTTGAAAGTTTCCAGAGACATTTAGACGAATGGTAAGATTGGAAAATGTTCCCCATATTTTATAGTACCACTCTGTTTTTTTTTTAGAATTTTCCTAAATGCTTTAGAAAGTAAGTCCTCAGTAAGAATAAGAAGAATGACACCTACTTCCGATGGTCGGAGCACGTTCACAAGAAGATTTTGCGAGTTCATGTTTGGCGAACTGGACGACATTTTCAGCAATTCCCTTTTCTTTTCTTTTTTGATCTGTAATACCATTGTTGCAATCAGATTCGCGAAGAAAAAGTGTTACCCTGGGTTTGGGGACTGGCGAAGCGATCGGAGACGCCGTTTCGCACAATCCTTCGTTCAGACGAAGTTTTAGATTGACTGCAGCAGGCAGCGGAGGCTGTTCGACAGACAATTCGGATGACACACTCGGCTGAAACATCATAATATTTGGATTTGGTCATGGGCTCGAATCACAACATCGCTTGTTGTTGTAGTTGCGTCGTTGGATGGGGACGGCGATGGTAGAAATGGACTGATTTTTGTCTCATGCACACGCATTTCCGGAGCCGACCGCGAGTTTTTCACAAACATCTGGAAAAGTGGATTTCATGACAGTGGACAGTGTCCATGTGTTCGTTTCTCGAGAAAATGTGATACAATTGATACGATTGACCTTAAAACGCAAACAAAACGGCTGATGAACAAGTGCACAGATGCACTTCTCAAGGACATCTATGAAGTAATTCGTCTGGTTCTCAAGAATTCCAATATATAGCTTGGAATTTATTCGAAAAAGAGAAAGAGAAAGACTAAAACTCGACGAGCTGTCTACTCGTTTACAAGACGAACCTTTTCGACGGGAGTGCACATTAAAGACCTTTGCGTCGGCGGTTCAGTAATATCGAAACAAGAGTTGTCGATCGAAAAGTGCGAAATAGGCCTTCGGAACGATGCGATGGACGAGGAAAAGAGACTCGTTGCTCGCGAATCATTGCTGCGGGCTCTCTCATGTCCTGATATCATAGACCGCCGATCGTTTAGAGTCGCATTCTAAATGAGATTAACCTATTCGAGCAGACAAACCATTTTGAATTGAACTAACACTAGAGACACGATGTCTAACTTGTTGTCCAGGGATGTTTCTCAGCGAATCGCCACTCTCGTTCAATCTCGACCGCAAGCCGTGGTCCAGTTTTCCCAGAGCAAGATAGCGTTCGTAGCCTCCGTCGTCTTCAGAACTGCATTCCGTGTCCAAAACAACGCCCACGTGATTTGGCTCGAACTGTTTTTCCTCCGCGTCACGGACGGCTTCTTCGATTTCCTCCAAAATACCATCTTCATCCGAAAACTGCTGTTTAGTGAGGTCTCCAGGAACAGTTTCGCATTTTTTCAGATAGACTGAACCGGTTTCAAACAGTTTATCAAACATTTTGGCCTGATGTCCCTGAGCCAACTGGGCCGTCATATATGCGTCTTCCGTGAGATCATGCAGTTCTGCCAGTTTCCTGTCAATATCTTCCAAGTTTCGGGACGGTTTCCTTGGCGGGGATGAAATCGTAAGTGTACTAGTTGTTTGCGTGGGAATAATTTCGTCATTCGACTGTTCAGATCCATTCGGACTGATAACCAAACTGATCGGACTCTGCAATTCCTCGCTACTACCTGCCAGTTTTTCATTTTCAGTCAATGTTTGTCCGTAGTTTGATTCCTGCTCCGTGCTAGATTTCTCATTCCGCTCGCAATTCACATTGTTCTCGTCGAATCGACTCATTTCATGTTGACTGAAATAGCTAAGTGATAAGCACGGAATTAGTTACCGAATCGGCGAACGGGGTAATTGAACGGTATTAGGAGAGAAGATGAGGGTTAAGGAAGAAAGAGATCAGAATCATTTTCCACCCGATATTTTATTATTCCTCCAAGTACTTGTGTTTGTGATGTTTGGAGGCATAAAACGTAAGCAAAAGCAAAAGTTGGAAAGTCGGTTTGTAAACTGAACCCATCAAACTCAATTTTGGACGAAAACGAAATTCGCATCACAAGACGAGAGAAAATTTCGGGAGAGTAGCGATATCTTGCAAGAATGCGGTAGGATTTTCTCAATTTGAAGATTGCGATAATAGAAGTTGCGTAGAAAGCAATGAACGAGCGGAAACGGTTTGTATCGGATCGGATACGAGAAGGGCATTTCGTAATATATGGGTTTGGCCGAGTTTATCACAAAAACTTGCTTTGGGACGGAGATATTCAACGAAAATGCATTTGTCATTGAACTTTTGACTATTTTCACCAAAAAATTAACTTTAATGCATAAAGCACGCATGATTGCAACAGTGATTTCACCGAATGAATTTTGGCGAATATTCCGGAAATAATATTCAGGTTAGTAACTTTCAATGTGAGAAAAATGGGCGTTCCCCCTCTTGCATATCCGAAAACACACACTGCAGACTGATAACCAGAGACGCTAGTTGACGGAAATGACATGCATCGCTTTTTTCTTTGCTTCGAACAGGATTTACTCGGAACACGACAGAATGGTATGCGAGGAATGAGTCTAAATACATTAACCACCGCTAATTGGGAGAATGGAGAACCTGACATGAAAAAAGGAGGAGAAAGATGGTAATGATTCGGAGGGAAATGAGGGGAAGGGTAGTAACTCTTCGACAAGGGAATGGACTGCAGCAACAATTTAGTTTATAAATCTCAAATTTCTACTGCTCCAGCTCTAGAAGCTTCATGGGAAGTGAGCGAGTACGAGTGTGAATCGCTACTTGTTTTCAGAATTCGTCTCCGATATCAACTTCCTGCCATATCTCCGAATCAACTTCCCCTAACTTATAGATAACGTGTTTAAACAATGTGTGGGGCGAAAAAAAGTGATGAGAAGAAGGAGAAGAAAAAATTCCTTTTCTTTTCTCACTTCCATATCTGTCCTCTCCCCTCTCATACCGTATCGTGCTCTCTTTATCACTATCTATCTCTCGCCTGCCTTTCCTTTTCTTTTCTTTTCCGATTCTATCACCGGCGCGCCGATGCGTCTCTCTCTATCACTTACGGCCACCCAATTGTCATTACAACTCTGACGGCTGCGTTGTCTAGATATCTGATTCGCCTGCGCGCGGCGTCGTCTTTCTCTCACTCGGGGTTTTTGTATTTCCACCCTCGCGCCAAATGTCGTTTACCGTTGTCAGTCACCCCCTCAACCGCCTGAACGGACACACACACACACGTAGTCGGCCTTGAACACGGCACCGGTCCGTATATAATGTCGGTCTCAAGCGATTTTCTATTTCGTGATCTAAATCATAGGCAAACCTTGTTTCGCGTTTCGCCCCCCGTGTTTCTAGAGTTTTGCGCATTCTTTGCCCCCCCACCCCCCGTCACTGAATCAATCTATGTCTCTTTTTGGAACTTGAAAAACTAAGCGAGAGAGAGAAGGGACAAATTGCGGGACTAGCGAAATTGAAAGAACAAAAGAATATGTTGCACTTATCACTGTCAAAACAGCAGATGAACTATCTATCGGTTGGTCGGTTATCAGTGGGGCTGGCAGGGAAAGAAGCGAGAGGTGGTGCAGGCAAGACAATTTCACGCAGCATAGAATAGACTGACAGTTCTCAACAATGAATAGAGGAAGGCACACAAATGAAAGAATATCGCATAACTCTTCGCAAATGTAGAATTTATTCCGCACTATTACCCCGACCTCTGGACGAAGAGCGCAGGCTACAACATGAAAACCGCCAAGAATAGCGATTCTGAATTCACGCGTTTTTTTATGCGAACCCAATACGTGTTTTATCTTTCTTTCTCGACGCGTTGTGACACGCGGTCATCCCGAAAAAGTGATAATGAATCGGTAGCATTGTTGAAATTGGTCAAATTTTTATCAAATCAAAGATGAAGACGATGAAGACGTGGTTGGGGTTAAGAAGGTACGTGTGGCGGGTATCGTCCACGATTTCTCAGGTTCCCATGATGATCTTATTTCTGCTAAGCCGACGATGAGTGGTCTCAATGAGGATTAGGGGTCGCCTTTCGTTTGGAACGGCTCACCCGGCACCACTTCACCGAAAATGATTCAAATGTTAACCTTGAAATTATTTATTATAAGTTCTCGCTTTCCAATATTCCCGTAACGCTGCTCGACACTGCAATATGCTGTTTGCGACGCAAGAAACGCGAATTGTCGTCAAATGTGATGCATTGGGTGCGCTGTTCCCCCTGGGAGACACCGCCGCCGTGTCCACGTACGCGTTCATCGATCCCCTTTTCTCGCCTGTTCTCCGTTCGTTTCAGAGCCAAATCTCGCAGATATTTAAAGATTTAGAACTGAAATTCAAGTTTACTCCGATTAAGTCGCATTTTCAGTGGTAATAAGTGATAAGTTTTGAATTTTTCAGCGTGCAATGTCACAATCAAGAGTGTTGGACACTCGGAGACGATACCGAGAGCTTTACGCGGACTATGACACAACTGTCGATTACGGATCGATGGAAAACTTTGCGAATGCTCATCGCGAGTATATCCGTAAAATGCGCGAATATCAAGCACGACAGGGTCATCGCCGACAACTCGAAGCGTGGCAATGGGTTGGCACGTGTAATTACATTCAATCAACCGGATATCCCCTTCAGGCCCAGTTTCTCAATAGCATGATGCTGCCTGGATTCTATACTCCGCCGGTGGCTGAACCAGTAGAGGAACCACCTCAGGTTCAACGCCGTTTCGATGCAATTACATACGAGTGAGGAAAAACAGGAGCTATCGGTGACAAAAATGAAACGTTTTCAGTGCTGCTCCGTTCATCCGCCGTCTTTTTGCCGAGTTCATCGATTTCCTCTTCTTCCTCGCATTGAAGATTTTCGTCATCGGAGCGCTTATCGAGATCGATGTCATGTTTGTGAACTGAAGAATTCAGTTTTTTACTTTTCCATTTTCAGCGATCTCAGACACTTTGGCCAAGCTCTCGAAGACGAGCAGGACATTATGCAGTTCATCAATCTCGCCCAGGAACTACTTCCGATCGAATTCATCAGCAAAGTCGGCTGCTGCATTATTGAGGTAACCAAGTGTCCTCAGATTTCGATTCCATCTTATCGTACTTTAGGGACTCATTATGGCGTACGGACTGGGACCAATCGGAAAAGGCCAATCTCCCGGCAAATGGATCGCTGGAATTCGTGTCCTCTCCTGCTATGACGTGACCGCCGGAGAGCTGCCCGAACATGTCGTCGTGGAGGGACCAAATGTCATTGGAGTTCAACAGTAAGAACCTATTTCGCAACGAAAGTATATAAATGCGAAATTTTACAGATCTCTGAAGCGATCGTTCATGAAGAACGTTATTGTGAACAGCCTGTTCCCACTGAGCACCGCCGCTTTCCAAATCAACAATGGACGCGTTTTCTACGACATGGTCATGAAAACAGTCGTCATCATGGTCCCCCAATAAAACTAATCTCATTGAAAACGCCATTCCCATTCTATTCTACTCTTTGATATTGAATAAGATGCAATGCTGTCATGTTCTCTTTATTCAGTATTCTTCTGAATTGTCAACTCCCTTTTCGGTAGTGTAAGGTGTACAAAACTTCGTGTGATTGAATAGCATTCCAGTGCATCGAACAACCCAATTACTTCATAATTTGCATGTAAAAATAAAGATGTTCTATGGTTCTCATCAGAAAAACTTTATTTTCTCTCCGATTTGATCGATTTCAAACGCCCACTCACGCAGTGAACTATTTATTTAAAAAAAAGTAAAATCCTATAAAGATTCAGGAAACATTTCAGGAACAATTGGAAATTCTAAGCAGGGAGTCTACCGGAATCGGGTCGCCAGTAAACGGGCACTCCTCTGTACTCAACACATCCATGAAGGCACATGCAAACATAGAAGAACAGAGCCACAATTATGAGAAAAGCTATCAATAACTCGGTCGCGGACGAGTATTCAGTTCTATTTGTACCAAGAATTTGTTGATTTGGGAGAGGAATGATAATAGCTGAAACAGGTTCAGCACGGACGACTATGGAGTCTTTTGGGGCGGAATCCGGGATGTTCTTTTCAGGAATCACAGATATGAACGAAGGCTCCGCGTTGATTGACTCGGGCAAATCCAGAAATATCACTGTATTTCCACCTGACTCGAGTTCTCCCTGTCCGTTCTCTACGTCAGTATTACTATCGGAATCAGCAGATTCATAGTCGGAGTAAATTTCTGGATGAACTGATGAGAAAACAGCGTCGGGCACTTTGATAAAGTTGCGAAGCTCAGCAGCTATGCTGTCGGCTCCGTCATATTCGGAAGGACTAAAAGTTGTTTTCGACTGTTTTTTTTTTCAACTTCCTGGCATACTTGTCACATATTCCAGTTACTTTGCAAATTTCCATGAGATACGGATAAACGGGCTGAACATAAATATTGTCAGGTAGTTCTGAAAAAGTACTGAAGATGTTTGGCAGCGCAATGTGACCCACGTTTCACTAAACGGCCGATATAAATTATTCGTCTTCTAAATTTTGAGAATTCTTCCGTCGAGATCGGCCCACTGAAGGATTCGAGCATCTTTCGTTCGACATTATCGCTGGCCCACTGAAGATTGGTGCTATTGACACAGAGCATGTCACTGATATCTTCGTTTTCGCAGTAGAACACCTGCAATCTTTCCTGGTTTACAATATTCAATTTTCATGACTATGTACTTTGTTTTCAAAATATCGGAAATCTCTAATTTGTGGAAACATTTCAACAACTCTTATATGAGGTTCCGCGCCCACTTGAACTGTTGCTTCCGTCCCGTTTTGAGTCTTCTCTTCTGAAAATTATAACATTTTAGAAGAACGAATTACATTGATCAATACTTGGAAGACAACGAGGAACAAACTGTCCCGGATGAAAAAGTCCTCCCAAAATGCGGTTTGCTTGGATAATAACGAATCCTCGCTGGAAACTCCCATCACATTCACCGACAAAATACGCCTGATATAAATGTATTATAAACTTCGAATCTGAATTCAGCCAACTGTTTTATCCATTTCGTCAACAACGCCTCCCTGGAACTCGTAATCGTATGTGAACTTCATGAAGCTAAAAAAATGAAATTATGGCAAAAATATCATTCTGCTCACTTATTCTTGCATAACGCCTTGTCCCTGTTGTGAATATCCAGAAACTTAGCATTTGGATCCACGATAAGATGTCTCTGTGAAATTGCGATTAGGTATGTAGGGCTTTCGGAGCTCAAAATTGCATTTGGGCTGAGAACATTGCCAGATAGGAACAGACCATCTAAGTCTGTACCTGCACTGAAAGAAAAACAAGATAATAGAAGAGAATCCAATATCGGAAACTCACAATATCGCCTCTCCGCATTCTGCAATTCTTTGAAGATTCTCCTCGTCGGTAAGCTTGAAGGTCACGTCATCATGTGTCAGAGCAGTAGGGAAAAAGCATAAAATAGAAGAAAAATGGAAGAGACTCCGCATTTCTTCAACGATTGCAATCCACCTCGTCTATATGAAACAAATGAGAGTTCGCTCTGACATAAATCAACGCGGAGCTTTCTTCGAGAGTTTCGCTGGAGCCACCTGACTAATTTTTTCTTTTTTTGATTAATCGCAAAGGTTATGTGGGGAGACGGCAGCTGCTAAGCGGACTGGGCAACTTTGAAAGTGACTCATTCGTGTGAGAGCTCTATTTTCTTAAAAATTGAGGTAATTTGCGCGCGTGTGAGTGAAGATTTCCATTCGTCACCATTTTTACGTTTTCCAGAAATAGAAACGCAATCTGTAAATCCTCTGTACCAGGAATTCACAGTGTAATCTGTTTAGAGGCCATCTTCCAATCGTCTTTTGGATAACCTAGTTCTTCGGCACTGTTATAGAATTGTGGACCATTTGGAAAAATCGGAGACCCAAAATAAATTATCGTGGACCAAGAAAATCATGAAGCCGAGAAAATCATGGACCTGAGAAAATCTCATGGAATCTTTAATCATATCAAAAAACGTTAAATGAACATTACAATATGTTTTTATGTTACAACAAAATGATTTTCCTTCTATCCGAGGTAATTTATTTTGGGTCCACGATTTTTTTTGGTTCCCTGAAACCCTTGCTTCGGTTCACAATTTGTCCAAATGGTCCACGATTCTACTACAACAGTGCCAATTCTTCGAAGAGCTGACGTCATGTTTTGTAGTAATTGCAGCTGCTTTCTCTTCGGAATCGCATGCAAAACGGAATCAACAACTCTAATGAATTTGACGCAAATGACACATTTTCAACAAAATATATTTATTTCACAGCCGCAAATCTATCTCCAATCGTTCAGCAAGAACCACAGTGCGATAACATTTATGAGTGAATTTCAACGTCGAAAGAATAATGTCTCAGAATGCCGAATAAGTTAAAAGTTATGTAGAAGTGAGGAGCAGCTCACACAAAATGACTTAACAGGCGAAAACCGTTCAGTTTTTGCACGACAGAGAGAAGGAGAGAGAGAGAGAGAGAGAGGTCAGAGATTATCATGAAAGCAAGTGGATGTCCAGTAAGGACCGGAGTTGTCAGGGTGCGAGCACATCTATTTCCCGATGTCTCCGAGTCGATCAAGAGCACCAAAGTTCTTCAGAATGTGGTTGACCACTTCGGCGTTGTTCCGTTTGTTCAGAGGAGCGAACTGAAAAGTATTGAAAATGGAAGCAGAAACTAAATGGGGTAGTGGTACCTGTCGAGAGTTGTAGAAGCGGTACAACACGTGCGGCGCGTACGCTGGAAGCGAGTTGCCATAACGCATCTGAATGGGGATCATGTTTCTGTGGAATGGAAACAGGGATCCTACCATGGTTCCTTGCGGTCTTGGGCTGGCATCAACAAGGTTCATCGAGGTGAGCGTGGCAGCTACCGCGACGAGTAGCAGGAGGGTGACCGAAATTCGAGAATTCATCTGGAATGATCAAGTGGAGGCGATGTTTTGATGCCCTAGTTAAGAGGAGAGACGATCCCCGAGGGATGGCTAATGAGCACTGCACTTCTCATGAATGAGCGCGTGTTGATTGAAAAGAAAAACAGAAACTTCTCTTGCTCATCTGACTCATTTCATATGCGAAACTATTTTCTTCTAGTAAAAAGAAGCGAAGAGTCAAATGAGAGCCGGATGGAGAAATGACACGAGCACAAACGGATGAGCGCATGCTTCTCCTCTTGCTCCGCCCACACGTGTGCGCAATAAAGCCAATCAGGTACAAAGCTTACAGCTTCTGATTGGGCCAATTGACGTTGTGCAGAGGGAAAGAAGTGAGATGTTTGTGGATGACGACGCCTTGATGAGGATCCGTAATTAGAAAGTCGTTACGAGTCAGCTCTTTATTATTTTTCATAGCGACTTCGCGGATCGGAAAACAACTGGGGGTACTGCTCTGTCGGAGATGAAATTCTACGAAATGTGACTGCGTTCTTCAGACGTACTACTAGTTTCGATTGTCAATTCAGTTCCTAGAATTTGAGAGGGCAAAAAGAGCTGAAAACACATTTGAAGTGCTTTTTACAATTGTCATTTCGAAGGGATTGAATTTAAGGAATGAAGCCCCAGTCGGAATGAATTATGAAAAAACAGAGGCATAGACACTTTTGTAGCCGTATTCCCCGTTGACAGTGAACATAACATCGGAATGCGAAATAGGGAGAAACCAAAAATCTAAATCAACTGAATGAGAAGCTTTTTCTTTCGTTTAATTAAACGCAAGCTCGTGATAAATGCGTTGCCTCGTTTGATTAATCCAAAACGGAACAACACAAACACTGAGGAACAAAAACTTTCTTGTCTAAGGTCAAAAGATCGTGGAAATAAAGTTCGAAAGTATGAGCTGCTAGCTCATTGTTATTTTGAAATATTGCAGTCAAGAATAGTTTACCATGGTCGAGTAGAATTTCAATTTCTGATGTTGGATCTTCAAGCGTTCCTAATTATTCAAAAAGTTTCAACTCACCGAATATTCTATTATTTCTTACAATATTCTACAATGAAATAAAGAAGTGTATTTTCAGACAAAGAATTGAGGCGAAGGGTTGATTCTACTGTGGGAATCTGTGGTGGTTCAAATTGCGAAAAGGCATTTGGAGTTTGAAGATCCAACCTGATTTTTTTTAGAAAGCAACAAAAATTTACCTGAAATCAAAAAAATTATGTATTCTAATCGAACTGTAACTTTTTCTCAATTTTGTACAAACCCCTTCACACAAATGGTTTCAAGTTTTGATAATTCTCTCGAAATGTCCACAATCCCACGAAATCAACCACATAACCAATTAAATCCATCATAAGCAAGCTATCTGTGGCTGACAATCGCCACGAGTCTTCGTTCTACATGCCAAAACTGCCAGCTGCTTTCAGCGGTCGTCGTTGTCGTCATCTTTATTCATTTTATGTTCTGTTATGTTATGTTATGCTATTTTCTTTTGATGGTATGGTACGTAGTTATGTTGGTGACCAGATCTTTTTGACATCCTGTTTCCTCTTACTTATCAGTAACGTTCCGCAAACTTTCCGCCTGGCCTAGCACGATTTCCTCATCATTTACAGTCTATATTTGGTTTTCTTTCTGTTCTCTTTTCAAACACGTTTTGTTATGAATTTGTGATGATAAGGAGTGCAATTTTGATAATACCGTATGTTTTACTTTTTTGGTGTTAGACGGTGTTTTGCTATTTTCTCATCAGACTCATTAGAAGCAGTTACAACCCGTTGTCACATTTACTACTTATTTCAGAAAAGGGAGTGTCGTCGGCATCTTTGCGGATGAATCATTACATCCTTGACAAATCTCTCTTTTTCTTCTGCCTTTCCCCAAATTAGGCTAATTATTGGCGGTTATCCTTTTGGCAACATCCGTCTCAATTTTTTTCACAATTAGACCAAGTAAGTGTTAAATTACAGTAATTAGAAATTTTAGACAATGTTTTTGAAACAAAATCAGTTTTGTCTCCAAATTTTTTCTCCGATCGTGTCAAACCAAAACAGTATGAAACATGTATTGTTATTGCTGAAACTAACTTCATTTTCCTAAAAGCTACCGTATTCCCTCCTATTCTTCTCTTCCAATTCCCTTTGTAAAAATACGAGAGTAGCGATTTCGATTTCTGTCTCAATGAGCCACTCTTAATACAGTATCCGTAGGCTTTTCCCGCTGTTAGACTGGTTCTCGAGTGAGATCAAGGAAGCGCAAGAAATGCGCAATCTAGCTTTTGTTTTCACTTCGAGGACATTTCTTTTTATTTCAAAGATCATAAATTTTTAGAATTTCAGCTTACGGTAGAAGCTCATTTACAATTAGATACTTTGATTTTAAGTGTTGCGTCGCTATGCATCTGACCAGCCAGTCTTTGGTGACGGAAAAAAATGCCTTCCTTGTCTCTGCCATCTATCACCACTCGCACTTTCGATATGTTTGGCGGCGTCATGCGAAGTATTCTTTCGAATTCCGCACGGGGCGGCAAATGGATTATGTTTGATGATACTGTGTTATGATAGCAGATCACGGTCATCAATTATGCCGCCTGTCAACCACTTCTTCACAAGCGGTACAGGCAGGCATGCCTAACCAATCACACCTCAATTCACTACATTTTCAGGAAATTCTTGTATGTCTATGGGGGCGCTAGCGGCAGTCGCAGCCGGTGTTCAAGGCCAATCGAACTTTAAGAGATCATACGCATTAGCAAAATTTGCTTTCGTACAGTGAAAAGTGGCTAACAACGTGCGTACTGAAAGGTTTACAACAAGAATGCTCGAGATTTCGCGCCTATACAATCATCAAAGTAGAAATTGGATGGCGTAACGAAGACGGTCGGTCGGTCGGGCAGTTCCATTACACCACAGTTCTAGTGTGACACTTTTTTCTACCAGAAAATAGCTTTCCTTTTCTGTACCGCTTGCTGTTTGCACGCAAATCTAGCAACTTTCCAACCACTCATCACTCATTTTGTGTGAAACGCATCCATGACCACAGTGAGGGGGGATATGCATCTCACCTCGCTTCCCTCGCCCGTCGCGGGGTGAGAAATTACACATAAAACTTGGTTAGATCCTCGTTTTTCACAAGTTTACCTCCATGACACTGTGGAAAGATATTGTGGATGATGGAGAGCGACTTAATGAAAACACTCGTTCGCTGCGATATCTGTGAGAGGCATAAGCGTGAAATTTCTCTCTGCAGAGGGTCACTTGTTCTAGCGAAGGCTTGCGTAATCCGAAACTATGGACACTTCTTGTCATTCCTAGATACTATTCCTCCTCTAAACAAGGTGATGTTTGCCTGTTTTCACTTAGCAAATAAGATTCAGTTCTGTTTTTTGCTATTCTCTTCCGCATTAGAGAAACTTCAAGTTTTCAAGTGCCAAACGCTTCAAAGTTTTGTGGCGGAAACTACGTGAAAGCCGCGCGTGTCCAAAACATATCTAGTGCGGCATTCCTTTAAGTTTTGACGGCAAGAGCTTGAAGATCAAGAAACATATTAAACTTACCGCCCATTCAAAGATTGTGTGATTGATGACTTCACGTCCGTCCAAAAAACCTGCGGCTTGCAAAAGTGTCCCGGCGGTTCAAAACCATTTTATAGGTCCGCATTCAATGGAATATGGTCAGAAGGGGACGGAAGTGATAAGAAAAGAACGAACCGATGCGTGTGGCATTGAATTCCTTGGCGGCGACATGAAAAACGAACAAAGATGCGGCAAAAAGAGGTGTAAATGATAAATGATCGCCGCGTTTCACACCTTTTTTAATGCAACATCCCGTTCTGTTGAACCTACAGAACACCGGGCGTAGACCTCGCGGAGGCTTCATTTTTTCATCTCATCTTATCCAATTTTTTCTGCTTCTTTTTATGATTGAAATGTGATCGACTCCACATTTCTCTCATTGTAGTCAAGTCTTCATAACCGAGTGACGTCATCTATCAGCTGACTCATTGAAACTGTTTGAAGCCTGTGCTTCAAGGCTTCACCTTCATTCCTTGGCACGTCATCATTGAATTGTCTATTACTCATGTTCACTTCACCTTCCTTCTGGCAGCGGGAATAGCGATTTGCCCTCCATCGCAGGCGTTGTTACTCACGCTTTTCAATGAGATGATCAAGACCCACTTATAACCGTTCTGAATGCCGCTTCAGCCTGTCATCTTATTCCATTGTTGCTACGTTTCAAGGTGTCCAGTTGCAACGTTTTTTTTGCGGTTTCAAATCTGTCAGCTTCAATTAGAATATCCCGCAATCCTTTTCTATCCGATCTCTTATCCACAATTAGCGCTCTCGTTGCGTTTCTTGCCGAACTTTTGGTTTGGTTCCAAGTTTTGCAGAAGATTGGATAGGAAAAGGGTTGGCGTGTTGTCACGGGGCGAGCACTCGGGTTTATGTGTCCATAAACGTACGGCCTTTCCTTTCAGTTACCAGGAAACTGAGCGAAATGGCGGCTTCCAGACCTTTCTGCCTCCCAAATCTTTCCAACCCAATACGAGGTTTTGTTGTTTCAATCTTTGACTCGCTTTTTGGCAATCATCTCACTTTCAGATTCCATTATAACTTTGTCTCGTTCGTTTCCATTCCGTTACAACATCCCTTTTTCCATCTCTCACCTTTAAGAAATTGATGTTTTTGTTGAAAATCGAAAGTAGGCTTTGAGACCGGACAACTCATCGTAGCTTTCACTGGAAACATGGGCACGCAAGCACTTCCTATACTCACACTTTCCGAATCTTGCCAATTATCGAAAAGTGAGAGGATCGGTTGCGTAACATGGAGAATAACTGAAAACGAGACGAGGTGAGAAAGAAAAGCGCGGTGAACTGTCGCCTCTGCCATTTCGGTGCTTTTAATAAGCCGAATTTCTTGGCATTTCTCTCTGAAAACTAGTTAGACGGATAGCCTCCATATCTTTTATGTACATATGTGTGTATAGCGGCCAGATGTAGTCTGTATTTCAATGGATTTCACCGCACTTTCATTCGTCCTCCCACAACACATTTCATATAACTATTATTCACTAACAACTTGTCCCTCCTGCCATTCGTTTTCTTCCTACTTGCCATCAACACTTCTTCGAAATCCAATCCAATCCTTTCATATCCTTTCAGATTTCCTCACTCTTTGAGCGTCGAAACACAGTCTCAGTCTGCCTGACAGACGCTTACTGTAGTTTGACCCCCACCAAGTACCCCTTCCCCCAACCTTATTGTTGTTTTTGTTCTGGTTCGCTCCATTCACTAACCGCGTTCCGTCTTCTCCTGAACGGCTGAGTGTAAACGGGGGAGAGTCGCGACAATTTGAAGTAACTAAATAGCAGCACCCGAGATGTTGCATTCGGCCAATGTTCAACATCTTACTCATGCCTTGAATGGGCAGCGGATCAGAACGAGATATAGGGCAATTGTGGCCTTAGCGGTCGGCTACTGTGTGCAAGCCATCGTCGTGGGAGTCCATAATCTCTTTGAAGGCAAGATCCGTTGGACGAAGAGAAGAAGCGGCTTCTAATCGTTTTCTTTTACCAGCCCCTCTACAGTTTTTATGCATTCACTTTTGGGATTAGGCCGGAGAAAGAGATCTACCCTAGTCCCCACGTTCAACGTTTTTTCGAGTGGACACTCAGTTTCACTTGATAACCTTCTTCTTTTCAAGCTTGACCGTACCCTGAGATCTATAAATCATGGCTATCTAAACAAATAAGGCATCTAAATCAACATATCCAACCTAATCGCATCTCGTTTTCACTCTTCTCACTTTCCAGCCCATCGGTCATGCTGGCAGATAGACACACTCAAAAATCAGGTAGCCGTTTTCTAATTTATATATTTGATCGGATCACGTAAGATTATGAGAAAAGAGAGAGGGCGGTTGTGTAATTGTTTTGTGGGAGGAAAAGCGCCTGATTGATTGTTATCTTTATACGTACAATCTTCATATATATTTTTGTTGTCATCTGTCTGATTCTCTTCGTCCCGCGCAATCTCTGCCCGAGAGGTGTGGAAATTTTAGAAATTATCGCATATCTAGCGAAATTTTTTGCGATGAAAACGAAAACGGAAACTGTGCTGGCCTCCCCAGATATTACGCAACATCATTCACTCTTTATTTCCTTTTCTAGCCCTACTGCTCTGAAATCTTGCTGACAGTTTCTCACATTCTTGAGAGTGTCATTCTCAATGACGCAACACAAAAGATAGCTTCCGATGGTTGATCAACCCGAGCCACTTCAAATTCATTGAATTGAAACCCCATTGATTCCATGCCTCCCCTATGCCAGTTCTTCAAAATTTCAACTTTGCATGGTAGATTCAAAAACTGGATTCGATTCCTTCCACATTTTACTGATAATTTTTCTTTGTTTCTGCCCGATTATTGTTTCAAAACTTATTGACCGAGCGTATAGACAGTCATCACTATAAAATGTTCAAAAATTGAAGGAAGCCACACATACAGACACATAGCAACAAGTATATAAAACATGTCCTACTGTAATTTGGTTCTGTTTTGGCCCCTTTCCTCCAGTATAATCAAACAATCTCGTTTTCAGCCTTTCCATTGTTCTCCATTCCATTCCACACCACCTAATTATGTGAAGAAACAGAGAAAGATGAGGGGGGAGGTGGGCAGGCTGGAAGTTGAATGGACACTCGATAGTTTCATTTTCGAGTTTCCAGCTTTTTCTCTTTTTCGTTCTCACTTTTCCCGGTCCATTCGAGAATTTGTCAATTTGAAGTCTGTCCAAATAATACCAGTTCTATCCGTTGCTAAGAAGTGTAGGTGGAAGAGTTAAGCCCGGGATTTGAACCCGCGTTGGAAATCTTTTTAGCTCAAGCAGGGGAGGGCTCCTTCAACATCGGATTTGGCGCCCACTTTTTCGCAAAATATAAATAAGAACTTTCAACTTTAGGATTTCTAACCAAACCAGAATGTTTGATGCCTAGTTATCCAACAAATGATCATATTCCAATAAAACCACCGTCTCATACCAATTTCAGCGGGCGATGGTCACTGATTAGTTTCCGCTTTGCCATCGCACCAAGCTTCTTCTCCTTCTTCTTCTTCTTCTTCTTCTCTTTCTGCTTCTTCTTCGTTTTTCGTTCTTCTTTTCCCATTTTCTCTTCTAGTTTTGTGTTGTTTTGTCCGCTTTCGGCTGTTCGTTTTCCTCCGATTGCCATAACAGTAATATCCTCAACAGAAGAGGCTGAAGGTTGTTGGTCGGAAAAGAAATTTCCATTATCGTCAATTAGAGAGCGGCAATCAGGAAGTGGTGGCAGTGAATATCTTCCTTCCGAATGATTTCGCCGAGTTTTTTTTGGGAGGCCAGCGAGTCCTTTATCACTAGCATTGATCCGAATGTCTACATGATCTCGCTTCCACCGTTTTTTGTGCGCTTCCCCGAATCTTGCCCCGAACCGATATCATTTCTCTTCCAATCTCTCTATTTCCTATCGCTTTTTGGTGCTTCCTCTGCTTCTCCTTCTTTTAAGCTTTCCCTTGACATCTTTGATCTACTATGACCGTTTCTTGCTCTTTCTTCCGGATATACGATTATATTGGAAATTTGTAAATCAAAAAAATTTATTTTTGAAACTGCTCTTGCTCATTTGAGCATCAACCGGATACACGCAGAAAACGAGTGGGAGACGTCCATAAAATGATCACTTTTGGCTGCAAATGCCACTCGCATATTATCAATGAGTTTCTCTAAACTCATTCGATTCCTCATCCACTTTTTTTCGTTTAATAGTAGCCTAACGGAATTCCTCTGGAATTCCTCTTCGTTTTCTTCTTCTGATACTCCTATAATTTCCATATGCCTCATTCCTATCTCTTCCTTCATTCCTATATAATTACGAAACCAGATGTCGATCAGAAAACTAAAAAGCAAAAAAGAACGGTTTGCTGAAACATAATACTAGAGTATTCGGCAAGAATTGTCAAGTTCGGCATGAATTCCCGTTTCGATTATCTCACGTCCGACTGATTCGTTTCTTCTCCGTTTTACTTTTTCTCCGTTCCGGTGCCAATTCACGCGTTCTTGCAGTTCTTCACTTCATTTCGCCCACGTTCTGGATCGAACAGCGCCAATGGATGAGCCAGTCATTGACACATCGACCCCGGAGACTTTGGAAAGGGATTTCATGGCTTGGCTTAATGTGAGTTCTTAACTGAATCCGTCCGTTAATATTGTTCGATTTACAGAGTGACCCCGCGAACACTCCAATCCGTAAAGCCGTATTTCTTTCAAATTCCGATTCTTTACCGCCTGCACTTATCAGCCAGTTCACCGAAGCATTTGAAGTAAGAACATGGAGAATAAGAGAAACTAGGTTCAAATAAACTACTTTTTCAGGTTAACATGTACAATCCGTACTACTATCCAGATACCTCGGACAGTGGATCTCCTTCTTCGCTGTCTTGCTCTTCTTTAGATTATGATGTCCCACCACCTCCGCAGTACGAGAAGGACGTGGCTAGAAGCTCTGGTTAGTGGCGATGAAAAGACTAATATCAAACTCTCATATCATGCTAATCAGTTTTTTGGGAAGTGGGGAGGGGGCGAATCTTATAACGACGGGAGGCATTAATCAAAAGAAAACAACGAACGGGTTATAGTCACAACAGAATTCGAGTGTTCCATTCCGATTTAATGCCCTCTATTGTTTTTATGTGCATCCATCTTTGATATCTATCTCTCTGTATATCATACCCGCAGACAGGATTCGTTATCTGTATGATTGTCTGGGGGGAGAGGAGGAGAGGAATAGGAATCGAGCGAAATTGGTGATCGTTTGTTTCAGGACGAAATCAGCTGGGAAGGACGTACAGTCCCGGATTGCCATTGTCGATGTGTGAACGAGAAGAGATTGTAAAACTGTTTCAAGTGAGTGGTCAAGGATTCCGGCATGTGTAGAGAGAACTGGTTGTTGTAGGGTGGATGGAAGATTTGCGACATTTCAAAACGACTTTGTGTCACGCACAGTTGTGTGAGCAAGATTCTCAATAGGTCGGTCGTTTTTGTGCTATTTATTCAAACCAAGTATCTTTTCAGATACCGACAGACCGGATCAGTAAAACCCAAAGATGCGAAGGAAGGAAGGACAGAATCGCCTTTAGTATTAGCTGTCCGCGATTATCGGTAGGCATCGGCTGATTTTAAGAATCCGAGCGAAAATATCTGTTTTTTTTTCATATTCAGATCACGACTTGGAATGTGCCGGCAAAGTGAGATTAGAGAGCAACTGATACGGGACGGAGTCTGCACGAGAGACAACGCGCCGTCCAGAAGCAGCATTAATCAGTGAGACATAGAAAATAGAGAAAAGTTTCCAATCAGAATCTCCTTTTCAGTATTCTCCGCACCAAACTGGACATAAAGAGACGGAAGAAGTGCCTAGTTGACGAGTGATCGTCTCGAATCACTAAATAAACTTTCATTCTGATACCAGTTTTCTACCCTACGGCTCAATTTTCATTGCACTGAATGTCTTTCATAGTTCACCCTGATTAAAACTAATCGCTTTAGATCTCGTGGTCACCATCTTGTAACTGCTATGTAGCTGGTAATGTTTGAAGCACCGGCAAACACCTTCATTTTTCATTATGTAGTATAACATTGAATTTTTCTCAGTGGGATATATATGTATTTTCTGATATTTGGCTTCATCTTAATAAAGCATTCGAATAGGTTCGAGCTCTTTACAAGGAAATCGGATTAGAAAATGTTGGTGAAAGCTGCAGAAATGTCAAGTTTAAAATAGAAGAAGATTGGTTTTCTCAACATTCACCTGGTTCATTTTTTATGTCCTCAATCTGACTACCTAGAAACTTTGGCACTGTTGTAGAATCGTGCCTTCTTCTATTTGAGGACAATCACTTTGTTGTAACATAAAAACAAGTACTAACGTTCAATTAACGTTTTTAGATATGATTAAAGATTCCATGAGATTTTTTCGGGTCTATGCTTTTCTCGGTCCACGACAATTTGTTTTGGGTCCACAATTTTTTTCGGTTCCCTGAAACCCTTGCTTCGGTCCACGATTTTTCCAAATGACCCACGATTCTATAACAGTGCCGAAACTTTTCCATTGGTCATGAGTTTTTAATCGGCGAATTCAAAGCCCCATCTATCAACCAGCTGATGACTGATACTGATGCGAGGCCCCATTTATCACTTCTGAATAACCGCTTATTTATTGTATCACGTCTTCATATGATTCACAAGACGATCATGCTTGCTGAAGCAGTTGAATAAAAACCAAACAACCAACTTTTCCACGTCCGTACATTTCTCTTTGTTTTCATCTTCACTTTTGTTCAAAAAAGTTCTAGTGGGATGTTGAAACAAGTTAGAAGTTAGTTTGAATGAAAAATCTAAATGAAACACGTATTGAAGGGAACTTCGAGGAAGGAATACTGAAAAACAAGATGTTGCAAGAAACCTTTGCAAAAGTTTTCAAGCTTTTGGTTCATCCTGCCTTTTCTGTCAGAACCCTCTCACAATAAACCTTCTTATTGTCCTTTCTGTACCTCCCGAATACGATAGACAGTCCTATTATTGTGATCAGTGCGCGCGCCTGGATAGGATGGCCTAGAAAGTGAAACGCGCGGAGATTTTCGGGAACGATTATCCAGGTCACTCAGTAGATATCTAATTAGGTCAAATTCACTGATATATATATTCCTCTAGATACGTTTTTCCTTCATTTCCCTCATTTTTCCTTTAACAGTACTGTAGGAAATCTTACACCAGTTTTTCATTGCAGGAATGGAACAAAAAGGCGCCCAACGGCGCTCGCTCCGATCTCTGGCCATTGCGTCGGCCACTCTGGCTTCTGTGTCCATGATTGCTACTGTCATCATTGTTCCACTCGTGTACAATCATGTTCAGCATTTACAGTCCGTCATGAACAGCGAAGTGGACTTCTGCAAGGTGAAATCTCCCAAAATCTCAAAAAAAGATGTACACGTTGTTTTTTTCAGACTAGATCGCGTGACATGTGGAGAGAAATGGTTACGGTCCAATCTGCAACTGGAGGAGTGCCAATCCGTACTGCCCGTCGTACACGTCGTGACAACTACGGAGCTCAACCAATCCAGGCCAATCCACCAGCTTCGGCCGCTGGATCTTGCTGCACTTGCCAAGTTGGACCGCCAGGACCACCGGGACCACCAGGAAGAGACGGACGTCCAGGAGCACCTGGACGCCCTGGAAACCCAGGACCACCAGGAAGAGATGGAGCTCTTCTGCCAGGACCTCCACCAAAACCACCATGCCAGAAATGCCCACCAGGACCTCCAGGACCGGCCGGACCACCAGGACCGAAGGGACTGCCGGGACCACAGGGAGATTCTGGAACCCCAGGACAGGATGGAGTGCCAGGACTTCCAGGACCACCAGGACCGTCGGGACCACAAGGAGCACCAGGTGTTCCAGGAGAAAAGGGACCAACTGGAGAACCAGGAAAGGTTATCAACGGAGCCCCACCAGGCCCTCCAGGACCTCCAGGACCACCGGGACCACAAGGACCACCAGGACCACCTGGAAAGGACGGACAGCCAGGAAAAGCTGGACCACCAGGACTTCCAGGAGATCCAGGAGAGAAGGGATCCGACGGACTTCCAGGACCGCATGGAGGTACCGGACCACGTGGACCACCAGGACAACCAGGATCTTGCGATCATTGCCCACCACCACGTACTGGACCAGGATATGCTCGCCGCTAAATTCTTTGTTCTACCTTTACAATTGATAAATCATATCCGCAAAGACTTCACCTGCCGATTCTATTATAGTTTCCAGCTGCCACGCGAGTTCTCAAACTCTCCGCTCAATATGAAATGCCCCATTTCAAGAGTTCAAAAAACGTCGAGAAATTTCAACTTGAATCCACTCAAATTTCATCACATGCGAAAGCGGGATTGACATGAGGCGGCTCGACTTAAACCAAAAAAACGAGTGTTCTCTCAGCGCTTCTCTTCGAATTTATTTAATGCCGAAACCAATTTTTCTTGGGAAAGAGAGTAAAAATCTCAAGCACATTATTCTGCATCAAAGCGGCGAGAAAGAAAACCAACAGAAACTCATCATCTAACTTCATCTCGAGCTCATTCTGATCTCTCAGTCGTGTCTCAGCAGTGCCGTTTCTTTCTTTTTCTCAACTTTTTTCGCGCTTTCTTCTCAAAAGCGTCCATTGTCAGGAAGTGTCTGTGTGTGTGTGCGTTTGTGAGTTGTAAAAACGGTCAAGTGAGAAATGCGAGGAAGGTCAGCCTTTCTGCAAGGTAACTGCCGAACGGGCAACTTCCGCTGAATAAACATTACCGTGTTTGTAAAAAACCCTAAACCCACACGAGTTTTCCGTAAAAGTGAACAACTTTTCTTCATAACCGAATAAAACAGCCCCGCGGTATTGGTTGTTCTTGTTGAATTTTCACGTCTTCGATCAATTAAAACGAATGGTTTTCTTGACTGCAACCAATCTCGTGTTGTTTCACACCTTTTTCCTGTTCTTATCAATACTTAGAGAAGCAATTTCTTATTGATAGATTACACTTTCCCACAGTTGCCTCTCGAAATACGACTTCCATTCCTTTTTCGTCACAACCTTCCTTATTTCTGATTGACGGCAACTTGTCTTAGAGCACAGAATGTCTAAAGAAAATGCGTAAAACCAGCTAGGAAATGCGGTAAACTGTCACTTTTTCCCCGTACTCGATGGTGCTGAGTTGAAGATTGCTCTGCCCTTTCGTTTGTTTCATTTGCTTTTTGGTTTGACCGGTCGGCTCGAGGAAACGTGGAATGAACGGTATATTTGACAAGAGTAAGAGACAATATTGAGAGACCGAACAGAGTGCGAGCACATTATTAGTGCCCTCTCATGACCATTCACAAATGCGTTAGTTCGCGCAGTTCTACGTTATCAGTTCGAATGTCAACAAAAAAAAGTTGAAACCTTGTTTGATCTGTTATCTTTTTTCGCTTTTTGTTTATTTACCCTTACCAATAGTAGCATAGTGTTGTGAGACCCTCACCACTAACAGAACAGAACGTACGTTGTACATTATTGGCCCATATTGAGCACGCGCTCTCTCTCTCTCTCTTCTTCTTCTCCTCTCAATGTGCGCCATGATCATCATGTGCGAAATGAAGCTGCTTTTCTTTTATTTTATAGAGAAGGCATCAAAAAACAAAAAAAAGCGAATTGAGCAGATGCAATTTTGCATGTAAATTGCGTTCGGTAGCTATATGGCCGGCGCTTCTTTTGTTACTACTCGCCTTTGTCGTTTTTCTGGACGTCGGTTTCATTTGCATTCGATTCCATTCCACTCGACGCACGTCACCCGACGCCCGTTCGAACCGATTAGCTCGATGCGTCCGGGCGGATAGTGCAGCCACAAAATTAGCATAAATTTGATTAATGTCAGCGTTTCCTACGTTATTCATTTCTTGGAAAGGCCTAAGGTTCAGTTCGCTGATCCTTACTCAAAAATTTTGTTTTATTTCTGGCAGCTGTCCAAATTCCTTGTCCATTCGTTGCTTCAACCAAATTGAAGCCCAAACCCAACTTCTTTGAGCGATTGCGAAATTCAAAGTATAGAATCTGGTTTGATTGATATGTCACCTGCGAAAGCCATAAATCCTGGCATATCTGTTTGAGATTCCAATTAAAACCGGTGTTCCTTCCTTGTTTCTCATTTTATATCCCTTCTAAAGACAGTTTCTGATAAATTTCAATGAGTATACTGAACTAGAGGCCAATTTGCCGGAAAGCGATACCAACTGTGGCCATGTGTGTTTCGCCTTGAAAATTAGCAATAATTTTAGCAGATAATTGGTGTGAATGAGGGCGAATAAGAAAGATTGGTTCAAAAGTGATTCGAGACGAAACGCTTCTTGGCTGTTGACACCATTTGTGAAAGAAAAACTAGAAATCGATGGAAAGTAGTGTCTCACAAAGCTGTGCGAATTGAGGGAAGGGGCACTCAAGAGACTCAGAGACATATAGTGACCACAGCATAGAAAATTTGCCTCTTCTTTAGCCCTCTCTCGCCCCACTTTCTGCCTCTTACGTTTTATCGAGGTTCCATTCATATTTTTTATGAGCGATGGGACCTCACGCCCCATTTTCGTATGAAATCTTATCACATAAGGCGTGGCCTTGTTTGCAGTGTCTTTAGTCTTCTATAATAATAATAATGATAATAATATCACTGATTTGAAAGTTGGCGAACACGCAACGCGATCTGGCAACATTCGGAAGCGAAAGTGTGATAAATCGCCCAATCCACTGCGTCCGTTAATGATTTTAAACTTTCTGGATCGACTCATTCACCGATTCTCAATTTTCCATTCTCAATTCTCACTTCTTAGTTTTTCCGCCTCACTCAAAAATCACCTATAGATTTTTCCTAAAAGACTGTTTTCTCACCAACATCCAGATCTATCCAGACATATCACGAAATGTATCAAATTTCGATTTTCCAAAACCCTCCCCCTTCTCTTTTTTTTTCATTTGGTTTCGATTACTCCACTTTTGTTTAAAAATGAACGGAAAGTGGCGAGACTGCCAACGTATCCGCTTTCATAACGCTTTTAGAAGAGCAAAATTTCTGAGCAGCGAAGAAATACCACTATAATGGCAATGGGCTTGTTTTTGTGGAGGCGGTAAGCTTCAAGAATCTGCTCTGACGTTTTTTTAGCTTTTTCTTCGCTCACTTTCAACATGTTGAAAACAAGAAATAGAAATAGAAAACTACAATAACCACTGCTGCTATCTCAACTTTTATGAAATGTGTCACCTTCTCACCGGAAACGTTCCCATGAGTCAACGATTTGTGACGCATCGCCAAACAAACTCATATCGATCCGGTCAGATGAAGTTCGGTGTCTTATCGCTGCCCTCCAAACTTTTATGCGACCTCATCCGAAGCGGAAACATATGTTCCCGTGTGTGTTGAGCCGCCAAAAAACATCGGTGATCAAATCTGATCTCTCGAGTGCTCCGCTTCTTCTTCTCCCCCTCTCACTTTTTTCTAGTCTGTTTCTGAAGAAAACACGCAATTTCGACGAATCAAATTGAACTTTCTCGCTGCTTCTCATCATGTCGCCATTTCCTCCTCACATCCGACAACAGTTGTTACCCGCTCCCTCCCGTTTTCCGACTCATATCGTTTTTCTTCTTCTTGCTTTTTTCTCTCTTTTTTTGCCCCTCTTTCCGCTGATAAACAACTGTTGATGGTGCAAGCAAAAACCGAATAAAAAGTGTTCGGTTCGTTCGGGAAAATGGACGCAGTGCGCCTAACCTTGACACCTCCTGACGACACCGTGCTGAGGACGCAGATTAGCCGTACACAAATCGCTAATGCTGACCTGATCTGAAATAAGAGAACATTCTATTTAATCTTTTGCGCTGTTTTTTGTTGCGAGACCGATTTTGATTCTGATTTTGCATCGAAAACTCGTTGTCTGCTGGCCAACCGGACAGCATTTTTATAGTACACGTAACTGCCATTCCGGCTGACATGCCTGCCTATTTTAATAGCTGGTCGATCGGTGAGCGATGATCTTAGCTGACCTTGCCTCTTGTGCACCACCACCCTCCGTTCCTGATTTTTATCGCTTTCGGACCATCCCTCATCAAAAACAAGCGCCTCGGTTTGCCCCGTCTTATTCGTTTTCCTGAATTAATTCCCGATTTCTCATCAGTCAGTCCAATTTCGCTGAATTTTGTCCATTTAAAATGTAGTCTAAATACACTATTGTGCAATTCTGGCTATTACCACTTGACAAATTCATGAATATGGACGGCAGATTCAAAACATAAATATCGAGCAGCTCGCAGCTCGACAAAATCAGATATTGTGGGTGGCCGCGGCCGGTCGGGTTTGTTTTGGCTCCTATTAGTATTCTTCTCGCTGCTTTCTGCCCCGTGGCTTACTCTACCCGACGAGAAATGAGAAAACAGAAAAAGAAAAGAGAAAACAAATCTAATTTCATTCTACTATGGCAACCTCTGCCGCTCACGTATTTCTCTCTCTCTCTCTCTCTTTCTTTCGTTTTTCTTTCGCGTAAAAGTTCCCTTGAATTCCACTCTAAATGTTGAAGGTCTGGGCTAAGCGGATTTGCAAAAATATCGTGAGAAAGTGGCTCTTTTCACTTTGTTTTCCAAGCCTCCTTATTTCCAAAATTCGAATTTCCCAAATGGGTGGCGCATTGTTTGGCGGGCGGCTGCCGCGCCTTTTTGAGGGTATTTGTTTGAGCGGCCCCCTTGGCATTTTATTCAATTAGAGCACTTCATTAGACAGCGGGAGAACAACGTGTGATCGGGCTGCCATTTTGCGATTGTTTGTGTGCACAGATTCCACTGGAAAAATGATACTTTCGAGTATTTTGCTTCGTCACTTTTTGTGCTTTTCTCTCTCCTTTCCCCGTTTTGTTTACTTTTCGTTGCTTTTGCAAGCGATTTCACCCCGTCAACCGTTCTGCTTCTCTTCTTTTCCAACTTGTGGTCAGTTGCAATGTGGAAATCTGTCTTTTCTGCGGTCAGAACCTACACAGTTTGCAATTTTAGTTTAACACATCTTTCATTCAGTCTGCTTCTTTGTCTCCGCTGTCTTCTTTGGCTGTCTCAGTTTAAGTTTTTTGAGGTCATTTAAATGAACCACACAACGTGTTACTCCACTTTATACTGGACAAATCTTGTGCATAGTGAACGGCCAAAGTGCATCAATTTTGCAATTGTCTATTGCATTGAATGAGTCCTTCGGGAGTTGAGGAACCACCTCCACAAACGTTTCAAACTAATTCTCCTCTATCTTTCTCTCTCTCTCTTTCTCTCTCTCTCTCTCTCCCTCTCTCATATCCGTCTCGAAGCATAAAGAAAAGAAAAAGAAAGGAAATCCGTCACTTTCAGCCCCAGAATTCATTCTATTCATTCTCCAGTGGTGATTCACTGAGATATCCGAGCCGCTCCTGTTTTTCATGGTCTTTGGCGTTCTTTTGAATTTTATATAGACAGATAGAAAAAAAGAACAACAAAATCGAATTACAACAAAAAAGAATGCGTTGGTGAGAGTTTGCGGAATTCTATACTTCCGCCACGCCGTCACCCTTCAATTGACGGATTCTGATGTTTGATTGTGCGGTTTTTTCGTGTTGTTTGACCGTTTCGGTGGTTTTTTTTCAATTTTTCACTTCAACCCAACCTCTCCACACCCGACACCGCGGTTCTCCCCCAGCGAAAACCGATACCATGTGTTTGTCCTCTCGTCACTTTCTTTCCTCAATTAGCTGTCACTATGCATCTCTAGTGCCTGAACTTTCCTTTATCAAATCTCTCATTCATTCGTCGAATGACTTTACCACGAGGAAAAATGAGACTACCATTGATCTTGTTGCAATTCTCACGTCATTCATATTTTTTCCTCACATTTCCATCAATTGCTTGTTTTTCCTCCAGCTTGACTGATGTTCGTGAGGGGATTACTATTCAACAATAGCTGATTTTCGGCGTTTTCCATTTTGGATTAAATTGACCCCAGTCAGCGATATCTCCCGCCCTTTGCAACAAAACGTTAACCTAGAAGCAGTTTTCAATTTTTCCACCTGACTTGGTTTTCCTCTCCGCTCGCCGCAACATCAACTCTCAAAAGGAAAACGACAAGGACAGACGGGAGGAAGAAAAGAGACAAAAAAGTTAGTCTACTTGAGTCGCTCAATAATGAATAAATGAGGTCTCAACCCACCTCCACACTACTCTTCTGAAACTCGCCCACTCGCTGGGAGACTCTTCTGATGTGAGACAAGGCACCCAACAAAGAGTGAGTATGATCGATTCTGTCGGTATAAGTACATTGGCCGGGGCCGCGTAAGTAGCCGCCTCTCTCCCTACTCCCGCTCTCCCTTCGCCACACTTTTTGCGGCTCGCTGAGCATTTATTGGGTTCTCAATTTTCTTGCACCTTATCGAATCAGATGGGCTAATGATGCCTTCAACTTTTACCCTCTCTTTCCTTTTCCCTTTCATTCCATCAACACCCATCGTCAAATATTGTTTTACTTCCGCGATTTGGAGACGGAACACGGAAGATCTTCGCATTGATAGCCTTTTCGTTTCCACTTCAATTGTTCCGCTGCTTTCTCCTGAAATCCTCCGATATGACGGCTTTATCTACAACCTCTCCGTTCTTTTGTCGTGCTAGGATGTTTACTGGGTTCTATTTACCTAAACGGCCGCATCAAAACTGACCCCTCTATCGATTTGCTATTTATCGAACAGCCCATTTCGATTCTTGCACTCTCATAAATATTTTAGGTCCAATCGTTTTTTTTTCACGTCTTTGTCGTTGACTCCCAGCGTTTACTCTTTGTGTTTAAAGACAATGCGAACAGAAAAATGCAATATTTTTGCGCCTAGAAAGTATTTGGGCGCGCATGTGGTATGCGGAGGAAGACTCGGCTTTTTTGTGTTACTTGTTTGTGGGGGTGGCGTGTGAGCAGAAATTGGAGCTCTCAAAAATGAAAAGCCATTAATTTTTAAAGCGACTGACTTGCTTTACTGCATTCTCGGACTATTTTTTCTAATTTTGAAGTCATTCGCTCTCTAACTGCCTGCATTTTTCGAATAGTTCTGAGTTTCTCACCCCAAATCGTTTTTTCTCAGAACATTAGGGAAAAATGACGACTGAAGCGCAAGCGTCATCGGAAAAGCTCAGAGAGCCAGTTTCTCACAGTAAATCCAGAGCAAACGTGACATTTCGGTCCATTCCGACTCGATCGGCACTAAACAAATCTCGTGACCGAGAGCGAAAACCCACAGGACATGTCCAAAGTTCTTTAATGCGGCCCTCCGGCCTGGCGGTTTCCATCTTGCTCCCTTCCTCTTTTTCTTCTTCTTCTTCTTGTCACCAAAACTATGACCAGCGCCCCCAGCACACACACAAACCCCCCCATCAACACCACCAGCCTTTCTGGACAGAGTTTTAAACAACTGAAAAATGCTGGCTCATCTGTGAAAATCTAATTTTGAATTCCCCCTGGTATGTTCGAAATGCAAAATTTGAAATTTGAAACAAAACGTGTTTTGACCAAAAATGGGACCACGCAAAACATTGACAGATCGGCGAGTGTCATATGCATGTGATAGCACTCTTTTACGGCGTTAAATTGGAAAACTAGAGAAGAAGACGAGTTGCACTTTCTGTTTTCCACTGTTTCTTGGCCGCGAGCCAACTCACGTCAGAATTGTAACAATTCGCCCGGCACCGGTTTTCAGAACATCTGGCGCTCGCTCGTGTTCCGCCCAATAACGAAGTTTCGGTGTTGGTGACACGGAGCGTTAAAGTCTGCCCAAGTATCCCACCCCTGCTGCAAATACCAACTAGTTGTTCTTCGTCCGCCTTCTGGAATAATGAGTTGGTGCCTCCTTTGCGGCTCGCTATACTTCCGGCTCGTCGAGTCCTTCTTTGCAGGGTTTTCTTGCGTCTCGCGCCCCGTTTTCACTCTTCAAAATTGAACTCATTACTTTTCTTTCACATCTCCCTGAAATTGGCATCATGAGAGAAACATTTTTGCATCTCACAACATAACGATCTCAAATCATCTCGTGTTTACTTCATTTTATTTCCATGCTAAAAGAGCTTACACTTCTATTCGATTTGTTTCAGATGTGCTAAACTTTATCGGGTCGATAAATAAGTGACATTTCTTACAAAAATGGGTGACCGCAGCGTTGACGAATCAGCCGTCGGCTGTTCAGACGACGCGGAAACACGCTCATGTCCCGGTGATTTGCGATCAGACCATTCGGCGCAGAGGACAAGAAGTAAATGGTAAGTCAGCAGAACAGAACTTATCTTGACGCCCTTTGCACAATAAACTTTCAGGAGCCATATGCGACAAGCGTCCCAAGGAGTACCACCCCGACACATGGAGAAGGCGCTGCGACGGAAAGAATTCCGCTTGCCAGTAAGATCTTTTTTGTTTATTTCAGCGGCCACAACGCAGAACAGTCGGTTTCCTCCACTTTTTGTTTCCCTTATACTTTGTCTTCATCAGACCATTCCCATTCCACATGCATCGTTTCTGCCTAGATGCTCCTTTTATCCTCTTTTCAGAGTGCTTTATTAATTGACTAACTAAGTGTATTATGGGGACATTATTCATTTTCATTTGGTGCTGACCAATAATTGAGTGTGAGATGAAAATGAGCTATCAACTCAACCCTTAGCTCCTTTTCCTTTGTCGTTTATTTTTCCAGTTCTTTAAACTTCTCAACTCAAAGTCTACAAGAGCTTATTTTAGAAATTGAGACGTTTGCTACTACTCATTACGCAAAAGTGCACCGAGCTATATGCTCATTTCACACTTACATGACTATTCTGAATAAGATTAAAAGTTACAAGTTTAGGCGAAATGTTTGAAGAGCGTTCCGATTTCGCAAATTTTTGATGAGTCATCGAAACATAGAAAAAAAAAGTCGGGAAGACAGATGGCTTTCATTCTTTCTCTCCCACACACCTTACTTGACCATGTTCGTAATTTTGAAAATGTTCACTCTTAAAAATTTTTCATTCCAGCCACAGCAACACGAGCTGATCGAGAGGGAAATGACCGTCCTCACTGAGGAATCTCAGTGTGGAATCGGGAAATGGAGACCTTCTTGGGCTCAGTGGCTCGGGAAGCAACTGCCAATGATTGTCCTTCTTTGCATATACTGTAGCATACAGGTAGGATGCACGCAATTTTACATTGAGTCCATTACCTTCTTTCTTTAAGGGTTTGATTGTCAACGGACTGGTCCCATCTGCCATCTCATCGATCGAGCGCCGCTTCAAGTTCAGCACCAGTCACATGGGACGCATCGTCCAGTTTTATGACTTTGGATACGTGCTCCTCTGCATTCCGGTCTCGTACTTCGGTGGTCGCCACAGTAAACCCGCCGTTCTTGCTTGTGGATTGGCGTGTATGGCTCTGGGCTCTCTGATCTTCTCGGCTCCGCACGTCTTGTCCGACTCCTACACGACCTCCCAGTCCAACATGTCACTTGGAACGTGTTCTATTGAAAATTGTAAGTTCGCCCTCGTTTTTGCAAATACACAAATACAAACAGAAGAAACTGTGAAGGTGATTCATAGGATCATCATATTATTTCTGTTCGGGAGCGTAGTCATGAATTGGTTTCAAATTCGAAGAATTGGAAAATTGACAAATGACTCATCCAACAAGTTTCAGTCTTTGCAAACGACACAAACTCCCCTGAAGCCCTCGCTCAGACCGCCTGCAAAAGTGAGAACCAAATTCAGGTAGTTGAAATTACAAATATAGGGATTTCAATTGGTCTTTGTAGCATTCATCCACCAACTTGTACTTCTATCTGTTCTGTTTCGCCCATTTCCTTCATGGAATCGGCGCGACCCCTTTGTTCACAATCGGAGTGTCGTACATTGATGAAAACGTGGGAACCGCAAAATCATCGCTTTTCGTCGGAATATTCTACTCGTTTGCCGTCTTCGGACCTGCGATCGGATTCCTTGGAGCATCGGTGTCCCTTCAATATCACACGGACTTTTGGCATTTGCCACCGGAGCAGATTCTGAAGTAAGCAGCGTTGATGGTTTTTTTTATAACTGGTGTTTTCAGGGTGTCTTCTGGAGAAACTGATCCGACATGGGTGGGAGCTTGGTGGCTCTCGTTCATTGTTGCATCGTTCGTCGGATTCGTGGCGGTTTTCCCTCTCGCCTCCCTTCCGAAAGTTCTTCCCGCTTCTCTGAAATGGCATCGTAGCCGTCTGCAAGATGCTGCCATTGCGAACCGCCGTCGGACTCCAGAATGCTGCGGAATGCCCGGATCCAACAAAACCGCTGCTCTCAATAGCGATGCTCCGATTCCAGGTTTGTCCCCCAGAAACTCACTTTATCTTCTGCTCGTATCATCGAGCACACCACGAGTTTGGTGTACAAAAATTGTAGCAGATATGTAGTTGGAAAGAATTGAAAATGTATTTTATATATCTGAAGAATACAAAAATTCCAGAGGGCATACTGTCGCTCATTAAAAATGGAAATGTGAAAGGAAAGTAACTTTCAGAGCAAGCGTCGTTACTCTATTCGTCAATCCCTGCAAGAGGTCGCGGACCATTGTGGTACAAAATTTGGATGGACGTTCGCCACATTCCGATTGCCATCTACCGTATCCTGACCAACGGACCTTTCATGATCATCACATGCGCTATGGCCATTGATAGTTTGGTTGTGACTGGAGCTTCGTCGTTCATGTCAAAGTATCTGGAGAGACAGTTCAGTGTGAAGCCGAGCAAGGCCAACTTGCTCATTGGTTGTGTGATGGTTCCGATGGCAGGATTGGGATGTATGATCACTGGAGGGATAGTGAACCACTTCCGGTTGAACAGCAGCAAAATGCTCAAGTTCGCCATCGGGCTCATCTTTCTCTCTTTGCTCTTTTCGCCAATGTATCTTATCTACTGCCCCCACGCACCCATGGTTGGCGTCGACTCGGAATACCCAGACTCTGAGTATGTTTGCACACATCATCGAACTTTAACCTTTTCATTTTTAGCGGCGTGATCCCTGACTACAACTTGACGTATTCCAAAGAGCCGGAGCTAATCTCCATGTGCAACAAGCAGTGTTCGTGTGACCCGTCAGAGTATAGACCGGTTTGCGCAGAGTTGAACGATGGCCGACAGTTCACTTACTACTCTCCGTGTTATGCCGGATGTGCTGAGTCATACTCGGCTTCGCTGAAAGAGTACACCGAATGCAGTTGTGTGCCCACAATTACCAAGCAGAGACCGAGAATTGTGAAAAGAGGAGTTTGCGAACCACAGTGCACCGAACTGCTCGGATTCTTACTTCTCTTCGCTCCACTCTCTTTCTGCACGTTTGCGGTCGCCGTTCCCATTATTTCAGTCATTCTGAGGTGACAACGAGAAGTCAAAAACTGCTTTGACGGCCTAATTTTCAGAACCGTTGACTACAATGAGCGATCGTTTGCATTGGGAATTCAGTGGATCATGATTCGTGTGATTGGAACCATTCCAGCTCCAGTTCTATTCGGATGGATGTTTGATGTCTCTTGTATCAAATACCAATCTGACTCTTGTGGAAGCTCGGTAATAAAACTATAAAGGTGAAAGTTACACAAAATTTATTTTGCAGAGCAGTCAGTGTCTTATGTACTCCAATCAGCTGCTGGCCAACCTGTTTATGACCTTCACAATCAGTGGACAGGTTATCACACTTGCCATTCTTCTCGTAGTTTTGATGATGTACGGTGGAATGCTCAATGACGATGCTTATCAGGGTGGACCTCCGGTAACTAATTCACGAATAGACTCTAAACCACACAGTATTTCAGGTGGACATCCAGCTCGAGAGTAGTATCGTTGATCGCAAAGAGTTGGAACCGGAGGAAAAAATCAACTTGACCCAATAACATGAAATCACCCCCCCCCCCCCTCTAATTTAATTCTCTCCACATTCTTGCGCTTTTTCTCTCTCCCAAAATGATACCCAGTCCTTAACTGTTCGAGTTCTCAATCACTTTGTAGGCCCGAAATTCGTTCTTGCCTAACCAATTCTCTTGCAATTCAAATATCTTCCTTCTCACCCCAATGATTAATCTCTATACGGGAAATATCTATGCGTCATCCGAGCGAAACTGTCCTAGTCACGTCGTCCGCTCCCGTTCCGTCTGCCAAAAAGTTTCTTAGCTGTTCCTGCCTTTGTTTGCATTCATCCTGTCTGTCATCTATCTATCTTTTTCATAGTACTTTTGACATTTGTTTTTCTCTTTCGAAAAATCCCTTCTCGATGACTGGTACCTATCCGACTTGTTACAATTTGTTTCTCCGGTCGTAGAGTACATAGATATCTATCATTTTGTTCCTCTTTTTCCTTTTTTAATTTCTCCATTTTTCTTTTCCGGTTTTACGATCTATTATCCCATTTTAAGCAAGATTTGATTTGGAAAGCTTTAGCGCTTCGGTGCTCACGAGCAATTCGACGCTTTATGTCTCTTGTCAAAGTACTTCTCATATCGGAATTGTGTGTTATTTTCATGCTTCGATAAAGGTTTTTATGAACATTCGCAATTCTGTTCCAGGGACTCCTTGCCACACCTTTCACTCCCGTTTTTCCAGAAGCGTCCCGAGAAATGAATTCGTCTTCTGTCCCAATTGACGCAAATCGATGATATTTCTCATCGAACAATGTAGTCACTTGACGTGCGCATATCGTCAATTGTATGGAAGGAACCCACGAGCAGAGGCCTTTCATACGTGGATAGTCATCTAGAAGACGTCATTGCAATGCGACTACAGTAGCTTTGGAAGCAGCTCTTTTTGTATTCTTCGCCGTCTTACATTGTATTTTCAGAGCCTTGGGAATACAACGGAACGAAGACAGAAGAAGGATTCCTTGTACAATTGGATTTCGTTCCGTCTGTCTGTGCTCACACACCCTACCTGAAGCTCAGCGAATTCGCAAGACGATGACTACTTTCTGCAGCTCATGAAACATTCAAACTTCTCTAGAAAAGTCTAAGACAGACTTGATGTCCGTTTGAAACAACACAATCTTACCTTTCAGACATGGTTAACTTCGCGGCTATGTTTTCCTTAATTTGCAGCCAGCCATACTGTGATTCAAGTAAGACTTCTGAAAACATTAACTTATTGTGAAATACTATAATTCTGTCTCAGATTTTTCCTTCTTCTGACCAAGCTCTTAACTCCGCCCATCTTTTCTAGAATTCTTGAAGCGCTGATATTGGAGTCCTCGGAAAGGGCGGGGCTAAAGTCTTCGCGTCCTGAAAATCAGAGAGCTCGCTCATTCATTATTTTTGTCTGGCTTGTGGCAGACAACATCCTTCCTCCCCCCACTCTTCTCCTCTCTTTTCTTCCCCTACAAGAATCGTTTCTCCCTTCTCACCTCGCTATATTTTCAGAGTTACCGTAGGAACCAATAAGCAGGTAACAGGTTAAAATGGGCATAATTACGTGTAAGCCTGAGCGTCGCGAGGCGGATCGTCAGACTCGTCGCATCGATACTCAAATTCGCATTGAGAACCAGGCGAACAGGAAGAAGCTGAAGATGCTTCTTCTCGGCATTTCCGACGCGGGCAAGAGCACTATCGTTAAGCAAATGAGGTACTAGAGAGATGACGTGGCAGGGGTAGGCAAGATAAGTTCACAGAGTCAACTACATGGACGGTTTCAATGAGACCGAGATTGTGAACGCCATTTTCGTGATCCGCAACAATATAATCGATGCGTTCAAGTGCATCGCCAACGTCCTTCTTCGTTCGAACATTAACGTTTTGGCGGATGAGAAGGTTTTTCTTCCGTTTTTCAACGCAGTAAAACTCTCTGCACAGACTCTAATCAAACTGTTCGCCTATGAATCAGCTAAAATTGAGCTGATGCAGGAGGCTGATGAACTGAACGTCATCAACGTCGTTCGTGGCTACGCGTGCATCAAGGACTTCTTCCTGCGTTTTTCTTCTCACCCGCAAGTCCCTGACAACATCCACTAGTAACCCTTAGTTCTGATTATGGACACTTGCACGTAGTCTTCTTGCAGTTTCTTCCCAAATTTGGAGAGAATCGCTTCGGTCAACTACACTCCGACCACTGAGGATCTCCTCAATATGAGGCAAACCACTCTCGGAGTTCATGAGATTTCGTTTGACTTCAAACGTCATACGATTCGGTGAGCGGTAATTGGGCGTTGGGGTGACATTCGTTTGTTGTAGTCTTATCGACGTTGGAGGTCAGAAGACAGAACGTCGCAAGTGGATTCACTTTTTCGAGGGCGTCACCGCCGTCATGTTCGTTTGCTCTATGGCATCTTTCAATCAGACCATTGAGGAGGAGCCAAAAATGATCGCGGTAAGCTAGACTAGCGCATAGATCCGTAGAACAAGAAACATCGCAGCAGGGAGACGATCGACGCAAACAGTCGACTCCCACTATACTGCTCTCGGTAGGTGAGACGTCTGGGAAAGAGTTGATCAGAGCAGTCAGACAAAATGACGGGATTTATATTTTTTTTATATTTCAGTGGGAGTCGTCATTGAACAAAGTGCAGAACCGAGTGCTCGTTCGTCCAAACGGGAAGGCGAAGGTAGACAAGCCGGGGGTAACCGTTGAGCAGAAGAAAGCGCATTTATCGAGCCAACACTTTCAGCAGGTGAACCGTTTGGATGAGAGTGTCGACTTGTTCAAGTCGGTCCGCGAGAACAACTTCCTCCACATGTCCAACTTCATGCTGTTCTTGAACAAGAAGGATGTGCTCGAGAAAAAACTCGAAAAGATCAAGTTCTCCCACTTCTTTCCCAGCTACAAGGACTGGATGACCAACGACAACTCGGTCTCGTCGGTAGCTGAATTCATCGAGAGCATGTTCCGCGAGGTGATCACTAAAATAGAACAGATTAAGGTGGTGGTGTGTGTCAGAAAGTACTACTGGCGGTACAATTTTTGACAAAAGTGCATTCTACTGATACATTTTTCAATTGTTTTTGACAGACAGAATTATGTTTAGGGCCTGAGCCCGGATCATCGTATTTACGCACACTTGACCCATGCAACGGACCCGACTAACATCGACTTCACCTTCGGATTGTGCTGTGACGTCATCATCGAGAAGAACGTGGATGATGTTAGCCTCGAGTGAGCTCCCGCGACTTTTGCTTCAAAATCGAACAAATTCTTTCTCCTCTATTCATTAACCTTAAATATTCCACTCGCACATAAAAACTATTTCGCATTCCATTTTAGTAATCAAGTTGACTTCGTAACTTCAGAAGAGCTCTTTTCTTTTGATCGAATTTGTTTTTTTGTCTCCCATATACTTTTCAGTTTTAATCGCACAATAAATATTTCCGAACATCCAAACAGAATTGTGAACGAAAGTGGACAATCTTCAGATTGCATTCTGAAGTAATCCGGCCAGAATGTGTACATGTTCTTGACAAAAGTGTGTCGGACGATCAAACGAGGTCATTCTATGAGGGAAAACGGAATACATACGTTCTCTCACCTCTCGATGGGTTTGCGAAAAACTTGACAAACTTGACTCTCTTCCTCACAACGTTGATTATGAGATGAGATGCGGATTTGCTGTGCTATTTCTCGTTTGCTCCGTTTCCGTAATTGATACTACCCATTATAGTAAGTGTCGTGTACCGTTTTTTTGCTTTATCGATCTTCACTATTCAGTTATTTCAAAACAAGATCTGAAACAGTTAGATGAATGGGAGCTCAAAGTTCTCCGTGATTTTGTTCGCGGTCGAGGGAGGCCAATTGTTGAACGAATTCCGATCGACTTAGAAGATGACCCAGATGATGACGCAGATTTTGTATTCAAAGAAAAAGACTCCCAGGTGTATGATCTGACGAATCCGAGTATGATTAACCAAGGTGGAATGTTCTCGGTCAGATAAAACAGTTGAAGACAAATGGTTATGACCACTTTTTAGATTGAAGATAAAAAGAAAAGCGGACCACCTCTGATTCCACCACAACCGATTACTCAAATTATTGTTCCAGCTTCTAGAAGAAAGACAACGTCCGCACCAAAACCACCAAAACCGAGTCCCTCAGATGACAAGCCTTCAGTTGAAGATTATGAGCAACTAGCCAGCGTTATTCAGGTGTGTTTCTTGTGTTTGTTGAATAGTGAAAATATTCTGATAAATCAGATGTTCATCGATAGACGGTCTCACAAACAAAGCGGCGTGAAGACTCTAAGCACAAACAAACCTTCTCGAAAGTCCAAAATGTCTGAAGAGGTTCCGAAGAAAGAGAGAGAAAAAATCAATCTCACTACTCTAAATTCTCTGCCCGACCAGATCATAACGGCTTCAAAAGACAACCAGGATGTGACGTTTGACACAGACTCTGTAAACTATCTCATGCCTAACTATTAGTACCTTTCGAGTTTCAGAATAATTCGAACAAATGGAAGCCGATGCAACGGTTCACAAATGAAGAAAAAACCATTCAAAACAAGAGGAAGACTACAAAAGGTGAGAAAACGTCGAAAATAAACGTGAACTTTTGATTTTTTCTTTTTTCCAAAACTGAAAAAGGCAGACCTTGATATCTCGTGTGACTATTAACAACTCCCCGGTACAAAATATCAACTCATTGTATGCGGGGGGGCCCTTCGTACATATCCCAGCTTTTCACTTTTCATTGGCATTGCAAAGACAAAGACGACTGCATTGCTAGGCCGCGGCGGGATGAGAGGACGAGAAGGGCCAGAGAAAGACCGTGCCCCGCCGGTTTTCCACAACGCATCCGCATTTCTTCCTTCGTCGTCGCGACAAACCAGAAATCATTCGGACATTGTCGGGCTGACGCCGCCGACGCTGCCGCCATTCACGAAAACTTGCTCCCTTTCAAGACGCGCATCTCGTGGGTGTACGTTGACGTTTGGGAGGCGAACAACGTAAAACACAGACTTGTTTCGCGCTGAGGGAAATCATGCGATTGTCTTGCGGAGAGGTGTTTTAAACATGCCTGCCAAGAATTGAGGATGAATGAATACTTTGATCGGTTACGTAAAGCACATAACGGGAGAAGATTTGATAAGGAAATGAAATGACTTTTTACAGTTGCTGCGCCTAAATCGAGAGAAGGATATGAAGATCACATGAAAGAACTGAGCACAAAACTGACAAACATTCTGAAACAATTGGAAAGTTCGAAAGCGGAGCGACAACCTCTAGTTCATGTATTGAGAAACGTATGCTCAAAAAGAAGAGGTCCAGCCAGATGATTCGGAAATTCAGGGTTCTGCTGAACAAACGGCCGATGGACAGTATGTGTTCATTGCAACTATCACACTCGTCAAAGATGGAGATAAAAGTATTCTCGTCGACACCGGACTGGGCACCAATATCAATGCAAGAACAGAACTGATCCGATGTAGTCATGTCTAGTCATTCTCACTTTTGATTCTCGAGTTTCAGCTCTCGAAGCACATGGCCTGAGTCCAGCAGCTGTTGATATTGTCGTCAGCACTCACGGACACCCAGATCACGTCGGTGGTGTTCATGACTTCCCAGATGCTCTTCACTACCATGGCTGGTACTCTCACCAGGGTACAAAATTCAACCTCACCGCGCTTTTTGAGGTATATCTTCTTTGCGGCGGTCGGTTTGAAATGTATTTTTTTGGATTTCAGAATGATAGTTTGAACCTGTCTGAGAACGTCATGCTTGTCAAATGTCGTGGCCACACATCGGACGACATCGCAGTTGTTGTTCGAGATGTGAAGGGGCGGGGCGACGTACTTGTTTCAGGTTGTTCTAGGGAAAATACTGTCAGCGAAAGATTACTGTGATTCAGGAGATTTATTCATGCGGGGGGAGGACATCGACCATCCGATGATGTGGCAGCCACTGTCAGCGGATGTTATTGCGCAAAGAGACTCGAGAAGGCGCTATGGCTGCATCGTGGATTGGATTGTTCCTGGCCACGGCAGCATGTTCCAAGTCACAAACAATGTTAAGAAATCTTTAAAATGTTAATAAATTTACCTGTTCTCAGTTCGCTAGACTCCATTTTCTGATCTCCGATTCGTCCGCCTCCATTGCTATTCAGCATCTAGTCATCGAAACAATATGTTTCTTTTCCGGATTTGTTTCATTGCCCTAACCCACTTTTGATGTGTTCTGTGAGCGTCAGTTATCTGATTGATCAAGAACATTTTGGTGGACGAAAATCAATAGCAGGTAGCAGAAGTCCATTTCACTCTAGTCCGTTAGTGTCCTTATTTCGATTTGTCCGCAGAATCAGGATTGGCACTTGACTCTTGATAAGGAATGAAAGAAGAGGAGACAAGAAAGGGGTATGCCAGAGATAATGCCAATCGAAGGCTGATCCTACCATATAAAAGGATGAACGGGTTTCGTTTTCATAATTTTGTATATTTCTTCTGGACGTTTCAACGTTTCCATTTGATTTTCAATAGTGTGAGTGAGACAATCGTAACGTAAAACAGTACTCATTTTCCGAGAACAGATTTGGAGCGTAGCCTGATTCACCTTGAAAGTAGGTAGCCGAAAGCAATCAATGTTTTGCCCGGAGGATTCTCGTTGACTCTTAGGGATGAACGTGTTGACCCGCATCTCAGTTTCATTACCCCTCACAGACTCGGACGATCACTCCCTTGCCGTTTCTTTATTTCTTGTTTCTTTCGTTCCCGAAGACAAGTAGACGCAATAACTAGGTTATCACCAAGATGCATCATCTCTGCAGGGCAAAACGTAGTCTTCAGAAAGTTAAACGACAAGATCAATGTTTCAATAGCCTACAATAGACGTATTTTTGTGTTAAACAGTACCTTGCAACACTTATCCCAACAATTTTGTTCACTTAGTGATGAGTGGCAAAAACTCGATTGTCTGCGCCTTTCAATCTATAGCGGAACATCTCGGCAAGTGATAAGACACATCCACTATTATGGATGCGACGACCACTCGCGCCAATATATCGTGAACCCGCTAGGCAGACGTATGCAATCCAGTTCAGCGATTCCTCTTTGCAACTTAAAATCGCCAATGGGCTGCCATTATTCGTTTTTGTCCTCATCGCATTAGTGGTTTGTGGACTTTACCCCTCCAAGCCTACATGATATCGATAATAGTTTCCTCCCTGAAAAAGTCCCCACAACTTACTAAAGTGGCAGCCATTTGAAACTAGACGTGTTTTCATTCCTACATCTTCAGATAAAATCTTTATCAGTAATCTGGAACAAGTTTCTCAGTTCCTAGTCTCAGCCGCCGAAAACTGCTGCAATCCTTGTCGCCATCTTCCAATTATATAACAACTTTTGCGTCAATCGCTCTCCTTTTCTTCGTTAGTTCTTTGCCGAACATCTCGACCTTCTTTTCAGATTTGCCGCCGAGAGATGGGTTCAGCGTGGGAGGAACCAAAATGCGTTCTGATAACTGGTGGCTGTGGATTCATTGGGTCCAACTACATCAACTTTATCTTTAAAAAATGGAAAAACACAAAGTACGTTTTACAATTTTTGGGTATCTGGAAATTGCGTTGATTCAGAATTGTAAACTACGACAAATTGGCGTTCGGTGCTTCGCCACTGCACGTGGAGAAGGAGATCAGAGAATCTCCAAGATACAAGTTCGTTGAGGAGAAACTTGAGGATCAGCCAGTTCTGATCAAAACTCTTCAAGACAATGAGGTACCTACAATCGTTAATAGATATTTAGTCAAAAATTTTGCTTTCCAGGTTGATATGGTCATTCACTTTGCCGCTATCACCCACGTAGATGAGTCCTACAGCGACAGAATCGGGACTATCCAAGACAATATCATTTCCACCACCACACTCCTCGAGAGCATTGTTAACAGCCCATACAAGGGAGTCAAGAAACTTGTACACATAAGTACAGATGAAGTGTACGGGGACTCTTTCGCTGACACTACTCCAAAATCCGAGGCAGCTTCTCTGCCAAACCCAACCAACCCATACGCCGCTAGTAAGGCTGCCTGTGAGATGATCATCAGATCTTACTGGGTGAAAAAACAGGGTGAAAAAGATTATGATTAGAAACTGAAATTTTAGCATTCGTACAAGCTGCCATACGTCATGGTCCGCATGAACAACGTCTACGGACCACGTCAGATTCAGACGAAGCTGATTCCAAAGTTTACCAAGCTCGCTTTGGACGGACAACCGTACCCACTTATGGGAGACGGACTTCACACCAGGTTCAATTAAAATAATGGTCACTTTTGAAGGAAAACAGTTTTCAGAAGTTGGATGTACGTTGAGGACTGCTCGGAGGCCATCTCTAGAGTGGCTCTTGAAGGAAAACTAGGAGAAATTTACAATATCGGAACCGATTTTGAGATGACCAACATCGAGCTCACCAAGATGATCCACAGCACCGTCAGCAAGCTGCTGAACAGGTATGCATGCAGTTCCTTTCTAAAGATTCGAGAGATCCGTGTTCAGAGAGCCAACATCTCCAACGTTCGCTCCGATTCCGGATAGACCATACCACGACCGCCGTTACTACATTGATTTCTCAAAGATCCGCAATGCGATGGGCTGGCAGTGCACCACTCCGTTCAGCGAGGGACTCATGAAGACCATCGAGTACTACGTCAAGTTGCACGTGTCCACCGCCCGTATCCAGGGTTAGAGTCGACCCCCATTTTGTTCCGATCTCACTTTTGCACTACTGACAAATGTTGTGCATTGGGCAAAATTGGAACAACACGTACAATCAATTTTGATAGTAATCATTATATTCCGACAAAAAATTTATAAGTGAACCCTACAACTAACCTTCCGTACTCGACCCATTTTTTGTATACGCTTTCTGTGATCTTAATTCGGCAATTCGTCTTTCTTTCTGTCGTTTCTTTTTTCCTAACATTTCATACAATTAATTGATATGTCCGCCTGAATGCAGATTTTCTTCCAATTTCCCTTTTTCGCAATTTTTTGTGTGTTCTGATTCTAATTAAGTGCAATCTATAATTTATTGTCTAAATAAAGTGTGCATAAAACAATATAGATTTCTCACAAAACAAACGATAGAAATTTGACTTGCATAAACACTTCCTCGTGGTAGTTCATAAACAGATTTGAATGTGATTTTACGACAAGATCATCGGAAGAGAGCAAGATGAATACGGGGATGGGGGGGAAGAGTCAGTTACCCATAGTCATGTAAAAGAAATTGAGAAAAAATGTCCTAAAACCCGCGATTTTCGCAAAAAATTATGAGAGGAAAAGTTGAACAATGGAGAGGAAAACGTGTCTAATTGTGCTTTTTGTAGTGATTCTTGGCGTTTCCGTTTTGTTTCACACCAGTCGACGACTTCTTTCGGGCATTTTCCGGCTTTGGCGAAAATTTCGCTTCTTCTGACTTGGCGAAGAACACACCACGCGGAATTCGGATATTGATCGGAAGACTGAACTCATTCTCGACCTGAAAAACACAGTTACATAGACGAAATGATCAAAATAAGCAGCAAACCTTTCCCTGAGATCCATACTCGAAGAACCATCCCAATGGGAACCACGTTCGCATGCGGTAATCTGTGGCCGTGATGCCAGCATGATTGTAAGCGTACGCATGATAGTACAGGAACATTCTTGAGCTGATGTAAAAAGCTGAAAAAATGACGTAGACTTTGCAAACAGGCAATAACTTTAACGTACCAATGAAAACGTCAATGCTGTAATGTTCGTGAGCGGCAAGGATGAGAAAGATGGCAAAGCAGTTGAGGACCCATGTGAACGTATGGAGACCGGTCCAGTCAGCAGGAGTATCTGCAATTATAAATCAGTGAACGGAAGACAAGATTCCACCCACATTCCGTGATAAAATGAGAAATGATTGTGATGACGGTGGTGTGGCCGCTGAACATGTAGTCGCCGCAGCTGCGCACTCCGTGCAGTGACATTCCAAGATTGGTCCAAATGTGGAACGCTTGAGTAATCTTCTCGTGCATCGAGGTGTTCGGCTGTAAGAGATTAATGCTCTCCAGAATGCCATTAGCATGACCCACTCTAGCCTCGCACTGCAAATGAATACCAGGTACTGACAACGAAGTGATGAGCATGGTGAAGCAGCGAAGCAAGAAGACAGTCCCGAGAAGCGAGAACATCCGGCGAGCAATGATCACTCTGCAATTATACCCTTCCGTAATGCTTGATGTTGTCTGATGTTCCATACCTTTCCTTGTGGAACAAAAGAACCGTGAACCAGACGATGGCCAACACTAGACCAATTGTTTCGCACATGTCGAAGGCCCACGGGATGTGTGGCACGTTGTCGAGGACAAGGTCCGGGAGCGGCGGGTATGTTTTTGTATCTGTAGAAACACTTTCAAAACAAGAATTCGAATAATTTGTCTCACCTGGAACTCTGTCGTGAACCAATACCATAACGAATGAAGTGATTAGAAAGGAAAGCGAAGAGTATGCAAATGCGATGAACAGTTTGACGAGTGACTTGAAGTAGGTGTCCGGTCTCTCGACCTGTCGGATGATCTCCTCTCTGGACATCAGCTGCACAGTTGAAGTTCCGTCCGTCGACTTAGCCAATGTATCCAAAAGCGTCTCCTCATCCTCCACAATCTCGGCTCGGCGCGTTGTCGTCACAACATCCTCTCCGGAAATGGACAGATGATTTTGCTCGTTGTATTCAACAAGGAGACCGTCTCTCGAGAACGGTTTTCCATTTGACTGACGGGAGTATGTGCTGGCGACTGATCCGAATGAAATGTCCTGGAAATCATATTCCTCATAGGTTTCTTTGGGAAAGTGCTTTACTTGTCTGTGCAGTTTTTCGATGGCGAAAAGAATTTTCTTGATGTCACCAAGACAGTTGATGGAGACCGGAGGGTCCTTGAGGTCCGTGTCGCTGAGGGCGAGAAGACACTTTCCGTCAACCTGAAATCGTTGCTGTTTATTCAATCGATCACTTTTCGGCTGACTCACTTTGTGTTTGAACGCAATTAAATCGGCGTACTTGGCCATTCCGATCTTCTTCAACCAAATCGACACTTCCTCCGATCGCCACTCATTCGGATCCACCGGTAGCGGTTTTGCATCCAGCATCTGAAAACGAAACGGGTTAGAGAAACATGGCGGAATAACATTTTTCGAAAATGAAGAGCTTGTGCGCGAGCCGAGGAAAAGAAGATTAGAAGGAGAAAAGGAGAAAGGGAGGATGAACAGAGAAAAAGGAGAGAGAGAGAGCACAGAAAGACCTTTGTGTCATGCGCATAAATAAGAGTAAACCACGGCAAAAACGCCTAAAATTTGAATAATGTGAGAGCGGCGGTAGCGCGTCGAATGTCAGTCATTTCTGCCCTTTTGCTTCTCTACACACGTCTATTCTGGTTTTACGTCAAAATATGTTCGTGCATTTTTGCATTTTTGCTTGATTCCGGTGTCGGCCAACGACAGCTGCTACGGCATGCAACACAAAAACGAAAAAAACGAAGAGATATCAACAGAACATCACTACAAACGCGGAAATACCGATGCGAACGGGCGGAAACCAGAGAAAAACAACGGCAAAGGGCAATAGAACACTGTTTTTTTGGCGAGCGGAAGGCAAAATGTGCGTTTGCAGGAAATGGCCAAAACATCGCAACGCAACATACATTAAATCTCCCGGCTGGCCGAGAAAATCCTTCCCGCGCGGCCACGGCCACAAACGGGTGCGCAACGTGTCCACTATCCGCTCGACCCCATTGGCACGTTGCGAAATGCGCACTCTGCCAAGAGAAAGAACAGTGAGGAAAGCAAAGACAGAATAGTGTAGAACGAGATGATAAGAAGTGATTCAACAGAATATGGAGCAGAAGAAACAAAATAAATTACCCGGTCGCGAGTTTCTGCTTAAAAAGAAAGGCGTAATTCGATAGGGGCAAGCAAGGCTTGCTCTGCTCGTTTTATAATAGACCTTCGGAGGAATGAGCAACAAATTAGCACGATCAAAGCAGAGAAACGTAGAAGAAAGAAAGAAAAAGAGGAAGAGCATACGGCTTGTAACCAAGAGTGACTAACCGCAGACGAAAGAGCAAATTTGACTAAGGCTCTCCCCCCACCACTTTTGATTTTTATGAGTTCAGTTTGGAAATGCGGAAATGTGATAATTGCAACCTAACTTGATGCCCTTGATCTTGAAACGTTTCTTTTGCGTTGCAATGCATTGTCTGCTACACTTTTTACCGGAATGATAAGAAACTTACGTGCTACACTGAATATATATTTATTCAAGTTGGCTAGGAGCGATTAGAAAATGAGAATAAATGACATATAAATTACCCATAGGATAATCACAACAGTGAAAAAATGACTGGAAAGGAGGTTTGTTGATACAACAAGAAAAGGTGATGAGAAGAAGGAAGAGGGAAAAGGGCAGAAAAAAGAGTAATATTACTTTAAAACATTAGATTTGCACTTTTTTCTAATTGATGAATCAAATGACAGGTTTTGTTCAGTTTCGAATCGAGAACTAGGCGCGTGACAGGTGCGGGAAAGGCAGAAGGAGCTGCTAATAATGGGGGCACTGGAGTGGGGAGCACAAGGGCAATTGGGGGAAGAGGAGAACGGAAATTACGGGGTCGCAAGGGAAATGGATTCGGAAAAAGTTGACCCCTCGAGTAGAAGGAAATGGGAAAAAGAGTGAGCATCGAGTATGGATGATGATAATCAATCAAGAGAATGACTCAGCAGTGAGTGGGAGAGAAACAAATTTCAGGCAAAACAGAAACGTGCTACTATTTCATATCGCTCTCTAAGCGGGTTTTGGTGAGCGATTGAGTGTCAGTAGTCATTTCTGCAGAACCGTTGCATTGCCGAGACACAGAAGAACAAAAAGAGGAGAGAACCGAAGATTACGCATGGCACAATGATGAGCATTTTGCCTCCGAGCGACGTCTTTTCTTCTTCCTCGACGTCGTTCTCATCTTCTTCCTGAAATATAATTAAATTGGATGGGGGTTATGAGAAATGAGAGGCCTACCTGCAATGGACAATGCCAACGTGGCATCATAAGATCCTCGGAGTGTTGTTGTGTGCATCCAGTACGACATCTGGAACGAAAAGTTGTAATCCTGTTATTTTCAAAGCGTTAAACTCATACCTGGACATGCACATTTCTCTCGTATCAAACGTATGAACAAAAGCCACATCGTGCCGGACCGTATGAATGGCGTTCCGAGTAGAAACCGTTTCCGTTTTCCAAGCCACGACGAGAAGGAAAGTGAGCAGGTGGAGAAATGCCATGACGGAATGGGAATGAGGCCTGAAAAATTAGAAATAGGAAATTAGAAGTCAAGAGGAAAAATAGACCGAGATGTAATTAGGTATTACGGAAAAGGGAAAAGGTTTATTTTTGACAACAAATCAGTGTCGTTTTTGCCAGAAACAGTCAAAATAATTAAACGAGAAGGCAGTCGTATCACAAAACTCGATTCACTCAATTCACAAAGATTGATGTTCGTTCCCAAAATATTTGCTCGAACATGTGTAGGAGAGCAATAAATAATCAGAGAATACGGCACAGGAACACTAAAAATTTGGGAGGAGAAGGGCTGGGATGGGATGGGATGGCGAGGGAGCGGATCCAACACAATATGACAACTTTTATGGGGCGGTGGAGAATAAAAGTTGTGAATGTGGATGGATGACAAAATGAAATAGACTGACTGGTGCGGTTAGAAAATGTTTCCGTTTTTCATCAGAAGAATGATGAACGTATGTTTTGAGCGCTCTTATCAATCAAAATAACGGATTTAATGTGCTGGATACGGGAGAATCATTTCAAGAAGAACAGTGTACAACACAAATAGGAAGGAAAACGGGCAGGATGGGGGGAAGAGTTGCTTTTGAGGAGCGAGTCGCTTTAGTAGAAAACCGGTGAAGCGAAACAAGTAAAAGAAGGGCTGAATGGCTATTCCGAATGGATAGGATATGAGCAATCCATCAAATTTGCACATATCACCCTGTGCCTCCCTTCGTTTTTTTTCATTCCGTATTAGAATCAGAGGTGGCGTCGTGTATTCCTATTCCCCAAGGCCAAAATTAATTACAAGCATATCCGGTGTGTTGTCGGGAAGGAGAAGGCTAATGTAAGCTTCTCCCTACTGAACTATTTGCTCTCTAATTGAATATTCATTCGTTTATGTTATGTTGGAGCCGCAATTCCTCGACATTCTGCTGGTAAAAGGACAAAAAGGGGGATTGGGACAGGATATATCGAAAACTGGACGATGAACTTTTAATGCAACGGAATTTCAAAGAATGAAACATGTGTGGTCAACGGACAAGCACGTAATAGTCGATAATTTTCGGTAAGATGAGCTCGTGGGAAGGGGAAGAAGGTGAAATGGAATCTGCCTGTTTTCCGGCCACTCACGCACTATTTCCCCCCGCAAGAGAGCATCTTCGCCGGCGCCGCAGTCTCAACGGATCGGATGACATTTGAAATCTCGACTGTTTTGTGTCGTCTAACTCGAGAACACAGGTCATGCCCACTAAACAACGACGAAAGAAAGCAAGAAAAAAGAAAAAAGGAATTGGGCGTTCGAAAAAGTGGAGGCAGCGTCTACCATCCGCGATTGGCTCAATTTCATTACATTTGAAACGTTCTATTGTTTTGGCGGGTGGCGTGGTCGGGCCGGGACGGGCAGTCTCTTTTCTTCTCCATCATCATCTTTATTCCTTTTTCCCCTCCGCCGGAAAGACAAACTCGGTGGATGGAGGCATTACTAGCGGAGCCCGGGGGAGGAGCATCCTGCCAAATCCCGCTCACTAATCGATTTCCTTCACCTTTTCCGGTTCGCTCTTTCTCTTTTATCCCAATGTGGATTATATGGATTCCGGATTAACAAATTGATCGGCACATCCCTCGCACGTCTCTAATCTTTTTCCAAAACTCTGAACATGAATAAGAAGTGGACTGCGGTGTCTGACTGCTAACGTTTTTATGACGTTTCGAAAAGCAATGAATGAATGAATGAAAAGCGCTGAATTTGACATAACAACAAGTTTTTTGTGTTGCTGTCTTGTTGCTAACTTTCTACTAGTTTTTCCTCAACAATGGCAAATGTTTAGAACGAGTTACCGAGATGCAGCACACCGCAAAATCACATTTTAGGCAGTTTCTTCAGAATGCGTTCGCAACAAAGTCACTTATGGAAGAGGAGAAAGAAGCAAAAACGATGTATCTTTGAAAAACGCATATTATGACGGAAAGGTTAGGGTGACAGAGGGGAGGTGACACTTGCTCGGCGCGCATCAAACTCTCTCTCTCTCTCTTTCTCTTTCTCTGTTTCGCCGTTACCATGGAACACAATTGCCATTTATCATTGAACCCTCTCATTAAATCAACAGACGGGAACCTCCGAAGTAAAACGAAATTTGATGAGAACTTGCTGAGACTTTAACAATAACATCGATGCAAGTACAGTTAGTCGTTCAGCACACACGAAGGTTTGACGGAAAAAAAATTGCATCTGAGAGAAGAAAGAAGCAGTAAATTCTTTCAAAACAGATATGAATGGGTAAAATGGAAAAGGTTCGGGCAAGTTGAAGCCGAAGACATGTGTGGAAAACAATGGAGGTAGCGGTGGCGTGAAAATCGGAGAGGCCCCTCCCAGAGGCAGTGCACAAAACAATTGACTGAGACTCCTGAAGAAGGGGAGGCGGCGCCCATCGTGTCGCACCCTTTCTTCCTGCCAAGCACAAGAAAACCCTCACTTTTCATTCACACAACATAAAATTAAAAGTGAAACAGAGCATAAAATCGGCACGCGGAAAGTAAGAAAAAATGCTTCGAAAAACAGTTGACAAATGGTCAACAGGACGGATTGAAGGAACGATTTGAGGAGGGTTAGGAATGTTGTTTAGGACCGCCAAGCTGGCAAATCAAGTGGTGTAAAAAGGAGAAGAAGTGGGAGAGAAGAAATGAAACGCGGAGGAACTCTGGACATCAAAATTAGATTTGCTAATGCCTCCACTCATTTGACGCCTCGTTCTCAGTTAGTTAGTTACATATCTACTGGCTTAAAGATATTTGTTATTGTTTTCAGTTCTTTACTAGAAAAGTGTAATCATTTCTCAAGACCGTCCTCGCATTACAATTTGCATAAACTAAATGCAATTGCACTTCCTTCGTGGGGGTTACGATAGCTTTGCAGTAAAATAAACTCAAGTCCGATTGAATGAATTTCAAATGCGTTTGTCGGATTCCGAGTCATTGAAAGTAGTTTGCCAACAAAAACTGGAGCGTCGCGGAAACAAAACTCTTGGCAGTGCTTGAAAATTGCCAGTAAGAAGGGAAACAAAATTGCCACGCGCCTCGTTTTGATGTCGCCGAAAGGGTTCGTCAAGAGATGGGAGCAGCGGACACTTGAAGTTCAATTTTTCTTTGTTTCTTCTAATGATAGGGATAGAGAAGAAGTTCAAACTCGCTTCTCCGGAAACTAATAGGAAATGTATGGGAATGGCTAAGAGTAATGGGATGTTCTTTTCGAAGGACACTGTCGTTTTTCGAACTGCACCACCCGAAATGTTGGAATGAGACACTTGAGTGATCCGATACGATAATTACTCGCTCCTTCTATTTGAATGTCGTTATTTTTATATACATAGTGAGCACCGGTGAGCTGCTCCACTCCGTATACCCTCAATTTGAAGGCGGGACACCGGCGGGGCCACCGACAACCTCTCACTTCAAATTGCTTCTTCTTCTTCTTCTTCTTTTCCTGGTTTTGAGCAAGAAAATCGGAGCCTTCGTGTAATTGTAGCCGATTTTCATATTATGGCAAAAAATGAGCTTTTGAGGTAAAGCTATGTTGAGGTGGCACTGACGTTTAAGTCAAGATGGAGAGAAGAAGAGGGACGGACAAATCTGTTGTAGCCGCGAAATTAGTGGAAGACACATCTTAGCGTTTCAAGTGTGTTGTTGCAGTGGGATGATTGATGATTTCATGCATATATCACGCAGAGCCCCTTATTTTGCAACATCTCAGGGATGAGAGAAGAGATTTGAAACGTTTTGACAGGGAGCCAAAACGAGAAAAGCGACAAGCTCGAAAGGTCAGTGACATCCCGAATAATGTAGCAGTGGGGGAATGAATGCAACTGGTGTTGGGGTGTGAGTTTGTTCGCAAAACATTTGACCACACAAGAAGACGTTTCGAAGAAAGAAGGAGAAGGAGCAGAAGAAGAAGAAGAAGAAACGGATTAACAAAGAGGAAACCGATGTGAGTTGCAAAGTGGCAGAGGATGAATTGCAACATGTTACTGCACACTAGATAATGCAGAAATGATAGAGTGTGAAGGAGAGTGTCTCAAAGAAAAACACCAATGTCCCAAAGGGCACTGAGAAGTCGTTGTATCGGGGGCCCGACTCCTTCCTTCCCTTCTTCTTCTCGTTTTGAGCTTCTTCATATCCTTCAGAATGCGCGCTTTTGGAAGGAACCAAACCAGCGGCGACGAAAAAAACACATAACATGTCTATGATGCGCATATATTCGTTTCCAGCTAATCCCTCATGTCGTTTTGACGCAATGCCATCGAATAGCTGCGGGTCCGAGAGCAGTCCCTCGGTTTGTAACTTTTGCCGCCGGGATGAGCTCCGCCGAAACGAAAAAGTAAGGAAAGGCCGGAGAGAGAGAACATGCCATCCGAATTCAAATTCGCAGGGATGATTAGCCACCACATTTTCACATTTTCACATTTTCACTGCTGACATTGGGCGACTTAATCTTGTTCCGAAATGTTAGTCCCTTTTTATTTGCTGATCGACAGAAACGTGGGAGGCCCGTTGTGTTGGTCATGAAAAAGGAGGGAACAAAAACAACAGGAAAACATCTCAGGAGAGCACGTTTTAATTGGCTAAATTTTTCGCGTCTGACAAAAACTTGAGTGTTTTTATATTTTCATTCACAATTCTACCTCCGATATTAGTGAATTCCCCTGTTCCACCCGTCGTCGGTTGTCTGCGATACGATGATATTGGATATACTCGACTGGTCGGCAAGTAAAAAAGCAATCGGTTTCTGATCGTCCTGGCAGAAAACCCACTTGTTCTTCTTATTTTTCTGCGTCGCAACAAAAAAGAAGCGCGGTGCCTTCTAAACGAACCCACTAAGTCCCAGTTTTGGGAAATTTTCTATTCTCTCCGGACTCCTTCATTCACTGCATTGATTCAAAACAAACGTGTTCTCTGAAAATCGTTCATTACAATGAATTGGCTGTTTCGAGTTCTAGCTCTGTTTGTTCTCATTATTACTATTCTTCTCTACTACTGGATTTTGAAGGTAGCGCTTCTTATTTTTTCAAAATATAACAAGACATTTCAGAACAAAACGATCAGAACCGAATCGATGATATTCAAAGACGTCGACAACTTGCCCGAGTTGACATTCTCAAAGCTGGCTGACTTGGAAAGCAGAATGGCGGCAGAATTGGAGGCGATTCCAATTGAAAAATTTGATGAAACTCGGAGAGAGAATATTGAGAAATTCAGAAATTCCATCCTTCAAAACTCGACAGTTGCCAGCCACGATCATTCGACCATAAACGTGATTGCATTAATGTGCATGATAATGTCAGTCGCAAGGGTTTTCGTTCAGAAAGTTTTACATTATTTCAGCGTTGCAACGGTAATCATTCTCTGCATCATTCGCATCTTCCTCAAACGGAAGAACTTGGACTCTGATTCAGATCGCATCCCATTTGCAAACATGTTACATTATTAGCCTGACTCCATTCACTTTGTTTCAAATATTCATTTTCATCAATTCATCCATGTATATGCACGTAGATTGTCTGTGAGAGGGGATGTACACCTTCACATAACAATATTGCATACATTGACTGTTTTGTACATATGTCCGTCTCGTTCGCATTACTCAAGATAAGACAGTGCATTGGCTCGTTCTTTTCCATCTCCGTTCTTAATGAATGTCCTACTTTTGATTGTTCTTTTTTCTACCATTCCTATTGTGCTCTCCAGTTATTCTCACCACACATTCCCTTCTAATTCCACGTACATTTATTTTCCAAATATCGATAACCAAGATTTCTGGCACTTGGTCTGTGTTATTGCTCCTGTTCTCATTGGAATAACATTGTAAGCCGTTTTTGTCATATAACAACTTGAAAACATCAAATTTTCAGAGTTATTATCGGAGTGCTTATCTTCTTCTTCTGCAAATGCTCTCCAAAATCCACGGCCACTTCGGACGACTACGACAGCTACAGTTATCTTCTGACAAGCCCGCGGAGCAGAAAACTTGCTGCTTTCGGTCTTGATCCGTCTCGGAAACGCACTATCAACCCATCAGGATCAAGTGAGAGAATAGCTCAGAAACTGTCCTTAATCCTTGAGAATCATCTGGAAAATGTTCAAGTCGAGTAATCTCATGTTCCTTTTCTAACAGTATTTTGGAATGTTCACTTTTGTATTTTCCAGTAAATTGTTTCAAATATCGGCTGGCTCTTTGGGGCGCGCGCAGACATTTCAGACGGACAGAATCGTAAAAACGGACGAAAAACAATAGAGAGTGCACGTCCTACGGAGATGCAGTTCTCTAGACTGTATGGTCCGTTCAGAGATGTCTGCTGCGCACAGACATTAATAATGGAACAGACGGTGCAGAAGTTGAAAAACAATCGTGATGACAGGGGAACACGTGCCTGTCTGGAGAAGGCGGAGTGCAGCTGGTTTGTTGCAAGCTGCCAGTTCATTTGGTCAAGCTTACGCTCCAGTCCTCGCGTTTGGTGCAGTTCACTATGAGTTCTTTCCAAGGATCTAAGTGCAAGGATCTACGAGTCATGCCAGACAGCCTCAAGATTTTGATTGGAATTTTTGTGTGAGTTCTAATACTTTTCTAAAATCTCTGCTCACTAGGCTTGGAACAGATTTCACTAAAGCAAGTTACGTTTTCAGGCTGCTCGCCGTGCTCTACCTTCTGGTCAAGTGCTGGGTAACCTTGACGAAGGAGAAGCCGCCTCCAGTCGACAACGGAAATGAAATCGAAATGGTCTAATCTTCGTCCCGAACACTTAACTCGTCAAACGGAATTGTCTCATCACTGTCTCAACGTCATTCAATCGACTTCTTCGTGTCATCATCTACTTACAACGGCATAGGAACGACACTCCTGAAAACTATTGTTCAAAAATCCCCAAAAATTGTTGCTCTTGTTGAAATGTTTCAGTTTCTCTTCTTATTTTTTCTTTTGATATTTTTTATTTAAATTTTGTTGTGCCGCTTGAAATGAATAGTTTATTATCCGAAAAAGGCAATATTTAGAACGTTCTGCGGATACGAGAAGCAGCACGCTGGCGAGCACTGAATCTGGCTCTGTTCTTCGTCGGGTAGTTGGTGTCTCCAGCTGGACCTCCTTCCCCGGCCGATGCACCGGATGGACCTTCTTTTCCAGCATAAGTTCCTTCGGCGGGTGCTCCTTCTCCTGTTGGAGCACCTTCTCCAGATGCTCCTTCAGCAGGACTTCCTTCTCCGGCAGCTCCTGCGGCAACGTCAGCTGGGCTCTCTTCGGCGGATGATGGTGCAGATTCTCCCTGAAAAAAAAGAACACTTGTTATGCGCAATTCTAGTCTTACGGAGTACTTACAGTTGGAGATCCCTCGAATTCAGTAGCGGTTGGAGATGCATAATCATTTCCACCGCCGACTCCTGCGTCTCCTCCCTTTCTTGATGGACATGGGCAGTAAGCGGCGTCTTCTCCGGAAGAACCAGCCGTTCCTGGCAGTCCTGGGAATCCATCGGCTCCTTTCTCTCCTTGTGGTCCTTGTGGCCCTGCCTCTCCTTGTCCTCCGCCAGTTCCGTCCTCTCCACGCTCTCCTGGAAGTCCTTCGTCTCCTGGAAGTCCGTTCATTCCAGCTGGTCCCTTTGGTCCCGGCGCTCCCTTGGCGAATCCCTTTCCGTCCTCTCCGGCCGATCCCTTCTCTCCTGCTGGTCCCATCGGTCCTGGATGTCCGTGATCTCCCTCTGGTCCGTCGTCTCCTGGAGCACCATCACGTCCCGAGTTTCCTGGAGCTCCCTTGTCTCCCTTTTCTCCGCGAGGTCCACGTTTTCCCTTGTATCCAGCGACTCCTGGCGGCCCAGCTGGGCAAGGAGTGCAAGTGTCTCCGGTGGCATATCCTGGCTGCTCGTTACTTCCATCAGTTCCGTCCTTTCCTGGTGTTCCGTTAGTTCCGTCAGTTCCTGGTTCACCCGGAGTTCCTGGCTCTCCCTTTGGTCCAGGTGGGCAAGAATTGTCAACCACAACTCCTCCGGATCCTTCTGGAGCACCATCAGCTGGAGAACCACCTCCTCCGGTTCCGGCTTCCTTGTCTGTAATAAGAAAATGATTGATTTGAAAGAAAGTGAAAGAAAGTGAAAAGAACTCACAAGTTTGCCTGACAACTCTTCGGTGGTTTTCATTGTTGACCAGCTCCTTCCACAGAACGTTAGATGTTTCCTCGAACCCCGACTTCGCAGCTTCTAGTTGAGCAGCCATGTCTCCCATGGTAATGAAGAGGATCGGAGTGGCAGTGACCATGATGAGGAAGGCGCATCCGGACAGGATGACGGCAAATGAGACGGTCGAAGAGGACGACTCCATGCTCTTGTAACTCATCGTAGTTGAATAAAGAAGAGAACGGATGATGGAGTCCATGGCGCTCTGGGACTTTATATACCGTCTTCTTAATCTGAATGCTTGATCGGTACGTTCCGGAACTTGTTCGCACAGAAACTCCCACTACTTTCCATTTCCTGATTGCAATCGGCAAAAATCTGCGCTGCAAATCAACTGTTCCGATTCCTATTTTCTATGCACGTTCAACATTCGACTAATTAATTAGCTCGTTATTATAAAACTGGAAATAATGACACTTGCTTTGTCAAGTAATGCCTATTTGGGAATAAATTGGAGGTACAGTTGAATTGGTTACGGTGGTGTGCATGAGAAGAAAAACTCAACAAAAGGAATACAAAACAATGAGCGAGAGATCGTTGGAGGGCCAACAGAGGTCTGGAAGGGTGCTCACGTATTGGGGCTTCAGAGATGATGAGGATGGGATCGAGAGGTATCCAGAAGTAAAACGACTAACAAAATGTTGTACCACGTGACAGTTAAGGCGAAAGCAAGAAAGAGTGAGAGAGAGAGAGAGAGGAAAGCTTGGCCGAAAAATGGTTATCACATGACTCTACGTACTAACGGGGGAAATTAAACTATCAAATGCTGGTCCATCATTGCTCCATCGAACAACATATGGAACTCATCCACAGTTGGGACAAGAACGTCGGGATCCGCGCGCTTAAATTTTTGGTATTTGTTTTCTAAACTGTGAGACACTCTACTCACCGAGATGAATCCATTGTCAATCATATTGGATACACGAGTGTGATAGCTCATGTGCTGATCGTAACTTGCCTCGTCAGCAAACGGACGGAAACATTTCTGAAATGTGAATGAATGTAAATAATGCGATTGACGTCTGAATATTCCTACTTTGCAGAAATAATCGAGTTCGCGGCTATTCTGATGAGATATTCCGTGATGGCTGTTGCAATCGAATCGAGTCATGAAAGCAACCTTGCACGTCGGGCAATCGTGTCTGTAAAACAGTGATAAATAGCGGAACTCCATTTGGAGCAAGCATACGTCTCAAAAGCAATCGATTTAGCGATTTCGTAAAGGCTGGCCCATCTGTCAAGATTTCCGTTGTTGAAGATCGTGTCCTCGAGACGACGGATCTTGTCGTCAAGCTCCACCTGCGGAAGGATCTCTCCGCTTCTCAGCTTATGGACCCACTGGTCCGACTCTCCTAGACCTAACTTCCTAAAAAAAATTGTAAATTTTCCGGTTCCTGTTTCGAAGTCTCTAACTTTTTCTTCGGTCTTGGAGGAGGTGTATAGTAGGATCCTCCTGCTCCACGGACAATAATTGCGTCATCTGGTATGTCAGCAGGCGGTCGGCGATTGCTTAACTTGAACATGGCGGGAGTTGCGAGAGCTTTATCTAACCTGGCGAAAGGTCTCCAGGCCGCCTCTAGTTCTTCCTTTGTCGTGACATGAGTCCGCAAATGCTTTTTCAGATTTCCTTTCAGTCTGAAATGTAAATTGCACCGTTTCCAATTCTCAATTCGAACATGTTGGCACTACAGGCAATGGCGCCTATCTTATCACACTGTCTCATCTAATCGTGCCGTTTTCTGGTCAGCCCGCCGCACCCCTCGTATTCCTACAGTCTACCCACTACCATCAGCGCGTTACCGTCTCTCTCGCCTGTCTCTCTTTCTCTACCGTCGACCTGACGTGCGCTATTCACCGTATCGTGCTGTGCACAATGGTCGACGGTTGGGCAAGTCGCACACCTTGCGTTTTATTACTGTAGTGACGTTTGACGTGATGACGACAATCAGGACGGACTTTGCGACTAACTCGGCGAATCAAAATGGGAAATTAAGTTTTAGGGGTTACCTGCAGGTTTTTCCGCAATACGGACATGCATGTGGTGTGAATCCAGTGTGCACGGAGCGATGTTCGAACAAATTCGATTTGAACCGGAAAGATTTGGAGCAGATGTCACATCGAAACGGCTTCTGGTCGGTGTGAATGACTGCATGCTGTTGAAGACCTGGAAATGGAGTTAGAAGTTCGATGTTTGGATTACGAAATCAAGCTGATACCTTTGTAGGAAACAAAAATCTTATTGCAAACGTTGCACTGGTGCACAGCTCGCGGAGTGCTCATCCCTTCGACCATCTCGTCTTCCTCCGGATAATGTATTTGATACTGTAAATTTAGGTTACTAATTTGAGCGGATTTCGCAAATAACAATACCTGTCCGTACTCGGAATCGTCGAGCATCATGTCGGAATCGTCTAGATGCTGTCCATGGTGGTAGACCGATTGATTTGACCCGTGCGTCATTCCAGAATCGTTATAATCACTCAGTGTCTGCTCCGCCAGAGCTCTTCCCTGAAATTTATTGATTACTGTGAATATTGAAAGCCAATTATTAAATAGTCATCCGCTCATTAAAAGCCTGGAAGAAAATGTTCTGCTCGACGAAATTTCTAGATTTTTCCAACGAATCATCCCATCAATCATCGATTTTTTCCTCTTGTGCGTCTACAAAAGTGTACCTGGTTCGCTTTCTGACGTGTTTGCATTGCGATTCGATCTGGTCCCGTTGAAAACGGCCCGTTATAAAATCCCGAGCCGTTGTTCCGCTTGGATATTCAAACTTCGTCGGCTGCCGCCAAATTTTTCCTGGGTTACGGTAGGGAAACGGTAATAGAAAAGTGCTTTTGTAGCCGCTACGCAACCGCGACGCGACGAGAGACGCAGACGGAAAAAAGAGAGGCAATATGTGCGGTCTGGTGGCAGAGGTCAACCCTTCTCGAAACAGCTGTGCCTATGGTATCGAGCGGAATTGGGATAGTCCTCTTGGGCCGGGTCTCGTCATGCAACGCAGTATGTTTGCTTTCAAAACAGACGCAAGAACGTGTTGAATAGAAGCGCGGCAAGTACGTTTCCGCTCACGCTTTCCATCTTTTTAGGCGTAGAGAAAGATACACTTTTTGAGCGACAGATAACGAATGAGATGATTGAAATGGAAAAATCTAATTATTTCTGTTTAGAATGGATTTAATGTGATAAGAAGTATATTTTCGAGCAAGCTTTCTAGCAGAACAAAAGACGGCAAACATATATCGGTGTCAGAGCGGAACAACAAAAGAGAAAAACTGCGAAACGCGAGAGAGGGCGCATGAAACAACGGGCCCTCCCAGTATTTCCTGTCAGTTTGTGGCAATATTAGGCGTGGATTTGGCCGGACCTTAAGACCTTACGGGAATCCTATTAGGACTCGATGTTTTTGAATATTATTATTTTTTCAATAGGCGGGTGTTGGAGGCAAATAAGAAAAATATTGTTGGACGCCGGGCTGGCCAAAGATTTGGAGCGAAATGCATGCAGAAGGACGCAGACTTAGAGAAGGCCTTCGATTCTCTGCCGAACAGCGACGGGGCGCTCGCGGGCATTAATGGCCGGGTTAGCATGGCAGATGTGCACATCCAGCCCCCCCACCGCTGTTCTCATCATTTACCCACCGTGTAATCCCAAGGATACTGGCCGCAATGGCCGTTGCTCAACTGCGCATTCGCGGATCCATTGAATGGAAGATCAGGATGAGGAAGCACCGGTGTTGGAGGTGCCACTTGGTTGTGACCCGAAGTCAAGGGAGGTCCGAGAATTGGTGTTAGTGGAGGAGTATGATCATGCACTGGAACAACCACTGGATCATGTCCGTTCAGTGGAGCGTCGGACTGTGAAGTTGTTGGTGGAGGGTAATGATATCCGTTGAACCCATTCATTATCCCCTAAACAAGATGCGAGATGCTTATTTTTCCGATATTTCAGAAAAGTATGAGTTTAGGAAGAAGTGTGAAAAGTAAAGGGAGAGAATAAAAAGAAGAAGTACAATCGGCAAGTTGTTCTTGGAAATTAGATTAAGAGAAACGAGCACAAGTTTAGAAACGTCTTCAGATACTCAGGCAAGACGAGCGAATGATGTCTGTGCTGCCACTGAAAAGCATGTCCGTCTTCGAGGAACAGCAGCTGAACAGCTTCATCTTCTCCCCTTTTTAGGTCATCAAACAGATGGAGGGGAGCAACACTTTTTCATCTTTGACAAGATTCGCTGCGTGATCACGTCAGACTAAGAAAATCTCGGTCGTATAGTGGAACTGAGACAAATGGGTGAGAAGGATTAACCTGACTCGTTCCACAAAGTACACGCCTCTTCCTTCCGCTCTCCACCTGAGCTTCTCGGACAGAAGTCTGATCTGACTATGTTTTTTTTGCAATATAGTCGCCCACCTTGAGAGGTGCAGAATGACAATCAGGCAAAGAAATGAGTGCAATAATCGGAGAAAACTCGCTTGATAAGGACTGGGTAACAAACAGGTGATTGATTGATTAGAACGCTTTAGAAGGTGGCAAGTGATATGTAGTGTTTTCGTTTCTTTTTAACTTAGGAATTGTAAAAATGAGATATTACGGAACGGATGGAGTAAGAATTGGAAGGAAAGGGGGGGGGGGGATATGGGGTTCGAGAGTGAGAAACTCATTCATTTTGCATGTTGAGACACAACTCTTGCTCTAAATAATTCTTCATTTTACTCATTAACCAAATTGCTTGAGACGAGGAAAAATGAGCTTCCACCGGACGACGGATTCAGTTTCTTGGGAGGATCCAGATATTCATCCATGTAATGAGTATCCGGTGGAGGCAAAAAAGAGTTTGCATTCTTCACTTTTTTCGGTTTGCCGCGAGGAATCTCCTTTTTCGGCTTCTCCTCTTCAGGATCCCTGCAACATGTTAATTCAGTTTTGACAAGTACACACCATGCTACTCTGAAGTCACACTTCCCGAATCGGAAGGAGTATTCACTGCTGGAGTGTTCCGGCCACTCTCTCGATTCTCTGCAAATTGAGCTGATTGATGTATGATTTCTTTTTGGTTTCGCACCAAGTTTCGTCAGGTTGCGATCACGTTTCTTCAATTGATTCTCGAACTCGCCGGGCCACACAACACGAGGTTTCTTCGGTGACTCAATGTAGTCCATGTCTAGAAATAGTTTTTGAGGAATTTCGACAAATCGTATAGTGCACTTTTTTGAGATTACACGCTACAATATTCATGGGTTTTGATAGAACTGAGTGTCTCATTTCTGACTAATCTCCCGGCACGGAGGGCCACCGAAGGGAACCCTCGGCTTCTGATGAATTCACGCTTCCCCCCATCTCATACCGAGCAATGTAAGCTTCTGTTAGGGGAGCCATTATGGACATCAACAAGGGAAAACATACCATTGTCGAGAAATGCTCTCCTCGTCTCTTCATACTTTTCCCGATTTTGTTGTCGTTTTCGTTCACCTTGTACCCACACATATCTCTGGAATTTTTCGTCTTGCATCGACGAGAAACAGCAGACAACGTAGGCGACCGGGAATATATTGTGAAATTCGGACGCATGTTGCCTGGGACATCCTTTTGTTTCTTGTGAATCACTAATATCTGTTTCTACGCGGTTCCAACAAGTTTATTCAGAGGCAAGAACACAATGAGGTGGTCTTACCACCATGAAATCAGATGTCGGTTATGGAAAAAGAAAACCCGAGAACAAAAACTGAATGCGTTTTGATTAGGTCAATATTGAAGATGGACGAGGCGGTGAATAAAGGAGAAAAAGATACAAATTATCCAGAAAATGCGAAGTTTGTCCGAGCTGTCCTCAGGGGACGACGCGGGGTAGAAGATTCTTCTGTATTCGTGCGGCAGAAACATCTTCATGTGATTCTCCTCGTTAATCCCAACGTTTTGAAGGAGAGGTGTCTGGTTGTATTCACTGAAATGAAAAATATGAACTGAACTGAAGCAGGTGGAGAAGAAAAAGTCACCTGAAATCTGGAGAGAGATTGATAAAGTTACATTTGTCCATATTTGAGCATATGCACGTATCAGTTCTCTCGGCTAGCTGAAAATTATAAATATTCTCAATATAATGTGCTTTGAAATCGACTAACTTCACAGAGCAGTGTACCGTATGGGTTTCCCGATTCCTCTGAGCTGAAATTGATTTATTCGTTCAGAAGAATAAAAAATACAAACAACTTTTTTTGGGCAACCGAGATGGCTCTCATTTCCGAGTTGGTCAGATTCAGGCACCCGCTCGTGTACATGACGGATGGTCTTGCGTGATCCTTGTGGAATCCTATGACTTAAGGTGAGAAAGAAAAAAATAAAAAATAAATACTCACGCATAAAGCAAGCGTTGCCATTGCACAGAATAGGGCGTCTGGGTTTGCATCCGAACAGGGAGATGTGACTCCGATCATAATCCATGCAGTGCACACACCTAAACAATCAGTCCCAGTTCCATCCAAAATCTAAAAAAAAAACTCACTGAATGTAACGATCCTCAGCCCATGTGCTCAGCTCCGGAACCAAAGACGAAGCGGCCGTCAAAGCGATGCCGAAAAGTGTAATTACACACACGATGTGCCTCATTTGGCCACTGTAAAAGCGAGATTGAGATTTCGAATCTAAAGGAGGATGTGACGCATATTTAATGCGATTTTCTCTGAATTGGCCGGTGGAACGATGAAAACAGCTAACAAGAGGGTCCGTGGCAATTGAAAAATTGAAAGCGGAGGGCCACGACGGAAAATAACCAAATATTATCAGCGATGAGAAAAAAAAAGAAATATATTAGGCTTGCTCTAAGAAAACTGTTTTTGCTATGAATCATTAATTTGTAGTTGATTCTCAGTTCTAGAAGCATAAAAACAGTAGTAGCACTAGATTCTGTTTCAATCTTAAATTCAGCAAAAAGATTATTTTAAGACACATGAATCGATTTCAAAATTCATAGAGAAAACGAAAAAGATAAGAATATCAAATCAAGATTCCGTGACCCGAAAAGTTTTTTCCGTTTTAGTGTTTTGAAAGAAACTACCATTCTGAGATAGCATCGTGAGAGAGCTGAAACCGGGAACAAAGAAAAAATCATTTTTGCACTTTTCCTATTCCAAAATCGTACAAAGAACTGGAGAAAACAAGAGCGGAATGTTGGAACTCGCCCATTTGAGTCTTTGTTGACGCCAAGTTCGTTTACAGCCAGCGAATCGACCGTTTAGCTCATTATTCGCTGGCGTCAAAAAGGATTTCAGGGTCTGGAGCACTCTGAGCATTTGACGGGTGACAGGAGTAAATGAGGCGAGAAAATGGATGGTTTGCAAAGAAAAATGGATGTGGGATAAGATGCACTGTGATTTATTGTTCCCCTATAGTTAACCCCAGCCTTATTTTTCTTGTTCTTGCGAAATACGAGTGTTTGGATGAGAAGACAAGACACATCATTCAGGAATTTAATTTGTCATCGAACGCTTCTTGAATACTTGAAGAAGCAGAAGAAAGACCATCTCAACAAGGCTTCTTTTTCGTATTTTTATTCCATTAAACTGCGTCAGATAGCAAGAACATTCCAACGGATTTAATCAGAAGTCTTCTTCTTCGTCTTCCTTCTGCTCGAATCCTTGAGGACAGCTTGTGCTCTTTGCAAGCATCTGAATCATACTTTTGTCATGAAAAGCCACTAATCTTCAAGTGTTTCTCACCTCGTTGATATAGTTTGAGTCGTTCTTGTTACTGCACAATTGGAGCATGCAGATAGCCTGATCGCGGAGCTGGGGGAGCAGGAAGAAGTCGGCTTCCTGCGTGAGCATTGCCAATCTATCCGGGTCCTTCGGAAGACATGCCTCCCAAAGCTGTCCTGCTTTACGCAAACGGAAATAGTTCAGAACGATGCCAAACCTGCAAAACGATAAAAACAGTTAACACAACGATTCTTTGTTCTCACGAGAATGGGTCCCGGTCGACAAAGTAAGCGCCTTCGCGGTCGACTGTGAATGGAGATGGCTTTGTTCTGGAGACGAACCACTTGTGGAAGATGGAATCGACCGGGAAAGTGGTCTTCAGAGTTGCCATTTGTGACCCTCCCACGTTGAAGCGGATGATTAGAGTTTCAGACATTCGGGAATGCTGAAAATGTAAAAATGTTTGAAGAGGAAACTAGAAAATTTTTGAATGAATGAAAGTGAATGATGGGATAAAAGAAGAAGAAGAAGAAGAAGAGTGTTTGATTGTTTCTTACGAAATGTTGAGAGCACGAAAGCAATTGGACATATCTCAAAGGGCACCCCCCACTTATTCGAATTGATCGAAAAGCGTGGCCCCTTTCTCTTTGCTGCGCGCCACATTTCAGATTCATAAGCAAGCGCGTGCCAAACCGACATAATGCGGTTGGAGAGGGAAAAGAACGGGACGAGGGGGATATTGGAGTGAAAGGTAGTGATGTATGTATGCATATGCATGTGTGCGAAGCATGTCCCCGTCAGTTGAAATGTCAAATTTACGGACACCATAATTGAAGCTGTTCCGTTCTTCAAGTGACCATGATTTCTCAGTAAAGAAGATTTCGTAACAAAAGAACAGAGAGAGAGAGAGAAAGAGAGGAAAAGGGAAAAGCCGGCTTTGTGCACACAGTGGCAGGTGCTTGCTTCTATTTCTCGAGCCTATTTCATATTCATGAAAACTTTCTAAATTTTTTTGCCAAGCAACATGAACATGACCATAGACAAATCAATAAACCGGCGGCCAAAAATGACTAAAACGGGGATTTGACGCATTACGGGGCGACCCGTTTTCATGAACTACGGACATAAAAGGCTAAAAAGTATTATGGGAAACGGAAAAAGCTGCTCCTTCTTCGCCTCCCAATCTTTTGTCTAAATCAGGGAAAAAGTGGTGGCGGTGGTGGTGGTGCTCTTTTCTCTCTCGAGCATTGAAATTTGATACGAGACACGAAAAGACACACGTCTATGTGGCAGCTTGCCCCGATTTCAATGTACATTTATGTGTCCTCCAGAAGGAGGCGCGCATTGTCCAAATTACACCACCTGACCAGTTTATTCCTCTTTCACTTCTTCTCCCACAAAAGCGTTATTAGTGTGAATTACGCACTTGTCCATTGTTGATGGCGAGCGGATGCGAATATTGTGTGCATAACAATGTGGAAAGGGAGCATGACGGTCCCTGAACACACTTTGCATTATTAAAAATAAGGATTCCACCAGATTAGGTGATTCTTCACGTCACTTTTTTTTGCTACAGCTTTGATACTTTTTTTCCAACATACGGCTGTTGAGATATTAACGTTTATTGTGTGAATGCCTGGCCTGTTGACCAAATGTATGTACAACACCACATCTAAGCATGTTTCTAATTCTTGAAAACCAGTTCAGGAACGTAAATGTTTCGAGAGAGAGAAAAAGAGAGTAGAGCGAGAGAGAGAGATGAAACGTGTTGGGGGAACGGAAACAGAGAACATCAACGGGACAAAAAGAGAGTGTGGCGTTTTGTTGGCGAACCGGTAGGAATTAGTGCATATCCGGTGTATGGCGCAGCTGTTAAAGTAGGACCGATTCCTAAATGGAAAAGTATTAGATTAAACGTCACGACCCCTAATCTGCCCACCTCTTTCGAGCTGATTTGTGGCGATGAGAGCTCGACACACGAGTCCATTTTAGTGGTCAAGTCGATAGTAAACTCGGTGTACTCTGTTGGCTCACGTTGTTTTCCGCCTTGAGCCATCGCTCTGAAAAAATGAACATAACATGCAGGTTTTCGGAGATGTGAACTTACTCGAGCCTGCTGCGGGTTTTCCAGATGCTATTGAGCGCGCAGACAAAGATCGCGAAGCAACAAAATAGAAGAGGAGCGACGACGGAAACAAGAAAGAAAACGTCGGAAGACTCATCTGGAAGTGCCATTTCGAAGGCGACGGAAGAAGGTCAGAATGGACAGGGGTGTCGAGTACTTCGGGGGCGGTGATGTTTTCTAACACCAGAAAAAAATGCTCGTTCTTCACGCAACGTCTTCTATTAGAAAAATGATTTATCGCCTTTCTGTCAGTCTTTCTTTCATTTGATATTCAAATAGAAATGGCTGGAGTTGACGTTATGTGTCCCGAGAGTGTCACATGAAGGACGTCTCTGTGGTGTTCTTTTGCATTTCTTCTCAGTTCTACACTCAGACATTGAAAAACTTGACATCATTAGGTTTGCAAGAACGGACGCGGACTTTGAACTCGTTTTTTATGTAAATTAGTGTCTAGGACAACGTACCGAGAAAAGGATTGAGCCCTCCGACCTTCTTTTTAGGCCAAACAACGGTCGCGTCGGTAAAGTTGTTCTCAATGAGATCTGCCGGATAAGCAGTAGTCGTGGATGGCATCGAAGATTTCGTCAGTTTCATATGGAACCTGTGCATTATTCTTCTCGTGTTGAGTTAGCAATTTGCTGCGGTGCCAGTGTCGACGAAAGAAAGAATGGATCCGAAAAGGGAGGAGAAGGTAGAATTATGAGAAAATGACAGAAAAAGAGATTAGCGGCAGCTGGATGTGCTGTGCATTACATGGATTTCTTAGACGAAGAAAAACCAGCGCGAGACTGGAGAAAAAGGGAAAAACTGCTATCGATAGAGCGGCATTAGATTTTTGATATCCGAGCGATGAGCAAGACAATGACACAACATGGAAACGTCGTGAAAATCAGTGGATTATCTGGGCTTTACGATTAAAAATCTCAATATCGCAATATCGCAATGCCCAAAGCGGCTAAACCAGTGTGTGTGTGTGTGTGTGTGAGTGTGGAGAAAAAACCCAATATTTCGGTGAGGCAGACGTTCAAACCTAATTACATTTCAATTTTGAATAATGAGCAAAAGCGGCTCTGCATAAGGCTCCTTTTCCAGAAACGACTCTACGATAGGACAAAACGAATGGGATTCGAATCGGAAGTTGGAAGTTAGCATAGCATTGACGTTCATCAAATTTCCGGCGCAAAAAAACCAAGCTTCCGATTTTGTTGGTAATCGTAATATAATATTGGAAAAATGAACTTGAAGCTCCGTTTTGTTTACATTCGAATATGATGTCTCGGTTCGGTTTTAAAACAGAAAATTCCACATTTTCATTTCGTTTTAATGAGTTTTCGAGGAAAAATGGCTGGAGGTAGGCAAGCAATTGGCAGACAAGATGCTGATCTCCTGCACACCGAATTTCAATCGTTTCTTTCAAATATCCGTTGAGCTCAATCGCTTCGGCAAGATGGATCGATGGAGCAACTGCACGGGTCGACGCAGGAAAGTCATTTATAAGACATGTGTTCATGAGAACTTCTGATTGTCTTCTGCATGACACACACATCGCATTCTTCCCCTCTCCTTAGCCGTTTCCGCTCTCATGCAGAAAAAAACGTCTATCCGTTCCGCATTTTTCACTTTGCGGAAGTTTTTTAAAACTGAATTATGTCGGGCACTCTGTTCGGAACTACTTCTCAAAAAACGCTCACGTTTTGAGTGGAAAGCAGAAAAAATGACGGCGAATAAAAGAAGAAGAAGAAGAAGAAGAAGAAAAGGCGAGTGTTCTGGCGTTGATAAGACTCTTCGCCCGTTTTGCTTTGTATCGTACCCCTTGGGACCATGCACTCTTCGCAGACATGATCAACAATCCGGAGAGCAAGAAAAGAAAATGACGAATGACAGACTTGGGGGTTACAAAAAAGGGAAGGATGAGCAATGAAAGTACCTCTACCAAGAATCAGAGTCCGGAAATTTGAGCACTCTGAAAAATCACTTTACGAAAAGGGGGAGTGCTGAAAAAGGAGATAAGAAAAAACAGGAAATGAAATGAGCGGTCGGATTTCATGGCTCACTACTGCCACCTTCTCCATTCGTGTTGTAATCTCATGATTAAGATAATCTATTTATAAATTGAGTCTATTGTTCTTAAAGGGCATCTGAAATGATGATTTGTATTGGATTATAGCCGGAAATCTTTGTCAGCACACAGACTTGAAGCGACAAATTGGAAAAATGTTGACTTTTGAGGTGTAATCTTGAGCTCAATCTCGAAATGCTCAATTTTCAGTTGTGTTGAGAGTCAAATTTTTCAAAATAAGGGGTTTGCTGGCAAAAACAAAAAATATTGGTGTAACATAATAGGCGGGTGGGAGAAGGCGGCGATTTAAAGACAAAAGACGAGGCGCCGTCTAATCGTCGAATAATTAGGCACGTGGACCGATCTCCATAAAAGTCTTTCCTCGATGTCCGTCGAAAGAGTTCTTCGTCTTTTTCCTCCTGCTTCTCCAGTATCCGATGTCTCACGTCACGCAGAAAACGAGGGAGCGCGCAAGAATGCGGAGAAATGAACGGCAGGAGCAAAGTACGGAACATCAGAATATGAGCAAAATGGGCAATACCAATATACTTCATTATAACTCAAAAAATTCCAATCTCATTACAAAACAATCAAATCAGACTATTATAAACTGATATATTACAATTATGCAACACAGATTCCACCAGTGAAATAATATTATGCTGGGCGCAAATGTTCATCAAACCAGTTACAGCTCCTCCTTTTTGGCCTTCTTGGACTTTTTGTCCTCCTTCTTTTCCTTCTTGTCTTTTTTGTCCTCCTTCTTCTCCTTCTTGTCTTTTTTGTCCTTCTTATCCTTCTTATCCTCCTTCTTCTCCTTCTTTTTCTCGTCCTTCTTCTTCTCTTCCTGAAAATGGAATTCAAGAACTGAAACTTTCTTTTTTGCTCCCTCACCTTCTTATCCGTTTTCTCGGTCTTCTCCTCCTTCTTCTTGTCCTTCTTCTCCTCCTTCTGGAAATTAAATGATTTCTGGTGTTTCTCCTGATCATCACACTTCAAATGATGTCATGAAACACCTGCTGGGTTCAACAATCTACCCAAAACCAGAATTCTTTTTCAGTCAGCCTAATTCGATGGTCAAGTGAGTAATGCGGAATTTCAGATATTATCGTTCTCATCCTACTAATTCGGTAGTCCGAAGCATGCAACAACAACCCGTATTTGACATGTGACAATTTCGTTTCAAAGGTCTAGAATCTTCTAATTCTCTTCTTTTCTCATAGCATTTTAACCACTGGAAATCACCTTCTTCTCGACCTTCTCTTCCTTCTTCTCAGTCTTAGCCTCTCCCTTGGCTGGCTCCTAAACAACCAATTCTTTGAGATTTCATATATTTACTTCCATACCTCGTCAACTCCAAACTCAAGGAGAGCTCTCTCCATTCCATCGATGATCTGAGCGGCCAATGGGTAGAAGTACTTGTTGTTTCTGTACTTCTGCTCGTTGTTGGTCTTCAGCGGGTTTCCATCAGTGTCTGTAACTCATTTTATAATTCCTTCTTTTCTAGTCCCATGTTAAAAGTACCAAGGAACAGAATTCTTGGGATGTATCCTCCATCTGGGGCAAACTTCGGGTCCTCTGGCTCGTCATCGTCTTCCACGTTGACCATGACGAATTTGCGCGAGAGAATAATAAGGTCATCAGTTTTTGCCGAACTCTTGAGCTCACGCTTCAGGGCTAAATAGGTAATAGTCATTCATCCATTTGTTTTTGGCAAGTTACATTTGCAAGCTCCGCACCAGGTCTTGTGGATCAAGAAGAAGATCGGCTTGTTGAGATCCTTGGCTATTCCGATAGCCTTATCGAATTCAACCCATTCAATAGCAGTTGGGTACCCTAAACTTCCTTATTACTTTTTGATTAAAACTTGAAAGATACCGTTCGAAAGATCCTTCACATCTTCTTTTGTCTCCTTCTTTGCGAGAATCGCCACTGCCACCAGAGATAAGAGAAGGATCTTCATCTTCTGAAAGAAACAATTTATTGAAAACAGAAGCGAAACGTATAGATAGAAGTGAATTGGAGAAGGAAGTTTTCGCGGATAGAAGTGGGTCGGGGAGGGGCAAGGCAGCGAAGGTCACTCTACGCCACCTCTTTTCCTCCAGCGTGGACTGTTCTCAAATCATCGGAACTGTTCGGCGGGAGAATGACTTGGATATAGGGGCGCTACGTAGACGAATGTGGAACTAAATGCAAATTTGTGTGTATGCATAATCACTAATTATTACTCTACTTCACTGTAGTTTAAATTGAGAAGAAATCAGTCAATCCGATAAATGATTGCTAAACATTTGAACTCCCAAGACTTTGAAACTAGAAAGTTGAAACAGATGGGTTCGAAACTTCCTCAATCTCATACTCATACACTTCAATTCCATTTCTCTCTCAAGAAGTGTATAAACAATTGGTTCTTGATGTGGTTCAGATGCAAAAATGCTGAACCAAACACAAAGCGCACGCAGTATTCATGTGAACAAATTATCAGGAAACGCTGACTATGCGAACAATGTTGACGCCATAAATGCGGTCACAACGTGTTGCATTGTGGTACTGTCTGAACTGAGTGTGCACAGCAGAGCACCTATTTGAGTAAACAATTCGTTGCGTTCCGCCTTTTGCCCGAAAAAGTTGTCAATTGATAGGCGATCTTGGTGTTGACCGTATTGAGTTGCTTCTCTCTCCCGACATGACGATCAGGCGATCATCAATCTTTTCTTTTTTGCAGCGAAAACATCCGCGGTTTCGAAAACTGGGACAATCCCGAGAGAAAGGCGACGAGAATTCAGAAAAGGAACACAGACGACAAGAAGAACAACAATAGCATTGTCTGGGGATTGCAAACCAAACGATTTTTAGTTAAACTCGATTCTTTTTCGTGCTGAGCTTAGCTTGCAAAAGTTCTCGTGTGAGAGGTGTGATTTCTGGTGCTAAATGCTCGGCATGATGTGTCACAATGGAAGCCACCTCCGGAGAAAAGAGCAAAAAAAAGAGATGAGATAGCGGGGGCAAGTGAGTTGGATTTCAACTGTTACACATCAAAAAGCCGTCCAAAAAACTCAAACCAAATTCAGACTTCATAGTTCGCTTTGCATTATTCGATAACAACTGCATTCTTGCATAAAACACCGCTTAAAGATTGTTCTTCTACGGAAAACTCCTCAAATATTGTTTGTTTGCAAAGTTAATCAAAAATTGAATTCAAAAATCCGCGAAACTGATAACTGGAAAGTTCTGTCAACATTATTATCTCCACTTCATTTGATAATGCATGTCTACAACGTTCTTTTCCAGTTTCCTAGCGGGCAGATCTTTCACTTACTGCGCAGTTTTCGCGTGGTGCGCACACCAAACGCGACGCCAGTTTGCGGACTGCTCAGCAGCAGAGTGTCCCCTCCGCATGGGTACACTCGCTGCCAGGCGGTCGGTCACGTGTCATCGCACAGTCATCGACCATTGGCAACCCTCCGTGCCGGCCTTGGGTTTTCTCGTCGTCGTGGGTGTTCTGCCGGTTTGCGGAATCCATTTTCCCATTATTTTTCAAGATCACTTTTTATCATTTGCGCAGTTTTCGACTTTTTCGACTTTTACTTGATAGAAAACACGTTGCCGATCATTGAAATCGCTTTTTTCTATAGAATAAGGCCACGTGTTCTAGCGAGTTGAAGCATCATTGCGAAATGTCTCAGCTCATGCAAATGCGGGTCAGCGTACGCTCGTTTTACGGTGCAAAACGTGTAAAACGAACGGCGGAACGTGTCCCGCGCGGCGATATATTCAAATCGGTCCGTGCAATCGCGCCCCCCTGCACAACCATTACGAACACTGCTTGTTCGCCGTTCGCAGTAATGGATTTGTATCCTTTCCGTTCCACTCTTCTCTCGTTTTGTTTTGTGGCAACTACGTAAATAGAATGTGAAAACAGAGAAGAAGAAACGGCAAATTACCGTTTCCCGTTGTCCCGGCGTGCCATTCGCCGTTCATTTTTTTCCGCTTTTCTTGTTGCGTGTGCTGCTGTCCCCCGCCAGTTTCAAAGACCAACTGCATGTTTCTGTCATTACAGCAAGAGCGAGGGGAACAACTGTCGGTTCCAACCTACTCGTTCCACTCGAAGACCAACTGATAGACCTCTCCTTTCACATCAGCATGACGTAATTCTTATGGCTAGTGCGGTGATCATGCGGAGTGCCAAAAAAACTATAGTCCGGCGGCAGCTTTTTGAGGCGATTACCATCACGAGAGTGTTTTCTCTTCCACGAAATCCGTGAGACTGGGCAATTTATAATCCCTACTTCGCATGTGAACGAGCCATTGACAAGACTCTTTCACCGGTGAAAAACGACACAATTTCTCTCATCTCTTTTTTTCCCCGTTGCACTTTCTTTCACCTCGCGTCAAGTTCAAGTGTTTCCATTTCTCTCTTATCAAACACATCTCGTGTGTTTTTTTAGAGTGTCACTCATTCTTCGGTCTACATTTCCTCCCCCCTTTTCTATTTTCCGTTTCGCCATATCCTGCTCCGTAACTTATCACGAAAACGTTGCATTCTTTTATTGAAATAGTGACCACAGAGTATTTCTCAATTTTTCAGAGTCAGCCCAAGCGTCGGAGTACTGAGAGAAGAAAGTTGTCGGCATGCTTGGACTCGAGCATTTGCTCTTTGTGTTGACCACATTTGCCTTTCCACCAGTGGCGCTCACCGTTCTGCTATGCATCATTCTCGCGACGTTCGGAAAATCTCTGGGATTGCGGCAGATGTACGTGGACGCACTCATCCATACTTTTGAGGTAAGCTAACCTTATATGATAAACATCCTTTTGCAAACCCGTGTTAGACAATAACATAATATCCTATCTCTTCTTTCATAGTCTTCTTACTTGATGTTTTCTTTTATCGCCGTCGGAAAGATGGTCTGATGGTAAGATTCGTGTTGATAACACGAGTTGACTGTGAACCTAAACTGCGTTTTATTATGTGTTTGTTGCCAAAAAAGGAAGTTATTTTTCAGTGGGGAGCCCGTCAAATCAAAACGACCGAGCAGATCAAACGAAAAGAGAGCACTGTGATTCCGGTATTCCTTGACAACAGCAATCTTGAAGACGATCAGGAAGAGGAGCAGTACGGCGAGGAAATAGATCGGGAAGACACGGCCAGCACCGAAACGCCTGGATTCGAAGCCAGTGACGTGTACACGGAAGATGAAGTGGACGGTCGGAGCGTTATCGGATCGGACACCGATAGCCATGACTCTGGAGAGGACATTCCGTTGGCCGACTCGGATTATGGCGATGAGTCGTGCTTGAAGAGAAAGTTTGGATCAACTACGAGTGAGTCGAGAGTTCCGATCACTCCGTGGGCATGTCGCTTCTTTCGTTGCATGCCCCTTTATTTGTGTTGTCAGGCAGGGAACTTCATTTTCAGGTCTCGCCTCGGCCGGATCAATTTGCAGTCTGCGGAATCGAAAGTTGTCGGAGAGCAGCACATGTATGTTGTGGTAAACTTCTACTAGCGGGTAGACCACGGGGTGTAAACTAGTGCATCGGTTAGTCTCCGTTTGGCTGCCAGATGAGATGCTTTTTGTTATGACACAACGTCCTCGGTTAGTTCTTTCTTTCTTGATTCGGAATCATTTTGATTTTTGGTGGTCGACCAGTTCTTAAGCAAGTTGTCATTCGATTAACGAGGGAATGACCAATCTTTTCAGTGGGAATCATCAAACGAGAGACACAAATCTGCCTCGACGACAACTTTTCTGAGGACATTCCTGATGAGGTGTTCGTCAGAAGTCGAGGATGGGCTGCAATCCGGGACTCTGTCGATTTCGTCAAGGCTGGCATGGAAGCAATTATTGAGGATGAGGTGACAAGCCGATTTGAAGCAGAACAGTTGATGAGCTGGAACATGTTGACCAGAACCAGTATCAAATTTTATCAGTTTGTCAAGTCAGTTGCAAACCCGTTTGGTGATCGGTCACTAAGTGATTTGTTTTCAGCTGGAAGTTGAGTGCTCTCTGGATCCTCGGGTTTCTGTTCCGTTACTGTGTCATGTTGCCGCTCCGTTTCACCATCTTCGGCATCGGACTGATTTTCCTGGTCAGTTCGACAGCGCTAATCGGATTGGTGCCGGTCGCAAGTTGGAAAAAGTGAGTGACACTTTGGAGTAATAGTAGCTGAGCCTCATTTTCAGGAAACTGAACCACAAGTGTATGCTTATTTGTTATCGCATTCTCTCGAGAAGTATCACCGCTGTGGTCTACTTTCACGACGAACACTACAAAGCGGAACGGCAGGGAATCTGTGTGGCCAATCACACTTCGCCGATCGACGCGCTTGTCTTGTCCATCGACAATGTGTACGCCCTTATCGGACAGAAGCATTCCGGTATGCAATCGGGGGCCGCGAAGCGAAAGACAACACGCATGTTTCAGGTCTCCTCGGTGTCATTCAAAGAGCTCTGTCACGCGCGTCGAGTCACATTTGGTTTGAGAGAAGCGAGGCAAAGGATCGATCGGTGGTGGCTCAGCGACTCAGGGACCACTGCAATGACCCGGAGAAGCTGCCGATTTTGATTTTCCCGGAAGGAACATGCATCAACAACACTTCTGTCATGATGTTCAAAAAAGGATCGTTCGAGGTTAGAATGAAACCAGTTTAGAAACAGTTCACGTGAAATTTATTTCTCTTCAGATTGAGACTACCATCTACCCAATTGCAATGAAGTACGACTCCCGATTTGGTGACGCCTTCTGGAACAGCACGGAGCAATCGTGGTTTGGATATATCATGCGAATGATGACGTCATGGGCTATCATCTGCAATGTCTATTACTTGCCTCCAATGACTAAGAGAGAAGGCGAAGAGGCCGTCGATTTTGCCAACCGTGTCAAGAAGGAAATTGCCAACAGAGGTGGACTTGTTGATTTGGAATGGGACGGAGGTCTGAAAAGAGCAAAAGTGCCTCCAAAAATGGTCGCCAAACAGCAGGAGAGGTAAATATATTAAGAGGCGATTGATTTCTGTTCAAAACAAATTCAAATTCAGATACGCCAACCGCCTTTCGAGATACACTTCAGTTTCTGATGCTCTCAAGAACGAGGATTTGGACGGAGAAGTTGATTGTAAGTGTATTGGATAAGCCATCCTCAAGTAATGTTCTTATTTTTAGTGGGCAAACCAGTTTCTGGCTACAACTCGCTTGAGGACCTCCCGGAAGACGTATTTGTCGAGGAAGAGGAAGAGGAAACCTTCGGTATCACATTCGCAAAGCATATCTGTTCGTAGCTTAGTCTTTCAGCTTTTGACGACGAAAACAAGGCAATCAGCAAGTCACTCACTGACAATATCGACCCGATTCCCCGTCTCAAGATCTGAGCGATGCGTCACTCTTTTCTCTCAAAGAATATCATTTTTAAATGGGGTTCAGTTTATACGGATATCATCGAGCGAGTGTATTTACAAGTATCATGTCAAATCATAACATATTTCTTCTCAAGTTGTTGATGTCTAGTTGCCTTCTCAGTTGTTTCTAGTGCCTTACTTATTCGCACGTGTGTTCCAATTCTTGTCTATGAGAACATCAAATTTGAAACAGGACAAAAGTTTTCTGGTTTGGCTTAAAATCCCAGTTTACTGATTTTTAATAACGGGTAATCGATTGGTTCCATTTGCGTTTGAATGTTGTTGAATAAAATTGAAATAAGTTTATGTTATTCGATAAGAGTGTCGAAAAAGTCCTCGAGACTGACGATCATTGTCAGGTGCAAACCAATGTGTTCGAGGGCAAACTGAAAGCAAAAATAGATTCCAGAACCCGCTACAGTTGAGCAAAGTGCGACATACATACCATACACTTTCTTTCTCGTCCCATTCGTGCCAAACCTTCGTACTCCTGAGCTATGCTGTTAGCAAGAAGTTGAGAAACTCGTTGATTTGATGGTTTGAATGCCCTCTAAACAAACGAAAAGTAAAGTTAACAGTTGCTTCACGTACCCATCCCCGCCGATTAGCGTACGTCTTCCACTGATCAGATCGAGAAGAGAAAAAGTTCTAAAATATGCAAATCAGAAGTAAGACGAGCTGTATGCCACTCACGTATACAACTTTCGGAACATTCGTGCCAAAGTACCTGCCGTAAAGTCTGTGGCAAAGCAGGGCAGTCATCACAAGTTTAGGATCTTGCTGTACTTCGTCGTCATCCGCAGCCAAAAGCACGCCTTCTTCGGGAACAAGAACCATGAAATAACGACCGCTGGGCGGCTGAACTCTTTGCTCGTTGGGGACTGTGACGCCAACTGGACCACCCATTATTTCCCGGACAACTCTAAATGAAGTGGATAAAAAACATTTTGAAAACGAAATAACGCGTAATGACTTGTTAACTTCATTTGTGTGGGTGAAAACGAGCCACGCCAGAGACACAAAAACTTCGGGACACTATAGATGGCTCATAGCTCCGAGAAGAAATTGGGTGGCCATTAGATGTAGTCCTTCAAAGGCAAACCTCCGCGATTTCTCAAAAAAGCCAATGTTCATTTCTCCAAGAATACTGCTCCTCCTTGAAAAATTGACCGTTTCTTCATAAAAACGAAACGAGGCGAGCGTGCCTGTCACAAAATTTCACTGAAAATTGATGCGTCCCATTCATTTTTTTAACCCCCCCCCCCATCAATTGTTGACATGCGGAAGCTTAAACATAGGACACATTAATCAGGATTTCCATATCCTAACAGTATCATTTTGTATAGTTTCAAAAGACATTATCAAAAACAGTCTTTCTTTGTGTATAAAAGTCAAAACGGTCAGGAACGGAACGCTTTATATTGTGTTTCTCCTCCATTTTCCCCATAAACGTTCATTTTTGTATATTTTTATGAAGCATCGGCCGGCCCGCGAATCGTTTTGTTCGTCCTCCTTGTACGGCCGTAAGAAACATTTCACATTTCCTTTCTGTTTTCTCGTTCGTCCTGTTCCTTTTTGCCTACGTGGTTTTATATTTTCTGTCAAAAAAGTAAATTACGCGGTACTCAGTGAAACGCCGTTCCATCAGGAGATGGACCTTTTCATTTTCACGCCGTGACAGGTCACCCAGCATCCATTTGATTTATTTGACGTTTCCTTTTGATTGCTCACACTTTCCACCAAAAATGAGCGTTCTCGACTCGATAGTTAGAAAAAAACTACTGTAAATAAGAACTTGCAACCGTTTTCAAATATTCTATAGATTTTCAGCAGATTTCAACTAGTTGCCACGTTCAATCAACATGACTGAACACATTGGTTGCTACTCTTGTTTTATCCGTCACCTGGAAAGTTCCGCAAACCTGTTCGGCTACACCCTTCGTCCAATCTGTCAATTTCAGACAAACTTGTCCCCTGAGTATCACGTAAATTCTTATGTACTTTTTGCCGTTCCTGACATATTTTTCAGTTGTTCTTCCGATCGCTCACTGTCGAGTGCCACACAAAGATTGAGCGGCGTGTTTGGGTAATCAGTCAGAGTTCCGGCGGCTCTAGAACAAGTCATTGCAGGAAAGTCTGCAACTCGACCGCATCACATATGAGACCACTCTTCGCGCACTCACTCAAGAGCTCGATAAGCTGATGCAAGTGGGAGTACTGCCACAGACCGCGGTGAGAGTAATCGCATTGTTAATCACGAAACAAAACATTATCAGGACGGCACCCGGAGAGTGATAACTTTGATGAGTGGCATCAAGAATCTCATCCTCTTCCTCAACAGCATCAAAGATGATTGAAGTCTTGTTCTAAGTTCCGATATGTATCTTTTTCTTTTTATCTAACCGAGGTCGTTGTACGATTACTTTATGGGATGGTTTTTCAAACGTTAATATAAACTTTTTTGAACCTGGAAATAACTTTCAATGCCCGTAGATATCATCAAAGACAGTTCCTATGAGAAAACAATAGCAGATGAATGATCGCATTAAAATATGTATTTTGCCTACGGAAAAAAAATGACGGTCCAATTGGTTTGAAGATTATAACGAACGCAATGTGGAATAGTTTGATGCAATATTCTTTTATTGTTAACCTTAGAAAGTAACCCAAACACCTTGATGATTCGTTTGCCAATTTTTCAGCATTATCTACTTTGCGGCGCAAGATTATGAAGGAATTTTTTCTCTATTTTCTCCGATGAAAATCGTTTTATTCACATATTTTTGTGATCAGTTTGAGTTAAAATTAATCCAGAGTATTTGCATAATTCAGATCTGTGCATGTGAAAATGTTCAAAGGAGAATGAACAAAATTAATGACGAAAAAAATGAACAATATCTTAGCCGTGAGTGTTGTATCTGAGAACATTCACCAGCGCATTGCGAGTAAATAGATTAGAAATGGAGCGCGGACACATTCCTTCCTGCGCAGCAAATAATTGGGGAAAAGGGTGGAAACCGAACACATTGGTCATTTAGCTTCTTTAGTTTCTATTTTTCCAGAATGTAATCATATTCTCTGTTTTCTTACTTTCAGATATCTTTTCTGTTCTGTGTCTTATTCTTCGACATCTAGTACTACATCCAGTTAAAAAAACACAGGCTATGAAATCTCTGCAGCAAAAACTGTTTTCGGCGCTTGAAGAGCTGGCAATTCTCATACTATTTTCATAACTGCGCAATTGGAAATTATCACGGATAACGATTGGAAACCTACGCATCGAACAATAGTCAAAAAGGGTAGATTGAGAAAATGAGGAGAAGAAATGGGCGAACTGATTACGTGAATTGTCATTTGCTCGTTCGATTGGCACCTTAGTGGGAATCAGGTACCAAGAAGAAATGGAACATACTACGGGCGGGGCGGAATGGGTGGTGCAAAGGTTTGAATGAACGTTACGAAAACGAGGAACAAACGGTGCCATAGCAAAATGAACGGTATTATTGACTGAATGAGCGGAACCATGTCGGAATGAGCGGTACCCTAACAGAATTCAACCACACATCCTCATCAGCTGGAAAGCGAAAGTTTCAAAATAGACTCAAATTCCAGTTCTCAATTTGAATTATTCAGTGGTTATCATGCGTCGCGGGCATATATCACAAAGGCCCGTTAATAAAATATTAAACTATTCGAATATGGGAAAGTGCGAGATTCGCACTCAATCAAGAGAAGGAGTGAATTGTTTTTTCTCGCTGTGTTTTTTCTCCCAACTCTTTTCATTGTTCTTGATTGAATTTGTTTCTCACTTGACATTAAATGGAAATTGCAATTTCTATTCTGTTCAGATCATTTTATTTTATGAAACAGCGTAGCTCTCCTCCGATTTTCCCGTTCTCTCTAGCCACATAAATTATTGCACCTCTGCAACGGAACGCAATTGTTTATGTTCAAATTGCGCTCGCTTCAAACGCTTCTCTACACCGACAGCAGCTGCATTTTTATAAAAAAATTAAAGTGTGTGCGCCAGATGGTCATACACTGCGGTGGAAGAGCTGGTTTCTGTGGCTGTCTTTCAACTGGAGACAAAATTTGGGAGCTGTAGTCACTTGTTTTTAAATGATTTGATTATTAAATTGCATATTTTCAGCACTCGTCTTCAACCATCTGAACAATTCTCAGTCACACATAATTGTGATTGTGTCACTGGTTTTGTTCGGGTGAACTGAAGTCTAGAGTCATTTCTTCTGCGTTTGTTTTGTACGAAAAGATCTGCCAATGCATCTCATTTCCTTTGAGGTCCTCCTATTTCCTTCATTTCAAACGCGAAGAGCGTATCGCACCCATACGTATTCAGCCTGCTCTTTTCTTTCGCCCTCTTCAAATTGACAACCTTCTCCGGACGCATCTGCCTGTTCGCCTCATGAAGCCCGTCTCATCTGCTGCACAAGCCCCCAAATGAAATGAGACGTCTTTTTAGTTGTCCTTTGATGTGACGCCCTTCGCCCCCCCCCCTTCATTTGAAGCCAAAGCCACATCTCGTTTTATTCTTCACTTCTTCTATTTGCATTCGCAGCTGCATTTCGGTTCTGTGGCTCCGTTAGCTCAGAATTTTCGACTTACACAATGCGAATAATTCTGTAAGTGAAGGTCCTGAGTTAACGGTGTTGACAGGAAACCTTTCAAATGTTCAATAGTCCAGTGTAAGTGTGCTTTTTTTTCTAGCCATCTACATCTATTATTCAACCACGGAACCTGATGGAAATGGAAAATGTTGCATGAACTACACTATCTCTAATTGTTGTGAATGACAGAGTAGTAAAAACTTTATAAATGAAGTTAAATTAAGAAAAAGATAAATTCAAGAAACCAAAAGGATTCTTCCGTTGCGGGGAATCGAACCCCGGCCTTATGGGTGAGAGCCATAAATCCTAACCACTAGACCACAACGGAGACAGCAGCGAGAGAAATAAATGGATGTAAAGTGACAGCAGTCGGACGCCTGAGCGATCGGGAAGTTGCCCGCGGCAGCCGTGTTGTCAACCCAGAAAGCTGCCGATGTTAGTGTGCGTTCGTGGTGTAATGGTCAGCATGGATGCCTTCCAAGCATTCGACGGGGGTTCGATTCCCCCCGAACGCAGAAATCTTTTGTTTTCTCAGAGCAAGTGGATACTATTTCTTACTATTTCTTACTGTTTAACATAATTCTGGCTAATGAACACATGAGCCCACGTTTGGTTTTCAAAAAAAGTGGTAATTGCACCGGATAACATCATGTTTTGACAATATCAGCTTTTCCTATACATTAAAGATGCAATGATTTACTGTTTTCTGTTATTTCTCGCAGATTGTGCACACTTTCAAAAGAATTTCAGTCAAAAGTCATAAACAAGGCCAGGCAGGATTGACTTCTGTTCATTAAGTTTCTACACTGTTGACCTTGTTGTTATCAAACGTTCACCTATTTTCGCTAATTAGAGTATCCTCCCAAACTAGTAACGCTCAAAAAGTCCTGTGACAAAGTATATCTTTGTCGCACAGAGAAAGGTTGAGGTTGCTAGCGATTGAGAAGAAAATCGGCAGATTGGAGTAGACAGCAGTGACTTCTCGATAGCAACTGAGGGGAATGACACGGAAAATGAGAGATACGCCATACGCAGGGTATCGTGTGGCTTCCCAGGTCGCGATAATAGCTGATAACGGTTGGTGTTTGATTGATATGCAATGTTCTTTTTTATAGCAAACTTGAGATGATCTTTGACGTAATCACACGCATGGCTTAATCTCATGTCGGCTTCAACTCGTGACGCACAGGAAGTAGGGGATTCCGCGCGAAAAGAAGCAAACAAGGGATTACCGATCATCTTGAGCTCACTGTGGTTTGTTACTCGTGCTGAAACTGAAAAATGTCACATGTGAGAAGGAAAAGAAGTTGTTTGATGTTTTAATGAAGCCGCTGTGAGATGTATTGGTATCCAAAAGTGCAAGAAAATTTGGATGGGTTTTCACGTAGCATAGACGAGAAATTGGGGCGACCCACCAAACTTTCTACTCCCGGGAATTTTTTCAGAACTTTCCAAATAGGTCACATCAGGCACTTCCTTTTGTACTTTTTCACCAAACACGTACACGATCACATGTACACTTTTTCTGCCAGATTCCATCGGTTTACAACTCGTTTTTTTTACATTTCATTTTCTGAAAGCAAATCTGATTTGACCTTACGACATCACAGAATCGATTCAACGAGCAATAACTTTCCAAAAATAAACGCATAACAAGTGAATAAAATTAATTAAGAAGAGGTATTTGATGATGTGGCATGTCCAGTCATTTCAATTTTCTGGCGAGATCAACGTTTGAACCGGTAGAGACGCCAACTGGATTGTGAAGATTTCTGAAACGAAACATGTTTTTTTCTCAAGTTCTCTAACTTATTTGAAATGTAAATGAGCGAAAAGAAAAATTCTTTTTGATATTGTTGTTGCTCAAATCTCCCGTGACCACATCAATAATTTTCGAGTGACAATCTCACAAAGGTTCAAAATGATGGAATTGATAAAACATTGAATCAAACGATTTCTAGATTTTTTTCAGCGGTTCTTTCAAACTCCGTATCAGCCAAACATGCGAATCGCTACGCAGTGGCGAAAACATTTGAGTCAGATAGCGTTTGGAACCCCATGAATCTCACTTTCATTCAACTCACTTTTAGCTAGACGGTACTAATTGTGCAGACAGTTTATTTGGCCAACTCTTGCGGACGAGAGACGTCGAACTTCCGTGAGCACTTTCCACAGCAACGCTTTCTCTTCTTCCGCCTTGGCTTAGTTTCCACTTCAGACCATTCGGATTCGTCCATTCTCTGGCTCTGACAGAGGAATCGGTCCTCGGCTTTCACTCTGATCTCTCTTTTCCTGATCTTCCAGATAACTTGATGCGGATTTCTGGGGAACGTTCCCTGAATCTTTTTCTGTGATTTTGTCGTGTGGAATCCGACCAAGCGAGAGAATTGGTAACTGGTTTCTGAAACAGGTGTCTCTCAGGCTTCTTCTTTCTCAAAAATTGATGTAACTCACTTTTATTCGCACTTTCGCACTTTCTTTTTCTAGTCTTCAAGCTTGAAACCCGATAGTGTTCGGGTTCCAGGGTAACTCCCATCGTTTTTCTCCTCTTATCTCTTAGTTTACGTTCGTCCTCGGAATCTTGCTCATCATCCGCCTCAACTCCTTCATCAATTGACACTTTTTTCAGATGAAATCGCAATTTTTCCAATGATTCCATGTACACATAGTTTCCTCCGTCCTGTTCAGTTGCACTGTTACGGATTGCATCAGATGTCGTCATGTTTCCTGAAATAATAAACGTTTTCGTATTTTCGACGCGCCAGAGAGAGGCAGTAACAAAAATTGAGCACTTGCAGCATATAAAGCAACTGATCAGCAAGAAAAACGTTTCCAACACGGGTAATTTGGTGATGTATTTCACGCGGAAGAAACAGTTGCAAATCAATACGCGAGAAAAGGGGGAAATTGCTGCGGACAGCAAGAGAGAGAGAGAGAGCGAATGAAAAAGAGGGACGAGACATATCGATCGTCTCAAGCTGTTGCCTTTCACATGCGTGCTCTCCTTACATGCGGAAGAAAGGAAAAGTTAAGGGAAAAACCAATATAAAAAAGAAAATAACAAAAAGACAACAAAACAATGATGTGTCATCGTTTTTTGGGGAAAGTAGCACATTAATGTTTGTGGCTCTTTGACACAATCTACTGTTTAAGAATTTTTTATAAATTTTTTTATTGAGGGAACACAAATGTCTCCTGTATCAAAATCATTTAATTGGACTGTTTCTTATCGCTCCAAGTGGCGCTAGTTGATTGCGTGGAAAAATGAATAAACAACGATTTCGTACAGAATGTGCTCTTTTCAACTCACTGGGCGTCTGCTGCTTTCTGGTCTGAACTGGAACTGTGAGCTAAGAGCTAGATAGTCTGATTGAAGTTTCTAGAATTTTCGGGTCACTTCCGAACGGCAGATAAAATAGAGAGTTATGGAAATAAGGTACTTTGTCTAATTAGTCGGCGGGCTCCCGGAGGAAGCCCCCGTTTCCGTTCTTCTCCGCGTGGAGGAACAAAAATGGGTTCGACATGTCACTGCGTGACTTTGTCGGAGAGAGAGAGAGAAAGAGATACGGTATGAGCTACCAAACAAGAGCAGGATAAATAGTGAATAGTGAAATAGTGAAGAAGGGCTGGACTATTTTTCTGAAACACGACATGGCCACCTGCACCTAAGATTGTTTCTTTTCAGCCTACCAGCCAGTGGTGTTTAGCATCCCGGTCGGCCGATTGATTTAGAATCCTTCGACGGAACCGATATCATTTATCATAATTCCATTCTATTCAGGCGAACGGAAGCGACAACGGAAGACGTTTCAAAAGTCTTGTTTTTATTAAAGGAGGCATTTCACTAGAAAATCTAGTGTGTGAGATATAAATACTTTTTTTTATACTTTTCGAGTGGCAAGCATTCAACACAGAGTCGATAGTCCGATCGGTCTGTAACTTGGACCCAATATACAGGGTGCGCAAAAAATATGGTAACACATTCAAGGTGATGTAATCTTTGCAAAAATACTCGAACCAACATGAAAATTCAATTATAATTTATTGAAACCACTATAAACGAAAAAATATTAAAGTTGTTCGATGCGGTCGCCTTTGTTCTTGACAACATCCTTGAGTCTCTTCGGGAACGCCTCTACTGTGGCACGGAGGTATTCTGGAGATAGCTTGGCTCATTCTGCCTCCAAACTTGGGATGAGGATGTGCTTGAACACCTTTGACTGAACAACTCATACAAAATAGTGAGCAACTATCGCTCGTAAGCAAAGTGCTCAGCGAGCTCAAAAATCACTTCGGAATGGCCAACAAGTATATTGCCGAGTTTGTGATAGAAACTGGCCCGACTTTTGCCAAATTTAAAAAAGAAAAGCAGAATCAAGGACGACGACGACATCAAATTTTTTGATTTTTTTTTGTGAAATTTTTTTTGAGTCTGTTTGAATTGTCTCCTATTGCCTCATACACTGGTGAAATGCTGCCTCTCAAAAATGCCAATGAACGAAACGGCGTGCAGTTGAAGTTGTGGCCGTGGCCTAGCGCTAATGGCCTAGAAATATGCGCTTCTCGGCCATTTTATTTTTTCCGCTTTTTTACCGGTTTTTCTTCCAAAAATTAACGGTTTCTCCCATTTTTCAGTTGATTGACATTTGTTCGGCATTTTTTCACTGCTAAAAAATTGTTTTCACTCAGTCGATACGAAGTCGCGAGTTTTTCGATTTTATCGCGAAAAAACCGGTAAAAAAGCGGGAAAAATAAAATGGCCTTGAAGCGCATATTTCTAGGCCATTGGCGCTAGGCCACGGCCACAACTTCAACTGCATTGGCATTTTTGAGAGGCAGCATTTCACCAGTGTATGAGACAATAAGAGACAATTCAAACAGACACAAAAACATTTCACAAAAAAATCAAAAAATTTTTGGGTTCCCTGGTCCTTTAAGTAGTATCGAAATATCGCGGTTTTGTAAAGGCAGGGGGGGGGGAGCCTTCTTGATCCGAGAGTTACAAAAAATGTCTGTTTTGTCTAGTAGCACAAATTGTTTTTCACAGTCTCCTTACTTTATGTTTACGTTTTATTTTCAAAGTAGGTTTCCAACTGATTTCAGTTATGATTGACAGTGTCTACCAAAGTTATAAAGATGTAATCCCATGCGTTTCCCAAACGCTCTCACTTATCCATGTTTGTTCATTTTTGTTCGGTCGCAGTTGCCTCAATACCGCTATTAGGGGGCAATATATATGAGAGGTCAGTGATGTGCTGCCATTCTTGCGCGACGGCTCGCGCAATGAGGTGTTTTTGTGTACGCCAACGATTACACCACATAAATCAATCCAACAGCCATTTAGATAGATGCACCGTTTTTCTTGACGATTGGTCTAGAAAAACTGCATTTTTTTAAATGCTTGTATTCTCTGGTAGACTAATTTTCGACTTCATCTCCCTCGTTCTTCTTTTCGATTGCTTTTTGTACAGTTGTAGTTTCTCCTAACGAGATAATTTCAGAAAAGTATGAATCCGACAAATCCCAACTCGCTTCCAATCGGGATCCTGTCTCCGCAAGAAATCCTCGTGTTGTTGGAACAACAACTACAGTAAGTTTCATTGCATCATTAGTGTGAACCTATTTTACTTTTTTTCAGACCTGATTTCTTACAAGCTTGGATTCAGACTCAGATGATGCTACCTACCACATACCCTCACTTGACTCTTCCTGCTTCGCTTGAAACAATCAACACATCGGAAAACGTGAGCAACAGTGAAGGGCGAGACTCGGGCAATGGTACCCTGACTCCTCACGAATCGAATCCTTCTCGGTGAGTGTTCATCAGTTTTGCACAGAAAACTATAGTGAACTTACAGGCCAACCAGTGCCGCAGCGCTTCTGCAAACTCTTGCCACATCAGTAGTTCCACCCTATGCCTTGATAAACGAGATTCCAAGCCACGAATCTCCGTCTGATTTCTTGGAGTCCGGCTCGCCTGTACATGAATGTATTGTTTGTGGACTGCCATCGAAAGGTTTCAACTACGGAGTTCGCAGCTGTGATGGATGCAAGTCTTTCTTTTCACGGTGTCTGGAGAAACCGGTCAATAAAGAGTGCATGCGAGGAGTCGAGTGCATTGTAAGTGACGCAATGCGTGAGCTCATACATTTATAACACAAAATGTTTTTAGATCTACGAAAAAAACTCCACGGCCACGAGATTCCAAAAAAGATGCCAAGCCTGTCGTTACAGAAGATGTATCGATATGGGAATGAGAAGGGAACGAACTAAAAACAAAGTGACCGGAAAAATGGTCACCATCGTAGCGCGAGAACAGGAACGCACGTATGTTTTAATCTGATGTCGTCCTAGTTCATTATCTTGCTTACAGAAGTGTTCCCCCAACCATGCTGACGCAGGGCCAGATATCTCAGATGACTCAGAAGTCACTTGACCCTTTTGTTAAAATGGCGTCTTCCAATGGAAGTGAATTGAGTGATTCTGAAACTGACACACTGGATCCCCGTGAACCGAATTCTTCTCGGTTAGTGTTCCCTTGTTTTTTACATACAACTATAACCCATTCACAGCCTGACGAGCGCAGAACTGCTCCCGCACACCAGTGACCTTTCGATGACATCCGTCACTTCTCTATCTACATTGGTCGACGCGAGTGCAAGAGGCGCACTGATATCTCCGAGTTTTCCGAAGAACAATCTGCTCGGCACAAATTGCGTTGTATGTAACGAACCAGAATCTCGTGCTCACTGGGGGGCACGGACGTGTAGTGCTTGCGGATCCTTCTTCCGGCGTTGCGTTGAAAACAATTTCAATAAAGTGCTTACGAAAAAACATAAATGCGGCGTAAGTGTAATCCGTAATTTTATCACTAATCAACACCAGATATTTTCAGGTCTTCAACGGAATTATGTCGGGGTACAAGAATCCCCTAAGAGAGTGCGAGCCGTGTCGATTCCAAAAATGTCTGGACGTCGGAATGCGAGATGGACGCGTCTTGAAACCGAAACCTGCGTCTGGAATCACTGAAATCGTTCCTGATCAGTGAAATCTTGTATTTTGAAATTCATGTTTGATTTTATCTCTACTCTTCACTGAAAACGTAAACATTTAATTATAAGGAAATTATATCGCTCCGTTAATTGCTCATTAACCTCTAAAAATTCAATCAGTTTTCCTTTATACATTTTTCATAATTTTGTTGTCATTTGACCGTGGACACCAGGTTTCTTCTTCAGTAGTGTTTAGCTGATTGGAACTCATTACCCGCCCGACAATCAATTTTGTTTTTTTCTGGTCTTCAAAATGTATACCTCGTTTCAATCGTTTTTTCTCGTACTGTTGTATTGTTTCTCTTGTCAGAATACGTTCAGTTTGAAACATAAATCCGGCAGATAATAATTGTAATCCGGAAGATTGGAGAAATTTTCATCATCCCAACTCCAACTTAATGCCCGCCACGGTTACACAAAACCAACCGTATGTTTCGAACTGATAGCAGTCTATTCAACTTGTTTTTTTTTTCAGATTTGATTTCTCCTACATATGGACGCACAATACCCAACGAGATAATGTACACTCCGCTGCTCCGTTCGCGACTAACAACCAACCACTGGAACTCAGCAGCTATGGAGGGAGAGACTCGGGCACTGGAACCCCGACTCCTCGCAAAACCTATTTTTCTCTGTGAGTGTTCACTTGTGTTGCTCATACAATAGTACATTTAAGGCATTGCTTCCTCAGATTCTTCCCTCGGTAACTTCCAAGTCTACTACATTCGACGACTGTTTTGTCTGTGGACGACCATCGCCCACTCAACATTGCGTCAGTTGGATCCGACTTTTGACCGAATGAAGTAATATGCCCGAGCAGATCCTCTGAAACACCGCAATCATACTTCGGTGAATAAGTACTGCAAATCCTGTCGTTACCAAATTCGTCTGGATGTGGGAATCAAGGAAAGAGAGAATAATACTGACAAGTTCAAAACCGTATGTTTCATGTTGATATCATTCTGTTCACTATCATGCTTCCAGAAGTTCTTCCTCCACCATGACGCACAATCAGATTGGCCAGATGATTCCTGCTATATATATCGCTTTATTCGTCGGCTCCTTTAGAAACATGGAACAACTATGGAGGGAAAGAGTGGGGATCTGGGACACTGTCTTCAAACGAACAAGCGAACTATTTCTCATCACTGTAATCCATTCGCGTTGCTAGAACTCTTTGATAAATCTTTAGATTACCCTCAGTCACTTATGAAGATCATGTGTACCGGAGAAATCAGAAGAACACTAATAATGAGACGGATCAACGATTTCGTTTTCTAAAATACCCACTGAATGCGGAAATGATTGCTCATTGTCATTCCAGTCAACCGTGAAATGAGAGAACAATCACGTCCATTTCTGTTCGAGAAAACGCAAACACTTTTAGTTGTGTTACTTTAACAGGAAATGATTCATTCAATCGTATGGAGCTCTAGAGTTGACATCGTACAGTATCATTGTTGAAAAAAGACAGAAAAGTATAATAATGAGTGACTTGAAACAGAAGCTCTGAGAAAAGAACAACGAGATCATCCAATCATCGCTGGCGCACATCGAGTAGACCGTCTGTAAATAATTGATGTTATTTTCTGTCCTCCCAACAAACTCTTACCATTCACTTACGACCGAAGCGGAGGACACCGGGCACACTCTTCTTGAGCAAGACTCCGGCGTAGTGCTCCTCAAAATCCGATCGTTTCCCGAATCTGAAAACAAGACGTTGTTTTTGTCGGGCGTAGGCGGGTGACAACCTCAAGACGCCGGGGACGTCGCGCTTTCCGAATCGAAGAACTCCGGGAACTTCGCTACGTTTATTGAAGAGTTCGGCCATGTAATCTCTCTTTCCGAATCTCAACACTCCTGGGATCTCCCGTTTGTCCATCGGCACGTCACGTTTTCCGAAACGGAGAACTCCTAAAAAAGAAATCGTTGAGAGATTTCGATTGTCGTTCAATACTTACCTGGCACACTTTTCTTCTCGTCAAAGAAAGCGCGTTTGCCGAAGCGGAGGACTCCTGGCATCTCTTTCTTCTGGACGCTGCTCTCTCTTTTTTCCCAGACACCACCGCGCTTTCCAAAGCGCAACACACCTGGCATCGCCCCATCGAAGTCTACAAACACAACTATTTTGGGTCACTTCATTCTGTCATTGTGGTACCTCGTTTTGAGAACACCCGACCATCTTGTTTCTCGTTATTTCGAGTAGCTTCGAAATCCTCTGCAGGTGCGTCCTCTTCGACGATTTCATAGACTGCAACAATTCCCTCGTTTTCTTTTCACAATCTAATTTTGAAGGGGGGACAGTGAGACGAAAACGTTTTCTTGTTGATTGAAAATCGCCCCAAATACATCACTTTGCCAGAACGATAGCGTCATTTTCGTGTTGGTGGCGATGGACGGGTACAGAGCACCATTGAAAGAAACATGTCCCTGTGGACCGGACGTTTGCCAAAAAAAAATAAAAACTCGGCATCCCACTCAACACTATCTTTTCGCCTCAATATCTCACTTCAAACTTGTCTTGTTTCCATTTTGACGTCCCAAAATACTTTTTTTTGTGAGAAAGAAGAAGGGGCACTCCCACGAAGAGTTTGAAGGTCAACTGAGAAGATATCAAACATTGACCAAGTCCCAAAAGCGTGGGAAGTGACCGGATTAATGGGGACCACTATTTATTAATGAATCCACCAGTCTATACCGATCTGGATGCGGCATTGCGATCTCTGAACACTATGCAACGAATCGTCTTCTTCTTTCAACCCGCAATATCCTGGTTTCCCCTTTTCATTCAGAAAAAACGCCAAACTTTTCTCACCAAAACACAGACACAGGCAAACTCCCACGTGTGACGAAAATCTGAATTTGAAACGGAGTTTAAATCCGTATAATTGAATTGAGCCGCATTTATATTTTCCTTTTCTTTGTCATTCCGTTAAAGACGCGACGCACCCTCACGGACCTCCACGCGCGCGCATCAAACTCAATTAAGAGATTGGGATCAGGCGTGAAAAATGGAGAATGGATTTGCCCTACTCACTTGGTTCGGTATATGCGAGCGCTCCACGAAGTAAACAACATAGTGCAATGAGAAGAACGCCCGACCACCGTTGCATGTCTCACCCTGTAAATAAGAAAAAATACAAAAATTAACAAAATTTAAAGATTGTGAGATAGAAGTATAAAGTCTGGAAATGCAATCCCTATGGGATAGGCCTGGACATCTCATATCTTGTTAGGAACTCTCTTTCCCAGCAAAAAAACATGTCTAACTTAAGTGCCGATTTTAGTTTGCGAGGCGCGACGGAACCTTCTGAGAAGGTATGCGGAAAAAGAAACGAAAGGGAAGGCGTTTCGATTCTCCGCCTATTCCTGTTACCGTAGAAGCAATCAAGAGTGACACGCTGACATCTTGACGTAGCTCGGTGAACTGAGGCACCCGCCGAAACTTGTGTACGGGTTCGATGGGCAAGGTTCTTATTTGAAAATAGTGTCACTGGTGAGTGGCACATTTATCTAATGAGATTTGCTTGATCACATTCGTGAGCACATCGTCGGCGGGAAATTTGAAAACAGAAAGTATAAAGAGAGAGAGAGGAACAAGAGTTCATAGAAGAAATAAAGGGGAATGAATGCGAGAGAAAACATGCATGGCGAGAAATAAATGAGAAAGTTTCTTGTCAATAATGAAAGAAGAGATCCGAGAACTTTTCCCACAGACATTATTCAATTATTTGCCAACTTGTATATCTGATAGCCGAGCAGTCATATGGAGAAGAGGAAAACTTTCAAAGCTGGCTTCTCAGGGCTTTCGGCACCACTTTATATAAGGGGAGGGGTCTCCGAACGGACCATTGGGTATTGGCCCCGCCCCAACGGGTCTAAGAAACGACGTCATTCCGGAGGAGCCGAAGAAGAAACTGATGAGGCCACACGAAGACAATACAATTGTAAGCAATTGGACTTGTTGCGGGTTCAATTGGGGCTCAGGTTGACTCGATAATAAAAAGTATTCCGAGGCGCACGTTTACACGCTCCGAATCTTATTTAGGCCCTCAAATAGGTTGGCATCTACGCAATTTGAAGAAGCCCACGCGCGGAATGAGAGTAAACTACACCTACTTGAGAGATGAGTCAGGCAAATCGAACCAAAATACTGCTGAATCTACTGGAAAAACAAGTTGAAGGGCTGTTTGCATCAAAATTCAATTTTTTAGCAGAAAGGAACAGGTTCAGATTCTCGGCCGGTTGTTAGAGCGATTGAAAAGGTCTTAGCTAGATGCCAATGCACTTACCTGGAGAATTTGCGGAATAAGAATGAAAATGATTGTAATGTCAGATAAGGAGTGCGATGCAGAGCATTTTTCTATTTCAATCAAATGCGGAACAAAATTGCTGTTCCTGGCACATTGTAGACGACGGGAATAACTTGCAACCGAATTGAAAGTGTCCGCCCACATATCCCTCGGCTAATATGATTTCCCAGTTTTGAGGGCTATAATAATCCGCCTGGTGTTGAACGTCAGGTAATGTGATTCAGCCTGCTTAACGTTTTTTTTTTTGAACTTTGACACGTTTTGAACCGAACACGATGCTGACGTAAGTTTCACATAGAACAGACTTGTGTTAAGACCTTCTAAAAAAAATTAGCCTATCAGGGCTAAAATGTCACTTTTTGTTTAAAGAACAACAAAAGAGGTCACGAAGATGAAAGTTTAAGGAGGTGAAAGACTTATCCTCGATTTGACATGACACCCACGCGTCCACTTATTCAGATCAGACGTCCTTGACTAAATCATATTGTGCTCAAACATCAGAATCTTATTAACCGCAATAAGCCTATCTTTTTCCGTCGACGCACATCAACACTCTCATTTGACACGTCTGGTGAGTTTCCGGAATACCCCACACGTGAACTCCCCCTCCACGCCCGAACCATTTTACAGAATGACGTGAAAAGCAAGTAAAAATAGATGTGCGGACCAGGGAAGAACCTGTCAACACATCTCGCAGTTTTCGATGTCTTGAGAAATCGTATTAGCAAGTCACTCCGCAATTGCTTACGTAAGGGTTCGCCTACCTACATCGAAGCGTCACAATCGGATTTGTGTAGTGAAAACCAAACAGTTGGGTTAAGGGAGTAGCTTTGAAGAAAAAGAAGAGGGACTCGAACATAAATTATGAACAGGATATGGTTCTTTTGGTTCCACAAATGGCAATTATCCCGTTTGGTCGTTCTTTTTGAGATCAAAAACGGCTCGTTCTGGACGCCATAGAATTCTTAAGGGAATGGAATCATGCACTTGTCTTTGAAACCCTGACTTCTATAGAAGAAGCGTATCAAATTCCTTCCAAACATATCAAAATTGTCAGAAATGTTTTTATTTGCATGTGGTAAATCTCTTCCTTTAAGTTTAAAGAACGACCCATTAGTGGCACAGAACGTCAGAAAGCGTGCATGACGATTCTAACCACAAACCAAACATTAGATAAAGACAAACGTCCTAAAAGAAAAACGTGTTTCATGCTTGGTCGAAAACGTTTTCTGGTTGGCGCGGCTCGGCAAATCTGGATGGAAAAGTTGACAAAAAGTTGAAGTGGCAGTTGGGGACTAATTTGCAAAGAGATCCTCGAGCAAAATGCGATGCCGAAAAAGAGAGATACTTCGGAAATTCCATTTGCGAGGAGGTATGGTGGAATCGGATATTCTTTGGTCCGTGAACTCAGTTTTCCGATCAAAAAGTGTGTGAGCCGGCGAGTGACCTTTGTCACCCGAAAAGAGACTTTTTGAATAGGAAACGGATATTACGTCTTGGAATTGTGTGAAATGAACCGAATTTGGCAACCTTTTCCTTCCGCTTCTCGATTTATTTGCGGACTTATGCTTTGAGAAAAACGTTGGCGAGAAGTTCGAAACACAGATCGCTGTTCTGGTCAAATGCTAGGTAAACTGGTATGAAAAGTCGTAATTTGCTTGGCGTCGGAAAAGTTTGAATCATAATAAAAGCGAATGCGCCGAAAACAAGTTGAATTGCGAAAAAATCTTGAATGGTGCAGCGAAAGTAGACCCTAGAATTGCTATGGAAAACGACAGAGGATGCCAACAGCTGAGTGACCATGCACGAAACAATTTCCGAAACACATTTAGGGGCACCCCTAATGAAAGTATGCAAAGACGACTCCTCAAAGAGAATTGAGCTATTTAGAAAGGTCAAGTCTTCAATAACTTCATTATTTTTACCCTCTAGTTTAAAAACAAATCTTCTGCAATGTTTCAATCTTTTCTACTAACTGTATATTTTGTACCCTGCCACGTAAACAACGATGCTTTGCAATTATTTCGGCGATTGCAGTTGAAGACATTTCATTCGCATCGGTACGAATCAAATCATTCATTCCAGTTCACTGATATAAGACCACGTGAACACAAAGAAAAGACCTTGAATCGTGTTGTGTTCTCTTCTCGTCTTATCCGCAATGCGCAATGATAAACGACCTGCAACATTCTTTCTCGTGATTTCTGAACTTATCGAGAATTCGAAAATCGGAATTCGGAATTCGGAATTCGCATCTCTTTTCTTTCTAAAATAAATGTTTGAAAAAACACGTCATTCGTCTTGGTGTCAGTGGCAAACCGAGTATAATAAATTGAGGAGCACACTGGGTTATCCCCTCCCCCCCACGCAAAAACCTAAACGCTTTTTCTTTTGGGACCTCTCGTGGGTGTCGGGAGTGTTCATTGCTCTTGAACTTTGCTTGGCATTCAATCACCATCAAACCCTCGGTCCCCCAGGAAATTGTAGAAATGAAATCCAAAGGGTTTCTTTTTGTGATGGAGGGAAAGAGAGAGAGAGAGAGAGGTTGAACCTATGAACCTTGCGGTATTAAGTTTCGGCAAGGTAAAACTGATATTTGATCGTTCCATGAAAGAGTTTTTCTGCTAAACTACTCGGTTTGATCTGCCTGACCTTGCAATCGGCAACGATTTTTTGAGAATCATTCGACAAGACATCGTACGATGTTCTTCTGCAAGCGAACAAAAAGATATGGATGATGCAAACGGAAGGACCGATGTAACAACTGAGCATGTGTCGCCTCTAGGTCAACCACGTTGTCCTTCTTTCCCGTGTTTTCAGGCCCTGTTCTATGATCATTTCCTACCTGCCTTTGAGTAAGGATTGAGAAAAGGAAACAACGGCAATCAATCTTATTTCTACGTTCTATTTTGAGAAAAACTCACGTTTTCAATTTTCTTAAGAGCTTTCGGCCGCTGAAACACAACACCATTCAAAAAAGCACTGGAATCCCGTCGGAAGCTTTTTTATGTGTCATTCTCTTCATCTAGCCGCCGGTGTTTCAGAACTTGAGATGGTTCTTTCCCTGGCTCAATTGGTCAGAACAACAGAGTCCGCCATGCATTTCGCAATAGTGCGCATTCACTTTGAATGATGCAAGTGTGCCTACAAAATCCGAGGCTTTTCAGGCTCTTTTCATATTTTCTCAACACACTCTCTCAGTTTCCGAGGCTTATTACTACACGCGTTTTCGTTTTCTCCTTCCGTAAAGTATCGAAAAAAAACGGAATCCCTGCGTATGCTTTCTTCCGTTCTCTGACCTGAAATTGAAGAAAAGAAGAAGAAAAGTAAAGTGAAGCTTTGGAAATTCGAGCTCATAGAATCCAGGTTGTTGACGCGTTTTTTGCTTTCCTTCAGTAATGTAATGTGCCACCGGAAAACGGAAAATGTCTTCCATTTTCCGGCAGCTCGTCAAGAGCCTGCCTACACTCCTCCAATAACCGCCTTATCATCAATCTCGTGGGTCACCATTACATCCTGCCGTACACGCCCCGTGTAGCGGCCAACCGCCTATTTCATTCCACTAATGCATTTTCAATAACACCAAAATTTGTTTCATACGCCTTCTCTTTTCTCCTCTCTCGTCACACAAACACACACAACCTCTGATTTAGTCTCTTTTGCCGCAAGAAGACGTGCGGGAAGCAAGAAAGGAAATGTGCGCGGCTGGCGAATAGAGCACGAGCGCCCCTCAAGCTGAATATCCGCACGTACACAACTCCTCTCAATTCAATTATTCACTGTCAAATTGAGTCTTCTGACTTCTATTTCTGGACGATTTTGCTAACTCGAAAAGAAAATATCGAGTACAATCCAATCCCAATCATCTGTGACGTAGCCAAGCGAGTTGTAAATAACTTTGATTCCACTCAAATCTAAGTCCTTTATGTTTTTTTCTCGGCTTATCCTCGTAACATCTGGAGGAAGTTCTTTCTCCCTTTGTAGTGTTTCACCAAAATGATCTATGACTCGCAAAGATGAACATTCCACTGCGGATTCAATCATAAAACGTTGGCGTTTCTTGTTCCGGCTGTCATATTTCAAATCGCACTCCTCCGGCCACATGTTAGGCGGCGTAAAAAGGAAGCACTTAACTGGTTGACTCTTGCGTTGATCATTCTCTGCATTTTTCCTTCCGCTTCTGTGCGCCCGGTCGCTCGGATATGACAAGAATCAAGATGATAGGAGGACTGATTGGTTGGCCTCGCCGGTTCACAACTGCTCCCCGCGTGTCACTTACACATACACTCACTTTGTTTCATCTTTTTTCTTCATCTTCCGTCACACGCACACACATCAAATTTTTGCCGGGTGTCACTTCGGCAGCCTATCTTACCTAGCATCTGAGTTCTTTTTATCCGCTAGCCGAGTAGCTCACAGCATTTTCTGGAAAGTTTGAACTCACTTGCCTACTTGCCGGAAAATACTCGCTCTTCGAGTTGACATCTCCCTTGGGACCTCTTTCTCATTCTCTCTTTTCAAAGAACTCTGAACTCTCAAAAGCACAAAACTATTTGCCTCTTTTTTTCCTTTTTGTGTATCGCATGGTAAAAGGATTCTGGTGAAACAAGCATGATTGGCGGTTGGCGACACCAATTTTATGAGCAAATCGCATGTTGTTTGAAACATTCTCTGCCTTTCCGCCGGATTTGGCCTCTCGTTAGCAAAAAAGACACGAAATCCAAGTCTTCGGGACGCTTTCCCATATCTGATGCCCCGAAAAAGAGAAAAATTTGACAACGACCAAGAAGACGCCCATTTTTCATTCGTTCTTGCAGTCGCTAGTTGTGTGAATATCTATCTATCTCTTCGCTGTTCTCAACAACAATGCCCTCGCCTGGCGGAGTCGCTATCAACGTTCGGGTATGATATCGCTTTGTGTCGTACAGTGAAGGTGTCTGCATGTGTATACGAAGGTGTGAATCACATAGTCGTATTGGTCTTAGGGCAATCTTTGAAGGTTCTCCGAAGTTGGGCCGACATAATTGAAGCCTTCGTTTTCCGGCTGTCAGTAGTACCTATAATGAAGTTATGTTTCTCACACCCTTCAATTAGTTGGTTTCCGCGAAGCCACACCCACCCCCCATAGCTGTTTCTCGCGCACATCACCTGCCCGACTCACACACATCGCCATTTAATTTCTCCCTCCGCTCATTTTTCCTTTTCCGCATCGCATTAGATGTTTCAGATGACGACCGAGCTTGAGAGAACCGAGCAGGTACGCGCCAAGATCCAAATCAAGAACCCTCTTGTTCGCAATGCGCTCTCCGAGTTCTTCGGAACTTTCCTCCTTCTCTTCATCGGAATCGGAATCGTGATGCAATTCATTCTCTCGAACGAGAAGCTCAACACCTGGATCAACGTACGGACAGAGTTTGTTTGGTTTTGATAACGCATAACTTTCAGATCAACTTGGGATGGGGATTGGCCATCGCCTTCACCGTCTACACCTGCTCCAAGACCTCGGGAGGTCACTTTAATCCAGCCGTTTCCATCGCTTTCCTGACTCTCGGAAAGCTCCCATTCAAGGACTTCCTCGTTTACTGCGTCGTCCAGACCATTGGAGCCGCTCTTGGATCTGCCGCTGCTTTCGGACTTTACTACGGTAATACTCGCCGTTAGGACCATAAACATCTACCCAGTAATTTTCAGACCAGTTCAACAAGTTCGCTGGAGCTTTCCGCACCATCATCGGAAGCAAGGCCACCGCCGGATGCTTCTGCTCGTACCCGGCTCTCCATGTCTCCAACACCACTGCCTTCTTTGATCAAGTAAGCGCACAAACTCATGATTTCAGACTTATCAAATTGCTTTCAGTTTGCCGGAACCGCTCTGCTTGTCCTCTTCGTCTGCGTTGTCATTGACAAGAGAAACGGAATCCCCGCCTCCGCCCACCCACTCCTCTTCGGACTCGTTGTCATGATGATTGGAACTGCCTACGGAATGAACCTCGGATACCCAATCAACCCGGCTCGTGACCTCGGACCACGCCTTTTCAGCTACTTCATCTACGGATCGGGAGTCTTCAGCTACCACTCGTACTACTTCTGGATTCCAGTCATTGCCCCACTTTTCGGAGCCATCGTCGGAGCCTGGTCGTACACTTTCTTCGTTGGAGCCCACATCCCGGAGCAACGCGAGACCACCTACGTCCTTGTCGATGAGGCCCACCAGCCACTCAAGCTTAGGTAGAACACAGAAAAATGTGCACTGAGAATAAAAATGTATTTCAGCGCCGATGCCTAAACATCCCGAGCATTTCCGAATCATCTAGATGCTTCTTCTTCTTCTTACCAATAACGCCGAATACCAAATACCGAATAAATGCATTAATAATAACGAGCATAGTCACGAAATTCCAGCTCATCTGTTCGAATTAGACACACTTCTCATCATACCGCTTTGCTTTCGCCATTTATTTTATCTAATAAAGTTCGAGAAAAACACAAGACAACTTGAAAACTTTCTCCGTCCGTCAAAATGGTGACTCTAAAATAACACGGAACTCCTGAAGATGACCAGAAGGATTCAGCATTTCTTTGACAAATTAAATACTTATCGGAAATGTGTTGACCACATTTCAGTAATTCACTGAGTCATGACATTTAGCAATCTTCTCGATTTGTGCACAATTAAACTTCACACAAGAGATCAAACTCATTAATGACGAGTCGAATATAATCATCATGCCGACTGCGCTCACTGATAACACACGTCGTATAAAACTCGTCACTAATTCATTGATATCGGGAAACCAAAAATGTCACCCACGTCAACGCTTCTTTTGCTTCTTCTGGTAGCCGCCGGCTTCCAGTCCGTCCAATCTGCGTCCTGTCCAACAGGAACAAAGTTATACGGCTCAAAGTCAGTTTCCCGAGTTCCTTCAAGACATCCAAACCTTTCTTTAGATGCTATGCAGCTCTTGGCATGGATATGACTCGAGACAATGCACTGTCTTACTGCCAGAAAACGTATGGTTCTTATGCTCGACTCACTGCGCCTCTCACCTATGCCGAGAATTTTTTTGTGACTGAGCAAGTGCAATGTAGCCCATTCAATATATGGCTGAGCAAAACTAAATATTTCTAGTACACGCAAATTGGCATACATGGCTCGAGTTTGTTGCCGATGGAACGTACATTGTTGGAGATGACGGCCGTCCGCCAACTTACACAAACTTCGCAGTTGGTTAGTCGTCGCTTCACAAGCAATTTATTTCTCAAAAAAAAACTACTTTCCAGGAGAACCATTCAGTGTGGCTCTTGGATATTGTATCACGATTGGAATGAATGGGTTCTGGTACGCTCAGCCTTGTGCTGATTCCCACAGTGCTCTCTGCGAGTTCGATCTCTATCCCGTGACCACTTCCAAACCGATCCCAGTCACAACTCCAAAGCCTAGTGGTTATCCGACTTGTGTTCAAAAGTATTTGAGTGAGTTTTGCTGAAATTAGCGTCAATTTGATGTATTTCCTTCTCTATATTTCAGACTTTGTTCCATGCCAATCTGGATGGGAGTACTACCCGCAAACCTGTGCATGCTTCCGAGTGAGTAAAATGAAATCACTCCTCCAATCTAAGCCGTATTTCTAGATTATCTCCAACACCACCTATTATAATGCGATGAACACATGCAGAAGTCTCGGAGGAACGCTTGCTTCCATCCACACTTCCGGAGAAGCTGCATTTGTTGAACGTAAATCAGTTCTGTACAAGTAACACATTCATCTGATTCTTTTTGCAGGCCTTGGAGTGGAAGCGAACAGCTATTGGATCTCTACTGCATCCGCCAGAGACAATATCATTGTTGGTCTTACTTACAACTCCGATCGCGGATATTTCCAGTGGGATGATTCCACTGTTTTCGATTTTAGTCAAGGATTTGCCCCAGCTGAGCCAGCAGATTATACTAGTCAGGGACAGGTGTGTACTTTAAAAGCCATCGGATCAGAAACAGTGGTTTTAGGTCATTTTGAGCAATCCAATGGGATATGCGACGTACATGAGGATGGGAAATTGCGCCTTCCAAACGTGTCGATATGCTGCTTGTAAACGATATGTCTATTGAGTTCAAATTGAAAAACATGACAATTACTGAATAAAATGAAGCTCCAATAACAAAATAGACAAAACAAAAAGCTTCTTCCGTTGCGGGGAATCGAACCCCGGCCTTATGGGTGAGAGCCATAAATCCTAACCACTAGACCACAACGGAGATGTTAGACCAGCAGACAGAGTGCGGTCATATGTTAGACGACGGCAAACATTTGTCGCGGGGAAACACTTTTTTTTGACGCCTGCCTTTCATTTCACTGCCGTCTGCCGTCTCTGCAAATGCGAGCGTTCGTGGTGTAATGGTCAGCATGGATGCCTTCCAAGCATTCGACGGGGGTTCGATTCCCCCCGAACGCAGAAATTTTTTGTTTTTCCAATATATTCGGGCAATACTAAGAATCAGACTTGTAACGGAAACGTGAAACATTTTTCGAAAAGTGGAGCGATATATTGCAACACCGGTACCAACTCCCGTTTTTCTTCTTTGGAAAAAAAATTGTTCGATGAAACTACCGGGCCGATCTTGCCAGGTCGGCGCGTCATACTGAAATTCTGAAAGTCTGCCAAAAATAAATGTTCAGACCCATTTGTCAGGAAACAGAAACTGATCAGAATTCCGACATAAAAACGGTTTATTATCAAACAAATGCAATATTCTCATACAAGCTCATAATAGTTTTCTATTTTTTCTTGTGTTGTTAGTGTTTTTTTCTTAAACGGTCATAATTGAAATTAACAAAGTGAAGAGGAAGCCGACGGGGACATAATCTGAGAAAGAGGGAACCGGATAAAATAAACTCACAGAAGATACCAGCACATATGCAATCCCGTACGGTATGAAGTGAAATAAAATGATATACAAAGAGAAAAGAAGGCAATAAAAGATGAATGATACAATATTCAAAGTTTTCACCGGTGAACTAGATAAACAGGGTAACAAATAAGAGAAATAGAAAAGGGCATCATACGCCTAGATTTGAATTTGATTCTAATTAGTGTTCCCATTGATAAACTTGCAAGTCTCATCGGCTGTCAGAAGTGTGACCGTTTCGCCCTCACTAACCGTCCGCAACTTGACGCTTCCGTTTCGAATGGGAGTGATGCATTGCTGAAAAACGATTAATGTTATTGAAATTTTCTGGAAACGAAAAGAGAAGCTTTTCACAGGTCTATAAGGGGAGGAAGCATGGCATGACAACACTTGAACACATTTTTGGCAACCAATTTTTTTACTCAAATTTGCAATACTAACTTTCAAATTCAAAAGATTTTAGAAGAACACACGTTTACCTTACCAGTTGAGAAGCTACACAAATGTGCCTCTTCTTTTGCAGCGACCAATTAAAAACTTCTAAACGGGATTACTGTGAACGTTTTTGAGGAAGTTTTTTGGATTTGATTAATTTTTTTCAAGCAGCCTGCTAACCTTCGGGATTTCTTCGATAAGACTGGTACGGGAGTTGGATCTGACGACTTGTACTTTCGAATTGCTGAAAGTTTTCAAATTAAACGTATTTTAGAATTGCTGTGAGGCGCTATACTTCTCCATAATTTGCGAAGAATTGTAGGCCAGTAAAAGATCTTGAGCAGTGATTTCGCAGAAAATGCATTCGTACAGAATGACAGCCTCGAAGTCAGGAATGAACCCGATAGCCTGAAAGAAACACAACTATAAGTACATATTTTTGTTTCAATTCTCACGTTGTTCGTGACTTCCGCGTTCAAAGAAACCGTGGACCGTTCTGTTGATTGCTGTGCCTGAGCCCGATCGATGGCAGCCACCATGGCATCAAGCACTTCTGTTCCGAAGACGTGCCAGGATCCTGCTTCTAACCGCATTTCTTCCTTTCCAATGGTGACCACGGCACGCCCACTCAAAATCATGATGAACTTGTTGCTGAACTCTCCTTTCGTGTAGAGCGCGGCGGGTTTCGGCTGCACGACGCCAAGCTCTTTGAGGCACGAAAACTGAGTAGCCTCGACCTTAAATGACGACGTGCATGACAATTAGAGAAGCGACGCATTCCGCAATTAGATTGCACACAAACCTTCTTGCAGTTCTTTCGGATGAGTTTCTCGAGGATGGTGGGAAAGATGTAAGGGCTTCCGAAAATTGAGTGGCAAGTACTCATGACTTGAATGGTCACAGCCAACAACTGGATGTTGATCACGCACTTCACGTTGGCCGTATTTACAATTTGAGACATGTCGTGGTTCTGCAAAATATAATTTTATATTCTTTGTGTCTTGGGAACAATAGAGAACAATTCTGCTTCTCGTTGGCGGCATGAGTCATCTTTAGCTCTTTCTCTTTCCCGTATGTTATATTGGTGCTTCTGTTTTATATCTACCAGACTCTATCCTGTTATTCAGAGATCTTGCTATACAATTTTTTTTTATTCTGCCTCTATAAAAGATGATCCTCGAACTTGAAGCGAAATAAAAAGCTTGCATGGGAAAACAGAAGGCGCGAGCAGTGCGGAAATCGAGTTTTCCAGAAAACTTGATTCCATCAACTCGATTGGTTCGCTACTTTTTTGGTTGTCTAAAGATTCAGACGTTGACGTGTAACATGTTCGCTCAGAAATAACCAGTTTGAGAAAAAATGAGTGGTTCTCAGTTTACCTTGTTTCATTCAGTGTCACTCGTCTTGAAGAATATAGTGAAATACATTCCAACAAATGTCAGAAGCATTAAAACAATAAAAGCAAATAGGTAATGACAGTAAGTACTATCTATCTGGCGAACGGGCGTTCTTGTAAAAGACCCAGCTATGGATGCATCTCTGAGGGAATAACAGGAAAGTTCCCTGACATTCCTTCCTCCTTGATTTGGCACTGGCAACTGCAGCATAATCTCCGTCACCTCAGCTACTTGAAGAAAGACGAAGAAGACGAAGAATCACACGAGACAATGATGTGAGGCCTCGTGGCTTTTGGGGGAGGGTCTAGAAGGAGCCCACTGCAGAGAAAGAGGCAGCCTCGAGGCACGAAATGTTTTGCAAACTAGGGCAGAAATGTCCTTGAGATATTCAAACGATGGTTGGTTTGTTTTGAGGTTCAACGAATGACTTGATAGAATGGTGAGCAGACAAAGTTTTTGTGTTTTCCAAAAGTGCTCAGCATTTTGAGTTATTGTTAGAAGGAAGCTGCTTTGAAATAGGGAGCAAGTTAGTTTGCTCAGAAAGCTTTCTCTTCAATTGAACTTGAAATGTGGTCGATGATGCTCAACGAGGAAATTCTCGAGACCACTGAACCAATTGAGGAAGAGTTCTCATCAGGGTTAAAAGGAGGTTTAAAATGGTACGCTAACCTTCTTCCGTTGTCTTTTCTTGCGATTAACGTTGTCGCAGACTGTGTCAGTCTCATCGATAATCTCGCACTGAATGATCTCCTCGATGATATCCTCAAGAGTAATCAGACCGCACAGCTCGTAGATCGGATCTTTGTCTTCTTGTTCCACAAGCTTTTCGACCAACGCCATGTGATACTCTCCCTAGAAATGTATGTATACAGAAAGAAGCATATCATCCGGGTATTATCACCTTCTTGAACTCTTCCAGCATGTTGCGGAGCGGCATGTCAATCAGAACTCGTCTCACTTCATGATTGTAGATGCTTGCGATATTCATGACGTTGTGATTGTCTTTAGGGTCCAAAAGAGCAAGATCTTTTACAAACAAAAGAGCAACGATGTTATGTGGATCGCCTGCAAGCCCACTGCTTACTCAAGCTCCGTTTTTTCTACTTACCTTCAAAGATGGGAATTCGAGTGTATCCCATCTCAAGAATCTGGTTCACCATAAGAGCATCCAATGTCAAAGAACTTGGGAGCATAAATATGTCTTCGTAGCGGGTCATCGAATGGGCGACGGTCTTGTCGTACAGCTCCAGTGCTCCAAGCACCATTTTGAATTCGTCCGATGTACCGCCGATTACGGTTTTCTCCGACATTTTCAACATTTCCACCAGCTTATTTCGCTCCAATGATCTGGTCAGTTCTTCTTTGAGGAAAATATCCAGGATCTGGAAGTAGTTTTTGACAAATCTTCCAGAAATCATTTTTCTCCTACCACAGCGATTGGCTTTGTCAGGATCCACATGAGGACCAGCAGAACTTGAGTTATCGGAACCGTATATGCTCCAATTGTGAGTCCAATTCTGAAAGAAACGATTTTTTAGTCAATAGAATCAGGGAAAACTAGCTCACTTGACGCACGCCGCTTGCGGGATGATTTCTCCGAACAGTACGATGGCAGCAGTCGCACTCACGAGAACGATGCCTCCACTTCCAAGAATCTTGTCAAGAAGAAGAGAAACTCCGACGTTGACAATAACATTTCCGATGAGCAATGTACAAAGCAGTTGATTTCCTTTCTTGCGGAGTGGAAGAATCTTCGTGGCACACCACTTTTCGTGCTCCGTTCCACTCGCAATGTACAGCTGAAGTTCGTAAGGAGAGAGAGTCATCAATCCGAGGTTGAGTCCCGAGAATAGACCGGAAAGACACAGAAGAATGACGAGTGCAGGAACCTTAACAGACGATGATACGGGGAAACAAGAATTATTCATTTACCGATATGTACAAGGGAAGGAATGGCTCCTCTGGTGGAATTTCAGTCGTCACCGTCGTGAATGGATCCTCTAGAACTGCGAATCTCGGAAACGCGTAGAACTTTTCAGACACGCAGAGTTTATACGAAGTTGCGTTTGATCTGTAAAACCAACGTTTTGCAGGTATTTATGAATGCGCTAACTCTGGGAATGCCATTTCCACAACCAATCGAGTCAACGTCATCGAAGAGAAGTCGGCCTCGCGGAAGTGTTCCATGTCTGTGCATGTTCCATCTGCTGTGAACGAAACTGCGCCGACATCTTGAAAATTTTGACCAAAGAGAACAACGCGCACATTCTCTTCGGGCTTTATGATGACATTGTGCTTTCTTCAAACATTTTGAGTTTATTTTAAGCTGTTGTTAGCTCTCTGCACTCACTTATTGTGTCCGAGTACAACATTATCATCAGCATCGAAGGCGGCCTCTAACCGAAGACCGGCTACCCGAACAGTGGCAAGATGCACGACGAGGTCTTCCTTTTTCGGGTTGCCGAGAGTTTCCTCGGTGGCATTGTCTTCTTTTTCGTCGGGTTGATCGAAACCGATCGGAGAAGGAGTTGAGTCGATCTGAAAGTTTAATTATCAGTTTCTATTTTCAGAACAGGATCTGATCTGGAATTTTTTGACTCTTTTAAACGCGTCTCTCTGAATGTTTGAAAAGATTATAAGGTGGCAGCACAGCACGATGACGTCATACACTCAATTTTCTGATAAAAAAGAACAAACTCACTGCGCGAGAATGGGTGAATTCAAGACAAAAGAGGGTCAGGAGGGCGGCGAGAGCCCATTTTCCTTTGGACATTGAAGGCTTTGTTTCCGGAAAAACTGGTCGAGAGAACTCTGAAAATAGCAAGTTAAAGTTATACTGAAGGAGAAAGACATGTGACGATTATTACTATAAAGAAAATGAAGAGAAATCAATGGTATTCGGCATTTCCTATTTCCCCCAAACTCGTAAAAATGATAGACGCGGCCGGAAAACAGGCAAGAAAACGCATCATAAAGCTAATTATCAAAATCGGTCTGAGTTTTCACTTTTATCGTTTTTCTTTTCTGATAACAGTTTTCTAAAGTTTGGTGTGCGTGTTGCGCGTGTCTCGGTCTCTGATGAAAGTAATACAAATCGCCACGACAAACAATGCGGAGGAAGGGAAACGACTGCAGAAGAGCGTCGGTGCAAGCCTCAAAGTACTGGAAGAGTGGTTCAGAAAATGTTCACTTTTCTGACGAATGGGAAAGAGATTCAAAAAACGTATTCTTCTATTTAATCAAGAAGAAAAAAGGAATGCTTTTAAGAGAATGCCCATCTTTTTTGCGCCACTGAGAGGCACTGGCCAAGCATAATTGACCACCTAAAAAAGTTGACGAACAAGATGGAACACGTCCTTTAACAAGTGATTGTGAGCAAAAAATCTATCATTTTGATACCATCTTGGTTGCGGTTAACAATATTAGCAATTAGTCACAGAGAACAAATGTTATTGGTTTCGAATCGAATTACAAAGGCGCCGAGGCCAGCTAAGGAATGAATGGCTTCGGGGAAGGCAAAAATGTGTTGTTTCTATGCAAAACCTACTAATCACTATCATGGCAACAGGAAAAAATAGATAAACTGTGATGTATACAAAAAATGAATCTCAAATTTCATTTAAAATACATTAATAAAGTTAAAAGCACGAGTCCCGCAAAAGAATGCAGATGAACAAATCTATAACATGAAGAATCGTTTTTAGTGCTATTTTAATTAAATTGGTCAAATCTGATTTCAGTTATTGCATAATCAAGCCAAAATTAGTTGAGCGAACTACTGTTCTCAAAAGCAACTGGCATCGAAACACTCACGAAATTCTCGACAAGGCACATTTCGCAAAAGCTCATCAAATTTTCATCGAGGTGCAGAGCTCAATGAGCCGCAACGAAAAAGAAACTCCTTTTCATCGTTTCGTTTTTCTTGGAAGCTCGGATTACGTTTGGATAGCAGAGCGAAAAGTTAAAGTTGGAGCGTACTTTGTCGAAATTTGCACTCGTTGTTCGGGAAAAGCCGCGTGAGCGATCAGTGACCGTCTGATAATCAATCAACCCGAATCATGATTCATTTTGGTGTTTACTTCGCAACTACTACTGATTTTAGAATTTGTCTTGAGTGCTTGATAAATCAGAATTAGACCGAATAGTTCAGAAAAGGGAAAAGTGAAGGGAGAAGAAGAATATTCAGAGCGTGTAAGTGCACGACGCATTCCAAATGGGCCTACTTCTCAGCATATGCAAAACGTTTCCTTCTATTTGCTCACTTATTTTTCTCAAATTTGCCAAAGTTTCAACGGTATACTCGTAAAGTTTGAAAGGAAAAGTTTTCTGCAGGATGCCCAATGCGACTTGAGAAAAGTGCCTCCAGGCTGGTTCAGAGATAACACTTGGAAGGAGAAAAAGAAAGAGAAAATGGGCAGGCGGCTGACCTGAGGAGGACGTCCATTAGGCTTTTTGGCAGACGGGAATAACACCATTATGACTATATTGCCTGTCAATGATCAAAATAATCAACAGGCTGATAGAGAAAGTGAGGGGGTAGGAGGAGGAAAAAACAAAACAAGACACGGTTTGTAATCGACATTCCGTCGAGCAATTGACTCAGGAAGCTGAAACCGGCAGCGAGATTTCATTCCAGAGTGAGAAAAATCGGCCACCGACGACTCAGTAGGATATATTTTGAAATGTTCGTTAAAAAACACTCTACAGAACAACTCCACAGAAAAAAGTTCACATGCTCGCCGCTTTTTACGTACACTTAGTGCTAAATTAGTAAAAGTCGCGGCCGCGGCCGGGTTTTCTCGTGTGGATGCGGTGAAACGACTCTGCGGCGCCAATATAATAGCATAATAATATGAATATTGCAAACATGAAACAATCAACAAGTCGAATAAGAAAAAGTGAGGAGTAGAAGGAAAATAACAACAAAAGGACACAGTTGACTCAGATAGCTGAAACTGGCGGTGGAATTTATTGTAGAGTGCGAAAAGTCGGCCACCGAAGACTCAATCGGCCGTATTGTGAATATTTCAATAGCCAAGCGCAAATAGTTGGAAATTTACAATTTTAACGCTTTTCTTGTTGTAACAGAATACAGAAACGACTTAACATCTCATACCAGCTTTGACATTTAAAAAGTAAATTGAAGAAAAAACGGCCAGTGGGTAAATATGACCCGAGGGGTCATAGCTATGAGCAAATGAAACAACGAAATGTCTACTAGACTGATGTCACCGAGATTGATAGCCGCGGTGGTCTAGGTGGGGGAGGGCGAGCGGAAATAGCGCCAGCTGATCGGATAAGAAATGGGGGAGTACACGAAAAAAGATTGGATGAATTCTCGGAAACATCGTTCTTTTCTGTTTGAAATTACAGGAAACCTTTCAATTCCCTCTCTTTTTATAAGCAAATACTCTCTCTTCAAAGGTTTGCAGCTCACATTACATGGCAGATTTGATCACCTTCATTTCTTTCGCTCTGTCTTCATCTCAGAATGTTACAGATGCCACCAGTAAACTTTTTAGTACCCACCTAAAACTCTTTCAAACGCCCGTACTTTCCCAAGCTTTAAAAGAGCTCAAGTAGCCAGCCAGTCGCAGAGACCAAGTGAATGACGAGATGCGGCGGCTAGAGAAGCGAGGCAGCACGCAAGAGAGTGTCCTTGGGTGTACTGCAGCGAGCAACAGAGCAAACGAATTCGAAACTGAGAAGCTTTGGGTGGCGGCGAGAGAGTTTGAGCCGTCGCGAGTCGCAGACGCAAGAAGAATGAGAGCTCAACGGACGCCGCGATGCTGCCTGACAGAGAAAACGAGGCATGGCACACTGACAACGGAGGACACGATTTCGTGAAGGGGCTTATCGACCACCGCTTGAAACCTTTGCTTGACCACTACTTGAAAAAGCTCACTGAGCCACGACAGTCTTTTGCCTTCTGAGCACTACTCGATGAGATTTCAGTGGAAGAGCATTGAGAAAAAGTTTATAAGTATGAAGTGTTCAGTAGTAGAATACAAAAAATGGACGAGAAGGAACATATGTCCGATTCCTCATTCCAGGTCGCTCTCCTCGGTTTCAGCTGAGTCATTTCGTCGGAACGGAGATGTATTGGCTCGTCCTCGCGGTCTGTAATAAAATCGATGAATCATGAAGCATCATCCACTACTCGTTCTCCAGGTGATGTGTGGGTGTGCATAACAAATTTCGTAAACAAATGAAGCTCGAGAGTCGTATTTCACCAGTCAAATTGTGCTGAATCTTACGAGAAAAGGCTTAGGTCAAATCCGCCAAACGCCCCCAGAGTCGGTGCACGTCTTCTGGCCGCCGCCGCTTCCGTTTCCTCTTGTTCCATTTGACGCTTTTTCGCGCGTTTCGTCATCCACAGATGAAGTCCGTCATGCACTGGTATATCCGATTCGGTTCTTGTTCGCAATTTAATTTGCTGCAATACGCAATACTCTGCGACGACCGAAAGAAACAATTTCGAAGATGCTCAAGGAAATTAAATCGAAAACGAAACTTACGTCACTCGTGTTGCTCGCTCGTTTTCTGAACGAGTCACGAATTTGAGTTGCAAATTGAATTCGTTGTCGAGGATGGGACGGAGGAAAAGTACACACCAACATGCGAATTACAGGCTCCAAATCCTGGAAAAAAACATTGAGAGAGAACTATAATACATAGAGCTGCACCTGAAAGACCCTATACCCAGGGCCTTTATTGTTCGAATTATGTATATTATCCAATTGCTCTTCCACATTGTTGATTATATTGAAAAACATCTGATACAACTGAGCGTAGATTGATGTGTTCACAATTGAAATGAGCGCCAAACCGAGCAAAAATGCGGCTGCCAGAAAAGGAGAATACTGAACGAATCAGAAAATTACAATTGTTCGTTTAAAAATGAAAACAGCCTACTTGAATATTGAATGGCATGACATCCCCCAAACCAATTGTGGTCAGACTGATGAATGTGAAATAGAAGGCGTCAAAAAAGCCGATTCCTGAAAACAAGGGACTCACAAAAGAGACCCCGTTTGAGCCGTGGCACCTGGCTTATTTCCTTCGTTGTGATCGAAGATTTTTATTGTTAGAGTACAAATCAGAATGTACGCGAGCACTAGGAACAGAGCAAGCCACATGGGAAGGAGGATCTCGTTTCTTTTCTTCTTGATTTGCTGATGACGTAACTTTCTGAGACGCAGTCTTTGGAGAAAAAGTGAAGAAAACGGAAGAACTCACTTATACTTGAACAGCAAAAACGTGTAGCCATTAGTGAGAACTTTCTGGAACCATTCTCCAATGTCTCCGAGCACCACGAGCATGATCGGCAAACCGATTGAAGCGTAGATAATGGAGAGTGTTCTGCCCCAGAATGTTTGACACGATATCGTACCTCAAAGAAAACATTTGATGTTGACCACATTGATGTGCTACCATATCCAATAGTGGAGAAAAGTGTCATTGAATAGAAAGTGGCCGAAGAGAAGTACCACATGAGATGCATATCCAAGTTTTCCGCCTTGTGCCACACACTTCCATGAAACCTCCCTTCCGCTTCTAACATTGTTTTGTAATACCGCTGGAAATGTTCCTATTTGTTTTTCTTTCCTTTTTCCCAAAGTCTATTCTCACTTTTATCAACTTAGCGAGTTTGTTTACCCGCTCTGTTCCGTTTGTACTCAAAGTGATGTTTATGATATCACTAGTTTCCTCGTCGATAATTCCTTGCATCAGTACAATCGTTTCTTTCAAATCCTTTAAAACGAACTGATAATTATATCAGATATCAGCCAGTTTTACCTCTAATTCTCTCGGTGATTCCAATCTCTCGAACATGAAACCACCCAAAAATACGTAGCCGACAAGCAGAGAAACAAGGGTAATATGACGGATTCCGAACTTGTGATGGTAATAGGCAAGCCAGGCAAAAAATCGGGTGATTTCTGGAATTTTAAAGACTTTGTTAAGCTTCTTGCGGTTACAAACGTTGCTTCCGTATCTCTTTCTTCCTTTTCTTGTACTTTCTGGGGTCAAATTCAAAGTGAAATCCGAAGGGAGACATATCTTCCACCTTGCTCATGTGTGTGTCAATCTTCAGAACTATGCAGTTGTTTCTTTCCTGAAAATATTTTTTAAAAGGTCTCATGGGGTTCTCTTACAGTTAGGTGATTCTTGACGATTCGGCTTCGCGCTTGTAGCTCCGATTCTTCTGTAAAACGCGCGATAAGTAGAAAAATGACTGGATGACTCACTGATATCAATATCCATTGTCAGCAACTTTCAGATTATTCCACCTCCGCGAAAAGTAACCGACCGATCGAGAAAACTGACAATCGTTTGTCTCCGAACCCGACTTGAACGCAGCCGCTAAACAAGAGTGATAGGCCGACATCACATTGTTTTACTGCCATCATTTATGGCTCTCTGCCTCTCGCAACAGATACTCCAGCGGGAAGGGAAGCTCTTATCAAACAGCCCACAAAATATGCTTCCTCTCCTGATTTACTACCGTTAATTACTTTCTCCGGCTGTTGGAGGAGGATGCAAGGACGCGTGTCTTTAAAAGATTGTGCATACGTACAAACCACATCAAATGTTGCATATCGTGGCAGTTTCGTTTGCAAACATCTTTTTCGTTTCTTGTTAGATGCATCTTGCGCTGACAACCGGAATTTTCTACCGATTATTTACTGGATGAATATGATGGAAAGTAACTCTACACAGCTACCGGGGCACATTTTTGATGTTTCAAATATGATTTTTTGCTCTTTTCTCTTTGACAAAACGATTAAATTGCTATTAAAATAAAGTGTTATCAAGTCATTAACGGCCACTGTGCACCCGATAACTTTTAAGCTGACATTTTCAACGCATTAACTTGAAATTTTTGCACGTGAGGGCAAACGATGACAATGGTTCTTCGATAGAGCAATTTTTGGTCTATATTTAGACATTTTTAATACTCTTTCATCAGAACACTGACTTGAACACACATGCATACATTCCCGCCGCTTCCCTCCCAAGATGTTTATTAACTACACATAATGAACGTAAGATGGTAGAAGCAATAAATTATCCAGACTATGTACAACATAACCGATTAGTACGAGACAAAAAACAGGGCTATATGTTTTTCTACGGGATTTTTCATTAAAAAAAATTTTTTTGTTCGAGTTTTTGTTTAGTTTTCTGTCTATAAGATAGAATGCCTATGAAACCGATGAGATGAAACATAAAAGAGATAAGATCAATTAATTTCCGCGGCACTTGGAGAAGCAGCCTCCTTTCTTGGCTCCATTGGGATTCAAGACCACTCCAGTGGAGCGAAGTTCAACATCCTCGACTGCCATCAGTTCTCTGGAAAAAAACCGAGTTGGAAGCGCCATGAGATGACGATTATTACCTGGTCAACGCGAGCATTGCGTTATCAATGTTGCTTCCATCCAATGCACTCGTTTCCATAAATAGCACGCCCATAGCCTGAAAGGTATTAGCAAAACAAAGTTCAGTGACGGTGAAAGGGCATACCGCTGCCATGCTGGCACCATCCGATTTCGTCACCGCTCCGGGAGTTTGGTGGCGCATGTCAACTTTGTTTCCGACGAGAATGATAGGAATGCTTCTCTCCGTCGATTCCTTGATAGTCTCAATCCAATCACGAACGCGAAGGAACGAGTGCTCGGCGCAGACATCGTAGCAGAGAATGGCTCCATCGGCACGGCGGAAATATGATTTACAGAGAGAACGGAAACGCTCTTGGCCAGCGGTATCCCACAACTGCAGTGCCACGTTGCGTCCGTCCACGTTGACCGTCTTGACATGGAAGTCAACACCGAGAGTGCTGGGCAGTTGGCTGGTGAACTGCTTGCGAATCACACGCATCACGAAGCTGCTCTTTCCGACCGCTGCATCGCCACACATCACGATGCGGAATGTTCTCTCGGGTGGTCCGTTAGCCTCATTCAGTCCCTAAAAACGTATGTTGAATCGAGAAGCTGAGAATGTCAGGCTACCACGAGATCCGTGTCAATTTCCATTCCTTGGAGACTGTGAGCGTCATCCAGAATCAGAGATGTCTCGGGAACTGAAAGAAGGGCTATAATCTATGAGTTCGACTGTCTTGCAGTTCATACTCGGGGTAGTATCGTCGTTGGGAACGTGAAGGGGAACTGAGCTGAACACACCGGTAGTCTGGAAATTCTCCACAGAATTGCGGTTGGACGCAAGCATAGACGGCGACGGAGTTCTCTGAAAAAAGATGACAATCGTCAAATGTGAATAACTGCGTAATACCAAGTTGTACTCTCGGAAAAGGGTGGTGCGGTTGTCAAGAGTACCACGAAGGCTCTCGTTCGTCTCATGCAATTTACGATTGGCCTCACTGAAATGATACCAATGACTTTGCTTTCTTGATACAACTCACAAAAGCAGGAGAATCTGCTTCTTAGCAGATTCGTTTTCCTCGGAGGCCAGATAAACTTGATCTGAAAAGGCTGAAATTCTGAGAGGCGAGCTCAAGTCGTTCCTCACTTTTCCTCGCAACCAATTCTCCCATCTTCTGATCAAAGTCAGATCTGACAGTCGCTAGCTCGCTTCTGATCATCGCAAGTTCAAGATGATTTTCAGCCAGGTTCTGACGCAGATCCGAGTTTTCCTCGTTCACAATCTTCAGTTGCTCGGACAGCTCTTTCTGATGATTTTGTCTGCCGGTCTGAAGCTCCAGGATCTTCTCCATCTTCTGCAGCCGGTCGATGTGTCTTCTCATCTCCTGCATTTCTTCGGTCATCTGCGATCTCATTTCTTCCTTTTCTTTGTTCAATCGCTCTCTTTCCTGACAAAAACTATATTGTTTCAGGTACTTTTTCAAGAACCCTACTTCCTGTCTGGCTTTCGCTTCTGTCATTTCCAACTGCTGATCGACTTCGCTTTCCAGTTCTTCCATGCGGCGATTGTACATCTCGCGATCACTGCAAGAGAATAGGCTCCGGTTTCTTTAGATCTGCTCACCTTGCGTGTATTTTCTGGAGTCGTTCGTTTTCGTACTTCTTCTCCGAGAGCTCTTTGTGAAACGATCCGACGATCCGCTCAAACTTGTGAAGAAGAACCGGCACTCCACACGTCTGCAACTGCCCGTACAACGTCAGCACTTCCTCCTGGCTGGAATTAAAGAAACATTGGGTCATTCAAACGTCTTTTCGGAGTACCAGGGAACACTGAAGTCGATGACGTTGCTGTCCGACTCGGAGTGGTAGTGCTCTTCTTCAAATAAACGGATGGTCGGACGGGAGGAATCGCTCTCGCTATCGAAGACCTGCTCGTCGCGTCGGAATACAGGAGGATCTTCGTAAGCAACCGAGGCTCGACGTCCCATTCCGTTCAACCCTGAAAATAATAAAATTGAGTATAAAACAAGGATGGGAAAATATGAAAAAATTGGGAGAGGAATCACGAGGGAATGCGGGGGCAAATAGCGTTATGGGAAAGCGAACATTTGGGCGATGTGTAACTGTCGGGAAGGGGATCGTAACGATGGACAATAAAAATTTGACTACATCCCCGAGAGAGAAACCAGCTCGCTTCTTGAACTCTGCACTTGCGCTCTGTTGAAGAATATGAGAATTCGAAAGAATTTCAATTAAAAAATTCAGAAAAAAAGGTGAAAGTGTCAATTAAGGTTCGAGAAGCAAACTCCCTGCCTACAAAACGGTGATCAAAAATATAAAAAACTAACCATTATTCTCCCCTTGCTTGACCGCTTCTTGAAATCCTTGAAGAAACTCTTTCTTCTCGATCTTTCCAGAACCGTCAGAATCCAACATGTTGAAGATGAATTGGACATCCTGAGATATGTCGGTAATTATCGAAAAAAAAAACTTTTTAAACTTGAACTTACATCATTCTCAAGTTGCGGACACACTTTCTTCAGATCCTCCATAGTCAGATATCCTTTGGATTCGGAGTCGCATCGGGAGAATAAACTCTCGACCTCGTCCATAGTCGCTCTGTAAACTGCGAGCGGAAGCGAATGATATGCGGGGGGCGAGAAAGAGAACGGACAAAACGGCCACGGTGGAACCATAAAAAAGCAGTGGCGTATCGTATCGATCGTATTTATTGGCGAGCCTCCCTCGCCTCCGTCACAGAAGCGGGGGCGCCGACGGAATGGAACATGGGAAACCGATATTTGAAGAAATTTCAGAGAGGAAAAATTCGTTCACCGATGGCAAAGCGGCGATTTGTTTGGCGCAGATCATGCAATATTCTAGTCGTTGATCGGATTGGGGTTTGGCATCAGAAGGAGAGAGAGAGAGAGGGTTCGAAATGAGTGATGAATGAGTGATTGGAGAAGGCAGACGGTTTGGGCACAGTGAGAATTTGCGAAAAATCGGGAAGGAAAGAGTATTACTCTATTTATTGCTGTGAAAATGCCGACTCGATGTGAAGAGTTCCCAAATAAAGGACGGATGAGCAGACTTGCATTGAATAATGGAAACATAATAACAAAAATAGTCGTTTTGAATGACGAATATGAGTAGGAAGTGAAAAAGAACACAATAACACATGCACAGAAAGTATTTCGATTCCAATGATTCCACGTGCTTTTTATTTGAAAAAATTCCGGTTAAATTCAGATTTGTTGAAATTTGGCCCGGATTCATGATTGCTTTTTCAGATATTTTACTCGGAAAATAGCTTTTTGCCGTTGAAATCAGTTATTGCAAGCCGGAAAACGTAACTCAATATCACAAAAAGGCACGATTTTAAAGAAAAAAATTTCTTAAACTTTCAGTACTAAAACCCGGTCCGGTCCGCAACAAATCAGGTGAATTCTTTCCTACAAACGTCCCCTGTTATATTAATTTGGGTGGAAAGGAAGAAATTGTCTCAAAATTGTATAACCGGTACGTTTTTACCGCACTGAGTCAGCTCTAAATTAAAAGTGTCAAGTGTTCTCAATAGGCAAGACAATAAGTGGGTTTGGGTACAGTAATGAATCAAAAATTACATATTTTGAGGGGAAAAAATTGGGAGAACAAAGGTTTCATGTTCAATCTGCGACGCGGCACCCCTATGTGTGGTTGTACAGTTTGATCAGCTGGAAAGTACGAGCTCGAAACTCTCCGCCGCTTCCACTCCTTCTCCCCAGGATTTCGCAATCTCCGATCGTTCAGCTAGAGAAAGGACTTTTAAGGAACGACCCCCCTCTGCACGGAACTATAAGTCAACATGACACATAAAAGATGTGCATAACAATTGAGTGGTGCACCCTCCTTGAGCGGCGGCTCGTTTTGATATTGCCTGCTTGGACACAATCGAACCAGTCGTTTACCTGTGTCGATTGCCATTGTCGGAAGAGGAAGCGTCGCATTGCGCAACACCATCAACAGTGCAACAATGGAGCGGCAAGCGGCACATGCCTGACACCTTACCGGGTGTCTCATAATCTAATTATTTATGTCAGAGCAATGAACAATGACCGGATGGTGCCCGGAAGGATCGGATGTGTTATGATGTAATCGGACGAGGTTATTACGGCGGCTTTCCGTTCAATGAGCTCTTGCGATTCTTATGATCCATCTGACCGTCGTTCCCTTTCCCAATTTTTGTATGTCTTCACCATTAGGAAGCCGTCGTCAATTATTATTAATGCATTTTGTAACTGTATCGTTTTTAACTCACTTTTTCTTCTTCTTCTTCTTATTATTCCATTTCCCCCGTCGTCCCTTTTCGCGTCTCCATTTCTCGCTCACAAATGTTTCACGGTACGTTGGTTTGGAAGTGTCTCAACAGTTCTTTTTGCGCGTCGTCACTGCGCTTTTTGCATCTCCTAAACATACAAGGACAGAACAATCGACTTCTTGTTCTCAAACACAAACTAATGAGAATGATTTATGTGAAATACTACTGGGAATATGACTTTGAAACATGTCTAAAGGTGGTGGGTGGGCTGGTAGAAAATTAGCTGAACGTCCTTCCATGCCAATTGCATGAAATGGCGGAAGAAAAAACCATTTTATTTGTTTTGTAATTGTCGGTTAGTATGTGAAATTAATCGGGCACCAACACTCCGAAATATAGAAATCGGCTCTTTTAATTACACGGGGCGTTTGTCGCCGAATATGGTAGTTTGAAAACATTTGACATGTCGTTTGAACGCCCCCATTTCTATACCGCTCCGGCAGAGTACGGTATGAACGATAGTCTTCCCTTTCCAGTTTGATCACGATCAAAGAATGAGCAAAAATGTTTCGAATCTAGTCGAATAAAAAGATGTTCATGATTACCATCATTTTCATGTTTTACAACATCATTATAAACTGCCAGTGCCCTGGCTCAGTCAAACATAACTAATTTCAAAAAGTGAGAGTGAAAGAAGAAACATTATCTTCCTGACGCTGACGCCAACTGATATTTGTGAACAAATTTCCGTTTTTGCATGCCATCTATTCCAATTCCCATCGCCATTTGTCAGGTGGCTCCAATTAGAGTTTGTGCACCTATTCAAACCGCATCTTCATTTCTTTCCCTCATCATCTTAGACGTGCGAACGAAAGGTCAAGTTATATTTCGTGTTATTAAATGCGAATAATTGACTCAGAAGGGTGGATCTCGAAAATCGCGTGTAATTGTCATGACCATGTTCAGGAGGGAGGTAGCTGCTGCAGCATCCAATGTCAACGCAGACCACCCACCCCTCTACCCAAATTGCCAGTGCGTCGCCCCGCCCACTATCGCACATTTAACTTGTCTTATAGTCAGTCACCCCCCTCAATAACCAATCATCGGTGCCTCCTCTCGCGCCGACCCAATCGTGCTAAACACTCACTTAACCATTTCTACAGTAACTCCCATTAAAATGTCACTTCTTGACCCTCGTCAGTTCCTGCTCCCCGCATTCTACCTGGATCCTTCAACTCAAGCTTTTCTGGCCCACGCTTCTTCCCAATCGTCTTCTCCTGGCGGCAAGATGCCTTCTTCCTCGTTTCGTATTTCCGATATCCTGGATCCATCTCCCAACAACTCGAACTACTCAATTGATGCCGGTAAGTGGATGACCGATGCCCTCAGTTCCATTTGATTCAACAAAGTTTTGTGGGCGTCGTGCGTTACCCATCAAAACACCACTCAACCATGCTCGAATTTCTCCTCTCAATGGTTATGCGGAAAATGATAGTGTTTAGTGCCTCCCCCCTCCCAATGTGTATGTAGAGGGATTAACGCTCAAATGAACATGTGAATACAGTCAACCGGGGTCAGCTATTGTTCTTCCGCTTGTGCACTAACATCATTTCAGATCCATCCCCACAGTCCATCAAATCCGAAGCATCCTCCTCTCCAAGAGCCAGCACACCAGGAACTGAGCGAATGGGGAGTCCGGCGAGTAATTCGAAGAAAGCCCGCAAAGCGAGAACAATCTTCACCGACAAACAACTTCAAGAACTTGAGAATACCTTCGAGAAACAGAAGTATCTCTCTGTTCAAGACCGGATGGATCTCGCGCACCGGATGGGTCTCACTGACACACAAGTTAAGACCTGGTACCAAAACCGGAGGTTAGTCGCCGAGCTCAATTGAGCATCTCAATGACATTCAATTAACTGAGGGTATTCGCTACATATGTACATTCTCAAATTAATAACAAGCATTGCCGCCGAATTTCGGGCAAGACCGCCCTTGTAGATTACCCGGCCCGCTCACATTTCCTAATTATTGTCCAAGGCGGCGGTGTTCTATGCGAATATTTGATGTGATGACTTGTCATGGGAGCACCATCATCATCATCATATTTTCGCCCAGCTTTTAGTATCGGGTTGGAAAGAGATCATCTTTTGAAACGTATCCATGCGTTCACAATCTGGAAGCCTCCTTTCCTTCAAAACTCTATTGTTGTGCAGTTATCCTCAGGGTGGTCCTCGCCCATTTCGTGCACTATTAATGAGAAATGGTGAATAGGGTGTTTGGCACTGCTCTTAAGGCTGATCACCTGGCCGTTCACGGAGGTCCTATTAATCCGAATTCAGTCAAGAGGTTGTATAAGCACGGTTAATACATCTAGTTACGACGGAGAAAACACTAGTATCGGCAATAACGGGCACTCAAAATTAAGGTGTGAGACATGAGACGTCCGGTAGAGTGTAACAAATTAGCAACGGGTATCGGTGTCATTACATTATAACTTTCAGAACAAAGTGGAAGCGACAAGCCACCACCGGAATGGATCTTCTCTCCGAACCTGGAAATCTGTCCGCAGTTCAAAACCTGATCAGGAGCAGCCCCTACTGGACGAATTACATTACCGGGCTGCCACTTGGCTCACAGATGCCCATTGTCCCAATGGGACTCCCCATTCCCATGATTGTGCCCCCTACTCAAAGTTTCCAACCTTCCTCTTCTGCGAGTTCCCCCTCCACACCCAAGTCGAGTGTATCCCCTCAATTAGATGTTTCCAACAACTCTGACTGATTCTATTTCTCTTTTTTTCAAGCATTACCGATCTCTATGGGTTAGAAAACAAAGAGTCTTGAATAATAGGCCAAAAAGTTATTGTCAATCAATGTGTGTGAGCATATGTATTTCTTTCTCGCTTTATTAGTCTTGTGATGTCATTTCCACGTCATTAATATTATTGTATCGCGCAATATACAATTCGAAATCTGATAAGCGGATGACATTCAAAATACAATGAAGAAGGGAACTGCCAGAAGCACCAGGTGCGCGCGCGTGGCGCAACCATTCCGATGTTATCGTAATGGGAAGAACACTTGACAAGAAGGGGGAGACGGTGTCGTTAACACCTCACCTGTTCGACAAACCTGACAGACAACGGTTCCAACTGGATATAACTCCTTTCCCAAAAAATTCATTTCAGTTACGGGGTTCTCCATTGTTCTCCCGTAGTCAGTTGCTGGCTCACAGAGTATGTAACCAGACGAAGTGTCAGTAATTTAGAGGATTTTGGATAATTGGTAATTGGCAGTGTCTTAGTTGGTGGTATGTTTCTGTAAGCACGCAAGAAGTGTGCATTCTTCCGGTTCAGTGACAACTAACACGCCTAATTCCATGTAACACGCTCTTCTCTATTATGCTCCCCCTCTTCGAAAGCAGTGTGTGGCTCATTTAGTGAATCTTAGTGAGAGAAACTGCGAAACTCATCTTTTCTCGCCTTCAGACAACAAATTGGCCACATACACAGGCATAGACCCACTTGACATCTAATTCGGGAGCGACACGAAGGGAGGAGTACGGTAATCGTCCGCGACAATAAATAGGATTTTGAAAGAACGGTGTCATTAGGGCAATTGGAGACCGAGAAGGTACATGAACCGATCCAATAGGGGTGAATGCACGTCCAAAAACATGATGCTGATCCTTCCATTCGGAAATTATGCCGATTGTAAAAACAACAGTCAGTCACATCCTAATAAATAATTGAATATTAAGTACGTCGGGGCAATATTGTCATTATGTGATAATCTGTTGATTGTTTTAAAGCTCCGAACGATCGTTCCCCATCCCCATCCCAGAGATCTATTCCGATCATGTTTTGCCAAACAGCTCTTGTGCACTGATCCGTGATCCCACTTGATTTGACACAATGTATCATTGACTGCTGCTCTCAATAAAAAGATTACAAGGGAATTAGCCATGAGGTGTGGCAATTGAATCAATTAACACTGCTACCAGACACGAATACACCTGCTGTCCCTTTTGTCTGATGAGCTGCCGGATGAATGACGATGAGCTCAACCAAATTTGCGACAAATGCGCTCAAGTTTTCAAGCGCAGATTCACTGAACACATTGATGCCGAAAGCGGCAATGAAGGCATATTATCGTGATCCCATCAATTATGCTATTATCAGCATTCATCCTGGTGTAAATTCTTTAAAGTCGCCAATAATAAGCGAAAACTGACATTTCCCAATTGCTGCAAGCTTCTTTTGTCCTCAAAAGACAACGAAGGACGCGTTTAACTACCGTATGCCCGTGAATAAGTCAGTAAGGACTCATAAGGCAGAGGGCAAAAGTTCTCGGAAACAAGTTGCGGTATTTATGAGAGGAAATTGGAAACTAATTAGGACAGAAATGAGTAGTTTCAGATGAATATTCGATTTTATTGCAATTGGCTCTTCTTTTTATTTGATCTTTTCCCAATTTAATTATTATGATGAACCCATTTTTGTCAGTTGGCATACTGTAGGTCACGTTTATGAGTTTATGTCAAACTGTGAACATTCCAATACGAAGACCTGTTCAATAAATCATTCTCGCAACGACCCTCTGTAACCACGACATGATTGAACAATAATTTGTTAACAAGTAGACTCAATTGCAATAAAGTGTACACGGCGGTATTCTCCCCTTCCTCTCGAACAATTGACTTCTTCCTAAACAATTGAGAAAGGTTGGTTTGTCAAACTGCACTGGACCCGCATTCTAACCTCTTTTCTCCTCTCAAATTGGCATCGTCGTTGTGTGAGGTGTCGCTATAATTGACGAATTATTAGAGAAGACGGTCTGCGACAGAAAAGGTGTTACGGACAATCTACTCAACTGTATGAAAATCGGGCCGCAGTTGGATTGGAGGTGGAAACAGCGAAAGGAAAGGAAGCGACGACTTTTTGCTTCTCAAAATTGCCGATTAATGAGGAGGTCTAATTGACGCACTTGGAAGCAACGGCTACCGTAATTTGGATCCTTTGCAAGACATACATGAATGCAATGTTCGGTTACTTGAAGCGGTAATGAAAACACTCAAGAAACTGAGAAGACGGCGTTTTATTTCATAATAATCAAGACAAATAGAGAAGGAGAAGGTGTGAAAATGTGAGAGAGATCAAAAATTGAGAAGTTGGGAAAAGGGAGATGAAATTGGCATAAAACGAGGCGGGCGAGGTTACTGAATGACAAGAGGAGCACTGCTTAAAATGGAAGAACACATGAAACCGGATGAGTAAGCTGGACTCGGAGGTATAATTATTTCTCACTTTTTACTGGATTCATACTCTTCTTTGGAATCAGAATCTGTCGACTTTTCAACGGATTCTGGAGATGAGGACTTGTTTGAGTCTTTTGGGGAACCTGGCTCATCTTTAACGTTCTGAGCGGCTAGAAACTGTAGAAAAGAGATTTGGGAGTTGGTGGAAGGTACAATTGCAGCTCCTGGAACCATGAGTTGGTTCATAAATGCACGATTGTTTGCCCCAGCAAACATTGATGCGTTCTGCGACAGATAGTTGGCCCAGTAGGGGTTCGTCCTCAGAAGCTGTTGCACTGCCACCATGTTTCCGGTATCATGCAGCAGGTCCATTCCCACCGACGCTTGTCTCTTCCACTTGGTTCTGCAATCACTTCGGTTCACTTTCATTCTCATCAACACCATTTTTCGCTGCCGGGGTGGCTCAATTTCGAAAATTGGATAATGACAGTGGTGTGCCGAGAGCCGTTTCCCGGGGGTGGAAGGCGCGGAAAAAAGATGACACTACTAAATGAAATTGGTGGGCGCACGCGAAGAAAGTGAGGAAGGGTGAGAGCTTTGATTAAGATAAATTTCGATGGCGCTGCCCGCTAATGCACTACAATTAGCACAAAGTGGCGTGTTTAGACTCAATTCTCGCCGAGTGCTCCAAAGATAGCGGATTGTTTTCAGGAAGGAACTGAGTGAAAAGGGAGCGGCATCACTTTCTGTTACTAACCTCCGGTTCTGGTACCAAGTTTTGACTTGGGTGTCAGTCAGACCCATCCGATGAGCCAGTTCCATTCGGTCTTGTACAGAGAGATACTTTTGCTTCTCAAACGTGTTCTCCAATTCTTGCAGTTGTTTGTCCGTGAAGATGGTCCTAGCCTTCCGCGCTTTCTTCGATCCTATGCAGTTCGGACTTCCGTTTACTGATCTTTCCGTGTTTGGACTTCCGGCACGTGGCGACGATGGAGACTCGGAAGAGTTATTCGACGTGGGTGACGGATCTAGAGAAAAGAAAACAATTTGTATACGCGTACAAAGAACCATAATTGGTTGACCTATTACTATTACAGATTACTGTGTATGCATTCATTGGAGCGTTAATCCGTTAAATATCATTTTTCAGGCTAGTTGTACATTCTGATGGATGTAGGCAGATTAAAGTGTTAGCGATGGTTGAGCGGACATACAATTCCTTTCGGAAAAAGTCGCAAAAGTTTATTTACCTGGCTCATTGTGAGGATTGGAAGATGAATCCAGGAGATCGGTGATTCGAAAAGAGTTGGCTAGACTGATCTTCCCGCCTCCAGCAGAGTTCTGAGCTGACACTTGAGCCAGCAGAGCTTGAGTTGTGGGATCGAGATAAAATGCGGGAATCAGAAACTGGCGGGGGTCTAGCAGAGACATCGTCTTTTATAAAGTGATACGCTGCTTGAAATGAATGACAAGTCGAAGGGGAGGACTAAGTGAGGATCTTAGTGTGAATGAGTAGGTCGGGAGGCTGCCGGCAGTCACTAAACGTCGCAAACTCGTTGATTGGTATAGGCACGCCCCCAGAAGTGGGGCGGGGTTTTCAAACAAGGATGGATGGATGACACCGCGCAAATTTGTATGAAAAGGCTCCAAGCTGCCCACCTTTTGAAGGCAATCAAGTGTGATAATGAGTGGCGATGGAGCTGAAAACGAGCTGCTTGAGGAAAGTGAAAAGAAAGGTATAGGTTGAAAAGGAGTCATTCAAGTGAGAAGTAAACGAGTGGGATGAGTCCTGGAAAGGACAACTGAGCAAGTTCAGGGTGAAGGAGGTTAAAAAGATGCGAATGTAATGTTTTTATCAAAATGATAAAGAGAGGGTACACTGTTGGTTTAAGATTGTTCAACAACCCTCACAAAGTACTTCACTTGACCACATTTTCTCACGTTTTGTCTACAACCCAATAAACTTTAATATTGTGAATGCCAAATATTTCGAATGAGTCTCATCAATGACGACACCATTCTATTGTTTGTTATCACTCTAACCACTCACTAATACCTAATTTCCTGAACATTACTTTTCTCCCCCTCCCTCCCAATCTTCCGGTTATTTACAAAGGCACATTCGTTTCGCGCCTGCATTTTAATTGTGCTCCCGCTCTATCAGCAATATTTCCGGTCAAGAACGGTTGATGAACCACAATAATATCCGCTCTTTATGGACAGATGCGGACACATTATCGGGGGCTTTCATGAAAGAAGCCGCTAGGCGTACTGTTATTAGGCATACCGAAACACACTCATCTGGAAAATGCACTAATCGAATAGACACTGCATTTCACGACATGAATGACTAATTACTTTGTGGTCCGGTCGGGCGGCGGTCACTTCGGCGGGAGGGTACGCTCAAAAAAAACGATTGAGGTAGGTCTATCGCGAGAAGTTGTGTACTTACGGTTGCAAAGCAACAGTAACAATTAGTTGGACAACTTTTTTGCGGGGAACACCACCACCAACCCAATGCGTACAGTACCTCATTCTGTCGGAAGATAGGGGGTTAAATTGAAGTGTGCGAAATGAGCGAAATTTGATTGTTCACAGTCACCGCTCAACAAAACACAAGGACAACACGGTACCGGAGAAATTTGTCGCGTCCGGATATTCGGCAGCCGTGACAAACGACTCCTTTGGAAACCGCCAATTTCGATGTCACACCTGCAGTTTTATACTTTCTGACGTCCACTGGCCGGTCTCTAATCTTGCGCAGCGCCCAATAAGGAGACCATTTTCATTGGTAATAGGATGGGATGATTGACTTGAGCACTGGGAGGTACTGTCATCGGGGAATCACCGACGCAAGAGTCTTAATTGTCGATTCATTCACTCCTCACTATCAAATATCTGACATTTCCGGGCAACTGACAACATATGGTGACCTGCTGTGACCAACTTCTACCTACTTGCGCAAAACTAATTATGTGCATTCCATGGAAATTCTCTCGTTTTTGTGACTTTCTCGTAATTATAACGATAAAGGTCAGGAAACAATAAGTTGACAAGTTGCCGGTGGTCTTTCGGAAGCGACAGTCCAAGGACTTGTTCACTTGTTTTCTATTATACCTCTTACTTGTCGGAAGTATTTGGATATCCTTGAGACTGACCGATTCCCAACAGTCAGCTGCCCACTGCCGTCCGTGCCGCATCATTTGCTCATTTGTGACTAATAATTGGTGGAAAGAGTGCAAGGAGAAACAAATCGTCCTTGGCAAGCTGACTGGCGCGATAATGAGGAGTATCAAATCGGCAATATTATGGTAGGCACTTCTGCCAGCCGGACCCACCCGCGCATCAAGGTTACGACCACCAATTTATGATGTTTGGGATGATGAGCTAATCTTAAAGGCGATTATTATGAACGATTTCTTCATTCCCTGTGAAAACAAACACAATTTCATGTTCTTGTGGAACAAATATTCAGATACACGTCACCATATGATGACATCAATTCAGATGCGTCAATTCCAAACGTCCATGAAAACTCTGTTTGCATTCCATTCCCCTCGGAGCTCTCATCTGTCTGGTCCTGAAAACTCGAAAATTAATTGAAGTACATTTCATTCTTGTGTGGCCATCAATTCTTCGTTTGCCCCTATCCAGCCTCATCTGACGTGAAGGTACAACTTGACTTCAGTTTAATAGCGTCAGAGATCGGTGGGCTGGGTCAAAACATGCGCGAAGCTCGAACCTTTCAGAAAAATTCAATATTTTATGTTCTTGCTTGTTTTCGGTTGGAGGCCAATTCGTAAATTGACATAAGGTTCCCTCGGTGGCTCAAATTAGCGGGCTGTGAGTGAGCTGCAGCTAGACTCCAAGAACTGCAACTATAAAACGAGACCCGTCACGCCGTTTTTTCCGAGCCACAACATATGGGACCAGAATAATGAAGGCGTTTTTCTTTGCTTCCCAATAAACCACTAAACTTCTGTACATTCATTCTCTGTCAAATTTTCGGCGGCCAAATGCGATTTCTGATCAAAAACGTTAAACTTTGCGATCAGAGGCCATTTTTACCCTCTTTGTTTATAGACAACTGTCCCAGTATTCCCCCTGTTCAGACGAAATGCTTAACTTCAAATTCGGAAGTGAATTAGTTTTTTCTCCGAATATCCCTATTTCCGTTTCATTGCAGTCTGAACGTTTTCCGTCTTGCCTTTTCAGATATGTCTTGAATGTTTACCACAAGAAACAATCTGGAAAGCTAACACAATTTGTCTATAACCAATATAATGTACCTCACAGGCCCCATTCTAGACTTGCTCTGTTCTTCTTCTCGCTAACTTTGTCAGTGTTTGAGCATTGATGTTCAGAAGAAAAAGACAAATCACACCACGAGATGCGTCATTTGCTTTCTGAGCTCGAAAAAAGTTCGAATTTAAATCTGATTGTCTTTTTATTTCGTTAAACAAAAAGCGTTTCTTTAGTTGGTCCCTGCTGTCTATAAATCTTGTCCTCTACCCCCAGATACCATCGTCTTTGTAACTTCAGTCATTCCTCAATCTATCTTCCAGATACCACCACCATGATATTTGTCCTGCAGTTTATTCTCCGGCTGTTCCGACTCAAAAACTTTGAGGTACACATCGAGCATGTTTTCTTTCCGGAACCGAATTTCACTGGATTAATATCACTCTCTCTCTCCTGTTTTTGACGCATCGCCGCTTTAAAAAGGAACGCAGCGGCTCTCGTAGATGTTATTCCCGCCCCGCATCTTGCCCACTCCTGTTTTTGCGCGCGGACACGAATCCGGACAAACTCACGCAGTGGCGTACTTTCAAAATGATGTAACTGCTTCAGTTTCCGGACGTGTAGTGCTCAGGGCTCAGCTGGTATTCACCACCAGTTCAATTACGTTTTGATGTGTGGTCCCCTCTCTTCCAGTTCGCGCTGATAGCTTTCTAATTTCGGATGTATCGTTTATGCGTTCTACACTCGGAAGAATTGTGTTTTTCACCCACACAAACGTTTCCAATTCAGTTTGTTTTCTAATGTCTTATTGTTTTGAAAAAAGTCAGAAAAGTGCACCTTTCGTACAAAAAAGAAGCATTGCTAATTGCTATTCAATTTTCAAATTTCTTGGGGAAAAAAAGCGCAAACAGTGGAAGAATAATGAAATGCGCATTACTTATCAAATAGCTCCTCCGTCGCCGTTCCTTTGACTCATTCTCCCATTTGTCAGGCTCATCCAATGCACAATCTACAGAGTAAAAAGCAAGCATTCGAGGTTCAGGTTTTCAACTTTCCCAACCAATTCTTGCTCACCCATCACCATCTTTTTTGTTACAGCATGCGAAACCATTCACTCTACATTGCTCACTTCTCATGCTGGTCCTTTTCTACTCGTTCCTCGGCGGATTCATTTTCGATCGCATCGAAACTCATGCTCACGCGGAGATGAAACAGACCGAAAGGATCAACAGAACGGCCTGTGTCACTCATGTACGTTTCTTCGCATCATAATCATATTCGGGATATGTTTTTCTCCGAATAATTCAATTTTGTGCGAATTATTCGTTCTTCTTTTTGTAGCTCCTTCATTCGATCCACAGATGGACCCGGAATCATACTCATCAGACTTTGTTGGCAGATCACATTGCGGACTGTTTCGAACCTGAAAAGTATGAAGAGAACAGGAAGCAAATCAGGATGTTACACTGTTTTTTAGAGACGAGAGAAGCGAATGGAACTTTGTGACTGCTACGTTGTATGGCTTTGGAATTGTGACAACTTTAGGTACAGAAAAGATCTTTGTCGCAAAACTCTTAAAATTCTTGTAGGGTATAACAGAATCGCACCAATCACGTTTACGGGCAGAATGTTCTGTATATTGTATGGAATATGCGGAATTCCAGTCACGATGATAATCATAGCAAACGTTGGTCAGTATCTGAACAACTTTGCAGGAGATTCGAGGCGGAAGGTATTCTGAAACTCTGAGCTGTCTCTGAAACTTGAAGCTTTACAGATTGAAGCTTATAGGCAGCAGAGGAGAATGTCAAAGGCATCATTGGCTGGCAAAGTCTATAAGGTTCACAATAGAGGCTCTATCAGTCACACCCACTCGTTTCAGGAATCATCCATACAAGTCACATCTCTCGCACTCCTCTGTGTGTTCTTGGTATACGTTGCTGTGGGCGCATTACTATTACCAGCCTTGAATGGAGAGGTGCGCTTCTTCTTTCTTTAGATCTTCAATTCATCAACTGTTTTGCAGTTAGACTTTTTCAACGGTCTCTACTTTAATTTTCTCTGTCTAACTGCAATAGATTTCGGTCAACTGGTGCCAATTCGGGTTGAACTTTTGCCTATCACATTTCTATATGTGTGCATTGGTCTCGCCATCACAACCATTGCAATAAGTGAGTCTCTTTTCCCAGTTTCTATATTTTCCATTCCCATTTTCAGACATTGGCTCTGAGTACATGAAAAAGCTGCATTACTGGGGCAAGAAGATGAAGAACGCGGCTCAGACCCGAATTTGGTTTGGCGGAAAAACGTAAACTAGACAACTTTTACTTTTTTTTTTTTGTCTAGACAACTTTTACTTTCAAGTTAGTCCATTTCAGATTGAAAGTTCGAGATCTCTTGCACGCGGTCGGAAAGAAATGTGGTGTCGAGCCAGGAATGATTGATGCTTTGGACTTGGAGAACGTCGTGGAGAGGACGATTGCAATTCAGGTCCTACATTTCGTTTTCAATCAACTTGAAAAATAGCTATGCATTTTTTAGGAGGGAAGAGAGCCTCCGGATGATTTAAATGAGGAACCTCCTCGAGAACCATCTCCTCGTTCCATCATCCATTCTCCCTGTTCCGCACGACCATCGAATCCGCCAATGAGTCCTCCATCACCTCGAGAAGACCACCCATTTATATTCAAAATGTACTTCCCCATCCCATTTCCCTCATCTATCTTCTTTTTTCTTCTTTTAGGGACACTCCTGCACCACGCAGCCCATTGCCTTTGCCCACATATGAATTGGACATTAAAAAGCCGATATTTCAAGCTTTGTCGAGCGAGTTCATGAGCCAATCAGCACAAGAAAAACTGTTTGAAGATCTCGACACATTCCACGTCGAATGTAACACAGAACTAGTGGAAGATAACAAGTGCGAGAGTGTAATCATCATCGAACCACCGGCGACATTCGAAGACATGACAGTGCAGAACAGTCTGAATGCCGAAGACTTTGAAAGAGAAGAGAAAGGTCGGTGATGAATGAGACCCCTTGCGCTCTAATCAAATGACTTTCCAGTGCCGAAGAGATTTCGAGAGAAAAAAGAAATGTACGGTAGAGATCCGCGAAAGTTGTATGAAACCTATCAAGAGGAATGGGATCGACTGGAACGTTTATCTGATAGAAAGTGAGATTTGGTTTGTAAATAATTGATTCTAGTTAACTGATCTTTTGAGACATGGCCCGAGAAGGAAATCGGTTTTGAACTTGTCGAACTGCTCCCCGGAAAGAAGTGTTTCCCCGTCACCTATTCGGCATTCACTGACCGGAGAAGACAACAGAAGAAATTCTTGAACAAAATTCTTAGCAGTTTATCTATTCCCTTTATTTATTTACAAATGAATATGCATTCTCATTGTCATTTGCACTTAATACGTAATAAATATGTGAACAATTAGAAGTCAATCAGTTGGAAAAGTAGTGCATGACTTTCGAAAGTGTTTCTTGGCGGGTGACTTGGATCAATGTTCCACCTGAAATAATAGTTGTACCTTTGAAATTCACTCCGAGTTGAACCTGTGGCTTTCAAGAAAGTCTGGATCTTAGGACGAAGTTCTGTTTCGTGGGACCAGCACAGAACACGCTTTCCGAGCAGCTCTGTTGAAACGTTGTAATCGCACTGTCCCGACAGCAGCAGGGTCAACTTCAAAGTGGTTGCTTGCTTGAAGCAGTTGAGCATGTTTGTGGTCGGCTCGACCAAATCACTCAGAAAGTTCATAGTTATGTTCATCTCTGAAAAAGAATTGCGCAGGAGATGGCGAGTTACCTACCTGCAGTAGAAAATGGCTTCTCGAGGATCACCATGAGTGGGACCTGGAACGTGTTGCAGTAGCGGATAAATTGAGAGCCCTTGATGGACATGTCGTGATCGAGGCTCAATGAGAAACCGATCCAGTTCTTTGAGAGAACTCCAACTACTCTGCCCTCCAATCTGATGAATCCGACGAGCAGTTGAGGCGAGTGCTGGATCATCAAAGGGATGAATGCATTGTAGTCAGCCATCGATTCGATGAATGGGATCATATCACGTTCCGGGATGTCTGTGGGTTCCGGCTGTTGGTTCCTGAACCATCGTGTTTAAGTCTATTGATAGCGGTCTGAATTTGTTACGGGGGAAAGTAGTAAAGAATGGCCGGTTTGAGGTTATTGTTGGGGATGTATGAGAAAAGGGCACGCATAAATCCCAATGCCGCCAGATGATGCATGAAGAACCCGTGGGACACTCTTTGGTTGAACAGAATCGGCCCGTTGATCGAACCCGCAGTGAAAATGAAATCCGCGACAATCGAAGGAATCGTGAGGTTCGTTGGGTTCCCAATGTGCAGCCACATGAACGGAACCTGAGCTTGACCGTCGTATTTTGCCTGAAATGAAAAGTAATGGAATTAATTTAAAAGTTGACAGTCACTTTGAGCATTGGTTCCGAATTCGCATGCGTGAAGATCGTTGGGAATCCATACGCCGGTCCGTAATCGGTAATTCCAATGATTGGAATCTTCAATTTTGTGGCCAACTTCAGAAGCTCCCCTATGATGAACGCGTGTTTCCGCGAGTCCAGGTAGTTGCAGTAGCCGACGTTTTGAACGAACATAACAGCTTTTCTGTCTCCGATTTTGGCGATCCCCTTCAGAAGGATGTTCTGTGGGACCAACTCGTCCCCTCGAACTGAGATTTTATTGAAGCTTTTCTCTTCGATGATTCTGCCTAGATCGTCGTTCAGCATCAGCATGGAAAGTTTCTCTTGGAATGCATTGAATCGGGTGGAAGTGCGTAGGAAACTAGCATAGCGGTGTGGTCCAGGGAAATTTCCAATATTAGTCATTTCCGAGCACTCGGGTTCTGCCGGTGGATCCATGTTCGGAAGAGACTTCTGGAAATCGATTGTTGGCAGAGAATGCGAAGCGATTCGGGAAGACAATATATGAATGCAAATCGCGAGGGAACTGTGAAGAAGAAAAGCGAGCGAATATGGTTCGTTCTCCTATTTTATGCATTCAATAAAACATCGCACGAACGAGATGTACAGGAGAAGGAGAGACGGTGAAAAAACGGGCGGTGCGGCTCCGATTTTGAAACGATATGATCGGAGTGGCTTTATGGGAACTTACAAAAGCGAGAAGACGATTTGCATAAAACAAAAAGCACGCACTGCGGTGGGGCGAGAGAGGAAACATTCGCTTCGACGAAGAGCAATGCCAGCCCTTCTTTGAGAAATCCCTGGAACAAAGCTTTAAATGATAAACTTACAATACCAAGGATTGAAAAGTGAATGGAAATTTGTCAAAAATCATTTGAAAAAACCAAAATCATGTGCCATAAACTACCATTACTTCGAATCTCTTCCACTTTTTACGAATTCGTGTTTATTTTCTGATTCAGAGTTCGTAAGATTGTAATTTTCTCACCCTTTATTTAAAAAAACCACATGACAGGCAAAGCAATGAAAAATGTGCATAAATACAAGAAAAATTACGCGAAGAGATGCCTTTATCGGAAAAATTATTACAGTTGTCTCTCAAAAATTTCTGAGCAGCAAGTTCGGATTTTAAATGCTCTTCAATTCGATCTTGGTGACCGACTCCTTGGACAGGGTGTAGAGATCCAGTCCGTCGAGGACGTGAATTCCCTCAGGCACAGTCTCCGACTGCTCGACCCAAGTCGGAGTCTCGTTCTCGTCGAAAACTCCTTTCAGGACCCAGACTGCTCCATAATGAGAACTTCCGTACATTCCTGCAAATGAATATTGTGTCCACTTTGCCGAAAGTCAGTTAAAGTACCTTGTTGCACGGTTCCGGCTGCGACAATCCACGATTTTTGATTGGCGGCAGAGACGTTCGGTCCACTGAAACAATATTTGGGAAGCTCGGAGTAGTCGCCCTCCACTTGGATGCTGCGGACAGTTTTGGTCTCTAGATCGAAGATGAAGACTCTGCTGTTCTCCCAACGGAATCCGCAGCCGTGGACTCCGTAGCTGATCAGAACCTTGTTGCCGAGAACGTCGGCAAGAACAGTCTGTCCTCTCTGCAATACAGTATTGAGAAAAAAACATTTTCAAATTGTTAACTCACCAATGGGTTTGAGTCTTCCGGGATATTCGATTTGAGCTCAATAAGAGCTTTGTTTCCATCGAAAGTCAGCGAGTAAATAGGAATGGCTGCGCTGTCCTCGGTCACAACAAGAATAGTCTCTCCCTTGTTGGTGACGCCACCGGCAGCAATCACTTGAGTACGATGCTGCTCTTCAAGCGACTTCACAGACGGAGCCTAAATAAATTAAAGCATTGCACAAAATACTTCTAAACGGTGGATACCGTGAGACTGAGCTCGACGAATTGGTTGTTCTCCCATCTGAACAGGCTCTTGAAATGAACAGATCCGAAGTTGGCGAAGATGAGCAAGTAGAGTTTGTCTTCGCGGACGAACAGAGTCTCCTCCGCGTTCTCATCGCCAACGAGTTGAGCGAACTGAAAATAATCATGTAAACCTCCATAACAACGGAAACCCACGTCATGACGCTCCCAGTTATGTCTCTCCTTGTCGAAAGTGAGCACGTAAGTACCGGCGAAAGCAACACGGTGTCCCCAGTTGTGAGTCGACTGCTCGACATCTGAAAGTTCAAATAGTAATCATTGATATACGTAGTCGCTGATAAACTCACATTTGCGTCCGACCAGAGTCAACCTTCCGTCTTGCACGAATGCGTAGTGGTTGTCCTCCAATTCTCCCAAATGACCGAATCCGTCGCCAACTTGTTGAGCCATTGTGCACTGGAAGAGGAAGAGAATGAGACAGGTAGTTGTACTGCTAATTCTGAACAAACACGACGTTTATATACGGGAATCGGCGGGACGGAAGACGCGGAAGTAAAAGTTGAAAGAAACGCCAGCCGTTCTTCGTTTCAACCCGAAACATGTGTCCTTCTCTTTCTATTTCGTAGAATGAGACGTTTTTGCGGTGAAAAGGAACCGGCTACGGCCATAGGTCGATCAAATTACGGCTGATTTTTATATTTGGAATCAGAAAGCGGAACAGTTTTTTGATAACAGCCTCGAATGACCGATATCGAGCGACTGTTTTCGTTTTTAGAAAGGGCTGAATCATCTTTCAATTTGTTCTAGAAAAAACAAATTACGAAATGTTTGTTTTAGCTTCCGAAAAGCCAGAATTAACCAGAAATACGGCGAAATGCAATGATGAATTATTCCTAACAACTAGTATACGTGTCGGGTGGCCGATCGATAAATGCACGCGGTTTTTGGGTGAAAAAATAGCCGGGAATCGGAATATATGGCTGACGACGGGGTCCAGTTTTATACACGAATGTTTGCAATGTGGCGAATGACTCAGTGTGGGAAAACAAACACCATTGCGAAATACTTTCACTTCATTTCTCTGAATGGAAATCAAAAGTTGTTTTGTTATCCGGTGAACATCGCATTCATGACATGGAATACATGATTTATCAATGGAATGCTCATAAACTTCAAAGTGACAGGTCGTGTCAATTTTCTAAAGCGAACTTTGCAAAAAGCGCTCTATTCACCATGCTGAGCAGCCAAACAACATCGGTTGCGGTGTTTGTGCGGAATATTCGGGAAAAAACAGCAAGAGATTACGGCCATTTTCAAATAACCTGTTCGAAACAAATCCTCGCAACGATTGGAACCGATTCACTGGAAAACAGCTAAAAACCCTCGAAATTCCGGCCGTATTCATCCTTTTTGGTCTCTTCAAAACTTCATTCCTGTTGTTTTCTTCGCACAAATGAACTTTGACGTGTTCAACGTGTTTCATTGGAGTGCGAGGCGGCTAGAGAAACGGCAACTGTCGGGCGGTCAGACCCGCCGAGTAGTCCGCCAGTAATCGACGTGGTTGCACGCACAAGAGCGCTCCATTGCGAACGACCTCAATCTACTCTACAGGCCGCGCGGCTAGAAACGCAGCACGAGGTCAATGTTGCACAGTGGTCCGCCGCTCATCAGCCATTCCGCTCATTTGGTCTTGGTCTGGACGGTCGGTCCGCTCGTCTTCTCGCTGTCCTCTTGCTATTCGCTGTCCTGCAATGTCATCTGGGCAAACGCGCTCTGATGTACCCTGCGCGAAACCTCTCAGTAAACAACTCGCTCTTCTTCGCTTCAAAAACACTGCGATAACCGTTTCGTTTGCTACAAAATCAAAGAAGAATCACTGCTATTGATCGGCCGCGGTCACTCCTCTATTGTCGCCTTATCGGCGGGCAAACAAGTCGGTTACCTAATGTTCATATCTCAAACCCCGTATACTGCCCGAATTGAAGAAAACGAAAAGAAGACGGCGGCGAATTCTCTCTTCAGAGGGCCTACGTGCTTCCCCCCCGATGCGTCCATCTCTATCTCTTCTTCCCGTGACCGCGGTGCACTCCCGCTGTTGTTGGCGCGTTTCTCTCTCCTTTTCTCTTCTTCTTTTCTGCGCGCTGCAATCTTCTAAATGTCACGCACACAACGTTGTTGCACTACTCTTGTCGGACCCTTTTCGTTTCTCAAGCAATAACCGCTCAGTCCTTCTTTCCCCTTTGCAACTCTCAAAAACTTTTTCTTCTTGCAGAGCCTTGGGTATGTTGTCCCGTTTCGCTCGCCAACTGGCTGTTCCAGCCTTCCAGGGTGTTCTTCACGTGAGTTTGGACGCAACCGCGGCTTCTAGACCAAATCAGATTTTAGCCAACCCGCGCCACGAGCTCCATTGCTCACACCATCAAGGTTGCCAAGAAGATCGATGAGACCAGAGACAAGGCTCTTCTCGGAGGAGGAAAGAAGCGCATCGACGCTCAACATGCTCGCGTTAGTGACCGTACTTCTGTTTCATTCAAACGTCGTTGATTTTCAGGGAAAACTGACTGCTCGCGAACGCATCGACCTGCTCCTGGATAGAAGCACCTTCCGCGAGTATGACATGTTCGCTGAGCATACCTGCAACGACTTCGGCATGCAGAAGGAGAAGTACCCGGGAGACTCTGTCGTCACTGGACGTGGAGAGATCAACGGACGCACAGTCTTCGTCTTCTCCCAGGACTTCACCGTCTTCGGAGGATCCCTCTCTTCCATTCACGCCAAGAAGATCGTTAAGATTATGAGAGAGGCCATGCTCGTCGGTGCCCCAGTCATCGGACTCAACGACTCTGGAGGCGCCCGCATCCAGGAGGGAGTCGAGTCTCTCGCTGGATACGCCGACATCTTCCAGGAGAACGTTCTTGCCTCGGGAGTCGTTCCACAGATCTCTCTGATTATGGGACCATGCGCCGGAGGAGCCGTTTACTCGCCAGCTCTCACTGACTTCACCTTCATGGTTCGCGACACCAGTTACCTGTTCATTACTGGACCGGACGTCGTCAAGGCCGTCACCAACGAGGAGGTCACTCAGGAGGAGCTCGGAGGAGCCAAGACCCACACCGTCACCTCTGGAGTCGCCCATGGAGCTTTCGACAACGACGTCGATGCCCTCATGAGTCTCAGAGAGCTCTTCAACTACCTCCCACTTTCCAACACCGATCCATCCCCGATCCGTGCCGCTGAGGACCCATGGAACAGATCGGTCCCGTCTTTGGATACCGTCGTTCCGCTGGAGAGCACTGCTGCCTACAACATGAAGGACGTGATCCACGCTCTTGTCGATGAGGGAGACTTCTTCGAGATCATGCCCGACTACGCCAAGAACCTGGTCATCGGATTTGCCCGCATGAATGGTCGCACCGTAGGAGTGGTTGGAAACAACCCGAAGTTTGCTGCCGGATGCCTCGACATCAACTCATCCGTCAAGGGAGCCCGTTTCGTCCGTTTCTGCGATGCCTTCAACATCCCACTCATAACTTTGGTTGATGTACCCGGATTCTTGCCAGGTAAATTGATGACTACGCGGTACAGATGGTTATGTATCTCTTTCAGGAACTTCCCAAGAGTACGGAGGTATCATCCGTCACGGAGCCAAGCTTCTGTACGCTTTCGCCGAAGCTACCGTCCCGAAGATCACTATCATCACCCGCAAAGCCTTCGGAGGAGCCTATGACGTCATGGCTTCGAAGCATCTTCGTGGAGATATCAACTACGCGTGGCCAACTGCTGAGGTCGCTGTGATGGGAGCCAAGGGAGCCGTCTCGATCCTGTTCCGCAACGACAAGGAGCACGCCGTGCAGCACGAGGAGGAGTACACCGAGCTGTTCAGCAACCCGTTCCCGGCCGCCGTTCGTGGATTCGTCGATGACATCATCACGCCGTCGGATACCAGAAAGAAAGTGTGCGAGGACTTGAACATGCTCGAGAGCAAGAAGCTCACCAACCCATGGAAGAAGCACGGAAACATTCCACTCTAAATGATTTCCCCCTCATCATAGCCCTATTTCTGTTGCCATGCAGTCGGCATCGTCCGGATAATCACGTGTTTATTTGTGAATCTTCTATCCACCACCACCCACTATTTTATGCGCCATTTGCGTATTTGCTTATTGTAACTGTCTCACTTCTTTTTGTAAAGTCATAATTGAAGAATTGTATTTATTACTGTTTTCAGATAAATAGTAGAATTGAGTGTTATTAGTACGAGCTTTTGTGGTTCAGTAAAGGAAGAGTGAAGATAACAGTGAGATGATCATTAGAGAACTCCGAAGAACTTGGCCACACTGGTCAGAATGGCTCTCTGCACTGGAGGAATGACTTGTTCGACGTCTTCAACGCTTGGAATTTGCAGTTTTGGAAGATCCTCAAGCTTTGGAAGAGTCATTGGTGGCAGTGTCGATGTGATTTGGATTGGAACCGCTGGTAGTGCAGCAACTGGAACTTGAGGAACTCCGGCGGCAACAACAGGCTGGACCCCGGCGGCTGGGACCTGAGGTGCTGGCGGGAAGATCATCTGTTGTGGGAATGGTGGCAGTGGGACAAAGGCTATTTGTTGCTGCTGCTGCTGCTGTTGTTGCTGCTGATTCGCCAGTGCTGCAACCCAAAGTTCAATGATCCTAATGTGGCAATTGATAGGTCACCTTGTTGCTGAAGGGCCTGTTGTTGCTGCTGAAACATAGCGGCGAATGGGTCTTGGTAGTACTGTGGCTGCTGAGCTTGTTGTTGGCTGTACTGTGGCTGCTGAGCTTGTTGTTGGCTGTACTGTGGGTATCCAGAGTCTGAAAAGCAACAATATTTTCATTTTTCTGTGATTTCACTGTTACATTGTCCGTTCTGGGCAACTCCATAGGCTTGCTGAGAGAATTGTCCATAATTGGTGGCGACATTGTTCGTGTTTCCATTCACATACGGACCCTGTCCCTGAGCAGCTTGTTGATTTTGAGCTGTGTATGGCTGGATATTGATAGTTGGGGCGGCGTGCTGATAAGTCTGTGGCACTGGCGCGGATGGCTGATGAGTCGGGACAGCAGTGGTTTCCTGCTCAACTGCAGCGGCCGCCTCGACAATCGTGTTCTCCTGTTTCTTAGTATCCAAAATAGTTTGTTCCTCATCGAAACATGGCATTCTCTTGACAGTAGCCACATAGACAACGCTAAAAGTTTTACGCTACTCCAGTGCGATACAATCGGTCAGACTCACGTTCCGTTCTTCGAAACGGTCTTGCTCAGATTGGAGATGTAATCGAAAGCAACCAGTTTTTCGTTTTCCAGAACCTCTCCTCCAACAACCAATTGTCCCTGTTTCACGACGGCGTTTCCGCGGTCTTGTGAGTTGATAAGGACTTGATAGCTGCAGCATTTGATCTTAACGTAAAAAAGATTGTCACTTTCGCTCGGCGGTAGATGTTTGATTGAGGCGTACCTCGAGTTTGTCGGTGAACGGATCCGATTGTGGCGAGAGACCTCCGACCCATTCGCCCTCCTCGCAGCTATTCGATTTGTATTCATCGGTGCAGATCTAATAGAACAAAACGATGTTCGAACGGTATTGTCGAGATTTTAATGGGATTACCGCAAGTTGTGGAACAAAATTTGGATTCTTGCTAGGGTTTCTGATGAATTGGTCGGATCTTCTCAAGTATCCATCGTCTTTTGCGGCTACTCTGTAGAACTGAGCGGTTTCACCAGCTCGAGTTCCATTAGCTGTCCATCCAAAGCATTTTGGTCTGGCACACCCGAGAACTGGGAATCCTGACCGCAAAACCTGTATGGAAAAGTATTGAACTCATCTGCTCAATGATTTCTCACTTGGAAGGTGTATGGAATGGCCGACTGTCCACAGTAGGAAGCTAGGAGCACTGGTAGAAGTGCGGAGGCGAGAAGGATCCAAGTTTGCATCCTGGAACAATTGGCAGGACGTCGTCAGCGAGAAACGATTTGGACTGCAATGAAAAGGCGGGCGTGGGAGGGACAACGACGTCTCGACAACGACAAGAAAATAAGGTCATCAAAATGAATTCGCTGCTTTTCCTGCATATCTCCCGTGTTGCTGCGCGCGGATCGGCTGTCACTCCTCCTCAGATTCGTCGAGATAAGGCAAGTGAAAGTCTCTGGACACGGCGAGGGGGCAGCTTGTCTCGTATACAATTCTATCAGTGCAACACTTTCACTTGCCGTGTTTATCGCCAATAATCCGGATCGAGCGATTCAGTTTTTTCACCCTAATTTTCATCAAGCATGAAGCGATGATTTTATTGAAGAAAACGGATTCGTCACAAATCAAGAACGTGGCGGCGGAGACGACCCGTACGCTTATATTACAGAAAGTGGGAGTCGGAAGTGTTTAATAGAACATTACAACATTACTAGCTGGCATTTTTTACCTAGATGACAGATGGCTCGATTAGTAAGTGTCGGTTTTGAATAAATTAATTAAAACGGTACATAAAACATTTTAGTGTTGCTGTGCAATTTCAGAGAAAAACTGTAGCACGTTGTCGGTGGAAACTTCGAGTTCGATTTTGGAGCCTGGATAGCAGGTGACTATCAGTTTGTTGTATTCGGCGATCTGTTTGATGAACTGCTCCTGAAACCAGACAATCTTTTCCGCGACATGAAAATGTGGGTCATACCTGCATGTCTCGCCAGACAACCTGAAGAAGAGATGAATTGGCGACCAAGTTCTTCTCAATCTTCTTGTAAAGCTGTTCAAGTCCTTTCTTCACTTCTTTTCCGGGATGTTGAGAAATAACCTTAAACTGGGAAGCATTGCTAGTGCCTACGTTTTTCGACGTTACCTTCTTGAGTTCAATTCGACTGAACTGTTGCTGATAGGATACCTCATCTGGACGGATTCCTTTCAGTTCAATCGCATTGGTCACATTGTCGAAAAATGTCTACAATGCATATTTTGTTTCCACGTGCCACGTGGTTCCTCCCCACCTGAATTTCCTTGAGCGGTCGTCCCATGAACTCCTTGACGTACGCGTCAATGTGCTCTTCCTTCAGCGCCTTCGCATCTTTCCTCTGCTGATCGAGGCACGTGATTTTGAGCTCAGAAAGTGTCACTGAAACAAATATTATAAAAATTGAGGCAACTTTTATTGTCCGTACAATAGAGCTCGTGATAATTCTCAAATTTGACCACAGACGGAGGCGATTTGCTATTCGGATTGGCCGCCGCTTTTTGAATTCCGTCACAAACGGCACGGCACAAGTTGTAGTATCTGAAAATTGAAGAAATAACGTGCAGAAGCTGTATTGGAATCACTGACGCCTTCTCCAAATCGGTTCTCCGCTCGGCATTCTCAAAAATGGATTCCGCGCGTCTCACAAAGTTCGCGAAACGATAAATCGATGGGAGAATTCCAACTCTCGTTTTCTTTGCGATACGAACTTCCGAGTATTGTGTGCATTCCATATTCTGAAAAAATATTTACTTTTTTGCTTTAGAGATGGATCCCTCACGATGAACGTGTCAAACTGGCGTTTGATGAGGACCACCAAACTTCCAAAAGTAATCGAGAAATACGAGCTGGGGTCTTGTGGAAGCAGTACTTTTTTCGACATTATCACGAACAATAGCAGGACGTTGCTGGAAATAATCAAGATTGTGAATACCTAAAAGATTAGTTATGAGTACCTGGGGTTGTTTCTGCAGATTGCACGGCAGAAACTATCCAAATGGATGTTGAGCGACTCGAACAGAGCGCCCATCACATGTCTGACCTGGTCGTTCATGTGCTTCTCCATGTTGCGGCCTCCGAGACTCGAACTGTCGCCACTTCCAGTCGATGTCGTCTCGAATTGAGCCAGCAATTCCGAGTTGATGTGGAAGAAACGGACGACGAACTTCTGCTCGGCGTCGATCACGGCGCTGAGCTCGGCGAGGACTGTTTCGATGAGCTGCGGGAGAATCTCAATGTCCACTTCACTGGATGCGCTCAAGAAGCTCTGGTTGTCAGATCGGATGGATGTGTTCGCAGAATCCAACCCTTCTGAAATTACGGCACATGTTTCTCATCCTGAGCGTGAGTTTTCAACTCACTTGACTTCTTTTCGGAACCAGATGCCTTTGGGACTTTGCTGATGAGAGTATCGAAAAAGTTGTCGAAGAGACGTTTGTAGAGCAGATTCGTGCTGTCAATGTACTTTTGGAGGACCAGAGCGCAAGCTTTGGGGCGGTTTGATTTGAGCCAATTGATGAGATCAGAGAGCGGTGAGAGAGCTCGGAATCTCTGAGATTGCTTCGGAACGCACAGTTCGTGCCACTCGTGGTCGAGAGACAGATCGTTCTGAAATGATTCTGGTTGAGAGCCAGAAAACCGACTAGGAATTCCTTACCAAGTTGGAGAACAACGCGGAGAGGTGAGACATGAGCCGATCTACGAAGATGTCAATAGCCGAGAGCTCATTGTTCCGGTCCTGGTAAGCCTTCATCTGAAGCATTGGTTTCGAGATTCTGCCGTGCCAGAACTGCGCAACGGCACGAGCGGCGTCCGTGCATCGTTGAACACTGGAAACCAATACATCTTATTAAATGTCTCACTCTTTTTGCTATTTACCTCTCCGGATTGCTGAAGTTGGCTTGTTTCAACGTCTCAATGTGCAAATCGGTGACTGCTTCGAGTGAGCGGACGAACGAAATGACCTCGTCGTTTAGCCGATGCTTGTTCCGCCTTTCCACCACAGAAAGACTGTCCTTCTCCTCAATCAGCTCGATACTGTTTCTCACAAACTAGAAATATCTGAATTAAGTGTTTTACTTCAACTTTGGCTAACCGCCAAAATGTTATCGCATCGATCGAGCTCCTTTTCCACCGATTCGACTCCACTGAGCGCGGCGTCAATGCTGGAGAGCAGATTATTCACAGAGTTCTCACTGTCCATCATTGAATTGATATTGGCTCCATCCAGAGATTGTAACTGCTCAGTGAGCATCTGAAACACTCACTGGATCGAGCAGATCCCTGGGAATTTGACACACCTCTGCAAATTTGTAAGCGTCTCCAATGGTCAGATTCGCTCTCTCGATGAGTTTGCGGAAATCTGCGTCTTCTTTCGAGGAAATTGGCTGATAGTCGCTTTGCATTGCAAGATCGTGCTCTGGGAGTTCGATCGGAATGATTGAGGTCTCCGTTTCGATCAAGGGGATGGAGACATTGCAGAAGTCTGGCATTTGAACGGGAAGATATTGAGAAGCGAGCTAATAAAAGAAAGTCTTCAAATGAACTGTGCGAATGTGAGGGATACCTTGTAAAGCTCTCGAATGAATTCATCCTTCTCTTCAGCGGAACCTGCCAGAATAACGTACTGATGATCGCCGATGGTTATGTGGAACTCGGGAGACGACTGTAATAGGAACCAGACTTTCAGAAGTGTTCTCAATTATATTGTGTACCTTTTTCGGGTTGATTCCATCGATTTCCCGCACTTCTCGCAAGTTGAATCTGTCCTTCTTCTTGAATGTGTCATCTTTCTCTCCTTTGACGAAATACAACCGAACGGCAATCGGGTGCTCGATAGTCACTGAAAACAACATTCACCCGTAAGTTTTTTAAAATCAATTTTCAATGCACACCTGCTAAGCACAAAAGAGTTTGGTGTTTTTTCTTCTTTCCATCAAGTTTTGAGATGTTCACAATGGCCTGAATGCGTTCATCGTCTTTCTGGAAGAGTTGACGTTGGATGATCTTCCTTATTGCAGACATCTGTTTCTGAAAATGACGAAAATTTGGCTAAATATACGAGAAAATGGTACACAACTGAAAATCAGTAGTGGTTCAGAGTGCACTGTGCGCGCGTCAAATGTCTGTGTCTCTTCTCTGTGCGTTGTCTTTTCGCAACAACAAACGCGTCAGCAACGCTGCCTTGACGCACCGAGCTCAGCTAACGCTTCTGGAGGCCCGGCGAGAACTAATGTAAAACAGCCTAAGAGCATAAAAATGAATAAAAGAGATACAAGATCACTTTTTCAGAATCCCCATGAAATTTATTCAGAAACCACTTGCGTGCGATCCTTCCCATTCACCGCCCTCTCTGTGCTTTCCACGGATTTGTGCTGTCTCCAGAACGTTTCTACAGCCTTGTTCATGCTTCTCAGAATCCATTCCCTTCACAATTCCACAATTGCAATTTCGCATACTCCGAGAGCAACCTCAACAGTTTCACTCTACTTTTAGACACGAAGAGATTTCGACGTGAAGAAGCTGAGTAAATTTCATGGGGATTCTGAAAAAGTGATCTTGTATCTCTTTAATTCATTTTTATGCTCTTAGGCTTTTTTACATTAATTTTCTCTTCGTTTTTGTTGAAATCTCTGTCAAAATCCAACAAATGCAACTTTCTGCTAAAAAAAGGCGCGGTACAATGCTTCAAAAACCGGCGGGTGTCCGCCGGGCCTCCAGAAACGCTAGCTGAGAGGGGCCGGCACACGTCCTCTCGCCCTCTTTCGTTTGTTTATCGGATTCGATGAGTAAGAGGTTCTTTTTTGAATGGAGAATTCGTTTTTTGACACTTCATTGTGGCAATAATAAATAAATAAAATAAATAGAAAACCTACTCTAACCACGTGAACGTCATGAGAAGGAAGGAATCAACAGGTGGATACGACAAGCTGAGCTGTAGTTGAGAGATGACAGGAACAGTCAAGTCAAAGATATTGACGAGACAAAAAATAAATTAATTACAACAAAACACAGCTCGATTAGAACACTTGGAAGGTTGGGACGTTTGACGATTGACTTCAGACGAAATGGAGGTGATTTATTTTTGTGAGCCGCTGCGGACTGGGTAAACGGCCACCAATGGCGGGGCGTCAGTGCGACGGATAAACGAGTTCGGGGGTCCGGAAAGGACCACTTGAGGACCACGGTAGTTGGCCGGACGCGGGTACTTCTAAAAACAATAAAAGGATTTTATGGAATAGTGGTCATCATTAACTGACCGCGCTGAAATAGCTCTGAGTGTACGGAGCCACAAGCTTGCGCTGGGGCGCCACGAGTGTGTACGGAGCGGTCTTGATCGCACGAGTGTTCACAGTGTTCACAGCACGCGAACGGGTCTTTCTGTAATTGAATTATTGCATAGATTGCTTCGACGACTCAAAAACTGACCCCTTCGCGGGCATGTTGTTGTAAGTGAGCGTCCGGTAAACGGTCGTCGGTGGAGTGTACGTAATCAGCGGGATACGCTTGATGTGTTTCCCGTAGATGAAGTCGCTCTTCATACAGCGAATGAGGTCCTCGTGCTCCACATGGTCGTGCTGAAAACTGGTACTCAAAATACGATTGGATCGTCGTTTGCACTAACAATAGCCAACAACTCCGTTTTCGCGTGGTGGTACACGCTCAGTCCAATACTGCCGGAGAAAGCAGCTTGGAGCTCGCATTTGGCGAAGGCAAAGTAGGCCGCGGTCATCACCGTTTTCTTCTCCCGACTATGCAGGAATTTCTTGATGAAGTCCGTGGACCGTCTGGTGACTGCCTGAAGGAAGAACGTCAGTCCTTGCTTCCGGATGTTCGTATAGGTTGCATCGAACTGAAATAAAATCAATAATTGTTGCCCGAAAAGATTCCGTTCTCTCACCACTGGCATTTCCCCATCGCCGTGAGTCAGAAGCGAGTGCTCGCTGGCCTGTCTCAGAGTGTCAAAGTGCACGTTGCAGTCAGAGCAGAACCAGCTGAACAATTCCGGATGGCTTTGCGTCTCGTGGTGCTCGAGCGCGAATTGTGAAACGAGCGTCTCGCTGCAGTGTCCGCAGCGGAGCATCGGATACTGCCGAGTCTTAGTGATATTCGCCGTGCTCGAGTTCGGAATCACCGGCACAAACTGCGAGAGAGTGTCGACCTTCCGCGGAACAAACGGCTCCTGCGGCAGGTTCTCGTTGCAGCGAATTTTCAGCGGCGCCGGCACCGGCTCGACGACCGCAGCTGGTTTCTCATCCGGAATCATGTAGCTCTTGACACCCGAGAAGAGCTCCTGGAACACAGTTTCAAACGGCTCTGGCTCGAGTCCGCTGATCCACGGATCGTAGCTCTGATCGACTTCATCCTCGTACATCATCGTTCACACGGCTGAAACAAATCAATTTTGCAAGACTCTGAGTATGAATAATGGAGGAGGAATGTGGCCGGGCGCGATGAATAAGCTGGAGCCGCTGAGATTTCGCCAACAAAAATCGATCGGCACATTAATAACAAATGTGGGGCAGAGAAAGGATAGGATGAGTACATTGAGAGCGGACGGAGACGTTGCACACACTCGTCGAGGTGAATGGCCGAATAGGTCGAAGTGAGGCGAGCAGAGCATTCCGTCTCGCTCTCTGGCTTGCTATGACTCCACACCACAGCGTGTGCTATCTCGCTGCGGCCACGGCGGTTATCGCGTACGCCGTTCATGTCAAAACAATTGTGTGCGGCGGCCAACGCATCTATCGATCGGCCCCGACAAACAGACGAGAGGGGCGAAGTGAGCTGATGCGTTGGCAACGCGTAGACAACCGTCCAGTGCGGACAGAGAAAAAAAGTAGATTAGAATTGACGCTCGATGCGAACAATTTGGAGGACCCAGGTCAGTAGAAGAGAAAGCGAGCGGAGGCAAATTGGAACATCATCTTATTTGCATGAGGAGAGCATATTACATGTAACACTGGAAATGACAATTTTTGGTGGGCAATGAAATGACAGAGAAAATACAGAAATGGAACAGAAATGGAACAGAAGACAATTAAAGATCATCAGATGGGGTAAACAATAAATAGATAATATATGATGATTCGTACACAAAAAATAATGTGTTATAACTAGCGATCGCGCTCTATCATTCTAATAATAATTTCAGTGTTAAATTGGAAACGTTTTCAGCCTTGGCAAAGTTTTTATGCGCTTGTATGCGCTTCAAAGTTGCGGTAGAGCCCCGCTGATGTAGTCTTACAAACAACAGCGAACAAAATCAATATAAAAAGAAAAATCGAAGGAATTCTCGGTCGAATGTTCAAGATGTGGTGTTCTGAGCAATAGATAATATGGGCAGATGACCATCTGATGCAGTGCTGTGGTTGCCTCCACACCAGTCTCTGGTCGCTGTGGCATTCAGAGTGATATGTCTTGGGAAGGGCGGTGTTTGCTGGAAATTAACGAGATGTAGGCTGAAAGCGTCACTGACAGACATTCTACTCACCGGAATGTTGACAACGGTGTGGACCGGCTGCTGGTTTTGGATCAGATCATATCGAGCGGTGGCCGGAACTTGCTCGGTGTCACAAAATCCGTGTCTAAATCCTCGCCTAGAAAGGCATTATTTGATCACAAAGTGGACCAAATGTGAAACTCACATTTCTAAATTGACTCGAAAAATATAAGGATCATACATGTCGTTCAACGTCTCCCCGTCCATCAATATGTGTTCCTCCATCGCTTGGGCCAACTGAAACGCAAAGGAAAGAAACGTATGCAGAGCAAAGCCGTCTGAGTTGCTTACCACTGCTCCTACGGTGCCTTTTTTGTGATGCTTCTTTTTCAGACAGGCCAATGCTGATTTGTTAATTTTTTTCTCTTCCAACTGAAAATATGAATGTCTAATAAATGATAGTTTACTTTCATTCAAATTTCACGGGCCAAAACAAGAAATACCGCCAATTGAAAGATCAGAGGCTATCTCTACGTATTAGATGATCAAACATTACTTGCTAGGGCATCCGTTTGCCAGTTTTTCTATCGCTATTGCTATTCTAAGCGTGCTTTCTCAAATTTTCAAAAAATGCTCAGTCGCCAATTCCCGAACAGAGTCAATATTGCACACTTACAAGTTGCACAAATTCATTGTGAACGCGCATGCAGTGGTTGATTACATCTCGGCGCGTCACGAACTGACGCTGATCTTCGCAGACAAGGCACTCGTACGCGAAGTATTCCGGGTGCTGATCATTTTCGTGCATCTCGCGTTCGTCGGCCGATTCAAATCGCTGCTTACATATTGAACAGAAGACGGATTTCGATGACTTTGACCTTTCTGCAAATAATTTCAATAGTTTAGTTTATTTACTCAAACTCACTTTTTCGTGGTTTGGGAATGGACGGAAAAGCAGAGTTTATTCGATGGGCCGACGTCTGGGCAGCTAAAAAGTACTTCACAGGAAAGAGCGCCCGCTCAGAGTTTTGACGACCCGTTACGACTTGTTGGTGATACGTCGGAGGAACCTTGAATGGCGCAGTGGGTGTTGAGAATGTCGGTGTTCTGCGGCGGTCGGCAACTGTTTGTGGAGGACGATAGTGAAAATCGTACGCTCTGCCTGATGATCCGATGTTTCCTTGATCGGTGGCCACATTCATCTTCATCTCAAGTTCAGATGGCACGTTGTTCCTAGCAGCACTGCGGACTGTTCTCGAGAAATTAGTTCCAATCGTTGGATGGTTAACAGGATTGCCATGGAGCATCTCACATTTTGCCGGGGCGTTTTCATTCTTTTGCTTTTTGTCTCGCGTGGCCTTCGGCTCTTTGTTCTTCTTTCCATTCCCGATTACACTTTCCATAACATCTGCGAAATGATCAGAAGAAGACGTGTCACGATGATAAACATCCGCCCAGAGCAGCGGTCCAGAGCCAGAAGAATGTTTGTAGGGCAACTTTGAAATATCCACTTGCACGTTTTCCTCATTCTTCCTCTTGTGGGATCCGTTTTCTTTGGGCTGGGTGCTCGAACTGATATGCTCAGCCTCTCTGTACTCGTTCACGGTGTCGTTATTCCCTTCATTGACGTACTTAGCAATAGTTTCACGAACGAGCGATTCATTAAGGTCAAGTATCTGAGATAGCGCGGCAACTGAAACATCGGGATCTTTGTAATGCCTGTTCCGGTCGACGTATGGCGCCATTTCCTGTCCGTCTATCATAAGTTCGTCGATTTTGGGCTTTTTTCGATTGATTCCATTTTGACGTTCGAACATTCTTTGATACAATTTTATCTGCAAAAAAAGCTTTTAAGTGGAGAAAATCAAGATTGAGAAAGGGAAGAAAATAAATGAAAATGTGCCATTTGTCATCTAAACCAACTCCCACCACAAGAACCGGTTCATCCGTGGATTTTTTGAGAAATGAGCAGACGAAATGGCGGTTATCTTATGTGCAGAGGTTTTACGTCTTGGCCAATTGAACAATAACGCAAACGTTCTAACAGGGTCGAAATGTTTCAAAATCAAATTGCCAAAGTTTTACACAACGGAAGTGCCACGTGTTTGTGAGTAGATTGCACGCAAAAAACGACCAGACGCGTCAAGAATACGAACAATCATTTTGGCGGGCAACCTTCGGGTTGTGCGGTGGGGCGCACTTGAGTTAGGCTTTCTCACGGATGCGCATGAGAAAAGAAAGTGTTGGAATTGACCAAATGAAGCAATAATCTTTTGGGGAATTTTATAAAAGTTTTGTATTCTCAATGAAAGAACAGAAACGACGATAATATCGGAAAACCACGTGACCATCAAAAATCAATATGGACGCGACATAGATGGAAGAGGAAATCAGACGCGCAACAAGCGTTGTCTTATCGGTTAGAGTAGAAATGTGCTCCTAGGCAATAATTTATTTGGTGAAAGTGAATAAAACGGTTATGCAAAGTGAAAAGCCATGAAGACCCTTCCAATGAACTATTATTCGACAGTTGACATGCATCGACGGGACATGGAGGGAGAGCGAGATGGATTTTGGGTGCGGGCGAACAGAGAGCTCCGATTATGGTTTTCTACCACGAACACATTTTGTTTCACAGCTTCATCTTCACCCATTCTGAAACAAAATGATTGAAAAGTTAATAGAAATACAAAAAACCGGTCAAAAATAAGTCCGTCCACATTCATCTCGTCTTTGAAATGCTTTTGTACTTCTTTCGAATTGAGATCATCACCCCATACGAATTTCACGAGACCGTAACGATCAGCAATTGTGATTGGATTTCGATCCTGAAAATAAATATATTGCAATGCTCTGGCAGTCTTCAAAAGGACTCACAATCAACAATTCCTCGCTGTGGAAGTTGACGCCTAAAAGTTCGCATCCAGCTGCGAAATTTGCTGCAATTGTGCTACTGTCGGATCGAATATCCTGCAAATATTCGTTTCAAATGACACAATAAAGTCAAAACTTACTTGGAAGGGCATGTATCGATTGGTTGCGCCGACCACGAGGAAAGATACGGGGTACTTGTGTTGCTTTTTAGTAATCCTGAAAGGAACGAATCCCTCTGTAGTCAGAAATTGAGAAAGCCGACGTACATTGTGCAAATATCAGGCTCGAAACAAGAAAACACAATGCGACGATTTCCAGCTTGTTCCGCTACTTCCGCAAGGATGATATCGACAAACTTGTTCTGTTCAAAGTACCCCTGACACTCATGAGTTCCATCCTGAAACATAGAAGTTAGTCCCCCAATCCCAGTCGGTCTTGTCACCTTCATATACATCGGATATTTTATCTCAATATTCAAGCCGACATTCTCGTCAACATTTCGTAGTACTTGTGCCAGCGAGGGAAAAGGTACGTGCATCTCGTCCGTTTCGTTTTTGCTCGGTGTAACAGAAAGAGCAGCGACGGGCGAATCGGCCGAGCCATTCGCACGGGAAATGTGCTCAAAGTGCAGCAGTTTGAGCTGAGCCAGTGTCAGGTCCTGAAGGCATAACGTGTCTACTGAGAGAAGGAAAACAGAGTCGAACTTTGATTGCAATCTCCTGCAGAGACTTGTTTTCGCCGTTGGCAGGCGGTGTGTTGTTTGGAGAATCTCTTCCGGCAACAGTGACCAGAACGTGGAAATCGTGATAAACAACTGTTTTCAAGTCCTGAAAACGTTTAGTGGACCCAGGCACAGAAAGAAGAAAGGTACTTTTGTGAGCTGAACATCGAGTTCCACGTAGTCGGCTCCTCGTCTCGCTGCTTCATTCAGTGAGAAGATGGTATTCTCTCGTTGGTCAATGTTTCTGAAAAAACGTGTTCATGAAATCATTTTATCGTTTTTGTGCTACTTTGTGTAAGAGCTGCCCATTCCTCGGTGTCCAATCTGCAGCATTCGATTCCGTTTTCGCCAATAACGTCCAAACGTCTCCTTCGTCGAATCGATTTGAGTCAGTTGGTCAGCATACTGACTGCGTTTCACGATCATGTAATCAACTAAACATTGCATTTAGTACATACATGTTCGAATTGATGGCAAACCGTGAATATGGCCGACGGGTGCGCTGCTGAGTCCGATGACCGGGGAGACTGTGCCTCCATGTGTTCCGGACATGCTGGACGGAAGAACATACGACAAAGCGCATCGTTTTTCTTTGTGATAGAACTCTATGCGGAACGCCTGAAATACAGCATTTATAGTTAAAATCGTGACGAAACACCAACCAAGTTCTGAAGAGAGACTGTCCGTGTGCGGAAGACGAGGTAGTCTTGGTCATTACGGAAAACCGAACCGTTGAAGTATTGATCGCCGAAAATTGGGTCTTCTCTTGTCAAGACGGATAAATCCGTGTTTGAGAAGCATGGAAGTTCGGGTGTTGGCAGGTTGACCACGTCTTCTCCATCGATCTGAGCAAATGAGCGGTATGACTGAGTTTTTTTGGGGAATAATGAACTGAACTATCTAAAGAGTTCTCACAAATACAACATTTCACCTACAGACATGGAGGCATACACCGAGGAATGCCTCCAAATCGCCCGACGGTCTGTCATTTCCCTACGAGAATAGGAAAACATCTGAAAACACCGGATTGCTTTCTTTTCCGGATCATAAACTCAAAAAATCAATACATACTTCGCTGTATCGGACGTCGAATGGTTCTACTTTCAGTCGGACCTCCTTGTTAGCATAACTTCTCACGAAAAACTTCAGTGCTTCCCCGTGAATACGGAAATAGACGACATTTTCTGAGTCGTTCAAAATCCAACCGTCCGAAATTTGTGTTTTTCCACCTAAAATGAAATGGTTTTCAGATGAAATCATCAATTTCAGCTGGTTTCATAATAAAAACAGTTTACTTGCCACTGCCGAGCGCTTTGAAAAGAGAAAGAACGGTATTACCGTAAGAACCAAATTGATCAGTGATATTTTCTCTGGCGATCCCATTTCTGTGTTCGACGTCAATTAAGCAAGTTCTTGGGCTGTTGAACGTTTCCCATCTGAAAATTACCGTTCATCTTCTTCGTATCCCCGGAAATCTGCGTCACTCGGTAACCTAGGTTCGAGCGCGCGCTCGGCTGAGTCACTGCTATCTAATAGAAAGCTTAGAGAAAAGCTCACTTGGAGAGAATCATAATTGGTTCGGAGATGCCATTTTCCGACGGATCCAAGTGAGAAACGCGCAGATAACGGAAGTGGAACTGTTTTACAGTAGTCGGAACGGAGATGGCGCCGTAGAATGTGTTCCTGAACAAATATCACATTTCTAATACTCTCACTTCTTTCTTACTCTTCTTTTTCAGATTTGGTCAACGGAAACGATTTCTTGGGATACCATTCGCCGAGAACAGGCAAGCTGCCCACGACGTGCACGTGCTCCCATTCTTTGATTTCCGCGCAGTGAACTTTGAAATGTGCTGTGTAGGTTTGGTCCATATAAACTAGTGGGTTAACTGGAAAAATACGAATATTATGATTGGGTTCACTGGAAAAATTAACAGATGGAAAGGAGGTATTAACAGAAGGAAACGAAGAAGCATGTCGTGATTTTGATAGCGTGATAATGAGTTTCTTATCACACTGTATGAAAAAAAACGTGCGACATACAATCACAGAAAAGTCCGCTGAAGACAAAAGAGAAGAACCGAAATCAATCTTCGAGTGTGAAAGCAATCATTCGGCGCTGCTCAGGACCGAGTGCGGCAAAACAACACGGAACAATTTATTAGGCCCATTTCGTGTTTTTGGCGGACAGAAAAGATGTTGGCGGTGGTACGGAGAAAACAAAGCGCGGTTAGAGTCTTTTGCGGCAACGAGTGCTTATAAAACGGATCAAATTTCGATGTGACTCTTTCCGCAAATTTTATGTGCCACGAAAACATGAGAATAAAAAAAAGGACCAAATTCTGTTTCATCACTCTACGTCACAACCAGCACTTTTTGGCTGGATCGATGAGATGAAAGGAAATGGGAAAAAGAGAGGAGAGCGACGGCCTCGGAGGAATTGGAAGAGCATGCACAAAAAAGAAAAGAAATGCGTGAAACGGAGAATCCAGCATGTCGACCGCGATCTGCTTCACTTCCCACGTGCCTGGTTTTTCCGCAAAAGCGGGCAGACTTCGTTAGTGTCATGCGTACATCATACACGCGTTTCGGAGCGGGAAAAATAACGTCACTTAACAACAGGTTGATGGATTTACACCACGTGACTTCTTGTTTTCATTGCGTCAAATGTATCCACCGCTTTCGACACGTGGGGCTACTGAGAAGAGAGAAAGGTGGCAAGGAGGAATACTTGCGGCAACATGTGCTGAGAAAAACGAGAGGCGCGAAAAGATTCGAGTGGAATTTGTAAAGTTTGAGTGCACGCGCACCCGCTGCCAAGCTAAACACACGAACTTTTACGCGCATCTCAACATGCGGATTTGATTATAATGCGCATTGCGAAAATCGAAGGATGATGCAAACGAGCGCAACGAACAACGCGAGGCAACAATCAATAATCGCCGCTGTCATCTTGACGGACCTCATCGCCCGAAGAACGGTCCATCTGAGTGCATTCTGGAATGCAATCTGAGAGCAATTCGCCTTCTCGCGTCCGTCCACAACTGTCGAGAAAGTATAGCGGCTTGGACGGTTTTCTATAGCTGAAAAATAACAATGCTCGAACTATACGATTTATTTGACAATAAAAAGCGAGCGATTACATGATTAGCATGTGAATAGTTCACAAAGAGGCTTTCAATGGAGTGCACGTGAGAACGCTTAAGCCTTGGTGGCGATGTAGGAGATGAGGTCGACGACACGGTTGGAGTATCCGAACTCGTTGTCGTACCACGAGACGAGCTTGACGAAGTGTGGGTTGAGGATGATGGATGCTCCAGCGTCGAAGATGGACGAGTGGGTGTCGGAGATGAAGTCGGAGGAGACGACCTGGTCCTCGGTGTAAGCGAGAACTCCCTTGAGTGGTCCCTCGGCGGCAGCCTTGACGACCTTCTTGATGTCATCAAGGGAAGCTGGCTTCTCAAGACGAGCGGTGAGATCGACAACGGAGACGTCTGGGGTTGGGACACGGAAGGCCATTCCGGTGAGCTTTCCGTTCAGCTCCGGGATGACCTTTCCGACGGCCTTGGCGGCTCCGGTGGAGGCCGGGATGATGTTTTGTCCTGCTCCACGACCGTCTCTCCAGAGCTTTCCGGATGGTCCGTCGACGGTCTTCTGGGTGGCGGTGACGGCATGGACGGTGGTCATGAGACCCTCGATGATTCCGAAGTTATCGTTGATAACCTTGGCGAGTGGGGCCAAGCAGTTGGTGGTGCACGAGGCGTTTGAGATGATGTGATCATTGGCATGATCGTACTTTTCGTGGTTGACTCCGACGACGAACATCGGGGCGTCGGCCGACGGAGCAGAGATGATAACCTTAAAATGAATGCATGTTCAGGTTTGCCACATTCCCTTTTTATACCTTTTTGGCTCCTCCCTTCAAGTGAGCGTTGGCCTTCTCGATGGTGGTGAAGACTCCAGTGGACTCAACGACGTAGTCGGCTCCAGCGGCTCCCCATTGGATCTCAGCGGGGTCTCTCGAGTTGTACACCTGAAAATTAAACATTTTTGATTTTTTTGCTATTGACTCTCTCACCTTGATCTTGTGCTGGGACTTGCCGTCCTTGGTGACAAGGAGATGGTCTCCCTCGTGGACGACGGTTCCCTTGAAACGTCCGTGGGTCGAGTCGTATTGGAAAAGGTAGACCATGTAGTCGATGGAGATGAACGGGTCGTTAACAGCGACGACGTTGACGCTGTCCTTCTCGACGGCGGCGCGGAGGACGAGACGTCCGATTCTTCCGAATCCGTTGATTCCGACACTTGGCTTCGACATGGCTGAAAAAAACTAAGTTCTACAATCAGTCTCTAGAAACTAAGCGGCACGAAAAAAGGTACGACGATCGAATAGCGATTCAAAATGAATGATAACAAAAGAAAACTAAAAAAAGAAGATAGCATGTTTACTGGTCGAGAAAACATGTGCAGTCAGATGATGCAATAGGAAGAGAGAAATGAATAAGAGAGGTCAGGCAAGGTCTATGCATGAAAAAGAAATAAAGACAGAAAAGAGGAGAGCGAGAGAAGGAGCTCTTCCGAAAGAGTGGGCATTTATTTTTTGTCAGTGCCTCCACGGGCTGCCTCAATTTCCGCCAAACGTTGTTGATGATGTTCGAGAACCTGCAAAGTGAAATTAACCAGGGGAGGACGAAAGATTGTTTGTGAGATCCACTGGCCGCCTATCTCTTCACACGACTCTCTCGTCGGTCGAGTCTGGCATATCAAGGTCAATTGTGTAAAGAGATTTGAGAGTAAACCCTCGTCGAGTCACTTCTAGAACACGCCACTTTGAGTGATAAGAGTTTCGGCGCTTGCCATGTGACCACGAAGATGGTCAGACAGCCACGCACCTTATCGTGATCCTGCAGTTCTCTCTGACGTTGGGATATGTCAGCCTCCAGCTTCGACTTCAGGGCATCCAATTGCTCCTTTTGTTGCTTTCGGAAGTACTCCTCTTCCCTCGTGGCTCCAAGCATTCCGAGGGCTCCTCCAGCTTCACGAATCGATCCGCCGGCTCCTCCTGCGTGTCCCACACCCGCGCCATTTCCAGAGCCAGACATCTTTGCCAAACGTCGTCTGAAAACACATTTTGGTTATCATGTTTGGCTGGTTTTTGCGAATTGAGAGCACGTTACCATGGAGAATGTGAAATCGGATTACGCGCTCGCGCGCAGTAAACAACTAGCTGGAGCCGCGAGCGAAAAAAACGCAAAAAAGGAGAGAAAAGAGCTGCCCGCAATATTCAATAAAAGAAGAGAAAGATGGGCAGCTCTCACAAGTTTAAGGCGGCAGAGTAATCTCGTGTGAGAGCGAGGCCCCAGCGACCCATGATGCAAACAGGCCGCAACCGCGAACCGAGCGGCGATGGCCAGAGACCGCCCACTGCCAACGACGATCGATTTTGTTTTTTACACTTCGACACACACACACACACACACACACACACACACACACACTCTGCGCTCGCGAACCGAACGCACATACTCGTGTGTAAACTCTGACCGAGTAGAAAAGAGTACATTGAGCGGAGAGGCGAAAGCGAAGAGAGTGGAAACAGGAGAACTTTGAGACGCCCGAAAAGTTTTCGTGGATGGGAGGAAGGAAGGAAGGCATTCTTATCAACAAATAATTGAGGCCGGAGAAACACTGCAAGAGGCTGCGAATGTGAAAGGACTGACCTTTGTTGTTGCAGAGCGCTCCGTCATTTCCATTTCCGTTGAGGTCCCTCGAGTCGTTGGAGCCGTAGAAGCAAAGCAATAGACTATGCACGTCGAGAGTGTTTCTTTGGCGCCCACTCTCCCGACTGGGGGCCCAGCAATGAGGCGAACAGAGCGAGTGAGAGGAGCGAGTCGGGCGGCCGCGTCGCGCGAAAATGGGCCAACTGCGTGTGCCTCGACGGCCGGCGCAAATCGATGGAAATGCCGTCCACGACGCCGCCGACACACGATTGCTGCCCAACAGCACGTACGCTTTGACGGGCAGAGATTTGAGCAGCTTCTTTCTTCTGAGTAATTCTTTTCGGTTTTCTAGGAGAGCAAGAAAACGAAGAAAAACTTGAGAGAAGAGGAGATTACTCTGAATTTGAAGATCGGCAGTGGTCGGCAGCGGTCGGCAGAGGGAGACACGGAAGAGTCGTGAAGTGAGCGGCGATTGTTTTCAGGGACAACATAGAATGTTTCATATCACTTATCAGTGATCACATGAGTCGTCGAATCTAGAACAAAAACACAACGTTAATCACTTCAGACTGTTTCGGTTTGTTTTGTTTTATGTTTCAAGTTATGAGTCACATCTGAAATTTCAAAAAAAAGAAGCCGTACGTGAGATTCCACAAAACACATGCACGTATGAAAGATTAGGATTAAGAAATTTTGTTCTGCTCTGGTTAACACTCACCGATCACGGAGCTTGCTTTTGTCATGAAAACAGTAGTAGCAGCAAAAAACATTTCCGAATCTGGTTCAAGTGTTCACGATTCAAGTGTTCATTGACATCTCGAATTGAACACTGGTCGAAGAATTGCAGTCTTCAGAATTGCAACTGCATTCTGATGAAAATTTGTTCTGCGACCAACAATCGATTCTGGTCGTTTCAATTCGACAATTCCTTTTTGCACATGTCAAAAGTTCACCGGTTTCACTTCAGTTAGCTGAAAGGAATGAACCGGTTTTCTTGTCGCATCAGCGTTTGATGTTTCGACGGCTACAAAGAACAAAAATAGTGCAGAGGGTATATCGGATTCAACAACACAAACACACCACTAAAATCAACTTTATCAGTGAGATGAAACGCGAGAACAACTGCTGACGTCGCGTGTTTTGCTGCAAGGTAATTGTGCGATGATAAACTCAAAACGTTTTTCCCATTCTACTTTATTTATTTGAAATCAATGCAACTCAGCAGCTATAAATATTCATTCCATCGACATCATCCATCAGTATTTTGCGAAAGCTATACAATGGAGAAGTCAGCATTGGAAAGAGAATGATTAAGGGGAATAAGCATCTCAAAACATTTGCATAGCTGGAATGAAATAGAAAAGTACGAGAAATCAAGAGTAGTTGCAGAACGAACAGTGGCAGGACTATTTCGGGAAAGAAATATAGTATAACTCAAGAATAACTTGCAAAAACGACAGGATTATTTAACTGTTCAATAGCTCAGGAAAATCGATTAAAAGCGGGGCAAATAAGCGTACAATTTTCTCTCTTTTTTGCATTTTATAAAATGACAGTGTAATGTGTGTGTGTGTTGGGAGGAACAAGTGACCAGTGAAGGGAAGAAACGAGAATTAACAGCATATGACGAGGGGCGAGATTAACTCTGGAACAGCGCGTGGACGAATTGCTCGTAGTCGAGGCCTCCCTGAATGGTACGGCCCGAGTTGGCGTCCGTGAACGGCTTCATTCGCTTTATGCAGAATTCAGCCTGCTCTGGCGTCAAGTTCTGGAAAATATAGATTTCAGAAATGCATTTCCTATCTTTGTTTCTCACCGCGTAGAGCTCCTCGGCGGTGACATATGGCCGGAATTCCTTCGAAAGGGCTCTGAACGCCGTCTCGATCTCTTCCGACGACTGGATGTTCTCGGTTTCCTTGCTGATCATAAACGCCATGTACTCTTGCAGGGTCACATAGCCATCTCTGAAAAATAATCGATTTGGAATGCTGCTTTTCGCTACCGGAAGTGCATACCTGTTTGGGTCGACAATATCGAGGATTCTCTGGAATTCTGGCTCCGGCTGTCCCTCGTCCACCATCGGCAGATCGTATCCAAGAGCCCGCAGACAGCTCTTAAATTGCTGGTGGTCGAGTCTTCCGGTCTTCTCCTTGTCGAAGTGTTTGAACATCATCGAGAATTCTCTCAATGCCTCTTCCGTCACTCCTGACTGGTTTCTAGCCTGTATCTGTTGTTCCAGGTTGTGCTGCATTCGCATCGCCAACTGATCTAATTGGTCCCATGCTTGTGCTATGCCAACAGTCGAGTGTTCAGTGTACCTGTAAAATATTTGAACTTGGAAAAGTCTTTTGTCTTTGCTCTGTTTACCTATTGTCCAAGATAAGGTTTCGCTCCAACATAGCTCCCTTCTCTTCAATTTGCCGCAACTGCGTTTTGTTGGCTCTGATTTCGCTGGCCTTCCGTTTCACAGCGTCCAATTGCTCCTCGAGGGTTCCTCCAGCTTCCATCATCTGAAAACAAACAATGAAACTCTGAATGCATGAATCCGATTCAAATAACCAACCTCTTGGCGGGTGTTTGTCAACCAAGTGTGGAAAGCATTCGCCAACTTGGCAAACTCGCGTCGCAATTTGTCGTTCTCCTCCTGTCTTTGATGCTCTTTAGCAAGCTCCTGCTCGCGCTCCTTGATGATTCTCTGCAGGTTGCGCCACGTGTCTTCGAGGGCATCCATGGTGAACCATGTGTATGGGTTGGGTCCCACATTGAACGACTTGATCCGACGATCAAGATCTTGGAGTTGGCGGAAGTCCTCTTCAGCGGAGGACAATGAGCGCTGGAACTCAGCATGGGCGTCGCGCAGAGCACGGATCTCTTCCAAAGAGTTGCATCGAACCGGGTCCGTCAAGTCCTCCTCAGCGTTCTCAAACCATGAGTTGAACGTAGAGGCCTTCTTGGCGAAAGCGAGGTACAGCTCCTCGATCTGCTTGAACTGTTGCTGCATTTTCAGCAACTTCTGACGACGGGCCTCGGAATGGGCGAGCAAGTTCTGCCAGCGCTGGATGACGTTGGTGTGGCGCTTCTCAATAGCCGGCGATTGCAGGTGGGCACTCGACACCAATTGATCCTTGAGCTCGGTGATTCTGAAATTTGCAGTTGACTACTCTGAAATCTGGAATAGTTGTATATACCTTTGGATTCCCTCATGCTCGAAAGCGTTGAGTCCGGCATCGAAAGCCTCTTGCTTGGTGAGAAGGATCTGGACGGAAGAGAGGTCTCTCCCAAAGTCCTCAGAGCGAACTTGTTGCTCCTTCTCGGCAATCCATGACTCGACGACGTCGCACTTCCACATGAACTGAAGGTAAGCCGAGTTGTCACGAAGCTTGGCAAGACGTTTCTCGGCCATGCTCTCAATCTCAACGAGACGAGCACGGAGCTGGTCGCATCTCTGCTTGATGTGCGGAGCATGATGGTTTCCGTTGTGGATGAGGGCGTCTCCCTTGCTGATGAGGTCGGCAACGCGTTGCTTGTGGAGCTCGAGGTCGACTTGGAAAGTGTCGTGCTTCTTGAGAAGTCCTTGGACTCCAGCCATGTTGTCTCCGAAGTTGTCGGATCCCAGGATTTGCTGCTTCTCGTTCATCCAGGCCTCTTCCTCCTCGACGTCTCCCAAGAAAGCTTGGAAGGCTTCCGACTCATCAAGGCGCTTGTGACGGCTTCCGGTAAGATCACGAATCTGTCCCCAGCTGCTCTCCAAATCTTCCATGCGCTTCTTGATCTGGTCCTCTCCAACTCCGGCCTCAGCAGCCGATCTCAGGAGTTCCTCTCCCTTCAGTTTGACAAGGGAGACTTGCGGCTCATGCGATGCGAGCTCAGTGTCAATGCGACGATGCTTGCGACGGAGGTTCTGGACTCCTGGAAGGTCACGTCCGTAATCGTCAGAAGACACAAGAAGCTTCTTCTCCTTGATCCAAGACTCCTCGTCATCAATGTCACGGAAGAATTGATGAACATTAAGGGCCTTGCTCAGTTTGTCACGACGATCAGCAGCCATCTTCTTGACTCCATCGTAGCGGTCGGCGATCAGCTTTCTTCTCTCGGCGATCTGCTGTCCTTGGAATTGGTCGTTCTCAAGGAGCGAATCAGCCTGCTCGTTCATCTCTCCGACACGGTCCTGGTGGGCAATGATGTCAGCCTCGAGGAGAGAATGTTTTTTGAGAAGGTTCTCTACCGAAGCCAAGTCCTTTCCATAGTCATCAGATTGGAGGAGAATCTCAACCTCTCCCAACCAGAACTCGAGATCCTTGACAGCAGCCATGAAGCTTTTCTGCTTGTTGGCCTCTTTGAGACGGTAACTCTTCTCAGTGGTGGTTTTAACAAGCAGATCCCATTGGTCGTTGAGGGCCTTGAGACGAGCGCTGACAGCAGCCTCACCTCCTCCACACTTGGCGTTCTCGATGAGGTTGTTTCCAGCCTGGATAATGGCGGCGATTCTGTCCGAGTTGGCGTGAAGCTCGGCTTCGAAGGCTTGTTGCTTTTGGTGCTTTTGCTGGATGTTGGTTGGATCGCGGTAGTTCTCCTCCTGAGCAATCTGGAACTTCTCGGTCATCCAGTTCTCGATCTCATCGGCGTCACGGCTAAACTGTTGAAGAGTCTGAGACTCTCCCAACTTGGACCTCTTCTGGATGAGAGCATCCTTGAGTCCGTTCCATCTATCGAGAATCTGGTCTCTCTTGCGAGCGACAGCCGGAGCATCGTAGTGGTTGTTCTTGATAAGCGACTCGGCGAACAGCTTGAGTCCCTTGATCTTCTCCTCTTGGGTGTTGATGGCCTTGTCGAAGTCCTCATGCTTCTTGATCAACGACTCAACGTTGTCTCCAGATGGATCCTCTTGAGCCAAGAAGGCTTCACGAGCAGACATCCAGGTATCGGCTTGTTCACAATCACGGTAGAAGAGTTGGAGCTCAAGACATTGATCGAGGATGTTGCGACGAGCAACCCAGGCGTCCTCGAGTCCTTTGCGGGCATCGTTGACTCCCAAGAGACGCTTCTCAATGTCTGGAGCGGCGTAGTGATGGCTGTTGAGAAGTTGATTTCCGAATTGATCGAAAGCCTGGAAAGTGGCAGCACGCGAGTCGATCTCAGTGCGGTACTCCTGGTGACGCTCGAGAAGAGCCTCAGCTCCAGTCACATCATTCGCGAGTTCCTGGCTGCTGACGAGTTGGTTCATTGATGCGATCCATTGCATCAAGTCACGGTAATCGGACAAGAAACGTTGGTAGTCGTACGAGTCCAGAAGCTTCTCCTTGCGGTTGTTGGCTTTCGAAGTGAGACGATTCCATTGATCGTTGAGCTCGCGTTGCAAGTCGTAGATCTGCTCGGCAGCTTCCGGGTGAGACTGACGGAGACGGTTGGCCTTCTCGTCGAGAGACTTGATCTTGTCTCCAAGAGCGGCCAAGTCACGCTCAACTCCCTCGTGCTTACGCTGGAGAGCCTGAACGGAACGGAGGTCACGTCCGAAGTCCTCGCTGTCAAGAGCGTCGTCTTTCTCCTGGATCCAGTCACGGGTCTCATCGACATCACGATGGAAGCGTTGGACTTCGTGGGCAGATCCGAGCTGTTGCTCACGCTGCTCAGTCTGTTCTTCCAAAGCACGCCATCTGGAATAAAAATTTGAGATTTGAATATCGGGCGAGACAAGGGTTACCTAGCGTTGAGGTCCTCAATTTGTTGGCGGATGCGAACGGCGGTCTCAGTTTGTCCGACCGAAGTGAGGGCAGTGGCAATTTGGTTCATCTCTTGGAGACGAACCTCGTTGGCCTTGAGGTCTCCTTTGAAGTCATCGAACTTCTTCTGGAGGACCTCCACCTGCTCGAGGTCGGTTCCGATTTCTTGTTGAGCAGCAACAGCTTCCTAAAAAAATCAATAAAACACATTCCGCATAGCACATTGCGCCAAGTCCACAAAGCTTCATGATACACAAGTCAAAAAGTTTGACCACAAATTAGGGATATACTCGGCATTCTTGGTCAGAACATTGCTTAAAGTTTGCGCTAAAATTATGCGGGACCCTCAAAGTCTGCGCTAAAATTGCATAACGTTTTACAGAATTTGCGCAAACTTTAAGGACCCAGACAATTTTAGCGCAAACCTTAAATCAATTTTTGCGAAAAGTTCTAGTAGAAATTGCGTAAAGTTTGCGCAACTTCTGACCAAGACTGCCGAGTATATAAAAAATTGACAAAGCTGCATGATCGATATTTGAAAATTCACAAAGAAGAGCCACCATGATTTTACACACCACGTTTTCCAAATAAATATCAAAAAATATCAAGAGAAATGAGGAATACAAAAGAGCATTTCATTCTCAATATTTCCCATTGTCAAACTTACTTCAGCCATGTTAGTCTAAAATTTTTATTGGTTAGCTGGTGTTAGTATATTTGCCCGGACTTACGCGGCTCTTAATCCATTCAGCCAGGTCGTTGGCCTCGCGAAGCAGTTGGTATCCCTTGCAGGCCTCCTCGAGCTTCCTCTTTCTCGTCTCTCCGAGCATCATCAGACGCTGGTACTTGTCCTCGATCTCAGATTGCTTTCCTCCGATCGAGTTAACCTGAAACAAACGTTGTTTTGCCTGCCATTTTGCTTTAGTTGTTACCTGTTGCTGTGCGTGTTGTTGGGCAGTTCCCGGCTCGATTCTCTTGACGTAAGCGGCTGGGACGAAACCCTGGCGATCGTTGACCTCGACCTTCCACCAGTCTTTGTTGGAAGCATTGAGAAGAGTGAGAACATCTCCCTTCTTCATGGAAACCTCACGTGGAGACTTCTCCTGGTAGTCGTAGAGAGCCAGAACACAGTCACGTCCGAGCTGTCCCATTGGCTGCTCTTGGTACTTGCACTGAGAAGCCTGTTTGCGCAAGTCCTCAATGGTTCCTTTGAACGCCTCCAGGTCGGAGAGAAGAGCACGGTGCTTCTTTAGCAGAGCCTCGGCAGAGTCCTCGTCCTTTCCGTAGTCAGTCGATCCGACGATCGGCTCCTTCTCGTTCATCCAAGCATCAGCCTCATTGGCATCGGACAAGTATTGGTGAGCCTGGAGAGAATCATCCAGTTCTCCGCGTCTCTTCTCGGCCTTGCTCTTGAGGATTCTCCAGTTGTCACGAAGTTGAGCGAGTTTGTCGCGGATCTCCGGAGCCAAGAAGTGCCCCTGCTGGATCATGTCGTTGGCGGCGCTGCTCACGCTCTCGATCTGGCTATCGTGATTGGCGATCTCAGCAATCAGAGCCTGCTGCTTCTTGATGAGGTTTTGAACTCCGATCAGGTCACGACCTCTGTTGGTCGAGCCGGCAACCTGCTCCTTCTCACGAATCCAAGCCAACTCGTCTTCGATGTCACGGAACAGTTGATTTCCTTGGAGAGATTCGCCGAGCTTTCTCTTTCTCTTCTCGAGTGGGTCGCGGAGAGCGTTGTAGCGTTGTTGGAGAGCCTCCTGCTTGCGAACGATGACCGGAGCGTTAAAGTGATCCTCAGCATCGAATTGCTTGGCGAGGTTCTTGATTCCGTCGACACGATCATTGTGAGCGTTGAAGTCAGACTCGAGAAGACCAATCTTCTTCTGGAGATTCTGGACAGACACAAGGTCTTTTCCGTAATCTTCCGAGGCAACTTGTCCTTCGAGTTCGCTCAGCCACAACTCAACGTCCTCGATGTTACGGTTGAACTGTTGCTCATTTCCAGCCTCACGAAGCTTAGCTCCCTTCTTGTTGGTGGCATCAACCAAGTCGTTCCACAAATTGTTCACTTGACGGAGACGGTCTCCAATGTGGCTTGAGGCAAAGTGTCCACTGTCGATGATTTGCTCTCCGGTCGAGCGAATGTCATCAAGACGGTTCTCGTTCGCCTTGAGCTCCTGCTCGAAGTTAATGTGCTTCTGGAGCTTGCCACGGATGTTGGTGGGGTCCAAATAGGAGTCATCGCGGGCAGTCGACAGCTTCTCGGTGATCCAGCTGACCATCTCGTCACAATCACGGTCAAAGGTCTGGCGCTTGTAACTCTCCTTGAGCGAGTTTCCGCGTTGACGGGCTCTGTCGAGAAGACGGCGGCGGCGGTCAAGAAGAGCCTGACGTCTCTTGGCGACATCATCGGCAGCGTAGTGCTGTCCCTGGATCAGCTTGGTGGCGAACTCGTCGAGAGCGTTGATCTTCTCCTCTTGAGCAGCAAGAGACTTCTCAAAATCCTCGTGCTTCTTGATGAGGTGCTCGACAGAGTCAAGGGAGTCTCCCAGGTCGGTGTTGGCCAGGAAAGCCTCCTGCTTGTTCATCCAGGTCTCGGCCTGCTCGGTGTCACGGTAGAAGAGTTGGAGGTCCATGCACTGCTCGTAGAGAATGCGGCGTTCCTCCCACAATCCGAGAAGAGTAGCCTTCTCCTGAGCAAGCTTCTCGAGCTTGTCGCGGACTTCCGGGCTCTCCGGGATACCCATTTCGACGAGTTTCTGTCCAGCAGAGGCAGTTTGGTTGAACGAGTCCTCACGAGCATCGATTTCTCCTTTGTGCTCCTGGTGGCTTTCGAGGAGAGCCTCAGCTCCAGCAACATCCTTGGCGAGCTCGTCGGCTCCGATGACAGCCTTCATGTCCCCGATCCAGCTGATGAGATCACGGTAATCAGCCAAGAACCGATGAAGTTGGAAGGATCTCTCGAGTCCGTCCTTGCGACGTTGGGCCTTCTCCTTAAGAGCATTCCACGCGGCCTTGGTGTCGTCATTCTTCTGGTGGATAGCATCAGCACGATCCGGATGAGTCTCGGCCAACTTAGCAGCTTCCTTGTCCAATTGGAGCATCTTTCCTTCAAGAGCAGCCAAGTCACGTTCAGTTCCTTCGTGCTTGCGTTGGAGAGCCTGCACGTTGTTCAGGTCTCTTCCATAGTCATCGCTGGATAAAGCCAAGTCCTTCTCTCCAATCCAAGCCAGAGTTTCATCGGCATCACGGTTGAAGCGTTGCACTTGGTGGGCTCCGAACAGTCCTTCTTTGCGGGTGGCGGCAAGGGTGTTCAAGCGGTGCCAGGCATCGTTGACGTCGTCGCGCTTCTTGTAGATCTGGTCGTGCTCGGAGTGTCCCTCCTCAACGAGCTTGTCGGCAGCTTGGTTGATCTCGTTGATGCGGTATTGGTGGTTTCCGAGTTCTTTCAAAAAGTCATCAAATTTCCGTTGAAGAATCTCAACGTGCTCGAGGTCCATTCCCATGTCTTCTGCGGTGACATAGGTTTCTTTCTCCCGAATCCAGTAGAGAACTTCATCACATTGACGGATAAAATGCAGAAGTTTAAGAGCTTGTTGCAGCTTAATTCCCTTATCCTTCAGTTTGAAGAACAGCTTGTCCCAAAGGGCATGGAGTTCCTCGAGACGCTTCTGAAATTATATCAATTAAATATTTCCAAATTTATTGGCTGTTTATGTACCCGGATAATATCGCTAGCGAAATGATTGTGTTGAATCATGGCATTTCCGGTCTTATCGAGGTTGGCGATGGTCTTGGCGTGCGCTTGAACCTCGGCTTCGAACGCTTCATGCTTCTGGATCTTCGCCTGCAAAAAAAAGGAAATTAATGGAAAAATGAAATGTTTTGTCCCTCTAATGCGATTTGCTCTTTTTCTATTTTATTGTGTACACTTCCCTTCCAAAACCAGTTCGCACATCATCATCACCATCATCATTCATCATAAGTCGTGTCCCAGTTACAAAAAATAATCGCCTTATCTATGGAGTCACCGGTACTACTTTATCAATCCAGTAACCTACTGAACCTTGCGCAACACGAACGGTCGGGTCACAATAGTTCCGATTAGGCAGTGTCAAGGCCATCTAAACTGCGTCTTATTCATTATATGCGTCCCTCCCGTTACTATATGTAAATTCCCCAGCGCGTCTTTTTGATGACCGCTCGATAAAAAAGTCGGCGTGGATTAATTGAAGACGGAGACCTCCGGAGGTCACACACTATGTTTGAGAAACGGAGGGCAGATGACACCCAAGTATCGCATTTCAGGCTTTAGAGTCCTTTCACTTTACGAAACATTCGCACGAGGAGTGACAGGCCCTTTGAGACGTTATGAATCATGTGGCGTGTCCCTTTTGTGTCACAAACGCTCACGAATCCTGCTAAAATGCCATGTCTTTCTGAAAATGGTGCATAACAAGAGTGCGCTCGAATCTATCCCATCCAAAAAACAAATCCAATTTGGGCTTTTCATGTTTCTTCTCTAGAAACACACGCGAGCTCTCGATGAGAAAACAATTGTTTATACATAAATGCGCACTCAGTCTCGTCCCTAATCTTCAAGTGAGCGGCGTCTTCCCGGGGTCGCAGATGGCTTCGAAACGGCCGAGAGAGATACGAGAAGGACGTGAGCAAGGGACCACTGAGCCCACTCGAATCAATACTTTTGTGCTATGCCTCTAGCCGCGCCCGCGTTTGCCCAAATAAGACAGACGACAGAGAAGAAAGGGCCCCAGCCCCAAAACCAGCCTCAAGGGAAAATAAACGAAGGGGAAGTAATGCGAGCGAGCGAGTTGACCGAAAAAAAGAGTAGGGACCAAAATTTTTCAATTTTCGGAGCGAAACGACTTGTCGTAGGAACTAGTGAATGATGGATGATTTGCGAATATATTGAAGATTGAACGGGATTGGGAAGGAGAACGACATGAGCAACTGGATGAGGCCTACACACCTGGAGATTGCTCGGATCTCTGAAGTTCTCTTCCTGGGCGGTCTGGAGCTTTTCAAGAATCCAAACATTCAGCTCATCGGCGTCTCTGAAATTTTATTGAAACGTTTAGGGTTTAGTGAGTTGCAAATTTACCGTTTGAAGTATTGAAACTGCCGAGCTTCCTCGAGACGTTCTCTCTTGGTCTTGGAGTGATCTTTGAACAGAGTGTAGTGTCCGAGAACTTCTTGACGACGAGTTTGGATGTCTTCAGCCGACTCCAGAACACGGATCTCTTGCGGTGGTGGAACTTCGAGCACCGGCTCCGGCGGAGCATGAGTATCATTCGAATCAGCCATAATCGTGTTTCGCTGAAATCGTTTGTCTTAGTTTCGGTGCCACATGAAACAAAAACGCAAATAAATGGAAGGAAAGAAAACCCGCAAATAAGCGAGAGAGAGAGAGAGAGAAACAGAGAGAGAGAGAGAGAAAGAGAGAGAGAGAGAGAGAGAGAGAGGGAGAGGATAAAACGTGGAAACAAACAATGAGAGAGAGAGAGCGGAAAAAGACATCTCAAATTAGTTGAGTGCGGAAAAGAAACAGACGGAAGGAGGCTTTTATTTATCTCGCCACTCTTCCGAATCACTGCCGGTTCATGTATGTACACTTCCGACAAAGGAATGTTTCAGGAGGGAATCGCGATGCGGGTGGCGGACGGAAAAGAATGACAACAAACAGATCAATCGATACCTCAATTTTGATTTCAGAATTCGGAGGGGAACATGAAAACTGAAAAAGAGAGAGAGAGAGAAAGTAAGAGAGAATCCCCAAAAAGGGGTATGAATGATTATTTCAGTGAGAGAAGTTGCACTTCCAAACGATGCCCCCGCACTTTGACTACCCGCCTTTTCCATTCACACTGATAACACTGTTTACATGACTCACGCCCGCTGTACACAATTTCGAAATTGACGGCAGCTGTCGAGAAGAAAAAACAATTCGGTCCTTCTTTCAGCTGCGCCTCCGGGGACCACTCGCCAAGATGAATTCAGCTGGCGCGACGACGTCGATGACTGCAGCCGAGTGTTGCAAACCAAACAGGAGGCGTTTCAACTGGTTCAAGTACAAGAAGAGCTGGCATCTATCGATCGTCGAGGGCCTCACACACACACACACAACACCAACACAAAACCGAATGCCGGCGAGAGAGCGTGTGCCGGGACGGAGAGACGTAAAGGGAGACGACGACTGCTGCGGGGGGCTGTGGGCTGCGCTCGCTCGCTCGCTCGGCCCGCACACCCGCGCTCGCTCACTGGTTGCCCTCACACTCACCAAAACGCACTCGCCTAGAGAATGGTTGGTGAGTCTCTCGTGTCCGCGCACTCTCTCTTTCTCTCCCTCCATCTCTATGAGTCTCAGCCACCAACCACCCTTTCTCCCTCAACACTTTCATATGTATATATTCGGAGATGGATGCGGAGTATGTCCTCCAAATATTTGCAAGTTCGGTTGATGTTGTCAATACAATCGGGTAATTGATTTGGAACGGAAAGTGATTTGGGAATGAAATGAAAAGTGACTGTTCTGGCAATTCAAAAAAAAAACTGGATAGGTTATCAAGTGAGAAGTACAAACAGGCACACGCACAACACAGCGACAGATGGAAAAGCACAAGGTGTTGGTAAACATTGACGTTTTTGAGCAAATGGGCCATACTGAGTGGTTTGTCTGTGTCACTAATAAAACAGCAGAACCTCTATGCTCACATCTGGCAAGCTGCCAAGCACGCCTGGGCGGTCTTGGAATCCAAAAGAGGCTCTTCACTTGAATTATTTAAGACAATGGATGGAAAGCGCTCATCAAATCCGAAAAGATTCAAAAAGCGGCGGCGGCGGCAATTGGTTGGTCAGGCTCGGGTTTGGAGTGAGGCTAAAAGTGGGCAAACACCGGAAACGGGAGCCGATCCAAATCTGTCAAGTGCAGGATGGAGACCACCTGCGTTCCAAACTTCCGCTGACAGAAAACGTTATTTTCATTCAAGGGCAACCAAAACGTTCAATACAAACGGTCAAAGAAGTTTTTGTTTTAGCAGAAAAATAATTCTGAATTGAAGTAGATTCAGAACGGTTTCCGGGCAGGATGATAATGAGTTGTCAGGGTCCTCATCAATCTTTATTTCGTCTTTTCTTCCTATCTTCTTGTGAAATGCGTAATTTCACAACGCCGGTGGACGGATGCAAAGATTGAGAAAGAAGAGAATGAAATGAGAAGTTACACAACAAAGTGAACCTTCAGTTCGAGGAAGAGCTGTGGTTTAGAACGTAAAGACACTCATTTTTTACCCTAAGTCAACATTTCTTCTTGGCACAACGTAGGATGATACTTCTACTTGTTATCAGCAGAAAGTGGGAGGAAATAGAAGGCATGTTCGAGGGAAGAGGAAAAGAGCGCAAAGGAAATAAATCGAGGGAAAACATATGGTGGTACTAAAAACTGGTGTCTCTGAAGAATCACTTTGGGAAGGAAGGAAGTCAACGGCTCTCAATCATTGGGTAGAGAACGAATGAGTCTTCAAAGGTTTCGGTTTTTAGTTGAAGCACGGTGAGTAGGTGAAGAAAGAAGAGAGAGAGTGGTGACACTTGGCACGATGAATGGGCAGTAGTTGCGCCATGTCGCGTCGGAACGGGCTGGGCGGCAGGCAGGTACGAGAAAGAGGAAAAGGTGAGGGGATATTATCTCGAGGTCATTTATCGCATCGCCTCTCCGATGACACTCGCCCACAAGAAAATGCAGAAAGTGGAAGAACGAGGACAGATATGACTCACATTTTTGTGAGGGTGTCATTGCTCCGAGTGTTTGTCAAATGCACAAAAAATCTGCTTATCAAACAAACGTTTCTTCGTGTTTGTATACTTGTATGACTGACAGACAGTAATTGATTTTCATACAGTTGAGATTGGAATTTTACATAGAACATAAATAAAAAACGAACAGAATGATTGGAATGTTTTGACTGCTTATCGCTAGACGGTTAAGGAATTAGATTCTAAAATATATTTTGACACTTGGCCCTAAAATGAAAAGAGAAAAACGAGAATATAGAAGTCTACCACTTGAAAAGGGTATTGTATCATTGCCGACTATCGGGCGGAAACGAGTCGTCACATACTGCGGCGGAATGTCGATTTCATGGAACAGATAAAAGTGCTGGTCAGAGGAATGTATGCAAATATCGGCATGAAATACTCGGATGACTCATTCTTCTTAACAGTTAAATAACAATATACGTGGTCCGGTCGCCGTATCCTAGGCCGGCGGCCGAGCGAGGAATCCTAGGCCGGCGGGTCTCGACACGAAAGTTCGAATAAATTTTGAACCCGGTAGCTGAGCGGCCAGATTGCCCATTCGAAATCGGTATCTGCCGAAATTCTTCTGTAAAAACGATGATTAACCGTGCGTTTTTACCAGCTTACCGGTGATTTTTCATCATCGAAAGTTTTGTCAATGTTCCGAAAATCGATACCCTGACACAAAAAAATTAAACTTGCCTTTCTTCAGCATCTCTTGTCAAATGAAACATCGCCTGTCAATGATCACTCAACTGTCTTTTTACAGAATGAATACGGTATAATTTCGACGTTACTATTTCTGTGGCGCCGGATATTGAAGAAGATTTTGAATTGAAGCTGTCAACAGAGCGTCGACCTGACTTTGGCACTATCAATTTCAAGAAAGTGAAAGTGAAGTGAAGGAAACTGTTTGAAATGCTCGAGAAGAAGAAAGGAATAGAATTCGAAATGAATCTTCTATGAATATTTGAACCTTTAATGAACCTTTAACGGTAAAGTATCGTGAAAAAAATTCTCTGAAATTTCAATTATATTCAGACGTTAGTGAATACTTTTTGAACTGTTCGCTTTGCTGTTGGACAACTGAGAAAATAGTTGATTTTTCAGAGAATTATTGCTCTTCACGACACTTCACCTTCAAAATTTATTTTTACAAAGTTGAAAGTTTCGTTGATATTCCATAAAATTTTTTTGAAACCCGCACAATATTGTATTTATGCTCGAATCAAATAGGAACAGTGTTTCTTCTTATTCTTCTCTGTCTTCATCCGATTCGTTGTTTTGACCAACCTCGCCGCAGTCTACAAACGAACGAAAAGACGACATGTGTGTGTGTGTGTGTCTGAGACTAGAATAGATAAAGAGAACGGGTTTCTTTCGGCCGAAATGACAGTCGCACTGGCTGTCCAACAATACACTCCCCAATCACAATCGCCCTCGTCCACTGCGCGTTTGTTCCTCGGATTTCTGATATATTTTTCATCCAACCACTTTTTTCATCTCATTGAGACCTTGTAAAGGGTGATTTCCGTATTGACCATGAATCTTCTTTTCCTTTTCTTTTCCATCTCCTGATTTTTGCCGCTCCTTTCCATTCGCCGCAATGCATCCACATGTATCGACCCGTCTAATTGGTCATTGTCATCTTAGAATTTCATTTTCAAGTTATCTTTAGAAACTCTCTGTTTTCAGAATGGCGCGTGGACATCAGAAAGCGCTTTCTCAGCAGAGAAATGCGGAAAAGCAAGCGAAAGCAAAAAAGGCTGTGGTGAGTGGAGTTGGCAGAGTTGAAAATACTTAGAAACACACGTTTGAGCAAATTTAATATTCAGGGTAGCGACCAGAAGAACGCCGCTATGAAGTCGCTTCATCACAAATGCACCGTTTGCATGGTACGTTTCGGCAACTCATTTCTGCTCTAATAGTCCCTTAAAACATTTTCCTTGTCTTTCACGTAACCCCGATCTATGCGCTGTTTACGAGATTTTGTATGATTTCGGGTTCATTTTGATTGGGTTTTGTGATTTTCGTAGCTGGTAGAGGATTAACTGGTGTCTACCAGACGTAGCGTACGTTTATCTGTCAACAAAGCATGATGACGTCTGATAGCGTCTGGGAGGATGCTACTTTCAGACAATGTAATTGGAGTATGATGTTTTTTGAACTTTCTCCACGCCATTAATTACTGTTCTTTTTTCAGTCCATGATGCCGGACCCAAAAACATACAAACAACACTTCGAGAGCAAGCACCCCAAGAGTCCAATTCCGCCAGAGCTGGAAGGAGTTCAGGCATAACTTTCAAGTCCCGATGTTTCATATTTATTGAATAAACGAGTGCTTCTTTTTCATCCCTGAAAGTCTTGTGATGATCTCAATTGTGGTTGCAAAAACCGAGACATCGTCTAATCCAAATGATATTAAACAATGATTAGGTCGTTCCTAATCCATTGTTTCTCGGTGTTTGAATGTCAATCCTTTCCTTTTCAGAGGAAATCTTTGAACACGGTAGTTTTGAAATAAAAAAATAAACCGAGTGAGTGCGTCAGACGGAGACCTAGTTTGGTGCAACTATCAAAGGATTGCGGATGGATTAGTACTCCGTGAGACATTAATCTGAAATTGAACAATTGGTGCATCCCAGTTAAATAACAGTGGTGTTTTTCGTTCTATTATGTCACTGATAAGTTCACTCCAAATTGTGGTTTGTATCGGACTACGTCAAATAATCCGGAAGACAAAACGGGGACAAATATCCATTCTTTGAAAAGTTACCGTAGTATGCATTTGTGATTGAGTCATCAACCCCTTTTCTCGTTCTCTGAAACTTCGAATTTAAAACGACAATTTACTTCCTTTTCCTCTGTCTCATCTGATCAAAGAGGGGTAAATTCAAAATTCATGAAAATGATGCTATAAAAACTAATTAGAGTTTGATAGCCCGCACGGCATGTTACGTTTTTTGCCAGAGTACGCGCGTGAGTAAGAGAGTCTAGATGGACCCTTTTCAGTTATGCGATGTTTGCTCTTCTCGGACTTGAAACGACAGCTTACGAAACACGCGGGTCTTGCAAAACAGCTATGCTCTACAGCTTACTGACATGATGCGTAGTAATTGTATGTTTCGCGCAGCTACAAATGTTGCCGAATGGTAAACAACACATGTATACACTCGAAGAGGCTAATTGAAGAGGTTACGGTGGAATTCAACAAGAGATGCGTGGCTAAGATTCGACACGAACGTCCCTGACACCACAATCCGCATGGTTGTATTTCAGTTTGTCAACACCAGTCTGGGCAGGTGCTTTCGTCACTACCGTAGGTTCTGTCCTCTGTCTTGTAGATGTGATTCCAACTACGACTCGAGCATCAGATGCTATGAGTGTATCTAGATCATCAGAATTATTTGTCTTTTCAAACCGAGTCTGGATACGTTTCAAAGATTTTGTCGAACAGAACCCACTTGTTTACACGAGTCTCTGTCTGTGACACGAACTATGTAGCACAGATTTGGTCTGACCCGTTTCCGCGTCAAATCAGATGAGTAGGTGCTCATGCTCGGAAATAATCGAACAGACAATCATTACAACATTTGGAATAGGAGCAAAATAGAGCAGCCAAAGTTTTTTTGAGTCTCAGATGACGAATGATTTTTTGATTTCACGTGAATGATCACAGTTTTATCGGGGATGACAACACCTACTCCAAGAGGATTTTGATTATGCTTAGGTGTTCGTTTTCTAGTAATGAGAACAGACATGTCGACTGCAACTAATCGTTTTGGCAGATAACTTCAAAGATGGGATTATGGTTGTTGCAGACACAAATCATTCTGAGTATGTCTGGAACGGTTTGAGGATTATTTTAAATCTTTGGCTGAAAGCTGATTCTTCATGTCTCTGGCACTTCTGAAAGTTCATTTTGTTTTTTGATACACGGATTTTATCCGTGGTGTTTCCCGCCAGTGTCTGTTTCATTACTTTCCGCTCGTGCCATCATGCTTTAGTGATTTCCGAGTTCTGTCTACCAATTCTCATCATTATTCGACCTTTACCCGTACATGATCCATTTCCTGCTGGTGTTGACGGGATGGCGGGCTGTCGGCATCCGGTCCCCACCCCAGCGGCCACCCGACACAGCTTGATCTGTTTTTCGAATCAGAGAAGAGTGCAAAATGCAGACCTATCATGATACTAGTAATTTCCTATCATGTGGTGGTACTTGACGTAACTCTTGCTGCCACTGGGAAACGCGGTGGAGCCGGAAGAAACAGCTTAAGACACCTACGTATGTCTGGTGATGGGTCAGGTGAGAGTTGCAAACTGCTATTCGACCGGATCCTGCAAGTTTGCAAACAAGGAAGTACGTGGAGCGATGTGTAGGATATCTAAGCGGATGGACAGGCTAAATTTGTTCTTAGAAACCTGGATAACTTTGTCTATTTCAGTGAATGCAGCAATTAATTTGATAGCAGAACGGACTTTTCCGGACATCCGCTGTCAACTATTCTGGGAGAAAGACGATTCTATTTTAGTCGAACTGCAGTGCATTTGCACATCCCCCCCTGTGGGTGTAAGATGTGGGCGTCGGAAGTCGCAAGACGTCTGTTCGAGCGTCTACAGATTTCAGTGTCCAAAATGAATGATCCCGCATAATTCGGTCTTCGATCGAAAAACGAACGGTCTTTCCAGTGAGATTAAAAAGCGGCGAGCTGACAGACCTGAACAGGCTTTTTCTCAAGGAATTTGTGAGAACCGTTCTGCATAGAGTGTCTTGCAGTTTACCTTTCAGGGTACTATATTTACCGAAATATCGCAACATTTCTTCTTCGAACTCTCGATTACACACTCTCGCAGCTTATCAGTCAGCACAGTTCCGCTCGCCTTCACGGGCCTCGCAATTCTTTCTATACCGACCTAGCTTGATTACGTTTTCGCGTGTTGAAAGCATTAGTCCCGCTCTCGAATTCTTACATTTGCAAGGTTGCCAAATTTGGATATAAATTTCTTGCTGATTGTTTTTGAGAGTTATGCAAATACGTTATCCTTCCACCCCGTCAATGTCGTTGGTATTCATCTTTGAGATCGGTCACGTTCATGTTCCCACTCAATCTAATCTTTTGGTTTTTGTTCTCACTAACTGTTATCCATACTTTTAGTGTCTCATCCGGTCTAGTGCATCACATATCACATCCAAAATAACTTCTGCTTCCAAATTTCCAGACTTCTTCCACTCTGAGATACCAAAAACAGATCTGTAAATATTTGGACTGGTGGCTAATTACGACGTAGTAAACACGACGTGAGCAGACAGACCATGATCTGTTTCGGCTGATGACTGGCTACCGTAATATTTTCTTATTGGCTGGGGTTTATAGAATGAACAACTCAATAATTGAGAGACTGGAAGGTCGTCACAAGTCTGGCCTCAGACAAACCCAGACTTCCTTGTCTTCAAATATTAACGGAAAGGCTTTGCAAAGGAGTTTCTGCCGGCCATAATTAAGTGTTCTCATGCACGACATTTCGAGACATTCCATTTTTTCCAAGTTTCATGATCTACTCCAACCCAGAATACATTAATTCCGGGTGATCCAGACGGTCGCAGTCTTCTTTGTGACCTTTCGAGTCCCATCATTAGCCAATTCTTTTTTGCAGTCGCCTCGAGGCCTTGAAGGTCACCCTTTGTGACATTTTGACAAGCGCAATACAAATTTATTTCCGCAGAACTTGCTCCAGGCTTTATAGGTTTAGTACCGTAGTGAGATGATTCGATCAGACGTTGGACTTTTTCTGAGACAAAAAAGCGGAGCCGATGGATTACGCAAACAGGAAAATAGCTGTTTTTCCATGACTTTATGGTGATAAAAACGTAGAATATTATGAGAGAGGCTTGTTCCAACTAATAAGCTTATCCGTAACAGCGCGTTATTTTAGTGACGTGACTAAAGACTAATCGTAGTACACATGAGTTGCGATATATTGGCAGGCCCCTTTATATGAACCATTATTTTACTTCCCTGTATTTCAGGCTCTGTCACTCAGTTGACCTAGATTTTCCTATTTTAGACGCAATAACATAGCGTGTGAAAACAAGCCCCTCACTGACGTGAATAGGAAAAGGTAATTCAGGCTGCCAACCGGTACCGGGCCCTGATGATATCACCTTGTTCACGTGTTCAAAATAACAAGGCACCAAGAGCTCAAGACTTGTGATTGTTTCCACTTTTTCAACAATTTTTGAATGACGAGGGGCCAATTTGGAAAAGTGTAAGTGAATGTTTGAAAGTTGTACTGGGTTTGTCTGTGCTTTTGGTTCCACTAACCAAGAACCATTTAAACCCGTGATTGAGAAGTCTTTGACTGATCACCATCCGTTTATAATTATGGGAAACAACGTTCCAGACAAACTTTTCCAACTGTTTATGTCGTCTAGCCAACACCGGAAAGCTAAAAGGTTGTGGGATATTAACCGTAAAAAAGAGTCGATGAGCAATCGGCTGGAACCGGATTCTGAACAACGGAAGTGTGGTACTCATTAGAAGAGAGTGCACTACAATAGTTGTATCTCTGACTGCAACACAATTCTCAACCATATAAACACTTTTTCCTGTCTAGACTTTTCTACAAGAGTTCTTTGAATGTGCTCGAATGTGAAATTGTTTTCCACGCGCCAAAAGTGCATTGATTTTCAATTTACAAGAGAGAAGAGGACATCTTTCAAAATCTTGCTTGTGATAACACAAAAAGTGAAAGTTCTCGGTGTTGTACCGAACACACCAAACGAATAAGATTTCAGAAGCAGGTGAATCGGGAAGAATACTAGACACGACGGACGACTTTTCAATTTAGGACGCCTAAACTTTAGTTTACCTAGAAGTTTGAGGGGGTCTTTTGGTAACAACAATCTATTTCATTGTGTTGCTGCTTGAATAGTGTACCCCAATGTTTTCTGGTGTCAAAGGCAAATTCTTCAGAGATCTTTCGCATCCTCTTAGAAGAGCAAAGGAACCCAATCTAGTAATCTGCAAATAGTCGTCTTTCCATTATTCATCAATCCTCTTTCGCATCATCCTCCTACACGTAAAACCGTTCGGATTTCATTCGGTAAATACAAGGAGAGTATCTTTGTAGACAGCTAGGGCCATGCAAGGCATCAGGGGGTTTCAAAGACTAACTAGTCATGTTTCAAGTTGCAGCTGAAAGTCTGTTAGTTATTCCCTGGTGTAGGAGTCCTCAGAGTGAGAAAGGAAGTCGGAGGTCTCAGACTTTCTTAAACGTCGGTATCATCCTACTAGACTTGTTTTTTCACTCCTGAAAGAGACATCAAAGTTCTGTTGAGAATGTGCTAGATCTCCCATCAGCTGAAACGCGGTTTGTTTTGGTAACGGCAAGTCTGTTTAGTTTTTTGCATACGGCTCGTATATCTGAAAAATCAAGGAGGAATCGCGCTTCGAATCTATTATTGGGTGATAAGGTGTAGTTTGTTGGTGTTCTTGATCTAATGAGAAAGATCTCGAATGAAACTTTGAGTTCTCAGATTGCTTTTCGTACAATTTGCTCTTGACAGAGGATCGTCGGGTTCAGAGTTCGATCTAAACTCTTGTTCGAATTGACGCCATCTCTCATCATCCATTTCTAGTTTTTGTGTTTCACATGTTCTTTTCATTCACCTTTTCTTCGAAATCTCCATAATTTATTTGATATTTTCACCGCGTGCCATGGAGCACTTCGAAACCCCGCCCATAAGCTTCTCGTCATGATTTCTAGCGCCAGGAAGGGGAGGAGCTAGCTCCTAGGGGTGGTGTTCTGCGATGAAAGCTGGGCGGGGCTTGATCGACATTATATATTGGAGCTCCACCAGTCAAAAAATCATAATTTCATCCAATTTCGGTTTATTTCATCCACTTTTCGGTTTACCTTAGCTCCTACTGCCCCCTCCGCCTGCTTCCACCCTTCCCGTCTCCGCCAAAAAGGATCTGCTCGTCCAAGGTAAATCCGAACGTCTTTTAGAGATTCTGCCTCTTCAAGGTTCTCTAAATCTGACAATCGCCGGTGATGAATCATTTTAGCTATACTTTTCATTTCCAACTCTTCCAGTCTCTGTCTGCCTCCCAGTTTCCTGGTTTAAACAAAACCTTTTACGTTGGCTCCGGAACTAGTGCCAGACATCCCGGAAATTAGGTTTCCGGAGGGAAAAAGAAATGCATAAAGACAAAACAATGACGTGATGGGACCACGTTGTTTGCAATTATGTCATCCATGTCGCCGTAAGAATTGCAGTGGCGACCTAAAAACAGAGGATGAGCCGGCTCCTTAATTTTCAATTCGTCTCGACCTGTTTTCTGAATAGCAAATCCACAGCATCTGCAAAAATGTGTGTCATTCTGAGTCTGCAGTCTCCGCTCACCGTTTCTATCTGTACTAGGGGATTGGGTTAAGAGGACGGCGACGAAATCCATCTGATTCCGCACTATCACCTGCAAACATGAGATAAAACGCCTATTCAGATAGTATTCGCAGTGTTATAGGGAGGGAGACTTTCTAGAGGCCACGTTACAAAGATCGTTTCTCGGTGATGTAGAATTTTTGATTAAATCACTGTTTTGAAACTGAAGCAAAGCAAGTTGACGCTCTCAAAGACACTTATTCCTCTCTCTACGTTTTACCAACAAGCATTATGTTTTCAGTATGCTCGTTGATCTGGCAAAGTGTATCTTGTTTTTCCTCATCGGATGCAACTACGCTTCCCTGACCTTCAAGAATTCCAGAGAATACGATGAGTTCCTGGGTATCTTGGCTGACCAAAAGTAAGCAATTGCGAAAATTCTAAATGCATTGACACTTTTTTTATTGGAAACAGTTCCAGAAAAGATCGAATGGTCTATACGGGACCGGTGCCGGACATCGACAAGCATCGATACCAGATGAACCGTCATAAGGAGCACTTCACCAAGTGCGCCAGCTTCAACAGCAGCTCCGGAATGCGGCCTCAGAACGACAGATGCACGGTCCGTTCTTACAACGACCGACAAGGCTGTTACCTCGCCATGGACTTTACTGCGGGAGAAATGCTCCAGGGATGCCACGAGTTCGGAATGTTTGACAATACCTGTAACGACTCATGTGTCCTGGATGTGAAGAGACACCGCGCGGAAGGATCGGACAGTGTAAGTGTCGTGATCGGATTCTGTTGCTGTCTCACCCAAGATTGCAACAACCAAAGCAAGGTAAATAGTGATCAGACAAACTCCTGTGAAACACAATATTCATTTCAGGAACTGCTGGACAAAGCCTACGCTGATTTCCTGATCAAGGAGGAGATGCGCCGCCAGCGCAAGCATCAGCACCACGAGCGCAAGAACCAGAAAACTATGCCGCTGTCAATGGGCTTCTACGACCGCTACATCAACTACTAACCTGACCCTTGCCCCTTGTGAACTCTTTGAATTTCTTCTAGCTTGTTCTGTTATCTACGCTTCTTTTCGTTCAGATGTCTCTACAACACGTATCCTTTGTCCTATTTGACTGCAGACTTTCTTCTTTTTTTTTCCTCTCGTCAAGTTTATATGTCCTCTTGGTTTCATTTCTACACCCTGTTCTTATTTCCATGTATTAACATCCCAGTTATTGATTATATACCCTTGATTTCAACAGTATCTCTATTGTACTCCTCATCTTACGACCATCTCAATATCCTCCCATATGTATCTCCTGTAGTCTATGTTGCCCCCTTTCTCCAAAGATCAGTACAAAAAGTAGAAGCCTCCCCCGAGCATTCCGTTCTCCCAATCACACCCCTAGGCTAAATTTTCACATAGGAAATAAGGCTACATAAACAGTTAGACAATCCTCGTAATGGCGATCATCTCCTCCTCTCCACAAATACCTCAGCACCCAAATACGTTTCTCTTCTTCCGCTTAGCACTGTTGAATTTCGAATGACTTGCAATGACTATGTTGTGTTTATAATGTGCATTCGGTGTTTCTCAGTGATTTGGAAATGAAGTAGTAAAAAAATTGATGGGTTCGCAAACGATCGGGAAGCAATCAATCAATTGATCATGTTCAATCCGACGCTATTGTTCTTTAAGTCGGTGTGGTGATCAGCAAGAACGACGATAGTTCATTTCAAGGACGACCTCGTCCGTAAAATATTGCGAAGGGGGGAACATGAATATTCGGAGACTTGCGATGCTGATCGGAGATGTTGATCCGAAGATTCTGATAAATATTTGAACGTATATTGTACCAAGATGTTGCTAGTTTCAAGGGTTCTTTTGTTACTAGACAGAATTACATGTTACTCAACAAACACGAAGTAAAAGTGTTGAAATTTTGTGAATAAGCTCAAGCAGAACATTTTCATTTTTAGTCATATCAAAATAATTATATGTCACAGACGACCAGGTGAACCGAATAAAATTGCAGTTCCTTTCAGGTTCCTGCTAATGACACACGACGTTACAGATGTCTGCTTTTGGAATTTTGTAGCTTTTCCGAGTGAGGGTTCATTTCTTCAGTATCTGATTTAGCTGAATCCGAAAGGTGCCTTTAGCCGATGAACAGACGGACGTACTTCCAGTGTAAACTGATTATCTTTGTCTGAAAACTGGGCTGACTTAAATCTAACTAAATACTAGGGTGTCACGGCTAAACCCTCTTTGGTATCCTTAGCCTGGTCTATGCCGGTGTTGCAAACCGGAAGAACATCAGGCTTTCTGGACGGTTCTAAAGTCGATATTTGAACTTTGATCCGACTAAACTTCGAGACCAGTATTCGAGCTCTCGCAGCCAAGTACTTCAGACGACCTTTCACACCTCCTGAAAAAAAGCGAGGCGTGAGACCATAAGCTGAGTCAGTTGACATATGCCGAACGATTAGTCGACCTTTGTGTCCTGACCTGAAATTCCGCGAAGAGTGGCAGACACTTTAAATGAGCAGTTTGTCTGCTCAAAATACTTTAGCAGCATGTCTGGCAGCTAAGAGACCAACAATTGAATTCAAAGACTACAACACATGATTCGTAGACTTTCAACAAACTTTTTCCAGACACGTACATATAAAATGTTTGTTGACCGTCTGAGAAGTATCCTCTTCTGGTGTCGAGAAATTGTTTTCCTATGATGTTTTCTGAGCCCGCATATCGGTGTCTAGACAGATTTGTCTGTCTTCCTTCGCTACACAGACTGACTTTGAGAGTAATATGCAATGACATGAACATTTCGGTCAAGAGAGCTGAAACGTGAGTTCAAAGACTAAGGGGTTGAAAGCGGAAGTTTTCGATCATCTTAATAACAAGAAGAATTGAAAATGGGGGAGGTAACTAGTCTACGTGGAACTGTTTTTCACCATCAATCGAGAACAAAAGTTCCTGTTTATTTATCTTCAAATCTTTGCTTTGCGGTCTTCAATTCAACCTCCAATTCTCATTGGCCTTCTCGTAAGAAACAGCAAAAAACGCAGAATAACTTTATTTCCAAACACTTTCAGAATTTACAAACACTTTTGAAACTTATCAAGCAATTCATCAAAAGTGATCAAAGCTCGGAAAGAAAAGCTAATATTTAGGGGGATACCAAAAAAGACAAGTGAATATAATTGGATGGATCACAACACTTTGACAATTCTTAAAAAAGCAATTCATTAAAACAATGAACTGGCGTATTTAGATGGGATTTGCGAGGATGAAGCGATTCGGGATTCGGAATTCAACTGAATACATTAGAATTGTACACTCTTCTGGTTTATTCCTCGTTGGTGCGCTTCACGGATTGGACTCTCTTCAGGATGTTGCTCATTTGTTTCTTGAACTCCTCATCCTCCGATTGGTTTTGCGACATACGCTGCAAGAAAAGTTAAATTAGCCCTTCCTTTCATGATTTCTGCTTTTTGCCCCGCGTGGGATAATTGCAGGGGCGTGCACTCCCACGTTGTCTTAAAGCTCAGAGTTTTGCTTCCAGTTGTAAGAAGAAACGTGGGTTTCTTCAAGTGCTATTAGTTTGGATGTTTGGACTTTGTGGGCACGGATGAACAAGCACGGAGGCACGAATGAACTAATGAGATGTGCGGGGACCCTTTACATTTTGCAGCGCGAAATTAATGGGAATTCTGACCTCATGAAAGCTGCGACGTCTCTTCTCGCGCTCTTCCTTCTGCTGCTTCAAAGTTTCCATCATTCTGTCGTTGTGGGCCTTCAGGCGCTCCTCCATCTTCGACATGTAATCATTGAGATGATCGAGCTGGGTGTCCAACTTGCGGATCTCTGCAAATAATTCATTGGATGGGAGACGTCGTCACCACGTCATCGTACCCTCGGTCTCCTCGGTCACGTCACCGTCGTTGAGCGCCTCGATTCCGCGGGCCAGAGCCGAGTGGGCAGCGGCGTTGACGTTGCGCTCGCGCATCTTCACAATAGGCTCTTTCTCTTGCTCGGCGACCATTGTGTTTAGCTGAAATAAGGAAATGAAAAACTGAAAGATATTGTGTCGACGGCAGTGAGATGACGGACGAATAAATGAAAAGTGAAACATGGTATGCAACAAGATGCGATAGAAGAGAAAACTTTTGATAGGAAGGAAGGAAGGAAGGGAGGGAGCGGCCAGGATGGATTGCGTAAAGAGGTAGGGACACAAGGTTTTTTGGGGCCAAAAGCCGGTCTAGGAGGTGAATGGAAGGAGAGAAGAAAGCGAAGCGCTACGCCTGAGAAAATTGTTATCTTTTCGAATTAGAGTCGACGTTAATGCCACACAGTTCTCTCACTTTTGATTGACTGGGCTGAGCGCAAGTAGCGAGAACTGGTATATGATACTTGCAAAAACCAATAAACCCACGCAGTCCGACCAGTAGAAGTGAACAATTCGGAAATGTGTGTTCCGACTTATTTGTATCAACCTACCAATCCATTTTCAAGATGACTCACAGTAGGCAGAAGAAAAAAATGGAGAAAAACATTCGACAAATACCTGGAGAACGCCCATACCAGTTGACGAGAGTGACTAACTTGCACAATTAGAAGTGAAATGTGAAATCGTACAGTTTGGGTGGATGGTTGAGGTGGAAATGAGGCGGCGCCACACAGTTATCAGCTCAATTACACACTTCTGGTGATTTAAGATAAGGCGTGGCTGTCTCGCTGTACTAAACTGACCTGTACGACGTAGTCCTGCTTTAATAACCTTCTTTCTCGTCTCTCCGTGCTCAAAGAGTGTGTTACAAAGTGATAAGAGAAAGTGGACGACGAAACGAGCCAAATGTGGAAGAGGGAGAAGAGGGAACATGATAGAGGGGAAGGAATGAAGTTTGGTTTTTGGTTTCATGTCAATAACCAATAATATGGCTATGTATGACACCGGAAGCGGAATCAAGTTGGTCATCACCGAGTTCAGATTTCGCAACCTATATTGAGTGTCAGCAAACACGGAAACTGCGTAATCCGCTGTACTCGCCATGTTCTAAAAGTGTGAAATGTGAAGTGAAGTGTGCTTATAGATAAAACATCACTCCACCATACTTTTTGATCATTTGGTCTATCTTACCAGGCATCGGACAGCCGGCAATAGCCGGAAACACTAAAACCACGCCAGTCACTGCCTGCTGTCATGGACATGAGGCATGACGTTGCGCCGGAAATTGAACGAGTGCAAATGAGGAATAGCACAATCGAAATGTTGGCTGTTGTGAACATTTGCCGAGAGTATGAAAAAAAATGAACGAACACTGAATGGGAAGCTGGTGTCTGGCTTGCTTGCGCACAAAAAAACCGAGCCGGGGAGCGGTCGGACGCTGCTTACCGTAGGGCTCATCTTGCGGACGATAGAAACAGTGGGCGGACTAGGTTGCACACACACACACACACTTTGTCCTCATCATTAGCCATTTTGCCCTTGTTGGCAAATATGTTTTTTGGATTGATCGCGCCGTCCGTAATTTCGTAACTGACAAAAGGAAATTGCCGAAGAAAACGGCTGAATTGTGATCATCGGGCTGAACACGAGAACACGAGAACAAACCAGCAGCGCTGATTCATTTCATTGGCAAGTAAGAAAAGATGATGTCGTTGTCAAAAGGACACTATCGAATGAAAAACACCGCTTTGGGTGTGGCATCTTTGAATGAAATCGCGTCCGCATTTGTTGGACTTGTCATTCATTCATTCTTGACGCCCGAGTGCCAAGGCCAAATGGTTTGGAGGACGACGAAAAGGGGTTCCAGAAACACTTTACTCTGGAATGGCAAGCGAAAGTTCAATTGAAGTATTAGCGAAAGTGTTCTGTCACTGTCACCCCAACCAGTTCGGATTCAAGTTCTTCTTCCTTCGTTTCGAATGGTTCAACTCAACTTTTATTGCGTCAGCCGATCATTTTACTCAAAATTTCCAAAATTTCGTTTGAATTTTGCATGAAAAACGATAAGACGGCTCTATAGTTCCGTGCTAAACAAACGCGTTGTTTATCGGAAACGTTGAGTTTCGATGAAAAAGGTAACTATTCTTTCGTCAATCGTATAGTCGATTCGAAAGAAGCTGACGTCAACACTAATGTTGGCAGTTTTGATAAGCCCCAAGTGCACTAAGGAAGGGAAAATTCAAAATTTTGTGTTTGTACAGAGTAACTTTCACAGGGAAAACGGGGAAAGCGGCGAAAAGTGGGCAATTTTTTAATGGCTCTGAGAGCGGAAAGATCAAAACGTTTGCATTGAAGTGACTATCTGGAGCAGACTAGAAACCATCCAGCACTCGAAGTGCAGACCCGTTAATCTCCGTGTTCACCTCGTCATCTAGAATTTGCATACCCTTTAAATCGCCCACATTTGCATGTTCAAATTGAATTTGACTGTAGCCACATGCATACAGTGAAAATTTTGGCTATAAACGTGATTGATACGTTGGAAGGCAGACAAGAAATGGGGAAGAATAGAGAACAGGGCAGGGAGCGACAATGGAAGGCGAGGAGGTAATGAACGAATGACCCACTTTTTATTTTATGTGGTTTTTCAATGAGAAAAACACTGTGCGCGGGTGGGTGTTAACTTATCGATGAGTAATCGGAAAAGGCAGAGCGAAGGGAGAGAGAGGGAGAGAGAATTTGATGACTAATTGGAAAAGATGGATGGAAATGATGTAGAGACGATAGAGGAATCTCTTGGGAAACACCCAAAAGGTGATGAGACTATCCGAAAGGAATTGCCTTTGAGAAGACGATAAAGAGGAAGGGAAGGTTAAACTACGACATGAATACGTCGGATGGAAAACATGTTGCCGCATATATGAAGTGCTTTTCTCAACTTTTAAACTGTCTGATCAGAAATCAGATACGAAGGACAGCTTTCTGCAGAACAGATCTGTATCGAAAGCTCGCTTTGGTTATCGCCAGGGCTGGGCAGAAAGCCCGTCTAATCTGTTCGATAGCCTGCCGAGGCCTAACTTTCGACCCGGTTGCAATATTCCGATCGAATCCAAACTTTGCAGGCTTCTTGGACTTGTATTCAATTATATTGGGTTTAAGTTTGGATGCGATTGGATTATTGCAGCTGGGTAAAAATTCAGACATGGCAGGCCTTCAAAAAACCTGGGCCGGCTTTTTGCCCAGCTCTGGTTATTCTATTGGAATTAGTCAATCGGGTTCTTTCTTTGCACATCATTCAATTGTTAGTCAAAGCATCAGCGAATGAATCATCTTGTCTCATTATAAAATTGCAAACATTGATGCAGTATATCTCCAGTTTGAATAGCTCGATGGGTGTCCTAGCTTTTCAATATACTTAAAGAGAGCGGAGACTGATACTTTACCAGGGCAAGGGTCTTTCAGTCGAACGGAAGCAAATGGCAGGATGTTTGGTTCGCGAAATTCTGCCAAAACAGCGGCATAAAAATGTAAATCGGTTCGAGAGGTCGCGTGAATTTAAGGATTACAAGGTCCGATTAGTCCGACTCAAGGCGATTTGTTTGTTCGAAAACAGTAAAAAGATGGAGCGATGAATCAGATTGAATACAAAAACTATGTTTATGAGCAAACGAGTGACGTTTTTATACGTTTGTCTGGTGCAAAACGTGCCAGGCGTTTTTACACTTCCGCCCGATAACAGCATACTTGATAGAAAACGAAAGAAGGGTACGACGACACGAAATGACTGGAAAATATTTGCATACGTTCTCCCAATCTGCTTTGTAAACGAAAACAATTATTCAAATCCGATAATACTGAGAACAGTCATTGTCGAATCGAGTTCTCTAGGTGACTGAACTATGTTGAAACTGTTAGAAGGGCAATGGTGCAAAATATGGACCGACCGTACTTACTCAAATACGACAAAATACGTCGACCGCGCATCGAAATCGTCCAACGACGATGATTCGTTTTCAATTGTTGTTACGCAAACAAAACTAGTACTGATGCCACAATTGTTATATAATATTTATCTTTTCAATATGCAACTTGCATCGACTGGCCACCGCCATCTTTTGTATTCGCACGGCAGGTAGTTATGGCGGACAGGTTTGCTGTGCTGAGAGAAGGATAATGATAGGGGCCGAGGCGAGGAATTGTGCGGTTGGTGAGAGGATGCGAAAAAGTTCAGACAGAAGTACTTTTTGTTTGTAGTCTGCCAAATTTCCAAAAGAAAAAGGCATAGAGTTTAGTAGTACTTCTATTTTTCTACGTCACAAAAGAGGAGCAGACGGAAAGTGGAAGCGGAAAACATGTGTGGTCTTTGGTTTCCAAGAGCAAACACGGGAATAGCCCAACCGGTTGTAGAGCGACCCAATGTTTCGGGATTTTCCACTTTTCCGGTGATTCTTTTAGAAATCACTCTAAAAATCCTTCCGTTCAAGTAGTTTTCTATTCGAAAAAGTTGTTTTCCCAGCAATTTTTAGTGAAAACACCTCAATTACAGGAAAGAACGAAAAATGAATCGATTCAATATCATATAACTTTTCGATATTCTATAAACTCCGTGAGAATGGAACCGAAGGGAATAGGGACCATCTACTCAAAATCTATACCAATTATATGCAAATACGTTGCTCCGGGAGAACGCGCGGCGCGCTGTTTATCGTAAATACACACTCATTCTTAGCGTCAACCACGTTTCGCCGTCGTTTAAAACCGGTTCTTGCGTCGTTTCTTTTTCGCCTTTCGGTGCTTTACCATCCGCAAAGAATTGTAACATCGTGGATGCATTATTGAGAAAGAATTACACACGTTTATCGATTTTTACCCTAAACATTATTTTAATTAACGTTTTACAGCAATCAAACATGGGTTCCGTGGAGAAATTGACATCTGACCTTCAAGCGGAACGACAAAAACTTGCATTATACGAAAAAAATTTACGAGGTGAGCCCTTTTATCAGTTCAAACTGAACGAAAATGGATTGCAGTGGCCGTGGAGAGTTGCAAAGTGTTGAAAGCGGAAAAGGAGAATTTGGCTAATATCATAGCCGGATTTGCGTGTGCCGAAATCAAGGTATCCGTGCTCGTTCTGAAAGAAACAATGATAACTTTGCAGCCAGAATCCATTGGAATTGAAGACTTGAAGCAGAAGATCGGGGCCGCTACAAAGGAGTTTCAGAGCAAAGAAAATGCACTGGTACTTGCGAGGAACTCGGTCTTGGTAAGGGAAAATTGATTGTACAGTTCAAACATTTGCGTCCTCAGAAAGAAAATCAAGAACTCAAAAAGCGATTAGCCGAAGCTGAAAGCATTCCGAACAGTTTGGCATCCAGAAACAGTGACAGCAGCTTCCACGTCGCAGAACTCGAACAGAAGTTGCGGAAAGAGACGGCGATGAACAAGAAATACGAGCAGCGGTTGACGCAGTTAGAGAACCAGCTGAAGCACAATAACGATAACAAGTTAGAGGTATCCCGACAGAATGCGAGTCGAGTGAACGGAGCAGCATTTGCAGGCAGAAAAAGAGCAGTTCAAGAAGCTATACGAAGAAGCACACGGTCGGTCGATATATTTGGAACGGAAGTTTGCGTCTCTGCAGCTCGATCAGAAAAGGGACGAGGCAGAGATTCCGAAAGTAGCCACACTGACCACGAAAGCGTATGATGACGACAAAGTCACTAAACTAGAGGTGCGGTTGAATTATCCAAAAAAGAATTATAGGAGTGTGAATGTTACAGAGTCAAATAATGAACCTTTCGAAACGATGCGACGACAAAGAGGAAGAGATATCAGAGTTGTCCACTGCAATCACGATGTTGAGGGGAGAGAACATACTTCTCCAGCAGGTGAACTTGCATTGCGATAAATAACGCCGTTCCTTTCTATTCTCTTTCAGAATATCGATCAGTACGAAAAGAAACGTTCTTTATCTCCTGTGGACGAGTTTGGGTTTTTGGATGGAATGAGGGATGAATACGAGAAGTTCAAAAAGGAAAACGACAATCCTCTGGGTACTTCTGTTGTGTGCTCGTTTCTGTAACTTTTCTCATTCAGATTTCTGCTGCTCTGCTCTACGCAACGACATTCTGATTCTAGTCGACAAAGCTGTTCTGGAAAACGCCAAGTCGGACCAAGTGAAACAACAACAGGCCCAGATTGCAAATGTATTCTGAAATTCTTTCGAGTTGTTCCAATGTTCGTGTTTTAGCTGGAGAGAACTATCAAAGTGCTCAACGATAAAATCAATTGTAATGACGCCTTCCGGTCTGATGTTGAGAAGAAATTGGCAAAGCTTGAGGATGATATCCAACACCGTGACTCGGAAATTACGTTCCAGAAGGAAGAAGTGAACAGAATCAAGGATAGTCTTCGGCTGGAGAAAAGCAAACGAAGTTAGCCGAGCTCAATTCTAAAATAACCTAAACTCTAGTTTTCAGATGAATTGGAAGAGGATGTTCTCCGTCAAAGACACTGCGCTCAGGAGGAAATCGAGTCAAGAGATCAGGAAATTGAAGCCTTCAGGTAGTATGCGTCTGCAATCCGTTAAAAATGCTCGATTGTGCTCAATCTTCAGAAAAATGCTGGTGTCACTGCGGCACGAGAAGATGGAAAGGTCCCAGAATGCTCGAAAGATCTCGCGACACAATCGATCTTCGACACACGACGAAGAATCCCGTCGGCGGAGCAGAACGTTCTCGCAGGACGAGAACTCTTCTGCTGTTCCCAATGACCCGGATTCGAAGAACGTCTACTACGAGAATCAGCTGACCAAGAAGGAATTCGACATTCAGGAACTGAGGTCGGTGACTCATTCTCGGCACGTTCCACCTGTTTCTGGTTTCAGGAAGCAGCTGATGGACGTCGAAATTCGCCTGCGAGAAAATGAATCGGTCGCAATGTCCCGACAACTGGAATCGGTCGCGCGGAATGAAGAAATGATAGAAAAAGTCCGTGTGCTCGAAGGTATCGATTTTCATTCCGATGATATTCCATTCCGATTCTTTTTCAGGAAAACTTCAAATGCTGTCATCGACGAGTGAAATCGACTACCTCCGCAATATTTTTACCCAGTTTCTGCATTCGATGGAATCGCCGAATGCCGCCAGCAAAGCGATATTGAAGGCGATGGGGAGCGTGCTGAAAGTTCCGATGGTTGAGATGAAAGTGATCGATAAAAAATAGGAGATTCTTATCAGAAATAAAATTGGGCGCCAATTATTTTCTCGGTCATCATTGTATATAATTCGTGTTATCAAAAAATGTAGAGCTCTGCGGGTGAACTTTTTCCTTGGTGTGTTAATTTTCTGCTTCATATCAATCTGTTTTTTTCTTTGTGTCACTTCGAACATTGTATCTTATATCTGGTAACAATATTTCTTTCAATTTCTGATGTCTGCTTAATTTTTGTGAGGTTTTGCACCTTTCATGATACTTGTATTCATTTCTGACAGATCACTGATTTATTTGAATTCAGATGAGCAACTACCGATACTCAAAACTCAACGAAGAAGAGTCATCTCTAGATGAAATTCCAACGTCTGCTAGTCAAATTCTGTCCCGACAAGAGGTACTCGATCGATATCGATCGACAAACCTATTTTTTGAATGTAAATTGCAGCAAATTATCCAAGATCAAGATGATGAGTTGGAAATGGTCGGCAACTCTGTGCGCACTTTGCGAGGAATGAGCTCAATGATTGGAGACGAGCTGGATCATCAATCTATGTACGCAGCTCGATTTCTGTTAGAGTCATGACCTTTTTTTCTGTTGCAGAATGCTCGACGACCTCGGCCAAGAAATGGAGTATGCGGAGACACGGCTCGACACCGTTATGAAGAAAATAGCGAAGCTGGCGCACTTGGAAGATGGTATGTTGTAAAGACGACTGATGAAAGTGAATGGGATGCTGACGTTGTACAGTGAAAACATAGGCTGATGGATTTTGTTGTGGGAAAGAAAAAAAGACGGGAAGAACAATGTGTCTGGCCACATGCATCATCATTCGTATCGATACGACCCGGAAACAATGCGACTGTTTGCGCTTGAACCGGCGAATTTGACTAATATTAAATCTTATCCGATTCCGCTTGTACCGTACTTCACGGAAGACCAAGGGTTCAGAGCGATGCGAGGCGTTTGCAGTCCACATTCTCTTCGCACTGCTCCATTCGCGTGTATGCTAAAGCAATGCGCGGAAGACAAAGGTTGCTGGGCCACCGGAAACAATGCTTCACTTGTCTTTGTATTCATCCTTTTCATTGCAGATTCGAGCCAATGCAAAATGATCATGGTGCTGTCGGCCCTTCTATTCTTCCTCATCTTCATCCTCATTATTTAAACTGTGTGACCCTTTGAATCTCCATTCTCTTCATTCACTCCGTTTCCAACTCAATGACAGAACAATTTCATTCCCCCCGTATCGATTTGCCATTTTTTGTCTAGTTTTACATACTCAAGCTTTTTGAATTGCTAGAAACGTCTGTAGACCAGAGTTTTTACACTCCGGGTGTGATTATTTTTGTATAAATTCCTTGTAAAATGCCTGAATATTGTGTTTTTATCAAACTAAAGTGCCAACTCCCACAACTATTATCTCTAGAAAATAATTATATTATCGATCGGACTCTCGAGTGTGCAAATACGTCGAACACACTTTACAACATTTCTTATCACACAATTTTCAATCGAATTAGATTTTTAGATGGTTGTGAAAAGGTTGTGAATATGTGGATCGGACGCATTTTATCATTGTACATACTCGTTGAATTGTATCGGAGAACGGATGGGACCACGGAGAATGGAACCGATCCCAATGGCTACGTGCTATTTTGTCCCTGCATGGGTGAGTCGTTTATCGATTTTTTGGTAAAATACTGAGCGATTTCAGGTAGGTTTGGCAACCAAGTAGATCAATTCCTAGGTGTTTTGGCCTTTGCAAAGTCTCTCGATCGGACACTGGTTTTGCCTAACTTCATCGAATTCAAGCACCCGGAAACTGTGAGCAGTTGAATTAGATTAAAGTGAATTATATGTCTGTTTTCAGAAAATGATCCCATTCGAAGTGTTGTTTCAAGTGGCGTCGGTCAAAAAGTATACTCGTGTGGTAACGATGCATGAATTCACAAAACAGATTATGCCGAAAGTGTGGCCTCTGGAGAAGCGAAAAGGTAAGTACTTTTCAGATGTTTCCCTGTCATTCATCTGCCTCTGCAGCATTCTGTTGGACACCCCGAAAAGCAATCTACGACAAAAAAGCAGAGCCAGGTTGTCATGCGAAGGAAGGAAGTCCTTTCGGGCCTTATTGGGACCACATTGGAGTGAGCTTTGTCGGCGACGAATACTTCGGAGAGATTCCTGGTGGATTTGACACCAATCAACTGGGGAGCCGAAAAAAATGGCACGAGAAGTTCGGAGCGGAAGAATATCCAGTTCTCGCCTTCTCCAGTGCGCCTTCGGCATTTCCTTCGAAAGCAAAAGTGTGGAACATTCAAAAGCACTTGAAGTGGTCCTCACGAATCACCGAACAGGCAAAAAAGTTTATTTCTGAACATTTGGAGCATCCTTTTGTGGCTGTACACTTGAGAAACGATGCTGACTGGGTAATCGATACAGAAATTGTATACTTATTCAATAGTTATCCTTCAGGTTAGAGTCTGCGAACACATTAACCCAGAGAGCAATAGACCTCTGTTTGCATCTGAACAGTGCCTAGGAGAAGGGCATCACTTGGGAAAGTTGACCAAGGAAATGTGCTCACCGACCAAGCAGCAGGTCGCAGAACAGGTCAGAAAGGTTCACTGAAAGACTGAATTAAATGGAACCGTTTCAGATTGTGGAACAAGTTGGAAAAATCGGTGCGAAATCGGTATTCGTGGCAAGCGACAAGGACCACATGATCGATGAAATCAATGAAGCATTGAAACCGTATGAAGTGAGTTCTCGAATGTTCTTCGTATAATTTGAGCACTGTTTCAGATCCATGCTCGACGTCAAGAACACGACGATCTGTACACGTCATTGGCAATCCTCGGGCGCTCAGACCTGTTTCTCGGAAACTGCGTATCGACATTCTCTCACATTGTTAAACGCGAACGAGATCACGCAGGGCAGACAGCAAAACCGTCTGCCTTCTTTGGTGTTCACGTAGTCAAAAAACATATTGAACTGTGATTTGTATTCTGAATCTCTGCGAAGTTGTGATTTACTTTATTTCACTTATGTAATTGAATAAAATTCAAGGAAAATTAATAACACAGTTTCAAAAATCTTTCATGAGTCTTTCACCTTTACATTCAGGGGTCCGGTTAAGAATAACGATTGGCCCTCTCTAAACGAGTTTCTTATGCGCTAATATGAGCAGCTCGTAACATTTTTGCTTATTTTGCGATGTTCGATGGTACTGTGATTAGCATATCAGTGTGAACTTTATTCTTATTCAAAAACGTAAAAGTGACAGTACGAATGTGGTCTAACACCTGGAAAAGAAGGAAAGTAAAGGACAGAGGAAGAGAGAGAGAGAGAGAGCACATAAAAAACACAGGAATGGAAAAGCGAAGAAAAGTCACAGCCAGAAAAGCATAGAAGCAATAATATTAGCGGAAAAGAATCATCAAAGAAATGAGAAAAGAAAAGAAACGTAATGTGTTGGTTTAGTCAGTTTGTCCCGATTTTAAAGCAATTTTTCTGTTGACATGTACTAATGAGGCATCGTATTCAGTTGATTTTGAGATCTACCAGGTCGCCTGAAGAGTAGGACAGTTTGAGGGATAAGGAACAGGTTAGGATACCATTCTGCAGTTTTTTCGAAGCGATTTGGTTATTGTTGTCCAAAGGAAGACACAATTTGACGCCACCGGTTGTGCCATTGGAAGAACGGTCGTTTCCATTCCTCATATCTTCCGTTGGGGACTGAACAGAATTACTTGGCTTTTTAACAAATATATTTTGCTCGTTTTCTTTACCATTTTTTTAGCTGCTGAAAAGCACATGGTCTCCGGAACAGTTGATGACCTGGTCGGAATTGTCTGAAAATTCCATACTAGTTGTATTCACACAAACGTTTTTTAATTACCTCAATCTTGAGAGAGTTTGTTTCTTCGGTAATTCCAGTCAATTTGTCGTTGTAGGGACTGATGATGCTTGTCACTGAAAGCAGTTGCGTGGTTACGAGAAACGGACAAAAAAGAACTACTGGGACACATATTAAGTTATAAACTCTGCCCTAAAGCTCGGCGGATACATTCATTTCAAAATGGAGATTTCACGCAGACAAGGTCGGGACAAAATTTAACTCTAACGGGAGTTACGCAACTCTGAAGTTTTCTCTCATTTGTACGTTTTTTTTTCGGATTTCTTGTTGAGGTTGTTATTTTGCGGTTCGTCAGAAAACCTTACCATGCCGACATTCAACACTGAAAAAGAAGATGCAAAACTGAACGTGCGAGGACATGCAAAAGGAAAGAACATAAAATAAAACTGCAGCTCATCTCTCGGGGCACGGAACAAACAAAACCTACACTTTCCGATGCAAAGAGGTTTCAGATTAAGAGATGTAGGTCGCGCTGAAATGTATGTTAGTGGTTGGAAGGGGTGAAGGGAAGTGTTGGTTATATGAAATTGACAATGAAATTAGAGAAGGGAGACGTGTGCAACGTAAGAGAAAGAAAGAGAGGAAGAGAAGTGAGAGTGGGATGTCAGTTTTCTCATTCTAAGAAGCAAGTCTTTGAAAAGATGAGAATCGAGAAGCTGAACATGCTATTGAAACAATTTGCAGTGCAGAAAGTGACCTCATGTTTCAACTGCAATCATTGGTGCATCATTTCACTTTCTGTGTTCGGATAGAGAGCGGAAGAAGTAGAAGTGAGAAGCATTAGTTGTGTGTGGTTTTTTGGGTTACGTTTTGCAAAGGTGAGTTGAAAGAAAACCAAATTGAAGCGGCAAGATTTCGGATTTTGAAGGGAATGATACAAGCACTGAAAAAGCAACATACCCATTGAATTGGAGGAAGAGATGCTCATCGGAGTGTCCGATCGTTTCTCTACTCCATTTGCCTGAAAATGTATAATTTTCATCCCATTTTTCCAATTTTCGAACCTGTCCTGCTGAAGAAATGGCATTCGGGAGGCTAACTGCTCTATTCATTCTCAGTGAATGCATCGGAAGGCCAAAGTTTTGAATGCGAGCCAATCTTTCCTTTTTTGTCAACATGTTCGTGATTGCAACTTCTTGGCGGAGTCGATCTAACTTGAGCATTGACTCAACCTACACCAAACAATTAACAAATTCAATGTGCTTTTTCTAAATTACCGCCTGGATGCTCTTTGTGTACGCCTCAATGTAGTTGAGTGTCTGTCGTTGATGTTGAGATTCACTTGTAGCATTTCGAGACGCGTGGTCCTCTTGAGAGGTGTCTTTGGCGGCCATCATGGCTAACGAGGACCGGTCTTCCATATCTTGTGAAGACTGAAATCAAACTTGCACATGGCATACTGTTTCTTTTTTTACCTTTGGAATGTGGGCAACCACGTCGTAATACAAAGAGGTTCTGTGAATGGTCTCTGTTCCAAGCATCTTCTTGAAGAATTTCTCCGTGAGACTCGGTTTCTTGTAGACTTGCAGACATATTCGTTTTCTCAGAACGATATGCATTGGGCACGGATGAGAAAGACGGACCATAATCTGAAAAAACTATTTTTTCTGTGCATAAAAGCTGTGCTCGTACCTTGACAATAGCGTAAATCCGATCATGAGTGTTTGTGGGGACATTGAGAGCAGTGGATTCATGAACGGAAGAGTCCCAAGAACAAGTAGCCACATGGTCTTTGTCGTCGTATTTGTGAATTGGCAACATGAGCAGATTTCCTTCTGGTTCCAATGGAAGCATTGAATGCAAACCGGCAACTCTTGGAACGTTCTGAGCGGACAAAAATTCCAATACTTCAGAGAAATACTGAACAAACCTCATCGCTGGTCATTTCACCAGTCATGTCATCAGAGTTCAAGTCGAGAAAGAGCACGGGGATGTGGCGTTCGACTCCCTCCGGAGCAATCCTTCAAAAATAAAATGTTATCGAACACTCTGGCTCAACCTTACCAGTCGCAAGGGGCTCCTGGAATGCAAGAATTCGGAGCAGGACATTCGACAGCCGTTCTTTCTTCCGTAAGTGCAACCCACTGCCCCATCAGCGAGTGCTCACGGTCAAGCTCGGCCTCGGACTTTCCCGACTTTGCTGAGAGAGTATCGAGCTGATGTTGCAAGTAGAATTGTCTTGTTTTGAGGGCATGCGACCATTGCTTCCTGATCTTATCCAAATCTTCCTCTTGATAACTGTCGATCGATCTTGGTTGACTCGTCGGCTTGACCGCCATGATTGCCCCAATGCTAACAGAAGTAATGCTATCAATGCTGATCGGCAGCCCGTCAGGAGCAGCCACATTCACTCCGACCACCAGTCGACGTTGTTGCCCTTGCTTCAGCTGATAGATTCCACCGGTTGCCACGTCTTCACAACTGCGCACTTCTACACTCGACCACTCTCCGTTTTCATTCAACTCTTTCACTTCAGTCCACATTTCCAATCTTCTGGTCACTTCCATCCACCGGTTCTGGAGAGATTTTGATTTCTCATCCGTGTCCAGAACCCTTTCCTCTGGATGGCCGCAGATGCGATGTCCCCAGACTTCGATGGAAAGGGCGTCGTCCCGTACGTACTCCATGAACTCTTCAGTGACCATAACGTTGAAATCCTGTTAAACAAATGTTACTTGGCACTTGGTTATTGTTGACTTACTCTTTGATGCTCAAAGATGACAGTTGTAGCAAGCGAACAATGATTTGCGCTCTCGTTAGCGGGCGCAACAACCAGCAGTTCCGAGATATTGAAGAATGAGTACTGGCAAAACACAAAGTTGGATAACTTTTCCGGAAGGCCAGAAGCGCGCTTGATTCGTACGCGGCAAGTGATCGTCTTTCCGAGTAGAGACTCTGGTCCATTACTCGCTTCATCTTCTATCTCTTCCTGAGTCACAACCCGGAAAATTTGAACATGCAGACGACCGGCTACTTCCCCTTGTTGCGAAATAATAGGGACCTGATAATCCAACCGGAGGTCGTGGAACAAAACTTCCAGGAAAACGTTGGCAACACCGACCAAGTTGTGATGTTCCTGGCTTTCGAAGAACGGGTCAATGACGAGAGAGGAACACTCATTCATTGGAATTCCGGCCGTCTTCATTGGTGATGCATTCGGCGTTCCTTGAAGAGACTCACTCGCTCTGAATGCAAATTTCCATATGTGCTTCTTGGAGTGAACTACAAACCTGGCAAATCCATTGAGCATGTCATTGTAAGTGTCCCTCATGTCCACCAGCCGACTTTCCAACTGAGAAACCGTCCAGAATTGTGATCCACTCATCCCCTCTCTACGGACCACAATAACCGGTTCACAGACGAACTGACCAGCCTTGATTTTGATTGGTCTCAAATTGGAAGCGGGAATTTGTAGAGTAACGTCATATGTTGTCTGTCTTTTTGGTTTTTTGTTCAGCTCTTTTGAAATCATGTTGGCCTCTCGAACCAACGCATTCGCATGGATAACATCCGCCTTCAGCCGTTTCAACGACTCGGCAAACATCTCTTCTCTGAAAATGGAAACGTACTGACTACAACGAACAATGCGAACTCACTTTCGTTGAGCCCAGTAGAAGAATTTGCTCTTGACAGACTGCTTCGGGTTTGCAGGGAATGGGAATGGCGGTAATCCAGTGCTGGGTGTTGTAATTGGAGTCGTCAGTCCAAATCCAGGGGTCATTGGTGTGGAAGGGGTAAACCCTCCGGCAGTCAGAGACTGAATGTATTTCTCGAAGGCTTCGTACTGCTGTTCCAGTGCTGCTTTCTTGTCTTCCTGAAATCAATTAGATGTGGGATTAATTCTGCAAAGGACGCGTACCTGATGCTTCAGCGTCACACTCTCCATGTACTGGTCAACAGCAGAACTGATGGGGTTCGCATCGTTGACCTCATGCCACGCGTCATTGTAATCGAACATGGTGCTGTCCTCCATAATGGATTGTTCCATATCAATCACTTTCGGACAGTTCACTTTGAAAAAGTGATTCATTCCGACCAACAGACGATTTCCATTGCGCAGAAGAGTCCTTTCGGTGATCTGTTTTCCATTAACACAAATTCTGCATTCCGGTGACATTGGGGCAATGAACAGACGAGGACGGCCACCGAATTCGTCTACAGTCAACTTTGCATGTCTTCTCATGATACCGAGACCGCGAAGGACAATACTCGTCCGTTCTGAAACCATAAACTGGCTGTGATTCGCATTAAATCTGCAAGAGTTCTCACCTTTCTCGTCTTCTTTTCTGCCCGACTCGTTGGATGACATTGACAAACCGGAATCTCGACTTGTTTCCAGCTCCTCAGAGTTACCGATGATTGCAGAACCCTGAAAATTATATTAAAAACTTGGAGCAACTGAAATTCTGCTTACGTTTATATAATAGACGAGTAACTCGTTCAGAGATGGATCCGCATTCATATTGACCAAGTAAAAGCGATCCTTCTCCACTTTGATTCCACTCGACTCAATGGAAATTCCAATCTCGGCCAGGTCTTTCTGTCGTTCTTTGTTCAATGTGTCAGTCTCCTTCAGACGTTCCTCCCAGGATTTGTTCATTTGAGCAACTAAACGTTCACTTTCAGCCAATCTCTCGCGGAGTTCTTCGGTTTCCTAAAACTTTTCTGAATTTATTTTCCAATTCCGAAGACGTTAACCAACCGCATGTTCTTTTTTAGTCTGTGTAATTTGCATGCGCAAAGTTTCAACTTCCTCGCGCAATTCACGAATGACCCTCGCGTTCGGGTCCTCGTTTATGATAGCGTGGTTGACAATCTTCTTGGCGCGGTCAGCATAGCGTAAAGTGGACAGGGTCTCTTCGTAATTGTCTGCGGCTGGAGACAAAGTCGCAATCATAACAGTCCTCGAATTGCCTCCCAACGAGTCTTTCAGCAGCCAAGTGAGCACTGAATCACGGTATGGTATGAACTTGTCTTTCTTTGCATTTCTCTCCGCGAGCGCTGAGATGACCATTCCGAGTGTGGTCAGTGACCTGAATCTACTATTCATGAGCTTATCCTGAGCAAGAGGACTGACTTGTTAATGTTTCCTCCCTCCTCAAGACGTTTTCCGACCGCTCCGGTCTTTCCAGCTCTCTCACTGCCTGCCAAATCGACCAGGGAAATCTTGGCTACTTTTTCTCCACTGAATCCGTTTTCCAGGTCATGCAATGTTTGGGTTACAATCAGGCTGAATACTGCGTGGGATCTCGAACTTTCCGCGTTCATGTTGGTGGCAGCAACTGTTCTCGACTTGTTACCCTCCTCCAACAAGTTCGAAATTTGCTATAAAATTGAAAATAAACACTCGGATGCTTGTGGTCGGCGAACCTCAAAGGAGTTGACTGCCAGAATCGACAATCCATCAACCATTGGTCCGAGTATTTTATGCTCACGCACTTTCAATGCTTTGCTTGATCTTCAAAGACGTTTATTTTGTTTTTTTGTTTTTGTGTCCCGTTCTGAAAAACGGCTTACTTTTTCGGGTCGAGCAAGTCACGGACTCGTTCGTTGTAAATTTCCATGTAGGACACTTCAACTTTGAATGACAGAGTGCTGTTCGTGGTCTCCTGGATTCGTGTGAAAATCTGAAATAAAAAGTAAACTTTCTGGAAAGAACACAGGGGGGAATGCGAGTACATCGTTGCAGACACGTGGGATTATTCCAGGCTGGTCCGGAGTCCCCATCATTGTGTACGACTTTCCAGATCCGGTCTGTCCGTATGCAAAAATGCAAGCGTTGTAGCCGGCGAATGCATTCTCGACAACTCCAGTGCCCAGATAATAGCAGACTGTCTCCTGGCTCGCAAAGTCATAGCTTTTTGGGTCGGTCGAGCAGAACGAATGGTCGAATGCGAATGTTTTTGTGTTTTTCCTAAAGCAAATATGATTTTTGAATTATTCAGAGATAAGATAAGGACTCACTCTTCGGTCGGGTGGTTTAGAGTACATTGTTCGTTTTTAATTCGAACGACTGATTTGGTTTTCAAATCGAGCTCTGCAATATGAAACATGAGGAAACTGTCAAATAAACTATTCTTACCTCTTTTGTTGAATGGGCGCACGCGAATCGCGACTTTGACAGCGCTTTCCTCATCAAGCACTGTCATTGTTACCAAGTCTGTAGATTTCCGGACGGTCAGTTTAGAACATCTGAAACTCAGGTCATTCTCTTTTTGCAAACAAATAAACTGATAAAACGAGGTAATCGATAAGGTAGGGAGTATTGACAAAAGCGAGAAAGAGAGGAAGAGAAGAATCAAAAATTTATGGGGCGACTGCCTTATGGAAAACTATGGAAAACTTTCGACACTGGGCAAAGAAAACGATCATAATCGGGGGGTCGTCGGAGGTAAACGTCATAAACTAAAAGAACATTTCGAAATAATCGGATAGAGTGATAATAATAAGGAGTGTACAAAGTTGAGAACGACGGAATTGAGCCCCAGAGTTTGGTGTGGTGGTTTGGTTGTGCTGCAAAAATGAGACAGAGTGCAATGTCATTGTGGTGGCACATCACTGCCGACGCAAAGAGCTTCTGGTTGGAAGGGATTAGTAGTTGTGGGCCCCAAAAACGGGGTCCCGACGAATCTCTTTTACATGACATATGTATGTAGCGGACACTTTTCCGATGCCACTTTGTTCCCAACTATCTAATTCTTGTACAATAAACAAACGGAGGAGAGTGAGGGGCAAAAGAGGGACTTTATATGGATGCTTTCCAAACTAACATGTCATTTTCAGAAGATGAGGTAATGGAATAGAAGAATATCGGAGAAAGAGAAGGGGTGTTTCAACAAACAATTGTAAACGAAAGAAAATGAAGAAGGCCGTTGCGTAAGTGTGAGTTTACGATTGCGATATTTTGTGAAGGCACGTTGCAATCACCTCGACACGACGTCCTTGAAGCATCGTTTTATGCGAGAAGCGTCTTAGAAATGCACAGGAACATGGAACGTGATGTGATGGTCAATAAATCGAGCCGTTTGAAAAATGATATTCGGAACAGCGGCACATTCCTTCCAGTTATCGCTTCCACCGGCAAAAAAGGGCAGGATACGGAGCAATTTCGAATGAAACATTGACGTGCGAGCATTAACATTCTCATTTGGAATTGATGAACATCTACTATGCTGATGCGCGCTCTCTTTTTGCCTCTGGCTCATTGACTTTTCTTCTTAATAGAAGAAGGAGAAGAAAAAGAAGAAAAAGGAAAAAATAGATTCTCTGAAACCGGAACTTTTGTCACAAATTGACTTTTTTGTGTAAAGACTCTTGGAACGTCTGGGTCAGAAAGCATTCGGAGGATAACTGTGGAAAGCACGACACTTGAGAAAACAGAAAGAGCTATCAAAAGAGCAGATTGGGATTGTGCTCTTTACGACAGTTCAACTCAAACAAAGCGGAGAGGAAGGAACGGAACGACACTTTTGAAGGAACAATCCAAAACCAGCTGATATTTGCAGCGTTCAACTTTTTGAAAGTCTTGGGTGCTGGTCGAGGAAGCTTTTTCTAGAAAAATCCATGTTTTCTTAATTAAGATTCTCGGCTAACGGCGGAAAAATGCGTCACCTTATTGGAATGGAGGAGATGTCACGGATCATCTGATGTGCGCAATAAACGAAATGGAAGGGGCCAGGACAAACACGGGGTGCATTGACGTGAGCAAGAAAATGAAAATGTGTACGGATTCGGACAAAATGGGTCATTGTAGGGCTCAGAAGATGTTTGGCATTTGATGAGCGGGGGTGAATAAATTTGAGCCTACGGTTTCTCACGCAAATTGCGGGAGAACAAAGAGGAGCAGAAGAAGCTATCAATCTACGATCATCTTTTAACGAAAACGAAAACGCTGCCCGCCGATAATTAGCATAATGGCGCAAAGCCGTATGGCTCAATGATGTCACAATCGGCGGCCGCCTGCTCCTCCGGAATTGTGAACTAAAGAGAAGAATCGTGTCAGTTTGCGTGAATAAGTATTAGGCTAGACATATACACGATGCACACGAAAAAATACGCTTTCTTCGGTGGACCAAATAAAATAAAAGGAGAGGAAGAGGAGGAGGAGGAGGAGAAGGATGGAAAGAGGAGAGGCTCCCTTCACTTGCTCTCGCGGGTCCCTCTTCGCTCGTTGGATCATTGCCTACGGATATGTTTCAATAGTGGATTAGCGCTTGGTCCCGACGCCCTCCAAACCCAAATGTGTTGTAGGCTGTTGGCTCCCAAGTAGGCAAGGAGCAGAAACCGAGACGATAACAATTAGCTTGTATGCGTCGTGCGTGTGTTTGCGTTTTTTCTCTTTCTCTCTCACTCAAAAAGAGATGCGATTTCGTAGAAGAAAATAACCAGCTGATACATACAGACACATTGAACTAAGGCAGAAAAGATACACTCAGAAGAAAGAATATATGAAACATGTATTTTTTGACATTTTTGCAATTTGCATTTATTACATGGGTTCCGATGCTTTCAGCGGGGGAGGAAGAGAAAAAAAAAGAAAAATGGAGATTCGTTTTTCTTCCGTTTCAAAGGGACGCGCTTTCTAATCCCTTCTGAAAGGTCATCGAACAATTTTCTAGAAGTAAAATGAAGAAGGAGGATGGTGAAGAGAGTGAGAGTTGATACAATGTAGGACAAAAACCTAATCGTCACAAATTACTGATAAGAGAGTAGGTAGATGGTGAGCGCGGTCTCAACAGAACATGGAACAAAAAAAGAGAGGAAGAAGCGCTCGGAATCAAAGAAAGACGACGGACTTGCAGTTACGGAAGAAGCTAATTGGATCGTCGGGATGTTGACTAAATTAGATCAGCATACACGTGTCTTCTTCAATTCTTTGCGCTCTCCTCTCTTTTGAAGTCTCGGAAACGTTTTCAAAGCAGAAAGCGCCTGGCCGATGAAACTTGTGATAACTAATGAAAGAGAAAATATTGCCAGCGGAAAGAAAGTTGTTGGAGAAAACACCTTTGTGTAATAAGAATAGACTTGTGGGAGAACAAACATTCTTCAAAGCAGATAAAATCGGTAACGTATGTGACGGATAGCGATGAAATCTTTTCCATGAAATTGAAAGTTTTTTTTCAGATACCACAAGTTCGCAATGGCAAATGCAAATGTTAGAATGTTCAGCTCAGTAATAACCAATAAACCCGCTGTAAAATGGGCGTAAACTGGAAGTAATAACCTGGCTCATGTTAGTTTAAGCAAATTGACAATTGAGAATCAATAGAAAGCCGAGGGGACAAGTTTGCGGACATTAAAACTCTGTGGCGGGATTCGCACCCGTCGTGCTATCACGATAATTATCTTGATGAATTGGGAACAAGTGATTTTACACTCACAGCCTGGTTTGCTCGCATTTCAAAGCATTTAGCCCAACAATGAAAAGAGCCGAATACGTTTTTTAGTAATCACTGTGTCCTGGCACAAGTGGGACAGAGTCGGACTGATAAGAATAGATAAATATTGGACAACAAACTAATAGAGATGAGATAACCATTTGGACAGGAGAGAACCTACTGATCATTGAGCAGAAAGCAGAAAACACAGAGCCTCTCGGTTTTTTTTTTCATTTTTCTGTTCAACCCCTCTGCCTTGTGTTCCTGAACGACGTTATTTTTACTACAAGCGAAAAGAATAAAAGGGAAATTGTTTTCTCGGCTTTTTTGGAACCGACAATCAAATTGTATGTTGGTGCGGCGGCGGCGAGCTAATGGCACCCGTGGGTTGATAAAGTGTAAAAGAATGGCAGGAAGTGAGTGGCCGAGCATGCATCTCTTCTCCCGTCTTTCCGCGCTGCTGTTCGGAGAAAAAAGCGATCCGCAAACACATATCATAACAAGGTATTGAAACCTTCTTCTCCCCCCTCGGCGAAAGGGAGAATGATCGCGTTCATAAGTGCCTCGGGGGCAACTTTTAGCGCAGATGTGTATATTAGATCTATTCCGGTTATACTCACTCACTTCTTTTTGTAGTTACTACACAAACTTTCATTATATCACACCGACAAATGGTTATACAAAAAGGAAGTAACTCACTTTGAAACACGAGTTTTTGAAAGGGAGGTTTTGAAAAACAAAACGTTGTTTCGTGAGAAGAGTCCTCGTCGTAAAGTACTAACAACTATATTGAGCTCGGCAACACCGCCGTCAAGTACCAGGACGGATGTTTTATTACCTTGCTTGCGATGATTCATGAACGAAAGGACGGAGGAGACGTGAGTTGTCGCGGCGGCATTTGGCAAAACGTTTCGGTGCTACTAACATGGCCACATAAAACTCATTTTGAGTAGGGAAAGGCAGAGAGCGATAAAATGAAAGTTTGGATAGAGTCAAATTTAATTAAAAATTAAAAGAAGAGGAAATGCAAAAGACTGAAAACTTTGCGTTCTCGAACAGCCTACTTAATCGAGTTGAAATTTGACGGCTTCTCCCAGGAACGATGCTTCTGTTTTCAGGCAGAAAAGAAAGACATTAGAATGTGTGACGTGTGAAAACAAGGAGCACCATGCGATTGCATTGAAGAGCCGGGAAAACAGAGAGAGAATGATACAAAAACAAACACCGCTGGAATGAAATTAATTCCATTTTCAGAATGATGAATCCACTGAAAACGACGGAAAAGAAGAGAGAAAGAGAAGAGCTCATGGTTTGCTCATGAGTTCCGTTATCTCGAGCAAAAAAGAGGGTTACATTTCGTACAAACGCACCATTGGTATCACATTTGATTGCTTTTTGAAAATACTTTCGAAGTCCTCTTTCAAAAATGGATTTTTTTAGTCGATAAATGAGAAAAATATGAGTTTCTCTCAGGTTTTTCAGTTAAACCAAACATTTCTGCCGCTGATTTAGGGGTTTGTCCTTATGAGTAACTCCAATACCAGTACATGTCCTTGGGAACCAACGAGGAGTGCGTGGAATTCTGAACTTTCCGTCTTCGTCATCTGGAATATCAAATTTCAGCGTTTGCATCTGATTTTTTGGTTCTTAAGAACAGAGAACACTGAATGTGAGATAATTCAGTTGGAAATTGTATCTGAAGAATAGAAAATAAGGTTTGGAGAAGAGGAAACAATAAAAACAGAGGGCATTCCGAATACGTGGTTCAGAGA